CACTGGAGAGTTGTACGTTGTAAGCGAAAGTCCATGATAAATATCAGACTTGAAAGCCAAAAAGGCGTCCAGCGGAGGTTGAAGCGATGGTTGTTCCTGTCGCTTATTGCGGTCGAGAATATCTCGCAAGGAGGCTTTCGGTCTCAGCGCATCTAGTTGGAAATTGATCTTATCATCCGCATCTTCAAAAAGAGACATCAAAGAACTCGTCCCCATAAGACGGTTGGTGCCTTTGCCGTGGTGAGTAATTTGGTCCGGCACAACAACATCCTGACTACCAGACGGACTTGATGGAATAACTTCAGTCGATAGCGGTTTCAGTGTACCCGGATATGGATGATTCTGACCACTATCTGTTGCGTCATTGTGCTGCTGGGGAGGCAGACCACGGAAAAACTCGTCCAATCGGTGGTAAATGAGGCTGACATTCTTTTCCAAGTCACCGAGCCGATTGCCAACTTGTTCGAGGTCATTGACCCTTTTAATACATGTCAATATTCCGCAGCCTTATGTATTATGTAAGGAGTTAGACGTACAACTTGTTGGTTTGGTTAGGCTTTTTCCCTTTGTTTGACCTTTCGCACTTGATCTTTGCTTTAACACAGTTGGAGCAAGACGGCAGTTCCCGACCGCATCCAATCTTCTTGATTCTACACTTAAAAACTGTTAGGCATACAAAAGCTTTCTTGGAGCACCTGCATGAACATACCTGGTCACATGCCGGATCATGCGAGGTAAAAATCTAGAGGGGCTTAGGACTCAATAACAACAGAAAACACGGAGTCTCCCTTACCTTAGCCTCCTTGGGCTCTAGCTCCGGACTGTCAGGTTGTGATGCCATGTTTTACACCTCGATTCACATAGTGCTGTCTCGCAACGGGGGAACGGACGGTGTTTCCGGGATAAAAAGAGTCCTCGAAGAGAATGCTCCACTGCGCTGCGGGGTCCGGGCTCCGACACCCGGCTTCATAGAGCGCCTCGGATGTGCCCGAGGCTGTTTGTGATGAATCGCTAACCCAAAAGTTAACTAATCATTATTTTTTTTTTTAATTATTTTTGGCCACCAGTCATCCTCACTTCGATACTGGGAGCATTCTAAGAGATACACCATTTGAAGTCCCCGACGTCATCCAGCAATTACAACTGTATCTGCGTTGCCCCATCTACTTTACTATGCAGGCACCACCACTCTTGCGGCTCCAATGCGGAGTGAACTCATATGCCTGGGGTAAGAAGGGAAACGACTCATGTGCGGCTAGATATGCTGCCGCTACTGCTCCGCCTGCTTTCTCGATCAAGCCTGATCAACCATACTCAGAGGTTTGTGAATACTGTGTGCTGCTTTCATGAAATCGAAGCTCATTCCAGTCTAAATCACTAGCTATGGATGGGCACTCACCCTTCCAACCCGTCTTATGATGTTTCCACTTCTCAGACGCTTCTCCAACTTATCAAAGAGAAAGACAATCTTCTGTCACCATCTATCGTAGCCCAGTATGGCCGCGAGCTTCCGTTCTTATTCAAGATTTTGTCAATCCAAGATGCACTTTCAATCCAAGCCCATCCAGACAAGGCACTAGCCAAGCAGTTGCACGCCCGTGATCCAGCTAACTATCCTGACGAAAACCATAAACCCGAGATGGCGATTGCCGTGACCCCCTTCGAGGCCCTCTGCGGGTTCAGGCCGCTGGATGAAATTAGCCACTTCCTCGAGCAAGTGCCGGCACTCAGAACCCTTGTTGGGGAGGATGATTCAAGATTTTTCCAACAAGCGGCCGCCATGTACGACAAGAACATGAGCCATGATGCTAGGGAAGCTGGCAAAAAGGCCCTGCAGAGGGCTTTTAGCAACTTAATGAATTCATCAGAGTCATCTATTGACTCTGCCTCGAAGGCTTTAGTCGAATCGGCTAAGATTGAAGGCGAAAGCTTTGCTGGAGGTGGGGTGCCTTCAACTTCAGGTGCGGTCTTATCTGAGTTGGTTGCTCGACTTTATGGGCAATTTGGGCCGGACCATGGCCTGTTCGTGCTGTTCTTCACCAATCTTGTCACGCTGCCTCCCGGTGGAGCATTATACCTCCAGGCAGATGATATCCACGCTTATATATCAGGCGATATTGTCGAGTGTATGGCGACATCGGACAATGTCGTCCGTGCAGGTTTTACAGCCCGCTTCAAGGACGTGCCAACATTGGTCGATATGTTGACCTACAACTACGCGCCGATCGAGGAACAAGTTATGGAGCCCGCTCAATATCTCGAGGCTGCTCTGAATAAAAAGGCAACCAGTAACGGCTCTTTTATCACCGTCTATGACCCTCCTATTGACGAGTTTGCTGTTGCGCGCTCCGTCCTTAAAGGGCATGGTGCTGCAGTGAGATACCTCCCTATGGACGGTCCAAGCATTATAATTTGTACAAGGGGACAGGGCAGTATTACTGTTGGTTCCATGACCATGGATGTTCAGGAAGGCTACGTCTTTTTTGTTGGTGCTGCAACGGAGTGTGCTCTTGAAGCTCAGAGCGACAATGAAGATTTCGAAATGTACAGAGCGTTCTGTGAGATCAAATAATAATGTGAGCGCGCAAAATATTCCTTCCATGTAGACAAGCAAGAAATAGATGATGGAACCACCACTATTTGGGTCATCAAGTTTTCTATTTCCTTGGACTCAAACATATCCAGTGCTCTTTTTTAAGATAATGCCAAGTGTATCACTGCTATATTTGTTTGTTTTTCTATTTCCCCTCGATTTTCGCAGTTTGATAAAGCAATGGGCCTCACCAAGAAATGTCAAGTATTCACCTGTCCGGAGTCCGGGCTCCGTACCCGACCCCCTTGGACCCGCCCGCTGAGCTCGTGCGGGGTGTGCCGTGTTGCTGTATCCCGTGTCTGGCGACTGCAACCATTGGGTTTCAGTAAAACTGGGGCGGCGGAACCAGGAATTGTCCCCTAGTCACTACTCCACTGTAGTGGGCTGGTCGCAATCTCTCTCCTCGGGCAACGTTTGTTCCGACCAAGCCCACCTTTAGCTATGAAATAGAGCGCATACCCCGACTGACGAAAGGTGGGGGACCTCGAAAATCCATCCTCCTCACAAGTAACACTTCGTCTTCCTCCTTTCTCACGCCGAGTCTCTACTTCGAACCTTTTGTCGGAGTTTAGCGTTCGTCTTCTCTCGCCATCATGGTCTCACCGAAACGCCCCAACATCCTCTTCGTCATGGCGGACGACCATGCCGCCAAGGCCATCTCCGCATATGGCGCGGGAATTAACAACACGCCACACCTGGACCGACTGGCCAAGGAGGGCATGCTGTTCAACCACTGCTATGTGACTAACAGCATCTGCACCCCATCTCGAGCGGCGATTCTCACCGGCCAACATAACCATGTCAACGACGTGATGACGCTGGACAGTGCAATCAACAGTCGGCTTCCTAATGTGGCCAAATCAATGCGGACAGGTGGCTATGCCACGGCCATGTATGGAAAATGGCACATGGGAGAGGGCAAGGCCCATGAGCCGTCTGGGTTCGACGATTGGGCGGTCATCCCTGGTCAAGGTGAATACTGGGACCCGGCTTTCATCACCAAGGCTGGTATGGCCAACCATCCGGGCTATGCCACCGATATCATTACCGACATGAGCTTGGACTTTATTAAGAAAACCCGTCAGGAGGACCCTTACAAGCCCTTCTTCGTGATGTGCCAGCACAAGGCTCCCCACCGCAGCTGGGAGTGTGATGACAAACACAAAGAGCTCTACAAGGACCCGATCCGCTTGCCTGACACTTTTACCGATGACTACAAGAACCGTGCCCGCGCGGCCAAGGTTGCGAAAATGCGTGTCAGCGACGACCTTACCTATTATGACTTGGGCTTGGTTCAGCCGGACGGCGGCTCTAAGCACGGTCTTGGGGAGAAGATGACGAACACTTGGTTCTTCACAGACCGCAAGATCAAAGCACCCGAGGATATCACCAAACTCAAACTCATCGATAAGGAAGATGGGACTGTGTTCACCTTCAAGAGTCACACCGAACTTACCGAGTTCAAATTCCAGCGCTACATGCAGCGATATCTCCGCACCATTCAGAGTATCGATGATAACATGGGCCGCATGCTTCAATACCTTGAAGAAGAAGGCATCGCCGACAACACGGTTGTGATCTACACTAGCGACCAGGGATTCTTCCTCGGTGAGCATGGCTGGTTTGACAAGCGCTTTATGTATGAAGAGAGCTTCCAGATGCCATTCCTGATCAAGTACCCCAACTTGATTAAGCCCGGCTCTGTTTGCAACGACATAGTCTGCAACGTGGACTTTGCACCTACATTCCTCGACCTCGCTGGGCTTAGAGTACCTAGTTACATGCAGGGAGTGACTTTCAAGAGTCTGCTTCAGGGGACAACCCCTGAGGGGTGGCAGCAGGTTGCGTACCACCGGTACTGGATGCATAATGATATGGTACACGGCTGCTACGCCCACTATGGGATCAGGAACAAGCGATATAAGCTGATCTACTGGTACAATGACGGCTTAGGCATTGAGGGCACAGGTCCTGCCGATGATCACAAAGAGTGGGAGTTATTCGATTGCCAAGAAGACCCGCTCGAACTATTCAACTGCCACAATGAGCCCAAGTATGCCGACGTTGTAAAAGAAATGACCGAACTGCTTGAAGACAAGATGGCGGATATTGGAGACGTGCCTGTGCACTTTGGACATTGGGCGGCGTCGGAAGGCGTCGGACCTCAGATTGGTGCCGGATCTGGTGAGGTTAAATATTAGATCTTTTCGCTTTCACTATGTTTGTTATGGGCAAGGGCAGTTGCGGAATCGATTCGCCGCTACATTGTATATCAAGGCAGAGAACCCATGGATGTGAATAAACTAAACCGTAAAGTCTCACTTCATTAGTGACAGTTTTGATTGTTTATTGCTTCGCTTCTAGTACCGCCACAACCGCAGGTGTCTCCTTCATTAAAGTCGCTGATTCAGTCATGTGGAGAGCCAAAAACCTCCATGTGAATGCGATCAGGTTTAACTCCCAAGGCCTCCAAGCTCTGGCTCTGAGCCTTCATAAAAGGCTGCGGCCCGCAGATATAGTAGTCCGCGTCCGGAAGAAGGGCCTTGTCCTTGATTTTGCCCAAGTCTACTCGTCCTATGTAATCATAGTCCAGACCCTGCGTATCATTTTCTGTGGCTTCTTCATAGAACACCAAGCGGCTGACGGACGGATTTTCGGCAACTGTCCGCACAAGATCATGCTTCATGGCGTGAACACGACCATTACGCGCCGCATGGATAAACATGACTTGTCGCGACTGACCTTGCTGATTAACGATGCTCTTCAGCATGGACATCATAGGCGTAAGTCCCACACCACCGCTAATTAGGACTGCCGGAGTAGTTGCATTGATATCAAGAACGAAGTCACCGAATGGCATGCTCACATCCAACTCAGCGCCTTCGGGGAGAGACTCGTGTAGAACGTTCGAGATGCGCCCGGCTGGTTTCGAATCGGCAGCAAATTCACGTTTGACGGAGATCCGGAAGTGGTCCCCGCTCGGGGCGTCAGACAGGCTGTACTGTCGGGGTTGGTATGAACCTAGCTCGGGCACGTAGTGGCGCAAGCTAACAAATTGGCCAGGCTTGTATGTTGGCAGGCCACCCTTGTCCGATGGAGTAAGATGAAAGGAAATGATCTCGTCGCTCTCCGGGACCTTCTTAGAAATATAAAATTTCCGCCATCCTTTCCAGCCGCCGGGTGTCTTCATGTTCTGCTGGTAGAGATTCTCTTCAAAGTTGATAAAGATATCCGCCAGCTGCTGGTAGGCTGCTGCCCACGCATCGAGCACTTCCTCGTTGGCAGCGGGCCCCAGAACCTCTTTGATTGCGGCGAGCAAGTGTTGGCCGACAATGGGGTATTGATCGGCCGTGACTCCCAAACTGGCATGCTTATGTCCAATACGCGAGACAGCTGCTGCTAAAGCCTCGGGATGATCAATGTTCACTGCGTACGCCCACACGGCATGGGCTAGAGCTGCGGGTTGTTCACCAGTGACTTGATGAGCAGTGTTGAAGATATTTTTGAGCTCTGGATGTGCCGCCAGCATACGCTGATAGAAGAGCGTGGTGATCGTAACTCCATGTTCTTCAAGGGCCGGAACTGTAGCTTTCACAATCTCCTTTTGCTGCGTAGTGATCCCTTTGCTAGAAACTGATGCATAGGAACTTTTCGCTAGCGACGTCAGTCCCACACGCCGGAGAACAGTCCGAGTCGGCAATCGGATCATGGCTCACAATATTCTGCTAATTGATCAGAAAATTTTCCAGTTTCGCGGGATGTGTAGTTGTTTAAGAGGGCTACGAAATTGTGGTGACGTTGACACATCAAACGAAATTTCCGAATCCGGCACGTGAAGAAGACGAGGGCCATTTTTCCCCGCTTGGGATCCGTCTGTTTAACAAACACTACTGTCCGTTGATTTCATTTCGCATGCCTGGCTACTAAATTCCTCGTGCCGACTCCAAATTAGAGGGATGGCACTTTCCCAAACAGAGTTATTGAAGCTATTCGGAGTTCTGCAACGGGCGATCTGACACTGATACCTCAGGCACGAGGTCCATGGACACCCGCAATGTGCTATTTTTTATATGCTGTAACAACATGGACAAATATCCAGGATATGTAGTTTGTTTCGAGGTAAAAGACCACGCGTCGCCTTCTTGGTGCCGACGCTGCGGATCTGAGCCAAGGGACCTAAGCTCTAGCTCAATGGTTCCTGGGGCTAGGATTTTAGTGCAGCTTCGCTCTTGGAGCTTGCCGTGTTGGTGTTGGTGGCACTCAGGATCGTTGTTCATTAGGGGCCACGACTCGGCCATTTTGGTCGTGGGATCGGCATTCAGCACTCACTAGGTGGTATCCTTGGGAGCGAGACGTATTGAACATCAAAATAGCTGGTCGGCCTGTTTTATCTCTCAAAGTACGTGGGGTGGCCCTCTTGTGCTCGATCTTGTGCTGTAGATTGTATCAAGATTGTATCAAATAGACATGAATAAAAAGTTCCATGTGCCTGACTACGTAGAGAATTCAGCGCATAGATGAATACCAACGGGATTCTTAACGATGGCGGCAATAATACTTAAAGATATCGATGGAGATAAAACGAAATGAAGGGTCAAGGTCATCTGATGATTTTCGTCGCGTCTCTAAATTTAAATTTTCAGCCCCAACCCTAACTGGCCCTAAATCCTGACGGCCCGGAGGCGACGGGCTAAGGGGCTGTTGGTGGCTAGTAATCCTGTGGGATCTGGGGCGTAGTTCATGGACTATCCCATATTCACACAACTCGTCCCTATGTACGGAGTACATTAATCGTTCTTTTAAAACACACGTACTCCCTCTCAGATAAGTAGAAAAAAGTACTTACATTGGTTGCAATTGGGTCTTCTTTTTCCTTTTCTTGGCTTTTTTTTTGACGCTGTTTTCTCGCGATTAATTTTGTTTGCAATCACGACACCGCGTTTCTCATCTTATTGCAGCCCTACCTCTATTCGCTTTGGGCATTCCTTAAGAAATTTGATATTGCAGTCAGGAGCAATACTGTCAATAAATCTAAATCGCCCTTAGCCCGGTACTATACCTTACAACTCATGTTGATTGATTTCTTTCGGCTGAACAGCAACATATCGACATGAAGTTCACTGCTTTGGTTGCAGTAGTGTCGTTATTAGCAGCTGCCAAAGGTAGCAATGCTGTATGTCCTGCGCGGTTCTGTCCAAGAAAGTATAGTTATGCTCACACCTTTAGTCGGGGAGTTACGTCCAGAAAGTGTCCTGGAAGGTTGCTGAAACACTCTCTTGGGGTGGTGTTGAAACCCTTCATGTCTTTCCACCCATTGTCTCAACATCAACGGACTCGTTGACCCCTCCATCTGTTGACTCAACTCCAACGCCCTCGATGTCCACTTCGTGCAGTACTTTGCTATCCTCATCGAGTGTGAGCCCTACGTGGACGCCTTCGGCATCTGTCTCCCTCGCGACTTCATCGACTAGGCCGTCTTCTTCAGTGTCTACTACGACCACACCAACCAGTCTTCCCAGATCATCTACTACTTCAGTTCCAGTACCCTCTGCGGGCCAAGGGTCGACTGCCACTCTAGTGACTTATACCACCACCACGATCTGTCCGATGACTTCCACTATGACTTCGGTTTCAAGCACAATCACGTCAACCTACAGCACACTCTCGACTATCACCGTTACCTCGACTGTGGGGGTTCCCGTCACGCAGCAAACCAGTAGTAGCCCTACCGCCTCTCTTTCCGAGACCACGCCCGCTCCTGAGCCTACTGTAACTTCGGTGCCCCAGGAATCTGCGACTACTGTTGTGACATACGAGACGCTTACCACAAGCACTGTTACTGCCACTATCACCTCAGACTTAGCCACAGTCACATCAACATACAGCACTGTCTCCAAAGCTACCGTGACTTCAACTTTGACTATTTGCAATGGGTGCCAAGCTCCGGCCAGTGCCGTCACTGTTTCACAACCTGGAGCCCCCATTTCTTCGGATAGACCTTTTACTGATATACCCGTCGTTGGCACCTCGTCCGTTTTCACTGAGCAGGTTTGGACTGGCACTCCATCTGTAGCGTCGACCATGATGAGCACCAGCCGGCCCAGCCCCAGCACCGTTGATGGATTACCAGTTAATCCGCCGCCAGGTCACTCTAATATGGCTTTGTCTATGAGCATCTCGGTTAGCCTCTGGTTAATGTCGATCGCTTCGCTGCTTTCCCTCATGCTGTAAATGTACTTTCACGAAGAGTCGACTATGTGTTTTACGTTTTACGTTTTGTGGTTTTCCTTTGAATTTTGAAAGTTATGGATTAGGTTTGATTGGAACAACATTTCTACTTCCGTTGCGGTGACCGCTCGTTTTGTAGTATGTAGACATGTATCATTGCCTGTGGACAGAGGATTTCATCTTATCATAGGTTGAAATAAGATAAGCGTTTCTCGGTTGGCTCTGAATCAATAGAAAGTAATTAATTCTAGATATAATAGAATTGTTCTTTATTCAAACCTCCCTGCACTCCTCCTCTAGTGCAGCCTCTCCATCACTTTAAGCAAGTCAGCCATGACAGCCATGGCCGTGATTTCGCCGCCTCCACCACCACCTTTGAGAATCAGTGGAGTATCACCATAGCGCTTAGTATACATGCTAATAATCTGGCTCCCCTTAAGATTGGCGATAGGGCTATCCTTGCCAAAGTGCTGTAGGCCCACCTTGATGGCCTTGGTGGGTACATCAATGCTGCCAACATACCGCACAACCTTACCCTGCTTCCGAGCCTTATCTTTCAGACTGTCCATCTGAGAATCGAACCTAGGCAGCTGGTTCATAAATTCTGCAGCAGAGGGCAGCGAGGCCAGCTCAGCGGGGATCAGCGACTCAACAGGGAAGGAATCCGGGCTCGCAATGTCAAGACCAATGACCCGCGCGAGGATCGTCAGCTTCCGCGCAAAGTCCACGCCGTTCAAATCATCGCGCGGATCTGGCTCCGTGTGCCCTATTTCCCTGGCATGTGCCACGAGAGTGCTCCACTGCTCATCTGACCTACCATGCGCAGGCATGAATTGGTCAAATAAGAGCGATAGTGATCCTGACAGCACACCTTCGATCCGAATGATTTCATCGCCCGTTGCTATTAGATCCCGGAGTGTTGACAATACCGGGAGACTTCCGCCCACCGTGGCCTGGTGGTATACAAGCGCATTTCCCTGTGCCGCCGAAGCAAAAATGTCGTGCCATAGCGAAAGATCCGAGGAGAATCCTTTTTTATTAGGTGTCACCACGGATATACCCTTCTGCAAGAAAATGGGGTATGTCTGTGCCATGATGAGGTCGGTTGTAGTATCCACGAGGATAGCGCGGCCGGGTGCAGACGCGAGGTACTCAGCCATTTCCTTTGGCGGGAGAGCATGGCCTGTCTTGATGAGCGAAGGCGTTGCCGCGGCAGTTGCCCACTCAGTGGCAGAGATGCATGGCGAATAATCTTGCTTCGGAGATAGCAGGGTTTCTGATGAGCGAGAGAGCAGAATGAGCTTGGGTGCATTATGGAGTCGTCCAAGCTGTTCGAGGAAAGCACTGCCCACGCCGCCGACACCTTTTACGTGCTGTTAGTCATGACATTGAAATTTCGAGATATAAGGAGTAACGTACCAACAATGCCGAGATAAATGGCGCTGGTCATGGATTTTTACTTTTAGACTAGTTCCTTCAAGTGATAATAAGGAGTTGGAGTTACGGGGTGTCGAAGGAGGGTGATATCAGAGAAATATATATTCACCACAGAAAATGGTGGGGTTGACGGCGAGCCTTGTTTAGGAAATTTTATCGGTCACTGAATTGAGCTAAGCCCGCACTGTGAGTCCCCATACTATCACTTGCCTGCCTACTTCATCTTTCTTCCAGTTCATAAGGTGCCTAAGACAAGGAAAGGCAGCGATGCATTCATTCTTCGAGCCTGCATTGCTGGCATTCATACTTCAGGCCACAAGGCATTCGCTCGACATGACTCGGGGTCTCGATTAGGTTTAGTCCAGCTAGTATGTATTCATTACGCCGACCTGCTGGCATATTTCAACATCATCTCTTGCTCCCTCTCATATCAGCATGAAATCTCTCCTAGTTAAAGAACCTCTCTGCACGCGCCAGAGCCTAGTCAACGACCTACGCAATCTGGGCATCAAAGAAGGTGAAATTATTCTCCTCCACTCCTCCCTAAGCTCTTTGGGCTGGGTCAGCGGCGGCGCCGTGACCGTTATCCACGCCCTACTCGACACGCTCAGCGACACAGGCACATTAATAGTCCCCTCACATTCAGGAGACAACTCAGACCCCGGGAAATGGCAGAAACCCGCCGTGCCAGAAGAATGGCACGCCACGATCCGCGACACAATGCCTGGCTACGATGCACGAACTACGCGCACGTGGAGAATGGGTGCTATTGCCGAGACGGTCCGGACTTGGCCTGGTGCTGTTCGGAGTGCGCATCCGCAGACTTCGTTTGCGGCTGTGGGGTGCAAGGCTGCTGAGTTAGTGGCAGATCATGCGGTTGATTGTCTTCTAGGGAACGAGAGCCCCCTCGCTCGATTGGAGGCAGCCAATGCGCGGATTTTGTTGCTGGGCGTGGGCTTTGAACTGTGCACGGCATTTCATTTGGCGGAATATCGTGTCTCAACTACACAGGAGAATGTTTCGTTCGCGGTTTGTACTCCTAATGGCCGGGAGTGGATGACTGTTCAGGATACGGCGCTCTCAGAGGACGGGTTTGATCGACTGGGGTTAGACTTTGAGCGAGATAGACCAGTCACCAGAGGGATCGTGGGTGGTGCTTTTGCACGGTTGTTCTCCTTGCCCAGTGCGGTTGATTATGCTCAGTCGTGGCTGCCAAAGCATCGCTCTGGGATGACGTAGTGATGAGGATGCTAGGCCATTTGTGAACTGTATAGTTTCATCTCCATGCCTCAGAGTATTCAGCAGTAGTTATATAGTCTACTAAGTACATAGTGGGTGGCCAAAAAGCTCGCGACCGTGGCAGCCAATAGGAGGCCGAAAAAAAGTCTGTAAAGCGACCCCAACCGGAATGGGGAATCTCAACGTGTTCCGACAACCCATTCCAAAGCAAATGAACATCCAGGTGAGACTTAGGAGATTATCCTTATTATGAATATTATGAACAGAGGTGGCTGTCTCATTCTGGCCCCTCATAATTATCGAGGCTTTCCAGGGTTGCCGGGTATCCCGAGCACGTCATGAGCCACGAGAGTGAGGATATATTATTCAATTCGTACCTGAGGTTTGCCTAGAGACCCGATAGGCGATAGATAGATTGAAAATTGTATTGAATCTCCGCTTGCGTGAGATGTTGAAGCCGCTCCGAATCAACGCAGTTCTCGGCCCGCTTGTCAAAACGGCCAGGCCGATCCGCAAGCAGATCGGAGGGACGATCGGGATCGCAAAGATCCAGTGAGACGGAGTCCAGAGTAACAAGCCAAGGTCCATGGGGTGTAGCAGAATAAACGTCGCTCTAGGCTACTCACGACACCCAATAATAATAAAAAACCCATCGTCATCACTGTCCCTAGAACCTTCTCGGGCAACAAGTGAAAATGGTGGGACAGAGCCCGTGGGGCCCAACAAAGGGAGTTGGGGAAAGACGTGCCTGTCGCAGGGGCCAAGGTACCGCCCCTTACAATTTACTATGCATCGGTACTTCCAGCCCAGTTGGGACTGCTCCACTCGGCGAAAATCATCCTCATCAATTTTCTCTCTCGTTTTCTTCGGTCGTCGTCCTGTCCTCTCTGTAATTCTACCTACCATTCCCCTTCCCTTATCCTTCCCCTTCTTCGGTGAGTGGTCCAGCCCGTTGCAACCCTTTGCCCGTTTGCGATCAAGTCTAGACGCATGCCGCTTTTGGCCCGCGCCTTTTTTTCTCCGCCCAAGACTCGCCGTGCCTTTCGCGCGCTAATCCTCTGTCCGGTGTTCCCAGTATCTCTCCCTCTCTCTAATTCCTGTCCGTGACAGCCCGGGATCAGTCCGTCACTTCTCTTCTGTACATTACTGCGGACACACCTCTCCTTCCTTCCCTCCCCAACAACAGCGCTGTCAAACTCCCATTGCGACGAAGCATCGGGGGATCCTGATCCTGCATGGGAACTGAGCATTGAAGCTTAGTCGTGCATCATGGGCTCCACAAACGGCAACATGCCAGCAAATGGCCACGCCGACCTCCCTTCACATTTCATCGGCGGTAACAGCCTCGAGGTTGCGCCTCCGAGCACTGTGAAGGATTTTGTCGCGAACAACGATGGTCACTCCGTCATCACTTCCGTGAGTAGCAAACTCTGTCTACAACGAAGCGCATTGACTAATTCTCTGGCCTCGGACAGGTCCTGATCGCCAATAACGGTATCGCCGCTGTCAAGGAGATCCGATCAGTGCGGAAATGGGCCTACGAAACCTTCGGCAACGAGCGCGCCATCCAGTTCACTGTGATGGCCACTCCCGAGGATCTGCACGCCAATGCCGACTACATTCGCATGGCGGACCAATACGTGGAAGTCCCCGGTGGAACGAATAATAATAATTATGCCAACGTCGAGCTGATCGTCGATGTGGCGGAGCGGATGGACGTCCACGCCGTGTGGGCTGGATGGTAAGCATATGAATCTCGAGAGAAAAGAACCTAGGCTTATTCAATTCGCAGGGGTCACGCTTCGGAAAACCCACGGTTACCGGAATCTCTGGCGGCGTCGCCCAAGAAGATTATCTTCATCGGCCCACCAGCCTCCGCCATGCGCTCGCTGGGAGACAAGATCTCCTCCACCATTGTCGCACAGCACGCCGGTGTGCCCTGTATTCCCTGGTCCGGAACGGGTGTTGACGCAGTCAAGGTCGACAGCAACGGTATCGTGACGGTGGAAGACGACGTGTACAGCCAGGGCTGCACCTACTCCCCCGAGGAGGGTCTCGAGAAGGCCAAACAGATCGGCTTCCCCGTTATGGTCAAGGCCTCCGAAGGTGGTGGTGGCAAGGGTATTCGCAAGGTCGAAAATGAGGCAGAATTCATCTCCCTGTACAACGCCGCCGCGAACGAGATTCCCGGATCGCCCATCTTCATCATGAAGCTGGCTGGTAACGCTCGGCATCTGGAAGTCCAGCTGCTGGCTGATCAGTATGGCAACAACATCTCTCTTTTCGGCCGTGACTGCTCCGTTCAGCGCCGTCACCAGAAGATTATCGAAGAGGCGCCGGTCACCATCGCCAAACCTATCACTTTCCAGGCTATGGAGCGCGCCGCCGTCAGCTTGGGCAGGCTCGTCGGCTATGTCTCTGCCGGTACTGTCGAGTACTTGTACTCGCACGCCGACGACAAGTTCTACTTCCTCGAGCTGAACCCCCGTCTCCAGGTCGAGCACCCTACCACCGAGATGGTGTCTGGTGTCAACCTACCCGCTGCCCAGCTCCAGATTGCCATGGGCATTCCCCTGCACCGTATCCGCGATATTCGTCTCCTCTACGGCGTTGACCCCAACACCTCCTCCAACATTGACTTCGACTTCTCCAGCGAAGAGAGCTTCAAGGTCCAGCGCCGCCCGCAGCCTAAGGGCCACACCACCGCCTGCCGTATCACCTCTGAAGATCCCGGCGAGGGCTTCAAGCCGTCTAGCGGCACTATGCACGAGCTGAACTTCCGCAGTTCGTCCAATGTTTGGGGTTACTTCTCTGTCGGTACCGCCGGTGGTATCCATAGTTTCTCTGACAGTCAATTCGGTCACATTTTCGCCTACGGTGAGAATCGGTCTGCCTCGCGCAAGCACATGGTTGTCGCCTTGAAAGAGCTGAGCATTCGTGGTGACTTCCGCACAACCGTCGAGTACCTGATCAAGCTTCTGGAGACCCCTGCATTCGAGGAAAACACCATCACCACCGGATGGCTGGACCAGCTGATCTCTAACAAGCTGACAGCCGAGCGACCCGACCCGATTGTGGCGGTCATTTGCGGTGCCGTTACCAAGGCACACCTTGCCAGCGAGGCCGGCGTGGAAGAGTACCGTAAAGGTCTTGAGAAGGGCCAGGTTCCCTCGAAGGACGTTCTGAAGACCGTTTTCCCTGTGGATTTTATCTATGAAGGAGCTCGCTACAAGTTCACCGCAACCCGCGCCAGCTTGGACAGCTACCACCTGTTCATCAACGGTTCCAAGTGTTCGGTCGGTGTCCGTGCTCTGGCTGACGGTGGTCTACTGGTCCTTTTGAACGGCCGCAGCCACAACGTTTACTGGAAGGAAGAGCCCGCGGCTACTCGCCTGAGCGTGGATGGAAAGACTTGCCTGCTGGAGCAGGAGAATGATCCGACCCAGCTCCGCTCTCCCTCGCCTGGTAAGCTGGTCAAGTTCACTGTGGAAAATGGAGAGCATGTTCGCGCTGGCCAACCTTACGCGGAGGTCGAAGTCATGAAGATGTACATGCCCCTTATTGCCCAGGAGGATGGCATCGTTCAGCTCATCAAGCAGCCTGGTGCCACCCTGGAGGCCGGTGACATTCTCGGTATTCTTGCTCTGGATGATCCTTCGCGTGTCAAGCACGCCCACCCCTTCACTGGTCAGCTTCCAGATATCGGCCCGCCTCAGGTGGTCGGTAACAAGCCTCCTCAGCGCTTCTTCCTTCTGCACAGCATTCTGGAGAACATTCTTCGTGGATTTGATAACCAGGTGATCATGGGCAGCACTCTGAAACAGTTAGTGGAGGTGCTCCGCAACCCCGAGCTTCCCTACGGAGAGTGGAACGCCCAGTCTTCGGCACTGCACTCGCGCATACCCCAGAAGCTGGATACCCAGCTGCAGAACGTGGTCGACCGTGCCAAGATTCGCAAAGCCGAGTTTCCCGCCAAGCAGCTCCAGAAGACTATTGTCCGCTTCATTGAAGAACATGTGAACCCTGCCGACGCGGAGATCCTCAAGGCCACTCTTCTGCCTCTGGTGCAGGTCATCAACAAGTACCTGGATGGCCTCAAGACTAACGAATACAATGTCTTCATTGGCTTGCTGGAGCAGTACTACGACGTCGAGAAGCTGTTCTGCACGCGTAACGCCCGCGATGAGGACGTCATTCTGAAGCTCCGCGAGGAGAACAAGGACGACATCACCAGCGTTACCCACACCGTCCTTTCTCACAGCCGCATCGGATCGAAGAACAACCTCATCCTTGCCATCTTAGACATGTACCGTCCGAACCAGCCCAACGTTGGCGATGTTGGCAAGCATTTCAAGCACATTCTGCAGAAGCTGACGGAGCTGGACTCGCGCTCCGCCGCTAAAGTCACCCTCAAGGCCCGTGAGGTCCTCATCCAGTGTGCGCTGCCCTCCTTGGAGGAACGCCTGTCCCAGATGGAGCACATTCTGCGGTCGTCGGTCATCGAGTCCCGCTACGGTGAGACTGGCTGGGACCACCGTGAACCCGATTTCCAGGTTCTGAAGGAGGTCGTCGACTCCAAGTACACCGTCTTCGACGTTCTTCCACGTTTCTTCGTTCACCAGGATCCTTGGGTCACTCTCGCTGCCTTGGAGGTCTACGTGCGCCGTGCCTACCGTGCCTACAGCCTGAAGGGTATTGGCTACAGCGCGTCGGCTGAGCCACCTCTTTTGACCTGGGATTTCACTCTCAGCAGGGTGGGTCAGCCCGAGTTCGGCCCAGTATCGTCGACCCAGCCTTCGGCCCCTGGTACACCCACTACCGAATCAAGCCCCTACAAGCGCATCGGCTCGTTCAGTGATATGTCCAACCTCAATGACCCAGGCAGTGACCCTGTCCGGAAGGGTGTCATCATCCCTGTGCAGTACCTCGAGGATGCGGAAGAGTATCTTTCCAAGGCATTGGAGGCTTTCCCTCGCGCCGGCTCCAAGGCCAAACGCCCCAGTGACCATGGGCTGCTGGCCAACCTGGAGGGCAAGCGCCGTCCGGCTCCCAAGGTGGAGTCTGACAGCGAACTCACTGGAGTCCTCAACATCGCCATCCGTGATGTCGAGGACCAGGATGACTCGCAGATCGTTGCTCAAATGCAGAAGCTGCTGGCTGACACTAAAGAGGAGCTGCTCGCTCGCCGCATCCGCCGTGTTACCTTCATCTGTGGGCGCAACGGTTTCTATCCTGGCTACTTTACCTTCCGTGGCCCCAACTACGAGGAAGACGAGAGCATCCGCCACAATGAGCCTGCAACGGCCTTCCAACTGGAGCTGACCCGCCTGTCCAAGTTCAACATCAAGCCCGTTTTCACCGAGAACCGCAATCTTCACGTCTACGAGGCGATTGGAAAGGGCCCCGAGAATGACAAGGCCGTTGACAAGCGCTACTTCGTTCGTGCGGTGGTGCGCCCCGGTCGCCTGCGTGATGATATCCCTACTGCAGAGTACCTGATCTCGGAGGCCGATCGGTTGATGAACGACATTCTGGCTGCATTGGAGATTATCGGCAACAACAACTCCGATCTAAACCACATCTTCATTAACTTCTCGCCTGTGTTCAATCTGCAGCCCATCGATGTTGAGCAAGCGCTGGCTGGATTCCTTGACCGCTTCGGCCGCCGTCTGTGGCGTCTTCGCATCACCGGTGCTGAGATTCGCATCCTTTGCACTGACCCGTCCACGGGCATGCCCTACCCGCTGCGTGTGATCATCACCAACACCTATGGATTCATCATTCAGGTTGAGATGTACATCGAACGCAAGTCCGAGAAGGGCGAGTGGGTCTTCCAGAGCATCGGCGGCACCAACAAGCTCGGCTCCATGCACATGCGGCCCGTCACCACGCCCTACCCAACCAAGGAGTGGTTGCAGCCCAAGCGATACAAGGCTCACATCATGGGTACTCAGTACGTGTACGATTTCCCCGAGCTTTTCCGCCAGGCTTTCCAGAACAGCTGGACCAAAATCACCCAGAACATCCCGTCGCTTGCCGACAAGCGGCCTGCGGTTGGCGAGTGCATTGACTACAATGAGCTCGTCCTGGATGACACGGATAATCTGGTTGAGGTGTCCCGTGAGCCCGGTACCAACACCCACGGTATGGTTGGATGGCTCGTCACGGCCCGGACTCCCGAGTACCCCCGTGGCCGGCGGTTCATCATCGTTGCCAACGATATCACCTTCCAGACTGGTACCTTCGGTCCCCAGGAAGACAAATTCTTCCACAAGTGCACGGAACTGGCTCGAAAGCTTGGCATCCCGCGCATCTATTTGTCTGCCAACTCCGGTGCTCGCATTGGCCTTGCCGACGAACTGATCCCCTATTTCTCCGTTGCTTGGAACGACCCCGCGAAGCCAGAGGCTGGATTCAAGTACCTGTATCTCACCCCCGAGGTCAAGAAGCGCTTCGATGCCAGCAAGAAGAAGGAGGTCATCACCGAGCTCATCAATGAAAATGGCGAGGAGCGCCACAAGATCACTACTATCGTTGGTGCTCGCGAAGGCCTAGGTGTTGAGTGTCTGAAGGGATCTGGTCTGATTGCCGGCGCCACCTCCAAGGCTTACGAGGACATTTTCACCATTACTCTGGTGACTTGCCGCTCCGTCGGTATTGGTGCGTACCTCGTCCGTCTGGGCCAGAGAGCCATTCAGGTCGAAGGCCAGCCGATCATTTTGACCGGTGCCCCGGCTATCAACAAGCTTTTGGGTCGCGAGGTGTACACCTCCAACCTGCAGCTCGGTGGCACGCAGATCATGTACAAGAACGGTGTGTCGCATATGACCGCCAACGATGACTTCGAGGGTGTGCAGAAGATTGTCGAGTGGATGTCCTTCGTCCCGGACAAGAAGAACTCTCCGATCCCCATCCGCCCCTGGGCCGATGACTGGGACCGCGATGTGGCCTACTACCCCCCTGCCAAGCAGGCCTACGATGTGCGCTGGCTCATTAACGGCAAGGAAGATGTCGATGGATTCCTTCCGGGTCTGTTCGACCGAAACTCCTTCGAGGAGGCTCTCGGCGGCTGGGCCCGGACTGTGGTTGTTGGTCGCGCCCGCCTCGGCGGTATCCCCATCGGTGTGATTGCTGTCGAGACCCGCTCAGTGGAGAACGTCACTCCGGCCGACCCTGCCAACCCCGATTCCATGGAGATGATCACCACCGAGGCCGGTGGCGTCTGGTACCCCAACTCGGCGTACAAGACCGCTCAGGCTCTGCGCGACTTCAACAACGGAGAGCAGCTTCCTGTTATGGTCCTCGCCAACTGGAGAGGTTTCTCTGGTGGACAGCGCGACATGTACAACGAGGTGCTCAAGTACGGTTCCTATATTGTCGACGCGCTGGTCAAATACGAACAGCCCATCTTCGTTTACATCCCTCCGTTCGGCGAGCTCCGTGGTGGATCATGGGTAAGTTCTTCTCAACATTTTCTATATTTTATTTTACTAACTTTACTCCACAGGTCGTTATCGATCCCTCCATCAACCCAGACCAGATGGAAATGTACGCCGACGAAGACGCCCGCGGTGGTGTCCTCGAGCCCGAGGGTATCGTGGGTCTCAAGTACCGTCGCGACAAGCAGCTCGACACGATGGCCCGTCTGGACGCTACCTACGGCGAGTTGCGCCGGTCCCTGGAGGACTCATCTCTCAGCAAGGAGCAGCTGTCAGCCATCAAGACCAAGATGGCCCAACGCGAAGAGCAGCTTCTACCGGTGTATCTCCAGATTGCACTCCAGTTCGCCGACCTGCACGACCGCGCCGGCCGCATGCAGGCCAAGAACACGATCCGCAAGCCCCTCCGCTGGCAAAACGCCCGCCGCTTCTTCTACTGGCGTCTCCGCCGCCGCCTGAGCGAGGAGCTCATCGTCAAGCGCATGGTGGGAGCATCGTCCTCGCCCGTCGCTACCCGCAACGGTGCTTCCGGCGCTATTCCCTCTTCCGGTAGCAGCGCCCAACCCGGACCCCAGGACTCGTCCTCCGCTCGCGCCACCCATCTGCGCACCTTGCACGCCTGGACTGGTCTGCTCGATAAGGAGCTCGAGCATGACGACCAAAAGGTCGCTCTGTGGTACGAGGAAAACAAGAAGCTCGTCCAGACGAAGGTTGAGGCTCTGCGCAACGAGGGCGTCGCCTCTGATGTGGCGCAGCTGTTGATCGGGAACAAGGAGGGCGGTCTACGTGGTGTGCAGCAGGTGCTGAGCATGTTGCCTGTTGAGGAGCGCGAGGCTGTTCTGAAGTACCTCGGCTCTGGGTAGAGGATGGATGAGATGGAGGAGCATACCTCTACTCTCTTCTCTTCTCTTTTCTTTTTTTTTTTCCTTTATTCATCTCTGTCTTATGAATTATGTTGTTTGTCTCATCCAGAGTGCGTGGTGTTTTTGAGTTTCCCCCCCCCCCCCCCCCTAATTGTGTCTGTTTGGGAATGAGTATTATATATTTTTCCTCTAAGAGTTATTAATAATAACAAATTGGTTTAAGAATGCACTGCCATGCGTTAGTAGCTAACAGTATATTGGTAGGCGAAGATAGCTTCTTGCGCCGTCCTAGTATTTCGGAGGAAATTAGATATAGGCTAATTCCGACAAGACTGCATACAGACGTGTTGGATTCGCTAATTACGTTAAGACTGCAGAGTAACCCACCACCGGGATTTTTTGGCTAATCTGACTTTCTTTAAGCCTGTTTGGAAACGTCGGAATCGTAAGGATCCGGAGAAGGGATTGAATGATTCTTGCCAGTCGGTTTGGCCTTGAAAATTGGTTTCCCTTCACTCTCATGTGATCAAAATACCTTGAGGAAGGGCAGTACAATTGGGAAGCAGCACAAATAGCTATGGTCTTCTCTTTAAAAGGCGGGCATTTCTTCATGATCCATTGTCCGGATCATGCGAACTGGTGCAGGAAACGAAGCGTGTCCGCAATCTACTTGGAAAAAATCATGGTTCCGGCCTAAGTTGGCAATCGCAGCAGCAGAGAGCAGACGAGGCTGTAGGAATCAAAATGCGGCAGCGCATGCAGGGATACATTTCGCTTGGAGACATTCAGGTCGCTCGGTGGCAAGCGGCCAAATCGGCTGTTGACTAGTTCTAGGAAGACGTGCATCACGGCCGCAGCCAATACGAGATCGGTGTGTTAACATCATCCCATTTCCTTCGCAGTTGATTCCCGTCGTGTCCCAGTGGTGACGGTCAAAGCCCCGCTCGCCCAGTCAATTATCATGGCCGGTGGCTTTTCAGGAGGGACGATTCCGCCCTCAGTCCAGACGGCAAAACAGGCCGTCTGGTCCGATGCCCGGCGCCACTGGCTTCAACACGAGGAGTTCATAGCACTACCGTCGCAGCTTGGGCCGCTTTAGCACCTTGCAAACATCGGTAGATGCATCGCTTGTCCGCCACAGTAGGAATTAACTAATGAAAAGTGGCTGAATACGAGGGTCTATCTTGGCAAGTCCTGTCAGCGCAGCACGAGTAATTATTTCTTCAAGAAGTATGGAATTCCACGGTTATATAAACGAAGCTTGCACCCCATATTGCCTCATTTTTCAATATTTTAAATCATTTGTTCAAGACAAACTCGAAGTTAGAGGTTCAAACCATGTACATTCGTTGGTCTTTTGTTGTCCTCCTAGGCGGCCGCCTGACTAGTGCCGTTCAACTCGCCAATCCTAGAGCTCCCCTCACGACCACAGGCCCTCTTATACCTAGACAAGAATATTCGTGTCCAGCGGGCGACATATACTGCACCGTAGGAGGCGGATGCTGCCCTTCTAACGCGCCCTGCACATTCGTTATGGGTCAGCCTAAATGCGATGAGCCGTGTTTCGGCCCGGATTGCGGAAATGGTATTTGCTGCCAACTCGGATATGCCTGTCCCACGGATGGCGGTAGCTTCTGTATCGATAACGGCTTTTTTCCCGGACCGACTTTCCTACCAGGGTCTTCTTCTAATCCTGATGGACCAGTCGCTACACCCGCGCCCACATCGGTCACGCCCGAACCTTCTAGCGAAGGTAGTGGTTCTATTGCATCTTCAGACCAAGCACACAGACCAACAGGGGTAGCACCGACGGAATCGACCGCGGCAAGTTCGTCCTCCATCGGGGTGGCGCCGACGGAGTCTTTCCCAGCAAGTTCATCTTCCATCAGCGTGCCGCCAACGTCCTCGTTCCCGACAAGTTCATCCTCCGTCGGGGCGGCTGTCCCGACACGTCATCATGAAGCGGCCAGCTTGGTATCGCCAGGAAAGGACTCGTGGATAGCATTGCTTTTGGTGTGGGTTATGGGACTTCCCTTCATCGCATAAGTCCAATGAAGAGAGCAATTATGGCTACGGGAGACATCAAATAATAACCTCACTTATTCACATTGTCGCAGCGAGTGGCTGAAGAGATAATCACCTGTGCAGTGTAATTCACTCTTTAGGTAATGAGATACTATCTTTTTTTGCAAAGATTATTGTAGCCCTTGCTATCGCCTGCAAGGTGAGTCCGGCCAAACTTCGCAGACTATGAGAAATGCCCTACCATCGATCAGCAGCTCAGGGCCAGCTCCGAGTGCTTGTCTAATTTCTCCTCGGCTTTCTCAAATGAATATAACTCCCATATGTACGAGATCCAAAGCTGATCAAGTCAACCCAAGGTTTGACTCCGGAGCTTCTGCTTCTTGTTGGCGTGGCATCAATCTCCCACTGCGGTCAGAACGTCGCAACTGAACATTACCTTCTCTGCTTGCTTCTCCATTATGCTAACAATCACGTAGTGATCATCCCAAAGACTCTCCAGTCCATGAAAAACGGTACCAGAGCAGATGAATTCCATAGGGGCAGATTACGTCTTCTGCTCACAATTATAGTGGCCCATGAAAAAGCAGTTCCAATGAAAACCAGTAAAGCTGGATGAATGATTCAGGGCCATTGCACGCTCACAAAGACTGTAGTTGTATGGACTATGCCATTAAAACGCTAAAACTGCACGAAGCACTACCTCATTTATGTTTGAATTATTTGAGTTACACGAAAGACTCAGCACCGCGAATATCACCAATCGTTAGAACAGTCTTTCCAATATTGCCCCCACTCTCTACAGACCGGTGGGCTTCACGAAGACCATGATGTGTCAACCCAAGTCGATGCGTCAGGTGACAACGAATTTTTCCAGAATCCAACAGCCGGCTCAACTCTTCCAGGATTCGATGGTGAGACTCGATGTCCGTGCCATATACAGGTCTGGTACCAATCAGGCACCATATGAATGACAACGACTTTGCCATAAACTCTGTGCCGTACATTTTGGCCTGGCCTTGTACAATAGAGCATACCTTACCGAATGGCGCACAAATCTTTGCACACACGCCCATATATTTGTCGGTAGAATGCGTGATGAATATGTACCTAAAGTTATGTAAGTCACCGATACAATCAAGTGGGAAGTAAACGCTCACTTCAAAGGAACATTGAGGTTGAGATTCTGAATTTGTTTCTCCAAATCATCCCTATGATTGAGAACGTGTGTTGCTCCCATTTTTTTCGTGAAGTCAACGCTCTCCGGGCGTGAAGCGGTCGTAATCACGACTGGCAATTCAAGGAGCTGGCGGGCTATTTGACTAGCCACGGCCCCGACACCACCGGCTCCGTTGATAATAAGTACTGCCGCTTTCTCCTTGTTTTCGATCTTCATTTGTTCAATGAGTGCCTGATATGCTGTGATATACGTAAGCGGCATGGCAGCAGCCCCAGCCATATCCAAGCCATTTGGCTTATGTCCCACAGAGCGCTCATCCACCAATTGAAATTCTGCGTTGGATCCGTGTCTGACTGGACTACCGGAGTAAAAGACTTCATCTCCCTCATTGAAGAGCGAACAAGCAGGGCCTTTTTTCGTTACGATTCCCGCACCATCAAAGCCACAAATTTGGTATGGACGGGGAGCGCGAGCGTAATAGTCTAAAAATCGTTATCGTTAACATGAGATGTTATGACCAAACATAACTAGAATACATACCTGGATAATCATCGTAAGTGCCAGCGCGGACCTTCATATCGATAGGATTCACAGAGCACGCCTCTACCCTTGTTATATATCAGAATAATTCAGATAGATTGCAGCATCAGCCAGTATACATACCTTACCAACAAATCGCGACCCTCAGGTTCTCCTGGATCGGGAACATTTCGAGCTTCTAGACTCTCGATTGGTCCGTATTTTTCAACAACGATGGCCTTCATAGCGAGCGTGGAAGAGTTTCCGTATGAAGCAGCACTTATAGTCAAATTATAATGAAGACTTCAGCGTGTCTTTGGAATGAACTATATCACGCATTTACGGGTAGAAGTCCACAATCTTAATAGGGACTTGCTGCTGTTAATTTCATCATCATGCGTTGAGATAAACGTCATGAATGATACACTGTTATGATGTAAAAGACTCAATCACAGAAATTGACTTTGGTTAATATTGCGCTTGGAATAGTGTCTTCATTGTATTCTTGCAACCATTTTTCAAAACTAGCGAACAAGCTATGTGGCATAGCAAGTCTCGTCAGTCCTGCACACTCGAACATGGTCGCTCGTAACGTTACGTAATTATAGGTCGAGACCCATTCTGATGTTCATAGTAATCATCATGCCGGTTGCCGATGCAGTCAACCCGACCGACCGACTAAATGTCTGTTATTGATTATAATCGCTCTTTGGCTATGAGTGGACACTAGATGTAGTCGGCCAATAGATATAGCTATATCTCGCACCCTCACACCGGAAATCATCACACACATGACTTTGCCTATTAAACAAGTATTCCTGTAGGCTGTTAGTTGTTGGGATGTGTTAAAAACACACCCCTACTATACGCTAGCCTTTTATTTTAATTTAGCGTGTTAATAATTACTATCATGATACATGCTCAGGTCCCGATCAGAGGTCGGTCGCTCAGAGTGCTCAGAGTGCTCAGGGAGCGACTGACCCCAAGATCCCAGAGCGGATCGCTACCCGAGGGGGCAGGTTTACCATCACCAATATTACATCTTCAGTGCTAAAATGATACTAGCTACATATCTAAGAACCTTTGCGGAGGCTTCATACGGCACAAATGAAATACGATCTCATGGAGACGTCCAAGTTTTGAGTTTCTTTCCTTCTATTAACCGCCCCCTATTATGTAGTTTCTCACTGGAATACTCATTCCATCATCATCTTCTTCTTTTCTATTCCTATTCTTGGAACTCAACGAAAACAAACTGCTCTTCCGGACTGTGATCCCAATTGGAAAGTTGCAGCTTACGATCATCATTGACAAGCAAAAAGTAACCAGATTCCTTCTCAACGAGCTCATATGCCTTATCACCAACAGCCTCCGGCTTGTAAAGATGAGGATCATCGGTCAGAGAGCAATTGGTTCCCTCATCAGTACCACAGTTGATATAGGTTCCAGAAAGGGCTTGGATTGCAAAGTATTCTGGGAACTCATTGCTCGCGGTGATGTTCCAGAGCTGGGTGAACTCACGGGTGTCCACTTCGAAAACGATCGGATTAGAGTCCTCGTCCTCATTCTGGGTAAGGACCATAGATGGGCTGAGGGAGGCGGAGCCGATTTGGTAGATTCCCTCGTCGAGACTGAAGGCTGACTGGCAGAGAGCTGCAAGGAGACCGACAGCAAGGAAAGTCTTCATCTTGAACGAAGAAACGTAAATTTGAAAAGGGAATGTACGACAAGGGGGAGATTTCGTGGAGGTTGGTTCTTGCAGAACTTGATTGAGATCGAAGTGGTAGGGCGATAGATTTCTCTAGAATTTATAGGCTTTTTTTGCCTGTGGACGAGGTAAACATGACAATGGTTTTAAATCTCGCGGTCGATCATCCTCTAACTATTAATATGCACATGTGTGATATTGTATGCAATGCGAGGAGTATGTATTGCTAGTAGCGGATCCCTAAGTAAGACACCCAATAACAACTCAATCCACATATCCCATAAATGACCCATAGATTGATTTCAAAGTAAGACGTGTCTTCAATAGTGCGTGTTGTTGCATTTGGGTAAATCAGCAATGATCGAGACTAGAAACGATCTACAAACCCAAGTACAAGGACCAAAACAACTGTAGATTATGCATTGAAGATCCATTCGAGGGACAACAGATCTCCTTGAACACTGGGCTATTCCAATCTTATCCAATAATATTGAGAGGCAATCTGAGAAATGGTGTGTCTCTGGTCAAAATCTCTAGAACTAATGCCAGAGGCCGAAAGCGTATGCGTCTTCTCACTTTAGTAACCAACTCCATCAAACAACAGTTTAGCGTTTAAGTCTTTCATTTCTCAGTCCACGCTCGGTTCTCCTAGTTGACATCGGAAGTCATACTGCTAGTAACCCCCGGCTTCTTCCGCCGCAGGCTCGCAACTTAGTCTTCTATTGCGATGTATTACTGTGTATTTGGTTCCTTTGTAAATCTCAGTTTCAGCCTTTTTATTCTCGAGGTTGTTTATTTGTGGCTAGACTGGTATTCATAATATTAAACTCGTCCTACGTCTTGGAAAAGATATAAACAATCATAACTCGTTGACTGGCATTCAACACATGTCTACTTCAAGGGACAAACCTCACGACTCGTAAAAACATAAGCCCGGCCCTGACCCTCCTCGTGCATCTCAGCCTCACCTTCCAACGCAGGAGGATTCGAATTCGGATCGGCCTTGGGGATTCCATAAACCACCTCCTTCTCAGCAACATCCTCATCTCCATCAGGAGGATGGCATGCCGCGCTGAAATTCAAACTGCACGAGTTCAGAGACGGGACACCCGTCCTCGAGCGAGGCAGGACGATAGCGACGACAATAAGGCCCACAACCAGAACAACACCGAGAATAAATGCGATCAGGATGCCGATGGCGCTGTAGCCTCCCATTATTCTCCCTGAAGTACTGGGGATTATGGAGCCGCTAGGGCTGTAGATATCGCTGCGCACGAGGAAGAAAGAGCGACTGAGCGCCCAGTGCAGGAATGCGGATAGAATGAGGAAGGGGATGCTGTAGTGGAAAGGTAGATGGAGGTAGTATGTTGAGTGTTGATGCGTTCCTTTCACTGGTGATGAGACGCGAAGACCAGCGCGCTGGATGGCGAACTTGGAGACTTCAGCAGCGGCTACAATTAGGATGAGGAGGTATTTGTAGATGAAGAGATCAACGCTAAGGAGCAGTTGGGGCAGGTTAATGAGCAGGAGACTGCCTAGTACGGAGCTGGATGTCGCCATGTTGATGTGGAAGCGTGTTAGGCCCGTGTCAAGGCCATTGGAAGGAAACCAATGCGTAGCTGTCCAGTATTCAACCGGGTACCAGCCATTTGGGCTTTGGGATGGTGCCTTTAGCGATTTGACAAGAAATACAAGGCCGACCACTAGTGAGCTTAGGAAACTGTGCAGACTGTCAGCAAGTCACAAATCAAAAGAAGTAATAGATTAAAACCCACAGAAGCCCTGCAAAAAACCAATGGCCTTTTGTCTCCTGCTCCGTTGTCTTCGGCTTCCCGGGGGTGGGAGCCGCAGCATCAGGCTGCTGTAAGAACGAGGCAATGGCATCGCCGACCAGTACCAGTGGCTTGAAGCTCGACATCCATGACAGAATCACCACCAAACAGGCTAATTGAATGACGTTGAGAATGACCACAATAGTCAGGAGAGGGCCTGCAATGCGCGCAGAGCACGGCGCCATCCGTTTCTCCGCAAGGCAGTATTTAACAGAAGCGCTGTCAGGCTGGCTCTTGCCAAACCCATAATACATACTCTCTAGCCTCCACTCGGACGAATACTTCAAAGCCTCTGAGAAGCTACAAGTCTCGTCCATGAAGTCGCCACATAGCCAACTCAGATCGCTGTCGCCCCCCAAACGATGAGGTGCGGGAAAGTATTCCAGCGCCAGGATGACACTGCTGTTCGGAATGCCAGAGCCTACTCCTGGTCCCACTGCGAAGCCCGGTTTTGCGTCGGTTACCAGCAGCACGTTTCCCCAGGTCGACTGGTAGAATCCACTGCCGTACGCCTGGACGCAGTCGTGGTTGGAGAGATTGGTTAGTTTATCGACATTGTGCTGCATCCACTGCACAGTCTCTCCCCATTTGGCATCCGGGGCCGGCTTTTCTGCCCAGCCGAAGCTGAGCGCATTCAGATCACTGTAGGCGCCGTAGGTCGGGGGTAGAAACTCGGGCGTGACGGCTGTCACTGTGTAGGCATTGGAAGCGGAGTTTAGGAAGATTACCGAGTTGTACCTTGATGAAATGATCAGGCTTTTTCATGTTAGAAAAGAGCATTTTCACTCACATCCAGTGTAAAGGTAAACTGGTCAACACCAGCAGGGCAATCAATCCACAACGTAACGGGGAAGCGGCCAAGAAATTATTCCAACTCATCGGAGCTCCGACATGGAGCCAGGATCCAATCCCATGGGCCCAGTCTACTTCTGCTCGTGTTGGAGAGAGCAGAATCTGGGCGGCATTGAGGCTGACGGCCAGCAATACCGTGCTGAGAAGGTTGATGACCAACTACATACAAGCAAGTTAGGCTAAATTGCCAATAAGCCGTTCGGGGGTACCTGCCGTGGACCAGCTGACAATGTTCTGGGATTTTTCACAGGATCCTAGCGGAACAGTTAAAATCTCCATTCTATTTGAGACGGCGCAAAGTCATATAGATACCTGTGAAAATGGCCTCATTCGCACTATACTCCCCAGCCGTTGACGCGGACCAAGCGAGGATAATGATATTCAATACCAGCACTGAAGCTACTGCGGCCGCGCCAAGCAGGAGCGTGCGCCTCCATTTCGGTGGCCGTTCTGAGGCGGTTGTTTTCTCAGTCGGTCTTGGCTCGGTCATATTGGCGGATAACGCGAAAATCAAGATGACAAGAGATTGTCAGAATAAATATACTTAAACATCAAAGGGGGACCAAAAAGTGTTTATATTGTTAAGGGGAAGTTAGCCTCAGCCTTGTTGATAGCCGGCTGATGGGGGGCCAAGATTATAAATAGCTTGTTTTTCCGATCTATTTCCCAACGAGGAAGTAACATTTGACATGGGGTTGCGCTAGGGTCACACTTTGGGCTGTGGCCCCAACAAGACTCTGGGGGGAAATTCAACATAACAAAAGCTAGATGAGGCGGGCCAGACGTACTGTGTAAGTTGAAAACGAAGGCTTCTTTTGGTGCAGTGGAGGCCTGTCGCGGTACTTGATGGCTGTGAACAGGCCCCTGATCAACAGAGCGCACGCGACCCTTCATCGCACGCTTCGAACGGGATCCAGGCCATCCCCGCCAGGCCAGCCGTTTTGAAAGCCTTTGCATATTCCAATGGAGCTTTCATCACAATGCCAGACAAATTTGTGCCAGAGACACTACCAGGTCTTTGACAACGACTGGGCAGTGCCGCAGAAGTTGTACCGTACCGTGTTGCAACTTGCCCTATCCGATCGGGGTGCATTGGAAATCGATGTATAGATTGTGCCAGCAAATTCCAAACACAAACGCCTCTCTTGTCATAAAGCAACGCCCACCAAAGAAGTACAAAACTTATAAAGCAGCGGGTTGGGCCATATCAGGACGTACACCAACGTTATTTGCTCGACTTGAAATCCGCAATCCGTCGATTTGGCCCACCACTTCCCCGCGTTTTTCTACCAATTTCCCCACGAGTATGGCTAGAGAACACAATTAGAGTTGAGCGGATGTTGTCTTGCAGTATGATCACGTTTTCATCGCCGGAAAGAAGTGCTAGACCCTCGACAGGATAAGCTTAGGCCTGAGCGAGACGACCAGAAGAGGTGCCCAAGGGGTGGCCCGTTATGCGAGTTGGGGGTTTGTTCGTGTGATGTACAAACCTACAATAGCCAACTATTTATTCGGACACAGACAGCGAGATTATTCGAAATATTACCTAAAATTGCGTGAATAAAGTAGAAGACAGATAAATCAATAACAAATCCTGCCACGCCAAATTTCCGGGTATATGTATATTTATATGTATCACATCGCATCGCAATCAAATCAATCATGATCCACGCAAGTCATATCATTTCATATCAAATCGAAACCAATTGCAAAATAACTGGAAAACAAACAACAGACACTCATATTCGTAACAAAATCTCTCTCAGCAAGACTAGCTTAGCCTAAGCAAGCTGTCGTTCAATATTCCTCGGCCCAGTAAGCAACGGCGGCATAGGCACGGGACGACGATACACGGGGCCGTGCGGACTCGGTGGAGCTGGTGCTGGGGGAGGTGGAGGGCCAGCATAACTTAAGCCCGGGTGGTGGTGTGGCGGAGGAGGCATGGGATGGCCTTGGGCCGGGTGATGAGACAGAGCCAGTCGACCAAACTCATCGGGTAGATGCTGGGCTTGGTAGCGGGCGTGCTGCTGGTGCTGAGCTGCCGACAATGGCGGCTGGGAGCCGGCGATCGCGGTAGAGCGGATGGGAGCGCCGGGGAGAGAGATAGCCGAGGCATTTAGCGTGCGTACGATGTCGTCGAAAGTCACCTCCATCGGCGTGATGTAGGTGGTGTTGCTCTTTTCGGACCAAGCGAGGACGTGGCCGCAGACTCGGCCGGTGGACCTGTCGAAGACCCATGCGCCGGAGTCGCCGGGGGCTGGTGGGTAGATAGTATGTTAGCATTTCCATTTACTCGATACGAGCGAGCGATGAATTTATCAGATGTTTTGCAGGTGAGTGTGTTTGCTTTAAGGGGTTATCACGTTAAAGGAAGGGAGGACACGACGGGGATTCAATCATGACAGCAGAGAGAAGAACACAAAAAGGGCATCTAATTAAGAATCCAGGAGACATGGACATGTGCCCGTCTCAATGTGCCGCTTACCTCCAAAGTTGCCATTGACGCAAAAGCTCGTCGAGAAGGAGTGTCGGCCATGCAATTTGACCAGGGTCATCGCCTTTGATATCTTGCCCGTCTGTAGCCCACTGGTCCGTCCGCAGCAGTGAACGTACAGGCCGCCTAGATCCTCCATGCGGGCTACTTGGTTGAGAAATATCGGCTGAGAATGCGTCATCAAGCCTAAACGGTTGTCGAGGATGATGTTGCGGGGGTCCATGCGTGCATCGTCGACTTTGATAAGAGCCCAGTCGATCTCATGCTTGAGGCCTTTCCGCGTCCAGCGTCGAACGCCAGAGGAAGCGTGTACATAGCCCAACGAATGGGATGCGAGATGCTCATCGTCCCGGTCTTCGATCGATGGGAAGAAGTCTTCGTGCACGTCGTCAATGGCGGGTTGTGTGACAAGAAGTCGAGGTTCTTCGCCGGGTTCAATGCCGGCCGTGTCGCCAATCGACGCTGTGTCATCATCGTCGTTGTCCTCACCTTCGACCGACTCTTCATCTGATGAATCCTCGTCCGAAAGCCAGAACTCGTCATAGCTGGCATCAAGACTTTGCGACAAAGACGCGTCGTCATCGTCTTCATAGTCCGAGATTTCAAGGTCCAGCTTCGTTTCCGGTGGGTCGTCTTCAACATAAGTGTGTATAAAATCCGGATGTGAAATATCAGAGGGATCGCGGGGCCAGTTACCAGCTGATCGAGATGGATCGTCGGCGCAATTATCGCTCTCATCGTCACTGGGGGCCTCGAGCATATGATGGACCGTCAGGCCGTACGGTAGGCCATCTACAAGGACAGCACCGCCGTAAGAGACCGGGGGCAGGTGTTCCTCATTCTGAAAGGCGCCGATCGATGCACCACAGAGAGCCCGTTGCTGGTAGCATGGATTGAGTTCTCGTTGACGAAAGGGGGTTTCGTTCGACCCATTGGGGCGGGACTTGGCCGGCCTCCGGCGCTTCTTGGGGACTTTGGATCGTTCAATGTCACCCCGGAGAACGATCAAGTCCCAATCATCCCGTCCCAGAGGGAAATGTTTCTTCAACGCAGACCGGACTTTCTTCACACTGGCGCAAGTTACGCAAACCGTTGTTCGGGCAGTCTCGGGGGACTCGCCAGTCATCATAAGGGTCGCGCCACACGATTCACTAGACTCCTTCAAGATCTTCTGTAGAAGCCGGCTCAATCGGGGCATCATTTGGAAGTTCCATTCCTGGAGATGGTCGTCGGGGATGTCGAGGTCTGGGAGTCGCTTGACGGTTCGCTTCTTCTTGAGCGCGTCGGCCGGAGTCTTCTCGACCGCAACCGGGCTACTCCAATCATCTGCGGGGATAGTGGGAAGCTGCTTGTCCAAATGCGCTGAAGGTTGGTACAGGCTCGTTTTCTCGAGCACAGCAGGCTCGGGAGTCGGAACGAGCGCAAGCGGGAGATAGTCATTCAATTCCTCGGGGCGAGGCGCCGAGAAGATATCAATCTGGGAGCATGACCACATGATCTTGCAGATAGTATAGAGGAAATTCATCGAGAAGGCAAATGTCCCGTCGGGCTCGGACAAGTCGAGAACTGGGTAGTGATATATTTGAGGGATTCGGAGTTGGAGATCGCTCATGCCTTGGGTGGAAAGATGAAAGTTGGGCGCATCAAGACACAGCTGAACAGCCTGGAGATAGGCGCTGCCGCACTTGGGGCCAAGCTTCTTGACATAGAGGTCCTCAACACGGTGTTTGAACCAAGAGCGATCGTACTTCATCTTCCAAAGGCGGCCAATGGGCGCCCACAGTCCAATTTCCAACAGAACCAAGCCGAGGGAATAGAGATCATAGGCCCAAGCGCCATCATCTTCCAGCGACCTCTTGTCCTCGGGATGGCGATACATAGCCGAAGCCAGAGGCTCGGGGGTCGGTCCATCACCAGAGAAGCGCGCCGGAGTGGTGAGGTATGGTCGACGAAGATCAGGGGCGAGACCACTCTCGTCGTTGTTGGCATCAATGCGGCCAGGGAAGAAGATCACATTGCTGCTGTTGATGTTTCCATGCACGGCGTTCTGGCTTCTCATATGCAGAGCTGACATCAAGAGATCATACGCCAGACGGAATCGAGTCTCCAGGTTAGGTACTCGCTTCTCTCGATAATCCTCTGCAGACGGCAGAAGCGCCACGAGGGGCTTGGGTTTCAGCTCCTTCAGCAAATCGCTTGGATTTTGAAGAAATGGGAAATAGTCGACAGGCATCTGATAGAGAAACGCATAGCGAGCGTTGGGCCAGTCAATGGTGTACCCCAAAAACCGCAACAGTCCCAAGTGGGCCACGCGAGCATTCTGCAGCAGCTGTTCCACGGACTGCTGCAGCTTTTCTATCCGGGAACCCTTGGTGTCCGTCTGGTTTTCCATCATGGGCATGAACTCAACCAACACGGAAACATGCGATTCTTTGCTGAATTGAAGAGACGGCACTGCCGAAGCCTTCAGGCGACCAATGGCACGCGAATTCGATGATGCGGCAACGGCCTCATATGGCGGGGGACTGGGGTCCTGCGTGGCACCGAAGAGTTGTAATGCAGATTGATCAATGACGAGATCCTTAAACGGCACGAACGGGTTGGTGGCATCGCGCAGAGGGGCTGATGTAGGGGGATATGTGTACGGATCGAGCGTCTGTGCGGGTTTCTCCTTTAATTCAGAGAACGAGCCGTGCGAAGAAGCGTAAGGCGAGGCCGGGTTCCGCGTCCGACGCGCGGCAGCGCTCACGCGACTTGAGGACATACTCGAGGCCATTGTGCGGCGTGAGCGAGAAAGGTCATAGAGGGTATCAATGCAGCCCGTCAGGTCGTTCAGGATCGTCTTCGAGCGGCTGATATCGTCATCGGTCCACTGGGTTTTGAGGGGCAGGCTGCTGAGAGCATCTTTGGAGTCGACCTTGCGTTCCTTCGAGGGCAAGATAGCCGGCGCTGTTTCGATGTGTTGCACTCGTTCTGCCTCATTGAGCAGATCCTGGATAGAAGACATGACGCTCTCCACAACATCGCTGAAGCCCGCAGCTGTCAGCGACTCGTCGATGTCATTCGGTTGGGCGGCGCTGGCGTCGCTCCAGTCCAGGCCCCAGGCCAGCAGTCGGTCTCTTTGTTTCTGGAAACTCTGGTGTAAGGCCACGAGCTCTGGGTCGTCGAGGGCTTTGGAGGCAGTGGTGACGCTCTCGCAGGAGGTCTTGGTATCGGTGTACAGCTTGGTGAGGCGCCGCTGGAGGAAACCGCCTCCTCCTCCATGGCGGAGGACGGACATGATGGTGGGCGGCGTGGAAAGGATTGTAATTCGAGCAGGGAGTGAATATCAAGAAGAATCAGCAACCCATTGTGGGAGATGAAGAATGGTGAAGTCAAGTAGAACAGGCGCCGAGCAGATGTGGGTGCCTGATGGCGATAACGGATACTCTAACGCTGTTGCCTAACCAATCACAGCAGATATGGTGGGCCACCGAGTGGGTCACGTGGCAGGCAGCCGCAATCTGGGCTTAGGTAATGGTGGACACCGCCTCAGGCATTCATTAACGTTTATGTTATGCGAGACTGTACATGGACAATAATGTCTGAAGGGGGGAATACAGAAATAAGGAAATGCAACGAATATGCGCTTCTATCCCTTCCGTCACTCTGTGATCACCCGCCGCGATACACCCACATCCCGCGCCCGCTTTTCGCTGAAGTTGTGCAGGCGCTCCCCGATCAGGTAGACATCGTCGCGGATGTCGATGCGCCAGAGCGCCACTTGTCGCCGAACCAGATGCACAGTCCACAGAGCTAGAACCACGAACAGCGTGGCTGGGTACGCGTACCGGTAGATGTCCGGCTGTAGCTTAGGGCGGGAGGCGAACACGGCCCACCGCACGCAGAAGCCCACCGATAGAGGCAGGGCCGTTGCCACCGCAGTGAAGAGGGCGACTGGGAGGACCAGAGTGCGGGTGGCCAAGGTGACATTTGGTCGGAGCCAACCGTCATGGAAAATGCCGTTGAGGATAGCGGCCGCCCAGGAGTGAGGGTGCCATAGGGTCAGCTTGATGGCCATTTGGACGTAAAGCACGCCGAGGGTCCAGTCTTGGACGAGGTGGACGACATGGGATTGTCCACCGTCGAAGAATGTGTGCATCGGGATGAGAAGATACAGCTCGCCGAGGAGCGCAAATAGAGAGGGGAGGAGAACGACAAACACGGCTGCGATGTAAAGGAGCCGTGCGGCATCGGTCGTCAGAGCGGCAAGGCCCTGCCCAACCTGCCGAGGGTTGTGAAGTAATGTCGGCGCCTGGTCACGGAGCAGGCCAAGGACGGTGCGACAGTGGAAGGCCATGTAGGCAAATCCTCCCACCACACACAGGCCGCAGGAGAAGGCATACACGTCGTTCACGGGTACCGAGTCCGACACGCAGTACGAGATGATCTTGCGGCCAATGACCAACGGAACAATGGTGATGCCTACCCCGGTGGTGGCGGCAAACAGCCAGATCAAAAGGATAAAGGCAGCAACGCGAGTGCGGAAGAACGGCGGAATGTAGACTCGGGTGAACGAGTTGCTGGACCGGCCATGAAGCCCATCGTCCGAGTCTGGCTTGCCATCGATCCGTTCATTCTCTTCGGTCACATCCACGAACACCCGGTTCCCCTTGGGAATACGGACCTGATCGGAAGCAGGAGCACGAACATATCTGCCATCCCGCACAAAGTACACGTCGCGATTTTCCTGTTCCGCCACCGCTCGCTGATCCTCGGTGATGATGGGATGTTCCCAGTCGCCCTTGCGTCCTACCAACACACCCCACCATGACCGCCGGACATGATGGCCTTCTTCTTCCAGGTGTCTCTCGAGGAAGAAGAAATTGCTGAGGCGCAGAAAATGGGCGCACTTGTGGAACCACCAATCGTACAGATCGTGCAGCCCGTCGGACGGCTTGAGGGACCGAATTGCTAGTGGCAGGACGAAATTGTAGAACAGGAGATCGACCGGGAATTCAAGCATCGGAGCGCTAGAAGACCAGTTGAGGGGAAGAACGCCGTCCACAGTAAAATAGAGGCCCCACACAACCCCGCCGAGGAAGACGATCACCAAAGCACCGTAAACTAAGGCACTAAACGCAATCTTGCGGAGTTGAGTAGTAATGGTGCGCTCGAGGACATCGCGAATGGGATGGAATGTTGGATCATCCGGATCACGAATGAAATCTGTGGCCGAAACTGTCAGCGCAGCTTTGAGAATATTGGGTCATATACTTACAGAGAACACCGCTTCGCAGAATCTTTCGGCACATGGACACAAATAGCGCGAAGTGGAACATGTAGCAAGTTCCAATGAACCAGTGCACGAAAAGAGAGGTGAGCGGCGACCGGGCTGTAAAGGCGATACGGGATGTGATTGTGGCATTGGAGAAAAGGGGCAGCAGAGCAACATCCAGAAGCGTGCCGCAGTAGAGAGGGAAGACAATCATCTCTATCCCAATGATGAGAATGACTTTCATGACGCCCCCTGCCTGCAGGAGAATCTCCGCGAAGATGCCTTCTATCCGCTGGCCGCGAGTCGCCCCAGACAAGAATCCCGTAATCCGAAGATAGAGAAGTCCCATGATGCTGGCAAGTAGATAGCCCATCAAGATGGCAATTATGCGGTCTTTGGTGTCCCATACAGCCAAGTCATAATCAACGGGTATTGTAGCTGCAGCTGTCTTGGCCACATTTCCATTCATGAATCTTGTGCCAGATATTGAGGATTTGGTGAGATTGCTGAGCTGTTGCCATGCTTGTCCAATAACCTCCTTAGACTGAGACAGATTCGATTTGAATGAGAATGCACCCGGAACGCCGAGAGTGGCAAGGCGAAGAGGAAGGTCATGCACAATAAACTTGATGGCAGTGAAAACAGATTGAAATACCGCAGACATGCGAGCTTGATGAAGCCTGAGCGCTTGGTGTGATAGGATTGAAAACATGGGGATATCAGTCTGGTGGAACATGAGGAAGGAGTTGACGACATTGTGCAAGCGGTTGCTGCTGGCATCGATGAGAGAAAGCGACGCACTCGTGATTGATTTGCCTCGAGGAATCCATTTTCCAATGGGGATAACGGCACCAAACGGACTAAGCGCTAAACTCAGCCCGTACATCAGGTAGCCCAGGCTGCCAATCAGTGTGTCGAGGGCAATGTCCGCGACCACAGTGATAGCGGTCATCGGAACGCCGATGACAAGCTCCACGGGATTGGCCAGGAGAACGAGAGCGATCTTACCCCACAGGTACGGCAGCCAGATTCCCAGGGCTACGGTGAAGGCAATCAGAAGTGCACAGAAGACACCGTTTTGCAGCAGCCCAAAGATAGGACCTTGCATGCCAATGAGATCCATGATGCCTTCGAAATCTTCGCCTTCAATGGCATCCATGTCATTGCCATCCATACCAGCATCGCCAGCGGCCGCAATATCGCCGTCGACCTGTGCGTCTTCCGCGCGGGGCTGCAGGGGGACAAACGGGTCCTCCAACGCTGGGTCTTGAACAATATGTTCGTCGTCTTCCTGCACTAGTTCCAATGCATCATGATTGACCGGAGTAATATCCCCCCAGAACCAATCAAAAAGCCGCTCGACAATCCCCTGCGGATGGTGAGGGGTATCTGGCTCGCGGTACTCGGTAGTTGAGGTGTCTGTAGCGGCTGCTTCATTGTTGATAACTGGTCGCTGGTCGTTGTGAGTATCGCTGGGCTGCGTCGGGCCAGTGTTCTCGGTGTTGGAAGGACCAGACAACTCTGTGGGGGGTTCATTGTCGACATTTTCAGGTGCACGATTGCTTGACTCTGCCGCTGGAAACGATGGCTGTCCAGCCAGTGGTGTTGCCTGAGTCAGTGGTGTTGCCTGAGTCAGTGGTGTTGCCTGAGTCAGTGGTGTTGGTGTCAACGCGTCCACGAGCCAGCCCAGCTCATCCTCCAGACCTTCCTCCCGAAGAATTCGAAACATCTCATCACGGTTGCCGTTCGCTCGGGCATAGATCTCTCGGACGTGGCTTACCCGCCCAGTGTGAGGACCCGGACGGAAGTCAGGAGCCCGAGGACCGAACGGATCACCTTCAGAACGAGCTGCAGACGTATCATCGGAAGCACTCTCTGCATCACTCCAAGAGGGGGCCGGAGAATGCGCACGAGCGTCATCACCTCGGTCGTGGCCGTTAATGCCATGTTCTTGATTAACATGTTCTTCGGCGTGTTGACCAAACAGTGGTCGAGGAACCGCTTCTGCGTCTTGTTCGTTGTCGGGGCGGTTGTTGGCAATTAGGTTGACAGCAGCCTCGCGCTCGCCATCTGCAATGTTCGCCATGGGCTGCGGTTGGACAACCCACTCGCGGATGAGGAAGAGTAGGATGAATGCAACAACCACGAGCAGGGTGATCAATTGGCCTTCCAGTGTGTCAATGATCATGTTGTTGATGGTAGGGTAAGGGGTCAAGGAGTTCAGGAATTTCACATCCGAGAGGCAAGATGGATGGCGGGATTTGACCATGTTTGTAGTTGCGTTACTTGAGCTAGAGCCGCCTTGGCCTCCGGTCGAAGTGAATCCAGGAATGAGTAGGGCGGGAATAACTTTTTTGATCACGGTGAGCATGAAAGGCTCGCCTGTGGCGACACTTGGCATGGATGACTGCGCATGGGGGACAGTGCTAGCAGCAGATGATGCGGCATTGGTGATGGTCGACGTTCCCAAGTACTTTGTCGTGTATGTTGATCCCACGGAGTCGGTAACAATCTCATCGACGGCATATGTGATCAACTGAGTAGCGCCATCCTGGACAGTGCGCATTGCCTGGCGCTGGACAGTCTCCGTGCCTGACCAGCGGCCATCGGCAAGCCAGAACAGCGCTCGCCAGATCGCGCGCATCGACCATGGCAGCCACGCCAGCCACACGAATGCCACGAGGAGGAAGCGTAGCCACGTCACAAGGGTCCGAAGGCTCTGAATAAAGGCCTGTCGCAGGAAAAGAGGGGCCGGGAGGCTCTGGGGCATGTTCGGGTCGTAGAGCTTGGTGAAACGGAAGGGCGTTTTGCAGAGCTCGCAGTGTTTCTTCTGGGAGTGTGATAGCCATTCGACCAGGCACAGCTGGTGCACAAACTTGATGCTGCCACTGCACTTGCACGGGTAGAACAATGGCTCTTCCTCGGTGGCTTCTCCATGGCAGATACGGCAGGTATCCTGCTCCTCCATGCCCTTGTCCCGTGGATCGTAGGCCGGGTCGTTCATCAGGTCAGGAAACCCAGCCGAGGCCGCCAAGCGGCGGCCGTGGCTGTCGGCCATGTCCATTGTGGTGGCGCCAATCCGACGGGAGCTCCTTCAGAGGATCAGCATGGTCCCAGCCAGGCGGGAAGCGAGATATTGACAAAGCGGTCGAGGGTCGGTGGAAGTGAGGTGGGTAGGGAATTCAGCTGTATGAGTTTGGGTCAGTGTTGCATTGCAAGACATGAGAGAGATGCGCACACTCACACCAGGCTGTTTGGTCGCAAGACGCACGTTCCCAATAAGGCAGTGGCGCCAGATGTCGTAGAGCTGACTCAGCCAGATTACCACGCCGGACCATATTACCATCTTTGATAGAGGGAGTCATCTGGTAATGCTGTAATTACCAGACCGCCTACTGTTCACTGCGCGATGACCTCACCGACTGACCGACTCCAAGCCTATGAGGAAACAGCAGTTCTTTATCGAGTGCGAGTGCCTAGTCTAGTACCTGCCGAAGCGACTAGGTAGTAGGGGCTGCTGTAGGCTGACCGCTGGTCGATTCCCTCTCTTTCGTCTACTCTTCACATCTGATCCTCCGACCGACCGCGGCCCGCGCGTGAAGACCAGTGCTAGCGCCCGAACGACGCGAGACATTCCCAATCCTTTCCTTCGACCACCAAAAAAAAAAGGGTTCCCAGCTCCAGCTCTCGCTCACTACATAGCCCAACCCAGTGGGACAAACACTCTCTCTTCCCTGGATGAAACAATAATCTCAGTTTCGCCTGCTCCGACACTCACTGTGCCTGGTTGATCCTGTGAGGTCTGTCTCGACCGCTCAACGGCCATCATGCCAGCAGCAACAGAGAATGGCCATGCGCCAAAGGGCGGGGCCAAGCCCGTACAGAGGATTCAAAGAAGCAAGAGTCCGTTGCGGTGGACGATCGGCCTGGTGGTCCGGTGAGTACCCTGTCTGATCCAGTCCCTATCTGTTCTCTCAAACTGACCGTCGGACTCGACTAGGCTCTGCATCTGGTACACGCTTCTGACCCCATTTCTACGATGCCCCTCAGATCTCTCGCAACTGGACAAGTCGTCGCCTCGAGTCTGCAAGCCCTATTTGATTGCGCGTTCGCAGGTGGAGCCCTATGTCACGCCCTATTACAACACATATGCGGCGCCGTACGTGGACCAGGCATGGCCATACGTGGAAGTGGTCCACGAGCGGGTGTACGTCCCAGCATCGGAGGTGGCCAAGCTGGGCTACGACCGCTACGGCGCGCCGGCTCTGGGACATGTGCAGGCCTTTGGCGCGGAGCAATGGAGAACCCAGGTGATGCCCGTCGTGCGGATGGCTCAGGATAAGGCGGATGGGCTCTACATGGCTCAAGTGGACCCGTATGTCCAGCAGGGTCTGAATGTGGTGTCGCCATACTATCAGAAAGCAAACGCCGCGGCCTCCACCGTTTACTGGGACCACTTCGTGCCCTTCTACACCCAGTCTAAACCCTTCATTGGGAAGACGTACGTCACCGGACAGGATATTCTGGCCACGCATGTGATGCCTGGGGTGCAGTATACCTGGTCGTCGGTGGTCTATTTTGCCAACAGCTCGTTGTGGCCTCATGTCACTGGCCTCTATTCCGAACAGGTTGAGCCCCAACTTGTCAAGATTGGACAGCGTCTGGCGAGCTATCGAGAGGGCAAGAAACTGCGTGCTGTGGTGGAGGACGTGGACAGCAGTTCCTCGGAGCAGCCCGTCTCAACAGTTCCCGTGTCGGAGGAAACGGAACACACCTCGAGCACCACCACCACGACTTCAACAGCCACCCTCGAAGTTCAACCACCGCCTCCCCCAGCCCCGACACTGTCGCCTACTGAGCAAGCACAACAAGACCGCGAGCGAATCGACTCTGATCTTCAACGGTGGCAAGGAAAGTTTGCGGCTGCGGCTGATAAAGGGATTGAGGACCTTGAAGCGCGCATCGACGCAATTGTATCTGCTCTCATTGCGAGCAGCGTGAAAGGTCACGGTGAGAGCCTGTCAACGGCGCTCGAAACCGTCTCCAACGAACGGGTCTCCTCTCTCAAACAGCACATCAATGAGATGGTCGAGTCCTTGCCGGAGGAAGAAGCGCCAGAAGCTGAACAAGCCCTTCTTGAGCAGCTTGTTGGAGATATCCGGCAGTCAGCCATCTCCGTTCGAGATCGCGCCCATGCACTCCGTCAATGGTACCTCGGATTTGATGATGAGCTCATGCGGCGCGTTTCCGCCGCGGTCAATTCCACCTTGGATGTTCTTGACAGCATTCGTGATCTCGGATTGCAGGAAGTCGGAACCCGCTGGGCATGGATGGACAGCGTAACCTACGAGGATTGGACAAAGTACCATGCTCTCAAGGCACAATTGGAGGACTGGCGCAATGAAATCCGCGAGGTTGGCGTCAACCACAAGTCGGTAGCTGAGGCCAAGTCCGTGGCAAACGAGATCCTGGACCATGCCATGGAAATCGCGGAACAGACCGCCAAGGAACTGGTCAGACTCAAGGACGTCGGTCAGTGGAAGATGGCTGCTCGCGAAGTCAGCGACAACTTTGACACGAGGACTGAACCCCCGCCACCGCGACCACAGCCTGTTAAGGAGAACGAAGAAGAGTCTGAAGAGAATGCCGACGGCGACCACGACGACACTTCAGAGTCTCATTCGGATAACACTGCAACTGCTTCTGAAGATGAGGGGGATACTGTGCTCGAGTCAGAGAGCCCCGAACCTACCGCCGACGAAGATGTTTCCGACAACATGGATGAAGCGTCTGACTTCGACATCGAGGAGGAGATTCCGCCTGAGTCCGTCCTGTCTGACGAAGCTGGCGAGCACCACAAAACCTTCTCCAGTGTGCCTTCTTGGGGAGTTGCCGCCGCCGATGTGGGATCTCAACAAGACCCCATTCTGGATGATGACGACCAAGACCGATGGGAAAGCTGGGCCAGCCAAGTTGACGACAAAGCGAGCTCGGCGATTGCACCTTTGGCTCACATCTCGTCCATTGCGTCGTCGCGGTTGAGTGAAGGTCTTAGTTCGGCTTCGATGCATATGGCTCAGTTCCGACAGCCGGCGTCTACAACGGAAGCCGCCGGTGTCTTTCCCCATGTGCTTGACGCCCAGCGCCGCTACTACGAGGCAGTCGGGCTAGCTCATGACCACTATAGTGTCTTCATTTCTACTGCCTCTCAAGCAGTTTATGGCACTCCCACGCCCACTCCTGCCCCCGGATTCCAAGGCATCATTGACGAGGCCGGATCTAGATATGAGCACGCATCCTCGCTGGCCTCTGCCAGTCTTTCCGCTGTCATAGCGTCCGCAAGCTCTCTCATGTCCCAGGCAGACGATAGCAAAGCACGGAGTATCATCAACGAGGGAACCTCTCGGTACAAGGATGCCCTCTCTGCCGCTGAGGCCACGCTGTCAGTGGCTTCTGCGTCTGCCAGCTCCGCCATCTACGGAACTCCGACCGGCACCATGGAGGCGCTTGCCAGCCAAGCGTCCGAGAACTGGGAAAACTTGGTCTCGAAGGCCAGCGAACAAGTCTACGGCACTCCCCCGCCGTATCTCCAGCAGGTGGTGAATGATCGCCTAGTGCAGTTCGAGGCTGTCCAGGAGCTGGTGTCTGAGCTGGTCATTGGCAAGCAACCTTCTTTCACCGAGAGTGTGATGAGCAGGCTGCACGCTGCCTACCAAACGCCTTACCCAGCCGCCGCCGTGTCCTTTGCATCGAGCTACATTTCAGAAGCTTATGATTCTGCGTCTTCGGCCGCTGCTTCTATCGCGAGCGAGGTGCCTACCGTCGAGGATGTCGTTGACAACGTGAATGAGCAAGCCCATGCGGCCGCTGGAGCCATTAGTGCCGGTATCTACGGCACCCCGAAGGGTTCATTCGAGCAGGCCACGGAAGCCGCAGCTGATGCGTACGCCACGGTATCCGCCAGCGCCAGCAGCGCCATCTACGCCCAAGAGCCCGAATACATGCAGATCGCCCGGGACGCGATCAAGAACATCCGACTTAAATATGAAGCCGCCATCTCGGGCGATGAGACCGGAGCAGTCGATGAGCTTTCCTCGGCACTCAAGGACGCGAAGCTCCGGTTGCACGAACTCGCTTCCAGCGCAACTAGTGCCATGTCTGACGCTGCCGAAACGGCCTCTTCGCATGTGGCCGATGTGACCAGTAGCCTCACCGGCGAGGATGCTACCGAAATGGGCAAGGATGAATTGTAATTGGAAATTCAACCTGAACAGATGGGCAAGCCGGCATTTCAACTCTTTTTAATTTCCTGTTTCTTCATTTGTCTTGCCACTCCACCTCACTTGTGTTTTTTAACACGATGCTGCCCTCAGCCCATCTCCCCATCCGTCCACTGTCCCAAGAGAGATTTCAGTCTTGCTACAGGACTAGCTCAGTCGATGGCTCTTCTCTCTCGGGAATGATTTCCCATACAGTTTGACACGGTATCGTGGCCGACTATGTTCATGATTTGCAAGATGCACAGTGATTGTGATTTTCGATCTTTTTTTCTTTTTTTCCCCGGTTTGGTTCTATCTGTGTACTTTCTCATACTCACTTGTCATGTTTCGTTTCTCTCACATGAAATGAGTGTATTTCGGGTTCGGGGTTCTTTTTTCCTGCGGTGGTTGTTTCTGTGAAGTAGGAAGGGACGGTACATAATGAATGAGAATTGGTCCTCTCCGAATGTCTAAATGTGTCCGGAAGAAATTGGGTGTAGTCATGCAGGCTTTGCTCATCCAAAAGATGATCTATAGATATTCAAGGGTCCGCAATTAAATAAGTTCAGGAACTGCGGAATTCTTGTCATACAAATTTTGATGATCACAGGTTGCACAGCATACACTCTCATACTATGATATACCCAGACATCACCCCTCTGTTTACATCCCACTCTACCGCGTCTTATACCGAGGCCCTCTCTTCTCCTTCTTCAACTCTCGCTTGCTCTTCGCCTCCACAGAACCCTCTTGCCCCTCACCACCACCACCAGCCATCCCCGCAAACCCCTGCTTCACGCCCATGAAAGTGGTATACAGCGCATACACCGAGTACAGCGGAATCACCATGGCAAACCACCAGCCCCGATTCCCAAGAATCAGAACCGTGCACATGCAGATCCATGTCCAGTAGACCACATCCCACATGTACTCCGTCAGTCCAGAGGCACCGAGGTCTGCACCAGCGGTGCGCAGAGAACCATCTGCATGGTATCGGGGTCGGCCAATGTAGTCCAGGACAACTTCAAGAGCCAGATTGGGGAGAAGGCCCAGGATCAGGTATGGTTTCAGGGAATAGCGGTTGAAGAACCATAGCGCGAGCAGGAAGAGCGTGTGCAGCACGGCGGAGATGAGGTGGGTTTGAAGGAGCCGCGCCGAATTGCGCGTGGCCAGGGTTTTGGCTGCTTTCTGCCGAGAATTAGCAGGTTCTTTTGCTATGCTTCAAAGCCAATCCATACCTGAGCCATGGTGACAGCGGTTCGTGGTGGACAGTCGTGTAGTTCAAGTTGCTTCCGCTGGTTGCCCTCCACAACACTCACCGCCCGGCAGAACCACCCGCCCTGCCAGCTCCATCCGGAACGAACGCAACCCATCATAATAATACCGACACGCAGTCTATCACCCGCGCCTTCTGCCCTCCAACGCACTGGCAGCAATGTCTCTGGCTGGCTAGGCTAGGCTTGTGTTTTACTGGAGGTTTCTCTTTGTTCTTTTCCCTTCTTCCTCTCGCTCTGAACCCTGTGGGACCCATTATTTCCGGTTCCAGTTTACTTACATTCCTCCGTGACTGTCCCCAGCCCGACCAAGATCGGTGGATCCCCTCCCGTCTGCAGAGTCTTCAGACAAATTCTGGGGAGATATCTCACAGGTGTCTTGTCGGCGTTGATGGATTGTCTGCTTCCGCTGCCCCGATCTCCCCCATCGCGTCGTTGCTTCCTCCCCGCGTGTCGTAGCGCTTCCCAGAAACACGGGCCCTGGAAGCGCTGTCTGGACTGAGCTGTCTTGGACACAGCCTCCCCTCAGCTTATTGTAGCTTCAGGATCACTTTGAACCGTCGTCGCCTCGCGTCTCTCCCCCGCTCCCCGCCCCATCATGGCGCTCGCGACTGGGCACGTTGCCGGCCAGTTGCGGCACCTCATCTACTACCACCTCGACAACAACCTGATCCGAAACGCTCTCTTCCTTGCTGGTCGTCTTCATGCCTACGAACCGCGATCTTTCGAAGCCCAGTACCTCCTTTCCCTCTGTCATCTTCTCGGTGGCGAAGTCAAGGCCGCCTTGGAGTGCAGCCAGAGCTCTGGCTCGCGGGGCCTGCATGCAGGTTGTGCATATGTCTACGCTCAGGCGTGTCTGGATTTGGGGAAACACTTCGACGGCATCACGGCACTGGAACGCAGCAAAAGTCTTTGGGGCTCAAAAAACCACTGGAGTAAGGTTTTGATGTCTTTGTAGCGTCGGCCACTGCTAATACACCATTCAACTAGATAAACACAGTGAAACACACCGACAACATCTACCGGACGCGGCGGCGGTCTTCTGCTTACTTGGAAAGCTATGGCACGCTCATAAAGACTTGAATAAGGCGGTGGATTGCTATGTGGAAGCTCTGAAACTCAATCCGTTCATGTGGGATGCCTTCCTCGGACTGTGTGAAACGGGTGCGTTGACCGATTTTTACCGACCCGATTTTCTGCTAATTAGTTGCCAGGCGTCAATATCCGCGTTCCTAATATCTACAACCTCAGCCCGGAGCTCCTCGCCATTATAGCTTCGTCGTCCCCGGAGGAAAAGGATACCTCGTCGGTGCATCCCGCACCAGGTGAAGGACCGTTTTCTGTGCAAACAGCCAGCAATCCCAGTGCCGATCCATTTATGGTTCCTACATCTCGCGTCGATTCCGAGACCACCTTTGGAAGCTCCGCTCTTTGGGAGAAACTGAATGGCAGCTCGGTTAGTGTTGCAACTGTTGCCCAACCTGCCATTCATGAGGGAGCTCAGACACCCCAGAGCAGTGGATCTGAAGAGTTCCGCATTGCGAATGGAGTCACCGACCCAGAGTCTGCATGGGAGCCCCCACTGGCTCCAGCCAGGAAGAACCGCACTATCCAAACTCTCAACATGGACCATCCCGTAAATCCTCCACCAAAAATGCGGCCCACGGGCATTCGACCACGGCCCAAATCTCAAATTGAATCAGACGACCAACCGACAGAACGTGAACCTCCGCCTGCACCCAGAATTGCAGATCGCAAACGTACCGTCTCTGGCCAGGTGGCTCACCCTCAGGCTCAACAACCAACGGAACCAGGAGCTCCGCAACGCCGGAGCGTGCGATTGTTCAATCAAATCAAGCCTACCACGAGCAAACTCTCCAATACAACACTAACCGGAAGGGATGGACGGGAAATGAAAAAGATTCGGGGTATCAGCTCAAGGAGCCGTCCTGGAACCACTTCGACTGTTGGCCGCGTCGTGAGCGGCAACCGGAAACCCATGGAGGCCACAGATGCCGATGGCAAGGACAATCGCCTGACGTCGGTGCCACCCGTCCCACCTTTGCCCAGGAATCCCGAGAAGTCCAAGGATATTGAGGCCTTGAATTGGCTTCTGGGGCTTTTTAACAAACTCGCCTCTGGCTATTTCGCTTTGAGCCGGTACAAGTGCCCAGACGCGATCCAGCACTTTAGTTCGCTCTCCCAGGGTCAACGTGAAACGCCTTGGGTTTTGTCTCAGCTTGGTCGAGCGTACTTTGAGCAGGCCATGTATGCAGAGGCTGCCAAGTATTTCTCTCGGGTCCAGATTGTGGCGCCCTCCCGGCACGAGGACATGGAGATCTATTCGACTGTTCTGTGGCATCTGAAAAGCGATGTCGAGCTGGCTTACTTGGCGCATCAGTTGCTTGAGTCTGACCGGCTGTCACCGCAAGCGTGGTGCGCCATCGGCAATTCATTCTCCCACCAGCGGGATCACGACCAGGCTCTGAAATGTTTCAAGCGGGCAACGATGCTAGACCCGGAGTTCGCCTATGCGTTCACTCTCCAAGGACACGAGTATGTTGCCAATGAAGAATACGACAAGGCTCTTGATGCCTACCGGCACGGAATCAACGTGGATAGCCGGCACTACAACGCATGGTACGGACTTGGTACGGTGTACGACAAGATGGGCAAGCTTGACTTTGCCGAGCAACATTTCCGCAACGCTGCCAGCATCAACCCGACAAACGCAGTGCTCATCTGCTGCATCGGGTTGGTTCTCGAGAAGATGAGTAACTCGCAAGGCGCCCTGATCCACTACAGTCGGGCGTGCTCACTCGCACCGCAGTCGGTGTTGGCTCGGTTCCGCAAAGCCCGCGTACTCATGAAGCTGCAAGAGTACAAGTATGCTCTGCAGGAGTTGACGATCCTCAAAGATATCGCGCCCGACGAGGCGAACGTGCATTACCTGCTCGGCAAACTGTACAAAATGCTCAAGGACAAGGCCAATGCAATCAAGCACTTCACGACGGCCATGAATTTGGATCCGAAGGTATTTTGCTGTTTCTTCGGTTGTTTCCTTCTCGCTAACTCCCCTTCTCAACAGGCTCAACAGTATATTAAAGACGCAATGGAATCCTTGGAGGATGAAGAGATGGAAGATGACGACATGGCTTAGACCCCATGCCTCTGTCCTTTTTGTTCTTTCTGTTTTGTTTCCCCGGCTCACCATACCCTGGCGTTTCGGTTGCACATCAGCATTGCTGGGAGTTGTCTTTGTTTTTTTGTTTCTTTTTTTTTTTTTTTTTTTTCGTCTCTTCCTTGGAAAATCCAGTCTGCATCGGCACAGAGGGTGTTGAGCTTTGTACATTAGCGTGGGCGTGCTTACACATGATGACGAGGGACTGCCTTGGGCATATAGCATAATCGGTCATTCTTACCCCCCTGTTTCTATACTTCAGGTGACGGCATCAGCTGATGGCGGTGGGTCGGGGCAGAAAAAAGCCACCGGCTTCATCCCCCGAACATCTCCCACATTTGCCGCGAACTCCATATCCCCTCTAGTCCTGGTCATATCCGTGTCTTCTTGAGTGGTTTGCACTTTGTGGTTTCCGCTTATCTTGTTTTTCTCTGCTGAGTTGCTCCATAGACTCGGCAACAACTATTTCCCTCCACGGAGAATTCGAGTATGAACCCCACGCACGCCCTACCAGGATATGTTTATTTCCCAGACTGACCACCGACCTACCTTCAGGACAGCACAGTCGCAAGTTCCCACCACCATGTCAATCTGCTCGTATATCCTACGAGGCATCGGCTCATTCATAGTCGTGACCCTCTCTCTCTTCGCGCTGGGCCAAAAAGTGCCCAAAGCCGCCTTCCTCGCCCGCTGTCTAGCCGCCTACGGCTCCCTCCTCCTATGCGCTACGTACGGCGTACTCGCCTCGATCGTCCTCCGTCTGGTCGGCTACGGCCGCGTCTCACAATGGGCCACGGCGCGCAGCTTCAAGTTCGTCATGCGGTACACGACCGGCGTGAAGTTTGAGATCGTCGAAGGCCAGGAACACCTCTCTACCCGCCCGGCCGTCTTCCTTGGAAACCACCAGTCGGAACTGGACGTGCTAATGCTCGGATACATCTTCCCGCCGTATTGCAGCGTGACAGCCAAGAAATCGCTGAAGAATATCCCCTTTCTCGGCTGGTTCATGACTCTCTCGCGGACGGTGTTTATTGATCGCGCGAACCGCGAAACGGCTATGAAGGCTTTTGACGGCGCCGTCGAGGAGATGAACACGCATCGCCAGAGCGTGTTTATTTTCCCCGAGGGAACGCGGAGCTATTCTGACGAGCCGACGCTGCTGCCCTTTAAGAAGGGCGCGTTTCATCTGGCGGTCAAGGCCGGCGTGCCCATCGTGCCGATTGTGACGGAGAACTACGCGCATGTGCTGTCACCCCGGGCGGGGCGGTTCCAGGCGGGGACGATCAAGATCAAAGGTGAGTCGTGTTTGAATATGCCTGCCAGGTTTACCGCTAATCCGACCATTATTAGTTCTGCCTCCTATCCAGACCCAGGATCTCACCACGGCCGATGTCGATAGCTTGACCCTATCGACACGCGAGTCCATGCTCAAAACCCTGGTGGAAATGGCCCACGCCAACAAGGAGAAGACCAATACCGCTAACGGCGCGGCCGTCTCTACCGCTGTTGAAATCTAATCCGCGAGGGCAGCACTATCGCGATCCACACATGAAAAGGAGAGGAACTCCTATTGTCCTGTCTTCTATGGAACAGCAGTATCCGTCTACCTGCTGGACTATATCTGCAAAGCGCTATCTCGTACAGCAGCTCCGGAACCGAGGTCGCATTCCACTCGTCAATCAGGAAAACAACACGCCATCCCCCCTCCTTCCCATCTCGGTATATATATTCCCTCTATCCTTCCCTGCCACTGGACCGGACGATCCAGTATTATTCCATATTTTCCTACCTACCTTATCCTACTGGAAGAGGCATACCCTACCCAACACTTGTCTTCCCAACTTTCCTCAAGATTCCCAGTTCTCAATGCTTTCATTCGCTACTCCGGATTGTATATATTTTAGCCGGTAAATACGATTTACACCACATCGCTAGATGCCATTTGGCGCCCTTTTTACCAGGATCTTAGCTATCTACACATCGTGTGATACGACGGAACTGTGAGAGGGCATATGCGTAGATTGGAAGGGGGAATAGTTAACTAGGAACACGTTCCAACATTTGCTGCGAGTATAACGGAGGATGGTTAACAGCGTGGTGAATTGTAGCCCCAGATGTAGGTCAAAAAGGCGGTAAGCTCCCGACTGTTCAGTTTCCCTGGTATTGGTATAATTCAAGGAACGTTCATGGACACAACACTAAATCAAGAGATTCATTATCTTCAAACGCCCGTTCTCCCCATTTTTAGGACGCCGTCAACGAACCCACCCTTCATCGTACGTTACCCTCACATATGGTGAATGAACGCTATTGGCCAGCCGACGGATCAGATGAAACTGTCGAGCCTGGGCGCGCAGGTCTCCTCGGCTGCCGTTGCATTAATTCGCTTTCTTCAAAGGCGTTAGACGATGATTGGGATCTTTTTTGTTGACGACCGGACGACGGTTGTTCTCGATGATGAGTGGCGAGAGCTGTGAGGGCCGGAAGACAGGCACAGATCAGCCCAATGCCCAATTCTGCGTTTCTGTGCAGAGCTTAGCTTCAACCCAACAGGAAGCGATGTCGTAGCTTACCCTGTCAGTATTGATCTTAAAAACACCACCGTATTATGGCGGTTTTCTCTCTCGTGCACCCCAATCACAAGCCGGAAGAGAGCGAACCCAACTGCCACACCTCCAAGCCCAAGAATGCATATCACTCGGAGCTTTTTCCGGGCTGGCATTTGCAGTGACCAGGTCAAAGCCACAGGAGATGCGAGAATTGCAGCGTCTGTCACAAAGCTGACGGCCGAATCAGCGATGATAAGGCTAGACAGTCTCAGGCAACTCCCATTGGTTCTTTCGGCCAAATCCCAATAAGCTGAGACCGGATGGCAGATGAAGATCTTGACAAACATAATGATAAAGTAGTAGCAGATAACCAAACCAAGAAGACAGTACAGCGCAATCAATCCAGAGTAGATGGGATGGAAGACCCTTATTAAGATATAGATCAGACTGGTTTTAACGAAGAGCGCAGTTGGTGAATACAGCACTGTGCCAACGTAGGCGATCTGGAGACACGTTAGTGCTACCAACATCTTATAAATTCAATGGTTAGAGATTGATTTTTCTTGCCTTGAGGCATTGTTCGAAGTCATGGAGACTTAGTTCAGCGACTGGCTTGGATCCCCCAGCGAACCCATCTGCGAGTTATAGAAAGATTAGCGCGATGCTTTATATTTTGAGAAAAGCACAATTAGATCAAAAACGTACATATTAAAGCGGTGGTGCAATACCCCATGAATAATGCCTTGGGACTGTTAGTTGATCATATCTGGTCTTGAGCACATTGCGCCATACCCATCCAAGAAAACAAGAGACTATAAAAATCAGTAAACATTAAAGTTGTTTTTTTCAGTCGCTTTCATACCATCATCGATACCCAGCACCCGTGTGATTCTCCATCGAACGAATATTCGGACAAACACTAAAGGCGTCACAATAATGAAACAGAGGATCTGGGTGGCATAGTTGACCAAGAACAGAGGATTACCACTGCTGATGGTAACTGACATAGGCAGTAGTGCGCTAGAGCGTTGCAAACGTGATGATCCTCGAGTTTCTGATCGGAATCGAGTCGAGGTTTCGCGACTCGTAGTTAGTTGACATTGTCTTTTGTAGAGCTTAGTCATTTACGGGGTCATTGCCACCGTTGACGTCGACGTAAAAATGTACCGCGGGTTGCCGCGCCATATGTGATCATTTAAGAAGAAGATCATAACTTTAAATATGTTCACTTTAATGAAGGCTTTCTAGGTATTTCGCGACTTTGGGGAACCTGGTCTCGTCTCTGTTCTTGAACGGTAATGATTTGAAAGTAACTGTAGAAGCTCAAAGAGAACACCTCCGGGGCTTAAAGTTTGTGAATGAAAAGAGGATCTTATAGTTTTCAGGTAAAATGGGTGCTGGTCAGTTTCGAGATAGTTCTAGAAAAAATGGGGGGTTTCACTAGGAAGGTCCGACAGCGAGGGTGAAAGTCACAGGCCTTATTCATGGGGTATTGCACTAACGCTCTGATATAAATGAATCTGAGATAAATCCGAGATAAATCCAAGCACGCAGTCCGGTCTATAAAGCAAAGGAACTAGAATGTCCACAGCGTCCCTCTGCGCAGGACCGGATATCACGCTCAATATCCACCTCCTGTACAGGCAGCCATGAATCCCTCAGAATACGTCCCTCATGCCAAGGATCAGCATCACCAATCTTCCTCGTCGCAGACACCTCAATCGGATCTAGTCTCACGCCCTCTTCTTTTAAAAGAACAGGCTGCTCATTTTCGGGTTCTGCGGATGCAGGTATAGGTCCGATGTGGGCCCCGCGACCTATTGTTGCGACGATATAGTCTTCTTCAAACGCGAGTAACTGAATGCGGACATCTGTGACTGGTTTGCCGTGCAAAGAAACCTTCGTGGATGTGTAGGGCTGGCTCCAACGGTTACCCGATAACTTTGTAGTGGTAGATGTATCATGTCCAGAGTGTAAAACTGGGACTGGAACTGGATCTGGAGGAATAACATCACTAAACTCCAACTCGCGCAAATGAGGAAATAGAAGCGCATCGCCGGTCATTTTGACGAAAGCCTCTTTCAAAGCCCAGAAGGAGTAGAAGAGCCTCAGGCCGTATTGGGCGAGGCTCTGCTCCGTCGACGAATCAATCGTCAGGCCGCAGTTGAGAGATTTCGCTTTTTCGAGTGTCAGGCGGGGGTTTTTCATCATTTGCACTTCGGTCGTTGTGAAGACTTCTGCGAAGATTTCTACGAACTCTGACAGGTCGTGCAGGGTTTTGGGGCTCCTGTTTCGGCGACGGGGATCGTTGGTGCATGTGATGTCGATTCCAATCTGGGGTTTGGGTTGAGGGTGAGGGAGAGGTTGATAAGTTGACGCCGATGATCCATGTAGATGCGGAGGGGCGTTATCACTGTTGTAAACGATAGTCCCCGCCAGAATCGTCAACGAAGCGTGATGGCTGACATTAAACTCGACTTCCTTGACAAGCGGACCGAGAAGTTTCGCATGGAAACAAGGACGATTCTCAGGAAGGGGTGTCCTATGAATGACGACTTTGTTCCAGGGGAGATGAGTTGCCCGGTGGATGATATAGTACTTGAGGAGCTGGGAGGCCAGCGACATCTGTTTGTCGGGCCACTGGATGTACTTTGTCACGGAGTCTTGGTCGTCCTGGCGGAGGGTTTCGAGGAGTGGAAGGGTTTGGTGGGGGAAGGAGCGGGTGTCGATGTACCACCGAACTAGGGTGGGGTATCCCAGTAGAGGAGGATGTAGCTCGTCCTCGGTACCTCTCTCTTTGGTGTCCATGTTTGCATTCTTATACTGGAACACCACAAGGCCGTCAACCGGTGAATGCCTTATCGCACTGCCTATCTACACGTGCCTTGAATCTGCCGGGCGGTGAGCTTCTCCTCGGAAAGTTAAACATCACATGACCTATAGATAAAAAAGAGTCATCGCGCACTGCAGACATCGTTCTTGCTACGTAATGCAATGAGCATCACAGTCGGAGTCCTCGCCTTGCAGGGCGCATTCTACGAGCATGTCCAGCTGCTGAAAAAGGCAGCCGAGCAAATCCCGTCGTCCAAATGGGAGTTCATTGAAGTGCGCACGCCCCCCGAGCTGCAACGATGCGAGGCGCTGGTGCTCCCTGGAGGTGAGAGCACCACCATGTCTCTGGTGGCGGCGCGGTCGAATCTCTTGGAGCCATTGAGAGACTTTGTCAAGTGAGTCGCTTTCGCTGTTTTACTTCAGAGTAGTGTCTAATATGTGTTTGCAGGGTGTACCGCAAGCCCACCTGGGGGACCTGCGCCGGGCTGATCCTCCTGGCCGAGTCGGCCAACCGCACCAAGAAAGGCGGCCAAGAATTGATCGGAGGGCTGGATGTGCGAGTGAACCGCAATCACTTCGGCCGACAGACTGAAAGTTTCCAGGCCCCGCTGGACCTACCTTTCCTGGGCGCGGACGCTGCGCCTTTCCCCGCTGTGTTTATTCGTGCCCCCGTGGTGGAGAGGATTCTGCCCAGCCATGAAGGCATCCAAGTTGAAGAGGAGAAGCGGGAAGAGACTATCGTGGCTCCGTCCAGACAGGCCAAGGACTCGGTTGCTCAAGCAGCAACGGCCGAACACGTCGAGGTGCTCGCCACCTTGTCTGGACAAGCAGCCCGCGTCGCCACGCAGGGTCGAGATGTCAACCCAGACACGGAAATCGGCGATGTCGTGGCAGTACGCCAGGGCAATGTGTTGGGCACCAGCTTCCACCCAGAGTTGACCGGCGACGCCAGAATCCATGCGTGGTGGCTGCGCCAGGTGCAAGCAGCCGTGCAACAGAGACAATAGAACTCGATAGATCATTGTAAATAGCGGGATTTTATGGTAAATAGAGATGAATTGCATGTTGATTTTCGCAATTATAAGTTCACAACAAAACGCCGTGTCTGCGCCGACCCCCAAACCAGCACCCTACCTCCCCATACCATACTCCTCTTCCTCGCGCCGGCGCTGCTCATCGTAGGCTCGGCCGTATCCACCACGGCCGGGGTCGTATTCCTCGCGGTACTCGTCGCGAACCTGGCCGCCCGACTTGCCGCGACTGCCATCATGTCAGACAATGAGACGTGAAATTGAAAAAAAAAAAAAAAAACCAAAACTTACCCGTATTGCCGCCCTTCCTCAAAACCAGGATCCAAATCTGCGCGGATAATCCGCTCATCCAGCTTAGTCCCGCCAATGTACTTCAGACAATCCAGCGCATCCTGGTGGGTGTAGTATTCGACGAAGCAGAACCCGCACGGCGTCTTGTTAAACCGATCGAGTCCCATCACCAACCGCTTGATCTCGCCGCATCTGAAGAACTGATTAGCACAGCGCCGGTTGGTTGGGAATGGCGCAATCCTTACTTGGCAAAGAGCTCGTGGATCTGTTCCTCGGTGGTGTAGAACGACCTAGATCCGTTAGTCTCTACCTTTTTGGCGATGCAATCATCAGACATACAGGTTGCCGACGTAGAGGGTAGTCGCATTTCTCAGCTTGTCCACCGGGTCGTGCTGGCGCTGTTCCTCTTCGTGTCGGCGTCTCTTATTCTGTCGCGGCAATTCCATTAGCGCAAGTCAACTAATCAAAGTGAGGGCATCTACTCACCTTTCCAACATAGTAGGCACTCGGCCGATCCAGCCGGTCGACTGTGTTGACCGCCAGCAAGCTCATGGTGGAAGTTGTGGTGGTTGACGAAGTCAGGCGGCAGAACGGAAGGGAGCTTTCTTTTTAGTGTTAGCGCGCCAATCCACTTTGGTTACTTTCTTCCGCCTGGCTTCTTTCCACCCAACAACTACGACTACGACAACTATGTTCTGAGCCTGACTCGGGACAATCTTATATTCCTCTCATCGGTGTTCCTTGCTCCTGCTTCATGCCCAAGGTCACGAGTTACGCGCCCGCCTGGCTGTGCCGGCCGTCGCCTGGCGCCAGCCTGTTCACCAGCAGCTCGGTCAAGAGCCCGGCTCAAGCTCTACAGGTGGTCAAGCCTGCGGTGGCAGATGGTCCGACACGAACGATCGCGAAACGAGGCAACGAAGTGTTTGTGGTGGTCGACAATGAGATCCGCTGGTCGAACCTGGCGCGGTTGAAGGACCAATGGCAGCACCAGACGCGACAGAAGAGCGCAGCAGAGAAGAATGCCGACGCCGCACCCTACAGGGTGAGTATCTTGTCTACGTAGAAGTAATGCGACTCGCTGGCTGACAACAGTGTACAGGTTCTAGCAGTGCCTGTCTACGGCCACATCAAGCAGCTAATTCCTTCTCCGAACGGTGCCTTTCTCGCAGTGGTCACCGAGCACACCGTCCATATTTCCGTTTTGCCCGACTCCTCGCATCTCTCGTCAATAGACATTGCGCCGATCCGGTTGAAGACGTATCAACTGGGTCCCACCACCCATGTCATCCCCGAAGCTCCCGTGGTGTCGGCGATCTGGCACCCCCTCGGTCTACACAGCAATGTTGGAGGATGCATCATCACGGTGACGGCAGATGCTGCCGTGCGCGTGTGGGAGCTGGACCGCAATAACCACTGGTCTTTCGATCAACCTACCCTAGCAGTTGACTTGCGCAAACTGGTAGATGGGACCTCATCTGATCAGGACTTTGCGCCTTCTGGGTTTGGCAAGAACAAAGGGTTCTCTGCTGACATTATTGATATGGAGGTTGCGTCCGCTTGTTTTGCGGGCAATGGGAACGACAAGGAGGATGCTTGGGCGCCTATGACTCTGTGGGTGGCCATGCGGCCGGGCGATCTCTACGCGCTGTGCCCTCTGCTGCCGTCCAAGTGGCAAGCTCCTTCCGCCACCATCCCATCTCTCTCTGCTGCCATTGTGCCAAAACTGGCTGCCCTCGAGGAGGGCCCCGAGGATGTGGAGGAGCAGTTGATTGCATGTCGGCAACAATATGAATGGCTACAGGAGATCGACGATCAAGAATCCTTGAATCCGATTTCTGCTGGGCCGGGGACTATCCAGGGGGCGGATGTCTTCACCCGTCCGATGAATCCAAGTGCCATTCCGCGGTTGCAAGGACCTTTCCGTTTCGATACAGGGGACGAGGTCGACGATCTCGATCTCTGTGATATTCTTGTCATTGCTGCCAGACTGAATGTCGACGACCTTATGATGGGTGAGGATGAGGAGTTGACAGTCGAAGCAAATGATCAAGACAAGCTCTCGGCGACGACTATTTGTCTTTCCAGTGGTAGTGGACGTGTCCATATCTGTCTGGAGCTCGACGGCGTTGAAGGCCAGTGGCTTCCCAAGGCTAAGAAGAACGCATTCCGGGCGCCTCTGTCCGAGCCTTCTGATCTGGTCTTGGTGGAATCTTTGGATACGGTCCAAGGGAATTCGAACACCTGGCCCACTTTCACCCGCGACGCTCACTCTCGCTACTCTTTCTTCGTCACGACTGCGACCAATGTGGTGTCTTTCTCTCTGTCCTCTTGGGTGCAGAGGCTCGAAACCGAGTTGCAGGCGGAGGACCCGGCGGGCTCAGCTTTCCGGTTGCAGGTTCTTTGTGATGGGACTGTGGCCCAAAGACAGCGGATCTTGCGCGTCTTGGAAACCGACATCGTCTCTCCGCAAGACCATCTTGCCGCATCCCTGGTCTTCTACGATTTCGATCTCGGCTATCTACTGATCACCCACCATCCATCGCAGGTGTATGCTGCTGCCATGGATGCCCCGGAGGATTATTTGGTCGTGGAAAATCGCCTCTACGACTATAAGCCGCTGCTACCGCACTCACCGGCTGTAGCTCCGCAACGGCCACCGTACCAGGTGCCTGCTGTTCTGTACGCACAGTCTCCGCTGGAAGCCTTCATCGAAAAAAACGTCCCGCACCGCCAGCGTCATACTCTCAAAGAACAAGTCCGTCTCTCTCCGGCGACACTGGACCTTGTCGCGGCCGCGCATCGGTTACTGTCAGCCCACACCAACGCCCTGGAACGAGCTGCGTCGGATCTGTTCCGTCGTTGCGAGCGACTACAGGGAGAAATGCACGACCAGCTGAAGCAGTTGTCCGATGTGGCCGAGCGTATCAAGAGTGTCACGAGCGAGGTCGGCGAAGACGGGCGACACAAAGAAGGAACCCGGAATGGAGAGGCGCTCGATAGGCGTTTGCAGGCTGCGAAGGACAAGCAGAGCGACCTGATACAGCGCTACGATAGGCTGCGAAAGAAGGTTCTGAATTCCGGTGGCCGCCCTCTAAGCGAGAAGGAGAAGTCGTGGATCGCAGAAGTGGAAACTTTGTCTCAATCATTCGCCGACGAAGAGCCAGAAGACGAGAAAGACCAAGAGCAACACCTGGCACATCGCCTGCAAACTGTATGTCCCCTTCCCCCTTTTACTTTGGGGCCAGACTAATCTTATGCACAGGTTAAACAACTTGCCGTCGACCTAGTGGCTACAACAAAGGCCGTCTTAGCCAAGGCACCCTCTCCTGCTGAGCCCGGAAGCCCATCTTCCCCCGGCGGCACGCAACCCAAGGTCCCGCAGCGTCTTCAACGGGCCAGAGTTGCTGATGCGATGAGAATGGTTGAGCGAGAGTAAGTTGTAGTCATGTCTCCTCGGATCAGTTCGTGTTCTAACTAGATTCCTAGGTCTGCTGTTATTGACGCCATCACGGCGCGCTTGGAACGACTCAACACTAGTTTTTAACGCCCTTTGGAATAGAAGTGGTCGACTGTGCTCGAAATGCGGCGTCGAAGGACCGAGGGTTGAACCTGAAACCGGACACCGTCGTACTCAGAGAACGTGCAACTGTCTCGAGTTTCTCCATCTCATCAAGGACGAATTGGACACCGAAAAGATAAAGCATTTGGAGCTTCCGATTATTGGAGTTTGATTTAATGGGTTCGGTGCGGTGTGTACAATTATGTGGCTTTGAGATAGTTAGCTACAGAGGAATGAATACTCAGGAGAACAAGACATACCAACCAGGATACCATTTAATCACTAGTTATTGCACGCCGCCAAAACAACCATAAGTTCTCCCCGCCCTCTCTTCGGCCTCACTCTGCGACTCTTCTTTGTTGTCCTCCGCCATCTTGGATTTTAACCCCTGCTCCTCGGGACCAAGATACTCACCAGTCATATCTAATTTTTCAAGAATTGCATTAGTATTTCCCCAAAATCAAGTACTGTGTGAAAGCCAAAGAAGAACGAGGATGGTCCACTCACCCTCAAGCAAATACCAATCCGTCCTCCGCTTCCTCGCGCGATAATCTCGCTTCACAGCGCCCATATCGACGGCATCACACACCCGCGATAGATCGCAGTTATACTGACTTGAAAGCAGGAAAGTAGGCACGGAGTGTAAGTCCACATCCGAAGTTGTTGGGTCTGGTTTGAGGTTGAAAATGAGAGGTGGTGTTGAGGGTCTTGATGGGAGGAGCAGGTCTTGTGGAGATGATGATGATGATAATGTGGAGGTGTGTTTTGGGTTTATTCTCTTATCACCTCGTCTCCAACACTCCTTGCAGGTGTGCAGTGTGTCTTGGAGTTGGATTATTCGACGACCCCAGCAATAAACATCTTTGGGGCAGATGAAGCATTCTGTGTCCCAGATGCAGCCGCACAGGGTGTATTTGCGGGTCCAGAAGATGCACATTTTGATGAGTGGGTAGCTTGTTAGCCATGAGTAATGGGAATGGAAATGCAAACTTGGGGGATATGGGTCAATCATTGGAGACTTCTGGGACTATAGAATCATTATATATTGAAATATGATCTTTGTTTTATTAAGACAGTCAGTCTCAGTTCCAATCTTAATTATCTAACCATTCCGAATTTCAGTGAAGGGGACAAGAGAATTCCAAGAACAATACTGCCAAGAAACATTCTAGAATGTCCTGGTCTGTTTCTTGCTTTATAGATTGTACTCAATCAAAGACAATGCCCAACCATCTTTGTGGTTCTTTCTTTGATAAAGTAGGGTTATATATACACGTGACCTTGCTCAGCCTCAGATCTGACAAGAATGTTGGGGATAGACTCATTCTAGAAAGGTTCTACTGTTGATCTAGTGAGACAAAGGAGGAAGGTCTATAGATTTTTATGAAAGAACTTGAAATGTGCAGGGTGTGTAGGATCAAAGCCAAGCCAAGCCTAAAGAGTCATGCTGTAGATACTTGAGCGAAGAGCACCATGAAGGATTATGTGGATTGCATATTAGCAACTATCGTAGCCTCTCAATAATGTCCATGAACTTCTATCCTTCCCAGGGCCCGAATTCGCTCATGTCTTTGATATCACGTCCACCACCCAGAAGAAAGGTGTAATGTGCAAGGTTGTCGCAGAGAGAGCACCCATTGTCACAGCGGAGTAACCGACTTTGGGCTACTAACATAGAACGAACTGGCCAACTCATCTGCATCCTCCACCCGGTCCACAATCAGAAGATAGACCTCATCAATAATCTCTTCCCAGGTCGGAATCACCAGGCCTTCAATACAAATCTCCCACTTACACATCTCCACCACAAAAGTCGAATTCCACCAGCGGCGCCACTCGTTGTGAATGTGTTCATTGCCCATCAGACAGCCAGCCAGATACTCGATCTGTGTCTTCTTCTCACGATAGAGGTGATAGGGGCCGCGCATAAACTCCTGCACGGCATTGACGTACTTGGCCGTGAACCCAGAGTAGCTGACTGCGTCGACGCAGAACTTGACGGCGTCGCGCGGGATCTTGGACGAGGGAGCGAGGGTGCAGTCAGCCGGGTTCCAGTCTTCTTTCCACTCGAGGAGGCGTTTCATCGACTTGGCATGCACGTGGTAGATGAGGCCCATTGTCTCCGGGCACATGGCGGAGTAGCGCTGCTCACGCAGGGTCATTAGGGAGTGCATGCCGGCGAGGGCACAGATGGCGGCTTTGTGCAGTTTGTCGTGGGAGTCTCGTAAGTCGGGGGGAACTTGGAGCCAGGTTGGAAGTTTGAAGGCGCCTGCTTCGTAGGTGTAGTTGAAGATGGACGAGCCCGAGTACTGGATTCGGGTCAGAGAGCGCTTGCGCCGGAGGGCTTCGAGGGAGCCACCCATGGTTAGTGAGAGGATCAGAGAGGCTGGGGGAAGAGGAAGGAGGGAGATGGAGGAGGGAGATGGAGGACGGTTGAAGAGCAGCGATGTAGTGGATTTCATTTAACATCAAGAGCAACCGGATATTCACTGCAGCTCTCAACCGCTAGTGGCAGTATCAGACATGGTCACTCACCTACCTAGTCCTTTGTTGTCCACAGTCGATCTCCCATCTACCCCAAAGTGAGTCTATACCAACATCCACTCATGTTTCGGGCCAAGACATATTGATAGATAGAATGATTGTCATTTTTTTTAATCCACATTGGTCCAAGACAGAAACCAAGAGCATAACCAAGTTAGGAAAGATTAAGTGCACCAACCACGATCCCTCTTGCCGGACATGGACCCAAAATTACTGGACACTGTATCCCACTCATTAGTAACCAACATAACAGAGGGGAAAAGGTCTGAGCATACCGTTCAATAAGGTGGACTCCCGACGCAGTCTCCACGATCCCGCTAACCTGGCCCGGCTGCAGCGCAAAAGCGGCATTTTCAAACTCCTTCTGCATCTCGCCATGACCGAAAAAGCCACTTCGAAGCAGTTAGCATGAAGACCGAGATGCCAGAAAACAACACACGTACAGATCACCCTTCTTCCGCGCACTGCTACAATCCGACTCCGAAACGGCAAGATCCCCCAGAGTAGTCTCGCCAGACTGAATGCGCTGCTCATGGCCCTTGAGAATCTCAATAGCCTCCTCCTTTGACCGGGTAATCTCCGCCTCGCGCCAGCTGCTGGGGCGTCTGCTGTCGCGGTGCTTGATGAGCAGGTGGCTGCAGCGGATCTTGCCCTCGCCCTGTCCCGAAGTATCCGGGCGCGCGGCGGGAGTGTGGTGCTGCGCCATATATACCTTTAACTTCTCGGTATCGGTGTCGGCGGGCGGTTCCCAGCGCGACTCCTTGGTGGCTGGGTTGAAGTAGTAAGGGAGGTTCTTGGAGTTCGAGTGTCGAACTTCCCATCCTGCTGGAAGACCCGAGTCGGCCTGCATTTTTGTTAGTGATTATAGAAAGGTAAGAAATCAGAAGAATCCTACCATGGTTGTTGTATAGAGAGAAGCAAGGTCGAGTCGATGCTATGTCAAGCACAGGTACCTGGGCAATAAGGAAAGTATGGAGTTGAGCTCTGCCACTGCGGGGATGATGCGCCCGACAAACACTGCAAACAGCACAAACAAACCAAACATCCGAAGTCTGCCTTCTTCCACGCCGCTGGCTTGACTCAACTTCTTGCCTTCGATTTCATTCTTCGTCCACCTCCTTATCAACCCTCGATCTCCGGACTACTCGAGCTCCCCAAAATATGTCTGCCAGCCCGTCTCCCTCCGCCGGTGGCGGCCCCAAAGCGTCCGACCAGATCCACTTCCGATTCTGTCGCGAATGGTAACTACGCCCTCTCTCTCCCTCTGCCCTACTCTTCATCTGCTAATCTGTGAAAACAGCTCCAACTTGCTCTACCCGAAAGAAGACCGTGCCACGAACCAGCTGATGTTCACCTGCCGCACCTGCCACGTTGGCGAGCCGGCCAGCTCCTATTGCGTCTACCAGAACAATCTGACCAGCCAAGTCGGCGACACGGCCGGCGTGACCCAGGATGTAGGATCTGATCCGACGGTTTGTCTCCCAGGATTTTGTACCCTATGCGGTGAACAGATTGCTTGTTTTGTTTGCGGCGTGGTTGGGGAGGAAGAATCAAGCAGCGACGGCCTGGAATTCTAGAGGGAGATGAGATGTCCCGGAAAGCGCTGAATGATTCGCTTGCTTTCCGTTCATTGTGTTCTGTCCTCTCTGGAAGAATTTCCTCTTGGCTAACGCGTGACTTTACTCGACGACAGCTCCCTCGAGCCAACAAGCTCTGCCCGAGCTGCGGTGAAAACGAAGCGGTCTTTTTCCAGTCGCAGCAACGGTCTGCGGAAACCGGGATGGTGAGTGATCATTGTATCTGGCCCATAGGGCCGAATTTGTGCTGACGCTTGCTTTGTCAAGAAACTCTACTATGTCTGCTGCGCATGCGGTAACGTCTTCGTCTGATGCTTTATTTCTCACGACTTCCCTCGATACCCTTTGATTTCTTTCTTCCGGCTATTTCGCAAAGCATGTACTCGGAGTTTGGTGGCTAGATTTTCTTCAAATAATATTTGATAGAAATGGCGAAATGGAAATGCTATTGATACATATTTCAAACAACGAAAAAAAAAACTCCCGCTTCTGTAGATATTACACATGCATCGGCGCCAACGACAAGATCTTCGACCATTGCTTGCCGCGTAGTTCCTGGCCCACGATCCCTAGACAAAAAATTTAGCCCCTTTCTCACACCGCGACACCAAAGAGAGTTACTAACCGTTCATGCGCGTCCCAATCGGATCGCCCGCCTTATTCACCAGCACACAAGCATTATCCCCAAACTTAACCACACTCCCATCAGGCCGTTGAGATTCCTTGCGCACGCGCACGACGACCGCATGCCGAATATCGCCTCGCCGGACCTTGTTCGCCAGCGCGGTGGACGTGCTCGATTCGGATCCCGCGGCTCGTTGTTTCTGTACAACGACGACTATCCGGTCACCTAGACAACACAACCTGTATCAGCACGGTCTGTCTTTGAGAAGGAATCGGAGATCCTCTCATGTCGCTCCGGGAGGGGGTGGGACTCACCGATTGTCGCGGGCCGCTTCTTCTTCAGGACGTTCACGCATTCGACCACCGAGGCGCCGGAGTTGTCGATGCAATTTAGTAATGTCTGCGCGCAGTGGGTCAGCGGGTGCAAGGGTATGGGACTGTCGATTGGCGCACCTTTAGTTGAATCATTGTGTGTGCTCAATCGTCCGGGGAAAGTGAGGGTTCAGTCGAGCATCACCATAATTTGCGGTCGGAGGGTGGGTTGTTCCGGGCCCGGTGCCAAGACGGAGTAGAAGAGACAGTGAAGGGTACCGATGTAGGTATCCCGGAGTAGGGGGTTGGAGAGAATTGGTTAATATTAACAGTGGAAAGATAATGATCTGGCGTATGGATCCATCTTGTGGGAGTTACAGGAAGTTTCGTGAATAGGATGAGTGGAGTTCATCCCGATATATATTTTGGAAGATGAGTCCTGTCCGTATCCACTGTGAAGTGCAACTATCACCATTAGACTTGTAGCCTCTCGTGAACAAAATTTATGATCTGTTGGATTGCTCTTCTAGCAGGAGTGTGAAATGAATCTCTCATGCAATATAGAGGGAGAGAATCCGTCCAAAAATTCATGTAGAAAAATCCGAATTGATTCCAATTCTATGGTTGTCATCCCTGGTGGTTGTTCCATGCACTCACCCGTACATTCGACCATGACTTGCCTGTAGGATGCCCTCGAGTCTCATAGTCTCTCCCAGATGAGCCACTGGAGGCATTGTTCTTGATTGTTGTCATTGTCAAGTGCGATCCTTTGTTTTATAGACAGCCCCCGGCACAGCCTCGAGTCGGGCGCGGGAGTGCAACCTCCTCAATTTCAGCAACGGCGCGTAACCGCATCCTCCCTTTTCTTTCTCTCAGCCTACTCCTTGGGGGAGGGAGATACTTGATTGATCACTACTACCCTATTCTTAGGCTCATACCTCCCATCCACTCATTCTCCACTCACCCCGACCCATTCTTGGCCCCTCAACCCTCTCCCTGCCTGGCATCCTGGACTCCGCGCTCTTCCACCTTCCCACAGGCCATTGGACGGCAATTCACTCCCTCGATTCACGATGCCTCCCAAAAGGCGATCCAGTCCTCCTGTGCCCTGCCGCGAACGTCTGACCCTGGCTAAGCTGGCCAGCTACGACGACGTCGCAACGGATGCCCTGGTCGATCGCGTAAGTGTCGCTCGCTCCCCCCCTTCACTACTTGTCGCAAATGGCGCTGACCCCTTTCCCCTCTCTCTACAGGCCGAATTTTGGACCAACACGCGCAAGAACCGCACCAAGTACAGTCCAGCCCGCGGCATCCACAACGACGATGTCGCGCACATCCTCCTCCACGACGTGGTCGTCGCCAAGGACGTTCCGCTAGCCGAGCGCAAACTCCTCGACATGCCCGGCCTCAAGAAATACATGAACAGCCTGCCCACCCCGCGCGAGAAGGAGTGGTTCCGTAGACACATCCGCAAATACATCCAGATCTACCACCCGGACTGTCCGTTCGAGGTCACCACCACCAATCGCTACACCATCACCGAGCACGAGGCGGCTATCGGTGCGCGCAAATCGATCAAGAAGAATGAGGAGATCAGATTCCTGGCTGGAACCTTGGTGCCCATGACCCGGGAAGAGGAGCTGGATCTCGGCTTGACGCGCAAGGATTTCAGCATTGTCATGTCGAGTCGGCGCAAAAACCCGTCTTTCTTTTTGGGCCCTGCGCGCTTTGCGAATCATGACTGCGATGCCAACGGGCGCCTGGTGACAAGGGGTAATGAAGGCATGTCGGTTGTGGCTACGCGGAATATTGCTGTCGGCGAAGAGATTACGGTCTCCTATGGCGATGATTACTTTGGAATTGACAATTGTGAATGTCTATGCTCGACATGCGAACAAGCTTGTCGCAATGGTTGGTCACCACACATGGACTCGGATTGCACCAGCAAAGAATCCACACCAGCTTCCATCGATGAGGCACCGGATGTTCCACTGTCCGGCAGAAAGCGCAGACGCGGCTCGTTGGACTCGGATGTCTCATCCTCGGGCTGCTCGACCCCGCTCAAGAAAGCCAAGTTTCAGCGTCCAGTCTCTAAGCTCCGCGAAGAGATCTCTGTGTCGGAGCTGGCTACGGAACCAGCCACGACCCCGGAGACAGTTTTTACTCCAGAGATCTCTTCGGAGCTGGCTACAGGCCCAGATTTAACGCCAGTGACAGAAGTTACTTCCGTTTCTGTCGGCGGTACTCCTGCCACACCGGCCCAGGGCGAATACAAGGCCTCGAAGTTGTGCGAAGAGATCAAGTTTCCGGACCAAGCCATCTCCATTGAACCCGTCTTGGAGGCTACAACCACGGATTGCGAGTCTTCCGGCTCCCCTGGACCTGCCGAGTCTCATCGATCATCGACCTCCACCACACCAACATCCGTTGACGAAACGCCCGCGGTCAGGACCGAGGAAGTGATCGAAACGACTGAGACTTCAGTCGACGGCGAGAATGATAACATTGGCGCAGTTGTTAAAAAGCGCACCTACCGCAAGAGGCGCTTCATTATGCCCTCCGTCGAAACAGAGGTGCCAGTCGCCCGGGTACCGGGTGACTACACTAGGACATCGAAACTACTCGCACAGAAATACGACCGCTGGATCGACTGTTATACATGCAATGTCTGGTTCTTGCAATCAAATTCATACCAGAGACGGCGCGAGTGCCCCCGCTGCGAGCGACATTCCAAACTGTACGGGTTCCAGTGGCCGAAGACCGAGAAGGAAGGCGCGTGGGATGATGAGGAGCGCATCATGGACCACCGCGAGGTCAACAGGTTTATCCGACACGATGACGAGAAGGGTGTGAGTCGCAGGGGCCGCGGCGTTAGCTTTGGGGTCACGCTCACCCCAGACGCCTCTGATGCTCGCACCGAGACAGAAGCCAGTGATGCGAATGATGAGTGCCGCCGGCCTACTCGGGCTAGTCGGCAGCGAGCCCGGGCACTCCGGATGACGATGTGATGTGAGGAAGCAGACTTTTTGCGTGTGCAGTGTTCGTTTGGATGAACATACATGATATAATTTTCCGGGAGTGTTAGGATATGCATTGGGTTGGGTGGATGATCTGGATCATGGGAGGTGTTTTGTCTCTGGACTATGATTTACGGAGTTTGGTTGTTGGCCGTAGAGTTAGCCAGCTATTTTGCGCACATCTACATTGATCGAATCTTGGGACATCTCACTCGAAGTCTATATCTCAACCGGGACAATGCTGCCCGAACTCCTCTGTTCCTCCCCGCATTTCGCCCCAAGCAACGACAAAAACTGCACCAATGAACACCATCCTCCATCCTTCGCGAGATTGGACTGGCTACCTCTCCAACCCCGTGCAGATCCTCTGCGCAGGTGTTTTCCCGTCCGCAAGATGCCGCTGGAGGTATAACTATAGGCCGTGCAGAGGACATCACCCAGAATACAGACTAACAGTCAACCATGAAGCTGCCCATCGTAACAATGGGCTTCTCAGCGCCTTCTGTACTATACCTACTTCTATTACTTTTGATAGGTGTCCGCGCTAGCCCAGTATCCGACACTGACAATCTGCTCGTCCATCTGGACTACGGCTCCTTCCAAGGAAACTATGACTCGACCTACAACCTGTCATACTTCCGCAAGATCCCCTTCGCCTCGCCGCCAACGGGGATGAACCGCTTCCGGGCGCCGCAGCCGCCGCAGAAGATCTCTGGCGTGTATAACACAGACCAGGACTTCGACATGTGTCCGCAGCGCACAGTCAATGGCTCCGAAGACTGTCTGTACCTAGGCCTATTCTCTCGTCCCTATAAGCCAGCAACGAATCCACGCCGTCCAGTACTGGTTGTGTTTTATGGCGGGGCTTTCATTGAGGGCTCTGCCTCGTTCAAGATGCCTCCCTCTTCATACCCAGTGCTGAACGTGAGCACGCTCAATGATTACATCGTCGTATACCCCAACTACCGCGTAAACGCCTTCGGCTTCCTCCCGGGGAAAGCGATCAAGAACTCTCGAGACTCAGATCTCAACCCGGGACTCTTGGACCAGCAATACGCCCTAAAATGGGTGCAGCAGCACATCACCCAGTTCGGCGGTGATCCAGGCAACGTAACGATATGGGGCCAGTCGGCGGGCGGGGGGTCAGTTGTTGCGCAAGTACTAGCGAACGGACGGCATGGCCAGCCGAGACTCTTCTCCAAGGCGCTGGCCTCGTCACCCTTTTGGCCGAAGACGTACCGATATGACGCGCCGCAAGCGGAAGCGCTTTACGACCAGCTTGCTAATCTGACAGGGTGTGCGAGCTCTCATCATGAGACTGAGACGCTGGAATGTTTGAAGTCTGTTGATGTGCAGATTCTGCGTAATGCGAGCTTGATCATCGATGCGGATAATACATACACGACGAGCTCGTATACCTGGGCTCCTGTTATCGATGGCGAGTTCTTGGTTGATACACTCTCCGACGCTGTATCCCGCAACACCCTGAATACGGAGTTTGTCTGGGGGATGTATAACACGCACGAGGGACAGAATTTTATTCCGCCGGACCTGGATGGTACCGCTTCAGAGGACGGGTATAATTCCTCTGTGGCTAGTTTCCGGGAGTGGGTGAATGGATTCTTGCCTGGGCTGTCTGCGAGGCAGATACGGGCCGTCGAGTCTGTTTATTATCCGCCTGTCGGGAGCTCGGAGACTATCTCGCAGTATAATTCGACGTTTATCCGTGCTGGCTTGATTTACAGGGATGTTGTGCTCTCTTGCCCGGCGTATTGGGTTGCGTCTGCGGCGACGGGGCGGGGGTATGTGGGCGAATATACCATTCCGCCTGCTACGCATGGCAGTGATTTTATCTGGGTTTGTTTTGCTTCTTCTTCTCCTCCTTTTACAACCATGACTAACTAACGATAATACAGTGGGACGTCATAAATTCCGCCCAAGAAACAAATCCGCTGGTGTACGACGGCTACGCCGGTGCATTCGCCAGCTTCTTTGAAACGGGCGATCCCAACGCACATAAGTTGACCAATTCCTCTGAGCCCGGGGTGCCAGAGTTGCAGGAGACGGGGAAGGAGTTTGTGATTGTTGAGGATGGGTTTGAGAATGTGGAGATCTTGCAGTTGAAGAAGAGGTGTGAGTTTTGGAGGAGTGTTGCGAAGAACATCCCTATTTAGTTTAAGCAATACAATATTCCCTCCATTGAGGAGGGAAGCAAGACAGAAGTGGGATGGGAGTAGAATCAAGTATATTCAGGCCAGCCCCTATAATATCGTACACATCGCCTAGGGCATCGGGTATTTAGTTCGTCTTTCCAACGTCGTTTATGATACAAATAGGTATGATAGTAGTTATACAAAATGCAGTATTAGATCAGATCAGATCAGATCAGATCAGATCAGTGCTTGACCGCGGAACATGCCCTCGCGCACTTCGCGGACCACGTCCTTGCGGTCCTTCTTGCCGACAAGCACAACACCACGACCACGCTTGCCCATACGGCCGAGTCGGCCGAGACGGTGGATGAAGTCGATCGTTGTGTGCGGCACATGATAAAGGATGACCGTCCTCACGGCCAAAGTGTCGATACCGCGCGAGGCGATATCGGTGGTCACCAGGACCTTGGTGTCGGCCAGACGGCGGGTGGGCCTGTCCTCTTTCTCCAGGACGAAGGGGATAGCCTTATCTTGCTTGCGGCGCTTGTTGGCCAGCATGATCTCCTCGGAGGTTGGGGGAGTAGCGACGTCGGTGAATTCGGCCAGGATTTCTTCGTGTTTGCGAGAGCTGGAATCCCGGGATAATGACACCGCATCGATTCCCTTGGACTGAAGGAACTCTGCTACTTCCTCGGCTTCCTCGCGCTCGTTGACAAACACGATGATCTTCTTCACTCGCGGCTCCATGTATTGCTCCAGTTGCCCAGCAGATTCCTCGGGACCGGCTTTACCGATCGACCAGATCACATCGGCGCAGGCGAGATTGCGGTGTCCGCGGTACGGGTCTTTTTCGATGTCCACCACGCCCAGCTGCACGCGGCGCGGGATGGCGTGTAGTTTGGGAGTTGTCAATCGTTTGATGTCCGGATAGAGTTTGCGAAGTTGGGTGTCGAGACTGCGGGGAATGGTGGCCGAGCAAAAAATCAATTTCTTGAGAGACGGGGCGACCTTGTCGATGATCTCGGTGGTGGTTGGTCGGAAGGATTTGTCCATCAGGGAATCGGCTTCGTCGAGGACCAGGTGGCTGACACGACTGAGGACGTAAGGGTTCGTCTTGGCAATAGACGACAGAAGATGCGGTGTCGAAACTAGAATGTCAATTCCACTCGGGTGGAAGAGCGTGTTCTTGATCCGACGCGGACTGAGGTTTGAAGAGATCATGCCAGACCGGTACTTGACTGTATGGGCGAGAGCCTTGACCGTCGATCCGACCTGGGCCACCAGCTCCGATGTAGGAACCAAGATGATGACTCTAGGACGACCAGCATCAGTCATCGGCGCTTCCTCCGGCTCCAGCTCGAATGTGCGGTTCTTCAGCCGCTCTTCTCGCTCTTTTGCCTTTTGTTCCTCAATCACCTTCTGCTCTTCCAGGTCGCGTACTTCGCTGCGCTTGGCTGCATCCACTACCGGAAGCAGGTAGGCCAATGTCTTTCCTGAGCCCGTTTCTGCGGCGAGAAGATACTGGTCGTACTGTGGCTCGCCAGCCTCCTCCTTCTTTGCTTTTTTCTTGTTTCCAGATCCCTCGTCCAGGAGTTGTGGTATGGCAAGACGTTGGATCGGTGTCGGAGTGACATTGGCGATCCCCGGGAGCGCCTGGGAGAAAATCGCCTGTCGCACCGCGGGCAGTAAGGGGAAATGATCGAAGCTGGTGATGCTTGCAATCTTGGACTTGATTGCCGTCCGGCGGCCATATCCAATTGGCGCCAGCATTGTCTGCATTTTTAATGCTTTGTACAGCGGGCTTTCCTTCTTCTTGTCCGGTTTGTCGTCTTCTCCGGATCGCTTCTGCGCGGCTGCCGACCTGGAGCGTGGTGCAGCGCCTCCAATGCGGGGGGCCACGGTTTGGTTCATGCCAGAAAAGGGGCCCCTCCAATCTCTATTAGGCTTTGCACTTTTCAACGAGCTCCTTCCGGCATTAGGAGACAGGGCCATTCGAGATGCCTTGCGGCGCGTTCGGAGGGTGGCCATGGATCGCGTGGCCTGCCATGATATCGGAAGCACCGAGGGAGAAGGGGGTATTGTCGTGCGTGTTCGACATAAAAGACAGACGGAGGAACGAATGGGCAGAGGCATTATTCTGCCTGATCGTAGAGTGGACGAGGAGTGAGTGACTATGAAATGATGCGACGAGAAAAAAATAATGAGCCAGAATGCGTTCCCTGACGCTAGTCTATTCTGGGTCTAGCCCCGAATATCAGTCAAGCACATACATGTGACCACACGTGATCCGCTGATTCCCTGATTCATCCCCCGCCTGTCGTTGCCCCAGCGACTCCCGGTCCCCCAAACACTAACAAACCCACTCTCCGATCCATGGTATCTGCCACAACAATATCCATAATCAAGATCCCCATCCCGATCTCCTTTTTGTCTCTCCCCTGCTCGTGTTGTCATCCCTTCCATCCCTTCGTCCCTGCGTCAGTTTCCATAAATTATTGCACGATCTGACCCTTCGACGGTGTGTTGACGCACTGGCATTCTTGCTTCGATCGACACTCCCTTGTACACTTTCGCAGCGAATGTACAGCACCTCGTCTGCAAACAACTCCCACCCGGCCTGAACGAAAAGGTATGTTTGTTTGGACACGGAGGACATTACTCAACCTACTGTGGTCCCTGGTCGAAGTTTTGTATTGACGCAATGGCAGATATCCCTTTTCACCGTTTGTTTACTTGCTCATCACCATCGCGCCCTGGTTTCCATACACACTCAACATCAGCCATGGGTCTTGGAGCGGGCCAACGGCCACTTTCTGAAGTGAGCCCGATGGCGCCTCGACGCAACTCACCCAGCTGGAATCAAGTCTCAAAGGTAACGCGGCACCCGCAAATATCGCGCGATAAACAAACGGCTGACTTCGCAAACAGACACCCAGCGGTGACTCGGCTGCGTACGATGGGTCTCCCTTGAACAACTCTTCTTCCCCGCGCCTTTTCTGGAAAGGTCGTGACTCTCCTACTCCCTACAACAAGGGTAGCGAAAACCGAAACCCTTATGACCCCGAGGGCTCGTACTTCCCGTCCCAGCGGCCCTCCCTGGAGGACCTCAAGCGCGTGTCGCGCGTCAAGAACCACAACATGTTCCGCGAGAGCGGGCAAGAATACGATCCGACCCAAGTGTCAGTGCCACGTCGGTCCTGGGCCGCCGAGCGCTCGCCCCAGCGGGAGAGCCTCATCAACATGGCCAAGTCGCAATACGACGACAGCCCCGCGACTCAGACACCTCGCCCTCCTTCTCCCAGCAAAGACCAACCTTCACCGGGCAAGTCTTCTCTATCCAAGGGAAGCCGTTACGGCAAGGGCTTTGACCCTCAGAGCGACATCTGGTCGGAGTTTGACAGCATCGGTCATCGTCATGCTAAGAGCGTGACGTTTGACGTTGCACCTCCGCAGGTCAATGAATACGAAATGACCACCCCAGATCCATCCTCTGTTGCATCTGGATCTCGTGAGAATAGCTACGATTCCGAGGACGATGAAGATATCAGCTTCGAGCATGAGTCATCAGTCGAGCACGAGGATAGCTTTGACGCTTCTTTGGAGGACATCGAGAAAACTCCGGTCGTGCTTCCCGATGACTGGCGCTTCATGAGCCCCGCAAATGATGGGGAAGACGGAGATCCCTTCGTTGAACACCCCGAGAGTCGCAGCACGAACGCCCACCCGGAAAGAGAGTCCGCTCAGCACGAACGAGTCGAGTCTCTTGATTCTAATGGCGATCCACGCCCTCTGCCGCCCTTGCCCTCTGTCAACCGCCTTTCTGGCTCTGGTCCCACTTCGCCCAGCAGACTGGCTGCTGCTTTTGAATTGGGCAGTGGTGCCCAGCGCATCCTGCCAGCACCTCCCTCCCCGGCCTCCTACAGCAAGTCAGACCTCGGTGGCCGCATGTCTCTTGAGGAACGTCTACGTCTTATGATGCTCCAAGAGGATGAGGTAGATGATGACGATAAAGAAAACGCGGCTCTTCGCGAATCGCGACTGAGACCCTCCAGCCTGGTGAAAAGTTCCGACAAGAAGGAGTCCGATGAATCTCAGGACAACTTCTTCTCACCTCCCCGAATTTCTCGTGACTCCATTTTGAGAGACATCCGCAAAAGCGAGAGCTACGAGGAGGATGACGACGAGGATGATATCTCCCAGATGGCCTTTAGTCCTCACCATTACGACCATTACGACCCTGACGTCCCAATTCCTTCGCTGGAAAATGATGATGACGATGATAGTGGCAGTGTGATCGTCAAGGAAGAGGAGCACGAACACGATCTCTACGCGATTCCCGATCACTTCCAGAATCTTTCAGACAACAGTCTGTCTTCCAACGGTACCCGAGCTCAATATGACGAAGACAGCAGCTACTCTCTTCACGACGCTGCGGGAAGTGACGGCACTGACTCTGGACACACCACACCGGTGCCTGAGGAGCAGACTGAGCCTGCCCCGCAGCCGAGCGCGGAACCGAATGACCTGTCGGAGAAGGGTGAAGCTGGACCCTTGGACATGGTTTCTATTCGAGAGTCACTGGGACTTCGCCCCTCTACTCCAGAGCAGCAGGAGGAGCAGGTTTCCGAGCCTGGAACTCCTGACTCCGTCATTCGCCATCCCGTCGAGGACGAGGAAGACGATGAAGAGAAGGAAGACAGTTCGTCTGATGAGGCGGTCCCTGAGCCGGTTGCAACTGTCCGGGCTCCTGGTGCTGGTCTCAAGGTTCGGCCCTCGCTGACTCCGGCAGATATGGAATCGATGGCTGCCACTCGCCGCAAGATTAGTGGCCAGCATGATGCCATGCCGCAGCTAACCAAGCAGATATCAAACGAGTCGGACGAGACCGTTGGTGCTTCTGGTTCCCTTGCACCGCAGCTGGCCTTGCCAACCAGTTTGGCTCACCGACAACCGAGCTTGATGAAGTTGGACATCCCGTTCAGCATTCAGGAAGAAAGCCTTGGCTCCGGTCTCGACAAAGAATTTGACCGCGTTATTGAATCCCAAAAGGTGGCGTTTGAACTCGCTCTTTCCCAAATTTCAACTCGTGACCCGCGACTCCCTCCCCTGGGAGACCCCCAGGATTCTCAGAACAACAACTCAGTCTTTCTTCCACCCTTTGCTAACACTTCCCGTCCCAAACAGAGAGGATACCTGATGCGCCAGAACACGAAGGTTATCATTGCGAGCAGTCGCAACGAAGAGCCAGCCGTCCCTGCTGAGCCTGCCCCCGTCGATCCTCGCGGCACACGGTCTGCTGGCTCTTCCCCCCGCAAGGCCAGCCAGCAAACTTGGACCACGGAGCCTTGGAATGGACGGATGCGACGTCCTAGTGTGAAGACTCCAGCGGGTATCCCTAAGAAGAAGCCTGTTCCCTCCGGACCTGCGCCGCCACTCCCAGGCCAACAGAGCAACGTTCAGGAGGCAACCGCCCCTCTTGAGGAGACTGAGCCTCAGCTAAATGAAATTTTCGAGGAAGGCGAAGAAAGAGGCCGCCTCTTCGTTAAAGTTGTCGGTATCAAGTACCTGGACCTTCCACTCCCGCGAGGTAAGAATATCCTTTTCTGTTGATTAGACCAACCACTGACCTTGATACAAGGCGAACGATCCCACTTCGCATTGACTCTGGACAATGGCTTGCACTGTGTAACCACTGCGTGGTTGGAGCTGGGCAAGTCTGCTCCTATTGGACAAGAGTTTGAGCTCATGGTGCAGAACGATCTTGAGTTCCAGTTGACCTTGCAAATGAAGCTCGACGAGAGCAAGTTCCAGACTCAGGAGAATGCTGCATCCTCGCCCTCGCGCCAGAAGGCCTCCGCTCTCAGCCGAGTCTTTGCTTCCCCGCGCCGCCGCAAGGAGCAGCTTGACTTGAAGCAGCAGTCTCTGCAGAAGGCCAAGGACGTCAACGCTCCGGTTTATGAACGACTTCGAAACCTCGTTTCCCGCGACGGAAGCTTTGGCCGCGCATATGTCTCATTGAGCGACCATGAGCAGTATGCCTTTGGTCGGCCTTACACTGTGGACGTGGCTTGCTTTAACGAATGGGCTGTCGAGGAGACCCCCAGCAGCGTGAAGAGCAAGAAGAGTGCCACCAGCGTCAATTCCCAGCGTCGTCCTCCGTACAAAATTGGGAAGCTTGAGCTGCAGTTGCTGTTTGTCCCCAAACCCAAGGGCGTCAAGGACGACGACATGCCCAAGAGCATGAATGCCTGCATTCGTGAGATGCGTGATGCAGAGAGTGTTGCAGCGCGCACTTGGGAAGGCTTCCTTTCTCAGCAAGGTGGAGATTGTCCGTTCTGGCGTCGTCGCCTCTTCAAGCTTCAGGGCTCCAAATTGACGGCCTATCACGAGACCACGCGTCAGCCACGCGCAACAATTAACCTCGCCAAGGCGGCCAAATTGATCGATGACCGATCTTCCCTCACCCAGAAGCAAACCAGCACCAAGGGCGGTGGTCGCCGCAAATCAGCCTTTGCTGAAGAAGAGGAGGGTTACATGTTTGTTGAAGAGGGCTTCCGCATCCGCTTCGCTAACGGCGAGGTGATTGACTTCTACGCCGACAACGCCGCAGATAAAGAGGGATGGTTGCGAGTCATGTCTGAAGTTGTTGGCAAAGGCTCTTCTGGCAACGGAGCAGTCAAGGCTTGGGCAGATTTTGTCCTCAAACGTGAGCGCAGCATGCTGAAGTCGAGACGTCAGACTACCAACGATCGACAGGCTGCCCCTCCTGGCCCGCCCTCGCCCATTGCGAAGCGGCCCATGACAGCAGCCCCAGCTCTCAAAGGACCGGCGGCGCAGGCGCCCCAGTCTTCTCGTCCAAGACACAAACACACCTTCTCTCAGCCTGAGGTTCGCGGAACGGACTCCCGGCACCAGAAGACTCGCTCCTTGATCTTCTAATATGTGTCTTTGCTTCTAATGGTATTTCAACGCCCCATTCGCTTCTTCTGTCCATGATGCCAAGCTGTTACCATACCATACCTGCTTTTTGATTCCCTTGTGGGATGTTCATCGCATTGATCCCCCTCCCCACCCATAACTTTGGAATTTTTTTTATCTCCGAAGGCGTTGGTGTATGATGCGTCCTCGTTCTTTTGTTCTACTTTCTTTTTTGTCGAGTCTTTTCTTCTCTGTTTCAAGAACTGCTCCAAGCAGATGAGTGAATGTGTCGGTTCCATGGGTGATATGACAAGTTTATGACCCCAAACCCAGGACAGACGATCATCTCATGACCCTTGAGCTTCCTGTTGTACGTTAATGCTACATACGCCTTACTCTTCTTTCCTTCACCAGTTGATAATTGAGTTATTTCCTTTCCTTATCCCGTATATTGCATCAATCGTAGTCTGTTCGTACCATGTGGACAAAATTCACGAGAAATAAAGACTCCAAACATCTCCCAACCGCTCATTACTCTCCCCCAACCCACCTTGAACAATAATCTTATTCTCGTTAATAATATCAGCATCAAACCAGCCTCGAGCAGCAGGACGGTGTCCCTCTGCGTCAGCTTGCCCATCAACCTGAACCCAGACTTTACCCCCAAGATCAAAAGCCCAAACATCATCCAGCATCTTCCCCGCGCCTTGATGTCCCAATGAACTAGGATCCCGCTCCCCAAACAACGTAACCAAATATTTTCTCCCATCAACAGTAACAGGAAGCAAAGCCCCAACACTGCGGGGCGTCGGTCCAGAAACCCCGTCGGGAGTATAACTAACCGTCGTCCACGAGTCCGTTCCGGGATCATAAATATCCACAGAACCACCCTGCTCGGTCACCCCATCGAAACCATTCATACGGTACAGCAATCCCTCCGCGAACGCGATGGATGTACCACCACGCGCGGGATCCGGCGCAGATGCGAGTTGGGTCCATTGCTTCGAGGATAAACTGAATGCCCAAAGATCGGATAGGCGGCCTTTCTCGGGACATCCGGCGTGCAGATAGAGGGTGTCGTTTCCGTCGCTGGCCATGCAGTGGTAGCTGCGCGCGGCGGGGATAGGGCTTGAATCAGTCGGGGCGACGAGTGTCCATTTTGATGATGTAGCATCGAGCATCCATAGCGAGCCCTGCTCATCGATTGGCGCCATTGCTACTCCGCCCCGGCCGGAGAAAAGATAGATTTGGTTGTTTAGAGTTGTTGATGCGGATCCGACTCGTGGAGATGGAGAGGGGGATTGGGCGGTCGATGGGGTGGTTGTTAGGTGAGCGGTGTCTGTGTATTGGTTATGGTTTTAGATGATGGCTGTATTCTTGCAAAGAGAGAGGGAGAGAGACACGCATACCGTTTTCTAGCGAAAGGATATGGATATCATTATCTCGCGGCTCGCGTGGTCGTAGCTCGCCTCCGAAAATGTAGACTTGGTTATTTGCCACGGAGACGATCTGAGACGAGCGGCGCAGAATGTCGGATTCGTGGATGGAGCGCCATTTTGCTGTGAGGTTGGGCATGGTTGCGGAAAATGAGATTAGTGATGTAGGGGACTCTCAAAAGTGCCTTGGGGTCGTTTCTACTTATGTACAAGAGAAAAGAGAGAGGGTGGTATGATCTGGAAGACACGGATGCCGATTGAAGTGTTGTTGGTGGGGGGAGGACCTTGTGGACGAAGTACCTTGTGGTTTTACAGTGGGATGAGCGTTAATTGGGCTTTGATTGGGTAAGCAGTCGATTTTAACTTTAGCGAGTACAGTATTAACGGCTAGTTTTGATTTTTAAGCTGTGTTCATAGGGTGCAATGCATGAACTGAATTATTGATATGCCTCGAGTTGGGTCGGAACTTGACATTCTGACCGGCATGGATTATTCTTGGCTGAGGCTGCCTATGAAGCTATGATCATTTATATTGATACTATTCCAGATTCATTACTGTAGCTGCTCAATGGCTGTAGTGACAGTGGCTTAAGAAGCCGTCTTGGCTTTATTATGGACCCATGCTATTAGGCACTGTCAGAAATTCTCTAGAAAAAGTGTTCAAATGTAATGCCCCAACATCGGGACTAACTCCACAAAATGTTGATCTTTGACCACCGAGACTTAGGACCCTCTGGCGGATCAGGATCGTTCTCTGCAATCTCCACGAACCTCGCAACGGGCGACTCATCCAAAGAGACAATCTTGGTGCGATACCAGATCTTATATCCAAAGTAGAGAGCAGCGAAAATACCAATGTCAAGATAGGCGGAGATGAATGTCTCGGTTGACCAGCTGTGACAAACCTGTTAGTTTCTCGTATTTCATCCAAAACCGGAAGGGTCAACTGAACTTACTGCCCGTGGATAAAAGTAGTATAACCACCCGTCAACAAAATAATAGAAAGCGAAATCAGGGTCATCCACGCCGCATATGGCTGAAAGGGCGCTTTCCAGGGTAGCCTCGTTCGAGAAATACCTTGCTTCTTCATGGCGTAGTAGAAGCGCAGATACGTAGTGCAGATAACCAGCCAACTCATGATTTGTGCACATGCTACTAGATCCTGGAGCCACGTGAACACCGTTTCGGCAGTGGCGCTGACGGACATGTAGCCTAGGGCCATCCACATTCCGATTCCGAGGACGCCCATGTACGGCACGCCCCAGCGGCTGGTGCGGGCTAGGAAGCGCGGAGCTTGGCCCTCCCGAGCTAGGCCGTAGAGAATGCGGGAGCCGCTGAGCAGAGCTGCAGATTTTTAGTATGTTCTACCGGATGGTTAGATGGGGACACACTTGAGTTGCCTGAGCTCCATGCGCTGGTCAATACGATCGCATTGATGATGTGAGGCACTACCTTCACATTGGAACGGTTTGCGGCGATGAGGAATGGTGACTGGGCGGCTGTCCCGGTGCTTCTTAGAAGCATTTTGTCGTTAGAGGGAACGAGCAGGGTAATCATGAAGACAGATATGACTGGGACATGTTAGATACTGGCATTTGAAAAGGGTGGGGTAGAGAATACTATAGAACAGCGCGACGCGGACGAAAACTCTTTTAGCGGCTTTGGGAATATTTCTTCGCGGCGCATATGTCTCTGCTGCGGCCATGGAGATTGTCTCGACCGAGGAATAGGCATACGCGGCGTTGGCGAAGACCGACCAGAATCCCATAAAACGTCCCAATGCTCCCGGAACGCCGAGGTACTGAACAAAAGGACCAGGGTCATGCCAGTATTTAAAGCCGATAGCTCGGTGATCGGGACCGCCTCCTGCGGTGAGTACAAGGCCCTGGAAACGTTAGCATATCATCACCAAATGAATTTAACGACTGGTATAATACCATAATATTCATGCCGACAACCAGGCAGACTTTCAAAATGGCAAATGTGAATTCCACTTCTCCGTAGATACGAACAAGAAAAATGTTGCTTGCAAAGAGAATTGCGCTGAAAACCGTCACCCAAATGGCGTTGTTGACAGTCACCCAGAACTGTACGATCACTGCAGCCGCGGAGATCTCAGCGGGGATGGAGATGAGATACTGATATGTGACGTTCCAGCCTTGCGCAAAGGAGAAAGCAGGGTCCACAAAGTAAGCAGCAGGTCGGATAACACCTCCACTAAGGGGAATAAGAGCGCTCAGTTCTCCAATGGAAAGCGTTACACCCGAGATCAATATTCCCATTATTGTATACCCCATGCTGCGGGTAGATTAGAAATTGTTAGGCATATATGAAGTTAAAACGCACAAAATACCTGCTGGTCCGGCATCGGCTAACGCTCGTCCGGAGCCAAGGAAAAGTCCCGTTCCAATCGTGCCTGCTAATGCGATCATCTGAATGTGGCGCTGCTTCAGGCCCTTTCTGCATTGAAAGTCAGAAATAAGAGACAAATGACCTGAATACTCCGATCGAACCTCAGTTCTTTCACCTCTGCCATTTCAGGAGCATCTGCTCCGTCGGGGTCTTTGGTCTTTTCAACATCATAGGTTTGGGTGCTAGGCACTTGGGTATTGTCAATATCGTCCGTCATCCCTTCAGTAAACTGTGCTACTCTGGCTGGTTTCGTATAATTGTAGGAAGAGCTTTTCGGAGCAATCAGCGGCCTGTAGCCTTCATATGTCTTAAGGCCTAAGATAAACAACTGGAGAAGATAAGATAGCCCACGAATAGCGTGGGCAGCGCTGTAACCTTGAACCGAACATGCGTGGGGGTGATGGGGGGCAAACCTTTTAAACGAAAGTATAAATGGCGGACTTGCCTTCTTAGGATATTTGCTAGCAGGTATCGGAGTGTTACCGAGTGCTCTGCGCCGATCCATCCTTTTCTTTGCGGGGAAGAGGACTCGACTACCGAGGTTGCCCGACCGGAGATATCTATTACTTGCGAAGGTCCACTGCTTCTACGATAAACAGAGTGCAGGGGAATTGGGTTTGGACCTGCGTGGACTTTGGCTTGCTCTTTCGAACCACATGGTATCCCATCAACTCAATTGAGTGCACATATATAGTTAAAAGCTTTCAGGCACGGGTATGATTAACGCTGCGGCATTTGGCCTTCGGGAATTGTAGTTTCTTAGAAGGCGGCTAGTTAGTCATTCTCTCTACAATTAAACGACCATCCATGGGTCTCTGCGAACGCTGTCCAATCCATGAGTATTGTCATGTGACCAGACAAGAAATATAAGAAAAGTCAATTCTGATGTCGGAGCAGCAGTCTTATATTCCTTAGATAGACAGGTAGGTAAACATGAATATAGAAATCAAACCTTGACGTTCTAAGGAGGCTACTTTGCGATTGTGCTTGTGTTGCCTCCTCTCTTTCGTCTGATGGCGTCATCGACTCTGTGACACTTTACAAGATTTAGGGTGCCATCTGGCTACAGATAGGGAATATATTACAAAACCCCTCCGTGATTTTCTTTCCCTCACCTCACCGTCGTCAAATCTCCCTCAATTACTGCGTTCCGCGTACATTCACCATGCCTGTCAAAGAAATCACCTCGTACGTCCCTCCCCATCCCGAAGTATATCCTGACCCACTCACTAACTGACAACCCACCGTATAGAATGCAAGACTTCAATGAGGCCCTATTCACCGACGGCAGCGTAGTGGTTCTCGACAGCTGGGCGAAATCGTCCAAACCATGCGAAGCCATCGCCCCGGTGATGGAGGAGCTCAGCGAGAAGTTCGACCACGCTAGATTCTACAAGATGGATGTGGGCGCTGTCGACGATGTTGCGCAGGAGCTTGGTATTAGCGTCACACCGACGGTTCTTCTTTTCAGGGATGGGCTGAAGATCACGGAGGTTGTGGGGGCTCATCCGAAGACCATTGAGAATGCGATCCACGAAGCGCTTCCTTCTGAGATTCATGGGGTTGGGGAGACATAGGCTACGTACCTAATTCTTTTGGGTGAAAGTAGCCTAGGAGATCGGGGAGCAGGGGAGGAAGTGGACAGATAATGATGAATGGAGGGGGTTTGGATTTGGGATAGTACCGTTGATTTTGCATGGCCATCAGACTGGAAGTTGTACCGGAGGATTCGCTGATTAGCTATGATTTTAACCATACCAGGATTATATTATATGACATCTAGTATATGTCCATATAGTATATCTCCGCTCATCTCAACTCGTCACAAAGCTATAACGATGCACAAAACAGCCAAGCCCTAGGTTTAAAAGTTAGGTCTTCCCGGCAGTGACACTCTCCTCATCCTCCGTCCGCACAGGCTTCTCCAATGGCCCCGGATGCGCAAAGAAAGTCGCAATGAAGTTCCCAATATGAGTTGAACGCAGAGCAATGGACCAAAACAAAGTCAACCCCGTAACAACAATCTCATCATGAACAGCCTCATCGCCCGCCTTAGGACCCAGAAACTCAAATTTGCCAATCTTTTTCGTCGCCCAGATATTCATCGACCATCTTGCGACCGGATTCTGGCATTCGTCGACGCAGACAAATTCCCAAGTCTTGAATCCCGTGCTGCTCGTCCAGGTCATCGTCATTGGAACCTTGGGGTTGTCGGAGTAAACATATGAGAGGTGTGCGTATACTCTTTTCCACCGCTTCAAAGTTTTGAGTGTGCGCTTCTGTCCGTGGAGCTCGTATTCGGCGTCGATGTGGAAGGTGTGGAGAGTTCCGGTGCCGATGGTTGTAGTCGTCAGGTCATCGCCGACACGTTTGTGCTCTATTTGAGGCCTTCTCGTGTTATGGAACCCGACCCTGTAGACTGGTTTGCTCTTCGGATCGCTAGCTTTGGAGATGTTGGCTTTCCATTTCCTGTAGTCAAATTCAACGTTTAGGGCGTGGATCTCGGTTTTGGTGGAGATGTTGGAAGAGGTATCATTTGATGCTGAGGGCATGGTGTGTGTTTGAGAGAGATGAATACGCAGTTGAGTTTGATTTGATAAGAAGAAATTGAGCCCTTTTTATACTCCAGGGGTCGTGTGGGCTAAAGAAGCGCAAGGCTGCGTGCGGGTGGGTGGACGCGTCTGCGCCTGTGGGATGATAGGTGCTGCGAGCGAATCGGGAACCTATAACTAGCCGTATGGGATCATCGACAGTAGATGAAGAACGCATCGGATGATTTGGAGATGGTGATATATACGGTTAAACGCCAGGAGGATTGAATTCGGAAGGGGCTAGGTCGAAGTCTGATAGAACGCGATAGCAATTCCTTACCTTCACTAAATCTATCCGAGAAACTTCCGGAAGATGAGATGTGAACAGCTTCAGGAATTAAGCATACTAGTAATGGTGTACGCGCTCTTGGCGCCTGTTCCTGCATTGAATCATGTATTGACAGTCTAAAATTTACGGCAGAAAGTATGCATATCCGCGATCAGAAAACCCCTTGATTCTAATCTAGACAGAGATAAATGAGTGTGAAATTGTACAGAGAAGACAGTCCTAAATTCTAATCTTGATAACAGCTTATCCTCGTCACTCCAGATCCCAAAAAATCAAAACGCTTAAGCCAGCATGGCGAGAGCGATGCCCGCAATGATCATGCCAAAGGCCGAGCCCGAGGCGCGGGTGGCAGCGTTGGGGGTCGAGGTAGGCGAGGGAGAGCCGGAGGCGGAGCCGGAACCAGAGGCCTTGGTAGATGTGGCACCAGCAGAGCTGGAGCCCTTGCCACCGCTGGAGCTCTTGCCACCGCTGGCGCTGGAGGAGGAGCCGGAGCTGCTGCCGGTGGAAGTGGTCGAGCCGGAGGAAGAGCCGTTGCCAGACGACGACGATGCCGAGGTGCTAGATGAGCCCGAGGAAGAGCCGGTGGAAGAGCCGGCGGACGAGGAGGCGGAGTGCTTGGGGCAGGTCAGGTCGAACAGAGGCTTGGTGCTCAGGGTGGTGCCGACGATGCCGAAGCTGGGGTTGGGAGTGGCAGAGGCGTCGGCGTCCTGCAGGGTGTACCAGTAGGTGTTGACCTTGCCGAACAGGGGGCAGCCGACCTGGTCCCAGTACTGCTTGGCGTTGGCAATGGAGGCGACACCCTGGTTCTCGGTCGAGCCGCTGACGGGCCAGCCAGTCTCCGTGATCCAGACATCCTTACCACCAGCAGCGGACTTGGTCTTGGCGACGGCGTCGTTGAACAGGGACAGGCCGTCGTCGATCGAGTTGGCCATGGTGTTCTGGAAGTATGGGTAGCCGTCGAAGCCGAGCCAGTCAACTGCGTCGTTCACGGCCGAGTTGGAGCTGTTGACCCAGGAGGTCCAGGTGTCGACGTGGCCGATGGGGGCGCCGCTGAGGCCGGTACCCTTGATCAGGGAGCGGACCTGGTTGATGTAGTCGACCAGCTCGTCGGGCTGGACACCGGGGCCAGCGTTGGACTTCTCTCCAGTGGGCGAGTTGCGGTAGAGATCCTCACTGCCGACCGAGATACCAACCACCAGCTTGGCGAACTGGTCGCCGTACTGGCTGATGGCAGACTTCAGTGCAGCCAGCTCGTTGTCCGTGTTGCCACCGGAAGTCCAGAGACCCAGGAGCAGGGTGGTGTCAGACGCAATGGCGGCGGGGATGGCCGAGATGGGGTCGTTGGTGGTGCCACCCTGGATCATGGTGTACAGACGGGCGCTGTTGAAACCCTCGGTGCCGACGAGGCCCTTGGCGGTCTTGAATAGCTCCTGGAACTGTGACTGGGTGCGGCTGCTGCCATCGCCGTTGGTGCTACCGTAGTTGAACCCCTGGAGGGCGGCCTGAGACGTGCCCAGCGACAGGGCGAGGGCCAAAAGACTGGTGAAATGCATAATGACTGTGAAAGAAAATACAGAGAAAGAAGGAGATAAAAGAGTGTTGTGAAAGGGGGGTTAAAAAAAAAGCGAGAGTGGTGAGAAATTGGGAGAGTTGAAGGAGAGAAGAAAACAAGCCACAAGGAGAGACATGTTTAAAAGGGGACCGCGGCAAAATCTAGACTTACGCCACTGAGACAGGGGACGGTGGGTCACAGTGGAGCAAGGCCGCGTTGTTCTGTCAGGAGGGAAGGGAGTTGGATTACTTAGCGTGCAGTCACTATACTATTTTTGGAGTGAGGGTCTACCAATAGTTGATTCAGGCTCAATTACTGGTTGGTACCTGTGGCTTGTGTGTTGATTTGCCCCTGGAACGGACGAATCATTCTAGAAGGATCACGTGAAATCCCCGGCCCTCGTCCATGGGTATCGCATCGCTGGTAACGAAAAGAAGAAAGTAAAGGAAAAAATATCACCACACAAAGCCCTGGGGTCCCTGGACGATCGGATTGGTGGAAACATACTTACCAGCTGGCTCGACTCCATTTGGACCATTGTTCGGTATCTGGAACGAGCTGCCTAGAGCGATCGAGTCCGGATCCTCCGCAGCGGCGAGATGGCTAGGCTTCGACACGAAGACCAATGGATCGCGGCAATTCACCTTCCATTGCTGCCCAGACATCGGAACACCGTCTCTGCCGATATCACCCACTTTCCCCGAAGATTTCACGTCTTGAAGGTCGGGGTCCATGAAGCAAGGATAGCGAATCTCACCTGGCATCGGCTGTCCTCGTATGCCTTGCCATCGGCCATTGGCTTGAAGACATGATTGACGGCCTGAGAATGTCCGACCTCCGCGCTGTTGGAGAACTCGTACTCGTTCTCGATAGCCCGGATGACCGGCGCTGTGTTGCGCACATAAATACATTGTGTCGGTCAGGTACCTGTCGACGCGCTCCAAGGCGAGTAGTGGCAGGGAGAGCCTGTATGGTTTCCCGCCGATGAGAGGGATCAGTTGCACGCGGAGCGATAAAGCCATCTCGCCGCTCCCACAAACCACTCTGGGCGCCGTGATCTGGGTGCTCACGACCATAGTAGGGTCAGAATCCATCCGGAGCTTGTCCATCAAGCTCGACTTCCGATGAGAGTTGACCCGCTTGCTGGTGATTTTCATCTGGCCCGAGAGAATGCCCTGGTCTGTATCTGCGCCCACTCGTCTTTGGAAGGGCGACACGTCGTGATGTGCACCCCTTCCTCGACCGAATCGAACTCTTCGATCTTAGAGCCTTAATTCACATAAGATTCTACCACAGCGACGGAGTATGGGATAGCGCCAGACCCTAGTGCTCGGACCCCGGCTGCCAGCGGGTCCTGGGAGCTATGCTCAGAGATGGCGGCAAGGGATGTCCTGTGGCAGACTCGAAGTTCCGGATCCAGACCAGGAGTATGTCGAGTATCCCGGTCTCTTTTTCAATTAATGCACCTGAGAAAAGTTGTCCTGAACGGTATCAGACACTGTCAGGGCGAACCGTGTTGTATTAGACAAACCATAATAGTCCGAAGGGCGAGTGTGTAGACTGGTATACCAATGGCGTTCTGTCTTCAGTGTATGCGGTGAGACGCTGGCGCGGAAAGCCAATTCACAGCTTGCTTCGTCCTTTTGAGGATCACTTGCAACGAGGTCTCGATCCATTCCAACCCTTGACAGTCCCGGTGATTACATCGCAGGGCGCATAGAGTTTGTTAGGGTGATCCAGGGCCAATACAATAGAAGACGACGTCATTTTGTCTCAGGGGTACCTAATAATAGGGTGGGTTTTGAAACACAATAATTGACAATAACATGCGGTCGAGTTGCTGAGGGCGTGTGGCTTTATAGTTTGTCTCCAGGGTTTCCAAGCCTCCAGGGTGCACCAAAGACTCAACCAACATCCCTTTAGTTGCTAGGTGATAATAAAAAGTGGCACAGTAGTTAATTTCAGCCCCAGACGAGGTGACGTGCGGGACCGAAGGAACCTTCGGTCTAAATTGAGAGGGTCTAGAGGCCGATCTAATCCTAACACGGTGCGGCTATGTTGCTTAGCGTGTCGCATTGTCTCACCACAGCCACAAGGATGAGTGTGTTTTAGAGACCAAGCAGTCAGGGGCAATTGTGGCTTGGGCAATAAAGAGGGCGACGAAAAATAATTGGTCGCTCGAAGTATCTTAATTGGCTACAGTAGAGCAATTTGCAAAGAGATAGCTGCAATAGCATGTAGTAATTAATTAATCATAGCTGAGTAGACCATTTTATCATGGCTTTTGGCATGACCATGCTAAGTCTTCTTGATCTCATCGTCGATATACAATAACGTCTCGGTATTCGTCAATCCTCGCGATATCTAAGAGCTGGTGATCTTCTTCTTTGCTTCCCACTCATCCGACAACATCCCCATGTTAATGGCATCCCACCACCTCCCTGCTTTCCACAAACACTGCCTCCGCCGACCCTCATTCACAAAACCAAGATTTTCATACGCCTTCCTTGCCCTTTCATTCCATTCATACACCGTCAGTTCCACACGATGTAAACCCGCAGACAAAAAAGACCAATCAAGCAACCACGAGATAGCCTCCGGCCCGTACCCTTTCCCCTGGTACTGCCGCGCAATACTAATCCCGAGCTCATGTGTTCGATTATGAGCGAGGACGGGCGGTTGCGACTTCAACGAGATCACCCCAATCGTCTCCGGCTCCTTGTCCTTGTCGTCTGGGATGATGCATATCATAACGGACATGAGCATCCTGCTTTCAATCGTTTTTCTCAGATCTTTCAGTTCCTGGATGGCCCTGGGACGTTGGAGAGAGTGCGATGCCATAGATCCGACTACCGGGTCGTTGTAGAGAGCGAGGAAAAATGCATCGTCTTCGGCATTGTCCTCTGGGGCGCGGTAAAGGAGACGTGCGGAGCGATACGGTTCCAATGGGAAAATATCCATTACGCTGGTTGGTAGACTTGAGTCGAGGATGTGGTAGGTCGATAGTTCTGGATGGATTGAAGATTATGGAGAATAATTGGGGCAGGGAAGGGAGTTTATAAGTCGGGGTTGGAGTCGCTTCCTCGGAAGATGGAGTATGTGTGGCGTTCCCAGCTTACCATGTGACTCACCCAATACGAGATGAGACTGGGATTCGAGGCATGGGTCTATAAACAATAGTTCAAATACTCTTAGCCAGGTTGGCTGGTTGACTTGTGGTGATCCTGCACAGTGCGGGGGAGTCATCAAGAGTCAGCAAAGTATATCGGGAGATGCCTAACTAGCCCAGATAAGCCATCTTGCACCGACGCTAACCGTTGCCGGAATTGCAACCCTTTGTAGGTCCTTGACATAACTTGGTCTTTTTGGAGCATGCGCTGTGTATATAGAGTCGGGGTCCCTATTAGAAAAGTGCGGTCCCATTCTGAGTAAGTTCGAGGCTCGTTGATTAAAATTGAGATAGTCGGCTCCGCTCTTCTCATGAATATCCAAATCATTGACCAAACTAACGGTATACTCTTCCATGCTGTGGCGCCTCGACCTCCTCCGCTTGAAAAGCCGCAATGTTCCCTCTCAGACCCCGCGTTCATGACACCCCATTTCAATGGGAGGGTTGCCGTGATAGGATCGATTTCTTTACTTCTCCCAGGAACAGGTTGACAGGCAGCTGATATCGCAAGACTACAGCTGGAAGCAACTGGTATAGCTGATGCAAACTTTCCGAATACTCCCATGCCTATCAAGATGAGGGAGCATAGCCCACCAATGAGGATAACGGTAAGTGTGGCCACTGGTGACCACGCACAAGTCACTACATCCTGGTTTGGAGCCCGATTTCCATCAGTGCTGTAGGCAAACACATTCACAAGAAATAGGCTTTGCGAGATAAGCCAGTGAAGAGCTGCTGCAACTGCCGTCATGGGAACGCTATATCGAAACGGTAAAGAAAAGAAGTAGCTCGTCCGCTGAGAGCCCGTGGGACTGGCTGAAACGCGAAGTCCTTTTCGTTGTACCGCGTATTGACTCCATTCATGAGCCAAGGCCATTGCGCTGAGCAGGCCGTTTATTGCGAAATAGAGCATTGAGAAGATCAGCTGAGGGAAGTTGGCAATCAGCGTATTGGCAATTGTAGAAGTTGGCCAAACGCCGTGTATAAGAGTCTGCGGAGAAGTAGCGCCTAGACCAAGCATCCAAGCCCCTGTATCATCAGTTATAGAACGGAGACCGTAGCACAACAAGAGAATACAAATGGACAAAGCGAGGGTGCAACTGTTCAATTTTGTTAATTAGCTGGCAGAGAGAGAACTCGCAAATAACTTGGAGGCCTTACCACCCCAGAGTGAAACACCAACGGCGATTAGATGCTGCTGAGCCCCATCGCCTCACTTTTGCACTATATATAAAATGTGCAAAACTTTTGACTCCCCTTTGCTCTTTGGCAAGTAGGCATTGATGGCGAGTTGTCGGGTCAGGCTCTTTCAGGTATGAGGCGATCGCATCGCCTATAGTAAGGAGGGGAGCACTATTCATCCGCAAGGCCACAACAAACATGATAGAGACCTTGAGCCAATTGAAAGCGATAACAATTATTGCCAATGGAAGACTGAATTGTAGCAAGCAACGCTCTTGCGTTGTTTCTGCAAGACAATACTGAACCTGATTACCTTGGATCTTCCACTCTGCTGAGTTATCTCTGATGCTCGGTACATAATAATTGCAGTCGTGTTCCCTCGAGCGATCCTGGCAAATCCAGGAGTATGGATCATTTGTATCACCCCCACCGCCGTTGACCACCTTGGTTCCGGCGACGAAGTTAGGCTGGGATTGGCTCATGTTACCAGTGACCAGGAGCAAGCTTCCGTGCGCAGATAGATACGTAACTGCATAGCTGTTTATGCAAGCTTTGTTGTCAAGATGAGCTAGCTCGCCATTGGCTGCCTTTGTTTGGAGACGTGACAGTGTGTCATTGTAAGGAGCATTGGACTTGTAAACAAAGTCTTCACTGCCCACAAGAAAGACATCATAATCATTAGCCGATGTGGTGGAAAATATGGTGGAGTTGTAGCTTTCTAGGTCAGTCTTGCCCGGCATCATTGGTTAAGGCTGTTTTGTATGCTTACAGCAGGTGTAAAGGAAGTGAGGAAAGAACCAAGCCAATCCAAAGAAACAGGTTGATTCGCGACAGAGCACGTAAGTTTTGTACACTCGGAAGCCCAATGTCCAGCCACCGGCGCTTTTGATGAGCCTCATCCAAGTCTTTTCTTGTGGGAGCAGAAAGCCTTTGCTGGAGGTCGGCCGTGTCAGTCCAAGTGCCCTTCGATTAAATGCATAATATGCCACTAACCATGCAGTAGTTGCTTGCTCCTAGAAGAATGGTGCTCAGGATGTTGATGATGAGATGTAATGCAATGCTTTGATTACGGACTTGATCGCATTTCCCGTCACAGAGTGTGCCGACGCCGCCTTCCAAGGAGCGATGTCCAACAGCCCAAAGAGTGAATCCAAGATTGAACGCGAGGACAACGACTCCTAGGGCCACCGCACCGAAGAGAGTCAGTCGCCAACGTGGTATGGAAGGCTTGTATTTCGACAGACTGTTTCCAATCGAGGAGTTCCCTTCTTGAGAGTCAGGTTCATCTTCTCCGATCAAACGTTCTTCAACCTGATAGTTCTTAGATTCAGTATCACTTCTCAACTCCATTTCAGTGAAATTGGGGCTTTTTCCTGGTGGCCGCCTGATAAAGTCCACAGAGAAGTTAGGGGGTTATTAAAATGAAATCATTCTGTGTCTATCGAGGAGGCCGTGACGATCGCGCTAGATGTCACATACGCCGCTGTTACAGTTTGGGGGCAGCCTTGGGGTAACTAACTAGTTAGTCGGGCTGCACTCCGCGGCTAAGGCTAGGCACTTTTTTAACCTTCTGTCTAAAATGCAGCTACTACTGTCATTTGGCGGCTGGTGACAAGCGGCTAACAGTATCTGCGTGTCTTGGTTAGTGCCTAGGTCATGGGTTTTTCCCATCGACACGCTTATCAAGAAACCCACTGTTTCTCTCATTGAGGTTATTTACAAGATATGTCCTGACTTCGTTGCGTCTGGCGTTAGAGAACGGAATTATCCACCAGGACGCTAAGTACTCCTGAGGGTGGGTACACCGATATTTGAAATCACATACTGTGTACGCAGTATCAACATACTCCCACGAAATAATTCTCTGGTTTGAAACACACTAGCCCCAATAGGGTATGATAGTGGATCCTCCGTTTCCCAAAATAGACCTTGTATTCTACTGGAAGACGCGCGGGGCGGGTAGAAAGGTGAAGTGTAAGTAAAGAGTGAAATTGGTGATTTTAACTCAACATGGGTGTTAATGAACAGAGAGCAACGAGGAAAGCTATAAGCATGACCAATGCCCGGAACGTGGAAGAGGTGCAAAGGCGGATGGAATTTGTTCCAGATTTCAAGTGTTGTATTTTGGTGGATCAAATGGCGGGGTTGCAAGTACCCCAAGCGTCCCAAAGCGATGTCTTGAACTAAATTCGACGCTCGAACGCTTCCAATTCGATGAAGTGATAAGTTCCCTTTATCTTGTGTACGAACGCGAGGTATTCCTCTTTCTCTCCTTCTATGGTTGGTTGCTTGGTGGTAAGAGTTTCCCCCTTTTGGCCATAATATTCAAATACAAAATTGGCGAGCGAAACTGTAGTCTCTGTCATGTGAGCTCTACACAATTTGGGAATCGGAATGCATCAGGTGTTCGCCCGGGGCAGATTTATCAGTGCATTACTGCCAGAAGTGACTGACCGGCCTGCATGTAGCGAAAATCGTGATAAGAACCGCAACGAAATAGCCGAGAATGAAGAATAGCATGGGATAAAGAGATAAGTGAAGGTTGAAAAGTCGGCGGTAGAACAAGATGATCGATGTCTTGGTGCAAGTGACGCAGGTGGCATAGATGATGACATGCGAGAAAAGGAGTTTCCAGACTTTCCAGACCATTGTAAAGTCATGGTCGGTGAGGGTTTGGAGGTGGTAGCCGTTCCCATAGTTAAGACCCATTATTAGGCAGAATAGGGTTAAAGGCTAGCATCGAGGATTGAATATGGACTCGAGAGGGCCGGCATACTGATGATAACGCCTATACTAGATCCATAACCGATGATCTAGTATTGGGATCACGTAAGTAAGTCGCAGGGCTGCGTGTAGTCAGCAAAGGCAAAACTCACCAAGGCAGCAACAGTCAGAAAATCATCAATGGCAAAATTAACGTCCTTTGTCCTGGACCGTGTGTATATCCGCAACGCCACAGATAGTGTTCACAGCACCATCAGAGTAACGACTCCGCAAAGCATCTCTCAATCTCTCCATTTCGATTCGCGGAGAGGTCAATGCCCGGAGGGGCAGGACCAAATGCCTCAGACACTGACATTGTGACCTGCGCCAATGCTGTGAATCTCTCTCAGTGTCGCATAGAACGAGGAGTAGAGAACAAACGCTACTATGCATTAATCAGGGCGGTGGGTCGCCTGGCTATTATGTATCCACAGCCACAGCCACATCCACAGCCACAGCCACAGCCACATCAAAAAAGATCTGGGGGGAGGACGTGGGGAGCCCGTATTCCTGCATGTTTGAGTTCAGTAGTAGGTATATCTCGGTCCATGTCCTCCGAATGATCGCAGGACCTAGCGTATCACGGGCGATCGTATCAGTAATTATGGACTCGCTAGGACCCCTTGAAACCAAAACGTTCATCATTGGTTATTTAGCCAGGGGATAGTATTGCCATGCATGAGCAGCACTATATGGTATTGCTGCCTGCATGTGTATATGAAAAGAATTCCGGCCGTAGCCTTCAATGCACGAATAATGGCATGAACACGAAAAGAGATATTATCTATCAGGACGAGTAGCAAAAAGAGATATTCTACAGCACCAAGATCTACTCAGCCAGAGGGTTGGCTTTGCTTTTTTCACCATGAATTTACTTGGGGAGCATTCGCTTAAACTCAATGTCCATAGTGACGGTGACGTTGAACGTTGCTGCCGCTTTTCATGTGTTAAATCCGAAAGCGAGGTGTATAAAGGGCTAGCGAAGTTCGAAAATCGTGGAGTAACCCAACAAAGGGCTAGAAATAGGTTGGGTGAACTTGAAAATGCAGTACGAGGCCACTAGGCAGCATGGAGTACTATCCCTATTCAACGCACACATTTATGCTTGTATAATACTAGGATTAGTTGTTACATGAGTTAATATAAAAGTATTAACTGAGACTGAGAATTAAAATTTAATAAAAAAATGATGCAAGCAGCAAGAATAATAGGAACAGGTATGGCTACAACGGGTTTAATGCTCAACAATAATTTTGGAACCTTAACACATGTTCTGGGCTGTTTCCCTTTAGACTGGAGCACATATTATAACATGTGATTCAGTAGTAATAACAACACTTTTAGCTATAGTAGCTGTTTTTGAAGTAGGTTTTAATAATATACCTAACCGATCTAGCTGAATTAGTTGCCAGTATATAATCTAGGGACATTGACGCTCCTTCATCCCGTTAGTCGTTCATAATCTATCCGTCTCTGTTTTTGGACGCCCCTTAATGTTCAATATTTCCTGCATGTAAAAAGAGACAGGGAGGGACAAATAATATTGGAGATGTGTGCAAAATCTTGATTCCCTGTGAATTTTTTTTTGCTCGAAACCGACTTAAGCTTTTTTGCTTGCAACGAACGGACCTGCTTCATTTCGGTCTATATTTGACCTTCTTGAATGGGAGAGTCCGCCCGGAGCACGTGCTCTCATTTGTGGTCCTGCAGGCAACGCCGTGGCTCGGCCCCTTACATTCCCGAAGCTTAGCGCAGAGCTTGGCCTAACAATTCCACGAAAATAATGGGTCTGAAAAAGCTTCTGTTGATTAGCACTTCCTGCCTCCATCCCCCGTCCAAGGCACGCTGGTCTTCCAGAACAGATCATCAGCCCACAATGAGTATAGTGCAACTGCATCTGCAACCAGGCAGAAGGATACACGATCCGCTTGGACCCTTCAACTTCTTGCTCATTAAACCAATGACTAACCAAGACCACCCACGTGTGTCGAGCGTATTGAACAGTACCCCAGTGCGATGACACCTATTAAAGGTGGACTTTTCGCCAAACACCTCACACGTCCCTCAATTAGAGATCATAACTCAATTTTCGATCTTTCAATATAGTCCAGCAGCTGTCGAAGATGCACACCTCCACGAACGCTTTCATGGTCGTGGCTCTCGCGTCCGCGGCTACTGCCCAGTACGCCCTCCCCGACAAGGATGTGCCGTACATCGGTGGCAACGTGTTCAATCCTAATGATCCGGCTGTGGCCAACTACCCCTTCTCCTACACCCCTCCCTTCTCACCGGAGCAGTATGGCGGCTACTACTTCTGGTCGGTGAACAACAATACCGTTAGCGGTTCCAATTTCACCGGCTACGGTCCGAAGGAGGGCTATCATATTCCGTCCGGTGCAGCCGGCAAGTTCCCCTTCTTCCAGATTAGCGAGGCCAACCCCAAGGCCATCAACAGCTCCAAGCTCTTCGCTACTTGCAACTCGTCTTCGGTTAATTCCTGCGCAACCACGCAGTGCGAGGGCAAGTTCAAGAAGATCTTACACATCGTCTTCGAGAACGAAGTCTACGAGTGGACTATGGGCCAGGCCTACTGGCAGTTGCTGGCTACCCGGGGCAAGCTGCTGACCCGTAGCTACGCTATCACTCACCCGTCCCTGCCTAATTACGCTGCCCTAGTCGCGGGTGACTTCTTCGGTATGGCTGATGAGGACTTTTACAATGTGAACGCCACTAGCATCTACGACCTTCTGGAGGCTAAAGGCATTTCCTATGGCACCTACGCCGAGTGGTACAACCCTATCGCCACGCACCGTGGTGCAAACGACTGCAACAACTATATCTATAATGGCCCTATAGACAATACCAATCCCACCTGGTGGGCTCAGGTGTACCGCCGCCTAGACGTCCCAGCCCTGCTATTCAGCACATATACGGGCAACTACGAGCGCTGCAGCAAGATATACGGCGCTAACAACACCTTCGCCGACGCCGTCAAGTCGCACACTCTGCCGGAGTACTCGTACTACGTGCCGGACATGCTGCACAACGCTCACGACCCTACCTCCGACAGCAACTATTTCGGCCAGCCGAACACCGGTGCCGAGTGGCTCAACGCCTTCCTGGATCTGTACCTGCCTGAACTGGAAGCCCAAGGCACCCTTGTCGTCGCTACCTTCGACGAGGCCACTTGGTGGAATGACAGTGACGACACCCCCAACAACGACAACCATATTGCCACTATCCTGTTCGGCGCCGGTGTCACCCCCAACACTACCGATGACAGCTACATCACCCTGTACGGCATACTGCGCGGCTCAATCCAGAACTTTGGTCTGGGCTCGCTCGGCCGTAATGACACCAACGCCACCAACGGTAACCTGTTCGACCTGGTCGACTACTCTTGCGCAAGCACGAATACAAACCAAACAACACAGTACTCCGTTGGATCATTGGCCATAGACCTCTCACAAACGTTTCCGTATGCCGCGATTGGTACAATTCTCGCATCGTGGCTTTTCTTCTAAACAATAGCAAGACATTATGTCAGCATATCAACATGGAGGACTCATGGATGAAAATTTGTACAAGCACTAAAATGCTTTTGAGTTTTGATATTTTTGGTATCATTTTCCCACTATGGATTTTGCACTGTGAAGAGATAGCTAGATTATCCTTAGAATGTCGGACGTCTTCTATCTTAGGATTTTGACCACTTTCTGAGATAAGCATTTGGATAATGAGTGGCCGATCAATTCTCCAGCTAGATCCCACATATTGACCCACCTGGCACACTTGCAGAGAGGGGTAGGTAGTAGTAGATTTATTTACTAATTGCGTGATAGGCTAAACTCCAAAGTAGGCGATGCGAACCCCGCAATCTCGCAAATAAAAAGGCTGGGCCGTCACTTGCTCCTCCCCAGCAGTCGTGTCCGATTTTTTGCGCTCTGTCTAACTTTTTCATGAAGCTCAAGTGCCTATCTCTCTTGCTCGCCAGCTTCACTGGCTATGTGGCGGCGCGTTCGTTGCCCATTGGTGAACTGGAATCGCGGCTCCTCGTAAGCAATTCATCGTGTCGCAGGTCCGAGCGCAAGCGCTGACCAGAATAATAGCTTAGAAAGGCGCCTGCCGTCGGCGATGTGAACCCCGTCAAATTGTATCCAGCCTACAACTTCTCTGTGCCAATTGACCATTTCCACAACGAGAGCCGCTACGACCCACACTCGGATGGCTTCTTCAACATTCGCTACTGGTTTGACGCCACCTATTACAAGCCCGGTGGCCCCGTCCTAGTGCTTTGCGCCGGTGAAACCTCAGGTGACGACCGATTACCGTACCTGCAGAAAGGTGCGCTCTATCTTGCGATTAATACAATGCCCTTCTAATGCTATTGACCAGGTATAATATACCAACTCGCCAAAGAAACAAACGGACTTGGAGTCGTTCTCGAGCACCGGTACTATGGAGAGTCCTTCCCTGTCCCGGATTTGTCTGTGGAGAACCTGCGGTTCTTGACCACGGATCAGTCTCTGGCAGACACGACGTATTTCGCCAATAATATCGTGTTCCCTGGCCTAGAACATCTCAACTTAACCGCCAGTAACGCACCATACATCGCTTATGGTGGCTCCTATGCGGGTGCCTACGTTGCTTTCCTCCGCAAGCTCTATCCAGACACATGGTTCGGTGCCATCTCTTCCTCAGGCGTTGCTGAGGCTCAGTGGGATTATTGGGAGTACTACAATCCGATTGCGCAATACGGTCCGCAACCGTGCATCAGCCTTACCCAGACACTCACCCACGCAATGGATAATATCATCTTTCGTAATCACGGCTACGTTCCTGAGCTGAAAGCGCTCTTCAACCTTCAGGGGCTCGAGTATGATGATGACTTTATGAGTGCGCTCTCCTACGGCCTTTCCTACTGGCAAGACCGGAACTGGGACCCGGCAGTCAACGATCCGGACTTCGATAACTACTGCACGAATCTCAGTTCGAGTACGATTAAATATCCTCATTATGTCAACCAGAAGGCCACCGCTGAGAAGTTGATTCGTGCTGGCGGATACGGAGAACAGGCTGCCAGCCTGGCGCCTCATCTACTGAACTGGGCAGCTTGGATGAACTACACTCAGATCCAGCCGGTCCTGGAGGCCGGCTACACCGAAAGCGAGTACTTCAGCCTTCGCAACGACACATTTTACAAACTAGATGACATTACCCAGACTTGGCGGTCATGGCCGTATCAGTACTGCACTCAGTGGGGCTACCTCTCGGTCGGCTCGACCGTGCCCAAGAACCAACTGCCCCTGATCTCCCGCACTCAGACCATCGAGTATGCGAGCACCATTTGCCGCGAGGCTTTTGGCATCACGACACGAGCCCATACGGAGCAGATTAACAAATATGGTGGGTTTAAAATATCCTACCCACGTCTGGCGCAGATTGGTGGGCAGACAGACCCGTGGCGGCCGGTGACGCCGCTCGCCGACCCGTATCTGAACACGCCAAGCACGCTGAGCGAGCCGCGCATTCTGATAGAAGGAGCCGTCCATCATTGGGATGAGAACGGCCTCTTCCCAAAAGAAACGACACCTAAACTACCTCCGCTTCCTGTTAGAAAGGCCCAAGAGGAGGAAGCCAAGTTTGTTGTAGCGTGGTTGAAGGAATACAAGTCCCAGTGCTAGTAGATTCCCTGACCATCGTTTGAAAAATGAATATATTATTATTGTTCAGTTTTGGCCGTTCGGAGCAGTCTTGCACCTGCAGAACAGCCCATAGCTACGTGTGACATTTAGCAAGCGATGATGTATATAGATCTTGCACCCTACTGCCGCTGTCCTGGATTTCGTTCATTTTTGATACCCGGCTGGGCCTGAGGCGAAGGATTTTTGGATCACTGGCGTCGGGGGCGTGCGGAAGGTTACGGTGAATTTGCTCGGGCGGATGGTGAATGTGCGGCCGGAAAGTTTGCTCGACAGCATGGAACTGTAGATACGTAGACAATTAACAGAGTCTGTCTCTACCTGTCTGCCTGGGATTGGTAATGGAGTGGAGAAAATAGAGAGTGGCAAAGAACGAGAGAATAGTACTATCGGAGTAAGATGGTCGTCATTATAAATCCTTCGGAGATGAATGGCCATCGAATCCATACGAAAAGCCCTCTATCTTCCGCTCTGAGAAATGGACAAACATAACCCAATTCAAGAATTCAAATCGATTCATACAATCCTTAAAACTCTCCATCTAAATAGCGAAATGTCCCTTCCCCTCCGCACCGCCATAATCGGCCTCTCCTCCTCCGCAACCACCAACTGGGCCTCCGCTGCCCACCTCCCCTGCCTCCTCTCCCCGACCGGTAAGGTACTGTTCACCATCAACGCTCTCTGCAACAGCAGTCTCGCGGCGGCATCCAACGCCATCTCAACTTACCATCTGGATACCTCTACCGTAACACCATACGGCGACCCTGCCTCGCTCGCCGCGGACCCTGCCATTGACCTCGTCCTCTGCAACACCCGGGTCGATAAACACTTAGAAACGGTTCTGCCCAGTCTCTTGTCCGGAAAGGATGTCTATATTGAGTGGCCGATCGCGTCGAACAAGAATCAAATAGATGAGTTGATTGCCGCTAGAGCTCACGGCGGGGGCCGCGTAGCGGTGGGATTACAGGGACGTTTTGCGCCACCGGTGGTACGAGTCAAAGAAGTACTCGCGTCGGGAAGGGTGGGAAAGTTGCTTAGTAGTGAAGTGAGAGTGTTTGGGGGCACGAGAGATCGAGAAATCTTGCCGGTGGGACTAAAGTACTTTGCCGACAGGAATATTGGGGGCAATCCGATTGTGATTGGGTTTGGGCATGGTGAGTTAGGTTCTTTATTTTTTATATTCTTTTCGCTTTTCTGTTCTGTCGGATACTTATCAGCTTATTCGTGTGGATGTTATGGATGGGTTGCATAAGATCCAAATATTGCCCCGTGGTTCTATTCTAACATTATCCAGTCATCGACTATATCCAGTCCGTCGTGGGCGATATCATCCCAGGAACAGACCATGTGCAACTCCAGATCCAGCGTCCAGATATCCGCGTTCGAGATCCCCAGACGGACGCGATTATCGAGTCGATTCGCTCCGACGTACCCGATTTGCTGAGTTTACATGGTAAGCGGACAACAACGGTCACTATCCCAGGCGCTAATGAGGAACGCAGGATCTCTGCCTGAATCCTCCCATGTACGTGCCAACGCCAGTCTGGTGGCGTATTTTCTCCGCGGCCAGCCATTCCCTGGCGATCCATCACTGTCGTGGACCTTAACCGGAGAAACGGGCACGATTCGGTTGACCGCGCCTGCTGGTATCTCACTGCAAGCCGACGCATACGCCGAGCCGGTGACCATCGCGGTGCACCAGTTCGACATGGACAAGGTGGATCAGGTCCTGTGGACTTGGTCGGAAAGGCAGATGGAGGTGCCACCTCGGGCGCGATCAGTGCAGCATTCCTTGATCAGTTTTGCGAATAGGGATGAGTCGGGGTATGTCTCCCTGGAGGACGCAGCGAGGAGGGCCCAGCAAATTGAGGGCTGGTTTGATAGCTGGCGAGAGAATCCATAGATTAATGAAACTATCATAGCTTTGTTGTATAAACTAGATCCACCTAGTAAGAAAATGTTATGGGCCTACTCTAATCAATGTACTTTAAAATAGCGCAGAGGTCGGTGGCAACCATAGAGAAGTCGATTCGAACTAGCCAGGTAGCATGAAAGCCATAATGAATGGCAATGGCCGCCTTTTTTCAGCCACAGGTTTCAGAGCAACCCTCATCGATTGCAAGATTGGCCCCTACCCCGTCCTCATCGACTAGCTAGTCTACATCCCCAATCCTATGAAGAAAGAGATAGAATGGCGAGTGGAATGAAACCAGGTTTATCTACATGGGATGGATATAGTCTATGGAGCTCTCTACATCCACCCTCCTTGACAAAGTGCATTTAACGATAGATACAATAATTATTTGATTCAATGACATGGTCTAGATCCGCCAAATCCAATGCAGTGGTCATTGTCATAACACGCTAGGCCACTTATGGTGGCCGACTGCTTCGATGCGGCTTGGGTGCGATCCAAGTTGACTCACTAGAGCAGATTAGGTTTGCACTTGTATGACCGCACCACAAGATGAATGTAATGGTTTCTTGGAAGTTGGATCGTTATTGGACAGCTCGTATGAAGTACCTAGTCTTTAGCCGCAATATTGACGTGTTATAGATCACGAGAGATACAGGAAGCTATCGTGAGTCAACCTGGATTTGCTGTGGGGCAGTTCCTATAGGTACAAAAGGAAGGTTAACCTACGCCAGATTAAACGAAATAAAATCCGAGTGTCCAGCCTGAAGCAAATAGCCAGAAAATGGCGGCCGCAGATATGCAGGAGTATGACCTCCTGATTATCGCGGACGCGACCGCGTCCATGTCCAACTATCTCAACTCGCTCAACACTTCGCTTCCTCAAATAATCTCAGTGTCTGCGCTCACAGACTGTTTTTCACGTATTGGACTTCTTGCGTATCGCGATTATGGGGACAAAGATCTACTTGAATGGTCTGGGTGGCTGCATCAGAATGCAACAGAAGCCACTGACCAGGAGCCTGACCTTGTCAACCTCGCGAGAGGACTGGATGCTGAAGGTGGCGGAGACTATCCGGAGGCTGTCAAGACTGCCCTCGCCAAGGCACACGAGGTGATGCGATCCGATGCTACGACTATCATTCTGCTTTATACCGATGCGCCTCCGCATATGGATGATCCTGCTGCGATTCCGAGCAAGAATGCGGAGTCAGAAAGACAGTCTTTATCTCAGAAAAAATCCTATTCCGGCAGCGGACCTATCTTCTTGAATTGGATCGCTGGATCTAATGCTCTACGCAGTGGACCGAAACACGCCCAGGTTTTCGCGATTCTCCAGTCGGGCATGCGGCAATACCATGCCGCATACTACAACTTCCTGGCCACTTTAACAGGCGGTGCTTGTGTTCATCTCAATGACAATCGGCCTGCAAGTATCTCCAAGGTGACTGTTGACATTCTTTTGAACTGGATGGGCGTGGAGAAAGCCCCGGTCTCAGGAGCCAGCAAGGAGTTGGGCTCGGAGACAGTCTCTGCGGAGCTGTCGCGCTACATCTCTATCAACGGTATCAAACAAATTTGCCGCGAGTATGAACATGGTGCAAATTCTTTTTTTGCATTTTTTCCATGTACGGCTTTGTCCGACAATCTCACCAGCACTGGAATGACAGTCGAGGCCATGAAAAAGTACCTTCCAAAGAAGGAAATCCCAGTCATGAATTTTGCAGAGCGGTGGAAAACAGATGCACAATACAAGGACCGAGCAGTTAAGCAGCTGATTATCATAATCCGAGAAGATGTCCGAGCTATAGCACTCAATCCAGTGTTCGGAACTATGTGGAGAGCATTGTGCAGCGACAGAACCTACCCTCAACGCGATGAGATTGTCCTTGAATTCAGTCAACATGTTGACAAAATTCAAAATTCAGAGGACCGGGCTCAAATGAAGACGTGGCTTGAGAATTCTTACGACTACACGGAAGAAGTCTTAGCTATCATCAACGCTGTTGATGAATCGGAACAGTTTCCTTGCGTGTTTCTGGATCCGACACTACAATTCGCCAGTACTAGCGAAGATGGGGATGAACCAATCTCAGCATTGACAAGAGCTGACCTGCTCGAAATTGGTCGATCCTGCAACGCTCCTATTCTGCGTCGTGTCGGTCGCGTTCTTACCCAACTGACATTTGTTAGATCCGCGAGCGAGATGCCGGAACATATTGCAGCTGCATCCGCAGAGCAGGTGCCAAGAATTCCACTGGCTCTGGCTTCAGAGAAATATGGTCGTCAGTTTTGGAAGATGCTTTTCCACCTCATTGTCCCGGGTACCAGGCTATCGGGTCGTCCGGCTGCGCTCGTCGCCGCCCTAAGTATACGGATGGGGGTCACTCACTTCACTGACATCGCTGCAAGCGAGATGCTTGTGTTCAAGGACAGGTGGAACGATATCTCTGTGCCCGAGAACTGGAATGTGGGCTGTTTGACCCTCCTCATGGATGCCGACGAAGGATACAATTCATGGCAAGCGGACTCAGCCTCAATGCTGCAAGACCAGGAGTCGCTTAAGGAGCCTGTTCGGCTTTTGAAGAAAACCGATCGAAAGCTTTTTGAGCAACTGGTTGCCTTCAAGATCTTGGAACTTAATCTCGACACTCCATTAACGGCCCATGTTCCATGGACGCCACAGAAGTCAAGTGCGCCCATCGGACCTTTGGCTACATGTCGATCTTGTCAATACATTCGATCTGTCACAGTCATGGGAAATAATAGCAAGTGCGGTATTTGCCTGGCTACAGACTATGCTACCCAGAAAGATAAGGAAAAACACATATCCGCTGGTGTCTCCCGGGATGTCGAATGTGCCTCTGAAGCAACATGGGTCGAATGTGGTATTGGCTCTTGCAGGGCACAGTACATTGTGTACAATGTCGATGCACTAAATGTCCGAGCAAAGTGCCACTATTGCAGGACCCAACAAGGCACCGCACCTGTCGTCGCATGCAAGAAGTGCTCTAACCGAATGATTTGGCCTAAAGCATACAGACCTTCTTCGTTTCACGAATCCGAGTTCATCTGCCCTCCCTGTACATCAGGCCATAACACAATTACAGGCTTGGAAACGACTGCACGGGAAATCTCCACGGAAAACACTTTCTCCTGGCTTATTGAGGATGCCCAGAATGCTGTCGCGGAGCTGTTCAAGAACCATTCGCTATTCTCCACGGCCTCTAATGTAGGAACTACAAGTTTCCTTTCCCGGATAAAGCTCTTCCCATCCCGCAAGGAGGTTCTCACTCACCGAGGAAAGCGCATCCATAACGCAGACGAGTTGGCATCCACTATACATGATATGGTCATTGGGCGCAAGACAAGCCAGATTGACTGTTCGCTATGTTTCTCAACATTCCACCCCGGTACACTGAACCCCGCTTGTGGCCGGCGCGGGTGCATTCAGCGAATTTGCACCACCTGCTTATCAGGATGGTATGGCCAGAATGCACCTGGCTCTGTCATCAACACCGCTGCTCTTGCATGTCCGTTCTGCCGCCGATACCCCACGCCTCGCACGCTCGCCAAGTATGGAATGGGCATCCAGGGGGTCAGAGGACTGGCTGATGCGCTACGCGACAAGGGCATTTCAATCTATGCCTGGTGTCAGGAATGTGCCTCCGCTAAGGAGTATATGCAGCGGACCTGCGCGAGAGGGACGCCCCAACTAGCCAACTGGTCATGCTATGAATGTGTACAAGAGCTCGAACGCCAGCGACTGGCGGAAGAGCGACGCACAGCAGAAGAATTACTCACCATCGCGCGCTTGGAGAGGAATATGCATCTGACCGAAGAAGCAGAGCGTCAGCGAGATTTGGCCAACCAGAAGGAGGAAGAGCGCAGGATGCGAAATCTTGCGCCATGCCCGCGCTGCAAAGCCATTACTGAGAAGATTTCTGGATGTGGCCATATGAGCTGTCCCATCTGCGGCACAGAATGGTGCTTTTTCTGCGTCAAAGAGATTCCGGACGATATATATGATCATATGGCTCGAAAGCACGGGGGTATATTTCAAGAAGGTTTTGAGAGGGAAGTCGTGCCCCAGAGGGTCCAGAGGATGATGGAAGATGACGGTCAGAAGAAAAGGAATTACGAAGATACCGGTTGATGCATATCCGAAGTTTGATTTTTAATACCATTTGATGCTGCAAGCAAGTTGAATAATGAAGAATAATACCTAAATGCAGCCCTTTTGCTCTCATTGCAATTATCCCGACTCTGATAAGCCGGGTTGAAATGTTCAGTACAGCTTACCATTCTATTTTGTCTGCAATAATACGATTTGACTCGATTTCGCGAAGAAATTTATTAGTGATGAGGGCAGGTTCCCCAAGTTGTGCTGAAAGCATTCCAATGACTGGGCCAAATTCGGATGTATGAAGTTAAATGGGAAACAAATCGGCAAATTGTTGAAACTGATCTTTTTCACTCAAGAGTATAGAACTAGACTCGTTAAGAATACATGTCAAATCATGAATTAAGAGTAGAAATGAGCTATGACCATGCTTCTGAGGTCATTCAATTTCTGGCTTAAATTCCTGACCAGCAATCCAGATCCTTTGAATTTGCCGAGTCGCTTTGATATCCGCGACAGGATTTCCTTTGACGAGAATAAGATCTGCTCGGCGACCAGGCTCAATGACGCCACGATCCTGTAAGCCAAAATGTTCTGCAGGCAGATGGGTTGCTGCGCGAAGGGCTTCAGTTGTTGAAAGACCAGCTTCAACTAGAAGCTCCAGCTCTTCATGCAAGCTGATTCCGTGGACGACATTAAAAGGCACACCCGGGGCCATGTTTGCATCGGTGCCAGCAAGCACTGGGACGCCTGCACGATGAAGAGCATATACCGTATCTTTAGCGTTTTTGTAGGCCCCTGGTTTTTTCGCAGCGCATCCCTTCATCATTGTCAATGTTGGAACGCTGATGCGTTTCTCTTCTAGCATTTGGCTAACTTCCTCATTGTTCATGATACCATTAAGAGGAGCATGGGTTATAACATCTGCACCCGCAATCTGAGCCATTTCGGTAGCCATGGTCGTCACAGCATGCGCAATGACAAGTCTCTGACGGCGATGCGCTGACTCGACCAAAGCATTGAGGCATTCTTGGCTCGGACCAGGAATATCAGCCACCACTTTGATGTAATCAGCACCTTCGGCCACTTGCTTTTCCACGAAAGTTTCAGCTTCCACAGTATTCGAAACCAGTGCCTCTTTGGGTATTGTTGGAATATGGCTGTGGGCACTTCCGGGAGCAGTGGCAGCAAGCCCGCAGCCCCTAATATCGGTCACCCCCTTTCGACCACGAAGAGAGTTGAGAAGATCAGCCGGCCAGGTCGCCATATCCAGCGCGGTCGTCACACCATATCTTGCCATTTGTGAGAGGTCCTTTGGGCCAGTCAAATGGATATGGCAGTCAATCAATCCAGGAAGAAGGATCGATCCATGCGCATCAACAGTTTCGGTCGGAACGGCATCAGGATTACCAATCAGTTCACCATCAATGATGACCGTGCTAGGCTCTTGAATCTTTTGTCCATCAAAGACCCTGACGTTGGAAAGAGCGAGGACTGTTTTCGGTGACGTGGTTGACATTGCGTTCGATGGAAAGGCAATTTCAGAAGACTTTTTGCATTGAATTGACTGCTGCTATGCCGCGTGAGAAAGAGAGATCTTGCGCAGCCTATTGCGAGCGAAACCAATCTGAACGGACCCTTTATATGTTGGCCGGGAATGAATTCGTCCCACTCTACTTCGTATATGCGGGGCTCGGTGCTCTTGTCGCCGACCTCCGACCTGATGTGTGGGGGATCGGCATCATCATCAGGTCCCGCTGTTTCCTTATGATGACGGTTTTGGATGAGAGTCTACATTCTCTTTCATCTCGAAGCTGCTAAATCGGACTCGGAGGCTCGCTAGTTCTTTAGAGACAGTCTTGTGTGCAGAATAGAGAGATCCTACCTGTGCTTTTATGTTATATATCCGTTACAGATTCACAACTCTTCTGACTACGCATATCGGTGGTGGTGCTTTGGATACGCGATGAAGAACATTCTTGCAGTTGCGAGTGCGGATGGCTGGTTCAAAGAGAGGGAAGGGGCATTATGCCTGTGAACAGGAAGCCCTTTAAGACAGCCGTAGAGATTGTTGTTGGGAGTCTATTAGGCACGTAAATTCTTGTTGATGACGGAATAGAGACACTTTACTCATTTCGTAACAGGGGGTATGTCTAAGTCGTACAAGTTCTAGACCGTAAAGGTATCAATTGCCTTCCTCACCACCATCCGGGAGTTCCTCCTCGCCTTCGGACGCGGACTCAACAGCAGCAAGTGCCTTCCACTCAGACTTGCCCTTTTTGCGTGATGTGGACGGGGCCGAGCTGTTCGAATCAGCAGAAGGTGCAGTAGCGAGTCGCGCAGCCGGAATTCCACCGGAGGTGACATAAAGAAAGTACTCCTGAGGGTAATGATCAATGTGGTTGAAGAAAGCGCCAAAGCTGCATGCACCAAGTTAGAAATTATCCCTCACAGATGGAGATGGGGGTCACATACGCATTCAACTGCTCCTCCTCCCGGAATATCCGGTCGTAGATCTCTCGCTGTTTGAACTCGTTCATCTCCTTGGAAAACTTCTCAAAGTCAATTGGGCTTCTAGAGAGCCCTTCAGCCTTCGCATTGTAGGCGCCAAAAATAGGGCGCTCCAGCAAAAGTCCCAGACCCGGTGCCTTGGGGATGGCAATGCGGTCTGGTCCGTAGGTGTCCTTGATGCGGTCAGGGATGCAGCCGCATCGAGTTACCAGGGTGGCCATTGCCACCATCTTGCGGATCTGGTGCATCATGAAACTCTGGCCGTGGACTTTGAGACTGAGCCATTCAGTGCCATTGATGATGATCGGCGTTGGGTTCGCTTTGAATGACTTGATGTATCGTTTAGCAGATGGGTCGCTGTATTTCTTTTGAATGGTGTAGTTATGGAAGTTCAGGGTGCCTTCATAGCGACTCAGGCAGTCTTGAAGGCGCGCGACTCGGGAAGCCGGTACTCGGTAAGCGCGTTTCGCCGTTGTATAAGCCGCTTTGACGGCCTTGACGGTATCTTTGATGAGTCGTTCACGTGGATCCATCTGGTAGGGTTGGTCCTGAGGAGTCTCGGATGACTTTTCGGTAGCCGATTCCGATTGGGAGGGTTGTGTTTCTGCCGGCCCATCTGTCATTTCAGTTTCTCTCTCTGGCTCCGCATCCTCGCTGTCATCGAAGTAAAGAGCCTTCTGCACAACCTTGCGCACATCCTCCGGGACATTTTCCAATATAGGCTTGATGTGCTTCTCATCGACCTCCTCCCAGAACCCCGCAGCGTCCTCTTGTCGAGCCTTGACTTCATCCAGGTCGCCGGCTTGCTCAGCAAGCTCCACTATCTTCCTTCCAAGGTACGTGCTGGGGTGCGGTGGGAGCAGACTGTGGCTTGGCAGCAAATACTCATATACACGAGAGTCACACATCTGGTAGCAGCTGAAACTCTTGGCAGTGAGCTCGATGCCCCAAACGCGAATCTGTGGGCTGAGCTTGTCATTGATCTTCTGGACGATGTCCGGATCCTCAACGATCATCTTCAGAGACACAACATTTCCCGCCGCATGTACACCTTTGTCGGTGCGTGCACAACGAACAAAAGACGACTTTTTCGGGTCCGAGGCATTGGCTTTCGAGATGGCGCCGGCGGCAACCAAGGCCGTAAAAAGATCGCCCTCAATAGTCTTTTGTGAGTCGTTCCTGTAAAAGTAATGTCAGCACATAGCATAGTACACGGACTAAAGAACCATACATCTGCATCCCAGCATAGCCCGTCCCGGAGTATCCCATCAACACCGCGACCTTCTTTTTGGGTCTCCGCTCCTCGTTCTCAATCTCCTCTTTGGAAAACTGCGTGGCATAGATCGGGGTCTGGACCTCTTCTCCATTCTCGATTTTCCGGCGTTTGACTTCTTCTTTCTCTTCATAGCGCGCTCGCTTGTCTGTCATCGTCCGACTGTCTCGTGGTCAGTCAGTACTGCGGAGGTCGAGGGTTGAACTCCACGCAGCATACCTCCATTCTGCCCGGCCCATATCTCGCTTCTTACGGCCTCCACCAGCGCGGCCTCCGCTTCCTTTGTGATCGGCCATTGCGTTTGTGAGAGGATGTCTGATAGTTCCGCGCGAGGAGTTGTCTTCAGTAGAAACGTGCGCCGGACGAAGGGTAGATTGTTGTGTCGAGCAAATGTAACGTAGGAGAACCGGTAAGAGAATGGGATTCTGGGTCTGAGGGCGATCCCTGTCAGACTCCGCGGCAAAAGAAACGAGGCGGGCATGAAAAGAGTCGCTGAGCAAAACGAAGCGCAGCAGAACATTTTCCATGGTCGATTTGACGCTAGTTCGTAATGGGTAAATTTAATGCCTCAGGCATTAATGGCATGTGACCTGCCCTACTCAACATTTGGCCCAAGGGGAGCCTCATTCATTCACTGCACCCCGGCCCTTCCCTCCTTCTTCACTAACCAGGGCGTCCAGCCTATAGAGCCAACTGCCCATAGCTAGTTTCGGTCCACGCCTCCGAAGCATGCCCGTCTGGTCCGCCGTCTAACACGCGCGACCTGACGCCTTGCGCTCAAATCGATCGCTGCTCGCGACAGCTTCACTCCGCCCTCACAGCTGCCATGGATCTCGCCAATACGCTCATCCGGAGCGTGGTGCGCGCCTTCTACGAAACGCGCCACATCCTGGTTGTGGATGCGCTCTTCCTGCACTCGGTGTACGATGCGCCCAAATGGATCTGTTTAGCTCCTGGCTGACCTGACCTGCTGCAGTCTCCACGCTGAAGATCTCGCTTTTTTGATGGGCATGCAACAAAAGGACCTTCGCAAGCTGTGTGCGCGGCTGCGGGAGGACCGTTTACTCGCAGTGTATGTGTTCGGTCCGATGCATGTCCGAATATAAGCTGATTTTCGACTTCTTCGTCATACACAGGAGCACGCGTGCCGAGATTCGCGATGGTTCAACTCGCCCCGTCAACCGTGACTACTACTACATCCCGCTGCACCCCGTCATCGACGCGATCAAGTATAAGGTGTCCAAGTTGACGTCGACGATCAAGGCACAGTACACGCCGAGCGAAGAACGAAAGGAGTACATCTGTCTCCGATGCGGATCTGAATGGACTGAGCTGGACGTCCTTAGCCTTGTCTCGGACGAGGGATTCGAGTGCCAGGAGTGCGGCGCCACCCTAGAGCGGACGGAAGATGTCAAGGGCGTCGAGGGCATCGACCGCACCGGTCACGAGAAGAACAGCAAGCTGATGGCGCAGCTGGACAACATGCTCAAACTGCTAAAGCAGATCGACTCCGTCGAGATCCCGCCGAATGACTTCGACACGGCCTGGGATCACAAGGTAGAGGTGCCCCGTAACCAAGCCACACACCCAACGCGCGCGGTGGTTCCCGTTGCGGCCAAGCAGCAGGATCTTTCGCGCGGTCACATCAAGACAGATGCGGCAGCGTTGGAGATCTCGCTTACCTCGTCTGAGGAGAAGAGCGCGGCAGAGCAAGCCGAAGAAGCCGCTCGCAAGGCTGCGGTGGAGAAACAGAACGCGCTTCCGGTGTGGCACACACATTCTACCGTCAAGAATGCCGTGCCTGGGGGTGCTGGGGTTCAGACTGAAATGGGTGTCTCCGTTAAGCCTGAGCTCGGCGACGAAGACCAGAAACCCAGTCTGGATGCCCTTGACGACAAGGTTGCCGCGTACTATGCCGCGATGGAGCGCGAGAAGGAGCTGCAGGAGCAGGAAGATGCTAGCAGTGAAGATGACTCGGATGACGAGGACGAGTTTGAGGATGTAGGCGGCGTGTCTGGACCCAGTGGACCCGGCACTCCTGCCACAGCCGTTGGTGGTCCTACCAGCGCCCCCGCTTCGTCTACGCCCGGTGTTGCTGGTATCAAACGCGAACACGACACGGCGTCAAGCGCCAGCGCGCCTCAGTCGTCTGTCGACACGCCCTCCACCCCTGCCGATGACGGGCCCGCCACGAAGAGGGTCAAGGTTGAATCCGAGCTCACGACCGATCCTGAGATCAAGCCTGATCCCGATGCGAAGGTAGAGCCCGCAGTAACCAATGAAGAGGAATCCGATGAGGACGAAGATGAGTTTGAAGACGTCTAACAGGCCGAACCCGGGAACGTGGCATGCTTTGGTAAAGCAGGGTAAGAAAACACCAAAACAAAACTGGAAGCATTGGCGCTGGCGCCTGGGGTAATGAGGACAATAGGTTTATCTAGAGGAACTTCCTTGTACAATATCATAAAACTGTGCTTTTCTTCTCCGCTATCCTTCAAAGTAAACAAGCAGTCAAACATTCAACCTCTACATGTAGACACGCCTGCGGCTTTGACATAGGATTCCATAGACAAGACGCAGCTGCAGGATTATCCCAGCGTCGTTACTTTACTCTACAGTTAACGCTACAAAGAAGAAAGAAAAAGAGAGCAATCCCAGGTCCCGCCCATTCCATTCAAGCAAGGAAAAGCTACCTATTCAGCACGTCCATTTCATCCACCCCAAAACACAACACAAGCAAGTCCCACGAAACATGAGTAAAACAAGATATCGCAGTCAACCCACAAGAAGACAGGAAGAGCCCACTTCATTAAGACTCCAGTAGCGAGGGTTCCATTTGAATGAATCAAAAAAGCGAAAAAGGTCAATTGCTCACACATGAGCAAGACGGACAACATGACAGGACAGGACGGGGGGCAGTTCTAGTACACCATTTTACCGGGGGTCAATCCATCGAGGACCGGCAAAGGATTTGAAAACGCCGGGTCTATGCAGCACAATAGCAGGAGCGCGAAAGCCAGGAGAGGGGGGATGGTACGTCGTAGGCAAGAAGGAACCTTCAAGGTTGCGATGCGAAGCCCTCCCGAAAGGAAACAGAGAATCAGTCATCATGTGCGGAGAGAAAGGGTGTGGGTGTGTGTAATCGTAAAGTCGTTGCTTCGTTTATCAATCCATCGCTGAGTCGATATGGGCGGCAAAAGGGGGACAAGGTTTCTCTGGGAGGGTTGGTTAAGGCGATCCCACGAGTCCTACTTCTTCCGAGTCGCTACCCAGAGGAGAGTTGTTTTCCCAGTCCTCTGCAGAAGGCAGATCAGATTCTGGAACATTTGCAAAAAGAAAAGGTTAGACAGGGAAGTTTAGGCTATGAAAGGTGAACATACCAGAAATCAGTTCTTCGGGGGCATCGACAGTCATGCGCTCGAGGAACACTACGGCAGCTGGGAAAGAAAATGTTAGTAGCCATGCAAGAAATGGGCATGAAGAAGGGCCTTCTTACTATTAGCCTCCTGGATAACCTTCTTGTCCTCCTCCTTGCTATCGTCATAGAAGTTCTCCAAGCAGTGGTTAATGACCTGAATGATCGCCTCCACAATCCTGGACTCAATGGTCTGAATGTCACTATGGAGGAATGACTTGTCGATCCTGTTCACGCAAGCAGTCATCAATTCGCGAGCAATGGAAGAGCACCGAGCCTGGTATTCATCGTCGGCCCCATCGGTGTCGGTGAAAAGCAAGGTGCTAAGAGCGCTGATTGTCGCGTGCCGCACATTTCTGTCCTTATCAATGAGGAGAGTGGGAGCCCAGTCCGGAATCTTCTCCATGGACAGTTGAGTGAAGTTATTGCGGTCCAGGTTGGCACGATCGTTCGACAGGCGGCACAGATGTGTGAAGAATTCCAAGTGTTCCAAGCCTCCGCTGTTGTTGATAGATTCCACCCCCTTGGCAACAAAGTCGATCATGGCGATTATTCTCTCTTCATCTGGGGAACGTCTGCAAAACAGGATTGTCGAATCCAAAAATGGTGTGCAGAGATCCGCGGGTGACACTCTTAAACCGACCTCCAGTGTCAGGCAGATAGGACCCAGCAGGCCCGCCTCGGGTTCTGCTTCGAGGAGGAGAGAAAGAATGTTCCGACAAGCTTGGGTATTCACCCAGTGGTGATGTGTGATGATTTTGGTCAGGAGTATGAGTGAACCGTCCTTGTCCAAAGACTTGATGAAGGAGCTCTCAGTCAGGTTCACGGAGAACCTGCCGTCAGCTGATATAGTTCGATCCTCATCCTCCATAGTCGGCGGAAGAGTGAGGTCAATCCGCTTGAAAAAGAGGAAACACAGGTCTAGAAGCTTTCGGTGGGAGAAGCGACGACCTTTCTCAAGCAATCTGCAATAAGTCGAATAGTGACCCCTCAGTCTCTTGCGGTCTTCTCCTTCGAGCCAGATTATTTCGAGGCATCTCATGAAGATACCCTTGTCTAGCAGAACTCTTATGGCCCACGGACCAAACTCAGTAAGCATGTTGAGGAACTCATGATAGTCATCCCACGGACGCGGTGCACTTTGGAGGGCAGGCCACAAATTGTCCAGCATTTCAGCAACTTGGTCGAAAGCAGATTCGAAGCGCGAGCGCCATATCTTTTGATCGCTCTCATCGAGCTCGGAATCTTTGGACGTCGTGTGAAGATGCTTCAGAGCACCAACGATGAGCATATATCCCTTGACCCGAACTTCTGAATGAAGGCCCCGAAGGATAAGGTTGCGGATGGAAGTGCGCCGTCCACACACCCAATCCAACACCCGATGCGCAGCGTAAGGGGTCTGGCCGAGGATTTGAAAGATCTCAGTAAAGAGGTTATCCAGACCCATGGCATCCTTCGTCCGCGCCACCAGCTGCTCGAGGGTGTCCATGCCGACATCGACCGCCAGTCCGATGACCTTTTCTCGATTTGAGGTGGGAGCCACGGTGTCCAAGCGTCGTAATAGCTGTTGCACGAAAAAGGTGTAATAGGGGTCCAGGAGGCAGTAGCTCCGAACGTAGAGCTCGTTTTCGATGGCGATATGATTTGCAAACACGGTTGGAATGGGCACCTGGGCAGGGACATTGCGCTTTGTCGACCTGAAGACGGCGTTGGATTGCTCCATTGTTGACACACGCTGGTAAAACAGCATGTAGGCGTTCCAGACCTTGTTGAGCCGAACACCATTGACAGAGTGAGATTCGCTTTGGCCGCCGAAGCATTGGTCGGCGATGGCTGCCGGATCAAACCTGCTGACGTCGGAGTCGTTGAATTCAACCCACGACGGCACGCTACTAGCCGTTGGTCGCTCACGCATGTAGGAGTAATAATGGCCAGATTCAGCTGTGCCAGTATGGACGAGAACCCCGACTAACTCAAAGACGTCCGGCTCAATAGAGGCGTTCGAGTCGGAAAGGTATTCCACATTGAACGGGGCCATGTCAATGCGATGAGGGAACTGGAATTCGTCGTTGATCTTGCTTCGCATCATGGTCACCATGTCAAAGTCAAACCGCTTGAGGTGGAATATGAGATTATCGGGGACATCTTTGAGGCAAGCTCTGTACACGAATTAGCAAATACAATCTCGGTGAACAAAAGAAGTCTCCAGCTTACCGCTTGACAGCATCAACATGCCGTCCGCAGGAAGTGCAAGAATACTTGTTGTCTAGTTCCAATTCTTAGCAAAAGGTTTTCACTCATGATGTCAGTTTGCTTCACTTACCTCCCTGCATGACCTCGCCCTCAACATACGCCTGCAAACTCTCCTCGAGGCTCGCCTTGCCCTTGATGTCACACTGAATAGCCGAAAACGGCTCCAACCTCTCCGATATGTGTTCGCATTCCTTGGACTTGATCTGTTGAACCAGCTGGCCCCCATAGAAGGAGCGGAACTTCTTCTTGTCTTCGGGGTCAAGAACTTGAGCTTCCCAGCGGTCGAAGAGAAGGTTGTAAAACTCGTCAACATCCATCTGGATAGTGACATCAATAGCCTCGTTGTCGTAAGTTCGAATGCTGTCCACAAATTCCTGTGGCTCTAAGTTCTTCATCCAGGTCTCTTGCATCCATGAAAAGAGTCTCTGGGTCTCATAGAGCAACCTTTGTGACGAGCCGGGGTCCGCAGGATGAAGTCCCAGAATAAACTCTCTGAATTCAACATTCATGAACAGCTGTGTCATTAAGGAATTCAAATAGCAAGTATTCGAGAGATTCCTGAGGCCAGCGTAACCCTCTGGTGCGCGAAGCATTTTCGATCGGTCAAGAGCCGAGCTTGAGACGTAGGTATAGTCTGCGGATGACAGGAAGGGTTAGCGCGCAAAGAGTCTGGGGTCAGACTGTGACATACCTCGCGGGACGAGTGCTTCCACCTGGTCCAAAACGTTCGCATAAACATCGTCGTTCCGTTTGCAGAGAAGGTTGATAATGTTGTAGAGCTTTTGACGAGTGAGGTTATGCATGACAGGGGTTTGTGGAATGATGGGCTCCGACGATTCCAATGACAAGTCTGGGAAGAGGTAAGTGCTGAGGATTTTCTCGGCGAGGTGACTGGAACGGACAAGTGAGTACAAATGCAAGCTGTTAGGTTCAAGAAAACTCACGAGGTGTCCATTCTGGCTTGGGCAGAATCAGCCAGATCGAGGCACAGTTCAAGCAAATGAGCAAATCCGAGGATCAGGTCATCGACGAGCTCACGTCCCACAAACTGTTGACAGGTTAGATAACGGGAGTATCAATATATCAGGAAAAGAACAACATACCTCTTCGGTGCGATGGCTCAACATAATCTCACTCCACTGCTTGACGTAGTCACCAAATATCAAATCCCGGGGTGATTTCTCAGCGACAGATTGAAGCACCCAGAGAGCAGTCCGGAAGAACTCCGCCGACTGGGAGGCATGCTCCGTGGTCTTCGGTATGTCCTGAACAAAAGCACTCCAAATCGTAGCAAGCATATCAATCCGAGCAGGATTATCGAGGGGCGATGTGTTTTGCGGATCTTCAGTAGTCAATTTGACGGACTGCTTGAATGGCTTTGAAGGACTACAGGTCATCTTAATGCGCTCTGCGATCTCATGGCGGATTGGCTGTCGACATTCCTCCAGCAGAAGGGAGCATAGGAGCTCGTCGAACTTCACCTGTTGCTTGACAGCGCTCCAGAACTTCTGGTCGCTCAAGGAGCCTTCGATCAAGACCCCGAACGAGTTGCATATCAATCGCTGGATATTGATACCAGGAACAGTGCTAGAAGACGTATGACGGCCAATGTCAATGAGGTCGACAAGCCGCTGTACTAACAAAGTGGGTTCCTGAACCAAGCTGTGCTCATCATTGGCCGGGTGATAGACAGAGAGAGCGACCACAAGGCACTCGACCGCACTGGTAACGAGGACGAACTTCACAGAATTTGCGGCGAGAGATTCCAGGAGCCCGTCACCAGCCAGGAACAACACCAGGACCTGAATGCTATGCGCGACGAAGGTTTGTTCAGGCGAGATCTCTACAGATTCCTCGCGCAAGCATGCTGACAGGGTGTTCATTGAGTAGAGAGCATTGAACGGCTTCTCGAGAGGAAACAGATCCTTGTCGCTTTGAGACTTGGACCTAACAAGCTCGCGAACTCGATCCTGGGGAGGGAAAACGACAAGAAAATCGTAGATCTGCAAACGTCAGCATCAAAACAAGAAGTCGCAGATAGGCCACATCTTACCTCCTGTGCGAGATCATCTTTAAGATCAAGAAGATCGTAGAGTTCATCGAAATGTTTGAGCACCTCCGCATCAACGGAGGTAAGAGGCTGGCGTCTTCCACCTCGAGCCAATTCCGGGGCCTCTGGGACTTTGCGAAGAATAAGTAGCCCAGACAGAAACTTCAGATCCTTCACAAGGGCTTGCGGGTCCTTTAGTAGCTCCACGTTATGTCCACCGCAGATGGCGGCAAATTTGGAAAATCCGGTGAGATGAGCGAGCCGCTCGACGAGTTCAGCCGCTGTGGAGTGGTCGCCAATCTGCAAGATGCTGACACTGGATCTATTGGCGCCATCGAACCATTGATAGGAGATATCAACGGGGTCGCCTTTGAGGGGTCGGTCAGGCAGGCGGGGCGGCGAGCGTTGTCGGGGACTGTATTGCGGGCGAGTCCTCAATCCGTGCAGCAGTTGCCGCAGAAAAAGCAATGAGCGTCTAAATCTAAGCTCCTGCGCTCCGATACCACCCTGCGAGCTGTCTATCTCCATGGTGCCATCGCTAACGGTGGAATGACTGCTGGAGGACTTCAATATTCCAGCAGCCGATTTGAGCTGGTCAATACAGCGCTCGACGATGGAGACATGGGTTGCCTCCACGGCTGAGCGCGGCGATCGACGAATGATGTTATGATCCAGGTAGACTTCAATCGCGTAGTTGGTTGCCTCGGTTTCAATAGAGCCAGAAGGTGCGGTCAGAACAAACTGCCAGATCCGCTCCATACCAGGAATCATCACGACTTCATTCTCATCGGCGACTGGAGGGGGATTGAACCGGACATCGTAGTGAATCGACTGCTTGGCGAACGCTAGTACTTCTGGTGAGTAATCGTCGGGGAGCAGTGCTGGCAAGTATTCCTGGATGCACCGCTCGATGAACGTGTTCGGCTTGCCAGTGCGACCGGTGACGGTGCACAGCATGTCCCAAACGGCTATGCGGCCTTGGGGAACAAGTGTTTTGGACATGAGAATTTCGTTCCAAAGTGTATTTCCGAGGTCAGAATCGATGGTATCTGGGGCCATGTCAATGAGTCGAGACAGGATCTGGACGCGTGAAATGAAGCCGTGGTGGGAGAAAGGATCGCCGAAATTAACCTGTCCTTCGCCAACAATGTGGGCAAACTCCGCAATCACGAGCCGTGTCAGATCAAATTCAGTTGCCAGTTTCCAAATCTCCTGTGTACCAGGCATAGGAACGAGGGCGTTCAACGCCTGGATGCTTCCAGCAGTGAATTCGTTCATCTCGGCAATATCCTGGATGCAGCGCTCGTACATCTCCATTTTATCAACCTCGCTAAGTCCAGCCTTGATGAACTCCCTGAGCTGCGTACTGCCGAACTTCTGCATCATGGTCTTTTGCTCCACGGCAAGATCCGTAGCAGCAGCGCTCTCCCGAATAAGGCGCACGCATAGGCGTAAGGGGATGGGATCCACATGTTCGGCCTCAGATAGGTCGTAGCGTCCTTTTTCGAAATGCTTTTCCCGCACATTCTGCAGGAGATGGTGACAAAAGTCAATGATCCGCGAATCAAACCGCTCCAGGGGAAACTCGAGCAATTTTGAACAGACGTAAAGCAGGGCAGAGGATGCAGACGCGTGCATGGGCAGTGTGCGCATTAACATCGACAGGACTTCGGAGATGGTTCGGCTGTCTTGGCTTTCAGTCACAGTCTTCCAGATGATGTCTGTATCAGCATCTGTGTAGGAGGAGGTCACAACCAAGAACCCGACGATGTTGCTGCTGCGGCTGATCAATTGTGGATGAGAATCGACGCCCACAAGATAGTCCACGAGTTTGCTGTCGCGCAGGAAGCGAACCAAGTACTGGATAAAAGGCAAGGAGACACCGTCGGGGTTTTGAGCGAGATTCTGCCGCCAAATCCCAACTAAATCAGACTGCATCGTTTCCACGCCAAGGACTCGAAGCTCCATGCGACCCTCCATAGTGTGTTTCTTGAGAATGCCGAACCTCCAGGCCCACCAAAGGACTGACCCGCTTTCTTCTGAAGTGACGTCTTGCGGGAGAGGTATTGACAGATCAGTTGACAGGCGCTGAAGATATTCGTCAGAGAAATGGGAGAAGGCAAGGTAACTGCGGCAAAAGAAACGCAGAAACTGATCCGACATTTCGCTGGTGAGCCATGGCGACTTCTTGGTAATATGCTCGCGGTACGCTTCGTCCATCACGCGCACTGTCTCATAAAGGGTTCGTATGACTGGCAAATCCACAGTCGGTTCATCATTCAGCTTCCGCTCTAAGGTGCGATCGATCAGAGGGCAAATGACAAGGAAGACGCTGATAAGCATCGTTGATAGCTGTGGGTATTTCGGAAGGCGTGGAATGATGAGAGACACGTACTCCGACAGTGCACTGGGGGCATCTATCGGAGCTGCCGTGACCCGATTTCTGATGCAGACGAGAAGATCCACAACTTCGGTATCATGCAGCCGGTCCAGAGTACGAAAGAAAGGAATGTTGGTGAGTTGAATCGTCCAGGCAAGAGGTTGTAGGTATTGCCGTGACAAGCTGTCCGGCAGTTGGATATCTGTCTCGTTGGATACCTGGCTCAGGATTAACGTGTCCAGTCGAACCAGATGAAATGTAATTCGGGCGAAGTCCACGAAGAATTCCTCCAGGAAACTCCAAATACCTTGGCCAGCGTCCAGTTGAATTGGTTGTCTAGCAAACCTGTTAGCTAGCTTCCATACTCTGGGTATGATTATCTCACTGTCGACGCAGCAGGGCCTCCACCACACTGGGGAGCTCCTCCCAGAATTCATGATCTTCAGCAAAAACCTCTGGTGTCAGGCGATCCAGATTGGCCGCGCAGTCGTCCAACCAATGTTTTGTAGCGACCAGTACTCCGGCGTCGTATTGGTCACCTACCGAGCAGGGTCAGCATGCGTAGTAAAGCGAGGTCATCGCCCTTCTCACCTTTATCAATCATCATGCAAATCCTTTCCAAGTTCTCACGAGGCCCCAAGTTCTCACGCACTCTGGGGAACCAGTTGATCATCGGGACGGAGCCACGACTCTTGACGATCTCGGGCGCGACATGGTCCTGCAATACCTTCTCCAGCGGCCTCCAGCTGGACATGTTGGGGTCCTGATCTATGTCCTCCAGCTCGGCAACTTCGATATCGGGGGTGTGGTCGGGGGACGACGAGATTGAGATGGGCGCATCGTCGGGGGTGGGCTGAGGCTCCGGCGCGACCTCAGTCTGCTCGGTCGGGGTGTCCACGCCGGATGGCATGTCGGAGGCGGGAGACTTGACGTTGATGGTGACTTTGGAAGGAGGGCGCGCGTTATCCGGGGTCTCGTCCATGTCGACGGCAGGCGCGGCCGTCGCGCAGTCATCGATCGACAGCGACTCGCTCACTCGGCTTCCACTGTCGAGGCGCGGGCGCTTCCGGGTCTGAGGGTCCTGCTCTTCCATGGGGCCGCCCGGACGCGTTGATTCTGAGGTAGCGCCAGGCGGGGTGCTAGAGCTCTCTAGCGGGGCTTCAGCCATGACATTTTCCTCGTGGAGATGGGGGTGGGAAGAAGGGAGAGGAAGAAAGGGAGGGGTGTTGGGATGATGAAGGGTGGGAAGAGAGAGGAAGAGAAGAAAGAAAGAAAGAGAAAAGTGATGGGGAAAAGTGGGATGAGCAGAAGGAGGAGTGAAAGCAAAGAAAAAAGTTGTTGTGAGCGACGGTGACGTGGTGTGGAGAACTCCTGTGCACAGTGTTGTCGAGTACTCACGAACGGGAAACGCCGCACAAACAGGAATAGAGATCATTAGGAGATCATCGGGCACTGTACGGAGTCAAAATGACCTAGAAGTACGTAACATTTGACCTGACAAAATTGACTATCCTATCATTCGCCTCATGCAGTATGCAAGATATATATATATGCACGACATCGCAGCAACCTTATAGAAACTACCATCCCCTCCTTTACGAATAGTTATAAGTCGGTTTGGTCTATCTTCATCTCAATTGCCTACCCCTACTCTATCATCGTGGTTTCAATCCGGCGAATAATCCTAGCGGGGTTCCCAGCTGCGACATGGAACGCAGGCACATCCTGTTATACCACATCGTCAGTCTCAATATCCGATAAAACACCACCTACTCACCTTGGTAACCACACTCCCCGCCCCAATCGAGCACCCCTTCCCAATCGTCACACCTGGCAGAACAATCACGTTCCCACCCAGCCAACAATCCTCACCAATAGTAATCGGCTTTCCATACTCTGGCCCCTTCAGGCCATTGCGCAGCGCAGGATCCAGCGGATGCGTACCAGAGTACAAGTTCACCCCGGGACCGAACATAGTTCGCGCGCCGATAGTAATGGGGCTGGTATCGATGAAGACCGCGTTGGAATTGACGAAGGAGCCCTCGCCGAGTTTTACATTATACCCGTAGTCTATCCGCACGGGGGGAACGACCAAGGGCTCGTTCTGGAAGAGAGCCTCGTCGGCCGCGGGGTCAGATTGGACTGGTGGTAGTGGGGTTTTGTCGTTGGTGATGCTGCGCGTAGTGGTTAGTATAGTACATGTTTTATGCATGAGATATGAACAAAAGAAAAACATAAAATGAGAGCGTATCTGTCACATTTCTGTGTTACTCACTCTCTCCACAGTTCAGCCAACCGCCGCCGGGATACCTGGCCCGCCTCGTTGAAGCGAATGCAGGCGTATTTGCAGCGGTCTCGCTCGGCTTGCAGCTCCGGGGAGAAGGCGATGAAGAGCTCGCCGCGCTGCATCTTCTCTTTCTCGGTGGGTTCAGCCATGGTAGGCATACGCTGAATCGTGTTAGTTCAGGTGGTTCTGGAAGTGGGGACTTAGCTGGGATTGCGATTACGTACTAGTCCTCTTCTATACATAGTTCCTATGTCTCATTGTGCAGGCAGAACGGCGTTCTCGGCTCTCCAGTTTCGATTAAATCAATTCAATAACTAGGTTCCCACCAATAAGCTACATTCTGTTTCCTAATCTACATGCCGCATTCTCTTTAGCTTGACTTCTGCTGAGGCTGACGAATAGATGTCAGAATGATATCAATATCCTTTTCTGCATGATCCCATTCATGCCTGATAAGCCGGCCCTTCTCCACTGATCGCAGTGTAAAAGATGCTTTGAACGGCTGTGGTCGAGAATTAAATCCCTGAGTAAAAGCAAAGAGATCGACTTCACATCGCCTTCGAACTCCATCAGCGGTCTCATACGCACATCCGATGTCGAACGCCCACAGTAAACATGCGATATCGGAATGTTTAAGTCTCGTGTAGAGCCAAAGAAGAGACAGGACTGCAAGGGGTATGAAAAGTAAAGCCATGTTTTTAGTTTCTAGAATAGCTGGCAATTCAAAATGATAGGATCCAGTTTCAAGCCATTTATCCCCCACAGAAGCATTGCAGATTCAGGCTCTCTGTCTGTATATATAGGACTTCTCACTTTATCCTACATTTTGCCAGAAGAGCTCAGATGCGGGGTAATAAGATCGGACATGGAGGCCGAGGTCCCGCTACAGCGCAGCATGATGATCACGGAGGTGGGACAGTGCATAGCTTGACAGGGTGTTCCCTTCCCAATGGTCCCGCAGAAGCATACAGCATGCATACATACCCTTGTTATGAAATCCTGCTGCACTGTTCGATGGACTAAGGCCGAACGCATGAGCTTTAGCATTGCGGCAGCCCCATTAATTGCGTTCAGTTCCTGCTATTATAGTATGGAGGCGTCTTAAACCTTGGATCCCGGGCGATAATGAGGCATAATTCACTTCTTTGTATCAGACTGTTGCGGCCCCTCCATTAGTGCAGTATATAGAAGCCCATCAAATAAAAATTGTGTTCTTGTATAGTTCTCTGCTTTTGGAGTCGAGCGTCGCTGCAGCCCCAATAGGTCGGGGTGTCTTAGCATTAGGGCTCTAGAAGCAACCAAGGGAGTGGAGGTGGTGACACCAAGCTCGTACAGTAACGCCATGATCAAATTGTAGATCGACTATCAGCAATGCACATGTGGGCTGAGTGGTGAGGTGAACTTCCTATTTCGGTTTAGTGCCTCCAATATTTCCCCAAACAATATCTTGCTAATCGCCGATTGTTCTTCCCACTTCAACGGGCAACAAAGAACGCCCACCTTTAAGAATCGCCGCTACTGCTGGTGAGACATGCGCTCCTCGCACTTCTCATATCACTCATCCTCTGTCCTTCCCTAATTCCTCTTCCCCTCTCTCATCATCGCCGCATCAACTCACCTCAGCTCCGTCATCACAATGACCACCGCGGCAACCACTTCGGGCGCCCAGCCCATATCTCACAATTCCTCCTTTCCAATCGAGCGCACCACCACCTCCCAACCCTCCGCTCCGGGCTGGCGACCTCCCCAGCACACCCACCGCCACAATTCCCTCTCCCCCACGCCCTCCGAGACCAGCTCCGCGGAGGATGAAGACACCGCACACGCCTCCAACTACCCGACGGGCAAAATGGCCCTGTCAGGAATCTCGCTGCGCGCATTCCTGCTCGGCATCACGCTGGGCATCTCTGCATGCTCGACCCTCTTCCTAGTGGCCGTCTACCCAACACCCCTCTGGCGCGCCCCATTCTTCATCTCGGCACTGAGCCTCTTCCACTTCCTCGAGTTCTTCGTCACGGCGAAATACAACACGAGATATGCAACTGTCTCAGCGTTTCTCCTCTCATCAAATGGATGGGCGTATAATGCCGCGCACGGATCCGCGCTCGTGGAGTGTCTGCTCTCGCACTTTTTCTGGCCGAATACCTCAATCATTTCAGGTGTCTTGTCTACGACAACTCTTGCCCTGGGATTTATTCTCATGCTCATGGGCCAAATGGTCCGTACCCTGGCCATGGCGCAGGCTGCGAGCAATTTCAATCACCATGTCCAGGTTGAGCATAAGGAGGGCCATGTGTTGGTGAAAGAGGGGTTGTATCGGTTCCTGCGCCATCCGAGCTACTTTGGGTTCTTTTGGTGGGGGCTCGGGACGCAGCTTGTACTGGGGAATGTGGTTTGCTTTGTGGGGTATGCGGTCGTGCTGTGGAGGTTCTTTTCTAGTCGGATTCAGCGCGAGGAGAACTTCTTGGTCCAGTTCTTCGGGGAGGAATATATTCTGTATAGGAAGACGACGCCTGTGGGGATCCCTGGGATTCGATAGAGGCAACTGCATAGAAGTGAATGGTAGAATACGTGTTCCTGTTGGTGAAAAGTGAATATGGCTTGGAATATATGGTTCGGTATATGTACAAAATCTAAAGAATGCAGAGCAAAGCATAATATCAAAGCTTGCTCTCCGGCGCAATCCCCCCCACAGCACCACTCATGTAAGGACCATTCTCTTCTCCCTGCGCAGAAGCAGACTCGGCACCGAAAAGAACAAGCTCGCGCCCACCCCGGGTGCTCCACCAGGTAACGCAGCAATGGGCGCGATCAACGTCCATCTCGCCGCTGCTCAGAGCTTCCCAGAAACGATCCACGCAGACATGGCGCATCCCTCGATCGGCGACTTGATTGATGAGTTGTGCCGCCAGAGGAAGCCACTCTTCCAGGTCTTCGACGCACAAGAAAGAAAGAGAGTCGAGTAGTGCCAGGATGAGGACTGCTTGCTCGGAAAGAGTCGGTGTGTTTCCTAGATCAGGCGTGGTGCTCGACTGGGATGAGGGCGGCAAAGGTGTTGACGATGCGTTCATCGCGCGGTCGCGAACGACATCTAGGAGAATGGAAGGGAGAAGGGGCTGGCTGTTTGCTAAAGGCGAGGGTGGTGCAGTGACTTGAATGACGGTTTTGAAGGCGAGACGGAATTGTCGTGCGGATAGGTTCTGAGGGAATACCTGCAGAGTGTAAGTAGATCACGCGATCGAGTAGAGCAGGAAACTCACGGCAAAGAGGTTGTCAATATAGAAAGGCAAGTGCTTGGCAGCCAATGCCGAGTTACCAGGGATGGCAAAGACAACAAGAACCACACTATGAGCAGCCTCGAAGATATCCAGAAGAAGAGGGTTCGCTGCGGATGCAAGGTAGGGGAAGGCGGCTGACAGTAGCAGCTCCTCACTGGACTCTGGCGACAAGACAATTGGGAAATGTTCGGCAGCATTCATAAAGAACAGGTCTAGACACCGTTCAACTGGATGCGCGGGTATCTGTCCAATATCGCTGGGCTTGATACTTCGCAAAAAGTTTTCGGCGAGGTCCGGGTACTGTGAGAGGAGGTCGATGGCGGCCAGAAACACAAACGTCTGCTGCGAGGACGCGTTCTGGCCGAGCCGAGATGATATAAAATACATATTGCGGAGAATATGAAGGGCCTGCATCGACAGGAATGGCGCGCCTAAAAAGGTCAGCTTGGGTTCGAGGAGCACCGTGGCATACAACATACTACTGCCAGCAGCCAAGGCCGGGTCATTAATGGTGCGGCCTAGGACCGCGCGAAGGGTGATAACAATCGAATATAGGCAGTTCCGCAGAACTTTCCATAAAGCAGGAATTGTAGTCTCGCGTGATTCGGCATCCAAGAAGTCCATCTCCTCCGCGATATCCACTTCTGAGAGTTTGTTCTGGCGCCACTGCACCATGAGCGTGCGAGTAAAGTCGGCCAGGTAATCCACAGTCTGTGCAACGAGTTTCGGGTCACGGGTATTCTCGATGGCGTGCGAAATGAGTCGGGATAGAGGCCCAAACGCTGCGACAAGAGGGCGCGAGGATATGGCAGACACGTAACCAAATGTCGGGGAACTGGCCGACCACCGGAACTGTTTCCCAGGTGCTTCGACCACGTCCTTATCAATGGCCCCCAGGAAGTACCCGCCCTCCAAACCCTCCGGAGAGAAGAACGCCGACCGAACCATGACTGGCAGCAACCGGTCGTAGTCCAGTTTGCTCCTCTCCAGATCAGATAGGAGCTCAAAGGTATAGTTCAGCACCATGGTAATGCAATATCCATCAACTCCATTCTCAGTATTAATCTCCTCCAACGAGAGTTGCGCCGCCGTGGCCAGAGCCGATTCAAGCTTCCTCCGGATATGTCGCGGGAGGCCCTGTCTATTCTGGCCCTCGAAACCAAGCAGGACGCCACCAATCAAGAGCATGTGTCTCCAGCGCGGGGATTTGTCGTCCGCCCCGTCCACCACAGCCTTCACCCATGCTTCGCGATCGATCTGGCGATTGCGGCCATACGGGACCCGGGGCTCGTCGGTGGTATCGTGCTGCAGGACGGCGATGGCGGCTGTGTTGAAGACGCTGAGGATCTTGTGACAGGTCTGTAGGTCAAGCGGATGGCTCCATAATGCGGGAGCTCTTAGCAGCTGCGATGAAAGGAGATTCAGGTTCAACGGGTTGCCGAGCAGGGACAGGAAGCTAGTGGCTGTCGGAAGGAGGCTGATGAATCGTCAGTAGAGTCCCGTGCAATGAACAGCTCACTTACGCAGTAGCATCTTGCGGGTTGGAAGTCGACTGAAGCGACCGCAAGAGTGCAGCCAACGAGCGTTCGGTGGCCATCGCTGTACCCCGGAGTGCTGTGAGCAGGAGATGGAGGCGCAACCGTGGAGAAGCCGAGGTTACGGGGGTAGGTGCAAACAGTGCAAACAGGCTCGTCGGGTCATAGCGCCCAGGACGCCTGGAGCTGACACTTCCAACGATCATAGGTCCGTCCCGTTTGGCCCGCCGGCATCCTCTCCGTTCCGTTTATCTATTCTTCTCGGGGGATGGTCCGCCGTGGTGCACCCTGCAGAAGTGCACCGGCCAGTCAGCGTGGTGCCCGCATTTTGTACCCCTGCCGGTTCTATACAGCAACAAAGGTGGCTTGTTAGGTGAAACCACCAAATTATGATTACTGACTGCCTTCTGGAGAGAAGTCAAGGCTCCTAGTAGCAATAATATGCATGTATTGTCAACCTCACTAATATCCGGATCATTAGGCTATGTAACCATTGCTCGCCTTTATTATATAAGAAATCTTAACCCTGCAGCCGGCTGAAGAACTGCTTATTCCTCGTGTTGGCATTAGGCGCTTGCCACTTTTAGGATCCCCGTGCTGTATAGGGTCTACCACCCTGGTAACCTGGGGTAAATATGCAACAATCGAAGCGCAGGAGTAACCAAGGGTCCGTTACGAAAATGGAAAACTCTTGCATTTTGTGAAACAGATAATTAGGCTTAAAGACGGATCAAACTTAATTATACTTTTACATAGTATTGTTTGACCTTGAAAGCAGGCTATTTTGAACTAAGCTAGCCTCCACACCCTTTTCATCACGTCCCGCGTCTTTTTGAGATAATGCTCCGCGGATCTTGTTACATTGCTGTTCAACATCATCGGAAAACCGGGTTGTTGTCCCGTATGCTTTGGGCGAAACAGGTATATATTTCATGGATGTCTTCCCCGTGAATCCCCTGACCCTGGATTCAAGAACCACGGAAGCCAACTAGCAATACGAAAACTTCAGTCAAGATGCAACGTACTTCAGCTTTGGCGCTTTTCCTACTTACTCAGGCCGTCTATGCCCAGCAGAGCCTCTATGGCCAATGTCAGAGCTTCCATACCAGTTCCTGCTACGAACGTTGTGTTAATCGTTTCTTTAGGCGGCGGTAATGGATGGACAGGATCGACCGCCTGCACAGCACAAGCAACTTGCAGCACTTTGAACCCCTGTAAGTCCTTATTTACCCTTCTATTCTCTGTAGATACGACACTAATGGCTTGAAAAGACTACGCGCAATGTCTCCCTGGAACTGGGGCAACGACTACAACCACAACCACGACAACCAAAACTACCCTTACTACCACGACTAGTAAAACATCCACCACCACCACTAAAGCCGGTACTACCACTACAACCACTAAAACCGGTACTACCACTACAGCCCCTAGCAATAGTGGCAATCCGTTCAGCGGCTATCAGCTCTATGCCAACCCTTACTACTCCTCCGAGGTCTTCACGGATGCAATTCCGTCCCTGACCAGCTCTCTTGCCGCAAAGGCTAGCGCAGTGGCTAAAGTTCCGTCTTTCGTTTGGCTGTAGGTCCAATTGCTCCTCTTCAGATGCGCCTCTACTAATTCCTTCAATAGTGACACGGCTGCCAAAGTTCCCACGATGGGCACATATCTTGCCGATATCGAGTCAAAGAATGCGGCCGGTGCTAGCCCGCCTATTGCCGGAATTTTTGTGGTCTATGACCTGCCGGATCGCGACTGCGCTGCTCTTGCCAGTAATGGCGAGTACAGCATTGCTAACAACGGAGTAGCCAACTACAAAGCGTACATTGACGCAATTAGGGCTCAGCTTGTCAAATACTCTACTGTGCACACTATTCTCGTGATCGGTTAGTACCCTACATACTCGGAATGGACTTGAATGCTCTTCTAACATTTACCAGAGCCCGATAGTCTCGCCAATCTCGTCACCAACCTCAATGTGGCGAAATGCGCCAATGCTGAGAGCGCTTATCTGGAGTGCGTCAACTATGCCCTGATCCAGCTGAACTTGCCCAACGTGGCCATGTACATTGACGCTGGTAAGAATCTTTCCCTTCATCATTTGGGCCGGAGACATCAGCTGACTTGATATGCCTAGGACATGCCGGCTGGCTGGGCTGGTCAGCTAATCTCCAACCGGCGGCTACGCTCTTTGCCAACGTATACAAGAACGCGTCGTCGCCCGCTGCTGTGCGTGGGTTGGCCACTAATGTTGCTAACTATAATGCTTGGTCAATTGGCACTTGCCCATCATATACACAAGGCGACTCCAACTGCGACGAACAGCTTTACGTCAATGCCATTGCTCCGCTGCTTGCGTCTGCAGGTTTCAATGCTCATTTCATCACCGATACTTGTAAGCAAATCACTGCAAGCTTGATTGATTCTGATATAATCGGAATTGACTAACCTCTGGTTAGCACGGAACGGTGTGCAGCCTACTAAGCAAAATGCCTGGGGCGATTGGTGCAACGTCATTGGTACTGGCTTCGGTGTTCGCCCCACGACGAACACCGGCGATGCTCTTGAGGATGCATTCGTATGGGTGAAGCCCGGCGGAGAATGTGACGGTACTTCGGATACCTCATCGGCACGATATGATGCCCACTGCGGATACAGTGATGCGTTACAGCCTGCCCCAGAGGCCGGAACATGGTTCCAGGTGAGTTTTTAACCTCGTGTTAATCTTGATTATAATTGTATCTGTTCCCTTGCTGATATTATTCAGGCCTATTTTGAGCAGCTGCTTGTGAATGCCAACCCGTCTTTTTGATTGACTTGATGGAAGTGAATACTATTTACCTGTTGGATAAATTACTGCTGTGATCTTGCCTTTCTTTTGTACGAATCAACTTCGATTTTTTCCTTGCCAACGGATATGAAACTTGAGATTAGATTTTCTGATTCGTAACTTGTCGAACAAGTCTAGAGTATCGTAATCCGCTGAACCCCTGCTTAGGGAATTTGACGCTTAAGGCTACAAGGAACAAGGTATTCAAATTAGATACATGTAAATATACTGTATGTTTGCAACCCAATAATTTCGAGAGAAAAAATCGCTCAAGGCCTGTCCGTCATGAATATTACAGGAATTTGAGGATACCGTTGACATCAACGAAGCTGAATTCTTCCAACGTCTCTTCCCACAGTCTTTCCATGATATTCTTACCATCCTCTGTGTACAGAAGTGAAGGGTACCTAGAAAAGTCAATGAGCAAGTCAACGAAGATGTAAATAGTTAGAGAACTTACGGAACAATCTCCCAGTTCATTAGCACAGACCCGTGAGAGCTCTCCTGGGCGATGGCAGCGTCGAGGTAGGTTGATGCACCGATTTTGACACTTCGAGCAGTGGCAGCTTTGAATAAATTCAACACAACCATAACCGCAAAAGGCACCTCACGTTGCAGCTTCGTGCCTTTTACAAATCCGGGTTCAACGAGGTTCACCACCACATCGTCTGCAGACACCGAATCCGTGAGCTTCCAGATGAAGAACTGACCGAGGAACTTTGAGGTTGGGTATATATCAACAGAGTCGAAGAACTTCTCGTTATCAAAGGATTTGAGAAGTGGAACTTCGTTCTTGTTGGAAAACTTGGCAGTCATGGAGAGCATGCTTGTGACGATGGTCAATCTTCCTGGCGATCCGACAGGAGACTTGTCCTTCAGAACTGGGAGTAGGAGGATAGCCAGAAGCATTGTTGAAAGATAATTGACCTGCATGGTCTCTTCATGTCCAGTAGGAGGTACAGTCCTGAAAGCTCCTGCGGCAACTCCAGCGTTCAGGATGGCAATGTCGAGGCGAGGTAGCTCTTTCTTAGCCCGGGCCGTGAACTCCTGGATTGAATCGTATGACGCCATATCCAAGGACCAAACATCAATCGTGGAATTGGGATACTGCTTCCGTAGCTTCGCGGCTGCGTCCTCCCCTTTGGGCATTGAACGAACAGCCATAATAAGCCGGGTCAGCTTATGGGAGAGAAGTTGACGTGCGCATTCCAGACCAAGGCCACTATTTGAGCCTGTGACAATAACAACTTTGCCGGAGAGATCGGTATCGTCTGGGATGGGCTTCGGTTTAGATGAAAATTGATTCTTGATGAACTGGTTCGGAAAGAATGGAGTGGTAGAAGGTGGTAGCTCCTTGGAGGAGGACATAGTGAAATTATCCCAGGAGGGTTTTACTTCCTGGAGGAAAGGGCCAATCGTGAAATGTATCGAGTAGGCGGGATTAATTCCTAGAAGAACAATGGGCAATGGAGGTTGGATTAGATCTTTCTTTATAAAGGCCACTGACTCGGAGAAGTGCCGGGCTGCCGGTGTTAAGATTAGAATAACTCCTAGCCCCGCCAGCAGCAATTATTGGATATCACAGATTAAACAATAATGATGGTTGCTTCTGGTAGTTATGTAGACTACTCATCTTTCTCCAAAGCTGGAATTGGGCCAATCCGAGTTGTGGAGTGAAGGCTATACCGGATTAGGACATCAATCTCCTGCATTAGCGCCGTCCGTTTTGGGTAATCCCGGTGCCACTCGGTGGCTGGAGGCTTGGTCATCTCACCTTGACCTCGCTCATCCCCGCCTATCATTCAGCTGGAATCCTGAGCCTTACGGACTTAATCGTTAATGGAATACAATCAATCACATGGTGGAAAGTAGCCATCGGCTTGAATCCGAACCGTTCAGAGCGGTCTTAACGGAGAAAGCCTCTGCTTACGAAGACATGGGTACTCCTGGAGAATCTGGTAAGTCATTGAAAGTAATACCAAATAAGATCAAACCTCGATGGCCTAATAAACAGCAAATAGCCGAGATGCCGTTTATCTTCATCGACGGCATGGGTAAAGCGGAGACAGACAAGCGAAAGCTAATCAGAAAATACGTGATGCTGGGCAAAAATCGCGGGAAGACTCGTAAGGCAAAATCAACAACACTACCAAATCCGGAGCACTCCAAGATGGACCAAGATGGGTCGTCAGATCTGGTGATCAAAATGCAATATTCCAAGATCCCTGATAAAATCGGCAATGACCTTTCCTTCACACGACTCGCCGCTCCAGTCGAACCAGCGTTGATGCAGGACGTGCTGAAATGTGAGCAAACTACCTCAATCCATTTTCGTGTCTTCATTTGGACATGATTCTTACCTGAAATAAATCATAGTCTGCTTCATGGCGAAGAAAATCATGTTTCCTCTGGCAGACTGCATCGACTTCCACAAGAAAGATAAGGTCGACACATTATGGTTTGACCTTTTAATTTCTGACCCTGCATATATGCATACCGTGGTGTTTTCATGTCAGGCTTACCTTTCTTTGCTCTCTGGTCAAAAGACGCCCACAACCATGCGCAGAGAGATGATACACTATTCTGATAGCCTTCGGCTTTTACGCAAGAGGCTGTCTGGTCAAGATGAAGATTACAAGATATGTGACTCCACAGTGCTCGTGGTTCTAAATTTGGCCACCCACGCCTATATTTCTGGCGACTACAGTTCCACCAAGCGCCATATAGAGGGCCTACGCAGGATAGTTGAAATGAGAGGTGGCATTTACGCTTTCAGCTATAACCCAAAATTTATGATGGAACTGCTAAAGTAAGGATCTCCGATGGATTCTGGATTCATCCGCTATTTGATTGTTAATTTCTAACCTTTTCTCAGGTGCGACTTGGCAATAGCACTTGATTATGGAACCGCACCAGTGTTTTTCCAAGACCCGGACTTGGAGCCCCTGGTACCTTATGATCTGACACCGTCGATGGTAGAAGAATCATCAGGATCGAGGCACCTGGGGAAATCGGCTGAGTTAAATATCAATCCAACCCTGGTACAGGCCTGGACTGTAATGTTGAGGTTCTGTTCAGCAATCAACTCTGCCGTCAAAAACAATCGCCGACTCCCCAAAGAAATTTTGCTAAACACCATGGCCGCAGTGACGTACCGCCTCCTTCACATGGACAACTTGGATTATAGCTCTGTTGCTGAAGCTATTCGCCTCGGTCTATTAGCTTTCTCGTCGCACATATTCCTTCGGATGCAAAATGTCAAGCCGCTATATACATACTTTCCTGATGCTTATCGAAAGTCTCTTTCGACTGTGAACTTCGAAGGAGAATCATCGCCCTTACTCATTTGGCTTCTTACTATCGGCGCCATAACACTCTTCACGCCAGCTGATCATTGTTGGCTGATACCAAGGCTACGGGTCAACATTGAAGCATGTGGCCTACATAATTGGAATGAACTCAGCCATCAAATGAAACGGTTTCCATGGATAGACATCTTGCATGACATGCCTGGACGAACGGTTTTCGAGTCGGTCTTCTTGTGGACAAATACTCCAAATGCGGAATAGGCCTACACAGATCCCTATTACACTACTTGCTCATTTGAATACCCAAGGATATAATTCAAGATTTTTGCAGATACGTAGCAATTTCTCAAACGTGATGTTCTCGTTTCCGTCGCGAATCCATGCCACCAGCAGTCTGTTTGGCCGATGATATGAAACTTCTGCACCTATGGACACCATTTCATTCGCATTTTCTCGGATATCCTTCCTTAAGCGATTTCCATACACAAGCCACGTCTCTGTACATAGACAGATGGATCTACGGAGAAATATCTCTCCTATCATGGCCGGTGCTACGCGGCCTGGTCCCCACATCCATGTCCGACAACCCACTAGGCGAGGAAAATCTCACCAAAGTTCTAAAGTCTAATGGGCAACAGCCCAGAATTCTGTAAACCACCCTAAATCTTGAGAGATCTTTAATACGACAATCGGAATGCCGCTTCTACATCCTAGGACTCATGTTGTATTCCTGATTGGAAATGCTCAGCTAGTGAGGAGTGAAGTAATCGATCGGCTCTGATTTGTGGGTCAAACCGACAATCGGCGAGTTATCTCGGTCGCCGCCCGAAAACCACGCAGTATTGGTCCACCCGCTCTCGTGTAGCTGGAGCGCGTGGTCGGAACCTGGCCGACTCACTCTTCTTCTCCAACCTGGGGCCCCCACAAATGTGTTCACCGTGGGGTTTGCTTTCTTATGAGTTCCTCCTTTTTCTTTTTCAAATTCTCTATCTTATATTCACACAGAACGCATAAATTCGAAACCCTAAAACGGTTTTAGAAACCACCGACGGACGTTCTATAGAAACTGATTTGCAGAGATCGACATGGCTGGCGCCAAGCTTCGCGGGAAGACGCTTGGCCTCGTCATCGGCGTTGTCGGAGCCGTCGGATTTGTGCTACAGGGCTACGACCAGGCTGTTGCTAATGGGCTATTGACATTGGGATCTTTCATCGCTGTTTTCCCACAAATCGACACTGTCAACACCAAGGGTGCACAACAATCTCACAATAGCACTATTCAGGGTAGGCTTTTCAACAAACAATCTCATTCTAGCACTAACTCCGGACAGGTACGACGGTCGCTATCTATGAAGTCGGGTGCGCTCTTGGCGCCCTCGTCTGTGCGTGGCTTGGGGACAAACTTGGTCGTCGCAAGACAATTTTCCTGGCTGGCTGCGTCGCCCTGGCTGGCATTATTATTCAGGCGAGTCCGTTCGCGCTTGGCCAGCTTATCGCCGGTAGAGTTATTACTGGTACAGTCTGCACCACCGTGGATTCTTAGCATGATGAGTTAACATAAATGCAGGCTTGGGTGTTGGTGGATTCACCGCTACGATCCCTATGTACGTTTCTGAATCTTCCGGAGCAGAAGCCCGTGGGCGCATGGTTCTACTCGAGGGATGGTTTGCAATTGGCGGTATTGTCCTCGCCACATGGCTGGAATTTGGCCTCTACTATGTCAGCAACAACTCTGTCAGCTGGCGCTTCCCAATTGCGTTTCAGGCACTCTTTGCGCTCGTTGTCGTGCTGTGCATCCCATTCTTGCCGGAATCTCCCCGTTGGCTCGCCCGCAGTGGTCGGATAGAAGAAGCAGCTGAGATATTGGCCCGTTTAGAAGATGTGCCTGTTGAATCCGAGCATGTTGCTCAGGAGCTGGAGATCATCCGCCAGTCGCTCTTTATAGACGAGACTGATGAGTCGTCGGTTTCGAGTTCGCCTTTTGCACTTACGAAAAATTGTCACCTACAGCGCACACTGATCGCTGTTGGTGTCAATATCCTCGCCCAGATGACTGGCGTTAACATTATCACGTTCTATTCCGACACCATCTTCGAAAATGATCTGCACTACTCCGGTACGATATCCCGCGTCATCACGGGATGCCTCCAAATCTGGCAATTTCTTGCCGCGGGCGTGGCCGTTCTGCTCATTGACCGCGTCGGACGTCGCCCTCTGCTCATCGCTGCGGCTGCCGGCATGACAATCGCACAGGCCTGTTTGGCAGGTCTTTCTTCCGACCTTGGTGACAAGTCGGCCGCCGGCGCGTCCCTTTTGTTCTATTTTGTTGCGCTTTTCTGCTTCCCGATTGGACTATTCCTCGTCCCGTTCTCATATGCGGCTGAGATCGCGCCGTTGCGCACTCGTGCAAAGGTCACCGCCATGTCGGCGTCGGCAAATTGGCTTTTCAACTTTCTCATCGCAGAGGTGACGCCGATTGGATTTGCCACTATCCAGTGGCGCTACTATATTATTTACGCTTGTATTAGCGCGTTTGCCTGTGCTGCTTTCTATCTTTTCTGCCCCGAGACCAAAGGTCGCACGCTCGAGGAAATCGATGACATCTTCGTTCAGTCCAAGTCCGCGTTTGATACTGTGGCTGTCGCACGGAAGATGCCATTCCAGACAGAAATCTTGGCACACATTGATGACACCGAAAAGGCCGAGATCAAGGATGAGCGGGTTGAGGCGTTGTAAGCAGTTGTTCAACGCTTACTTCGGTGCGAAGCATTGGCCCGAAAGATACACAGCTACCTCGAAATGGGAGGCTTGTCACAGTAGCTCATAACTTCAAGCCAATACCAAATATCAGGACATAATTTATAAATATTCCACTCTAGAAACGTAGACATTTCTATTTACTTGACCGAAAGGCATTATAAATGACGTCACCGGCTCAACTGTGTCGGGGAGTATGCCGATCATTGCCCCGAGTAAAGCCCCTCATTAGCCAAATTTCCCTTGGATGCCTTCTGTTAACACATTCCTATATTCGCACCTTGTGCCGGCGGAGTCCACAATTGTACCTAACAAGAAAGAATGGCACTCGCTCGCAGGCTTGCAATTCTTCCGGGAGGCTTGGGCGGCCTTGGAACGAGCATTGGTAAGAAATTAAGGAATCAAGGAGCTCGTCTTGCCATTCTCTATGCACCTTTCGAAGCTGCACGTCGAGATCAGGTCCTCGAGTCTACCTACGGTGAAATAGCCATCAAAGATGATATCCGCGCCTATGAATGCGATATCACTTCTCCAGAGTCCGTCCAGTCGGCATTCACCAATTTAGAGAAGGATATGGTCGCCCCTTCATCTTCGTCGCTAGCTGAGAGGGCCTTTCCCAGCATTCTTATCAATACCGCTGGATACGTATCCTTAAGTGACATGGAATTAACGCCTCCCGAGGAGACGGTCAAGCATCTCAACACCAACATCCTCGGCCCGATGCTCTGTTCCCAAGCCTTTGCGCGGCTCTATTTTGCGGCATCCAAGGTTGCCGAGTCTTCAACCAGTCCTCCACCTCCCGGCCGGATCGTCAGTATCTCATCCCAAGCAGCCCATGCTGCGCTTCACCGGCATGGCGCGTACTGTGCGTCTAAAGCAGGGCTTATGGGCTTGACCCGCAGCATGGCCTCTGAGTGGGCGGGCCGGGGTATCACCTCTAACACCGTGTCTCCCACTGTTGCTTGGACGGCTCTCGGAAAGAAGGCTTGGGGGGAAGAATCCGTGCGAGAGGCGTTTTTGAAAACAATACCAACTGGCAAGTTTGCTTTGCCGGAAGAAGTTGCCGATGCGGTTGTCTTCCTGTGTCAAGTAAGTTGTCCAACTGTAGTTCATAACAATTTGTTTTGCCTATACTGACTGGCCTAATAGGATTCAAGCGGCATGGTCAACGGCGCAGACATCAGAGTTGATGGTGGTTTTACAATCAGGTGAACATTACGCGTATATAGCCACTTTAGACAACTCCCTCTTGATAGAAAATCCCACGGTACTCATTTACGTCCGGAATGGTTCAATCTTTATATGAACAGCACTAAACATTATGTCTTTCAGTGTAAGTCCATTAAACATTCCACTACCAAGCTCAAAAGTTCCACTGCTTCATCCATGTCCATGAGCGGAGCATCAGGTCATGGTGAAGAGGTATATCAGTGTTCATGGGTCAGAGCTTAAGGAAGTACACCCACACATAAATCGTTAGTTAGCTCGATTAGACTAGTAGGGCTAATATCATTAACATTAATCGAATACTATCCTACAGCGTTTTGACACGTGCCTCCTCGAAGTAATATAAACAAAAGAGAAATGATTCACGATCACCCGAGAGGTCAGTAGTCCCTTGGTAGGGCTAGCGTTTAAATCTTTAAGTGACGCTCCTCATACTCTTCTATGCAACTGACTTTCTTGTAAATTCCTTTCTAGGTGGACGTTATGCTTTTGCTTTCTTCTTTATCTTCTCAAACAACTTAGTAGGGTTGAATTATATTACCGGCCGTTTCCTGTAGAATGTGCCAATGATCGTCTCTCCACATATACGAATAATGTAAGTCATTTAAATAAAACCGAACTGTAAATTATTAGTAATACTTTCCCAACTAACTAAGTTAACTAGCCTTTCATTCAATCCTCTTTTTTGATGTCATCGTCCACCCCCTAGTACTATCACATGCCACGCATGTGCTCTCTCGGGATCCCGTGACCGGGCCCGGAACAACGATGGTCCGTGGACCTCGGCATTTTCACAGTCGCAACAGCAGCATCAAAAGGGAAGTACCACCGGGTCCACGGTCCATGATTACTATTTTATAAGAGACATCTCCCCGGACGTGTGGATTTTGCTCCTTTCACTACTCCCTTGTGTTGATTTTGATTCTTCACCTCCACGATATCCCAATAAAGCATCCTACAATATTTGACGTCATGTCTTCAGGTACGTCACTCTGGACGGACAGTACGACTGTTTGAAACTAACTCGTCGGTCATCACCAGCCCACCAGCGTCTCAACCAGGTTTCCTCCCACTTCAGTGGCAAGAAGGGAGCGGCTGCCCTCACCGAGAAGCACCCCGATGATATTGTCGTGACTTGCGCCCTCCGCACTGCCCTCACCAAGGGTGGCAAGGGTGGCTTCAAGGACACTGCCGCCGCTGACCTGCTGGCCGGTGTCTTCAAGGCCGTCATCGACAAGAGTGGCATTGACCCTAAGGCCGTCGACGATGTGGCCGTTGGCTCCGTGCTCCCTCCCGGTGGTGGCGCGACCGAGTTCCGTGCCGCTGCTCTCGTGGCTGGTTTCCCCGAGACTACCGCCGTCAAGAGTCTGAACCGCCAGTGCTCCAGTGGCCTGCAGGCCATTGTTGACATCGCCAACGCCCTCAAGTCCGGCATGATCGATGTCGGCATCGGTGCCGGTGTTGAGAGCATGTCCTCTCAGTACGGGCCGGGCGCCGTGACTGAGTTCTCGGACCTGCTTGAGAACCACATGGAGGCTGCCAACTGCAAGGTGCCCATGGGTGTTCTGTCAGAGAACATGGCCAAGGACCGCAACATCTCTCGTGCGTCGCAAGACGCTTTCGCGGCGGCTTCGTACCAGAAGGCCCTGAAGGCCCAGAAGGCTGGCCTTTTCAACGAGGAGATTGCCCCGCTCGAGGTCAAGTGGACTGACCCCAAGTCCGGTGAGGAGAAGACCATCACCGTCAAGGCCGACGACGGTATCCGCGAGGGTATCACTGCCGAGTCGCTGGGCAAGATCCGCCCTGCGTTCGCCAAGGACGGCTCCATCCACGCTGGTAACGCCTCCCAGATCTCCGACGGCGCCGCCGCTGTCCTGCTCATGAAGCGGTCTACCGCCGAACGCCTGGGTCAGAAGATCATTGGCAAGTACGTCGCTGCGAGCGTCGTCGGCGTCAAGCCCCTGCTCATGGGCGTTGGTCCGTGGGCGGCCATCCCCCTCGCCCTGGAGAAGGCCGGCATCACTAAGGAGGATGTCGACATCTACGAGATCAACGAGGCATTTGCGTCGCAGTGTGTGTGGTGTGTCAACGAGCTCGGCCTGCCCCAGGAGAAGATCAACCCCAAGGGCGGAGCCATTGCGTTCGGGCACCCGCTTGGCTGCACCGGTTCCCGGCAGGTGAGCACGCTTCTGACCGAGCTCAGCCGGACGAGCAAGAAGGTTGGTGTCACCAGCATGTGTGTCGGTACCGGCATGGGTATGGCCGCTGTCTGGGTTGCCGAGTAAACGGACGGCCCCCCAAAACATTATTGTACATTGCACAGCGATATGACTTTCTTTCCCATGTTTTATTTTATGTCCACAGATTCTTGAGTGTATTGAATAAGAATACCATATACTATTGAATATCCTCTGCTCCCGTTTATTGTACAACATGTGTCAATTGCAGATAGATACAGGATACTATACACAGGAATCATCATATATGGACACTATAATGGCGACCGGAAAGTCTTGAAGGCTTCGGTAACACTCATTCCCTGCGCAACGGCCTCCTTGGCCCCGTCATCCATGCGAGTCAGCCTCGGCATAATATCCATGACCGGTCCCAGCAGCTCGCGAGGAATAACGACGACGCCTTCCAGAGGGTCACAGAAGACAATATCTCCCTATCACGACATGTCAACATCTAATGATACATTCCACAAGGTCCGAGTCGAGAGAGAAATACTCACCGGAGAAACAGTGACTCCCCCAATGGAAACAGGCACATTGCGAGCAGCAGGCTTCGCCTCCGCATTTGTGCCAACAGTCGAAGTACCACGAGCCCAGACCTAGTTATAACCACAAACCAAATCAGCACTTGCCTTTATCATAATATAATTTTGAGATTGAAACAGAAAGCAAAACAAACCGGCAACCCGCTCCCTGACAATTCCTTCAAATCCCTCACCCTTCCCCCAACAACGGCAGCCTTAATTCCAAGCACCTTCATCCGCGTCGCCATGATTCCACCCGTGACGGCACAATACTGGTCATCGGGCTGCTCGATGACTATGATGGAGCCTAGCCCCGGCGAATGAGTTGCTTCGTAGTCGCCCGCGTAGTCGACCCAGTGCTTTCCCGGTGGGAAGCTGTGGTTTTCGTTTGTTGCGATTGTTAATGGCGGGACGGTTGAGGCCTTTGCCACGAACTTGAAGGTGGTTGCCGGTGCGGCGATCTTGGGGACTGTTGCATTGCGGCCGACTAGCGGGGAGAAAGGGACTAAATGGTATCTATATGAGTGGGGGGTTTTTCTTCAGAGAAAGTGAGAGGGGGAGAGAAAGAGAGTGCGCACCCAGATCAGCTAAGTGTCCTGCTCGCGATGTGCCGCCGTCAGGGACATGTTGAAGCTTGAGCAGGGCATCTGACACCTATTCCCGCAGATCAGTTAGTGTGATTGTTCTATTCATATTCATCGATGCCAGGCATACATCACAAGCTGAGTAGTTCTCCTCCAACGTTTTGAGGGTTTCGTTCAAACTCGGCATGGTCGTTCGTAGCGAATAATTGACAAACCCCGCGGGTGCAGTAGATAAGGACCTAGGAGGGGCATGACGACATCCCCCATTGTTGGGAGTTTAAAGCGAGAACGTCGCTGATCTTCAGCACATGCCCGATGATCGGAATACATCGAACAAGGAATGTACCGTATTTAGTCAGTGGTCGATCCAATTGGACCATCGGGTTTATTATATTGTTTGACGCTTGAGGACAGAATGCATATATGCACTCGTAGTCATTTCTCATCTGGACCTTGCAGGCTGGGTACACGGCGCCGTTTCATTATCGCATGCTTGTGATTGATAGCCGAGGATGATGATGATCCACTTGGGCCCGATCGGGATCCTCTGCAGAATACGTACAGTCCCTGAGAAGTGAGTAGTGGCACGTTTATAGTCAGGGAGACTCACAGTTTCAATTTAAAGGAAAATTAAAAAATATCTCCAATTCCACTCTCTGCGTACCTCCCTCATTCCCCGGAATCCGAAACAACAACCGGAGTCGCGAGGCATTAGTTATCCACTCTTTGATGTGGGGGAGGTATTGGTCATCGCGATGGCGGGAAAGGAATTATTCCGAAATGATCTATCCCACTGCCTGTGCATATAACTTGTCTTACCACAAACGTCGCATCTAATTTGGAGATTCATCTGCCAAGGTGCTTTACTGTTGGTCCTTTTCTACCTTAAAACATTGCATTTGCCAAGCGTTTCTCGAGAAACAAGCGCCTTATAAAGTGGATGATAGGTACGCGAGCGCACTTCTTGTCAATCGACTTCTGGATTCTTATACACTTACCAGATTATATACATACACCTTGCGATAGACACTCAGTCGTAACTACGGCATCTGCTCCGGCCAGTGCATATAAAATGCCCGTCCAACATCCAACATACACCGATGATCAGCTGGAAACATACCTACGCCGCATCGAATACCCGCGCGCAGCACCAACAGAAATAGATGGCAGTCAGCTACAACAAATCCGGGAGGGCATCAAGACTAACCCCCTCCACACCCTAGCACACCTACAGAGATGCCATCTCACTGCTATTCCCTGGGGCAACTCCGGGCTGCACTACTCGCAGCACCACACCATTTCGCTGGATCCGGACAGTCTCTATGAGAAGATGGTGGAGCGGCGACTGGATGGGTATTGCATGGAGAGCTCGGGACTCTTTTTTGTTGTCCTCCGCTCCCTGGGATACCGTGTGTATGCTACTGGGGGACGGGTGAGCCATGCTGCGGCTTCGTCCAGAGGGGTGGATGATGGATTGTATTTGTCGCTGTAGGCTGCCCTTTCTGGTGTGCTAGATGTATTGAATGGCGTACTAATCAATTGTTGGAAGCGGGCATATGATCTTGATTGTGATCATCGATGGAGAGAAGTACATGGTGAGTTCTCTCCCCACCTCCTACGGGGGATCTTCGTATGCTGATATCTATATTGATGTCCAGGTTGATGTCGGGTTCGGGAACAACTGCGCAACAGCGCCATTACCATTACGAGAAGGCGCAACAGCTACATGCATCGCACCATGCGAGATGCGGTTGGTGCGAGACAGTCTCGCCGAATTCATGGACAAGGACCAAAAAGTCTGGATCTACCAGACAAGGCACAACGTTGAGAGCAACTGGATACCGAACATCTGCTTCGCAGACGTCGAGTTTCTGCCCCAGGATTTCGGGGTGATGAACTTCTCCGTCAGCCAGACGCGCACGAGCTGGTTCACGCAGGCGTTTGTCTGCGTTCGCATGATTCTGGATGAGAGCGGCACCGAGATTATCGGACAATATATGATGGTGGACAAGGAAGTCAAGCGTAGGGTGCGTGGGCAGACGGAGATCTTGCAGGTGCTGCACTCGGAACAGGATCGGATTGAGGCCCTGGCTAAGTACTTTGATATGCATCTGCGGGATAGTGAAATCCGAGGGATCCGGGGGTTGACCTCGGAGCTTAAGTAGGGGTTACGGGGAAGTGGAACGATGTGAAAATGGTATGGTACAGCCGGCGTTTCGTTTCTAAAGCAGTTGCGGTGGATATGTATAGTAGGTAGGAAGGAAACAAGGCAGGCGAAAACAAGGGAAAACAACGTTGCGATTCTTGACCTAGTAAATCCGTTTCTCGACCTGGTATATCATCAGCATTGCTGCCATTCCCGATGTTCACCAATGTCTTTCGTACCTTCCATGGGTGGCTGACTTCGAAGCCCTTGGGTGCTTGGTGATTGCTGCTCTGGCCTCGAAGGCTTCCCGTGATTCTCAGGTCTCGTTCCATCACTGATGATCGGGTGGTCGCATGGTTAGTATCTGAAATTGAGTCCGATCGTCCGCCGAAAGAGTGAACCACTTACTTTGCTGTACAGAAGTTAGCCAACACGTTCAATCGTTGCCGACCGCAGTGGAGAGGGAGAGACTTACCCGATCCCAAAGGTCCTGATTCCAGCGGGCCTTCTTGCCATCGTTGGCGAAGCGCTTGACGAAGTGGAGGCCGACGCCGGTCGCGGTGAACATCTGCGAGGGCAATGGTGAGTGAGTCGTGGATCGTTGGGGAAGGACTGTGGACGACACTTACACCGACGATGATCCCGTACGGGAGCAGGGCCTCGAAGGGAACACCCATATTGTGTGATTGCGGGGAGATGAAAGGGGGGGGGAAGAGAGGTCAATGGCAGAAGCAGAGTGGCAGGTCCACGAGCGAGTCGTCCAAAGCAATGAATAATGAATGGAAGGAGGGAATTGCGGCAGGTGACTGGCCAGCCTAAAGTGGACTAGCGCCCGGAGGCTGAGTCAGCCATCTGGGCGACGACCTCCAGGTCCCAAGGGGGCCCCGATGCTGTCTCGATTGCCAGAAGACCACCATTGCGTTTGTCCTGCGACGCGTCTTGTCCTGCGTTATCTCTTTTGGCCCATCTGCTCGCTGTCGTGGTATGTGTCCCGTTCCTCAGAATACGCGTTCGTCAATGCTCGAGCCACCCTCCTTCTGACTGAGATCTCTCTTGTCCTGCTCAGCGACCAAGTTGCGCCGTGGGCATCGAACTCTCGATCCAGCACCCGATTTACTTCCCGACGACTGAGATACGACACCCGTTCCTTTTCCTGACGCCTCTTTACCTCCCCGATGTGCCTCCGCATCACCGCCGACGTGAGCGGGGTGCCTCTGTAACCGTCAAGCTTTGCCCCCATCTCGAAGCACCAAAAGAAAAGCGCAGACACAAGACACACAGCGGGAGCAGTGTTCTTGAACAACCTGGCGACTGTGGTGACATCCACGATGGCGGCGACCGTGCCGCCGGCGAATGACGATCCGGGCACACTTGACCCCGTCTACAGCGACCAGGATGCCGAGGGTGAGGAGGAGACAGATCTGTATCAGATGGACCAGCAGTTGCAGGATGCGGTCCATCGAGCCTATACCGGAGAGGTCGCGGAGGAAAACGGGGATGACGAGGTGGGCGGCGGAACCAAAGAGTCGGCATCATCTGTCGAAAATGGCGACTCCGACGTGGTTGGTGCGGTAAAAATCCGTGATGAGGACGCATCTTACCACAGTGAGGATGCGGACGCGGAGGCAGATGCCGATCCTGCGTTTGAAGACCGGAGTGACCATGGATCCAACTCAGACCCGAGCGACCAGGAATCAGATGCCGAGGAAGACTGGGATGCTGAAAGCATTGACCGCGATGAGACGGATGGAGATGCGCGCAGCCGCGCGAATTGCATGTACGTGGCGAGAGAAAATGGACGTTGTGTGCGATGCTGACAATTATATTCCAGATTTTGTAACCAAGACGAGGAACACGACCCCAGTGAGGATTATGAGGAATATCTGACTTGCGCTGTTTGTGGCGATCACTGTGAGTTGTGCCGGCCCGGAGCGAAAGCTTACTGTTTTATGGTTTTGACTGACTCGGCATCCCGACAGCCCATCGGCAATGCGCCCGAGAGCAAGATGCATTCCATGACAAAGAAGGTACGTGAAAACGGAAACTGTTTGGTCCAAAGTAGCTTCCACTAAGACGTTAAGACGCAGATCCCTGGAAATGTCCCACTTGTGTTTACAACAAACTGGAGCCCGATTCTGCGGGGACGCAACGCAAAGCTCCGAGTTTGCCAAAGGAGCTCTTGCCTGCACACAGTGGATCCCAAGGCCCAGGGTTTCACTCTATCTTTGATGCTCCAGATGTCAATGATGGTTTACTCAACAGCTCCCGGTCGTTGCGAAAGAGGAAAGCGTCGTCCTTGGAAGCGGAGGAAGAGCGTGTTCCCGTGCTCCGCAAAAGACGGCGACAAAGTTCGCTTCGATCTGATCGTCCCGACCTGCAAGGCCCAGCCTTGGGAGAGGGAGAGGAGATCGCCGACACAATTTCCCCTGCTGCGGCCCGCCCTGTGCGTTCTCGGCGCACTCGTGGCGCCGACCGGGAGATTTTCCGTGTGGTCTCACAACAGGTCGGTAAATTAGTTGTTGGATTCCGACTCGACCACAACAAGGTGTCGAAGGTCTTGAGTGCTCCCAGTCGACCACTACGAAAAAAGAAGAAAAATCCCAAGCCGCCTCCCGTTGTTGGAGCCCAAGCCCACTTTGCCCCCATTCCTCCCACACCTTACGCCCCCGTATTCACCCCGTTCCACGATCGAGAAATCGACGATTCCAAGTCCAAGCCATATGGCGGCATTCTATCCGAGGCTGAACAGGACACCTCCAAGACCCTTCCGACACAATATGACCGTGAACGATTCGAGGTCGCTCGCCAAAAAGCCGAAGATGAATGGCAGCGGAAGGTCCGAGAGGCTGAGCTTAATGGCGAGGCCACTCCTACCGCGTCGGCGAAGGTGTCGGGCCCTCCCTCGAAGATCAAGTACATCAACTTTGGTGGCTTTGAGATCGAGACTTGGTACGCCGCACCTTACCCGGAAGAGTACAGCCGCAATCGTGTGCTCTATATCTGCGAATTTTGTTTGAAGTACATGAACTCGGACTATGTTGCCTGGCGTCACAAACTCAAGTGCCCGGCCAAGAATCCTCCTGGCGACGAGATCTACAGGGACGGTTCAATTTCGATCTTCGAGGTTGACGGACGGAAGAATCCCGTCTACTGTCAAAACCTGTGTCTACTTGCCAAACTCTTCCTGGGTTCAAAGACATTGTACTATGATGTCGAGCCTTTCCTCTTCTATGTCATGACCGAGTACGACGACCTGGGCTGCCACTTTGTGGGCTACTTCAGCAAAGAGAAACGACCAAGCTCGGCAAATAACGTCTCCTGCATTCTCACCCTTCCGATTCATCAGCGCAAAGGCTACGGCAACCTTCTCATTGACTTCTCATACCTCCTCACCCGCATCGAAGGCAAGAATGGATCACCTGAGAAACCACTCTCCGACATGGGCTTGGTTTCATACCGGAACTACTGGCGTCTAGTCCTGTCTTATCAGCTCCGTGACCTGAAAAGCCCGGTCAGCATCGCCGATTTGTCTGATCGAACCGGCATGACGGCAGATGATCTTGTATCCGCATTGGAAGGCTTACGGGCGCTCGTGCGAGACCCCATTACCAAAACCTATGCGTTCCGTCTCGACCATAAATATTTCCAGGAAGTCATTGATGGCTGGGAAAGCAAGGGCTACGTGACACTCAACCCTGACGCTTTACTCTGGACTCCATACATCATGGGTCGCAGCAACCAATCACAGTTTGATCGTGCGCCTATGCACGCAGTCGCACCTCGAGAGGATCCCGATGACGAGGAGGAAGAGGAAGAAGAGGCAGAAATCAATGGTGACTCTGTGCCGATGGTGAACGGGACCAATGGAACTGGTTTCGCAGAGCCCGCAGGGCCACCTTCGACAACTGGCCTCGACCATCCAGATGGTCTGCAGAAGTCGCCCTCACCTGGCGGCTCAGAAGCCCTCTCTAATCCCGCCAACGGCATTCCTCCCTCTCGATTCGAGCTCTGGCCCCCCGTCCAGGCCCCACCGCCTGCAAAACGCAAACCCGGCCGTCCTTTCGGTAGCTTTAAAAAGAATCGACACTCGATGACACCCACGACCAACCGCGTAAACGGTCGCAACACGCCTCGGCGAGGTTCTCAGCTCCCGTTGGGGACTCCCACTAGCACTGGCATGCGTCGTGGTCGGAGGACGCTGCTTATGGACTCGCCCTCAGGCGAAGCGACTCCTACGCAGGTCAATGGCACCGAGGCAGAAGAGGCAGATCTCGAGGACGCGGTAGTGGACTCGAATGCTGAGGAACTTGCGGACGGCACATCCGATGCAGACGGGCAGGCCCTAGAAGATGTCAGTGGTGCCGACGACGCGGACGAGGAACCCGCCGAGACGAACGGCCACATTGAAGAAGAAGTGGACGAAGTGGAGGAGGAAGTGCTACAGACTCCCTCAAAGCCAACATCCCGATCTCCCCAGACCCCAACCCGCAACGGATCAAAAGGTGAACCCGCCGAGAACACACCCCGGCTATCTCGCTCCGTCAACCGTAAAGCTCTGGTGGAGAAGATCCAAGTGGTGATCCCAGCTGCCGAGCACAGCGCCACCCCCCGCCATGAAGGCAAATCCGACCGCAAAATGGCAGACACAAACGGTATTGACTCTGACGCAGACGCGGATGCCGATGCAGACGCCGACGCCGATTTCGATATGGATGACGATGTCGTGATGGAGACGTGATTATTGCAGGCGGCTCAACGCGTCGCGGACATGGCACATGGCGTTCTTTGCTTTGTTTTTGGTAGTTTTTTTTTTTTTTTCTTTCACGGCGTTTTAGCTGTCTTCTTTAATTTCTTGATTTAGCCATGTCTGGTCTTGCCTGGACAGTGGAGGAACCTGACTCGCTAGTTATTAACCCATCGGGTCATGTTTTCATTCTTCTCTTCTATTCTCTGTCTATGTCTCTGTCTTTCTGCTTGAGTCCAGCACGGAGCGACGGGATGAGGAGCTATGGCGTTTTTCTATTTCTATATCTTGTTGGTCCTACATAATTGATCCTCAATGGCCACTCACTCCCTGCTTTGTCTGATCAAGTGTATAGCCCTACAAAGAGCAGGATCTTCTTCTGGTATTTCGGGCAGAGCCTATGTATAAATACCTCGCTGGCTCCTATGTTTTAGGGCTGGCGACTAGTCTTAGAAATATACTAATTCGTGGCGAAAATCTACCTACGAGTTTGTATCTAAAAAAAAATTACGCGTAGATATACGCAATATTGCGCTGCTTGGCAAGATACCTTAAAGTGAAGACACAGGAAAACGTAAATTGTGTGAGAAAAGAGTAATATCTTATGCACTTTCGTCATATTTAAGTCGAATGCACATAGAGGAATATGGGCCGGAAGCATAAATCAATTCCACACCGCCTTCCAACGTTCCGACGGAGATTGCAAGTCGCATTGCAACGTCTTCCGTCTTTTACTCTTTCGACAGGGACCGATCCCAAATGCAGTCGGAATCTGTGCAGAGCCCATCTGGGCGAGACCCACACAATGGCCGCACAGTCCGTGTTCCGCGTGCTTGCATGCGATGTCGACGTCAGAAACTAAAGGTACGAGAGCTAGCAGCTGCATTTACATGCTACGAGATGAACTAATACAATTACGATACATAAGTGTGACCCGGGCCGACCATGTACAATGTGCGTGCGATCCGGTAATGAATGTCAAGCTCGTGCGCCCATTATTCCTCGACGGGCACACCACAAGCGGAAACAGCAGTTTCCAGCTTTGGTCGATGCTCGCACCATCAGCAAGGGCTCTGCAGTGGAAAACAATCCTACCTTCCATGCGCAGGATGTACCTGCCATTACCAGACAATGCCGCACGGGAAGCTCACAGAACAATGATGCTGTACCAACGGATCCTCAACGTTTCGGAGCTAATAGCTCTGCTGTGGGCTTTGCATCGAGGCTTTTCGGAGATCAAAATGGCTCCCCGAGTGATCATTTTACAAGCATCCCAGGGCATATTCCTGATTCGACGATGCACGAGACTAGTTGGACTCTGCGTAGCTTACAGCGGCTTCCCCCATTGGCCGTCCTGACTGTCCTTTTCGATGCGTATTTTGATCAAGTGCATTGGTTTATTTTTATCTTTTACGAACCTTCATTTCGCCAAGAATCTTTGGAAATACTGTCCAGAGCCACGTGGAACAAAACACATGTGGGAAAGATCCAAGTGGCATTGATGGTCGCAGCAGTTGGTCTATACAGTGTTAAAGATGACGCCAACTGGCCCGGACATCAGATCTTGAGCGCTGCTTCCATCGACCCTGAAGATCTTCTCAACAATTTGATCAACGAGGCTCGGAGCAGCTTTGTAGATCTGCTTGATGAATGCAGTATTGAAACCGTGCAAGTATGCATACTTCTCGGGACGTACTACATCTACAACGGATCACCCACCCTGGCTTGGAGCATTATAGGACAGGCAGTGAGAACTGCATATGCCCTGACATTATACTGCGATGATTCAAATGAGGACGACAACGTCGTTACACAAATTCGACATCGCATTTGGGCTCACGTACTCGTTGCCGACACATTTGCTGCCATGGTATACGGTCGGCCCCTTTCCCTGGATCCGGCATTTTCTCAATTACTGCCGTTACGCGACCTAGATGATACTAAAATTCCTGGCTCTTTTGGAGATCATCCAAGTTTTATTGGCCAGCGGACGCCGTTGACACAACTGTCATTTGCCAGGCTCAAACACCGCCTTTATGATTTGATACGCCTTGCTCTGAATAAGTTCCGCTTGCTTTTCTCACAGACTACAGTACCTTTGGAAAGTGCATCCTCGTTGATCTGCTTTGTTAAAGAAGCTAACCAGTCACTGGAAACTTGGCGTGCGGACCTGCCTCCTCTCTTTGACTGGGAGCTTTGGCCGGCAAACGGTCCGGCCGCGATGCTGCCCAGCGAAATGACATTGTCTGAATCAGAACGAAAACATCGACGGCATCTTATCCTGCAGGCAGTAACCCTTCAAATATCCTACGATTGCGCGGTGATTTTCATCAACCGGCCAATCCTTGAGTATCGGTCTCATCTCGAATCTCATCCGGAATTGGCGTCGTCTTCATCGCAGGCTGTTGCGCGATCCTTTCACGCAGCTGCAGATGCAGCAATTCGTATTTCAAAGACCCCGATGGCGGCCACTGCCAAAGGATTTAATGCTTGTTTCCTTCTCATGAATTATTTTACCGCGGGTGTGATCCTTTGCGTCATTCCTACAGTTATCCCTTATTCCGCTCTCTCAAATGAAGCGAAAAATGCGCTGCTACGAATTATACATTCCAGCCGGGTGCTCAAGAGGTCCAATCGGATTGCGAAACACACAGAGGAGCTCCTTTCAACTTTGATGCGCCTCAGCCTGCAACAGGAGATGGAAAGTGCACTTCGCCAAGACAATGGCGTGGTTCCGAGAGAATCGTTCGCGGAAATCTCGATGCCTTCCCATGGGACGCAATCTTGTCCACCTCCACATCCGGGACACTACCCTGAGCTCTTCTCATCCATCTCCCAAAGGCCTGATATGAGCAGCATTCTGGAAGATGGGCCAGCAGCTGAGCAAAGTAGCTTCGAAGCTACGGAATTCGAAAACCCATTACCGGGCTACAATGAAGAGAATGAATCCTTCGACAACCATCTGGATGATATCCTTGGCACTTTTGGTCAAGGTGAGCTACCCTCACACGTCACAATAACTGTCAGCGGCTAACCTTGTATCGTCTATCAAGCCTTTTTTAATCTGAACCCGGGGGATCCACTTGCTGCTTGGACTTGGGGAAGCAGAGGTCATGCGGGCCACAATGGGGATTGAAACTAAGACTTCTGGGCTTCGAGACATGTTTGTTTTCAAACTCCAGTTTTTGAGGGATGAATGAATACCACAACCCGTAGCGGGGCCTAGTACGGCACCCAAAGGGATTAAGTCAGGTCGGGGGAGTCAGCCCCTGACTGTCTATAATGTCCAGGATCGGCTTTTTGCATCTTGCGACAGTTTTCAGGGGCCAGTGGTGACCCGCCAGAACAGAGGAGGTACTTATTGTATATACCCTTTTTACTCCTGTTATCGCCGTGTATGTTTCGTAGTCTCTGCTGCAGTCTTTGCAGTGAGATTTTACATTTTACAGTAGTGTCATATCCAAAAATTCCAAACCATGACAGGCTCATAAAACAGAATTATCTTACGATGCCCTGGGCATACAGTACGTACCGAGAGTGGTGTCACGACCTGCACTCTTCCATTCTTTCTGGAACCCTGATTTCCAAGATCCACTACGTAGTGCATCTAGAAGGTTTTCCCGAACATCCCTATAGTGGCGATTGTGTTTAGAACGCTGACTCGGACTGTGGCGGGTTGTATTCACTAGTTTTGTTAATATTCCAGCGCATTCACGCCACACCTCAGGCCTCCTGATGGTGGGTCCCCAGGGTATTGGGTGGAAAACTTGTTCCTTGCTTGGGCGACGCGGCGCGCAGGGTGGGAGTCCGCACGGGCGGCTAATGGGCGGGCGAGAAAGAGCCTCACTCAGGTTAGGAATAGAGAATACGAATGGCTGAAAGGGGGCCAATAGGAGCGCGGAGGAAGTAAGCTGACTGGCTTTCTTAAGAGCCCCATGGCAGCCTGTCGACAAGCGATTTCATCTATGCTCAATATACTCTCTGCAGAGTAGACCTAATGGCCCCTGATACACAGAACAAGGTTTGCCTAGATGTGGCAGTCGACCACCGGATCAGACGGCTTTTCAAGCCTGTCCCCAATGAACTGACAAAGCGTTCCAATCATGTCTCCTGTATCGAGGCACGAGGGTGGTCACTGAAACGGCCGCACAGCGAGACTCAAGTTACTACGCAGCTGGCAGGCCCAGCGGTCAAGGGCGGCATAGCCGTCGCCCTGCAGCAGCCGCGGCACAATCACCCATTCGAGAAGGGTCTCAATGCCGTCATCCAGGATTGTGAAACTCTCCGTGCTATTGATGACATATTTGCTGTTGTCTCTTGTGATTCCCTCAATATTCGGACGAACATCGCGGTCGTCGACTTGCTGCCTTATGTGTCTGAAGACATACCAGAGATTGACGATGTGACATTGAAGGAGTCATTCCGTGCGTCAACGCAAATTATTTGTGATAAGGAACCCGATGTCTTACTCTGCGCGGGCAAGATATGGCTGCAGAAGGTGGGCAAATTCGATGACCGGAAAGGGGATGCTTGGAAGTTTGAGAGCATCGGTGTTGGGGGGAAGTTTGGTAACACTCCCAAATTGCCCGTCGCAGCGAAGATCCGTCACGGCGAGAGGGGGTTTGTAACTATCCGTAGGGTGAATGGCTTCCACCCGAGCCATGCGATGAACCATCACCCGCACGTCAGTCTTTTGAGGCAGCTTCAGATTTTGATAGGCGCTGAAGCTTGTGGGATGTTGAGAGGAGACTGGGAAGAGGAGGAGTGGATGGGTGAATTGAGGCGCCTTTGCCAGGATATTTCCAAAGCACTCTCAGGCAAGAGAACACTCTCTCTACTCCAAGATATCTCCTATCTTTGTCGCAAACACTCATATTAACTTTATTCTCAATAAGTGTCACCGTCCCAATCTCCTCGAACACAGAGCCCAGGTCAAAGCTCAACCAGGCGCAATGATCCCAAGTATTTGCCATACTACCAAGAGCTCTACTCTGATACACTGCTTGACCTACAAAAACGTGTCAACCTTATCGTTTCGGATCCAATACTAGTCAAGACATCGTCCACAGCGCTCTACAAAGCCCTCCTCACCAGCGGTCTGAGCGAGTCCTGTAACGATGCGACCCTTATCTTGCGCCAAATGTTTCGTCTCCAGCGCAAAGGCTGGCACGAACGTGTAGCCTGGAAGAACAAGGCCGCCCTAAATGAAGCCGCAAGTGGTACGATTCGATTCACCGAGAATCTGCGAAAAGCCTCTAAGCCTGGCAAAGTCTCGCAGTTTGCGGAGATCATCCGGCAAGGAGCAGGCATTCTCCACGAGAGTGTTATGATTGGGAGAGGCGGGCGATCCGAGTATGAGCTGGACTTGAAAGGAGCTGGCGATTCATTTCTTACCATCGCTACTAATATCGAGACACTGCTAATGGATCTTCTACTGGAAGAAGAGAAAGCGCTCTGTGCTTTGGGGCAAGAAGAGATATTGTCGAGTGAGATGCGGAGGATGACCCTGGCATCGGCGGTCAAGTGAGCTGCGCACCTTTGTCTCGCGTAAGCCTTGCCTGATTCTAAGTTCACCTAGGCTATAGGGAGTGTGTGGCACATGGGAGTCACTTGCTGGGTCCTCAAGGCACACCCACCTTGGAGTTTGCTTTGTTTTCATATGGATGCTCATACATGCTGCGAGACTTAAGTCAAATGTAATACTGTATGCATGACTTCGCCAGAATATTGTTATTCAGGGGGCTATTCTTGATATGATCAAGCCGACGTTGGCATTAAGGTTCGAGAAACAATCGAAGAGTGTATAAGTGGTGACACCAGTTTCGGGACGCCCTGTATGCTTTCTCTCTACCGCGCCGCGCGCGTCCCCCCCCTTCCCCCCCCCCCACAAACGTCTTCTCTCTTTCTTTTCTTTTCTTTTTCCCCCTTCTTTTTTTCTTTGGAAAATATTGATCGGTTGGGGAGGGATAGGAAGATGCTGCATCTAATATGCTTTCAGGTCGAGTTTTCTATACACCTTCAGATCTATATTACCTGAGATTCCAAGGACCAAGTGGTTAGTCTACGAAACTTGACCTATAATTTCATCGTAAACAGTCCAGCGGAAGGTAAGCAATCAGAGAAAATGTTATGGAAGACAGCCACTGATAACCACTTATTACAAGTTGAAGATACATACCGGTATGGTTTGTGTTATGGGACCTGGACGATAAGACGGCTGGCTGGTCGGCGCATGGCTGACCCCACTAAATGTCTACTTCATAGGGGCGCCTACTTATGCTGGTTGGTTGATTGACACTGCACGTCTACCGGAAACAATGCCTCAGAGCTAAGCTCAATGCAGTTTTCTTCGCGCTTCCAGTGAACCCCATGATAAATAATCAGAAGGTTTCGGATCCACGTATGGAGGGAGAGGGCATATTAAACACCGGTTTATCTGCGCAGTCGGGTTTAGTCAAGGAAGGTGTTCCGAACATCCGGTGGAGACACCAAATTAAGCCATGTCGGTAATATCTTCATCCAGTCTCTCCGATTCCGTCTCGGTAACAGCTGCTCCGACCGGGACTCCAACCGAAGAAATTACAGCTCCGTCCTGGAATAAGATGTGTCCTAAACATGGATGGCAAAGACACATAAGACTTAACGACTGTCCTTTCTGATGTCGTATTTTTCCGGGGTCTAGAATACATTCCTCCTGTTGCCTCTCAATTCTTGAAGTACCGTGCCAACCAATGGCTCCGTCGCAAGCTTTCCACCGCATGCCTCTCGGATTTGGCCCGTGTCCAGGTCCCAGGCAAACGGTCCAGGGAGAGAAAGTCAGTGGATGGAACAACGCTAAATCCACGACCTACACTGTTGTATTTCTTGCGCCCACGAACCAATTGCAGGATCTCCTACCCTCGGCTTGCTTCCAAATTGAGCCGAGCAAAGACAGCCCGGGTTTGGCAACCGCTTCTATTTCGTTCACTCGGTTAGAAAATCTACCATGGCTTGCTGGACGAGGTTACAGTCTTTGCGGTCTCTATATACACAACGTTGTGTGCCATGGGCGCGACGAAGTCGTGAGTGGGAAGTACCTGAGCGTTATGTTCGAAAATCGCCCGGATCCGATCATCAGCGGCAGAGAAGAGTTGGGATATGCCAAGCTATTTTCATCTTTGGACGAAAAAGAGAATGATCAAAACTTCTCTTTGCTGATGGGCTGGGAAGGAACCGTCTTTGGCGAGGTTGCCATTAACAGCCTTTCGCAAGACGTCCCTTCAGATCCGACGTTGCTTTCTCACCTCAAAACTGAAAATATATTGCACTACAAGTACATCCCGCGCACCGGCAACCCGGGAGAGGCCGACGTTGAATATCCAACCGTGACTCCTGGCGCTCCGGCCGGATCAAGTCAGATAGAAACACAGCTCTTCTCTCTCAGCGCGACACTGAAATTCAGCTCTCACGGCTTTCAATTGCTGCCTACTTTGCATCACATCACGGAGAAACTGGCGAACATTGAACCAATCGAAATCCTGGGGGCTGGCAAAGTCACTGCTAAGGGAGCAGACGATATTAGCGGCCAGCGCCCCATCATCACTTAACACGGGACTGTGCTCAATACGAGATAGAAGCCAATCAGTTTGTAAATTAAGCCAATATTGAGAGATATTTGTTCAGTCAATCTCAGGGAGTTACTCAGGCTCGTCTCAACCATCAGTCGGGCCAATACTGCGTAATCTAACTCACTCCTGCGCTATCAACTGGAGCTTTCTGTCTCCGGCGGTTGCTGTACAGGAGGTGACCTGCAAACTCTTCAACTCTTCAGTTGGATGGAAATTTGGGGCAGGAACAGGATTTATCCGATTGAAGGTCGTCTGAGAATATTCTTCTTATAAAAAACCTGATGGTTCGAAAGAACTGCGGAAAGCGTACCCACACTCTCACTCCATGCTCATTCATCCCCCTATTTTATGGGGAATCTCCAAGCCAAATACTGCATTTGCCCATTCGAGACGAATGTAGGCCCGAATGTATAGTGTCGCATATGCTTATTCTATTCTGCTAAATCTCATCAAGTAAGGGGAATAATCTTCTTAAGGCTGATACAGTCCGCCTTTCACACTTTTCCGGCCCAGCTTCCCTTTCGCAATGTATTCCTTTCGTAGCCAATCTACCGTTAGAGCACTGTTAAGACCTCGCTCCTTCACATAATTGTCCTCAATGAAGGCGACTGTGTCCAATCCGACTTCATCCATCAATTGGCAGGGTAGCGGGCCATTTTTGAAAAAATGCTCCCAAAGGCCATCGATCTCATTCGGATCACTCACGCCTTCGGAGAGCATATGCATGATTTCACGTTTGATTGCAGCCCAAAGACGGTTGAATATGAATCTAGAGACCAGGGTTAGTATCAATAAATTATGGCACATAAAACAAAACACTTACCCTGTTGATTCACACTGAGCTATCACTGTCAACATACCACACCTGCCCAATATGCTTTTGATATATTTCAACACCTGAGCATCCGTCTCGCCATTTGTCATCAATTCAACTATGTTGATCTTAGGAGGCATAGTAAAGTGAATGTTGAGCATGCGCTTTCGACGAGCAGGCGAAACGTAGGTAGTCATCAAGCTCGACCTGAATGACGAGCTATTAGACCCGAGGATGCAATCCGGAGGTGTCATTGCATCCAAGTCGGCAAAAATCTGTTCCTTGAGTTCCAATTTCTCAGGAACCGCCTCAATAACTAGCCAGGCGTTTGAGACAGCCGACGCAATATCTGTGAAAACATTGCAGGAGCCGAATGATGGGTGATTAGGAATACCACTGGTGAACTCGGTGTAATCGGGTTCCTCTCCATTTCCCTCCTCTGTTGGATTTCCGGGTTTCTCAACTTGTCCCCAAATAATGTCGATACTGTCCGGATGGCCATTACAGTTCGCCTTTCGCATGGCCGCAAAGTCCAATTTGTTCGCATCAATAAATTTCAGGGCGCTCTCCAACGTTTCCGAGGACAAGTCCTGGATGTGCACTCTGTAGCCGGCTGCTACAAAAACGCATCCTATTCGTCGTCCTAGAATGCCTGCTCCAATAATGGCGACACAACGCTCCATGGGAGGCCTGGATGGCATTGCAATTTGTATCACCACAAAGAAGGTATGATATCGAAAGCCACGTGGAGCTCGGCCTGCTCAAACAACAGAAGTGAAAGGGTCCAATGAAGTAGGGAAGAAATTGCACGGTAATCAATGAATAATGACATGTCCTTCATTTTATATATAATTAATGGTAACATACCATCGTCGCCAAAGAGCATCCACGTCTTAGCGATAAAATAATTTCAAAACGACATTTGATTGGTACAGTGGATCCAAAGGTGGACGGATGGCATGAAGCTTCCGGTAGAGTCGCACTTAATGAGCAATAACAGGCTCATGCAGCCTGGAACTAGATCATCGGCGGAGTCGGCGTTTACTTTCTACGAACTTCCGGTGGAACAAAGTGGGTCACGGCTGATACCCACACACGGACACACGCCATGGCATCCACCGGAAGCCGACTAAATGACCGGAGAGCTAGAGCCAGAAAACTTCCTTCTCATGGCGATGAAGTTCCCCGCATCTGAAATACCCCGGCTGTTCAGGTGGTTGAGTTTACCCCGGCCGCCCCATGCACATTGGGGAGGAGAGTATTTATGCTGATCACTCCCGTCGGGTATTGTTCCTAAGCTGCGCCAACGACTGCCCCTAGCCATCTTCCCCTTCGGCGAAAGACATCAGGCACATCTAAATTCGAGGATCTTTATCAATGACCCGAAAGTATTTGGGTGGCTCCGGCCATCCTTTAACTGTGTGGATATCGGCCGCAGCTTCGACGGTGTTGGTTTTCTACGGTTACGATCAGGTGTGTGCTCAACTCTACATATTCTTGATCTATTTTCCGCGCTTGGGAGAGGAAAGGATTGGACTGGCTGTTCTAACGTGGGACTTTCTTTTCGTGTAGGGCGTTTTCGGCAATGTTATCATCAATAAAAACTTTCTCGAAACCTTTGGCAACCCCTCATCAGACCTCCTCAGTACGATGGCGTCGCTCTACACAATCGGCGCTTTCGTGGGCTCGCTGAGTACCATGTGGTCAGGGGACATCATTGGCCGGCCTCGGCAGCTTACTCTGGGCAGCATTATCCTTGCAGTCGGCGCGATAATCCAATCGTCTTCCTTTACTGTCCCTCAAATGATCGTGGGAAGAATCATAGCAGGAATAGGAACAGGAATGAATACCGCAACCGCATCTGTGTGGCAGGCGGAAACTAGCAAGGTTTCCAGCCGCGGAAAGCTGATCATAGTGCAAATGGTAGTTTCTTACCCTCTCCCTCCCTTTGTCCAGCTCCCATCATCTCAATATTGAAGCTGACTTTAAGTGGCGGAACGTCGTTCAAAGGCGAACTGTATTACCGGCTTTGTCATTTCCAATTGGCTCACATTAGGATTTTCTTTTGCGAAAGGCAGCGTGGCCTGGAGATTTCCTCTCGCCTTCCAAGTCTTCTTCTCCTTACTGATCTGCTTGATGTGTCCGTTTTTACCAGACTCCCCGCGATTGCTTCTCCGCCAGGGAAAGCAAGCGGAAACACTGGAAGTTCTCGCTGCTTTAGAGGGGAATGGCGCCAATCCAGATTCGCCATCAGTCAAGGCTCAGTTTGAGGACATTAGAAACGTCTTGGATACTGAGCAAATGAACACTTACTCGTGGGCTCAATTGCTGACCGGAAAAGGTACTCATGACCGCAGTTGCTGCATGCAGATATATTTGTCACATTGCTAACGCGGACATTCGTTCAGGGCCGGCCGGTGTTCTTCGACGAATGATGCTCGGCATTGGCATACAGGCCATGAATCAGTTATCTGGCATCAACCTCACTTCGTATGTATTTCTCTCTAGTTTTATGATTCGTCAATTTGTCTTCAAGTATCAGAGATCATGTTGCTGACACCAGAGAATTACCAGTTACTACATGTCATACATCTTCGAAAACGCCTTGAACTTTGATGAGCTCCTCTCCCGTCTTCTCGCAGCAGCAGCCAGCATGGACTATCTTTTCTTTGCATGTGCCGCTTTCTTTACCATCGAACGTTTTGGTCGTCGGAAAGTTATGATATCATCCTCAGCCGCTTGCTGTGTTTGTTGGGTGGTCATTGCGATAGTTCTCGCTCTCTCCGACAAAGGAATTGGAGATACCTACAATCTGAGTATCGTAGCCGTCGCTTTCTTCTTCATCTTCTTCGCATCTTTTGGGATGGGTATTCTTGGTGTTACTTGGTCAGCCGAATCATCCTCTCAAGGTCGAAATGCATCCGCTGAAAACTAATCGTGGGAACAGGGTCTACGCAGCGGAGATAAACGCTCTCGAAATGCGCACCAAGGGCACTTCTCTTGCTGCTGCGATACAGTGGATCGTTGTATGTTTGTTTTTCTTGTCTCTCAAACATATCGTTTTGTTGCTAATTAAATGGGTCGCATTTGCCTCCCGTCATAGAACTATATGGTTGTTCAAATCACGCCTATCGGCATCCAGAATCTAAGCTGGCGTTTTTGGATCATCTGGGCCATTATCTGCTTTTCGTTCATCCCCGTCACCTACCTCTTCTATCCAGAGACGACTGGAAGGTCACTGGAAGACATCGATCGGTATTTTGAGGGTAACCCTGGGATAATTGTGGCTCGAGATAAAGGTATGTCCTTACATTATCTCACCCTGGCCTCGTGTACAACGGCCACATGATAGGTTCATAAGAGGGCCCTGGTTTGCTAACCTTGGAAAATTTTTGCCTTTCTGCAGCCGCTGTGTCCGTCATACGAAAAAACCATTTATCCCAAACAGATATCGAAATCGCTGCAGAATGCTTTGATGGTAGCGACCGTGGCGATGCGGCAGGGAACTGTAAGGAGATTGACATTTCAGGTCACGCCACTCATTACGAGACCTAAAAATTTGTCCTAAGGAATCTCATTTCTCCTAAATTATTGTTGTGCTTCGGGGCACGGGTTTTTACGCATCTTAATCACAAATAACCTGTTCAGGTAACTTAGTCTTTGCGAAGGTCCTGACGAACAGTAACGTTCAAGAACACATTGCTTTGGTTTTCAGACCTGCGGCAATATGAGCGCCCATTAGCTGTGTGGTAAAATCATGTAAGGCCAGTGGGTGATGGAACCCTCCCATCTAAAACACTCTTACATTTCACGCGCTCAAGACCATCGTTGACATCTCCGTTTAAGACTATGGACGGTGGTATCGGCTAATAACAGGATCCCGATCTTATGGTTTCACAGCAGAAAGACCTACTTTCTAGCCCAGATACATATATTGAGTAGCTTGGTAGGAGCTTAACGATGCTAGGGCGAATGTAGAACGATTGATCCGAAATGCCGGATAATCTTTTTGACCAAACTTTTGACCATGTCTCGTTTCTCAACCACACCATTAGGCAAATAGGATATATAATACTTGATGGCATTAGGGCCATTTTTAGTGAACAGGCTCAACTTCTATAATAAGTCCTGGTTTCCAGTTGCCATTCACTTGGCCGAAAAGTGTAATGCTAGAGACTTTCCATGACCCTCCGAAAGCATCCTTGTGTTGGATAAGCATATAAGCAGTCCCTCGAACGTTAGGGGTTCTAAGCAAAGCATCGAATGCAGCGGCATTGGAAGTAGCGTCGAACGTTTTGAATTTGGATTTGTCTCTGTAGTCCCCCCATCCATCGAAATCGTTTGGTTTTCCAAGGGCTTCCCGTAGAATAGCCACCGTGTCAACGTTGGTGATAGAATTTTGTATCACGTATTTCAAGTCGGTGACTGGCTTCTTTTTCTCGACGCATGACTTTTTCCATTGTAGAAACGTGACATCCGACCATTTCTCAAGCTTGACTAAATGCTCAACCGGGTGAGAACTAGTACTGGAGCGGAATGCAGGACTCTCAATGACGTCCGCAATGATGAAACCACTTTGTACATTGAAGAGGTTTGCATAAAGTCCGTTGGTTGCCTAAGAACGTGTCAACGTTTGAAGAGATACTTTGTGGATTCTTTGCTTGCTTGGTTTTGAACACTTACACCGTACGTCACACCTTCTATCGTCACAGTATTCGATTGTACCCACTCAATTTTCTCGGTGTAGACATCGACGGCGGCTAGATTGACCTCCAAATATTGAAAGACTGGCTCGAGATTCTTGGTAATATCTAGGGCCTCTGGGTCACCGAAGTCATTGAATCCGCCAAAGCCACAATCATCAACCTCTGAAGAAGATTTCTTTTCAACCCAACCCCATTTAGCCAAATCCCCATACTGAGTAAATTCACTAGTGCTCTGTATCTTTGTCCCGGTTTTGAAGCACCCAGCTGTGTCTTGCGGTGCGGCAGTCATTGCACAGTACAATTGTTTGCCCTGGGCTTCAGCATCTTTCCATGTCAATCGTTGGCCATTGTATTGGTCGCGAGTTTCGAGAATAAGGTGCTCATCTCCAAGTTGAAGTTGACCCGGATCGAGCCTTTGATGCTTCGCAAAATAACCAGATGATACAAACAACGAAAGCACAATTGACACTAGGACAATAGTCTTCGTCCACCGACGTGAGATAAGGCGACCGATCCGGACCATTCTGGCGGCCATTTTGGTGGTTGGGGCACAAAAGGAAAAAGCCACCCCTAGAGATAAACGAGGGTCCGGCAAGTGAAAAACGAATTCTAAGTATCAGTTTGAAAAGTTTTAAGAAGGGCTGGGATAATAGCGAGTTTGAACAGGTCGAGCGTCACAAAGAGTCGGCTAGTCCATGGGAATTCACTCCACTAAGACTACTTGCCTCGACTAATAATAAGGGGCCTCAGGGGCTATAAAAATGATACATACTAAAATCCTTCAGGGCGTAGTGATCATCCGGCATGCTCACAAGCTGCCTGAGTAACTACTCTGTACTCCGTAACTAGTGGAACTAAACACACCGATTTCACCTTTCTGACTGAATCATTCGGGGTACTGCATCCACCTACATACGCAGCTCCGTGCCCGAAGCTTAGCTTCTTCTTACTACAAGAGGCTCTGAGTTTTCAATGCTCCTAATAGATTCCTCTATCTACTATTTACCTGTGAAACAGAACGCTTACATGTGTAATCCCTGTCCGATAGAAATGCAATGAAAACAAGAGCCAATATGTAAATCGACGTTTGGCGCTTGTGTACGGTACGGCATCAGATCGGGGGCCAGGTTTCAGAAAGCCACGTTGAAAGTGGACCGACCACACGTGACGGGATGGATTTTTGACACACGATCAGCACGTATATATCCGCCAACTCGTTGCTTGTGGATTCTGAGCCACGCCAGACGTGGTCTTTCATTGTACCCACCCTTTCGTGGCCCTCATATTTTCATCATAGAGGGCTATAATCAACGGCCTCCGGAGGCCAACGTGAGTTCCATCTCTCTGTGAGCTTTAAAAGGCCAATCCTATAAGTAAACGAGGTAGGCGAGCCACCTATAGCGATCAAGCGTATTATGATACATAGCTTTGTACTTCTGCTGTTATTTTAATTTTAAAGCAAATAACTAACGACTATCTTGAGAGATAATTATAATCTAACGAGCTTCTAAACGATTATCCGCCATAAACCTAATACACGCGAGGAAGCAGTCGCGGCCAATTCCTACCACGGTGCAAGGTTGAGAGTGGACGTTAGAGTAGGTATAAGCGTTAGTTGGGCTGGGGAGCCCTCACACGCGACAGGACCTGGGGCGACACTAAGGGCAATGCTACGTATTGTATACGAACGTAAAAAAGGGGCCGTTTCATCAGCTCGTCTGGGCCGTCTAGGATTTCCTGAAGTTCACCCTATAACTGATCCTTCAGGTCTCTGACAGGTTTCAGATTCCTACGCACAGTTGGTCTCGCATAATGTCTCCATACAGCTCCATTGACTGTTTCTCGGCTCGTGAGACGACCCCCAGGGTCCTGGTGTTCTTCTTCAACTCGTTGATTGAGTACTTGGTTCAGGTTCTGAGAGGTAAAATAAGAGCTCCAAATCCCAAAATTAATTATAGCAGTAGCCCAATAATAATCGAGCTGCAAACGCTACGGACTGTGCATCCTTTCGAATAACTGATTGCGATGGGGTTGGTGCCTGAGGTGTCATCGGCCGCAGTCCTGATAAAGACAGCCTTTCCGCTTTGGGAGATCACTTAGTCAATACACATCCACTTCCTTCCTTTCCTCTCACCAGTCTGGCCTTCCCTAAGCTCCTCGTGCCGATCAGATTGGCCCTATCTAGATTATATTACACCTTTATACATATGCCTAGAAACCAATGACAACTGCGAAAAGTACCGCTCAGAACTGAAATATGTTGGGTCCTTGCCGGGCACCTTTTGGCCTAGCTGTACCGGATATATTCTGCACACACCTTAGTCGACATCATACAGATGCAAATAGTAAGGATCGACTGCTGTTGGAAGACGAATTATGTACTTAGTGGTCTGTGTCTAGAATCACGTGGGGCCTCTTAACTAACCTTCTGCCGAAGTACCGGATTGATCATAGTCAGTGAGCAGCGGCGTCAAGCTTTACATATCTCGCCAAAAAGTACGGTTGCCCAGATGGGGCGACCTGCAGGAGTCGATGAACCCTGAGTTCGGTGGGATGTGATCTGTTCGATTGCGAGAGGGTGGTGGTGGTCTGTGTGCGTCGGAGAATTCACGATGAGAATAATGAACGTGTATGCAGCTGGGAATACTCAGAACCAAGTACATAGTACTTTTATTAACAATAATAGTCAGGTAACCTATCTTAATTATCTTGAAGATACAAATAATTCTTAACCTAGGAGAAAAAAAAAGCCCACACCCAAAACACCCCGATCGGCGGGATCGGCGACGCCAGGGCCAGCGGGAAGAAGCTGTCAGCGCGACGGACAACCATGGAATGGGCATGTTAAGCATAAACATAGCGTCGCCTGGTTCCAAGCGGAACCGCGGTTGGCCTGCTGTCTTGATTTACAACAGCATAGTATACCTGCCGGAGGCACAATAATAAATATTATAAGGCTCTGTGCCAGAGTCCCAACACTGAATGTAACAAGCCCCTGACGTGGCTAGACGAGTAAATTGGAACTAGGAAAATGAACAGTTCATCATGCGTCTGTCTAGTCTGTCTGGTCCTCTTTTTTCCCCTGTTGCCCCCACCAACCACCACGAACTAACTAACCCACGTAGTCTTTTCAGAGGGGGAAACGAGTCAAGTGGGATTTTCTTTTTTTCTTTTTTTTTTTTTTCCCTTCCTTTTCTTTTTCCTTCCCTCTCTACACTACGTTTACTCTTCTCAGGTCTCTACATCCCCCAACCTTCTTGTCTTCATCCTTTCGATCCTGCTTGGGATCATCTGTTGATTTGATTTTCCTTTTCCCCTTACGCTACTCCTACTCCGCCTGTCCGAACCTTTCCCCGAGCAGCCCTAACCAACACTCCCTCCAATAGCCCCGGAGTCGAATCCCGGGCGGATGAGCTCGATCTACAGCCCTGGGCCGGCACGCGGGATGTCCGTGGGCGGCCGCAGCATGGACCATGGTCCTTATTGACGGTCTCCCCTCAGGCGGCAGTCACCCCGTTGGTCCACATTAGTATAAGCCTCGAGCATCGCATTCCCGACCATGTCGCCGCACTGTACCGCCAGATCTGGGGGCATCATTATCAGCCAGCCCTGTCGATTAACAACCACCCTTGCATGATGATCGTCGCCCGGTCCGATGGATGGATTGGATAGGATCACTTCCCCGTCACATGTCGTGGGCTGTCCCTCTGAACCGCAACGAGGTCAAAAGTACCATACATGGCACTCACCTCAGCACGGACTGGGGCGTAGAACCGGTCCTTTCCCCGACGAACCGATCTGCAAACGCCCGCCCCATCAGGCTGTTAAAGTGCAGCGAACGCAGCTAATAATGTGACCCATCGACTTGGATCAACCCTGTCACTGCAGCTCTCTCTGCATTTGGGTCACCCCACACGTCGCTTCTTTATTTTCTCTTCTGGTCTTCTCCCCTCTTCACTTCCACTTCATCTCATCATTCACCACCATCAATATGAATCGGCATCCCTGTCCTCGCCGCTCAGTGTCGCGATAGCGACAACGAGCTCGATCCGCGCGCACGGTCTTGGTTTGCTGCCTGCCCCATCCTCGGTCGATTCTCCAGGGTGCTTGTGGCGCCACGGGGGTGAAGGGAAAGGAAAGCCGGTGCGTGATCGCATTCGAGTAAACTCGTTTGCTGCGGTCGCTAGTGGCTTCGCGACTTGCGTTTTCGTGTACGCGCGGGAGTCCGTGTGTGTTTTGGGGATCGTGAAGACCGGCCAGAAATCGTGAGTGAGGGTTCCTTTCGTGTCTGTTTGTTTGCGCAAGGAGAGTTTCAAGTTCCAAGGTTGGGGTGTGGGGGGGACACCGTCACTCAGCGCTGGACTCGGGATGACATAAGTGGGAGAGCGCGGAGGGACATGATGGCGGGAACATCCTGGGAATGTGGAAGAGCGAGAGACCAGAGCGTGCAGCAGACTAATGCCGACTCTCTAGTGCGGCTCACGATCGGATCTCCATGCTTATCTCTCCACTGGGATGCTTAGACGCGCCTCGCGGTTAGCTAAGGTTGAATGTGCGCATCATCCACCCACCCTCCAGTATTATTCAACGGTCGGGCGCTCCACCGTTAGTTGGTTCCGTGGGCGGGAGAATTCTGCCCACAACCATCATCTCATCTCATCATCTACAAACACGACCTTCTTCCGCTCTCGGCTGGCTCTTTCCGCTTGCGTTCTGACGACACCACCAGTCCTTCTCTTCCTCTTCCCGTTTTCATCTCTTTCCTGCCCATGGTACCATCATCTAGTCGGCCCACTCAACTACTGCCTGGTTTCCCCCCCCCCCCCACCTACCACTATCGCAAGACGACATTGTGACTCGCTCTGTCTCGCTCCTGGGTCCTGACCCCGTCTGTCCTTTTCTTCTGACTGCCGGACCCATTCCTGTCTCTTCCACATTTCCCTGTCAAACCCTCTGCTGTTCCTCGGATCCATTCGTGTGCCTGGTGGTTCACTCACCCCCGATTATCCTCTATCGTCTCTGATCCCCGACTTCGTCTTGATGAGTGCATCGACATTCTCCGACGCCTCTCTCTCTCGTGAAGCCCAGAGGTTCGTGTGCTCCGCCTTGCAGATCGGCGCATGACAGAGTCGCAACTCTTACTCAGTGGTCCAGGGATTCGACTGACAATGTTAACCAACTCCAGTTCTGACTTTGAGTTGACCATCCGCCAGCAGCCCGACCGGGCGCGCGTGGCTGGGGGCAAGGAGAAAGGTACGTTCGGTCGTCTGTGCCCCTCCGACGGAGGTGGGGTTGGCCTTGTAGGAGACTAACCAGACCCCCAAGAGCGCAAGCCCATCGATCCTCCCCCGATCGTCCAGCTTCGGGTGCGAGAGGAGGGTACCTACTTGGCGCAGTGAGTACTGAATGGTGCCTCATGACTAGAGGTTCAAGCTGATCGCGTGCCAGGCACTACCTGCAAAGTCCGTACTATTTCATGTGCTGCAGCCTATACGATGCCACAGAAGATACCCCGGTGCCCGTGGCCCCATCAACGGCGCTCGCTGGAACTCTTGTGTCGTCTCTTCATAGGCTGAAGGATGTGGACAACAGTGGTCAGTCGGGTCCTGGCTTGCCTTTTGTCGTCCCTGTTCACTGACTTGTTCGTAGATGGCGGGTTCTTTGTCTTTGGGGATCTGTCGGTCAAGATCGAGGGAAATTTCCGTCTGAAATTCACTTTGTTCGAGATGCGCAAGTGAGTTGCTCCGGTCGGGTTAGTGAGCCAGAGACTAACACACATGGCCAGACAAGAGGTGACTTACTTGAAGACCATCATCTCCGATCGATTTACCGGTAAGCGTCCTGTTTGGTTTTGGAACAGCTGGGAAGCTAAACAAGCGGCCAGTGTCTCCTCCCAAGAGCTTCCCCGGCATGAAGGAGTCAACTTTCCTCTCTCGGTCCTTTGCGGACCAGGGAGTCAAACTACGGATTCGCAAGGAGCCCAGGACTATGATGTACGTGTGCAGGGCTACTGTGAGGTCTGTGTTCCATACTGACTCGCCAGGAAACGCTCTCATCCCCAACCAAACGAGTACCCACCTCAGGCGCTGCCTTCACGCTCGCCAGATCGCACATCGGTGCAGATGCCTCCGACTGGCTTTCCAGGAGGGTATCCGCAGACGACGCCGCGCGACTACTATTATGGTGCGCCGGCACCGCCCCCCAAACGCCATCGGACCTCCATCGATTATGGGCGTGGTATTGAAACAGATAGTCGGATGGCTCGTCCGCTGGACACGTACGGCCGTCCAATGGAGGCGTATGGTCAGCCTACCATGTACGGACAGCCGGGAGCATACCCAGCGCCGATGCAGCCATACCAGACCGGACAGGTGGTGGCCGATTACGGGGTTCGTGGTTTTACTATCTGGTTTGACCAACTACTGACGCTTGCTAGATGCCCTATGGACTGCAACCATCAGCCCCCCTGACGCAGATGTCTGATCCCTCCGCGCAAAGTCGGACCTCTCAGCAAGCCACCGTGGGGCAGCTGATGGGCATGAACCAGCCCGGTACTCCTGTACGGCACCCCTCTGCAAACCAGTGAGTTTTGGGAGAAAGACCCAGCTAAGGCTTTACAATCCCAAACAGACCCCAGATTCGACAGGAGCGATGATGGCTCAGGGATACCGGCCCGGCCCGGGATACGCTACTAGCTCCACCATTCTTCCTCCGCTGCAGCAGCAAACCCGCACCTATCCCCAGGGGACCAACGGCAATACCTCGCGAGGGTACTATGATCCGCCCTCCCAAGCAGCCACGCCGATTCTTCCCTCCCAACCAATGACCCACGAAGGCGCCCCGGACACCTTTGACCACCCGGGGTCTGCCAACGGGACTCCTCAATAAGATGACAGAGGATGTTTTTTTTATGCCATCGCTCGTTTGCGGAGGCCGACCTCGATGGTCCTGGCCTTTTTTTTTCTTTCTTTCTTATAGAGGGTATTCTTGTTATTGTCTCTGTTTCTTCTTCTTCTTCTTCTTCTTCTTTCGTGTTTAATCGGGTTCTCGGGGGTTTATTGTTACAGGCGCCGGACACAGGAACAGGACATAAAAAAGAGGGCGGCGGCATTATTCTTTCTGGGTCGGGTACTGGAGAAAAGTGAGAGAAAAGGTGTCTCTTCTTATTCCTATTTTCTTTTTCGTTTCTTCTTGTACATACTCGCTGGTTTTCCCCTGCTAGCAACAGTTCACTTCTTTTTGCTTGGGAGTGCTGTCTCTCTAATATCTGGTTGTGATTACACTGTTACGGTAAGTAGGCCTCAGGCGAAAAGAAAAGAACCGTGCCTTCCTTCTTGGGAATTGCTCTTCACTTCCATCCTTCGTTCGTTCTCTTTCTCTCTTTCCTTCTCTCCCCTCCCACCATTTTCTTTTCATCTTCTTCCCAACCTCTTCTCCCATCCGATCCAAATCCTTTCCTCCCCTTATCGACCAACTGCCTTCTTCTTGACTTCTTATCCTGACCAAAATCAACAAGCACCCATCCTATCTCATCCAAAGTTCATGCCCACACCCACCTAATGAACGACACAATGTCCAACCCCGAAAACCCACTCACCAACCTCGACCTCTGGTGCGAATGGACTGGCGACCTTAGCGATGCCGTGGAGGTGGGATTCGCCGTCAACGTAAGTATACACACGACAATGTATCCTTCTCGTCTAGTCTACCATATATATGTTTCCTCTGACTGACTTCTGACTCATCTCTTGTGCCTTGCTGGTTCAGATCTGGTGCACACCCAACATGGCCGCCCTCCTCCCCATACTGAATACGCGCGCCTACGATCGTGTTGCGTATTCGGTTATTCTCCTCAAGGGTGAGGGTGGGAGTGATGATGAGGATGAAGACCAAGTAGGGGATGAGGCGAATATCAATACCTACAGCAACAACCAAGATCAAAACAGCGAGATATCCCTCGGGACGCCAGGTCTGCAGACGCAAAAGAGGAAGAAAAACGGTTTGGGCCAAAGTCGGAGGTCTCCATACGCCTTTCCACGGCCACAGCCCGATCTTGCTACACCTGCTTCTCCTCCTCTGTCTTCTTCACCGGCTACACCCGCCGCTCCCGCGCCCACGCCTGCCAGTACGAGTGTGAGTTTCAATGGAGCGCGCTTTATGTCAGCTGCTGATGAGGTGCTGGATCGGGTGAGTGTGGGGTTGGAGAATATGGAGGATGGGGAAGTTGGGTCGAGGGAGGGGAGTGTTGTTGTTCATGGGATGGATGAGATGAGTGGACGGGTTCGGGAGCAGGATTGTGAGGCGGATGACCATGAACTGGAGCAGCGTTCTCAGGATGAGGGCTATGACGAAGACGAAGACCATGACGATGATAATGACATAGGCCAGGACCAGGGCCAAGATCACGGTCAGGAGCATTGTCAAGATGCAGGCGATGGTCAGGATGAGGACCGCCATCAAAACCACGACCAGGATCAGAACCAGGACCAGAACCCTTATCACGATCTTCCTGAGCCCATCTACACTGGAGGAATCTGGATCACTGCGAAAGATCATGATGAGCCTCAAGCCGCTCCTACAATTCCCGGCAGCCCCTACAACCCACGCAAACGCAGTGCGACGGTGGCTTCCCTACCTGACTCAATTTCGGACTCGGAAAGGAAGTATGAAGGATACAAGCACAAGCTCGTGGCGGAGGAGTCGATCGTATCTCCCAGCAAATCTACGAACAGGCACAGCCGGCTTCCACGTCCGATCAGTCTGAAATCGCCCGTTGAGGTGAAGCCCGAGAATATCCCGCTGCCTCGAGATTCTGTACCCGTGCTTGAAGTTGATTTTCGACGCTTCGAGCAAATTGATTCCCTCGCAAAAGAGCGCGGCGTTCCTCTTGTCAAAAAAAACTTGGATCGACTGCCGTCGATCGCAAAGAAAGGAACGTTCAGGCCTGAGATCGAGAGGCTTTCGACGGTTGTGAACATCAATACCTCATCCGCCAAGCAGAGTAGCTCGCTTCCAGACTATGAGTCTGACAGAGCATCATCTGAGAATGACGGTATCCCTCTGGTGGGACACTTCCTTTGCGAACTCGATGTCTCTCCAGATACTCACGGATCTAACGACCAACCACGACTTGTCCTCATTGACGGTACATTCTATGTGCAAACCTCACCCAAGGTCAAACCCGCAATCTATGAAGTGCACATCAAAGTCCTGTTGCATGTCCGGAAAGCAAGGCCGGAGGGTTGGAATGCGCTGATGATCCCGGGATTGCCACGCCTGCGAGCCGGCGACTATGGCTACATCGTCCTTTGCATGCCACTCGACAAGGGAATCGAATTTCGCACCACACCGTTCAAGCGAGCTCAATTTGTTGAGGGCTGTTTAATGGCCCAGTTTGCCACATCCTCGAATCTTGTTGTGCCCCTGCGGATCTTCGACAAGGAATACTACGGCTATGTGAAGGACTTCAAGGTGAAGCAGATGATTCGATCCGAAATTGTTGACGAAAACAAGGAAGTCTCTTTGGTCAAGTACAACGCAATCTGCTCGATCGAACCGGTGCAACGCATTTTCCGCACTGATCAGTGCAGCTTCGTCATCTATGTGCATGGTGGTCCACCTGGTGAGTATGCCTGCGACTTGACCTCGTCTGAGAACGAACTCCAGACCATCGACCTGAGCGCTGAACCAAGCTTTCGTCAACTTGGCCTCGCTGCGCTAGAGGTCCGTTGTCGGTCCTCCGACTTGGAGAAGTTTGTCGTGACGTGGTCTGTCCAACTGTCACGGACAAATCTGTCGACCTGGCTGCCTCGCATCAAGGCCACCGCAAACACTGAAGGCAACAAATCCGAGATGAGCCTTATCGCACACTTGGGGCTGGTGGACCGTCCTGCACTTCAACCAACAGAAACGAAGGGCAAGCACCGTGATTGCCCCGTTTGCAACACGACACACACTGATGGCCAGACCGAACCAGAGCTGTCTTGCATCTGGAAGTCTGCAAAGTGGTGGCTGTTCCTGAACTTGGTCTGTTGGTTGTTCACCATTTGCGCCTACGTCTTTCTACCCAAATCCAATGACTCTTCCCCCGTCGAGACCGCGCTTGCAGATACTATGCCACTGGCTGATACGAACACGGTGGAGATTCCAAAAGTGGTGTTGGAGCAAAATGAGCAGCTGGGTGAGTTTGAGCATGCTGGTCTAGTTGAGGAAGATTGGCACAAGTTCGTTGTGCCCGGGGAGTCGCTAACTCTTCGAGATCGATTCGACCGTTTCTTCGGCTGGTGTGAGCCTGTTATTGTGCATGATGCGTGAGTTTCTGGGTTTGCTAGGTGGCTATTCTTATCTCGGAGGGTGGAGGTGATTTCTCAATGGAGTTCTTGCTGTAATTCTTTCTCTATTTTCCTACCAGTATCTCCAACTTTCTTTCTCTCTGTATTGCATTTCATCACATCCATATCAGATCACGCCTCGTAATAAGCCAGCACCTTATCCACAGCCCACCTCACAACGTCAGACATAGGCAATTCCCCCAAACCGGGGCAAACCTCAACCCCAACATCCGTCCTGATGGCAGATCCATCCCCAACCCGTGCAATCAACTCCGCCGTCGTCATTTTCTCTGTCTCATGAGATTGAGACTGAGACATATAAGATCTATACTCCTCTTCCGGAAGAAGCAACCACGCGTGATCCTCTACATACCGCGGCCAGACTACATCATCCACGTAGCCCGGCGGGTCGGTCCAGAAGTTCTGTGGTGGGCGGTCGTCGGGGCTGTTTAGATCAATTGCCGGCTTTTCGAGTCCCTTCTTGTTGTCGTTATTGGGGACTGTGGCATTGGCATCCGCGTCGGTGCCTTGCGCCCCTCCCACCGCCGAGAGGGGCATATGCGATCGTGACTCCATGTTCTGGTGCATTTTGTCTGTCTCGGAGACTTCGGCGGAACCTGTGTTTGTATTTGCACCGGTGCTTGAAAGAGTTGGATCTTCGTTCGCGGGCGGCTCGGGCCCTGGTCCGATCGTCACGTATCCCGATCTCCCCTCGCGTCTTGTCTTGACGACGTTGTAGGAACAGGGCAGGAAGAGGGGAAGATGGATGTTTGAGTGGACTGGGTGGAGGGTGTGTGCTTTGTCGCTGCCGCCCTTTTGCTGGGATGGTGGCTGTGATGGGTGCGGGGGACTGAAGAGGAGGAATCCCTCGAGGAAGGCTATTGTTGTTTTTGCTTTATGTCCCTGTCCCTGTTCATGATTTTCCGTGGTTGCAGTTGTTGATTTTAGTTTGGATGATATCCTCTTCTCCACTTCATCTCTCAGTTCCGCAATGACCGCATCGTCCACCCCGGAATCTGTGACAGCGTTCTGGTCCTCTTTGCTTTGGAGCCGTGGAGGGAGGTGTCCGTTGGAACGCACGTATGCGAGCGCTTGCGCTAGGAAGTCGATGTCGATTGCGTCGGCGGTGTCCCAGTCTTGGACCTTTGCGCCGGAGGGTGTGGTTGTCCATGGGATTCTATTTGAATTAGTTTTAGTTGTAAAGCCAGATAAAAACTGGGGGAAATAGAGATAGACAATCTCTGTCATAGTGATAGCCAGGAAGTAAAGAAATATTGGATTGTTGGGTAACTGTGTGAGAAGCAGGGGAGATGTAGACGTACTTATCATCCGGGTAGTAGAAGTCATCTTCGTGAACGATGAACGTATTCAGACGCTTCGCGGAAGCATCCTCGTTATTTGCAGTGACGTCTTTATTCCTGTCTTGACTGGCATCGGATCCATTGGTCTCCAGTCTCACACCGCAAAAGACACGCTGCAATAGTCTCGCGAGGGTGGTCTTGCCGCTGGACGAGGGGCCGGAGATGCCGATGATGACGGCGCGGTCTTGCTGCGACCCCATCGTGACTATTTGGAGCTGCGAGGCTATTCTCTTTGCGCGCCCCCGGATGCAAAAATAAGTGGTAGTGTGGTGGGGATGGGAAGATGGAGACGAAAGAGGGGCGGAGCGGAGGGAAAATAAGCTCGGCTTATCGCAAGTTATCAATTTAGTTATCGCGATCGAGATGAAGTAATTAGGCCCTTGATCCGCGACACCCGGCTGATTATTGGCCACCCCTGTTAATAACGCGTAAACAACAACTGAAATCATGACCACGCATCCAACGAAATGGACAACTGGTATCAACCGCCCTTAGAGGATCATGTACCTCGACCCGGTCCATTTTTAACGAAGAGCGGGATTGACCTTTTTATTATCCTTGACGACAGCCCCCAAGCCAACCTCTACCGCTATTTTAACCGAGTGAAGTGCTGATTCGGGCTAAGTAAATTGGGCAACTACATGGACCTCACTACTCAAACGTATGTATGGATACAGATATTCAACGACAGTTATAAATCACGAGCATGAACATGAACATGAACATGAACATCCTCCTAAATTGCAGATATATATATCATGCCGATCTCTACCTTGTATGAAGAATGTAGTCTTCAGTCTCAAAGACGGCAGTTGGCCCAGTGCTACCAAAAAGAGAGAGCTCGCTGTCTGCCTAAAAAGGAAGGGTAGCCTGGCGACTACACCCGATATACCTTTGACATCAATTACAACCTGCTGCTTTTGTCATACCTCATAAGCCTCCTGGGGAGCACCTTTGGCTTCCAAACCGCGGTATTCAAAGTATTCGCACCATTCCGGATCCTCAATCAGCGCCTGCGACAGCTCCTTCTCATAAACGAGACTGAACTCCGGACCCTCGTCGGATTCAGGAGACGGATTGCGAGACGGGTAAATAATGAGCACACCATTCATCGACCTGTCGATCAGATGGCGATAAGTGGCCGGGGTGGCGAAGCCGAAGTTGGCGCTGGTGATATTCGCGTCGCGATGGTCCGTCTGGAGGAGCGACATGGGCGGGTACGAGTCAATGCGCATGTTCAGTGCTGTTTTGTTGCGCACCATGGCCACCATGCCCAGAAGCTGGTCCAGAGACTCTTGCGTAACGCTATCGGTCATCTGGCGGACGTAAGAGGCGAGCTTGGTCAGTGGCCACTCGGAGATCACGTCTCCGGCAGTGGGCTGGGCCACCGGGGCGGTTGTGGATAGGGCTCCCGTTAGAACGTTGTGCTGCAGCCGCCGCGCAACCTTGGGACTATGCATGCGGCGTCGCATATCAATGGCCTCTACCCAGAACAAAGGTTCTGAAAGGTTTGGTTTGAAGTGGGGGGCGCGCAGACGCGAAATGGTGCGCCATAGGAATGCGGAGAAGGCGTCGTACGTGGAGATCCAGGACCCATCCGTCGGCGAGGCGAGCTTCTTCAGCGCCGCTGCTTTGCTCTTGGGGAGGTGGAAGAGCAGGATCTGAGACGGGAGATGGTCTGCGTGACGTGCGCTCGCTAGCGGACCGTCAACTTTCGATTCATCGGGCACTTCGGGCTTGGTGAAGCGAGACAGGTCTAGGCAGCTGGTGTCCCAGGAGGGGAAGGGCGTCTGGTTGATAATTGCAGAGCAGTTCTCGGCCAGCTGGTGGGTGAGGCCTGCCCACCCCATCACATCATTGGAATAGTGATGATGGTGCATGATGAAGATCAGTCCGCCGCGGATAAAATTGGCCTTATAGCACGCCGTTACGGGGCTGTTATCCGGGTGAGCCTCGGGTTTGTCTCCGTATGTCATCGGAGGCACACTCCATTTCTTGAGGTCGCCTAGCAGAGCAGTGCGGAAATGACCCTTCTCAAGCTCGTCGAAGGACGGATAGTCCTTGCTGTCCTCTTCGGAGTCCAGCCATTGGACAAAGAAGCGGACGGTGCCGTCCTTCTTCTTGACAAAAGAATGACCTCCTTCGGCGTCCTTCTCAATTGTGCCGCAGAGATGCCTTACTTGGCTTAGAGTCCGCTCAAGACCGGCCTTCAAGATCTCGGCGACACGGGGCTTGTCTGCATCGTCCAGACGGAAATACAGGCCATAGTTGTTGTAGGTAATCACCGACAAGTAATCGAGGGTTGAGACCTTGAATCGCTCCTCCTCGGGATCATTTTCCCATCCGGAGGGGTGAAGGTGATAGACCTCTTGTTTAGGCATGGCTGCAATGGGACGTGGACGGTAGGTACAGGGGGTATTCAGGGGATAAGGTGGTGGACTACTCCCACGTGCGGCGTGCAGCCCATGGTTTTACGGAAATATGTTGCGGGGTACCAGTGCGCTCCATCAAAAGCAATGATTTAGCCCGTCCTTTCCAATCTGGAAGTGGGCTTGCTGACCAAACAAACGGGACCAAATTTGGACATTGTGCATGCCCCTTTTGGGAAGCGACTGGTCCTTTCGGGATGAGACACTTTCGGGTTAGGGTCCCACGGGACGGTTCAAGGCTCCGGGGACGTTAAAGACAACAAGTCGATGATTGCTGGGCAGGGGCCTGGAAGAGTCTCAGGACTTGGCTCCAAACAAGTTATAGGGTAAACTAAGAAGGTGACTGATCCTCTCCGTCGGCTACCACGGCCCAACGTCTGAAGGATTCTGAACAGTACCCGCCTTCAAGCGGGTCATTGTCCAATGGTCTTGCGAATTCTCTGTTCTCGTACATGCTAAAACGCCAACCGCGTTAGCGGGCTTATCCTCAGGATCCCTAGGCAACCTCTCATTTTAGCGGTTCCCAGCACTAGGACTATTCGGTTAGGAGAGCATGCAGGATGACCCACCTATCAAAAGTCTATCCCGCGATGTCACCCGGGGGAGTGGACCGCGGGACGTGCCGCCATCCGGATGATTTTTTGTATGACCGCAAAAATAAAATCATGTGCTGCCGATCAACGGTTGGCCTCTCTTGACTTGCATGTTGACGGAACAATGGCTTTGTTTTACAACCGGAGCCTCGGGTGTGGCTCCACCATCTTCTAGATTCAAAGTCGCCCAGCAAGTAAATATCTTCCCCTATGGAATTGAATCTCTATCAACACGCGCCACCTTCTTGACTCGCCATGGCTCATGCAAAAAACTTCGACAAGATTTTAGACTAGATCTATGGACGCAATCCTCCTGAAGATCACAATTGAGATCCCAGCCTAACAAAATGCGGACCCGTGGTTCGAACTGTTCACTTCTGTTATAAAATCCGGAACGGCCCTAAAGTACGACTTCCAAACCGATCGCATTGATTTATCTATCACAATCACACAGTTTGCACTAGATTTCAACGGACCTACGCTTGTGTTACCACTTAGTGCCGTTCCGAACCTAACGAACCCGCCTATAACAATCCCCTTGCTATTGGCGTATTGACAGCCTACGCCGCTGTTGCTACATTATGTCTCTCGTTACGAGCCTATGCCCGCGTTTAGTTGTACCTTTCTCTTCCAGCCAACGTGGAGGATACGAGCCCGGTGATTCAGAGCTAACAGACTTTGCTTCTTTTTTTTTACAGTCATGACAATTTGCGCCTATGTATGTTCCAATTGGTGGAAAGATGTCGCTATACGATGCTAATAAACTCCAGGAATGCTTTTGGGGTGCCCTTTACGCCGAGATAAAGTTTGTCCAAAAACCCGGATTCTTCGTCCATCAGTGGAACGTTCGATTGGCAGATATCATCCCGACCGAATTTGTAAGTCTGCAATAGTACGGACTTTAGAAAGTTCCGGGATTCACAGAGTATACTATGTAGTGTGTCTTGATCTTCGGCGTCTTCTACTCGATTGCACTGCCGATGCCGAAGGCAGCCATCCTAATCAAATGGTGCCGCATGTTCGCTCCACAAGGCCGCCGATCTGAAGGTTAGTTCTGGTGGGGCAGCGTGGTGGTCATTGCTGTCCAGGCTATGTCGGGCATCGGTGTCGTTGTTGCCTTGAATTCCTCACAGAGCTATTTGGGACATTACCATCCAGGCGACGAGCAAGTGCTTTGATATGTACAAACTAGAAGTGGAATCCGCGAGTATTCAGCCCATATCTGATGTTGCAATTCTGTTACTACCGCAGCAGGTGATCTGATCTCTCAAGATGACGTGGCAGAAGCGGTTGGGTGTGTCGATTATCTTTGGATTGGGTCTGCTGTAAGTCTTGAATTCAGCACCGGGGGATTATATCCCGATACTAACATTGAGGAACACTTAGTGCCTGCATTTCGGCCGCCTTCCGACTTTCCACAACGATCATACACGGCCGAGTCGCAGACGCCACCCGGACCCTCGGTCCATTGGCCTTCTGGGCGACTGCCGGAATAACTTGCGGTTTCTTTATTCTCTGCGTGCCCTGTGTCCCCAGGATTCTGAAGGATACAGGGGTACTCCGGAAGATGAAAAGAGCGGTTGGTATGAAGACAACGAACAGTTCCAAGCGGGATGCGGGGACCGGCCCATCGAGCAACCACAGCAGGTTGGCGGGAAGTACGATCGACAACTCCTTCTACAAACTGGACAACCTGAAATCGTCCGAGTCCACAGAGTATCTACACGGCGGAGTACCCAATGCAGGCATCACGCGTACGACCCGCATCGCTGTTATGCAGGACTCTCGCTGTACGAATGGGGACGACAAGTTCATGTACCCGTAGATTGAATGGGGTCATCCCGAATGGATGGCAAAACCTCCGGACAGCAGTGCAGTACCGAGAAATTGTATGATTTGATTGATTTTGTATATATTTATGTATGTTTCTAGGCCGTCGATTCGGCGTGTGCACAGGTATAGCGTGCCCAAGACAGTGCTCCACGCCTGTAGGAGGGTTCCACTCGCAGAAAGGGACCCGCTCATCCGTACTGTGGTTTCGGAGTAGACGGGCCGCAAATTGGCCCCTCGGTACCATATAAATACTCCATCCATGTAGCACTATTATTATCCGGCTTCAAAGAGCATACAAAGAATTGTGCACGCCACGATGAGGTTTCTTTGCCTTCACGGCAGGGGCACGTGTTCCAAGGTCCGTCTTTTATCGCTTTACTTATCCCATCATTACTAGCAGCTAACTTTTGCAGATTTTTGAAATGCAAACCGGTAGGTCGTACAGCCAGATCACCGGTGGAAAACCCATCTTCTGAGATCCTAGCTAGCGAGGATTCGAGAGGAGCTAGATGAGCACGAGTTTGTATTTATCGATGGTGCGGTTGCCACCACGCCAAGTGAAGGTATGTGCTGCGTTGACGGCGGTGAAAAGCCGAGTCCCAGCCAGCTGGGAAGCAGCTAAAGAACTGCAGGCGCTGCAGTGGTAACTAACGAGTTCTATGGGTATATCCCGAACACCACGAACGACGTGGGTCAGTACAGTGACCTGGTGGTGGGATTAGTGGAGTACGTCCGCAGCCAGGGGCCGTTCGACGGAGTGATGGGATTTTCGGAGGGCGGGATGATGGCAGCTCTGCTACTGATTGAAGACGCCAGGAATTCCTTTGCGGGATTTAAATGTGGTATCTTCTTTAGTGCTGCTGTTCCTTTCGACCCGGATGTCGTCCGTACCAGACACCTGCGTTGTATTGATCCAACCATTGACGGGGTGGTGGTCCATGTGCCTACGGCGGTTATAGTTGAGAAGAATTTTGCTCGACTACGGCATCTTTCGCCACTGGATAAATTGTGGCCCGATGATGAGGAGGCCTTGGTCTCGATTTGTGCGGAGGCCTCGCGCGAGGTGGTTCGGCATGATCTGGGCCACCACGTTCCCGGGTCCGCGTCAACGACGGAGGGGTTGACAGCAACCTTACAAGCCATTGAACGGACGATTGAGCGGGCCAGTGAGCTGTACAGCTAGTGCGAACCTTCTCAATATTTTAGCTTTATCCTGTATCAATTGTGGATATCAGCGTTATGATTATGGTGTTACCGTATTATTGAAGCCCCTCACGGGATATCATGATCGTTAGTAGTTTTGACACCCATGCTCCGATCAAATCACATGTTGGCAATGGCCAGGACATACCGAACCCAAAGGAACACCACTAATTAGACGAACTGATCTTTCGGCGTAAGTCTACTTGCCAACTAACCTGAAACATTGACTGAATCGTTATTGCCCCACTCCTTGAGTGGTTGTAAACTACGGGGGAAAGATAAAGAACGGCTGTCAGAGTCAGACAGTGGGTAACCTGAAGAGGCAAATTTAGGTAAGTTATTATTCAGTCCGTTCCGAGTGGTCAATGCAACCCGCTAAAAAAGGAACAAAATAATCAGACGCACGGAACCAAAAAAAGGCGAGTCAATTAATACTCCAAGGTAAGTGATTATCCGTCAATTCCCGCCCCCGATGCTAATCGACTTCTTCCAAAGGATTTCCTCCGAGGGAATTCACCGTCAATCCATCCAGAGTGCTGTTACGGTGGCCAGCGATTGCAGCCATGGGATGCCTAGTGAACTGATCATCCCCCATAGTGGGGACGACGACCGTGGTATCGGGAGCATGATTCATGCGGAGTCCACTTCTCGGGAATGAGAGAATAGCTGTATTAGACAGTAAACGCCGATGTGGTTTTGACTCTAGCGGTATAGCATTTCCAGCACACGTCAAGCCACACAAAAGGTAGCAATCTGGCGGGGAACTCATTCTAAATTATCTGCTGCTTAAAAGCCAATTTTGCAGATTGGTGAATTTGAGATATTAACGGTTCACGGGTGTTGACGACTGAAACGATGAGCCCATCAAACTCCAACGTAATGTCGGCCGCGCCAGACGACATCGCCATTATCGGATTTTCATATAAACTTCCACAAGATGTCAAGGATGATACGTCTTTCTGGACGGTTCTCGAGGAACAACGGAACCTCAGAACGGACTGGCCGGAGTCTCGCGTTAATCCAGACTCATTTGTGAACCACAAACTCATTAAAGTATGGTTGCAATAAATTCCCTGTATGCCAGCTATGGCCACTCATCGCGAGGCAGTTCCCTACTCGGGGTGCGCATTTTCTTAACGAGGACATTGGAGGTTTCGATGCGCCATTCTTCTCGGTCACGGCGCAGGAGGTAAGTAAAGCTGAAGTATTCAATGAAGTAAGTACCAAACTAAATATTCGATAAGGCGGCGTCAATGGATCCTTTGCAACGATGGACATTGGAGGAATCTTATAGGGCTTTCGAGAACTGTGAGCAAAAAAACCCCTACGAAACCATGCAAAAGAAAAAAGCAAAGAAGGAAAACTAAACAGGTCATCACAGCCGGGATCCCAGTTGAAACCCTAAAGGGCTCGCGCACCGCCGTCTTCTCAGCTTCCATGATAGAAGACTACGTGCGCATGAGCGCCATGGATCCCGAGAATGTAGAGCGCACGGCAGCCACCGGCAGCTCTGTAGCGTGCGTCATTCCGAATCGGGTGAGCTGGTACTTTGACCTACGTGGACCTAGCATCCATGTCAATACCGCCTGCTCAGGGAGTATGTCCGCAATTGATATGGCTTGCAAATCGATTCGGAGTGGCGATGCCTCAGCTGTGAGTCTTGCTTGAGCGGTTAGCGGACAATAATGTTTACTCAATCGCTGACCACGCAAAGGCCCTCGTTACTGGAGCCAATATGCTCCTTGATCCGTCCGATTTTCAGATCTTGTCGAGCCAGAACTTTCTTTCGTCCGACAGCCTCTCCTATAGCTTTGACCACCGCGCAAACGGATACGCCAGAGGCGAAGGGACCCTCGCTCTGGTCCTTAAGCCCGTATCTGCCGCGATAGAGAACGGTGACATGATTCGCGCTGTTATTCGCTCGACAGGGTCGAACCAGGATGGTCATACCCCAGTACTAACGCAGCCGAGTCCTCAATCACAGGAGGAATTGATTCGTCACGTCTACAAGCAGGCTAATCTTCCCCTCGATGAGACGCGTTATGTTGAGGCACACGGTATGGTGAAAAAAGCCGTCCTTAGTCTAACACACTTTTAACAAGATGGAATTTAGGAACTGGAACTCCCGTGGGAGACCCGATCGAGATGAGAGCTATTGGGCGGGTTTTCCGAAAATGTCGATCGGCCGAAGAGCCTCTTTACGTGTCCGTATTACACTAGCATCTTGAGACCGGAATCACCTCTAATCAATCCTCAGTGGCTCTGTGAAAGCAAATATTGGCCATCTGGAAGGGGCGAGCGGCCTCGCGAGCTTAATCAAATCGATTTGTATGACCCTCTCTCTTCCTACTGTCCTGAACCTTGGAGTACTCATTTTCGCACCAGTGACCCTGGAAAAAGGAATCATCCCCCCCAACGCTCTCTTGGAAAAAGTGAACCCCGCGATTGATGTAAATTTCTATCATACAGAGGTAGGTATCGACTACTGCTAGTACTCGTGGCGAAAGCACTAACATGGCTACCGTTCAGGTCCCTTCACGAAGTATACCTTGGCCAACCGCGGGCCTACGTCGAGTATCCGTGAATTCGTTCGGATTCGGAGGCTCCAACACGCACGTCATTCTCGACGATGCCCTTCATTACATGCAGGAGCGTGGCCTAGCTGGCAATCATTGCACAGCCTCTATCAAGCGTGCTTCAACAGACGGCGTGGTCACCACGAGTAATGGGGATGCTCGGGATAATGGAAACGGACATGACTACGAAAATGGCCATGTTGATGAAACCGCACACGCCAATGGCACCACGTGCACAAATGGATCAGCTCATGCGAACGGGGATGTCTCAGCCAACGGAACCGTCCATGTAAATGGCAACGGCGTTACCAACGGCAACAGCAAAGCCATGGAAGCCGCATCAACCCTCCCACGGTTGCTTGTATGGACCGCCGCTGACGAGAATGCGGTGAAACGCACGATTGAAGGCTACAAGTCCTTCTACGCTAAAAGTGTGGCCAGTGACCCAGAAAAGCTCGATCGCCTGGCCTTCACGCTAGGCGCCAGGCGAAGCAAAATGCTGTGGCGAGCCTTTGCAGTTGTCACGAACGAAGAAGAGAAAGCTCTGTCTCCAGCAAAGCCAATTCGAAGCTCGACTGAGACCGGCCTTGCTTTTGTGTTCACGGGCCAGGGGGCCCAATATGTTAGTATGGGCTGGGATTTAGTTCAGTACCCCGTGTTTGCAGAGACTCTAAGACAGGTCGATGACATCTACGCCAGTCTGGGATGCAAGTGGTCAATATTCGGTAAGTGAAATGGCACTCAGATCATTGTTCATCTCAGGAACTTTGACTAACCGCCTCGCTTAGATGAGCTCCGCTGTAAGGAGAACATTGACCAGCCCGAATACAGTCAGCCCCTATCTACAGCTATACAAATCGCTCTGGTGGATTTATTAGAGAGCTTCGGTATCACCCCGAAAGCTGTTGTCGGACACTCATCCGGCGAAATTGCTGCAGCGTAAGTAACTACCCCCAAGCCATTCAAGACCAGTTCCCCAGAATGAAGGACTGAATTACTGACCATTCTTCAAATCACCAGGTATACTATCGGTGCTTTGTCTTTAACTTCGGCGTGTAAAGTCGCATATTTCCGGGGCCAGCTGACCGGAGAGCTGAGAGCCTCCAGCACCACTTCTCCAGGGGCTATGCTATCGATAAACGTGGCCGAAGCCAAGGTGCCAGAATACCTGAACAGCGTTAGAGATGCAGCTGCCAGTGATGTCACTGTAGCCTGCATCAATAGTCCCCTCAACTGCACACTGTCCGGTCCTGAGCAGGCAATCAATGCAATTAAAGCGCAAGCAGATCAGGACGGTATTTTCGCTGCGAAGCTCAAGACTGGAGTTGCATACCACTCACCGTCAATGCGTGCCATCGCAGATGAGTATCTGTCGCTGGTCGGTAGCCTCGAGGGCGTTGACCGTCAAACGCGTAAAGCGGCAGGCCTCATTCCGATGGTTTCCTCGGTGTCTGGTATGAGTATCTGCCCGGAAAATTTGGCCACAGCGCAGTACTGGGTCGACAATCTTGTTTCTCCAGTTCGATTTGCAGACGCCATTCAGTTGCTCACGCAGAAGTCATCAACACTGAAGGTTGGGCTGGGAAGTATCACAGACCTAGTTGAGATTGGTCCCCACCCGGCGCTCAAACGGCCAGTGAACGACACGATTCAACAGGAAGGCAACCGAAAGAAGCAAATCCGGTACGAAAGTGTGCTTCATCGGTCCCATTCATCATTTCAAACTACTCTCGAGCTTGCTGGACGGCTATTCTGCTTCGGACACCCAGTGTCTGTCCCAGGAGTTAACCAACAATCAACCGAGACACGGCCTTCGTTTCTTGTTGATTGCCCCGAATATCCTTTTGATCGGACAAGTCGCTATTGGGCTGAGTCGCGTATTGTTCGGGATTTCAGATTACGAGGGACAGTCCAAGGGGAGACCCTTGGGGTCCGAACGTCGGATTGGAATCCTTTGGAACCTCGGTGGAGGAATTTCTTGAGTATCGAATCAACGGCATGGACCGAAGACCACAGGGTAGGCCTCTCCGTGAATCACATTAAGCAAAGTCGGCCCAAGTGCTAACTCTGAGGTCAGATCAGCGACACAGTCCTCTACCCGGCAGCGGGAATGCTTATCATGGCCGTTGAGGCAGCCCAACAGATGGTTCCTACCGATCGCATGGTCCGGGGCTACCTCGTGAAGCAAATAGAGTTTATGAGCCCCATCATTGTGCCGAAAGCTTGGGAGGAGCGAACCGAAACCCAGGTTCGTTTGAGGCCGGTAAAAGGATCGGAAAATGACAAGTCGCCCCAGTTCGACATCGCCATTTTTTCATATTCACGGGGCCAGTGGACAGAATGTTGCGATGCGAGCATCCAAATTGAATATGAAGACTCGGTGCCGCTCCACAACGGGATGACCGACGAGGCCATACACAGCCGATTCAAACAAGCGAACGAATCTTGCGGCCGCCCAATCGACTCACGCGCCTTGTACCGCGACGCAGCTGATATTGGCCTCCAATACGGACCGACGTTCAAGCGATTGGAAGACGTCTGCTGGGATGGCGAAAAGAACGCCATGGGACGCGTCGATGTCAACAAGCCGATATTTGAGACCAGCAGTTTGGTGCACCCAGCGGTGTTGGATCAGGCCTTCATGGTACTGCGGGCCAGCGCAGGCCAGCAGCCAGCAGCCAACATTCCTGTTCGCCTAGTGGACGCGTGGCTTGCGCCTTCCGGCTGGCAGCATCCACAGAATAGCTCCATTCAATGGCTTGCGACTTCGAATGTGACTGCACGCGGCGATCGTGGACTAGGAGAGCAGGGCAGCCTTTATGCTCTTGCCGAGGATGGAACCATTCTGTGCCATGTTCGGCAGGCTGTAATGGCGACTGTGTCAAAGGAGGATGCCGAAAGAAAAGAAAAAACATTGATATACAGCGTCGAGTGGAAGCCGCAGCTGAGCCTGCTCGAACCCAGCAACCTATCGCGCTTGTTTCCAGTTGACAGAAGCGTGGATGAGACTGCAATGGTGGCCAATTACACCAAACTCTGCTCAGCGCTGGATTTTGTCGCTTTGCGCACCCTGAGAGACCTGGACCGCGCTAAGGTTCCCGCAAGCCTAAGCCAGCACGTTGAGTGGCTTGACTTCCACGTCCGTAAGCTGCCGTTATCCAAGCAATCGGAAGCAGAGACCATTAGCGATTTTCAGATTGAGGCTCAGCTGTCTGAGTTTGAAAATGCCATGCCGACCTGGAAGCTGTTCACTGCAAGTGCACGACGGCTACCGGATATCCTAGCAGGAGAAATCGACCCTCTTGAAGTGGTCTTCAATTCCGATTTGGCAGATACATTTTATGGCTCTCTCTTTGAGGATATGTGTGCCGATGGCCGGCTGGCCGGTATTTTGGACTTGGCCGCTCACGAGAACCCGGCGATGCAAATCCTCGAGGTCGGCGCTGGCACCGGAGGTATGACGGCGCAGGTATTGGCCGCATTGGAAGAGCGCGAGAGTCGAACTGGAGCGCCAAGCTTTGCCGAATACAGCTACACCGATATCTCGCCCATGTTTCTGGATCGGGCAAGAACCCGCTGGTCCCAGTTGCACACTGAGGGCCGCATGACCTTCCACACGCTAGACATGGATCGAGCGATCGAGACCCAGGGCTTCAAACCGGCTTCCTACGATTTGGTAATTGCGGCTAGTGTCCTGCACGCGACAACGGACCTCGAGGCTGCGATTCGAAATGTTCGTGAAGCTGTGAAACCGGGTGGTCGCCTCGTCCTGCTCGAGGCCATCAACCCGGATGACGTCGCCGTCAACTTTACCACTGGTCTGGTCCCTGGCTGGTGGAATGCTCGTGAGGACTGGCGGCCCCATTCCCCAGCTGTATCCGAGTCCCTGTGGGATATCTGCCTACGCAGCAATGGCTTCTCAGGCAATGATCTGGTCATCCGAGACTACGAAAGTGAGGAGTGTCACGCCATGAGCATTATTGTGACCACGGCCGTAGAAGAGGCGCCGAAGTCACCGGAGACAAGGCTGAGCTCGGGTCAATTTGTCACGGTGGTCGATCGGGAGCAGTCCGATCAGCAAGTACACTTGGCAAATTTGGTGCGCAGCCATCTGGACCCCCAGTGCATCTTGCCAACCAGTGTCTGTCCGTTTTCTGCGCTGGAGCTCCAGCAGACGCTGGCAGATTCGGCCAAGAATGACATAGTCGTTTGTCTGGCGGAGATCGACAAGCCCTTGCTGGCCACACTGTCCGAAGAGGACTTTGCAACTCAGCAATATTTAACCCAGAAAGCAAGCAAGCTGCTGTGGGTGACAGCTTGGGGCCCAGATGATGCGCAAACTCCTCAATACAACGCCATTCAAGGCTTCCTGCGCTCGATCCGCGCCGAACAATCAGACAGCCAAGTCGTGAGTCTGGCTATCGAGAATGAGACTGATGCTGCTGCACTCGCGCATTACATTGCCAAAGTTGTCGAGACCAGCTTTGGATCGCCGTCATCCAAGGAATTGGAGTACATTGTGCGAGACGGTGTCCTCATGACAGGCAGGGCGGTCGAAAATGTGAATGGTAACAAGACCATTCAACGGCTTCTCTCGCCACAGCTGGAGTATAAGCCCTGGGCCAAAACAGGGGCCTTGCAGCTTTCGATTGGTGTTAAGGGGTCTCTCGACTCATTACGATTCGTGCACGATACCGACTACGAGACCCCCATTGGCCCTCACGAGGTTGAGATTGAAGCGCAAGCCTGGGGTTTGAGCGAACGGGACGTTCAGATTGCTCTTGATCGAACTGGAGCACAAAAGGAACAGCTGGGATGGGACTGTGCGGGGGTGGTGACAAGAGTGGGCCGTGATTGCGATCCATCCATCCAGCCTGGTGACCGTGTTTGCATGTCATCTGTTGGATGTATGCGCAAATATCCTCGCGCGCATGAGACCGGCGTCATCCGGATTCCTCACAACCTGTCGGTCGAGGCCGCCACGTCGATCCTATATCCAGCGCTGACGGCTTACCACGCTCTCATTAACATTTGCCAGCTTGAGGAAGGGGACAACGTCCTCATCCATTTAGCAGCCAGCGCTGTGGGGCAAGTTGCAGTCCGCATAGCCCAAATGCGAGGCGCCCATGTCTATGCAACCAGTGCATCTGCCGAAGAAAAAGAGTTCCTCCTTAATGTCTTGGATGTACCTGCAGACAACATTTTCTCGAGCCAGACTCCTTTGTTCGCGGCAGGCGTGATACGTGCAACGCAGAGAGATGGCGTCGATGTTGTCTTGAATTCCCTGGTGGGAGAGGAAATGCTGCAGGCTTCTTGCGAATGTCTGGCACGCGGTGGACGCTTCATCCAGGTCAGCCGCGCCGATACAGCGGCCAACCTAGCCCTTCCAATGGGGTTGCTTGCCAGGAATATCACATTTTCGGTCGTTGACCCGACACAGCTCCGGCCTAAGGTTTCAGCCAAGCTACTCAAAGTGGTGATTCGGCTCCTAGGGAAGGGCGAAATTAAACATCCGCAGCCGCTGCAAGTTTACAACGCGTCACACGTCGACCAGGCCTTCAAGCAGTTTCAAGATAAGGAGCTCGCTGGCCGTATAGTGATCACCGCGGGTCCCGAAGACGTTATCCCGGTAAGTGGGTCCCTTGTCGCAATGCCTAGTGATTCATACCCATGAACTGACACATCTTTTTCTTTGTGCAGCAATATATCCAGGAGCGGTTGTCGTGGAGCTTTGATGAAAACGCATCGTACTTGATTGCCGGCGGATCTGGCGGTCTTGGCCGAGTCATCATACAATGGATGGCTGACAGAGGAGCCAAGCACTTGATCATCCCATCTCGCTCAGGTCCAAAATCCAAAGCTGCTGTGGAGACCATAGCTCAGCTAAGTGCACGCGGCGTTACTGTTATTGCCCCTCAATGCGACGTCTCAGATGAAGCGAGCCTCTCCCGGGTGCTAGAAGAATGCGCGAAAACCATGCCGCCCATTAAGGGCTGCATCAACGCGGCAATGGTCCTCCAAGATGCCATCTTCCAAAACATGCCCTTCGCCAAGTGGGATTTAACCATACGGTCCAAGGTACAGACCTCGTCGAATCTCCATCAGCTGCTCCCGAGAGACCTGGATTTCTTCATCCTTCTTTCCTCTCTCGCCGGTGTTGTCGGTCAGATGGCTAGTTGCAACTACTCGGCAGGTTGCGCATTTCAAGATGCGCTGGCACGCTACCGCGTCACCCAGGGCCAGAAAGCGCTGTCCTTCGACATTGGCTGGATGCGCGATGTCGGAATCATCGCCGAGACGGAGTCTTACCAGAACCGACGGCAGGTGGCTGGCGATCTGATGCCAGTTGATGGAGCTGAGCTGCTCGCCCTGTTGGACATGTGCTGCGACCCAACTGCCCCAACCCCGCTCCCAGCCGACAGCCAGGTGCTATTCGGCTTACTTACGCCAGCCGATTGTCTCGCGCAGGGTCGCCCCATTAATGCCGTCCTCGACCGGCCTCTCTTGGCCGCATTCTCATATCTTCCTGACTCACGTGCATCATCCGGCCAGGGTGGAAACGGCAACGGCGCAAATGGCACTGCTCTCGACCAGCCAGCAGCCTCGCCCGCAACGCTGTTCCGGCAATCGACAGACTCGGGCGAGCGTATTCAGATTGTCCTTAAGGCTCTGGCGGTCAAATTGGCACTCGCCATGTCCATTTCGCCGGAGGACGTCGAGCCGAGCAAGCCGCTCTCCACTTATGGGGTCGACTCGCTGATGGCAGTCGATCTTCGAAACTGGATTGGTAAGGAGTTCGGGGCCACCGTGGCTGTGTTTGAGATTATGGGTGGTGTGCCGCTGGCGAGTATTGCTGATTTGGTGGTTTCGAAGAGCACCGTCAACGATAGTTGAGCTCTGTCTTTTTGACGTTTAAACCCTAAAATATAGAGATCTGTTAGCTTTATAGTAAGATAATGCAAATGATTTAACTCACTGCTTCTTGGAGAAAATGTTTGACAGGGGGGTTTTTTTTGGTGTCTTGTGATACCCAGGTTCTTTGGTATACGAGCTCATGGTCGACATTGGTCGACATGTCATTTAGGCTTTGGTAGGTTGATTAAGAAGTATCAGTATATCGGTTGACAATGACTTTAAGTAAACATTTAGTGCTGCCTAGCATCCCGGAGCAGACTTTTTGCCCTTTTGAAGTCATTGTGGGTGTACGTAGTGAAATATAGAATTTGGGACTCTCTCTTGTCGAATGGAAAAGTTCCAGGGCGAAGTTGGTCGAAGTAAATCCGAATCAGAGACTGACTTGGCGCTTTACCGTTTAAATGAAACAAATCCTGGCCACCAGGTTACAAGATGATCTAATAAACGTTTTTATATGGATGAGAGGTACATGTTTGAGAATTGGGACAATTGGCACATTATATGTATAAAAAGACGCCAAATTGCACAGGGTATAACCGGTTCCCAAGCTAACTGGAAGTGGAACCCCATAGGTCCAACATATATCAATTGCCTTGGCGCCACTGCTATGATTCGTCCAAGCCAGTCCAGTACCAAAAATGATCAATCCAAAACAATGAAACAAACACTACGGCCCAAATAAGGAGACCCGCCTGTTGGGGCTGTTCACCCCTCCCACCGGAAATGGCGATGAAGAATCCACAGACCTCTCTGCAGTCAAGTCACTGACAGAAAATGAAACAGCTTTCCTTGCATTATCTGGTTCCGCCGCGGGTGAAGGAACCGGTGATGGAGACGAATAAACGGGAGGAACGGTCTCGACGACCTCCACGTTCTCGGCAAAGCTGATTTTTGGCCCTTTTTGAGGAGCCCGGTCTGGATCTGCATCAGACCCCACAGCAGCAGAACGGGGCCGCTTCAGAGTACGTGGCACTGGATGCGCCTCGTCGTCCGGGATCGGCAGTCGGTGCCGATCAAAGAAGCCCGTCGGGTGCTCGAGGTATGCTGCTGCCGTGGAAGACTCGTCCGACAGGGAAAGAAATGGTTCTTTCTGAATGATATCGCTCATGGTATTGTCGTCCAACAGATTTTTCTCTGCCTGCTGCATCTCCGCCTCAGACATCTCCTTGCGACGGCGCAGCATTCGGTCTTCCAGTGTATCCCGCAACACGAGAGTTTCCACGTACACGGGTCGCGTTTGTCCTATTCGATGCGCGCGCTTGATTGCTTGACTTTCAATAGTTGGCTGCCAGATGGGATTGACAATAAAGACTCGCGATGCCTGTGCGATATGGAGGCCGTGCGACGCCTGCCGCAGGTCCATAAGAAGAACGCGCACTATCTCTGACTCGCGGAATAACTTCAGGTATTCGGTTCGGAGTTCGGGCTTCAATGTGCTCGCGTAGATGCGGAATTCAACGCCCAGAAGCTCCAGACCTTCAGCAATCCAATATGCCGAGTTGTGATTGTCGTAAAAAATGATGATTTTTTCGGTGTCTTGAAATTTCACCACTTGGTCTAGCAAGTATGTCAGCTTGGCTGAGGCCGTGGCTAGCAGGCGCGTTTGCTTCAGTGGCGAATTTTCAGGCAGTTCCAGGAAGATGTTCTTTTCAAATGTCTTCTTTGGGGTTTTGCTGCTTTGTGATTTGGAGCTTTGGATTAATGTACCCTGGGTTTCTGCTGCATCTGCTGACTCTGGTTTTCCCTTGCGAGTGACATTGTCGCGCTTCTCCAGATCCCGACGAACCTTGATACCAGCGCCCGCGAGACCTTCAGCAGGATCATAGGATCGAAGATGCTGTGCAACAAACTGCTGTGCATGACGAGCCTGAGTGATACCGATGAGCATTGGCTCTTGTTGCGCTCGATCAGAATCAAGCGCCCACAGGGCTCGAGAGTGATCCGGGAACTTCTCCACGAAGATCCCAAGTTCGTGCAATTGCTTAAAGGCATGCCAACTTCCACAGTTCATTGCTAGACGGGCGATCTCAATCCCATGCATTAATCTCCCCACATCTTCTTGGGCTACCGGTTCTTGCTTGTCATTTTTTTTGTTCAAATATTTCACTGCATGATCCACTGTGTCTTGGACATCCACATCCGAGCCCGCCCACCAGAATCCAGCCTGGCGCAAGTTATTAATGGTCTGGGTGAGATGGTTCCGGTTACTTTTGTTGAACATATAATCAGGACCCTGGCGCTCGGAGGTAATAGAATTGACCGCCAGACCGAAAAGAAAAAGATTGATCGACAATTTGTCATGGAATGTCGGTTCCAGATAGACCACCCGATTGTAGAGCTTGGGCAGTGTCATTTCAGAATTAATCGTTCTAAGCCGATGTCGCACGACCAAACTCTGGAGGGTCGCGCGAAGTGACGTTGATTTGCGCCTCTTGCCATCAGGCCCAATCGGTTTTATGTATCTGGTCCAGTCGGCGGGATCGTCGGCGCGGGAGTTGGACCAAGGTTTCAAGTCAAGGAATTCGATGACGATGCGCCGAAGCCTATCCAAATCCTTGAGCTCGTTTTCGACTGCGTTCCCAGTCTTCTTTCGAACTTGCAGTGCAGCGGCGGTAATATCTTCGGAATCGGCAGTTTCTGTATCGCTGGTGTTCACCTCCTGTGAGGCGAGACTGATTTCTACTCCGTAGAGTCCCGTGGATGGGGTACCAGATATAATCCATCGACGCTCAATATGCAACTGGTTCAGCATATGCATCATGTTCGTTTTGGAGCCAGAACCAGCCACTCCGTGACCTTCATCCACGATGACTCGGAGCCAATGCAGTTCGGTTAGTGGTGAATTAACCTGTATGAATGTATTGCGTCGATTATTGATCACCTCGCCAGCTTCTCGCTCGAATCGTGTCTTTGAGAAGAGCACAATATCAAAATCCAACAGTTGACTCGCGGGGGGTGTCACATCAGATCCCGAACGAAGAACCAAGACCTTCAGGCCTTCCGTATGCGTGCAAATCTCTCGCTCCCAGTGGTCCACCAAGTTGGGCGGAACGACCACGAGAGTTCCAGTACAGAGTCTGATCCGCTTGGCTGGCGGTCGAGGATAAGACGTGCTGTGTCGACCCTGATATCTAGTCTGATGCGGGGGGATCTCATATGATCCACAGTGTAGCTCGCATGCCTTGACGCAGCGGCCGAAGAAAACACCCTGTTGCTTCAGGGTCTCAAAGTGGCTCTTCCACGGCAAGGAAAGTCGACCCGCTGCTGCGGCCGCCATGTCGACGAGAGAACCCGTCGTGTCTCTGACAGGGTGAAACCCATGATCTTGGTACTGTATTGGAACTTTGGGGAAATGTCCACGAGTAGCAAGGATAACCGCAAGACAGATCAGCGTTTTCCCACAGCCCATAGTCTCCGCCAGAATACCTAATAGACGGTTAGTTGACAACCATGAATTTTCAACTATCTCAAACTTACCACCACAAGCCTCAGAGTACAGTCTAGGCTCACGAACAATACTTCCATCCTCTTTGTCATAGTAGTACTCCAGCCCAGTGGGACTCTGCCATGCCTGCAGGCGGGGGTCGAGTGTTTGGAAGGGTTGTGCCTCACGCTGCACCATGGTTGCAGCGGACCGACGCTGGTATGTATAAAGAAAAGTTTTGAGACCCAGCACCGTCGGTGGAATGGTCTCTGCCAATAAATCCTCCATGGCCTGTTGGGAATGGGTCTCCTTCATAGCTTCCACCCGCGGATTGGGATCCTGAAGCGTATTAAAGATATACCACAGAGACTCATCTTCAGCGCTATCTGTTATCCCCAATTCTGCACTGTGTGGGGGACATCGACCCTCCCATGCTTCACATGATCGATCAATCCTGGACATGAGAACCTTCAAAGCGTGTCTCAGTTTGGTACTCGAGCGAGGGATCAATGAGCGAGCTAGATCATCGGGGAGGACGTAAACCCTAACATAATCTCCGTCATTGCGACTGCGGGTGCGGATCCAGTTGTGTTTCTCGAGCGTTGAGACCTCGGCCTCTGGGAATTGCCCTTCCTGGGCCAGCGATTTCCCTAGAACTCCCACAGGAATGTACAGAACGAGATCATCGGATGATTCATCTTGCTGGAAAGTGTCCAGTGCGGGTGAGTGGCCAGCAATGGGCGTCGAATTTGATGACTTGATCGGTGTGGAGACCCCGGGCGAAGCGGAAGTCGTCGACGAAGCGGGCGACGAGGATTCGCCGAATTTGACTAGCCCTTCGGAATCGGGTCCTTTCTGAAGCACAGCCCCCTGCATGCTCCATATGCCAGGAAAGAGATGGTCTGGCGCGGTTGCAAGAATGGTTGGCAAGTGACAGATGCGACGACTGATAAGCCGAGATAAGGAGGCAGTTTCTCACCGCCCTCCTATCGGGCTTTCCTTCATTCTTAATTGATTCTCTTAACAACAACAATAAAAAAAGAGACGTGGGCGCCACACAAAGCTCTAGTTTCTTTAGACCATAAAGGACAGAAACATCCTAATTACAAATACGATCACTGTGTGAGATAATCTTCAATCTCAAATCCAACCCGCTTCAGCGCCTTCTCCTCCAGCTCCCTAGGAGTGCCAACCACCTTCCGCAGCACGACTGTGCGTGCATCCTGCAATCGGATCTCAACCGGGTTCCCGCCTACACCATCCAGTTCCTCCCGGGTGCACTCGCGGATGTACACTGTGATATCAGGCCCAACGCACGCGCGCCACAGGGATGCCATCCACTGCCAATGGTCGAGCGGCGCATAGGCATCGGCGATTGGAATTGAGCACGCGAACGCGTCCGCCGTGCTGAGCTGGTATCTCGGTACCAGAGAGACTGGGACGGCGCAGTGATGGCTAGCTGGCGTACCCGAGGACATCACGCTGCCCTCGGAGCCGTTCTCGCTCGACTGCGCCGGTGAGTGAATCTGCATGTTGGCGGTCTTGGGAATGATAGTCTTCGGCGACATGCCCGAATGGGTAGACTCTTCGTCTGTCGTTGTGGATTTGCCATCGGAAGAGTCTGCAGATGAGGCTGACTTGACAAAAGTGATCACCTCGTCAGAGACGCGGTGCCACGCGGAAATGGTGTTGAGATATTCCACTGTTCCATCACCCATCTGGCCGGCCTCGGGGCCTCCTTGCCGCGGGGCCTGGATCTCGGGTCCCTCGAAGACGCGAACCTGATACTTGGCTTCCTTTTTGAGAAGGCGCTCCAGATACTCCACGGCGATCCGGACCAGTTCTGGATCTTGGCCATCGACAGCGATGACGGGACCTCGGCTTTGTGGGTTGGTCTCGCGAAAGGATGGCACAAGAGGAGGCGAGATCTTAGCGAGAACTTTGATTTTATTCAGCGGAGATATCGTCATCACGGTAGCCTCGACGCTGGGCGGTCCGTCTTGTGACTCTGGTGTCGTGGGTGTCATCGCCAGAGTAGTCGTTTGCAGCGGCGGGAGCTTCAGGCTAGGATCGGGATGTCCCTGGGCCGACACACTCCCATAAGGCCTCGGAGGATGAAGAATGGGAAACACGTTGCGTGGTGGCGCCATGTCGGAACGGGCACTATATGGTGAGATGGAATGTGGTGACTCGGGGCTTCTGTCTCGGTGAGATGGCAGACTGGGCTTGAAGGGGCCCTGGTGGGCCACTCGGCGGCGCTTGTTGTCTGGTGATCGACCTCCGTTCTCTTCCCATTGACGCGGGCGTGTTGCCCGCGCGTCTGCAGGTTCGACTTTGATTGGCTTTGGGACTGGGTCTTTCTCTCGGCCGTGTGAGCTCTGCATGGCGAGTGCGTTGGGATGTGCTGAAGGCCCCGAGAAGCTCGATGCTCGGTATGCGGCGCCGTTTGTTGGAGTAAACGGTGTCATTGGAGAAGACGGTGCATTCATGACACGGCCTCCGCATCGGTTGCAGGTCGACGCACCCGATGGGTTGTGACTGATTCCCGAGGTAGAATTGCGAGAGCTTCCATCCCGGCCATACCGCCGGGGCTGGTACCGGTAGTCTGGATATTGCTGCTGATGACGTGCTTTTTCTTCCTGGACCAGAATGAGCCATGGGCAAACTAATGTCTAGTGAATGACTTACCTCGGCCAGTGCCTTCCACTTACTCTTCTCCTCCTCTGAGAGTGATCTCCACTGCTCCCCGATGATCTTGGAGATCTCCGGGTTCGCCAGACCAGGGTTGTGAGCCACAACTACAGCCTGATAGTGCTGACGATACAAGATAAACGCTGAAAAAAAAAAGAGTATTAGCAGAGACTCATCAGGCGCCGAACATGCTAAATTCAAGAAAACAAAAATGCACTTGCCAGGGTCAATGGACAACGGCGCGGACATCATCGACTCACCATTACGAGGCCGTGGGATCTTCGGATCCGGCTGGCAGAGACAAAATTGGATTGTATTATCTTTCTGCTTGACGGGACTGGTGCTGCTGGCCGAGGACGAGGACCGCTCGCGAATGGGCAGTTCCTTGATGCTGGTCATCGGTCCGGCCTTGGATCCCTTTGGCGAGGGGATCTTTTCCATACTCCTGATAGAGGACATCGGTTGGTGCGCGTACGGCACTCCATGAGAATCTTCGGCATACCTGTAAGTAGACCTCCCAACCGGACCACAGTCAGTGTGGTACCGGTCCACAGGCGACTTTGCTCTGGGCACGTCGTCCTTCATGATCTTGTGGTCGAGGAGATTGCTGGTCGCCGGTCTAGGCAGAGGGACTTGAGCGGACTCATAGCGCAGAGCAGCAGGATTGGGGAGGACTCGATCGTAAGACATTTATTAATATTTTTCTTCCCTCCCACTTGAGGAGAAGAACAAAGAAAGAGAGCAAATCCACGTAATGAAACCAGTTTGTGGAAGGAGGTGTAATCAAAGGAACAAGAGTGTCACAAGGGTCGGGCTCGAAAGTATAGCCACCAACCCCCATGAGAATAAAGAGAGGAAAGAAAGAAATAAGCGAAACGAGGAGAAGGTAGGCGGGGAGATCAAGTATGTAATGGTGATCCAAAAAGAGACAGAGAGAGAGAGACAAAGAAAATCAGCCTCCAATACCAAATATCCAGGCGAGACAAAGAAACAACCGGGGGTTAAAGAACAGGACCAGCAAGTATAGGCGTGGTCCAGCTTCCGCGTGGTCAGGCGTTTGGGCAGGCCGATGCTCAATTCTTTCTTTTTGATTCCTTTTTTTGGCCCCGATAACATTAATCCCTGCTGGTTGTGGTGGCTGTCGGGTATGGGACAATAGATCATCAATGGGCGCGTTGCGATCCAGACCGAGCCAACCGAGAGGGAAAAAGTCACTACAAGGGCCCTCAAGCGCTTTGTTATACCTAGTGCTAGCGTACTCTAGTGACAGGCCCAAGGCCCCTGAACCAAGAACCCTGCGACCCGGGCTATGGCACAGTACCTTTTTTCTTGATTGCTCCTCTAAGTGTTGAGGTCACTAGGGTATTATTATCCATGGATTGTCGCTCGTGTTTCGGCAATTAGTTACATAATTAGGACAGGCTCGGTAATACGACCGTAGAAGAAAGGGAAAAAAAAAGTGTGGTCGACTCATCATTGTTTTCTTTGTCTCCGGATGCGGCGACCCGTGGCTTGTCTCGCGCGCTGCCCGTGCCGTGATTGGCCGGTGTCGACCCGTCGAGACAAAGACGGCTGCGGCAAACACTGGCGCTGTGCCTGAAAGGGAATGAGTGAGCAATAGTCCGATAGGGAATAGGCAGGCTGCGTTGGTTAATTGGTGGTGATAGTTAGTGGTTAGGCGGAGGAGAGAGGGAGGAAATGTGTCGGGAATGTCAACTGCCATGTGCCCCAAGCTCATCCCTCGCGTCAGGCAAACTGAATGATTGCAATGCCCACCAATGTTTCTGATCGCCCTGACACCCGTCTCCGCTGCGGGAATCTGGCAAAGATGATCTCATTCATCCCGTCGATCGCTTCTCCACAAGGGGGTGTCGACTCGCGTTGCAGTGAAGAGGAAAAAAGGCTCGAGGGTGGTATTGTTGCGACTGGCTCTCTCCCGAAACTTGTCTAGTGCTCTGTCAGAGAGGTTCCAGACCGGATGGTTTTACATCAGCTACAGTGCTACGGTGCCCTTTCCTTATTGATCTTCAGGATCCAGAACATTGTTCCGGGCTGGAACACGGCCATCCACGCCGCAACAGGTAAGCCGTGGGCGCTGAGACCAAGCGTTGGATTTTCGGGTACAGACTAATCCAGTGTGTATATATTTTTTGCATCAATCCATGACAATGTCTGAGATGCAAGGTCCCGTTGGCTGTGGGCTTCATCTGTATAGTTTCTCGTTCACCAACACGCCGTCAAACGCATGGAGGACTGCTATGGCCATCACCTGGTGCACCGATGGGCCAAGAATGTCGTTCCTGTCGAAAAGACTTAGCAATGGTAGGGAAGGGCAGTCGGTTTACCGGAACAAGTACTTGTCAGGGTCCTCACACGGTTTCTTCACCTTTGACATCATGACCTGTACTCCGGTTTCAACACAGGGGTCAACGACATTCTCCCATCCTGGGTCCTGGTTCTTCCCCAATCCGTTCTCTGCCTCGATAACCCACCGCGTAGAGCTGGTAGACTCGACTGCGATTCATCATGACAACATGAGCGTCAAAGATATATGGCACTACGACCCCAACCGGCAGCCACTTCACGCAGCTTCTGGTCCCAACATTCTAGGATCCTCAGTTAGTCTTTGTAATAATCACCCACCACGGATTTGACCGCGGGCAGGAAAGTCACGTCGACCGTCTGCGTCAAAATGACCTTGAGGTGCGTCGAGCTCGGTTCCTCACACAGCAGATCCATCTAGTCCATGAGCTTGGTAATGCGACGGTCAACGAAGGTAGTTGCCTCGCCGTTCTTTTCTGAGACGAGGCTCCAGATCTCCCAGACACGGAAGCCCGCGATGGACATGGTGTGATCTCGGCGCGGGCGAATTGAGTCTTCGGACAGACCCGTGAGCAGCTGGGACTCGGCAGCCAGCCAGCCAGCCTTGGACCTGGGCCTTGAAATCGGGGATTTGCAACTGAGACAACTAGCCTAAGCCTTTTAGTTGGTCATTATCCACAACCGCGCAGACATATTTGCCTCTGAGTATTGAGTGGGCTGTCTGTGCGAGATACTCTTGGTGGCATGAGACCTGTGGCTGTCAGACAGCAACTCATTTGTGCATGTTCCCGGCACATTGTTTCTCCTGCGGGAGGGATGGGGATGACCATCATTACTATCGGACACAGCCGATCAGTCTAGGTCTTTCCCTGGGCTCCCTCGGTGTCATTATCGTTCCAGGAGTCCCCGAAGACCACCAATCGGTGCTCGAATGCTTGGCTGTCTGGAACTTTGGCGTTGCCACTAGAACTATGTCGACAAGGTTTGCAAACTTTTGCCGTCCGGCACATGCCACTTCTGGGAAGGTCTCAACTGAGAAGTCGGCACGGGCTGTTCAGGAAACACCAGGTGGCAATTGGATGAGTCTGAAATGAATATAGCATGTATACCGAGCTCAAACCCCAGTATAGACCACCATGGAATGATTAACTTCAGCGCAAAACTCATCCTCGTCGACCTCGAGTATCTCGGATATAAGCTTACTTCAATCTATATCCGACGCTTGCCACTGTAAGCAGAAATATTCCCTTGCCGATATACTATAGACAGCGGCGCCCCAGTCTATGATTCCCGTGATAACATCACCGTTCACAATAATATTCCTTTGGTACAAATCACAAGCGTGAACACCCTTCTTTCATCCTGGCTATTCGATACAAGAATTCTCTCTACCAGAGGCCCATCTCTCTTCGTGAGCTGCGCGTTGGGTCTGGCGTAGCGAAGAGCCTCTACAACCCATTTATTGTATTCTGTTCTTGTTACTTTGCATCCCATGGATGCCGGAAGAGGACATCTTCGCATGGACCACCATTGATAGATCCGAGGACAGGTCCTTCTATCTGGCGCCATTCCTGGGTTTGTTTTGTTTGCATTGATTCCAGGTTTTAGGGAAACTTTTGTCGTTATCTGTGTACTATATACATGTTGCCGGGCTAGAATTCAGGATTTAGACTAACTTGTGAGGCCCCGAGGAAACCTGACTTTACGTTGAAAATAACATCGCCTGAGAATAGTTTTCTATACTTTAAACCATCTAAATACTTAAAACCTTGATAAGAGCCATTTCACTCCTTCAACTAGATGATCAGCAGCGACCTCCGTAGTGGATATCTCTGGGAAGATCCAGAAAGCATGCGGAAGTTCTGAATAAACATTGACTCGCACAGGGACCCTTTCAAACTCATTTATAAGCAAAGATACATAGGGAAAGAGAGCGCGTGCGTAACGTACCCTGCCTCATGAAGTGCATCCGCATAAGCCATGCCCTCGTCCCTGAGTGGATCACGGCCACAGATTTGGAAATATGCGGGAGAAATGTCATCAAATTGAGATGCAAGCACCGGAGAGACGGTTACGTGTGCTGTGTCTCCTGGCTGGTACCATCGCATGAACTGTTTCGTTGCGGGAGGGGTGAGAATGGCAGTGTCATGTATCTCATTCATACTTTTCAAACCTAAGTCAGTGTAATGCGGATCGCTTTGACAAAGTACGGGAATTCGCAGCAGCTGGCCTCGAATTTCAATGTCTCGTTGTTTGGCTCCTTGTGCTCAACACTGCTGCCTATATATCGATAGATCAGTAGGCTGGGATAGAAGTTTAAATTGCGTACCAGATTAGCCCCAGCGCTAGTACCGCCTGTAAGGACTTTATTTCTGTCACTTCGAATTTTTGCTGCACTTTCAACAGTCTGTGGCGGCGTATTGGTTAGATTGCGGTCAACGTATATTTGATGGACGGAGCCAGACATACCCATTTCAATGCATCCCATGCATCATTCAAGGCTGCTGGATATGGGTTTTCAGGCGCACTATGTTCGGTTAGCCGTGAGTGGTATATTAGACAGTGGTAAAATCTTACAGTCTGTAATCCGCACTCACTATCACCGGGGAGTTCCGCGCCCCGTCGGCAACCCGGCCGCCCAGGCTCCGAAAGGTGTCAACATATACATTGGATGATAGAAGGGGAGAATGCAAGGAAGGTGTTTTGACTTTCCTACTCATAACGATCCTAATGTTTATTGAATAATACTTCAATGAGATATATCGATTTGATAGTTCATTATCTGCCCATATATATATTTGAAGGCCACTTCCTTCAGAACTTCCGACCAAGACATTCAGATTGTCAGGGAAACCCACGAAGTAGAGATCACGATGTATATAGCATTGAACACCATGTATATCTTCTGGTGGAACCTAAAATATTTACCAATAATATACGAGCATGGAGTATGCCCCACTAGCCCGGCTCCTCGCTGTTCATACATAGATCTGAGTAATTGACAGTCCTCTGTGTGGGGTTATCATGCTGTGCACATACATACTCTCTTACTATGAACAATAAACAGAGCCGATAGCAAGTAACCCGTGGTCTCAAAGACCATCACGCGCAAAAGATGGACGGTATAGAAACACTGAGAGGCCAAGATGCTGATTATATCCCTTGAGGCCTGAGGCACCAACAACTGTGACGAACTCAGATGATCGCGAACAAAAATCACATGACCCCACAGCACATCTAAGCGACGCTGACTAAGAGCCCTACCCACGTGACCAGGGCTCGCACAACACGGTGACCCGCAGGCCCGAAAAAATAGTCCAAGCATTCTCTCCTTCGACCGCTACACCTTGTCGACCAACACCGCGCTACCGTCTTGACCGCGCAACCCCCGTCAAGATGAAGCTCAACATCTCCTACCCGGCCAATGGGTCTCAGAAAATCATCGAGGTCGACGATGAGCGCAAGCTCCGTCCCTTCATGGAGAAGCGCATGGGCACCGAAGTCAGCATCCCCCTTCAACCCCGACCTATATCATCACGCCACTGGCACACACGCACAAAAAATACACATGGCTACGAAATTGAGCATTGGCTGATTGGGATTTCTTTTTGGTTTAGGTTGTCGGTGACTCGCTCGGCGATGAGTTCAAGGGCTACCTGTTCAAGATCACCGGCGGTAACGACAAGCAAGGTACGACTACTCTTCGATGAAACTTTTGGGCAAAAAAAAAAATACAGAATCAAATGACTGACTGGTATTCTCAATAAACAGGTTTCCCCATGAAGCAGGGTGGTACGTTCCCGACTCGAAATTCCTAACCACAACAATCACACAAAAGCAAAAACTCACAGTTGCCCACAGTCCTCCTCCCCACCCGTACCCGTCTGCTCCTCGCCGACGGCCACAGCTGCTACCGCCCCCGCCGCACCGGTGAGCGTAAGCGCAAGTCCATCCGCGGTGGCATCACCGGTCAGGATCTTTCCGTCCTGGCTCTGGCCATCGTCAAGCAGGGCGAGGGCGAGCTCCCCGGCCTGACCGACACCGTCGTTCCCAAGCGCCTGGGCCCGAAGCGTGCCACCAAGATCCGCCGCTTCTTCGGTCTTGACAAGAAGGACGACGTCCGCCAGTTCGTCATCCGCCGCACTGTCTCCAAGGAGGGCAAGAAGGACTACACCAAGGCCCCCAACATCCAGCGTCTGGTCACTCCCCAGCGCCTGCAGCGCAAGCGTCACAGGATCGCCATCAAGCGCCGCCGCGCTGAGGCTGCCCGCGAGGCTGCGTAAGACACCTCTTCCCCCTCTACTCGGATATTTTATCTAACATTCAAATAGTAACGACTACGCCAAGCTCCTGGCCAACCGTGTCCACGAGGAGAAGGCCAAGCGTGACGAGCTCCGCAAGCGGAGGGCGTCCTCGATGCGCAAGTAAACCTCTCCACCCACGGAGTGATGGTTTTCTTCGGCGTCGATTAATGGGGATGCTTCACGTTCACTGGTGCTAAAATAGAAAAAGTTTTTGCCAGCGACGGGGAGGCATACATGGATGAAAAGAAAAGAAAAAAGGGAAAGGCGAAGACAGGGGGCTCGGGATTCTTTTGTGTGATGCCCGGCTCCAGGATGCTACGGTGGTTTCGTGGCCTTGAAAGAGGCGATGCATCTGTGTTGAACCTACCTTTTTTGTTGACAACCCTTTTTTGCGAATGGAGTGCATGCAATTTCAATCTGAGTGCTATGATATAATTCTGGGGTTTGATTTCGTAGACGCGTGGTGATACTATAGAGGCTGAAGGCGCCTGCCTTCAACGCTGGACCATCACAGTAAGTCTGATTCGTATTGACTTGATGGAGTGAGAAGGAATATCCAACCCAAGCCTGAATCAATCGTAATACTCCTCTAGCCTGACGACCATTGAAACAACTGCCTCGCCACTTATTGCTGCTCCTGTAAACTTCAGCGCAACCCCGAGCGGGCTGGTTGACCATTCTACGGTTGTCAACAGTTCCTATCGCAATTGTGCCTTAGCCCCTTGCTTTATTCGCATTATCTGTTCTCTCAGACCCCGCATTATCTGTTGCGGTCATGATACGACCGTACCTGAACGGAACCAAGGCTTGTGTGCCGATGCAACTCAGCTACTAGCTAGGGACGCTTATCCCCGTTCTGCACAGCAAGATTTGTATTCTTCTTGATGCCAAGCAAATCAACCCTCAGAACACACTGTTGTCACACAAGTCTATGCAAGTAAACGTACAGAAAGCAGCATAAAAGAGACAAAAAGCAATAGGCCATCGAAGGCATCTGGTTATGATCTACATATAGAGACAAGAGCAGTGCAAATAAACCATTGCAGCTGCGGTAGGGTAGGTAATGGAGACAGAAAATGTTTGGGAAACATGCAAGACAGTATCAGAGACACCCCAATAACGGGGGCGCCCGATCACACCAAAGAAAAAGGTCATAAGAATCGTATTTTGTCCAGGGAAAATGGCAGATTATTCGAGTTGCTCATTTTACGCAACAGCATGCGAGAACAAGAAACTAACCGACTCGCCATTATGCGTCCGCCGGCAAGCCTCCGCCAGCGTGGGGCTGATATCGATAGTCTCGATCTTGTCGCAAGCCTCCTTCTTCTCCTCGTGCGGAACGGTGTTGGTGACGACCAGACGGTTGAGACGGCTGCCGTTCAGGTTCTCGATGGCCTTGCCGGACAGAATGCCATGGACGACGATGGCGTTGACTTCCTTGGCACCATGCTGCATCACCGTGTCTGCGGCCTTGACCAGCGTGCCGCAGGTGTCGGCCATGTCGTCGACGATGATGGCAACCTTGTCCTTCACGTTGCCGACCAGGACCATGCGCGAGACCTCGTTCGGACGCGCGCGCTCCTTGTGAATCAGGGCGAATTGCAGATCGAGGCGGTCGGCGATACCGGTGGCTCTGAAGACATATGTTAGTAACAGAATGATCAATTCGGGAAGAACTTCAATTAAAAAAACTTACCGCTTGGCACCGCCGGCATCCGGACTGACGATGACGCAGTTGCTCACGTCCAGGTTTTCCCGAATCCACTTCAACATGCTGGGTTCGGCGTACAGGTTGTCGACTGGGACATTGAAGAAACCCTGGATCTGGCTGGCGTGGAGGTCCATGGTGATGACATGGTTGCACCCGGCGGTTTGGAGCATGTTGGCCATGAGCTTCGCCGTGATGGGCGCCCGGCTCTTGTCCTTCTTATCCTGGCGCGCGTAGGGGAAGTTGGGAATGACGGCGGTGATGCGGCGGGCGGAGGCGGTCTTGCAGGCGTTGATCATGATAAGCAGCTCCATGAGACCGTCGTTGATATCGTTGGGCCGTGTGGATTGCAGAATGAAAACTGGGAAAAACGAAAATTAGCGATAGTTCTTCTTCCCGCAAATAGATCACCATACCATCTTCGTCTCGCACACTCTCGCCAATAGTCACACTCGTCTCTTGGTTAGAATATTGCAGGACCATGATCTTGGTCAATTCGATGCCGAGTCTGATTCATAAACCGTTGTCAGCTGGTTGACATCCCCGACCCCCACGAAGCGGGCACCGTCTTCTTCAGTCTTCCCTATAGAGCACACATACCTGTCAGCCACGAGGTGGGCTAGCTCGGGGTGACTGTTGCCAGTCAAGAGCTTGATGGAGTTGGACGACATGGTGCGGGAGAGGTCTCTCTGGCGGATGTGAAGCGGGAGGAGTCGAGGGGGTGGTAGGGATGTGGGAAGGTATCCCAGCGAAGTGAACTAGAGCAAAGAGACACGCTTGTTCCTTCTTCTTCTGCTTTTCTCCAGTCAAGCAAAATCAATTATTCGCCCCGCAGTGACTTTTTTTTTGGCCATGATCCGCTCACCGCCCTTGGCAGATTAGATAAGCCTCTGCAAACGACATAACTTATAGACTACACAGAATTCCGCGAGTAAGACAAAATGGTTGATCTAGCATTTTTTCTGAAATAGACCATGGATCCCTAGTATAATACCACCGTTTACGAAAATCAACATTGAAATTGAATCAACAGTCTTCATACGAGGACACAATTGCATCGTTCTTCTGCTCCAGAAGAACGCCTGCCCTCGACATCCCTTCCGGGAATCGCGCGCTCATTATGGGCCTACAGAAGACCCGTGTTTTTCTACTTCTATACACTACCGAAGGTACGAGAGAATGAATTGAACGAAAACCGAATGGGAATTAAAACATGCAGCAATCTAAATACACAAAACACCGTGGGAATCGCAGTGATAAAAAGTATCAAGTGACACAATCCCGGATCTCCAGTTGACCTGCACTTCAACCAAATCTCCAGTCATGGGCCACATTCTCATCTCTTCTTCACCGTTTTCATAAACCCTGCTCCTCCTCTCTTTGCTGGAACACATCACCAGCAATAAGTCATCCATCATAAGAATCCTGGGACCACACATGAAAAGATAAGAACGCCATCGAATGCTTCAGCAGAAGGAACCCAATCTATGCAAACCCGAAGTACTCGCTGCCAGCAGTTACGGCTGTGTACAGCCGTTGGCGAAGATCCTCGTAACTTTCATATTCAGGGAGGTCAAGCTCTGTAAACAAATATTAGCTTCCTATGTCAATGGATGAAACGGGACGGAGAAAGACTCACGGTTGAAACACGTGTGCGAACTGGGGAGGCGATCCTTGTTGCCATAGTCACGGTGGATGTTGAACTTGCTCACTCCGTTCATGCCCTCGAGCTCCTTGAAGCCGTTGAGCGGGACCTTGGAGGTACCGGTGACGAACTGCAAGAGTTTGGCGCGTTCCTCCTTGTCGAAGGAGCGGACAGCACGCCAGAACCACTGGATCTGGGGGGAAGAGGCAGAGTAGTTGTGGAGTTCAGTGTTGTTCTTCCACTCGTCGACGTCAATCTCGGGCAGACCAGAAATCAGGAGTTCCAGCTCTTGCTCGTTGAAGATCGAGATCAGATCCGGGGGAATGATATCATGGAAGCCTTTCAGGAAGTTGTCCAACTGCTCTCGGACAGACTCCACCAGCCGGTACTCGACCACGCGCTGGACATACTCCTCCTTGTTCTCCTGCGTGACAGGAATGTTGCGGCCGTCTGGAATGAGGTCGATCACCTCCTTCTCGCCAAAGGCATCGGTCTCAATGGCGAAGGTCTCCGTGATGATATCGGTGATGTCGTTCTCAAGCATCCACAGAAGAGACTTGTAGTAGTCAAGGTCGAGAGTTTCCATATCCTTGATAGACACGGACCGTCCAAGGATAGACTTGTAGACTGCACGGCTGAAATGACAGTCCAAGACACGTCCCTCATACATTGCCTTGCCGATGATGCGCCCAATGAACTTGAAGAACATCAGGTGCTGTTCATTGATGCCGCTGAGGCGGTTGGGGTGGAAGGTTGTTCGGTCGGCAGCAACGGGGATGAACAGCGCGTAGTTGGGATTGAACATGCCTCGAGCAAGAACTTGGAACCATTCTCGAGTCACACCGCCAGCATCGACACCCTCTTCTCCGTGGAAACGGATGTTCAACTTGCCATATTTCACCTCGTCCGCATTCTTGAAGTACAGAGACTTGAACGAGTCAAGGAATACCTGATCTCTGCGGACGGAAAGCTGCAGAGGAGGGTGTGGGTGACGAGGTTCGCTGCCACGGGAGTGGACTCGGCGAGTGAAGTAATTGCGCTTGTTGTCGAATTCCAGGACCTTGGGGTTCTTGACCAGCAGGGAGAATGTGCCGCTCATCAACCTAGGGTTCGAGCGGACAAGCTCATTAAGGATCTTGCGGTGTTCCTCCGTGAACTTGAAGAAAATATTCTCCATGCTGAGAGCTGGGTCGGCAGGAGCGGCGCTGTTCACCGACAGCTCTCGGCTGTTGCGAGAAAGTGGCTGGTCCTTAAGCGTAGTGTTCTTGCAGACCACCATCAATGCCTCGATCAGAGGGAGAAGAACAGTAGCCACGTTCAGCATGTTCTCCTTCTGGCGAATGAGAGACAAGCAGTCGCTGAGCTTAGTCCAGAGCGGTCCGAAAGTAGCGCTTTCATACAATGACTTGAGAACATCCTCTTTGGGTGCAGCCTCGGGTTCGCTGCCCTTGTTCTTGTCCACACGGGCGGGGTCGAAGAGATAGTCAAGCGCCGTCAAAATACGCAGCAGCTTAGCCTGGTCAGAGCTAGCCGGAGAGAACTTGGCCAGAGCCAGTCCTTGCATGTCAGTGCCAGTCTTAGCCTGGTGGATATGAGGAAGAAGTTCTTCCAGGTCTGCCAGAATGGTATCGCTGAGGTTCTGTGCTTGACCAACCAGCTCATTACCAATCACATCCCTCGCGCTGGGAATGGAGGAAAGGTTGTTGATCGTGGAAAGAGTGTCGCGGAAGGTCTTGCCGTTACACTCTCGAGCGGCCAAGATGTGAACCACCAGTCGGAAGTTGTGGTCAGGAACAACGGGAGGCTCAATGGTCCTTCTCTTGCGCTTCTCCTCGTCAGTGGCCTCCTTCGAGCCCTCTTCCTTCTTGGTCGCCTCGCCTTCCGCTGCAGCTTCCTGGTCCTCTTGTACTTCGGTCGTTTCAACAGTGGGCAGCGGAGCGTCTGTCATGGCGGTATCAGTGCCAGGTTCGGCGGGCTCCGCAGGCTCAGCGGGCTGGTCGGTAGACTCTTCAGCTGGAGCTCCCTCGGGCTTCTTGCCCTTGTCTTCCTCCTGCTTCTCCTTCTCGCGTCGAAGAAGAACAGTAAGCGGCTGCGTGATGCTGCTGAGCAGGCTGGACAGCTGCTCCATGCAGTTGGGGCTCTCCATGATCAATTTCCGATCCAGCAAGGAAAGCAAGGCATTGAGGGCAAACTTGTTGGCCCTGTTTTCTTTGCCCTTGCCCTTCCGCAGGGCCTTCAGCTTGAGGGTGGAGGATGAATCATGCTCCGTCAAGAAGAACCAAGCAATGTGTGGGTTGAACTGGGACAGGAAGGAAAGCGTTCCCAGGCACTGCTGCACCACCATGATCGGAGTAACCTCGTTGCTGACGCTGGAGGAGGTCTGGAAGGAAATGTTTCGCTTGACAGACTGCGGAGTCTTCTGCGGTCCAGGGGCCTTGGCACGAAGCGACAGGTGAGAAAAGCTACGTTCGATTGCTGAAGAATCAACGCTACCATCCTGCAAGATCGACAGAAGAAGACTGATGACCTCGCTGCGGTTCTGGCGGTTCTCGCAGACATTGTGGAGGATGTCGTTCAATTGGTGGCGGGCGTTGCCGTGGAGAGGCATGAACATCAGGCGAAGGAGCGTGGCGACGCCAGCTTTGTCGAGCATCTGGACGATCTGGCGGCGTTGTGACTTCTTCTGCTCCTGTCCTTCGGCGGGCTCATGTCTCTGTCGGTGTTCCATCATGCCCATATCACCAAACTGGTGCATACGACGACCACCTAAGGCCCGTGCCTCTGAGAGGTACTCCGGTCCCAGGGTTGCGAGAACATCCTCTGGTTGATCAACAAGGACGGCCTGGCGCAATGAAGGATCCAAGGTCGCAAGGAAACTAGCAGCATCCATGTCTTCGGCAGGGGCCGCGGCACCGCCGGCTGTAGCTTGTCGGCGAGCATTTTCACGCTCACGTCGGCGCCGGTCGGCTGCCTCTTGTTGCAGCAGTTCCTCACGAATCTCTGCAGGGAGCGCCTCAAGGAATTCCTGGTTGATCTCGGTAGGTTCTTCGCCTGCGGCGGCGGCTTGAGATCGCTGCTCAGCAAGTTGCTGCATTATGACCTCCTCTCTGAGTTCCTCTGGCAAAGCTTCTAGGTATTCGGGATCGATCTCCAACTCAGTGATATCGACTTGGCGTCCTCGGATGGTGGTATGGACGCGAGGGACCGGCTCGGAGGGACCCGTTTCGGGCTGGCCAGCTGGTTCCGCAGCGCTCTCGGTGGATCGCACATCGTCCATGGGCTCAACGACCCCAACAGCCTGGTTCTCGGCTTCTTCCTGTTCTCTTTCGACTTGCCGTCTGGCATTCTCCTCTTCTTCCTTGCGCTTGCGCTCACGCTCTTCTTCCTCTCTGGCAATGCGCTGCAGACGCTCTGTCTCTGCTCTCTCCTCTTGGAGGCGCTTGCGCTCCTCCTCCAGCTGCTTCTGGCGTTGCTTCTCTTCTTCGATAGCAGGAGGAACAAGGACCTTCAGCAGGGAGTTGACAATACGTTGTGTCTTCTCGACGTACGTGGCGCTGAAAAGGATGCGAGCTTCTTCTTGCCAGCGCAGTTTGGTTGATGCCACCTCGAATTTGACAGCGTGATGAGGTTCCTCACGGCTGCGCATCGGGGCACCTGGCTGGTTTCGTCCAAGACCGAAAATGTCCTGGATGCGGTTGGGCAGAACGGCTCGTCTGTCAACGTGGACGTGGATACCGTCAGGGCGGGTAACCACTCCAAAGCCTTGTCCTCCCTGGCCACCGATGGCCTGCATGATGGCATTCATGAAGCTGACGGGGCTATCCATGGAAAGAACCCGATTACCTGTACCCGGAGGCTCCAGAGAGTGAGCAAAGTCGGCGAAGGGATCGCTGCCTGGAGGACCAATCGGTCCTGAGCGCTCGCTGGGGCGTTCAGGCCGCATCAGAAGCGGGTTGGTTCCGTCATCGTTGCCGCGCGAGGGGATCTGGGTGCGGTGGACACGGTGATAAGGCTGAATTGGAACAAGTCCTCCGTGGCGACCAGGCATGATTTCAGTAACAGCAGCCCACGCCGGAGGGGCACCGCGGAAACGGGGAGCATGATGGCTTCGTGCCGCCATGGGAGGTTCATCGGCGTCCCAGCTCCAGGGCTCGAGGAGGTCATCTTCTAACAATGAAGCAATCAGTACAACTAGAGCAAAGACATCGAAGGCGTTCGTTACCATCCATATCCCCGTAAGATCCCTGGTCATCATCATAGTCATCCATTTCTTCTTCCAACTCATCATCCATCTCATCTTCATCTGGAACACGAGTTAGCAATCGAAGTCTGTCTTGTATTCCGGTGTAAACATACCTCCGTCCTCGTTCAGATCATCGAGGATTTCGTCCTGGATATCGCCGCCAAGGCTATCACCTTGGAGATCATCGACGCCAGCAGCAGCCTCGTTAAGCACACGGAACAAGTCATCTATGCGCTGACCTTCATGTTGACGATTCGAGTGTCTGATATCAGCCAGCTCGTCCTGGAACTGATTCATCATCTCGACCTCTTCTTCATCTTCGGTCAATTCTTCGCTCTCCCACTCATCATCTTCACCATCGTCGAGGCTTTCGTTATCGTGGTCACCGGTGATTTCTCCAGCAAAGGCCTCATCATCCTCCATGTCGGAGTGATCATGATCTTCATCGTCGTCCTCATCATCGCCATCGTCATCATCGTCAATCACGACTTCGATATCCATGCCGGAATCACCAGGAAGACCTTCGATGGGACCCATGTCTGCGTCTTCATCTTCATCGCTGACAACTTCGCCGTCATCTTCAGCCACATCCTCCTCGTAGTCCATCTCGTCATCATATTCGTCGTCATACATCTCATCGTCATCTTCTTCGGATTCCTCTTCGGTGCTTTCTTCCTCATCATGACGAGGCTCTAGCATCCCGAGGGTAGAGTGACGGAAAAGATCTGGGGTCTCCTCACGTTGATCTTCCATGTCGGAGACGGAGGTTGCTGACGAGATTTCACCATCGTCTGTTTCACCCAGCGTGGAGATATCCGAGCTTTCGCTGAGGAGCACAGCGGTCTGTGTGAGCTTGTTCAGAGGACGGAGAATGTACTTGATGACGCGCTTTGAAGATGGGAAGTTCAAGTCGATGTCGGCAACGGAGGAAGTGAGGGTAGGAATGAAGTGCTTCTCGAACATGGTCCTCGCGAGCTGCCGTGTCGAGGACGGGAAGCCTGCCTCGTTGGAGTAGGAGTAGCCGCTGAGCATCTTATCGAACAAGTCGGCAAGACACATGAGCTTCGAGTATTTGGCATCCAGAGGTTCGTTCGACGCAATTGCATCCTTGTATGACCGCAGTGCATGCTCTAGCACGAACCGACGCACAAAAGCGAGCTCAGGCTCGTCCTCCTCATTTTGCCGTTGCTCACCACGACGCCTACCAAGACCACCAAACTCGCCAGTCTTGGCGCAGAGAGCGCTGAGCACCTGCATAGTCCATGTGGAGGTCGTGTTCCGCTTCTTGAACGAGATGGACTCATCATGTTCCATTGTACCAACAGGGACAAGCACGTTCAGCAGGTAATTGAGAATGCCCGAGCGCGGCTTCGAGGGAGTTGTCGCAAGAGGATCAGCTTTGCGCGAGAAGTTGATGAACTCGACCTTGGTGCGGTTGTATGAAGAAAGGAGTTCAGTCAGACACTGGAGCAGGAAGCATCGATAGAGGTAGATCGGATGATCCTCAGCTCTGAACGGCGGCTTCTCGCCCTTCTTGTTGGGTGCGGGTGCGGGTGCGGATGCACGCGGAGTCTGAGCATCAGGAGTGCTGGACACCGAAGGGGTCGTTTCATCCATAGCCATCTCGACATCTGTTTGCGGTTCCGACTGTTCGCCAGCAGTTTGTTCAGACGTCTCCGCTGAAGGCTCCTTGTCATCCACGTCTTTGTAGGACAGAAGTTCGGAAAGCAGGTAGTGGATAACTCCGTCTGGGTTCTCCACGATTGGGGGCTTGAGTTCGGCAGCCTTGCCCCTGTCTTTGGTTTCTTGCGCAGGAGCCTCACTTGTGGAAGATTCACCATTGCTAGAGCTTTCAGCCTCAGTCTTGTCCTGACGTTGCCGTGCGGCGCGGTCTTTGTCTTTGTCAACCTTCAAGGCGAGGACTTGAGGACGCTGATGGGTGTCGTATCGCAAAAGCCTCAACTTCTCGTTCGTAACCTCGACGAAGATCTCTGGTGCCCTCAGGACGAGATGGTACATCTGTCGCACATAGCCGGTAGTGTCGATCTGACGAGAAGTTTTGTTCTCGAAGTTGGCAACGATCTCACTCCTCATGATCTGTCGGATAGTAGCTTCATCTTCGACGATGTGACGTAGGATCAGCATGAAGGCGCTTTGAAGCTTGTCATTGGTAGCGCTGGCAAGCTGCTTCACCATGACGAAGAGGCGTTGCAAGTTGCGCTTCTCGCCGAACCTCGCCGCAATGCTGCGGTTGCGGGTAAGGATGACAAGAATACGGCAGACGGACAGAGCCAGTTTGCCATCCTTGCCGACTCGTGGAAGGATTTCAACAAGCGCTTCAAAAAGCTGTGTTTTCTCGTCGAGAGAGACAAGAGGCTCGTTCAGGAACGCGGGACCCTCGTTGCTAGGGTTGGGGTCATCAAGGCTTGGCGGAGTCCAGATAATCTGGGGAGGTTGGGCGTCATCTGAAAGCAGCTTCTCCAGAATAAGCAGCACCTGTCCGACCCAGGGCAGGGACTCATCGGCAGCCTTCTCGGGCGTGGGAAGCTTGATAAACCCAAGGAAGGTCGAGAAGCAATCCTTGAGTTCGTCCAGGGTCGCATTGTACATGTCACGGTCCTGGAGAACCAAAGCAAGGATATGCGCATAGGCAGCAATCTTCTTGCCCGCGGTTTGGAAGTTCTCCATTTGTAGAGAGACAAGGGACTGAACTAGGGTCTCTCCAATGTCTCGCCGGAAGGCTTCAGGCTCGGGATGCTTCTTGATGGCAGAAGAGATCAAGTCGGCTAGTTCAAAGGAGACATCGTGGTGTTCATTTAAGACGTCGAGGCACCGCTCAATGAGATTCGAGCGGACTTTCTCCCTTTCCCCATCCAGCTCTTCCACGGTGGTGACCTGGCGACGACGCACCGGCTGTACCTGCGATGTATTGGTAGGTTCCGACGAGTTGCCCTGAGGATTTTGGTTCTGGCGCTGGTTTGGTGGCTGGCCGGGTTCATCGTGCTCCATATCTTCATCGTCGTTGAGAACATGATCCAGGGCCCGCGCTAGTCCGTCGCGCATGTCGCCACTTCCTTGCTCACCTTGGCGCATCGACTCGTCCACAGGTTGTCCACTTGCCTGTGCCAGAAGCATGGCGAGAGCCGAGCTTTCCAGGAACCCGCGACCTCCGAATGGCGGAGCATCCACACCACCAGCATCTTCCGAGGCCTCCCCGCCCGAGGCAACGTCGGCCGATCCAGTCTGGATATCGTTGGAAGCTGGAGGAAGCCTGGGCGGGGCTCGAAGCCACTGCTGGGCTTTGATGTACTCTTCAGCAGCGACAAGAACGTTGTTGCAGCGATATAGAGCTTCTTTGTTCAGTTCGGTATCTTGATATCCCCGTTCCACCAAGGTGGCTGCTCGGTCTTTATTGACCACAAACGGTTTGCGCTGCACTTCAACGACAGGAGGAGGCATATCCGAGCTGTGAGCAGCCCCCGTTTCATATTCACCATCCAGCGATGAACGCAGAATGTCAACCAAGCACTTGATAACCGGACTTTCAGACTGGGTTGCGAATTCCGAGTTCCAGAGGTCTTGCGCCATAGGCAGAATTTCCATGCGGAGATCCACCAAGAATTGGCCTGGCTGGAAGTGATCCGGGCGCTCACGGTCGCGGTCATTGTGGCTGGTCATCGCTTGTGTTTGAGTGGACTCGACGATGCTCTTGCCCGAGGCAAGTTCCGCGAACAATGCCAGGATAACCTTGATCCCGCCATAGGCAGAGGCAAGTCGGCCTTTGACCTCGGTGTCACTATCAGGAACAGAATCCGGGGGAGGAAGCGCTCTGATTTCACGCATGAAAACCTCGCTGAAGTCCTTGAGAACTTTCAGGCCATTCTGCTTCTTGAAGGCGACAAGAACCAGGGTCAAGTATGTCGACTGTGGACGGTCTGTAGCAACTGGGGGCAATTGATTAGCATATTCTCAATCTTTCGAAGAGAGAAATGTTCACTTACCTTCATAAAGAAGTTGCGAAAACGAGGAGAGGATGACGATGAGATAGGCAAACCGATGCTTGAGGCTATCACTCGAATTGGCCGGATTGAATTGCATTTGTCGAAAGACAGTCTCAGCGATGGCATCCGCAACCATATTCGCATTCGGCTTCTGCCTCAAATACGGGTCAGTTCGTCTCTTGCCGACGAGCCCAAGGCCAAGGTTATGGAAAAAGCCGGTGATCGAGGCCGGCAGCACGCTCAAAAGATAACGGAGCGTTTGAGCATTTTTGAAGGCGGCGCTCTGTGTGTCGGCGCTTCGAGAGTCTAGCGTTGGTTGAGCCTGTGCATCCCTGGGGACACCAGAGCCCTCCTGGCGAGATGGAGGGGTAGGATCCTCGGACGATTCCTGGGTCGTGACTCCAGGGGCATCAGTGGGTTGGGGACCATCTTTGGCAGCGGGTCCTTGAATGGCCTTCATCCACTCTTCGGGGATGTTCCTCTCCATCGTAATTTCTTCCCACACACATGCAGCCTGGAGGTTGCCCAACGATGAGACAAGAGCGCAGTATTTGTCGGCAAGGTTGACTTGGCCAAAGATGGAGGTTTGCTGGACAGATCGGGTCTGGTACAACGGCATCGCGAAGACTTCACGAAGCAGGTCCGTGAGGACCAGCGCGGTATTCAGATGTTTGGCAAAGAGCGTTCCGTGGTCAACTGCAGCAGAAGAAGACACTGAAGCGGGCTTCTTGGAGTCTCCCGGGTTGATCAGAGCAGTGAAAAATCCAGACTCACTGGACTCAGTCCAGAAAGTCGAGAGATTGTCGACTGCTAGTTGCGTGCGCTGTACAAGAGATGGCACCACAACATGAGGCTTTGTCTCCGCCAGCATATGCACGAGCACAGAAAGCTCCTGGTTGGCATCTGTATTGTGGAAGTCGAAGGACAAGCTCTGTAGAGTAGCAAAGTCCAAGACAAACTCCGCGCCTCCAGCGTTGATGAACGCCGTGCACGTAGGCTGGTTCTCGAAGAAAGCGCCTAGGAACCGTGTCGCCGGGAATAAGTAGTCCGTGACCGAAAGTCCATGTTCATCCTTGTCACTTGGCTCGAAATCAGGATCCCTAGACGGAAGGAGGTGGCTAATATCGCCAACAATAAGCTTCCCACCGTTGGGAAGATCGTTCGCAGTCAACTGCGGAGCGCCGACTAACGCAGGATCATCCTCTGGGCCGTCGACAGCTGTTCCGATTTCGCGGAACAGGGAGAAGACATCGCCGGAAAGATGGAATTTGCCCTGCGAGTCTTCGGTCCACAGCTTTGCTCCAATTCCCTGCTTCCACGCCTTGGCCTTGCAGAGCAAGCCCACGCGCGCGGCCATGACGATAACGGCAGACATGATGGATGTCTTCAGAGGAGGGTGATGCCGAGCCAGTTCTTCAAATGTCGTACCCAGTGAGCGAATTAGGGTCGGATCATCCTTAAGACACTTGACATGTTCTGGATTTTCGAAGATTTCGAAGAAGCTATCGAGCGCATCGGAGGTCTGCAAGAGATCCAGGCCAGAGGAGTTTAGGCAAATTGCTCCAAATGCCGATGGGATGCAGGCAAGAGCATCAGCGGCGGGTATGATACCAGAAGCAAGAGGTTGGTTCTGTGCCCTAGCGATACGGTACTCACGGCCTTCCTGCTTGGGCTCAGGTTGAGGGGCAGGTGCGGCAGCAGGTCGTTCAGACAAGGGTTCGCCTCCATCCTGGGAAGTCTCGGGTTCAACGGCGGGCGGCTTCTCGGTTGCCTGAAGTTCATGACCCATCACGGCAGCAAGAAGACTTCGGCTAAGACCAGCTTCCGCGATCACAGCGTAACTGGTAGGCTCATTGTGAATGAAGCTGCTGAGGATGTTGACACCATTGCTCCAAACGTGCGAGCCGAAAATCCGGGCATTCTCAAATACCAGCCGCAAGGACGTCAGCAGCTGAGGCGAGTCGATCAGATTGCGCAACACCCGATCAAACCCACCGCCGTTGTGCTGCATGATATGATTGACGAAGCGGAACATCCAGCGCAGGGTCTGCTGTTGGAAATAGGGAATCTGATAATCGATGGACGGATTCTTGTACTGAGAAGGGAACCCTTCGCCGCGCGAGACCTTCTCGAACGCGGTTTTTGTTTCGTGGTCGATCAGATCAGACATCGCATCGAACCCTTTCGCCGTCGTCAGGGTGCCCAGTGCATCTCGAACTGCGTGAACAAACGTATCCAAGAACTCCATGACGCGAGAGTAGACCCGGCGAGCCTTGGGCGTTCGAAGGTTCAGGATATCGACAAACATGGGAATTAAGCCGGCAGAGACAAGAGTCTCCGGTGTGCGAGTGCTTGAGCTTGGAAGCGTCCGCAGGAGGGCAAGTAAGGCATCACGCCATTCATCGTGATAGGCATCATCCGTGGTCTCGTCATCGGCGGCAAGCTCGTTAACCACTTTTCGAGTCAGGAACATGAGAACTCCATGGTTGACATTGACACTTAAGGCAGCGCAAACATCCATGGCACGAGATTTGTGTTTCGCCAGCGCATCAAGGGCCTGAATTGCCAAGGTCTGCAACGGGCGCGAGACGTGGAGGTCGCCGCTAGCGCCGAGGTGAACCAGCTCAGCCAGTTGATACGTGATCTGAAGACGCTTGGACAGCTCCATGTCATATTGTAGCACTTTCTGCTGGAATGCCGACTCGGGGAGGACGTAGGCCAAGTTGGTTACTGCAAGGATCCTGATGGCAAGGATCTGCTCACGCGTAGCCTTTGAAGTTGAGAGTCCCTGCGCAACACGGACTTTGTGAAGCAGCTCATATTTCGACTCAAGTGGCAAGTGTGACAGGTTAGCAGCAACGAGGTCCTCCGGCTTTGCGGACGAGACCTTGGAGTGCGGGAGATCCAAGATCTTTCCACTGCGAGATGACTCTTCTGCTTTTCCACCCGTGTTGGTATTTCCAGCCGGGGATTCGTCCACATTCGACTCACGACTCAGGCGGGGAGTGGGATGCGTTGCGCTTCGGCGCAGTGGGGTTGGTGTGGATGGGGCGTGTTCTGTCTGTCCGAAGGCTGAGGTCGTTCTTGTCTGCTCCGAGGAGCCAGAAGGGTAGTAGAGCACACGAACATTGCCCCATTCCTCCCAACCATCAGTATCACGCATGAGAGAGGCCAACTCGTTTGCATTGAGTTTTGTCTGGACTGCCTTTTCTTTCCCTTTGGTGGAGACGGCGGGGGATGCTGCAAATGGTGTTTTGCCGGCGACGAGAGGACGAGGGAACGGCGAAGCGATCTTCTGCAATTTCTCCAGATCGATGTTGTAATGAGTCGCCAGCATGGACTGCTGATGGGCACCCCGTTGACGCGAGTGGTACCGTTGAGCCAAGCATAGGGAGAGCCGCAGAGTCGACTGGAGCAGGGACAGCGACGTGGTGTTCAAGAGATCACCCAGGCGTTCACTGCTATTGTACAAGCTACGGTTGCCACATTTCTCCAGAAGAAGACGGGAGAAATCAAGAATGTCCTCCAGCAGCTGCCTGTCTCCGTCTGAGCCATATCCCAACGCGTTCAGCTTGGCCTCGATGCCCTCGGCTGGTATTGTGCTTGGATCTTTCACAAGTGACTCATTCAGATAATTTCGAGTGAAGGACAGTACCTGGGGACCGGTGTTGAGGAAGTATCGGTCAATGACTTCAGCAAGGATTTCGTCGAAGCGGTCCAAGACGTTGATCCAATGGTAGAGATCGCCTCGCGGGAAAGGCCATAGTCTTGGGAAGGTGCTCAGAAGGGAAGGAAGCTCTGCGACGGGCAGGCTCGTCGCACGGCCTATGAAATCTGCCAGAAAAGGTGACTGGAGCAAGAAAGAAAATTTTTAGTCGGGTGGTCACTTGGGAGGAGGTGGGCACCTTACTATTGTAGCCTCGTGTTTCTGGCTGGCCACCTTCTTAATTCTCCCCATGATGACAATCGGACGGGCAGCCAACCATGAGGAGGGAGAAGGGTATCGGGAGAAGGTCTGGTCGAGAGGGTGGAGTGTGGGTGTTGTGAAGACCGGCGGAGAAAGCGCGAGAACGCCTTATGACGTTTCAAAAGTCTGGTCGGTGAGAGAGAGCGAGAGGGAGCTGGGGACGGGATGAGGGGGGGTAAGGAAAATGCCAGACTATCAGGGTAAACGGTGCAGGTCGTTGTCCCCTGAAGTAATGACACAGAAAGGGAAAAGGAAGGTGTGGGAAGGTGGACGGGAAGGGGATGAAAGAGAAGGTGATCGAACTGAAGCTTGCGGAGCGGCGGCTCTGAGGGAATCCCCGCTGGCAGGGCTTACCTCAGCATTGGGCAAACGGTGCCTGGGTCAACTACACACGATTGGCAAGCGGGATACAGTGTTTACGAGGCAGTTTTCCGTTTGATGCTCATAAAATTAGAATATTACTATTAATTTCCTCGGTAGTTTGGTGACGGTGGTGACCCGACGGACTGGGATATACTCCAAATTATATATCTATGACCATGGGAGACATGACATCCATGTACTGTCTCACGAGAACATCGGATTTGAGTCTTACATAGAAGCTTGAACCGAACCAAAAACGATATGGATATCCTGTCACAGGCAGTGGAGTCTCAGCCGAAGAAGATGATGCTTAGAAAACTACCCAACAACAGACTCGACAATTTACCTATCCTTAGCTTACACCTACCTACCTACATAGCCGGCAGCTCCCCATCCCACTGGACCTTCATAGTCGTCGGGAAGGGGGAGTACGAGCTGTGCTCAGCGTCCATATACATAGCAATACCACCGGGCCCAGCGAGCTTCTTGAGCTGACCTTGGCCCCCAGGGGCGCGACGGAGGTTATCCAAGCGTCCGACAACTTTGAGCATGGTAGAGAGAGCAGTCTTGCACATATCCATGCCGAGGCATTGGTGCGGTCCAAAACCGAAGTGAAGATACGAATCGATGGGGCGATCAAGCTTGACGGTATCGGGGTCGGGGAATGCGACGGGATCGTGACTGGCGGCAACCTGGAAAAATGGTTAACATTGGGTACTAACGTTGAGAAAGAGCAACTTACCAAATTGCAATAGATCTGCTGGCCAGCTTTCAGGATCAATTTCTCTCCATTGTCCTCAATGACTGTCGGCTTGGCGACTTCTCGCGGCAAGGCCACGGACGACCGCAATCGTGCGCCCTCGAGGAAGCTAGATCGTGTGAGTAACAGCTTTGATATTAATTGTGGGAAAATACTCACTATCGAAGAAGCAGATCATCCGCTTCGGGTGTATCTTCTTTCGACAGGCGTTGGATTTCCGCTAAATGAGCGGCAGCTTCAGGCTCGAGATAATAATCGAGGCACTGCGAGAATAACTGAGCCTGGTTTGCGACCATCCCACCAGCCGTGGGCAGAAGATGTGTGAACACGATCTCTTGCGAGGATAGTCCACTTTCTAGCAGTCGTTGAATCATATGCTGACCATATTCACTCAGGATATCGTGGCGATGAAGGCGATTGATCAGGGAGTCAATAAATCCCGCCTTCTTAACAAGCTCGACATTGACGACGGTCAATTCGCCGAGCTGCTGCGTAACCTGTCGGGCAGTAGTATTGAGCTGGAAGGATTTCGAGACGTCCACGTCGTAGAAGATGCTTGTGAACACCACCGCCATGATCTGGTACAGCTCGAGCTCCGTGAAGACGCCACGTGGATTGGAGTCCGTCTTTAGAGGCAGGGAAAAGACAGAGGCGCAGAAGTGTACCTGTACACACATCGGTTAATCAATCATTCAAATTCCAGCAAGAACAATCTTACCTGCGCGAGGTTGGCTACGTCCCTCACAATATCAACTTGGTTAACACCGGCCACCTTGTACGAATTCCTCTGCAGGAGTTTCAAGGTAATATCATTATAGAACGACCTGACCTCAGACTCCCACTTGTCGCGGTACAAGGCAACGCTCATCATCCGTCGAGACGCAGCATTTGGAGGAAGGTCTCCAGACAGCATGAAGTCGACGCCGTACGGGTGGCGGTTCTGATGCATCAAGAACTCAATCTTCGTTCCCCAGGTCACCTTGAAAGATTCCTTGTTTGCGAGGATAGACGAGCATGCCGCATGCGAGTTGATCATCCTGGGCGTAGGAAGATAACTGGGGGTATCAAAGTCGTACGATCCCGCAATTCCAAGGCCAGTGAGAATTTTCTGGTTCTCATGCGGTACAACCATCGGGAAATGGGCATAAACCGACTTTCCACGCAGATGATTGGGGAAGGCTGTCAGAGCCAGTTTGTAAAAGACCTGGCCCTGGTCAATGGAGTCATCATAGTTAATCTCATTATATGCCCAGTTGGTGAGATGTTTCGGAGTAAAATCAACGGTGTAGAAACGATCACCACGGACCAAAGCGACGGCGTCGGAGAGGATTGCTCGCGATATAGTGTAGTTGGTGCAAAGTCCACTGCCGGGTACCATGGGCTCCTTTGTGGCCTCCACAATGAGGCCAGGGTAGAGCTCCACGAGATCGGGCTGATCGTAGAACCGCCGGAGCTGGCCGGCAATGTACGGGTCAGGGTTAATCTCCTCGAACGTCTGATAGGTCTTCAGGTCGAAGAAAGCTCGGAACTCATTCAGCGTAGCCAAGTTCCATGCGCGTGCCTGCTTGATACCAAGGACTTCGACAGTCTTGAACACTTCGGGGACATTGCATGCCCCAAAAGCTCCAGCCACATCCTCCACGCCTTCCTTGAAAATCTTGACTAGATCATTATCATCGAATGAGCCATCCGCTTGGCGCTGCAGATTGGCAAAGGGTCGTTCTTGGGGGTCTGCAGAAAGCTTTGCTTCCCATTGCCCGAGGCCCCGGGTAAATTCTTGCAGGGTGATCTGGCTCGGATGCTTGCCAGCGAAAAGCTCCTGATACATGGTCTCAGACCACTTCTGGTCGCGCGCAGAGACACAAGAATGCCAGCGGTAAACAAGATTGAACTCCGCAGACACTTGATTTCCAGTGGCCTGGCCCGCAGCCTTCTCAACGAGCCCATTTTTCAATTCCATGCGGGGATCCAAGCTCCAGGTGCTGTCTGTCCGATTCAAGTTGAGGATGGTCCGAACGTAGTCCTTCAGGATGATATTGACATAGAGGCCACAGGTGACCAGTCTTCCTGTTTGAAAGAGGTCGTTGTCATAGGTGGCGTAGGCTTTGGTGTTAGATGGATCCGGTTTCGTGAAACGGCCACCCTCGTTGATGGCCGCCAGATTCGTCACCACGTAGTTGTGAAAGCGGTTGAACATGATGAGAAGAGTTCCAACGCCGGGAGGGAAGCCTAGAACCCTTTTGGAAGAGAAACTATCAGGCTTCAGCTTCCCATCCATGAAGGTTCTCACATTATTCTGTTGGTCTTGGTTGTTGCCATAAAGAGGCGACAAGTCCAAGTAAGAGGACGTCAAAGACTTTGTCCCGTCAGTCGGATCTGTTTGGAACAGGTCATGAATGATGATAGACGCTAGATAGAAAACCACGCTGGAGATTTTGTTCGGGTGCTCTTTGAACTCTTTCCGGGCCAAAAGGCTGTCAAACAGAGTCTCTGGGTCTGGAAGGGCAGCAGTTTGCATGGTCCTTGGCTGAACAGACCGTGCGTAGGGGGTTCCTGCAGCTCCGATATGGGGCCACAGTACATTCTTGTATAGAAATTAGCCGATATTCCTGGAATCCAAATAGCAGTGGTCTTACATTTCCTGATCCGTCAGCTTTTCGGTAGGCGGCGTCGCGCCCAAGATAGCTAGATATCAAGTCAGATCCAATATCCCGATTTTGCCAAGGGAACATACGAGATTGGCGGGTGCTGTAAATCATTCCATAATTGATTGAGAAAGGTACCCGTTACCTCCTTGCCATTTTTAGAAGTTGAAGGTAGTCCAGCAGCAAGCTGCGAAGTAAATTAGCATTAGAAGCCCCCATGGATCACGTTGCATTGGCTGACTTGGATAATTCGTTCCATGATGTATTCCCTGTCATTCACGGGGTCGCCTGTCACAGCACTCTTAGCGACCTCGGCCAGAGTCTTCACATCTTTCAGATCAATATGGCCAAGGTCCTTGGCAAGCCCCGTCGTAGTCGATTCTTTGACATAAGTCCCATCGCCCATCTCTGTGGGCAAAGGTTTCAAGGACGCGGAAACGACTTGCTCAATCTGGGAGATTTTGCTCCCGAGGCCGTTGTGGTGGTTGTTCTCGCCCATGGCGGTTCGAGGAGTATGCCCACAATTTAAACAAATAAAAAGGGAATTCAGACAGTGGAACTGCCAATTAACGTATTAGCATTGACGACCTGGTTTCGGTCCAAAAGTCTCAATGCGTTGTCCGCCTCGAGACGTGGACAATGACGCAGATTTAATGGAACGCCATGCACAAACAATTTCGTCCGGGGAGAGTACTCACTTACCGCGCGGGGTGTAAAGCAATTCAAGCGACAAAAACTGCCCGTGGCAACAAGGGAGACTCGGGCGCAAGCACAATGTGTGTTTAGGAATGGAGAAGGCACTCGGTCATCGTCAAAACAAAATCATGTTGGAGGGAACTGTGGACCTTAATATGCCCCGATTGACAGACTGCGGGTCAGAACCCGCAATGGGCGAAGCAATAATAGCCCTCTTTCAGCTGCTAAGTATGCCTATCGGCGATGCCTAGACAAGCCTCATCCGAGGCGGGTCGTATTTAGCTGCCAATAGCTCGCACGGATTCTCCCGCCATCATTTTAGGTGGATTCACCCAAGGCATCAACAGGCGATAGGCGCCACCCACTGCGGCATAAGAAAAAGGCACTCTGATTTGTTCGCCGAGTATCCTGGTCAGAACACACCGTGCATCAGCCCGGCTGAGCAGGAGGCAAAGGCGGTTAGCTGATGGCCGTTCGCGGAGGAGACCACCCAATCGGTCATGGGTGTTCCCGGTCAGTTTTGCTCATAAAACGAGCAGCTCGTAATAATAATGATTTGGTTCCTTGGTCCGCTTGATTGGAGCACTGACAGCCGCTCAGACCCGATGATCTGCAGATTAGTTGTGGCCGCACCGGGTCTTGGGTTTGGCTCAGCCTCGACTACTGCTCAGCATATCGCCCAGGTCGTCCGTCAACCATGTCCCGGTGGTTTGTTTGTTGATCCCGCGCGTGCTCGAAGAACACCACATTTTGCATTCTGCCTGGTTAGCGCCGCCCGGTGAGCGACCGGAGGTGATTGGCGTCGTGTTCGGCCACACTAGCCGTGCAGGCAATGTGCGCCCAGCTGACACCTGGCGGGCTTGAGGCGAAGCCCGATGTTAGTCGATGACTGACCGGAGTGCCCTGGATATAGTTAGTGACTGCTGTTATTACTTAGCCTCGTGTCGGGCGGGTCAGCAAACCCGAGGCCAGATAGGCCTGGTCTATCCACTCTCGTCAAAGACGTAATGAAAGTATTTTCTTTTTTCAGGCCAGTCATTATTATTCAGTTGGTTGACAGAGTCAGCCCAAGAATGTGCTTCAACGGGACAATGTATACAAAATGGCAGCCTCAGGCGCCCCATCACGTGCCCTTATGCCTCGGTCTCCAAAATGTTGACTTGATCAACACGATTTGGTTGAGTTCATCCATCCCTTACCGGAGCCATACTTCCCTACACCAGCTGTTTCAATCGCAATGGCGCCAGCTAAGATCACGCTCACCGTCGAGCCACGGGGTATGCACCCCCCAGACTCTCCATATAGCTAGCTCCCCCACTTCGACGCCGTACAAAAATAGCTGACCAGGATACAGGCAAGCCAATTCGCAAGCTCCCCAAGGAAATTGAGATTTCTCTCAATGGATCCGCCGAAGAACTTCATGTTGCTCTCGCAGAAACAACCGGTACTTCCATACACCGACTGCGCATCACCAAGGGCAGTGACCGCACCGTGGTCCCCAACTCGAACGGCACCACCATCAAAGACACCGGCCTGCGCGATGCAAGCGTTATCCACGTTAAAGACCTCGGTATGGTGTTGTACCCTCCCACTCAATGATCCCAGCTTCACTAACACTCTGTGACTCAGGCCCTCAAATCGCCTGGCGCACCGTGTTCATCATCGAATACCTCGGACCACTCGTGATCCCGGCGCTCTTCCTCTTCCCACTGCGCCCGCTCCTGTATTTCAATTTCTCGCAGCCCCTCGCCGACCCCTCCAACCTCCAGCTGCTCACCTGCCTCCTCCTGACCATCCACTTCCTGAAGCGCGAGTTCGAGACCATCTTCGTGCACCGCTTCAGCGCCGCCACCATGCCCGCCCACAACATCTTCAAAAATAGCGCGCACTACTGGGCCCTGGCGGGCTTCAACATTTCCTACTGGGTCTTCCGGCCGGACGCCGGCGCCGCAACTGAGACACCCAATGCCGCCCTCACCTATGCGGGTCTCGCGCTCTTTACCGTCGGCGAACTGGCCAATTTGAATGCCCACATGGTGCTCCGGGATCTGCGTCGTCCGGGTACCACCGAGCGCGGCATCCCGTCCGGCTTTGGATTCAGTTGGGTTACCTGCCCGAACTACTTCTTTGAGATCATGGCCTGGGCCGGTGTCTTCCTGGTTAGCCAGCTGAGCTGGAGTGTGCTGCTTTTCATTGCTGTGGGCGGTGCGCAGATGTGGGCCTGGGCTGCTAAGAAGGAGCGTCGGTATCGCAAGGAATTTGGTGACAAGTACAAGAAGAAGAAGTTTGTCATACTGCCTGGTCTGTGTTAAACAGTCCCTCGGCTACATTTGATGCAGCTTTGATCTCGTGGATGATCGTGTCGCAAAAAGAAGGAAATAATCGAGGAGAGGGCGTGAGGAGAGGGCGCCCAGACAAGAATTGTCTGCTTTGAGCCCTCTACATACAGTCCGGAGATCCTTTTATCAGGGTCACTAACGAAATGGAAGCCAAGAAAACTCACTCGCCAACAGCGAACCAAGAATGGAGAGACAGTTGTACTTCTACATAGATAAAAACAGTGAACAATGATGTTACTTGCAATGAAAGCCGACTATGCAACAGATGAGGGAAACAAAAACCCCTCGCTATATGGATGAGCAGCCATGTTTGCGCCCAAAACTCAAAAAAATATCATACAGAAGAGTGTGCCACCAGGGACTACTATTCGCTCTTCGCCTTCTTCTGCCACAGTTTATAATAAGGCTCAATCTCAGCTTCGCAGTCGCGGCCTTGCGTGGTCTCACATAGATGGAACCGGATCACAAAGTCGCCGTCTTGATATGTGCCATCCACTCCAGCGGACGGCGAGTCTTTGCTATATGAATTCAGGATGCGCTGGGGGACCATCGCGAGGCGTGCGAGGATGGTAGGATGCCACTGGACAATATGATCCTGTCGAGAAAAGGAGCATAACCCGTCAGCGCAGATACAACACGAAGCAGAAGATAAGGGACATACCAAACCATGCGTCTCCGCCTTCGCAAACATATAACTCCTATACAGCGGATCAAACCAGAGATCCAGGAAGAAGCGCGCGAAGTCGCCCTGGCGGAGCACAAAGCTGCCGGGGCTGATATCCTCGTTATCCTGGGTTATGATAAGGTCAACGTCATTTGCTTTGAGATGCGAGAATGTCCTGATGATGCTATCCGGCGGCACCACGGGGAGATCCTTGAGCATCAGCGACTCGAGACGGGTCTTGTCAAGCAGATGGGACTTGAGAGATTTGGACGGGTTCATGATGAGGGCGTGCGGGCTGAGATGGAAGAAGTATGTCGAGTGCGGATATGTCGCCATTGCGTGGCGGAGGGCCGGCACGACGGCCCATGTATGGGGGGCGTCGTTTATTGCGTCGGCGTAGTCGGATGTGCTGGTGAAGAAGTTGGCGTAGCCTTTGTTGAGGTTCGTTATGGTTAGTCAATGGGGATGATGGGAGGGCGGGGAGGCATTTTACCATGTCGCTTGGCATAGTCCTCTCTGTTTTCCACGATTTTCTTGATGTAGCTCTCGCTCAACTCTTCGTGGTCGATCACCGTGACGATCACCACACTTGCCGTACCGGCCGGCGCAACCACAAATGGAGAGCTCGAGGAGGAAAGATGTGACAGCAGGTAGAGGATTATGAGTACTGCGATGGCAAAAACAGCCGCTGTTTTGAGCTGCTTCCTGCGATATCGTGGGAAACGCGAGGAATGAGCGTAGGGAGGCGCAGGACTTCGCCGCGGAGGCAATGCGAACTGCATGGCGAGCAGGGGCCAGCGCTGCGGTGCTGGACAACGAAGGAACAGGTGCGGATCGTTCAGATCATTAGTGCGAATGATTAATTTCCACGGCTAACAGTGAGAGTAAAAGATTGCCCTAGCGCAGAGGTGCGAAGGGAAGATATGAAGTAAGTGGTTGAAGCGAGATGAAGGCGGGAAGTATCTGGGTCATTCTCCGAATCCGTCGGCGCATTCCAATGGCGGCCGCTTCGCGTTAGTCTGGACGACAACATAGATAACGGACAGTACAGATCTGCGATCGATCGACAATTCCTATCATAATAATAATGATAATAATAATCCAAATTAGAAGCTCGCTTACATATTAATTGCTGGGGTCCGCAGCATCGACCCGAATGAAGCAAGGCTAATACACCTTGTATACTAGATTACTAGGAACGACAACAACATGCGGTTCATGAATCTTAACTGTGCATGGATCTCGATGCATATTCCCTGACTCATAGGATGAATTCTTTTGTTTGCAATGCATGAGATAAGATGATGGATGGCATTGGAGTATAAATACACAGAAGATGGAATATGCAACTCAGAAAGATCGCATGCAAGTAAATGTCACAAAGGCCAGCCAGGCCTCTCTCGGGATAATGATACAAGCGTCGGACAAGATCCTGGAAGTATAGCCATCCCTAGTCCTCCCTGCGGACCGAGTTGGCATTCTTCACCGTCGGCTTCGTGAGCTCCTTGATATCCAGATACTTGTCGACCTGCTCCTGGATCTCCTCCTCCTTCGCCTTCATCCATTCCTCCAACGACAGTGGTTCCGGAAGCCCCAACTTTTTCCGCTGTTCCTTAAATTGCTCCTGGATCTTGGGCGTCTGCATAATCTTCCACCGCAATTCCCACCCGAAGATCCCCATTTCCTTAATCCGGGCTGGCCGGTCATCCAACAGATAGTTGTCCAGACTGCCGGCCTTGTAGATTGTGCGCAGTGCGCGCCGCGTGACCTTGATAAAGAGGTGTTCTTCCAGGGCATCGCTGTAGAACTTCTTCCGGCGGACGTTGGGTTTCCAGGACCGTCGCGTCTTGCCCTTGTTGCGACCCTTGGAGATCTTGTTGCCGAATTGGATCATCGCGCCGCCGTACAGACCGGTGTTGGATTGCTTGTACCAGAGATTGGGTCCATAGGGGTAGGGAGGGATGTGTTCGGGGAGTTGTTTGGTGGTCTGCGCGGGCAGTGTTGTTGAGAAAGCTCGTCGGGGTGTGAAGGAGAGGCAGCGGAAGGCCGCCGAGAGGGAGGAGAGAGACATGGCGGGTCTTGATGGGATTGCCATTATGGTGTCAATGATCTCTCATGGTTTGGTTGAGTTGAAAGACGGAAGGAAGAATTTGGGGCTGCTGACCGCCTTTGGGGATTTGGCTGGACTGGTGCTGCTGCAGATCCCTTGCGCGCGAATTTCTGGAGCAACATCACCCTCTGCATTCTCCCTCTTTCATCTCTTCTCTACAATCGCGACTCCCTCTCCAAAGTCGCATACCCCGTCCCAACCATGGTCCAGATCAGCGAGGTCAAGGGCAACGCGCGCGAGAACCGGACGGCAGCACACACGCACATCAAGGGTCTAGGATTGCGTCCCGATGGCACGTCAGAGTCTTCTGCCGATGGATTCGTGGGCCAGGGGACTGCCCGTGAGGTAGGTGAAAAGGTTTACATGAGGAGTAAGTGATGGCTAACCGATAAAAAGGCCTGCGGCGTCGTGGTGGACTTGATCAAGGCAAGGAAGATGGCCGGTCGAGCTGTCCTGCTGGCTGGTGGCCCCGGCACGGGAAAAACTGCGCTGGCCCTTGCAGTGTCACAGGAATTAGGAACCAAGGTCCCCTTCTGCCCGATCGTCGGCAGTGAGATCTACTCGGCAGAGGTCAAGAAGACTGAAGCGCTCATGGAGAACTTCCGGAGAGCAATCGGTATGCAGGGTGACGCCAACAGACAGGACACTACTAACAAACGATAGGCTTGCGGGTTCGGGAAACCAAGGAGGTGTACGAGGGCGAAGTGACAGAGCTCACCCCCGAAGAGACCGAGAATCCGTTGGGTGGCTACGGGCGCACGATCAGCCACTTGATCATCGGCTTGAAGTCGGCCAAGGGCACCAAGAAGCTTCGCCTCGACCCCAGCATCTACGAAGCCATCCAAAAGGAGCGCGTCACGGTCGGAGATGTCATCTATATCGAAGCCAACACGGGAGCGTGCAAGCGAGTGGGACGGTCCGATGCTTACGCGACCGAGTTCGATCTGGAAGCGGAGGAGTACGTGCCCGTTCCGAAGGGCGAGGTCCACAAGAAAAAGGAGATTGTACAGGACGTGACACTCCATGATCTGGACATGGCCAATGCCCGGCCTCAAGGTGGCCAGGATGTGATGAGCATGATGGGCCAGCTGATGAAGCCCAAGAAGACGGAGATCACGGACAAGCTGCGCCAGGAGATCAACAAGGTGGTCAACCGGTACATTGACCAAGGAGTCGCTGAGCTGGTGCCGGGTGTGCTATTCATCGACGAGGTAGGGGTTCTTTCCTGAAGTTTTTATTTTCGTCTCTGACCCTCTGGTATAGGTCCACATGCTGGACATCGAGTGCTTCACATACCTGAACCGCGCTCTGGAACAGAGCATTTCCCCGATCGTGATTCTCGCCTCCAACCGCGGCAACACGGTCATCCGTGGCACGGACGACATCACCGCCGCGCATGGCATCCCTCCCGATCTGCTTGCGCGCCTTCTCATCATCCCCACCAACCCTTACACGTCTGACGAGATCAAGACCATCATCCGGCTGCGCGCCAAGACCGAGGGTCTCAACATCACCGAACCTGCCCTGGACAAGGTCTCCCAGCACGGCAGCAAGGTCAGCCTGCGGTATGCACTGCAGCTGTTGACCCCGGCCAGCATTCTGGCTCGGGTCAATGGACGGCCCGGCGGAATTGAGGAGGCCGATGTGGCGGAGTGCGAGGATTTGTTCTTGGATGCAAAGAGAAGCGCATTGATTGTCAGCCAGGACAGCAGCAAGTTCCTGGCATAAGGTGTTCGAGAGATTCCATGATCATGTATACCACGGGGGATCTTCCATGTTTTGTTATTTGAAAAGGCGAATTATTTCCGAGTTGGTTCTGTTATGCTAATGCTACTGATGTACTCCATGGTTTCTTTCTGTAACTCGTATACCTCGATCGATGTCCTAGACTAGCGAGCCAGCCTCGGAGTCACGTGCAGCATCGACATCATCGCCTCCATTCCTTTCCCCAACCCCAACCCTAACTCCGTCCATCTTCAGCGCAGAGTCACTCCTTATTCCACCATCTGGCTTGTACCAACTTGTTGTTCTTTGATCGTACCGCCGCCACCCGGCCCCCGACACAAGGGACCGACGAGCGTAACCCGCCACCCCAGATAACGAAAGGGTGGAGCCTTCTTGAAGCCAGCGTCAGCAACTGTGTCGCTGCAACCTCCCTCATTTCGCACCACATATACTACCACCACTCTATAAGATGTCGCACCCTCTGGACACAGACGCCGGCTCGGAGCTGTTCGCCAGCTACGAGAATGAGCTGAAGCTGATGCAGGCGGATCTGAACCAGAAGCTGGATCAGATCGCCGAGGCGAGCGGAGAGCAGCGGAAGGCCGCTGTTCGGCAGGCGGAGGCTGTCCTCGAGGAGGCGATGGAGCAGGTGAGTTTTTGACATCCTTTCTGTCTTTCTCTGCTCTCACGACTGTCACATCGGGGAGAGAGATACGGGAATAAAACCAACTAACGCTACGTTTCCAGCTCGACCAAATGCGCATGGAAAAGCAAAACATTCCCTCAGCGGCACGTTCAAAGATCAACATGCGCTTCCGCAACTACACTAGCGATCTAGACGAGACGAAGCGCAAGCTGAAGTCTCTCTCGGACGACCGCCGCGCGCTCTTCGGCGACCGGTACACCGACGAGCCGGTGGACGAGCAGCTCGAGCAGCGCCAGCAGCTGCTGTCTGGCACGGACCGGCTAGAGCGCAGCTCGGCCCGGCTGCAGGAGAGCCAGCGTGTTGCGCTCGAGACGGAGGATGTGGGCCGCAACACGCTGGCGGATCTGTATCAGCAGCGGCAGACTATTCAACATACCCGGGATAATCTGCAGCAGTCGGAGGGATATGTTGATACGAGTATTAAGACTTTGAGGGGCATGGCCCGTAGGTAATGACTTTCCCCGTCTTTTTACCGTCTTTTTGTTTCTGGCTGGCTGACCCGGGTTTCGGTTGGGTGTATATAGGATGGCTACCAATCGGATAATCACCATCGCTATCATTACGGTGCTGGTGCTTCTCATCTTTGCGGTTATTTACAGCAAGTTCCATTGAGCGTTTGAGGGGGGCAAGGAAGCTAATCGCTGGCGTTTCTTTTATCTTGGAGTTTCCTTCTTTCTGTCTGTCTGTTGTTGTTATTGTTGTTGCTGCTGCTGCTGCTGATGCTGTCGTCTTCTGTTTCTTCTACCCTCTTGCGGAACATACTCGTGCGTGTTCCTAGGGACTTGATTCAGACGCATATTTGCATTGTATGTATGATAGCATATCCATGGCCTAGTCATGCTACTCCGACTCGTTGAATCCACGGTCAACCCGGGTCCTTTCTATCTCAAACAATATCAAATAGTATATACATATCATGGGGGTATCTCGCAAAAAACAAAGAAAAAACGCCATCCATCCACCTAACCTAACACCAATCAACTCAATCACCGGATCAATTCATAATCCTCATCCCCCCAAAAGCAGCATTAACAAGAACCCCAATAAAAACAGCCACACCCTTCCTCCAGCTCCACACCCCCTCTTCCCTCCGTAACCACATCGCACAGCCCACCGGCCAAAAGAAACCCATCACCGCTCCCCAGAGCATATCGTCCATCGCGCCCCGCGAACCAGACCCAAGCCCGCCATCATCATCTCCCCCAAGGCCCCCACCACCACCGTCAAGCCCACCGCCCGCCGCCTGCGCCTGCGCAGCCGTCGATCCCTCGTCCATCCACCTGTCCTCCAGATCCCGCAGCTCTTCGCCGGAGGGCATGGTGTCCGGCGTGCGGGAGACGGATTGCACGGCTAGGAATTGTGAGCGGAGGGCTGTCACCTCTGCGGGGGTGAAGCCCGCGGTGAGGAGACGGTCGAAGCCGCGGGGAGCGGGCGTTGTCGTAGTGGTTGCAGGGGTAGTAGGATGTTGTTGTTGCCGGGATTGTTTAGCTTGCGATCTGAAAAGATTCGAGCTTGTCTTCTCATAATCTTCATCCTTTCGTTGCTGCAGGAGCAGCGTCGAAGCCACACCTGCCTCGGCGGCTAGATCCGCGTCCGTGAGAGCGACATCCCCAATCGAGCAGTGGATATACAGTCTAGGCCGTGTATCGCGCATAGGCTGCTTGCCCTTTGCCTTTGCGGTAGAAGATCCATCATCGTGGTCTTCTTCGTCATCGTCGTCGTCATCTGTGGGAGGTAGGCGCGGGCTGCGAGTTGGCGAGGGGGGCAGCTTCAGCGAGATCGTTAACGGGGTTGTATCTTCTAGCCCGCGGCCGGCGTAGATGAGACGTAGACGGTGCGCTGAGAGGGAGGGCGGTAGCTTGGCGCGGATCAGTTGTTTCAGGCCTGCGCCTGTGGTGGATTCCGGGTCGGGGACATCGAGGAGGAGGTCTGGGATGGAGGCTGAGAAGCGGACTGTTGCGAGGAGCGGGTCGGTGGTGGTGGTGTCGCTGGGTTGTGGGGAGAGGAAGGGGGAGGCCATGTTTGTTTTTTGTGTTCAACTTGGAGACATGGAGGGTCGTTTGGTTGACTTAATCTGGTTCTGGAGTGAGGGAGGTGGTCGATGGAAAGGGACTTGGGAGTGTTGAAGCCTCTCAACTGGAATGGCCCCCGTCATGTGACAACGCCAACGCCTTCAAGATGGACGTTTTACTGTGTATAGGGCAATGTTGGTTGGAATCACATTTTATATTCATTAAGAATGTCCATTAGACTATTCTATACAAAAGAGATCATATCAGGTGCGCGATCGATCTCAGCGCAGCGACAGAATAGACATGATAGCCCGAAGACCAAATCTATAGCAAGCCCAAACGTGTAACCCAACAAAAGAAAAGCGGAGAATCGAGAAGAGTATCAACTGGATATGAAGTGTATGTACTCGAGCCGAAGAGAGTGGTCGTGCCAAGAGAAAAATAGAAGAAACACCCCCATGATGTAAAAAGAACGCCGTGCGATGCAGTGTGCAACAGATATACCAAAAAGAGTGCTGGGTTTAGACCATGAAGGATTCACCGCATCCGCATTGTTCCTCTGATATTCCAGTCAGTCAACTCAACCCACAAAAGCCATGGAGGTGGAAGGAAAGGGAAACTCACTGATGTTAGGGTTACGGAAGACAAACCGCTTGCTCAGCTTATCCTCCAGCCAGTCCATTTCACTGCCGATGATGCTGAACAGGGCCTTGCTGTCAATCAAGACCTTGACGCCATCCTGTTCGACCACCTCGTCGAACTTGCCGGGCTTCTCCACGTACTCCAGGTGGTAGGCCAGCCCCGAGCAGCCACGGTTTTTGACGCCCACGCGAATGAATTTGGGGTCGGGCGAATCCATCAGTTTGCGGAGTTGTTCGATGGCCAGCGGTGTCACTTTCATAGCGGCCTTTCTCGCCCGTAGTGGTCGTCGAGGCTTGGTAGCGGGTTTGGCTGTGTTTGTCGTTGTCGTTGTCGTTGACGTGGCGGCCGACGGGGCGGATCTAGTCTTCTGAGCCTCACCCTCTGGCATACTGATAGTGGAAGAGGTCTCAGTCGCCTGTCGCTCAGGCGGAAAGTCTGCGGAGATGGACGTGTCCGGGCCGCCCGTGCTGCGCGGCGGCGGGAAAGAGGAGGGCAGGGTGTGCGGACGGTACGCGGTGGCAGTTTGCATATCTCGCTTTGAGGACTGGTGAGTGTTCCCGTAGGAGGAGAAGGTGCGCAGCACCTGTGTGCGCTGTGCTGAGGGCTTGATGGCCCATCGGAGAAGGGTGGCGGATGATGTCACTGGACGCTGCATGGCGCAGAAATGCATGGACAAGGGGGAGTCAATCCGGTCAGGAGGAGAACAGGGTGAATAGCTTATAGACACATGGGAAAGAGACGATATGGGCGAGAGAGACAAGAGGATCAGGAGGTGAGTTGGTGGAAGTCTGTTTTGTTCAACTGAGATGTGCTGCATTTCCCTCGGGCGATTACTAAGCCGGGTGGCCGGACTGGTGGCCAATCAGGGCAAGGGCATTTCAGTACATCGGGGTGGTGTGATTCGGACCTGGATCATGCACGATTACGAAGGATTCTCTTTCGGTGCCATCGATTTTGCATCTGCTATTCGTCCGCCTACACCTGTCAATGCCATCGAGCCACGAAACTGGCGCTACCGGCAGCTGAGTCAGCCCCAGACGCAGACGGGCACAGTGGGAAATCCGGTGACGGAAGAAAACAATAGAGGAGAATAGAAGAAGGGGATGAATATCAATGAGAAATTAGAAGTAAATCAATATTTGTATAGAGTCAAGTCCCGAGTACAGACATACACCGCCCGAAGAGGACATGTGGCTGGTTCGGCTGACAAAGTGGCTGGTGGAACTTCGTGTTTCACTCATTCATTGATAACTAACTAAAGACCCATTTAATTATTAAGTCTCGAAAAGAAAAGAGTGTCTTCGGTGATCCCTCGGCCGCTGCCGATCTATCAACCAAGGACTCACCATGGAAGCCTCTCCCTTGACCCAGCAGGCCAGACCCGAGACCTTCAAGCCGAAGGTTGTCCACCTGTACGAGAACCTGTTCAAGGTATGCCTCCCACCGTTCCTCATGTGCGTCCCATCTGATCAAATTTCCAGTCCGCCGACGACACTGAACCCTCCGAGGGCTTCTGGCGGGAATTTTTTCTTTTGCCGCCAGACCGTGCACGGCTGCACGCCTTGCTGGACGGGTTGAGCCCCGACGACATTTTAGGACTGCAGGTGCGTAGTATATGCTTTCATTCATTACAGGTCTCTCGCTAATCCACGGCTTAGGCGCAAACACAGAATCTTTTTGCCCGCGCGCTGCGCGAGGCGGCATCTGGTGTCTCGCCGACAGACGCATATGCACTCGATGTGAGTATTTGCATGATGTATCTTTGGGGTCAGCTTCAATCTGACTCGCACTGATAGACACTGTCGGTCTTCCTGACCAGCGTGCTGAGCAAAAAATACACCAATCCTAGCTCGGACGTCATCACCGTTCTCGCGGGTCTGGATGCAGTGGACCGGGTCATCTCCGAATTCGTGGCTGTCCTTGACCGGATCATCCGCAATGGGGGTGGATGTAAGTCTTTCTGTATAATTGCACCCGCCAGTGTTTTAACCTTTACCAGTTGACCTCCGTCTCAAGGCCATCAAGGCCGCTATTGCAATGACCAGCGGAGCATACAAGACCAGTCTTGTGTCCTATTTCACGCACCGAGATCTATTCCCTTCATTGATGAAATATGTCCATGAATCTGACACCTCGCTGCAAATATTCGACCCCTTTCTTTTGCTCGGGCTGCTGGCGAACTACAACAAGTTTGAATTTCAAAACCCCTACCAGCTCCGGCTGGATGACTTTGTCAATGAGTCCAGCATCCAAAAGATTGTCAAGGGGGTCGGCCTGGCATGTGCGGGTCTGCGAAATGGTTATGTCGCGGTGCAAGACGATGTCCCGGAAGGCTGGACCTTGACGAGCACGTTGGTCTTCTTCGGTTTGCGCGCCCTGGCTCCCGGTGCACGGGTCAAGGCCAACCCCCCGACTGCGGAGGAGGCGAAAGGCATGTTTGCGACACTGTAAGTCTTCGTGCCATGAATCCGCTGGCCAAATTACTGATGCGTATCCTGCAGTCCCGCGCAAGAAGCCGCCATCTTGCTGGCCGCGTACGACTTCACCAACTCGAACAAGCTCTTCGGGTATCATCTCGTTCATCTGCCGGCAGAGAAGAGCAACGAAGAATCTCCTCTGTCTAGTTTCCTCTCTGTGTCCTCCTATCTTCTGCAACACGCATACCGCTCCGTCCGGTGTTCACACTACGCCGAGCTGAACCTGTTCACTCTTCGCATCCTCGTCGAGGACCCGACTCTCTGCAAGCACATCTGCAGCGAGGAGGGCAAGCGCCGCGTGCGGCTGTGTCGACAGAGACAGCCATACTTACCGCTCGTCGGTGGGGACCGAGTTGTCGCCACAGTCATCTTCGATATCATGATCGATACCATCTCCCACAACCTGCGCCGACGGCTAGACGTCAACATCTACAGGTAGGAACCGAGTGTCCCCAAACCTCAGACGTTCACTAATCGTGCTTTCTTCCAGCCATGCCATCGCAATCATCCTCCGCCTACTAACCTACCTCTCCATGAACAAAATCCGCCTCACATACCACTGGTCTGAGCTCTGGCGCACTTTACTCTCCCTCATGCGCTTCCTAACCACCTACGCGTCCGACCTCTCCACCAACCCACGCACGCAGACCCTAACCGCCTCGCTCGCCGATCTAATCGCCTTCTGCGTGTCCGGCGGCGACACCTTCCTCCCCGACCCAGCCTCCTACGACGACCTGTTCTACAAGCTCGTAGAGACGGGGCCCATTCTCACAAAGTTCCGCCGTGTCTTCACATCCCAGTCTTCCTCTAACGCGCCCGTATCCAAGCCAGCCGATGCAGCAGCTGCTGCAATAATCCCAACACCAGACACGCAACCCCGCCTCGCATCAATCGATACGCTCCTCTCCGTCTCAACGCACTTCTACACCTTGCTCTTTCAATCAGATGGCAGCACAGACCCTACCGCCACACCAGCCACTCCCACTGTCCCGGCAGCTGCATCTGACAGTCCAAATCCGGACGCTGAGCCAGCGCCCGTTGCGCTCCCCTCGATCAAAAAGAAGAATCTCAGTCCGCGCGAGGTCCACCGCATTATCAAGCAGGGGTACGATACACTGAGCATCCAGCCACCGGAGGGACTGAGTGTTTGGGCGAAGTGGCGCGAGACGGAGTGGAAGGGAGAGTTGAAGCGTGGAGCTAGGGTTGCGGTTGAGGATGCGAGGATGTTGGTTTCATAATGTGGTGTGTTGGTTTATTGGTTGGTTGAATGGGTTCAGTGAGTGATGAGTGACGAGGGAGGGAGGGCTTGAATGGATGATGGGGTTTTTTTTTGTTTCTATTTTCCTTTTTACTCAACAGATATCCCAACTAGAGAATGCATGCACAGTGCGTTACTTGATTATTATGTACGAAAAGCGCAGAGAATCAATAGTCACCATCTATGAAGAAGACAGAGAGTAGATAGGAGTTTCAATTCAATCTCAATTTTCCCTATGGCGCCCGCCGACAAACAAACCAACAATGTAGTCAAGACACGACAAGCTAAGAAACCGAACAACAAGGAACAGGGAACAGTGCATCCGAAAGCGACAAGAGAAAGAGCCTCTCTGTCCGGCATAAGCGGTGGTTCATCATTTATGAGTGCTCTCCGCGGGCACATAGTTCGTCGAGAAGTACTTCTCTGAGTGCCTGCTCAGCCACATGGCCAGCTTGGAGATTTCCTCGCGCAGACGGTTCGTGGATTGGAGGTCCATGTTTGTTTGGGCCATTAATTCGGGCATCGTGCCTGAAACAGCGTTAGCATAGTTATTCAACAGTCATCCAATTATGGGGAAAAAACTGAAGAAAGAACAATTAAAGGGCAGGGAGAGGGAGATGAGAGGGACTTCGAGAGAAGAGGAGAGGAGGAACATACTAAAAAGCCGAATCAAATGCTCCGCACCATAAACATCAATAGGCCCCTTATTCGCCAGCTCCCCGGTCGCCGCCTCGCACTTCTTGCGCAGATTGCGGTACTGCGGGCGCTCATACCGATACAGCAGAATCTTATCAAGACACTTATCGAAATACTCCTGCATGCCTGCAACGACCTCATCGAGGACATCTTCATCGGCCGCGGAACCACTGCGCTTGGGCTGCTCCTCGTCGTACCAGTCTTGCAGGATCGTGCGCACGGGGTACTTGGACGGCAGGGCGACGACGCACTGGTTCTTCGTCACTTGCTCCCAGTCGTCGACGAGGAGGGACTTCAGATTGTCTGGTATGATGATGCGTATGGATGGGCGCGTATGGAACGTGTCCTCCTGTATGTCATCGTAAGCACATGAATTGGTTAATAAAGGAGGAAAATACCTTTTCAATGTCATGGTCTCGGGCTCGCTTGGTGCCGCGTCCGGGCACGGAGCCGCGGTCTTCGCTGTCACGAGCTGAGCTACGGTCGGACGTGCCGCGCTTCTTGGCCGAGGGTTTGGCGCTCTTTGCACGCAGGGCAGACTCGGCTTCGCGCCGCAGACTGGTGGCCAGCTCGCGGTTGTCTTCTGTTGCTTTGCGGAGACGGTCTTCTAGGACCCAGTCGTCCCAGCTGAGGAGGGGCCGTTAGAGTCAGCATATTTCTTCGCTGGGGGGATCGTCTCAGTTGAGATGATTTCTGTTTAAAGGGGATTGGGAAGGGGAAATGAAGTATCATTCGTGTCTTTTGTTTCCGTGCTTCGTTCCACTCAGGCAAAAACGTGGCAAGGGAGTCGTCTCCTCAAACAGATGTTAAAACTTACGTGTTCTTCCAGCCCTTGTAGTGTACTAGGTACTCAAAGGGACTCTTGCGGTCGCTGGAATCCTTGTGTCTCAGGTCGAGGATCTTTGCATCGTACAGGATGTCATGGTGGAAGCAGAGCACCTTCTCCTCCTTGTTGTACATCGATGATGCATATGCTGGCGCCATTTTGACAAGACAGCAGTAAATAAAAATGAAGTCGGTTCAGACACCAGTTGAGTGACAGGGTGTCGAGATGATGGATGGATGCTCTCGCCTCGAATTCTCCGGACGAGCAAACTTAGGCTGGACTGGCACAACGCAATCAAACCGGAAGAGAGAAAGAGACAGATAAAAAGGCGAGAAGAACTCTCTCTGGAAACTCCGCGCTCTGGCTGGACTTTTGCTTGACTCCGAGACAACCGCGCTCAAGAGTGGCGATATCAGAGTCGGGCGTTATGGAAGAGTCGAAATGGCCAGCACCGCGAGGGTCACGTCCAGAGAAAATACAAGTTCAGATCGGAGCAAAAGAATAGGTTCAGTAGGCTAGAACAAACCGCTAAACATGAGAATCAGCGACGAGTGCAGGGTTGGTGGGAGGTGGTGTTGTCGCGGATTGAACGGGAGAAGCAAAAAGACGCGCCCCTTGACTGGTTCGATCAGTGGCGGGCCTCGCTTCTTCACCCAAACACCTGGTCGCTATTCTTGTCGCAACACCACCACAACAACATTAACCATACTGGATTCTTATTTCACTACGCGTAATTTATTCAATCGTTCATCATCCAGGGAGTCTGTCAATCAATCACTATGGCGCCTCCCTCAGAGGAATCCATCCTGAGCAACTTCCTGCTCTCCCCGGCGTCTCTGCCAACGGTAATGACGCTCCAAAAGTTCACCGAGCTCTTCCCCAAGCGTTTGCGCTCCCACCCACACATCCGGGCCCTATACCGGGAACTGCAGCAAGTGCGCGAGCAAGACATGGACCGCGTGAACTCGAACATCGACCTCGAGCTGAAGCAAGGCGAGAGGCAACGCGCGGAACTGCGCAAGGCCAGCAGGGCCGCTGGTGTCGATGAGTCTCAAGCCGACGAACAGCGCGAAACTGATCTCGATCTGCATCTGTTCGGGCAGTCTTCTGCCACTGCCGGTGCTGGTGCGCCGGAAGATTATCACTCCCCGGCGAGTCTCCTGGCTGCGATGGAGGCTGCCTCTGCGAATGTGGAGCGTGAGATTGCTGGTGTGGATGCGGAGGCGGCGCGGCTTTTGGAGATCTTGACTGCGTCGGTGGGCGATATGAGTGACCTGCGCTACGGCAAATTGCAGGGTCCATCGGGCTCGGCGGAGGACAGAGTCAGGGAGGCCATTCAGGGTTTGCGGACTCTGGAGGATGCGTGCTATCGGGGCAGCCAGGGGACTTGAGTGATTATTGTGTGACCAGCAACAAGTAAGTTGATTTCCTGTTGGCTATGGAACTTGAGCTGACTCTGCGAGTAGTTTCAGCATGTCTGGGACTTGGATATAACTGTCCAGATCTCATCTTCCGCCTGAGTTCATGAGAAGTCACGGCCACCTGCGAGAACTTCACGCGCTGGAGAAATCCAGAATGTTCCAACCAGTCGACTCTACTGGACCACAGAAGAATCTCGCCTACCAGCGCCATCTCCAACCGGCCTCGAGCGCCACAGTACCGCAACGCGCCGGAGAGGTTCTCGACACAGATCTGGGGACGCTTTTCTGAAAGCTGATCGTTTGGGTGCCAGGACCTAGACAGCACCTGCAGTCTGTCGAGTACTTATTTGTGTTGTGTTATAGAGTACTCCTAGCAAAAATTGGCATAGTTAGTCTTTTCCCTATAATTACCCAATCCGGCCGCTCCACGCGGATCGCGCGTCTCCCAACTTCAACGCGTCTCCCACCTCCACTTCTTCTTCACCACCGTCATTACCACCACACATCCTCTCTCCAACATGCCCTCAATACGCCTCCATCCGCGGCCCTCCGCGCCTTCACCAAACAATCCCAAAACACCCACACACTCAATCCACAACCCACTCCCACCCCTCCTCCAAACCCCCACAGGCCTCGCCCTCCTCGAACTCCAAGGCACAATCAACCTACCCACCTTCCCCGACTCCAACTCCGACTCCCAAGACGACGCCTCATCGCCCTTAGGGCCAGAATCAGAATCCTCATCCTCCTTCGAAACCCCCGTTGGCAAACTCATGTTCCCAAACTACAGAGCCCACACCGCACCCGACGACACCAAATGGATGAAGCGCGCGTATCTCTATGTCGGGCGATACCAGCGCATGACCGGCGAGGTGAAGAAGCTGCCGCGGCCCATTGCAGTGGTGCAGAAGCGGACCGGCACAGGCGTGGATCAGGACGAGCTCGAGGTAGTCGAGGTGGTGCGGTTTAAGATTGTTTTTCAAAGTCGGCCGGAGCCCGTGAATGATGTTTGATGTGGGTTGAGGATATATGGAACAAAACCAGATAGTGGCCCCGTCGCTCTTGCCATATTTGGAATATAACGAAACCAAATAGTAGGTCTTACCATATTTGGAATACCAATTTCCCATCTTCATCAACTCAACATGCCCTTTTTCCCGTTCAACATCAATTTTTCGTTGCCTGGAAATATGGCGCTCCCAATGGACGTGACCTTGCCTTCGCTGGCCCCCGGATGGGGGGACATGTTTCTATTCGCTCTCTGGACGTTCTCTTTCCTTCTTGCTGTGTTGGTGCCCGTAGGCACCTACCAGCTCGTCACTCTCTGAGCCCGATGGGCAATTCATCGGTAAATCTGGCACAAAGAGCTTATACAGGAAGTACTGACCAGCTATGTATAGCAAGTATTCCCGCCCCGCCACCACCGAGAAGGCCCCCGAGCCCGCCACCATCAAGCCCACCAAGAAGGCCTCCGAAGCCACCAATACCAAACCCACCAAAAAGGTTCCCGAGCCCACCACCGCCGAAACCGCCAAGAAGCGGTCCCGCACGTCCCCTGAGGGCGTTGCCCAGCCGGAGCAGGAGGAAGCAGGGCCGAGTTCCCTGGCCCCCGAAGTGCCGCGGCCCTCTCACACCGGCCAAGGTGATTCGTCTGACGCTTCCCTTGAGTCCGTCGGCTCGGCCTTGAAGGCCCACGACGAGGAGGAAAGGGCACAGACCCGCGAAGAGCGAGAGGAAGTGGAGGGCCATTGGAAGGTAAGTAGAAATAACGCACGTTGTATCATTGACAAGAGAGCAGATATACAAGCCATTTATTTGAACATATATGAACCGCACATACTCGTGAATGAACTGAATAAAAGTGATGCTCCTAAGTGCCTACAATTCTGTCAAAGACTGGTTTCAGATACTTGGGTACATGCACTAACGATGAATACAGGAGGAACCTGAATGAAGTGCAGAAATCGGAGGCGTTCTTCATGTATTCTTATTCTTTGTATAATTATCACCGTCGAAAAGAAAGGGAGGACCACCAGAGGATGGAGACTTTGTATTTTTATCTTTTTTGTATTCTTATCGTTGAGGCGAATAAAACTATATTATTATGCTTGCCCAATAAGAATTATCCCAATATGATGTAACTCGCACTTGGAACCGCAACCTTGTTCAAAGGGCCAGAAGTGCTTCGGACGAAAGGAGTGAAAATATTCAATCTGCTCTGACGCAGGATTGGAATCTTGCAAAAATATAGGGTCTAGGTGATTAGCAAATTTCTAATTAGAGAATATAATTACAAGGGTTATCGCTGAAGAGCCATCGATGCTCGCGATGCTGACGGTTTGAATACATGATATAATTATATGACCAGCATCCTGTTGTTAGGGCATTGTCGTTCTCACAATTCCCCTAATCAATTAGCTCACCGAAACGACTAGCTCAATGGCCGTAAGCGGCTATGACTGACAGTTTTCGCCTGGCCATCTAGAAGACGACGTCGTGTCTTTGGAGGGGGTTAGTGTGTTAGTGTTTAAGGTTGGGACGTGCGGTCATGATAGGCCACAGGTGACGTGCCTGCGCCGTGACCCTCAATGCTGTACTGTGTAAATGCTTTCCTTCTCTTTACCTCTTCCCTTCCTTCCCCAACTTCGAAGTCTTCGTTTCCTGCGCCCTCTTCCATAAAAGAATTGGCTCTTGGCGTCTAGAATACACAGGATGTCCAAACGCTTGCCCGGCGATAAAAGATCGGAGGAGATTGATCTGGAAAAGGCTGGAGATATCTATGCTCTGCAGAAATATAGATGGAATCACTGGCAAAATTCAGACCCTGCTATCAAGAGTGGCAAAATGGAATTGCTACTCTGTATAGAAGTTGCGCTTCGGGAGAACACTCAACATGAAGTGGCTCTTATTGAGAAGATAAGGCAGATTACCGATCATAATTCGCCTCTAGTTCAAGAATTACAGGAGCAGGTCTCAAAGCTTGCAAAGGAGTATTGGTTTCTAGAACGGCAATGGTGGTGCAGAAGGGCTTCATTTATGGACAGCACGCTGACCAGAGGAATTGAGCTATGGCGCTCACATCCGAAATGGTACATGCACCGTGTACTTCGCGAAGACTGCGCTGGAAGAGGAGGATGCTGTGGAAGAAACTGTGGGTGCTGTTCCAATCGCCAGAGCATCCTACGAAAGTTCGCAATCGGCCATTGCACTGTGGAGTGTTCCTGTTGCGAGCGAGCCCGGGGCTTTGAACTCGATCCTGAGCAGAAGGCACAAATTCAGGAGACATTCAAACTCGAACTTGGTGGTCCACATCCGTGGTATTATTGTCGGATTCGGCTCGCTTCTTTTATGGGGTTGATGGCTGGTAGCGACAGTAACCCATTTGATTTCATTGATGAACCGCCGCCCAGATATGTGCCGACGACGACATCTTGAGGAACAAGCATGCCAAAAGGGAAATGGGATCGGATTCAATTGATGAAATTGCTTTAATGCGAAGTTGTGGGCATCATATGCTTTGCTAATAAGACCCACTGATGCTTAATTTACAGGCTCCTCCCTGTCTTGCAATCAAACCCACCATTGCACTCACTTTCAACACTAAACGTAGCCTTGTTTAGCGCATCGTATTCTCAAACTCATTTCGTACCTCCTTAGCAAAAGCATCATCACTCAGAACTTTGAAAGCTGTAGCCGCCATTGCCTTACTTGTAGCAAAGGTTAACTGATGAGATTCCTCTGTCCTCGCAGCAGCTGTGAATTCAGGCGTGTGGTTTACAACACGCTCATCGGTCGGTATCCAGTAACATGGATGTATTCCAGGACAGGCTTGGGTGACATTTCCTAAGCATGATCATCAGTCGTCTCCATCAACAAATCCAGTTAAAAGGGCTATTACCCATATCTGTAGAGTAGGATCCAAGCCATGGTGCTACCTCGTTCAGGTTATCATACTGCGGGATGTCGAGCTTTTCCATCGCTGCCAGGTACACAGCAGAAAGAGCACGGCTGGGTCTCAGATCGGAATATTCGTTGGTCCTTGCGGATGGTCAGTATACTCGATTGAAGGGCGGAGGACAGTACCAACAGTTCAAAGTTGACCTTGCACCCGGTAGAGATAGCAGCGCCCTCAAAACAGCGCTTGGCCCGCTCATTCAACTCACGCGCTTCCTTTATCGTTTTACTCCTCAGATTATAGTTCAACACACTCTGTGGCGTGATGACATTCGGCGCCTCTCCCCCTTCAAGAATGACGATACCTATTCTCTCATAAGGCTTGATCTGCTGTCGAAGCAAGCCAATCCCGTTGTAGGCCATCACAGCAGCATCGAGTGCGTTTATGCCCTCGTGGGGCAACAAAGCGCCGTGAGCTGGCTTACCAGTAAACGTCGCCTTGACTTTGATACTGGCAACACAAGTACCAAAGGGGATGCCTTTAGAGAACCCCGTTGGTGTACTCATAACCGAGGCGGACATAGGATGCGCCATCAAGCTCGCATCAACGTCCTTGTACGCACCGGCATTGAGAAGTTTGATCTTCCCGCCAAGACCCTCTTCTGCCGGAGTACCGAGGAGACGAACGCGACCAGGAATTTGGTACTTTTTCAAAGCCGCGACAGTCCCTATGAATCCGGCGACTGAGCCCATGGCGATGAGATTATGGCCGCAGGCATGGCCGATCCCGGGTAGGGCGTCATACTCGCAGTTGAAGTTGACCACGCGCCCGCCAGAGCCATACTCGGCTGACAAAGAAGTCTCCAGCCCGTGGGCATGTTTGGTGACATTAAAGCCTTGACTGGTGAGGAAAGCGGCCACGTTGTCGTGGGCTTTGTGCTCGCAGTAGCCGAGTTCTGGATTGTCGTGAATCTGGACTGTATTAGAATAGATGCTGCTCTTTGGGATTGACTGGCCTATATACCTTGATACTGAGCTCTCTTAATTCAGGGCCCAACTCTTCGATGCCTTTGTCGATGGTGAGCTGTACATCCGCGTCTGTCGAACTTTGCGTCATCGTGAGGAGACTGTCTGCTCAGCACAGCCAATCGTATGAATGTGTGTTATATGAGAATGGAGAGACCTTCAAGGAAAAACACCAGTTTTTGGATACTGAGTGACACTGGTGGTTCAAAAACTTTAGCCGGTGCTTCTATTATCCCTAGTAGGACTAACCAGGACGTCTGACGTGCAAATGCCCGAAGGTCGCCGACTTTCTTCCGAGTGGCGGCTGTATTTTCAGAGTTGAAATTAGTTAGTGTAAAAGATCGGAAGATTAGCGACGCGGGGAAGGGTTATATGGTGCTAACCAAAACTGTCCAAGGGTGGGCGCTTCTTATATCTCAATTAGGGCTAGCGTGTGCGTATGACGTATAATTCCCGAGCGGTGTTGACCTTCTCCCGGACGGCGGCTGTATTTTCAGAATTGGAGTTAGAGTTGGACTCGATATACAAGCTAAGCGCGAATTTTGCCGTTTTGTCATCCCGATGCTGACACCGGTGGGTGTTTAAAATTCTATATATTTCCAAAGACCAATGGACGGTGTCAGCAGCCAGTCGCTGACGTAGTGGTAAGATGAGGTCCTTTCGCTTTAAAGCCATTCTAGAGAATTCTGGCTGGCTCGAAAATGCAGTTGTCTCCGTTGATGAAGCGGGAAGAATCGTATCTGTTTCACAAGACGAAGTTGTGGGCGCAGAATTTATGAATGGCTACGCTCTTCCTGCCTTTCAAAATGCGCATTCCCACGCCTTCCAATATGCGATGGCTGGACTCGCGGAAAACCATGCCGGCGAGGACGATTTCTGGTCATGGCGCGAAATGATGTACCAGCTGGCTCTCGAGCTCGACCCCGAGAGTTTGGAAACAATTGCTCAAATGTTCTACTCTGAGCTTGTGCGAAACGGCTATTCAAATGTGGCCGAGTTTCATTATATCCACCACGACAAAGACGGTGTACCATACACGAATCTTGCAGAAATGGGCGAAGCTCTTGTCAAAGCTGCACGAAATGCAGGAATCAAAATCACGCTGATCCCCGTCTATTATCAGAAGGGCAGCTTCGGCGTCGAACCGAACGAACGGCAGAAGAGATTTATCTCGAAGTCCTTCGACGATTACAAGCGGCTATACGACGCTTCTGCAGAAGTCTGCCAAAGATACCAGCACGCCAATGTTGCAGTCGGCGTTCATTCAATGCGTGGGGTCGAAGCGACGGATATTATACGCGCCGCAACCGAGCTGCCCGACGACGTTCCTTTCCATATACACATTTCGGAGCAGCTCAAGGAAGTCGAGGGCTCGCTAGCATTCCTGGGCAAGCGGCCAGTTGAATGGATCCTCGACAATATCAAATTGAACGAAAGGTTCCACCTGGTCCACGCAACCCACCTGACGCCGACGGAGACAGCAAATCTGGCAAAATCGCATGCCAACGTCGTGCTTTGTCCGAGTACGGAAGGCAATCTCGGCGACGGACTCTTTCCACTGAGGAACTATCAGGATTTCGGTGGCAATTGGAGCATTGGAACGGACAGTAATATCGGCTTGAATCCGCTAGAGGAATTGCGCCTGCTGGATTACGGACAACGACTGATATCTCACAAGCGCAATACGTTCGGCAGTGATGCTGGTTTGTTTGCACTTACGAAGGCAATAATTTCTGGGCGCCGGGCGATGAACAATTTCGAAACGGGCTTTTTCACTGTTGGTGCGGATTTCGACGCCTGTGTCATTGATGCGAATGCGCCGCTACTGGCTAATGTGAAAATGGAGAATTTGGCATCTTCAATACTCTACTCGGCCGATGCATCCCACTTTTGCGGCACTTTTATTGCCGGAAAGTTGATTCAAAAAGACCATAACTACGACTCGATAAAGCAAAAATTTGTGGAATGCGTTAACAGATTTCGCTAAAGGTTCAGAGGGGAGATCAGGAGATAGCTCAGATACAAATTCGAGACAAGCAAGAGACACAATACATCTCTATTTCGGCTGGAGAGGTCTCAAACCCCCGCAAAATCCTCAAAACTGCCTACAAGGCGCTTTATTGGCGGTTTGGTGTATTTTTCGTCGGAAGCGCTATTGCAGTGGGAATCGTTATCCCCTACAACGATAAAACTCTAGTCTCGATTTTGTCCGGAGTAGCTTCTGGCTCAGGAACCGGAGCCGCGTCGCCATATGCCGTCGCCATATGTCATCGCCATGCAAAATATGGGCATCTCTATCCTGCCTCATATCACCAATGCCCCGCTTATCACGAGCGGCTTTTCTGCCGGAGAGTGCCTCGAAATGATATGCAAACGAGAAAGGGTCGAGGCAACGGTTTAAGCAGTTGGACAAGAAGTATGCACATGATAAGATAACTTCGTGACTGTATAAGGTATCCTATAGACAAATCCAGTGCTATCTACCGAGGTACGTAGGTGTCTCAAATTCGCAGCCCATACAAGACGCCCCAAATCAGATTCCATGGAAAGTAGGAATGTGGCGCTGTTTATACTTCGTAGATCCGCCCGTGAGTACCCGAGCTGCAACGCAAAATATTTCCCTTCCTCACCTCGCCTCTCTTCTTCTCATGGCTCAATGACACCTTCAATACACGATAAAATCATGCCCATCTTGCCCCAACAGAACAACAATGACCTGTTCCCGTCCAATCTGGGCCCCGAGTACGTCGGCTTCGACCACATCCACTGGTGGGTTGGCAACGCCAAACAAGCCGCCTCGTACTACATCACCCGCATGGGATTCCGCCCGATCGCCTATCGCGGACCAGAAACCGGATCGGCATGTTTGACCAGCTACGTCGTCGGGAACGGGGACGCGGTGTTTGTCCTCACTGCTCCCGTGTGCCCACCTGGCAAGACCACAGATGAGCAACAATTATCATCAACAGCTACAAAGGAAGACCGGGCTGCGCTGGCTGCGGTCCACGCGCATTTAACGGCTCACGGAGACGGGGTCAAGGATGTTGCGTTCCGGATCAAGGGGGATATCGGGGCCGTGTGGAAGCGGGCTGTCACGCACGGCGCGGATGCGCTTGCGTCGCCGGCGGCGATTGCTGTTGATGGGCATGGCGCGATCCAGATCGCTACAATAGGCACGTACGGCGACACGGTGCATTCGCTGGTGAATCGCGACGAGTACTCCGCCCAAGCGCCCTTCCTGCCGGGGTACCGTGTGCTACATGGCGACGACGACGATCCCATCAACACCCTCCTGCCGCCGATCGAGTTCGTGGAGATTGATCACTGCGTGGGGAATCAGTCCTGGGGGGGCGTGGACAAGGTAGTGCGATAGTAGGTGGAATGCGTATCAAGATCATGCACTCAAAGCTGACGGAAAGAGCAGTTATGAAGAATGTCTCGATTTCCATCGCTACTGGACCGTGGACGACAAGGATATGTGCAGTGAGTACTCGGCGATGCGCTCAATTGTGGTCGCGTCCCCGAACGAAACGATCAAGATGCCAATGAACGAGCCTGCGACGGGGAAGAAGAAGTCCCAAATACAAGAGTACCTACCTCCTCTTCCCTTTCATCTATCCCAATCATCAACCTAACTTCTTCCAGATTTGTAGAATACTACCACGGCCCCGGCGTACAACACATAGCCTTCCTGACCCTGGACATCGTTACCGCCGTATCCCGGCTCTGCTCACGCGGTGTGCAATTCCTCCACGTTCCCCCAGCCTACTACACCGATCTGCGCGCGCGCCTCTCGCACGTCCCCTGGACGCTAGACGCCGACCTGGCCGAGCTGCAGCGGCTGAATATCCTGGTTGATTTCGATGAGCGCGGATACCTGCTCCAGATCTTTGCGAAGCATGTTGGGGATCGGCCGACGGTGTTTGTGGAGGTGATCCAGCGGAGGGGATTTGATGGTTTCGGAGCGGGCAATTTCAAGAGTCTTTTTGAGGCGTTTGAGAGGGAACAGGCGCGCAGGGGGACTTTATGATATAGACATAAACGCATGGTTCACGGAGCATCCCATTTACCATATCTAGACTCTAGCCGAACCCGACAATAGAGAATGAATGGGTATATCATTGACCAGACGCTAGTAGTCACTAGTTCCAAGCTTGCCTCAAGTCGTCCTCATCAGTTCCAAGGATCACCGCTCAGCATGCGGACGAAGGTGCGCAAAGTCCGGATCCTGCAAAGCGCGCTGCATAACCAAATTGAAAAGACCTGGCATCCGGGGGCCCCCCGTCCACCGGGTGCCCCAGGTCCATACAACCCGTATTCATGCTCGGGGTCAAGGCCATACTCAATGTTATCGTCCAAGTCATCCAGAAAATCCGACATTTCATACGGCGAGATCATGAAATCCACTTTCGTGCCCTGGAACAGATCGTGCAGAGAGCGGAAGCATTGTTCGGGCGTTTTCCCTGGCGGAATGCGCTGCCCGGGAAGTTTGATCGGCTTGGTGACATCGATCGCGAGGATTCTGAACTCCCTAAGCGCCGGGTACAGTCCCTTTTGGACGTCTTCCGCGATGTTCTGGACCAAGTCCCGAATCGAGGAGTTGCAGTCGGTGATACGGAGCATTTTGAGGGAGGGCGGGAACTGAGGGTGTGGTGGCAGAACAGCATGTGGGAGTATGATGGTGTCGAGGACGGCGAAGTCGCGAAACGAGCCGATCTTGGGACGGCTGGACATGTATGCCTGAACGCGCTCGATGGTCTCGAAGGCCCCTATGTCCCGATAAAATTCGACGTGGAAATGTTCCAGAGTATCCTTGTGCAGGAGGGCGGCTTCGTGGGCCTGCGCAGCGTTGAACTCGCTCGTGGCTCTCTGTTTGATGGTGTGGACCACAACGTGGTCTGGATTCATGGAGAAATTCTGATAGGTGAAGGATCTCAATGTCTTGCACGCCTGCATGAACTTTTTGATCGCGCCCGCGTCGAGGTGGCAGTGGTGGAAGGCCACTTGCTCTGTCGCCAATGTGCCCGGCGCCCAGGTAGAGGGAAATGATGCGTCGACGAGATCGCCGTACTCGAATGTCGGGAACGTGAGTTTGGGGAGGGTAAGGAAATGCTTGTAGTTAGCAATATTGTAGCCCTTGACATATTCTTCCACGTCGCTTTCGATATGGACAGACTCGAGGTTCGACAGAAACGATGGATAGTGACTGAAGAGACGAGTGAGTGGCTGCAAGAAGAATCCTTCGCCGGGCAGATGTAGTGCACGAAGATTGGGGGTCTGATGCGCCAGCAATGCGACAAACACGCCGACGGAGCCTTTCTTCGCCGCCGGTATCCAGACTTGTTTCTCCTGATCAGCTAAATCAAGGCCTTGGATGACGCCTGTGAAGAACTGGAAGTCATCTTCGGGGAGCCGCCGAGGGCTATCTTTGCCTGGCTCGGGCACGAGAGGCGTAATGCTGATCATCTGGACATGCTTTCCGAGCTCTGGCCGACCATAGAGGATTTTGGCGAAAGTCATGGTCTTGACGATACCACCTTGCCACCCATCCTCCTCGAAATAGCGGAAGAGACGCGGCTGGGCGAGGGCGCGGAATCTCTGCGAGACGAGACAGATATTGCGTAGACACTCATGCTCGTGATGGTCATCGTCCTCCTTTTCCATATCCTCATCGTCATCCTCATCCTCGTCCTCATCCTCGTCCTCATCATCATCATCATCATCATAGTCGTCGTCATCCCAGTCGTCCCGCTGTAGGTCCCTTGGCAGTTCCCTCTGCAATTTGTTCACCGTGTCTTCCCTGCCTGCCGCGCTTTTATAATCGTCGGGCTCGGCAATAAAAGACAGAATGTTTTCCAGGAGCTCTGTTGGGAGGTCCTGGATGTGGACCATATTGGAGATGAGGTCCTACCAAGGGTCAAGGTGGGTGGTGGAAGGTTGTTTGGCGACGCGTCGTGGCGCGTTGAGGAGGGACGATGGTGCGTCTAGCCTGATGTAGACCGTGGGGGCAGAATGGGATTGTTGGTTATTGGGACACAGCAGGTAACGAGCAGCCGTCCCTATCGATAGTAGGGAATAATGTAATCGGCAAGTAAACAAGCAATATTCGCAATTTGGAACATTCTCTAAAATGCGATCAAGTATACTCTAAGGATCACTCTATACGCAGGTAGCATTCTCCACACCCAAACTACAAAATATATATTGAATCGCTCTGGTGTACGCGCACCATCTTCCTAATCCATTCCCCCCCCCCCCTCCCTGATTCCCCCTATTCAAAACTCTGAACCTTGAATTGAGTTGATCCACCAAATTAAGTTTCGGCACTGATATTACACAATGTTATTGAACAGGGGAACAAGTCTTTGGGCCCACTCCAAGTTTTACTAGCGTGTGCAGGTCCTTTGAGAGAATACTGTATATAGTGGAGGGACTAGTTAGCGCGCATTCACAACACGCTTCAGTAGTCATAAATGCCAACAGAGAAGTGATTTATTACCTCCATAGTCCTAGTATTGAGACTTGCAATCAGATCCCCGGATTTTGTTTTACCAGACGTACTAGGCCTTACGAAATCCAAGGATCCGGACATCGGGGACTGGCGCGTGGGGGCGTACAGTACGGTAAGTCCCCGGTTTTGAGGGATTTGGCTCATGCCAAACCGAGGATAGTGCGGATAGTCCCCTGTCTCTCACTCTTTTCGACCTGCTTTCAACTCTCCTTCTGCGTCAATTCCCTTCCCCGACGTTTAATTTTCTCCCACTAACTCACTCACCCCTGCAACATGGAAGAAAGCGGAGGGACCCTCCGGCAGAGGCACACGACCGCCACTGCCGACGCCGATGCCGATGCCGACGCTTCGCTGGAGCGAATGGGCATTAAGTCCGACCTCAACCGTCATTCGTTCTCGAACATTTCCATGCTTGGCATGGCGTTCGCCATCGTCAATTCATGGTGTGCCATTGGCACCACAGTCAACGCGTCCCTGCCATCTGGCGGGCCCAGCAGTGCCGTGTGGGGCATTGTCATCGCCGGCATCTTCAACATGTGCTGCGGGGTGTCGCTGGCCGAGTTCCTGTCAGCCTACCCGACGGCGGGTGGCCAGTACCACTGGGCGGCTGTGGCCAGTTGGAAGTCAACGAGACGGGCCGTCAGCTACATCACCGGCTGGATTAACCTCGCCGCGTGGGTGTGTCTGGCCGGGGCCAACTGCCTGCTAGTCAGCGGAATCATCATGAGCTATGCCCAGCTCATATACCCGACCTTTGAGCCACAGCCGTGGCAACGACTCCTGCTGTACATTGCCGTCGACGTCATTGCCTTTAGCTACAACCTGTTCGCCAACCGCTTCCTGAGCCACTTGAACAAGTACAACATGTTCTTTACTCTGGCGGGTTTCGTCGCAAGCCTGGTTGCCATCCTAGCGTGCGCGGCTCCAAACTTCCAAAGCGCCAAATTTGTGTTTGGCGGGTTTATCAATAAAACTGGCTGGACGAATGGTTGGGCCTGGCAGCTGGGTCTGCTACAGGGGCAAGTGTCTACCTTCCAGAAAGAATCACTATAAGCTAACGCCGTCCCCAGTGCATTCTCCGTGACGGCCTACGATTCCACCATCCATATGATTGAAGAGATGCCGAACCCCACCACTCAGGGCCCCCGGCTCATTATCTACGCCATCGGGATGGCGGTCGTCACGGGGTTTGGCTACATCGCCGCCGTGCTCGCCGTGATCAGTAATATCCCGAAAGCCATCAATTCCTCAGAACCCCTTCTGGAGATCTATTACCAAGCGACGCAGAACAAGGCCGGCAGTATCTGCCTGATGATGTTCCCCCTCCTCTCCTTCGTCCTATGCGCCATCGACGACATGGCCACCAGCGCCCGGGTGGCCTATGCCCTAGCGCGCGACGGCGGCATGCCCTTCAGCAGCCACTTCGCACGCGTGAGCCCAACCTACGGCGTCCCCGTGACGGGACTCGTCTGGTGTTTCGTATGGGACATCATCTTCGCTCTCGTCTTCCTCGGCTCCGACGACGCCTTCAACGCCATCGTCTCCGCCGCCGTCGTCTGCTTCACCATCACCTACGCCATCCCCCCGGGAATCAACATGCTGCGCGGCCGCCGCATGCTCCCCGAGAACCGTAGCTTTTAGCTCCCCAACGCCATTGGCTACATCTGCAATGCCGCCGACGTCGCTTGGGCACTACTTACTACCGTCCTCTTTATCTGGCCTACGTCGAGCCCGACCAACGCTGTCAATATGAATTACTGCATCGTCGCCTTCGGCGTTATTATCGTCATCGCTGGCTCGAATTGGATCTTCATCGCTCGCAAGACTTACACCCCGCCTGCCCTTGAACTCGTCCACGGCCACGGCCACGTTCCAGTCCCGGTTGAAGCGAGCGAATTGACGGATGAAAGCAAAGCGGGCCAGGTGGAGGCGCATGGTCTTGAAAAAACGGAGTAATTAGATCTTGACAACGACCATGGGAGTGGGACGGGTAGGAGTTAGGAGTATGCTCAAATCCCTCGATGGCTGCTCAGTTCGTTGGGGAGGTGGCAGGTGGCTTTATAGTCCCTGCTTCCTCATCCCCTATCAATCACTAACTGAACTAGTTAAGTTAGTTAATTAGTTAGTTAACTAGTTAACTATTGGGGCTGATTCTGAGTCATTCGTGCGCGTGCTGCTGCTGCTGCGATCAACGCATGGGCGGATAGCATTTACTCGTCCCCAAGTCGGATCCCCAACAGCTAGCGTTGTGTGGCGCGCGGTTGGGGGCCTGACATGGGGCCCGAGTATTAGCTACCTCCAGGAAGCGTAATCGTCCTCCTTTTTTTCATATCTGCCATGGCGACGCCGCAAGAACGACACCCAGACCTGTTTCGCCCCGTTAACAGCGATTCCCCCCGGGGAAGAAGCGGACTGTTCCACTGGAATGCATGTGCCTAGGGTTCAACCGGACGGGCACCGCGTGTAAGTGTAGCCCATCCGCCAACCCTCCAAGAAAATTAACGACACTAACCCACCCCGCGACAGCGATGTGTAATGCCCTCGAAATCCTTGGCCTCCCCTGCTGGCACTCTACCCAATTCATGGGCGCCAGATTTGGCGACATAGAGATGTGGCAGGAAGGTATTAACCGCAAGTTCTTCGACGCGCCAGGCCCAAAATACGGGCGCGCCGAGTTCGACCAGCTGCTACACGACTACGGCGCTATCTCCTCAGACACGCCGGTCATCGCCTTCGCGGACGACCTAATAGAGGCCTACCCAGACGCGAAAGTTGTCCTAGTCGAGCGCGATATCGACTCGTGGTACGAGAGCTGGATGAATAGCGTGATCAAGAATACTTTCGACCCCTTCGTGACAGTCATCTACACTATTGACCGGTGGTTTACCCACCCACTCGGCCATGTGCATAAGTCCACCCTTCGTGGTTGGTTAGGGATTAGGAATCCCGAGGATGCAAAGCGCGTGAGCAAGAAGAAGTACCTTGAGCACTACGCGCTCGTGCGGCGGCTTACACCTGCCGACCGCCTGCTAGAGTATAAGATAAGTGATGGGTGGGGGCCCTTGTGCGAATTCCTAGGGAGACCTGTGCCCGATGTGCCGTTCCCGTATCTTAATGAGAAGAAGTGGTTAGATGAGAAGGTGCAGATAGTGTTGCAACGAGGCATGAAGCGGTTGGCGTGGAAGGTGATGATATGGTTTTTGGCGCCGCTGGTGGTAGCAGGATTGATTTATAAGGCCTCGAAGTGAAATAGGTTTAGAGCGAATTTGTATATCGAATTTACTGTATAGTATCGCTCCCTGAGGGTCTAATTTTACTGGTCTGCATTATTTTGTTCAACACCTATCTTCGCCATATTCGCTAACTAATTCACTAACGTATTCGTTAGGCGAGTTGCGCAGTCCGGCACACCCATCAAATCATATTTTGATATCTGAGCGCCTCTGTATCATGGATCTTCTAAGCCAAGTTTGGCATACTGATCCACAAATTCATCGAACAGCTTGTTGAGTCCGAGAAGATTCAGCGGGTCCTTGTCGTCCTCTTCACTCATGAAGCACAGCATGTTATGGAGGTCAAACGAAATGGCCAACATATATCCGTATTCGGATTCTAGAAACACCTGGTCCCCAGTATCCGAATCCCCGGTCAGTGTGTTCCACTGTCTGGTATACACCTCACAGAAGTGTCTCTTCTCCTCCTCGGTATACCTCCTGCACCTTGCAATCTTGCTCTCGTCATCAAACCATTTGAACATCTTCTGCATGAAGTGGCCGCCAATGTCAAATGCTCGGTAGTTCTGCATCACAAACTCAAAGTCAATCAGCGCAACGCTGCTCTCTCCGTCCTTGGGATTATTCTTCACCATGACGTTCCCGAACTGGATATCATGGATACACCATGCTGCCTTTCCTCCTATGGACTCCAGCTTATCCACCACTTTCCTCACCCTTGTTCCAAAGTCGTAGTCCACTAGCCCGTCCACACTAACGCCTCCTTCTTTACCAAGTGCCTTTAATTTGTCCATCATGTAGTACTTCTCGAGTCCATCGATGATAGCTTCATAGTATAGCTCGACAGGCTTTTTCTCCAGCGCCGGCTTCAAGACATGGAACATGGCCAGCCCTTTAGCAACATCCGCTCGGATAACCGACTTCTCAACATCCTCCGGCTCCATGTTCCGTGCCTCTAGGAACTCATCGATTCTCCCGAGCGTGCCATCCCGCGTCTTGAAGAATCCATAGACGTTGGCTCCTAGTCCGGACCGACCGTACTCGTAACAGAGAAGTGCTTCCTCCTGCTTGCTTGGTGCCAGATTCTTGAAGACGTCGAGGATGCCCCCGGTGGCATTACCACTATGAAACTTGATAAACACCTTTAATGGCTCCATCGGTGAGTCTGTGCCTGTATCTGGCTTCGGCTTCGGTCGCTCAACGGGACAGTGAGCGTTGGCAAACGATGCATGGTATGACATGGTTAGGGTCTCGGGATCCACAGTAGGCCATTCTTCCGTTAGGAATGTGCCGATGATGTCTCTGACATCCTGTTTGGTTGGGACTTTGTCTTCGCGGAGAGTCACAGGAACGGGCGTCAAGGTCGCCATCTTGTGGCAGAAGCGGAGGTGTGACTGCGATGAAATATGTGCTAACTAGTAGTGCGATTATTTATTAGGAAACTCCACAGTTGTTGAATAGTGTCCGTGTCGCGCCTCAATCGCGAGAATGATTGGTTCAGCGGTGAGTCGGGGTCTCAAAGTTGCTTAGCGCCCGGGGTCCGGACATGCCGATCTATACAAGTGATCTTGACTCTACAGTTGTGTTCGAATTTAGTTACAGAGAAGTGCAAAACGGGTTTCGCCAATTTGCACTGTTCACCTAATTCTGGGTCCCATTGCCGAGACGCCAGCTCATAAAATGAGTGCAGTGCTGTGAACCTTCGTATAATTCATATTCTGTAAATGATGCTCAGAGGGAGAATGACGTACGGTATGTAAACATGAAGAGCCGGCGAGTGTTCCGCTCTGAACATGTTACTCCGCAAGCCATCAAGAAAGGAAGCAACCGATGAAGACATGAAACTGGGTCTAATTCCAAAAGACGCAAGCTCCAAAAAGCATTCGCCATTTGAAGGAAGCAAGCATCAAGCTAGGAAGTGCTTGTATCCTATGTCCTTGACAAAAGCCTGTTGCCAAGGACCCTGAACCTTGTGCTCCGCGAGCTCAGTATAGAATTTTCCATGTGCCTCTCCATCGACCTCAAAGTATGCGGGAGCCCCATCAGCCTTCCGCTCATCGGCATAATAGAATCTGCCTTCGTCAATTTCAAAGCTATTGTAGCCATAGGAAACGCTTACTTAAAACCTCTATTAGAGTACGCGGTAGCAGCAGAGCGAATGATGTAGGCCGTTGCGGATTTACCCACACCAGCATCAAAAAGATTGGCTATAGTGGTCTCGTTAAGTACATTACCAGTGTAGATAAAGGTCTTAGACCTATACTTAGGGAGTTGCTCGAAGCCTAAAGCCGCCTGTTGCATAGCGACAAACGCACTAGTCGTATTGATGTGGAAGTCACGACTAAACTCAGCCAAGGGAAGAGATAGAGGATCATCTGGATTGTTCAAAGTCACAGCAGCAGCTTCAAGGGCATTAGCGGGGTTCCAGTCAAGATTTTACGAGGAATATACTTACCATTGTAAACAACAACGCTTGGTAGGCCGAGTAATGCCTCAACTTTCGAGAAGATGCCCTTCACAGAATGAGGATCTGATAGGTCGGCAGAAATATGGATTTGGTCCGCGTTGCTATCTTCTTCCTTACGACTTCTAGATGCAAGCGCAGCTTTGTAGCCCTTTGCGGCAAAGGCCTCAGCCACATGCTGCCCAATATTGGGACCTGATCCGAGAATAAGAATAACCGGAGACGTGCTAGCCATACCTGACTTTGTATGAATTGACAAGAGATACTGATCACTGAGGAAGATATACAGATCTTAATATATTAGCTTCAATGATCAAATAATAGTTCTATCTGGATTATCAATCCGCTTGTTTGCTAGTTTTGCTCTGTTCGCTTGAACTTTATCATATGGGGATGGCAAATTGAAATTGCGAAACCGATCTAGTCAATCAGGACAACTGGATACTGCGAGTTGAGGCGACGAGAAATCAAACTTGATCTGGAGTCATGGGTTTAGTTAGATTCAGGGTAATGATGACTCAGTAGACGCAGCCCCTTTGAAATGAAATTGAAATGAGAAATAAAAGTGAAATTACACCTTCCCTATCATCATAATCTCCCTCTAAATCAAGTTGGTTTTGTTTGCATCATAGTTTGTGTTGTTTGAGTTGATAACTAAGGACCAATCAACGCCGATCCGGGCGGGTTGGTTTTGTTTGCATTATAGTTTGTGCTGTTTGTATTGAGAACTAAGGACCAAATCAACGTCGATGACAAATTGCAGGAGTTATTTAATTAGTTGACAAGCAAATGGCAGCTGACCTGTACCCTTAATTGCAAGAGATAATTCACTACGTAACTTAGTTAAATATCCAGCCTAGCAACTGTTTAAGAAATGCGATGACAGATGCAACTCCTAGTTGAGGATGATGAACAACATTTCAGGACGGCGGAGAGAAATTGCAAAGGTGTTTTCAATGTTATGGGAATACAAAGTAATACAAAGCTCCCAGTCCACAGTTGAGCGAAGGATGAAGCGAGTACAAGTCAACTTTGAGAAACTTTCGAGAGAAGCATTTGGATGATACGGAATGTTACAGTCAGCTATCGGAGTTTCGCTCCTATCATTTACGCTTGATGAATCTGGCTGCGATAAAGGGGCTGGGCTCAGGCGGTAAATGCAGGTACTGTATAAGAAAAAGGCCGGCAACATGCTGGAACAAATAATCAAATTAAACGACACTTGTCTGGTGGAGATCCTGGAGTTCACCCAGCCTGGAATCAAGTAACGCTAGCTGTTTGTCAAGGCGCTCAAGGATCTGTGCCGTATCTCGATGCGATGACGCTTTCGCCGCTGTATCTCGCAGCAACTGCGCTGCTTCAACATAGGTCTGGACATGTCGGTTGAAACGATCGTCTCCATTGTTCTCGTGGGTGGAACGAAGCAGACTTGGGGTGCCACGGTTGCAAAGTTCAATACCGCGTTGACAGGACCAAAAGCACAAGCCCGCACAGGCATTGCGCAAAACAGATGGTGCGAGATCAACCAAAGAGTGTCGGTCATCATCTTGATTGAGAGTGGCCTGCCGCTTAATCCACTGACAGATATCGACCATGTCGTTCAGTGCGCGTACACTTGCATATTCGACTCGTATTGCAGTTGTCTCTGCCTCCAGGCTTCTCTTGTCATGTATACCGTAATCTGAGACGCAGCACTCAATCTGCATTAGACAGTTTAGCTCTAGAGCCCATAAGACTGCACGATAGAGATGAGTATGTTTTTTTATTTCACTGGAATTTGGCTCGTCGAGGTCTCTAGGCGCCAGTCCACCTGCACTATCTTTGTACCTCCGTAGATATTGCGGACAGATGTTGTTGCTCCAATGATAGAGTTGCTCATACGAATCGTGGACATCGTTCGGGTCGACGCCTTGACATTTTGCCAGAGGGCTACACAAAGTCTGTGTAATTTTGCGGGCAACAATAGCCAGGGCAAGAATAGCATCAAAATAGTCCTTGGTTTCATGCGGCAAATGACTGTCGTTGCGGCCGACGTCGTTATTTGGGATGCGCGATATTTGTTTGCGGTCAAGGCAGTGAAATGCGTCAAGTCCATAGACATGCCAGTAGAGAAGCACACGACGCTCGCTTGCTCTTGCCAGTTTTGCTGACGAAGTTGAATCTATGGCTTCACAATCGAGAATTCGATAGTTAATCGTCATCAAAACGAGCGATTCGTGTGTAAGAAAAAGCCTTCCTAGGTTCGAAAGAAGAGGTAGACTGCCCACATCTTCGTATTCGAAATTAACCATGAGCGCCAGAGCTTCAAGGTCATCAAGTCTGATACTTTCATTATCAGTTTCGTTGCTCCGAGCAGTGAGAAATGTCTCTCGGAATTTGCACGCAAGACGTTGTTGAAGATCCCATTTGTTTGGTGCTCCAGTGAAGGGCATACCGCAGCAGGTAACGGCATATAGAAGTAATTCACTGCACCGATTCGCGTGATAGTCCTGCCAAAACGCATCCGCGAGGAGAATTGGAAGATATGGGGCCGCAGAATCGAAGTAGGAACGCAGTGCTGCAGTGTAAATAGCCGCGTCTGCAGAGTCACCCATCCAAGAACATGAATCAAGCGCCCCACCGGGAAAGATAGAAACACGCCCATACTTTTCTCGGCTATCGGTCTTGGTATTGTCGGAGGTAGAAGGAGGACCTTGCAGGCCGTGACTTGGTCCGTGGTTGTTCCACTCCGTTGGTTCGCAGTCACCCATGAAGACTTGGTCGAGAAAAAGCATATTGTCGGAGCTTAGTGCGAATGGGTCATCAGCAAATAGGTCATATGGGGAATTTGATAGTGCCATATGGCTATCTCCTGTTGAAAGGGAGACGAAGTTTGATTCTGAAGCAACCTGCGAGGTCTGTTTCCGTCGGTTACCCAGGGAAGTATTTGATACATCCATCTGTGATTCTCCAACGCTGACTTCCACAATATCTCCGCGATCGGTAACTTGGCGGCGCCGCCGGATACGAACATCATCCGAGTCATCAAGACGACATGGTATTTCCCGACGTGCGCACTGCGAACATGTAGCCATGCCTTGTCTAGCGCGCAAAAATCGGTCACATCTGACCTTTCGTCGATGGCAAAAGTCGCATGATACTCGTTCCAATCCTCGTTTTAGCGCCATTGGAGATTATCTGAAAGAAACTTCCGTCGAGTGGGCGAGTTCAACGATGCGAGACGGAGGCGGAGAAAGCGCGGGGATTTGACGGGAGTAGCGCGCAGTAAGCCTACCGCACTGGTACATCCGGCGGACATAAATGGATCAAAACCAAGAGATACGTCAAGGTAGTGTCGACACACTTTAAATATGGAGATCCAAAGAGGTCAAGTCATTTAGGTAAGTTCTTGTCTCCGTATTCTCGAATGGGCTTATTATTTCCTCAGGCTAGCCAAGCAGGGGTGCGTTAGTGTCATTCCCGGAGATTGTGCGGAGGTTCCGCGGTAGTTTCTCAGAAACTTGCAGGCAGCAGCGAAGGGGGATTTTTTGGGCTAAACAAGTCTTGATATCTCCGATGAAAAGTTTATCGCTGAAAGGTACCTCTCTAAGACGACGCGAAATCTCCGTTTGTCGTTGTCATATATAATGTAGTCTCCTTGGTCATGAGATGGGGAGATCAGATCAATCAACGAACTGCACCATGGATCAAAACCTTAATATGTATGGATACTTACCCAGCGAACCTGCATCGTTCTTTGGAATTATATTTTTTGGGACCTCAATGAGCATATGCATCCTGCAAATGGCATTCGGGCGGTATAGGCACTATTGGATGATTACGCTTGTGCTTTTCGCCCTGGGGGAGGCAATCGGCTGGGGAGGGCGCCTTTGGGCTCATTTTGATGTGAGTTTCATTCTGAATGAAGAATAAATTGCTAATCAACATAAGCCGACGAGCTGGATGGCTTTCATGATCCAAATTTGCAGTCTCATCGTCAGCCCTGTCTTCCTGTCTGCTGCGGATTATGTTCTCTTCTGCAAGCTGTGAGTGAATTGACCGAAGATTCAGAAACAAGATGTTGACAAAGGCAGAATCGGAAAGATCAAACCCCGCCTCTTCCCCATTCCATCCACAATTTTCTGGGTTGGCTTTATCATTTGCGACATCATCGCCTTAGCCATTCAGACTGTCGGAGGAGTCCTGGTATCAAGCGCAGAGAGTTACGAACAGATTAGCCACGGCGGAGACGTTATGCGTTCAGGAATTATCTTCCAGTTCAGCAATACGGTCGTTTTTGTGGTCCTCATCCTAGGAGTAATATTCCTACTACGGAAAAAGAGAACACCGGTCTTGCAAGGGAGATGGCAAGTAATGACAGCTTTGTGCGTATCAACCCTCACTATACTGATCCGGAATGGATATCGTATCGTCGAGCTGTCGGATGGATGGAAGGGTCATCTGATGCACACGGAGCGATATCTCATCGGTTTGGACATGGTACCTATGGCTGTTGGGATTGGGGCTTTTGTTGTTTTTCCTCCTTCGTTCTTTTTACACGAGGAGAAGAAGCTAGAGATCAACTCAATGGAGTTGTCGGCATAGCTGTACCTAGCCATGAGAACAGAACACTCTGATAGACATATAAGAAGAAGATCCGTTTACCCGGTGATACGATTGAGACAGATTGTGCAGGTAATAATCTCTCGAATCAGCGTTTTGCTCTTGAACACGCTGCCGTACACACCTTGCGACCAACTTCAACGACAGGGGATGGGTGAGGAAGCTTGGTTGCTGCCGTCCCTACATTAGCTCAACACCGCTGGCGCACATTTTCTCATGTTCTCCCCGCTTTTCCTTGTCCTCTGCAGTGAAAGAGGGTAGAGAAGGAATACCGGTTCAACAAAAGTTGACAATTTCTCCTGAAGTTTCATCATCAGCAATAATAAGACTCGATCTAGGCTAGGGAGCAGACTACATAGAAACTCCACTAGTACCATTATTAGAAAGTGAATCTCTACGATCAACTTACTAACTACTATTACCGAAAGCACCGAAGCGCCGAGAACCTTTTTTCAAGCCTCAAAAGAGCCCCAATGCATTCATATAGATGGCCCCCAACAGTTACTAGTTCCTACCTCCACCGTATCCTTACAAATAGGAATCTCGCGTTCGGGCTTTCCGAGGGGCGAATATTCTGCGTTTCAATAATCGCAGCTAAATAAAATGTGCCTGACGTAACACGACGACTTGCGGAATTGCGCCGTCCCAGCCCCGCGTACTACCCGCAACCCGACGGAACACCGCCATCCACATCCACATCTCGCCAACTATTTAAGGGATGCGCCTCGCCCGTCTCCATCGTGCATCATTATTCCACACCCATTCCTCCAACATGGCACCCATTGAACGCATCACCCTCTTCAAAATTCCCGACGAGGCGGGCCGGGACCGCGTCCTGGAGCAGTACAAGGTGATGGCGAGGACGGCTACGAAGGTATTTATTTCTTGTGGAGTAGTACCTCCTGGGATTATCGTGACTGACGGAAGTAATACATAATGCAGGACGGCAAACCCTACATCGTTTCCGCGGCTGCGGGCGCCTCGATCCCGGACCCCCGCAACCAGGGGTTCAACCTCAGTGTCAAGACGACTTTCGCTTCGATGGAGGATATGAAGTACTACGATAATGAGTGCGAGGCCCACAAGGCGCTTAAGGCGGTTGCGGCGCCGGTGAGGGAGGAAATTCTGACGACATACTTTGAGAATGTCTTGTAATCTACTCTACATACTCAAGGCACCCGAGGTTTCAATTCTATGTATCGGGTAAAATAAGGAGACGGGTTATCTAGCAGGATTTGGGAGGAGATTCAATGTTGATCAATCATAATATAACGGAACAATTCAGCTCAACTCGTTTCGTGATGTACACAAGGGTTGCATAGCTTGTAGGAGCTATGCCGCGACAAAAACAGAAAACACCAATGCCTCTAGGTCCGGTGGCATGCTTGGCTGAGGTACACGAACAGTCGAATACAGTGAGGTCATCATAAGAACAGAGGCGAAATCATCACTGCCACAAACAATCGACAGGCAGGACAAAATGGACAAAATGGACAAGATCACAGATCGTTGGTCCATGGTCTATCATATATGGATATATGGAAGAGGGGAAGGCGGTTAGTCGAGAGCCCGGCGCAGGTCATTCCACTTCTGTTTGAGATTGTCGTGGTTCTCGCACAACTGTCATAAACTCGTCAGCATGTGTACTCATTTTTTGTTCAAGGGGACTGGCTGGTTTACCTCCGCCCACTTCATCTTCGTAGCCACCAACTCCTTCTCCATCTCGGACATCTGCTCCTCCATCGCGCGATTCTCATTCTGCACCTCGATGTTCCGCTTCATGATCCGGTCCATCTCCGTGCGCAGCTTCTCCTCCACCTCGGCCGGCTGCTTGTCCACCACGCTCTTCAGCTCAGAAACCTGCACTTTCAACGCCTCGTCGAGATCGCGCAATTCCTCGTTTTCAACCTTGAGGCGTACCAATTCCGATGCCAGCTGCACATGCTCCTTGTCAGAAGCCTCGGCGCGCTCTTCCAGAAGACGGACCCGAGCTCCCTGGGTGCTCACGGTATGTCGCAGGGTCTCCAGCTCAGCCTCGTGTTCTTTCTCGGTACGCACTTTCTCCTCCCACTCGGCGGAGTAGGCGGCCATCATTTCTGGCGTGAGTGGGATTGCGCATGCATCTTGCACGAGAAGGTCGGACCGGTAAACTTCCTTGTCGGCAGCACCCGAGCTGCCGAAGAAGCCGGACTCCAAGATCGACGACGGGGAGGGCTGCTTGTCAATGTATGCGTCGAACAAGCGCTCCTTGAGGAAAGTGGTGAGCGGGCCCATGTCTTTCATGATCAGAAGTTGCTGCGCGTTCCGGCGCATGATCGCCACGCCGAACTTGATGATCGTGGTCTCTAGACCTTCTTCGAAGATCAGATCATAAATGCGAAGGACCAGCTGCAATGGGAAGCGGTAGGCGAATAGCGTCAGGAACCACTGTGTCGCGTATAGTTGTGGGTGAACACCGCGGCGCCGCAGGTGGCAGTACAACGTAGGCTCCAAATCTTCCAAAAGGCGCTCAAACTGATATAAGCTGCGATGCAGACCGGGCATGTCTTGGATGAACATTTCCCGCAGTCCGTAATTGTTCATCAGCTTCACAAGCAGAGCGAAGGCTTCAACCTCGTCCATCTGTGTCCACAATGTTAGAAGTCTATCGGACTGGACGCACAACGCCAACTTACGTTAAACAAAAGAGGCATAACAATAAAATTCATGCCCTGGGCATAACCAACTCCCTCATCGTACAAGGCGTATGCCTTGCACAATCCAAACAAACTTTCCTGGTTCCCTTGTGAGACAAAGTATCTGGAGTAGCTGGTACGCGCACCCAGGTCACGTCGGATGGCTTTCTCCAGCTTCTGGAGAGCAGCCGCCTCACTCTTTGCTTTCTTGATGCGGGCATTCTCACTGGCAGCCTGCTCCTTGGCCAACTTCTCTGGGTCCACTTCCAAGGAAGGGCTGGGGGTAACGCTGGGCGTGACACTCGGCGGAGCACTAGGAGTAGCGCTAGGAGTCACGCTGGTCGACTGCGTCCCGGATCCCGAATGTTCAGAGCGAATGGACGAGCGCGAGGACGAGGTAGACTCCTTCTCGGCTGACCCGTTCAACTGATTGGGGGGCGTCCGACGATCTTTCTCTGGGTTCGTCCCGCGAGCCACGAGCTCCCGGTAGATTTCCTCCATCCCGTCAACCTGCTGAGAGTCTGCCAGAATCTGCCAGATCACGCCACGAACGGTCTGCGGAATACCCCGTTTGATGGCCTTGTTCAGTTCCTCTGAACCTGCCAGGGCCTGCGGTCCGTCATTGACCAGCTGCTGCCACAAGTCCCAGTCCACAGGCATCGACGCATCGGTCGCCGAGGCAGAGACTCCAGAGACCGTACCTGGGGCCAGATCGGGGTTGACAATCGAGGGCGCCTTGCCTGGAGACGTCGCTCCTGAGACTGGTGCCACTGATGTAGCCAATATGCCATCCTCACCTTCTTCCGGGATGATTTGAGGGCTAGCTCCAGGCTGGCTGACGCTGGCACGAGCTGATAGCCCACCCTCTTCATCCTGTGCAACAATCCCTTCCTCCCGCATCCGCAGAAGCTTGAACTGGTCCTTCAGGCTGTTACGCCGAGTCTTCTTGGAGCTCAGACTAGAGGTATCCCCATCTTCACCGTCGTGTCGAGCGATCGAGTCCACGTTGCTGGCGATAGTCGACACCGAGGCGGCAGTGTTTCTCCGACTGAAGGCATTCTGGGGCGGAGATTTAATGTCCTTGCTCCCTGTTGAGTTTCGAGAGAACCATGCAAAGGGGCCACTGCTGAGCTTCCGAGTCGGTTGCGGTGGTGCAGCTGAAGTGGGTGAACTCTTGTTGGCTGGGGCTGCACTACCCCATGGCAATGACGGAAGGTTGTTCGACAGCGCCTTGAAGCCGGAGGGAGCCGTGGAGCTTGCATCCTTGGGGGGCACGGGTGGCGAGACGTCATCTTTGGCGTTGGCCGCTTCGTTTGCCAGATTCACCTCGTCGAGCGAGGATGTGCTGGAGAGGCGATGGGAAGTCAACAAAGGCGATTTCTGGGACGTACGTCTGCGAGGGGTCTCCTCCGCGTCCGTAGGGTCTACCGCGCCATTCAGGTTGACCTCGTTGAGCGAATGACGAGGGGTGTGGACGGGCGATTTCTCGGCCGTGTCCTGGCCAAGCTGCTCAGTCTCCTTTGTCTCTGGATTATCGGCTTTGTGTAGCTCATCGTCCGTCTTGTCGTTGTCTTTCCCGACACCGGCTTTCTCATCTGCCGTCGCCTCCTCTGCCTGTTTCTCGCCGTTACCTGTATCCTCGTCCGCACCATCGACCTTCTTCTCTTCCCCGCTACCCTCGTCCTGCGATTCGGAAGGGAAAGGAGGCTTCTCAGTAGTATCCGGCGACGATATGCTGCCGACAGGGGGGCTATCGGTCAACGATCGCGTCGACGAGGGCTGGGCGGCCACGTTGGTGTCATTGTTCTCGATCGATTCTGGGGCGTCGTCAAAGGACTCCTGTTCAGAGACACCGTCAGCATCTGCTGGGTCGCGTGAGACCGCTAGGGAGACACCTACCCCGGCGTAGTCATGACTATTGCGCGCGGACATGTTTGCCTTGGGTTAAATCACACACAACACTCCATAGGAAGAAAAGCATAGACGGCCCGCGATCGGCCCATTCAAAAAGGGAGATGAATGGGGATGAAATTCCAAGGGAGAACGAAGGAATGGGCCACGGTGTGAGGATCGATTCCAGGTCGGGATGAAACTCAGGCACGGGCGGTGGGCCTAAGGCTATGTACCCGAGTCCCTACCAAGTGTCGACGATGATAGTTCAAAATAAAGAATAACGGTGAAGATCGGAAGAAAAGAAGAAATCTAACTCGAGAAGAAATTCCACGACTTTCCTTTTCGTCATGGCCAGACCAAATTCTCTGGGGGCCAAATAATCATAACAAGGGGCCAAGAAGCTATATACACAGGAAGAGGCCACGCCTAACTAATTCAGACTCCGCTCAAAATCCACCCAGCGCCCCTTTCGTAATGGATCTAGCTTCTTCAATTCCGAGAGCCAGCTCAGAATCTGATCCCGGTCTGAGTCCGACTGTGTGCCGGTCACTTTGGACACTAAAACGGTGCAGTCGATCAGGGCTTGGTAGATGTATTTGCAGTCCTCGTCCCCGTCCAGCATCTCCTCGATGAACTCGATCTCATCCCGAAGATACTGCACCCGATCGGACACGCTCAGGTTCGGAGCCATGGTCCGCTCCGCCACTGAGGGGTCAAAGACACACATGAGGTTCTGGTGGTAGAACCAGAGAGATTGGTCGCGCGGGTCAATCAAGGCCTGGTGAATAAAGTTCAATTCTGGGAAACTGTATCAGCAATCAGACAACCAGATGGTTAGGAGAGACCGAACCGTCGTCCAGCATCTTCCTCCGCTCGGCATCGCTGGCAGACTGTTCATCCAGCAGCCGCTGGATGATTTTCGTCCGGTAATGCCATGCCGAAAAATTGGACAGATTCTCGCGGATCTTCTTGTCCGAATACTCAAATTCCTTTTGGGTCATGCTCGTCCGCGTCTCCTCCGCGTCTGCAAGCTGCTTCAAGGTGTCGAACACCAGCCGTCGATACCCCCAGGCGTGAAAGTTGCGGCGGTCCTTGCTCAGAAACATGCTCACCAGGGCAAGTTCACCTTCCCAAATCTTGCGGGCCTCGGGGAGTGGTAGTACCTGACGAGCCTCGTCCAGTAGCCATAGCCGATAATTCCAGATCCAGTAGCATTTGGGGAATTTACTCAGAAGCGGGATCAGAAATTGGAGATCTTTTTCCAGTAGTTTTGCTTGAGGTGCATCTGTCTGGGAGAGCTGATGTTGCAGCACTCGCCGTCGATAGTTCCAGATGGTGTAGTACTCCGGGTTGCTCTCCAGCAGGTCCCCGAGCTGCTTCAATGTGTCGGCTGTGTATTCATGATCGGCCACCTATTTTGCAGTTAGTCTCTGCTCATTATTGTCGTGTTCAATCAGGGCAGACCTTCTGGCGAACTTGGCGCTCCAGGTCCTGGTACTTTTCTATCTTCTGCAATTCCTGCTCTCGCGCTTCCTGAGACTTTTCTGTCTGTTTTGAGCGCGGCACGCCATGCTGTCCAACGGCATCAGTATGATCAATCTAACCGAGGAGGTTGTCCTTACGCTTGCCATTATAGCCGGATGATGATGGAGAGACGCAGGGAAGGGAACCCGTGACCCGCGCCTGCCTAATCCATCGACCGCGTCACGTGCTGACCTAACACCTTTTCTGTTGTTTTCTTTCTCTCTTCATTTTCTTTCTAAATAACCTTCATTGAGATTTCGCCCATAACCCATTCTCTCCTTGGGCTCTATCCTACACTCCTTTGCGTGGGTTCATTTCACTCACAACTCACCCATTCTCTCAACAGTCATGGTAGTAGATGCACGATGTCACTCTTTCGAGGAATCCTCTGCAGCAGGCGACAGCCGCAACACCTCATTCTTGTTATCTTCTCGATCCGAGTCTAGCAGAGACAACGGATCTGTCAAACTGACCGAATTTGCCACAATTACTTTGCCACTCTTGGAATCGCCGGCCGGTTTTCAGATATCATTACCCCAACAGCTTCGAGCCAATTCTCGGGCGAATTCACCACCTAGTTTCAATGAAACCAGGACTGTATCTCCAGGAAGGGGCCGCGCTGCAACGAGATCCCCAGCAAGGAATGCCCTTGGCAGACCTGCCTCCCCGGACAGATTCATCCCAAAGCGCGCGTTTGTCGACCCTCCTTCAACTTCATACCGTGTGAGCAAACCCCCACAGCAACTGTCTCCTCAACAGAGACTGCTCCGTCAACGTCTACCGGGTGATGATCCGTTTCTGCCGCTACGACCACGCCGACCTGTCACTGTGCCGGGGCCGCCAAGACCGATTCGTCTCTGGCAGAGACCGTATCAACGGCCTCATCTCGTCTCTGACACGGCGGTTGTAGAGAGAGCCGGGTATTTATCAAATGATTCTGCGAGGGTCGTCAGTGCGGGAGCTGTCTGGGGCGTTGGAGGAGTCTCGGGAGTGTTGGGGCCTCCATCAACGACACTCTCCAACGACCACCCCAGCGTGTTGAATAGAGGAACCACTGCCCCCATGTATGCGGCCCAGTTTCTCCCTCAAAGCACGATCACAGATCAGCGAGACATGCATGAGTCACGGCTTGCCCTCGCGCTCGACATTGACCCGACCACTCGACTGCTTGACACTTGCATGCTATCCGCTGGCCGTGCCACACCTCCCAGTCCGGCGTCTTCGCATCATGAGCGGTATTCTCCTTTTGTCTGGAAGGACAATGCTTGGAAGAAAGTTGAGAGGGGACATTGTAAGTGGATCACTTTGTCTCACGCAGTGTCAGAGGGGTGTCAATTACTACTTACCTAGATCAATCTATACCCCATCTAGAATTGTCACTTACAGGGTGAGATGACTTTGTCTGCAGCTTGTCCTGCCGCGTCAACTAACTGCTTGACAATGCTAGGGCCTACAAGTCCTACCAAAGGAGAGGTTGTCCCCCCTAAACCATTCCGAATCTTGGATGCACCGTTTCTGCGCAATGACTTTTATTGCTCGACTCTCGCTTATTCATTTACTTCTGGTGTGCTTGCTGTCGGCCTTGCTCAGCGTGTCTATATCTGGTCCGAACGGTTCGGGGTAGAGCACCCACCTTTTGGAGACATGGATCCGTCAAATTATGTGACATCCCTGTCTTTTTCTTCTGAGGTCGGCGGAAAGAGTATTCTTGCGGTTGCTCGTCAGTCAGGCCAGTTATCCTTGTGGAGCATCTTCGATTCAGAAATCCGTTTTGAACTTAATCACTCCACCACCATCACCTGCGTCTCATTCAAGCCCAAAACTACGCGCAGACCTTCATATAGGTTTGAGGATCTGGAAGTCGAGGCAGAGGACCTCGTGGTAGGCGACGAAATTGGAGATATTTGGTACTACTCGGTCGAGTGGTCCGATGATGAGTCGCAGAACCAGTTGGGCTGGAAAGGGTCCATTACATTACTCGTCAAGATTTCGGCACACACCCAGCAGGTCTGCGGTCTGGCCTGGTCTCCTGATGACACTTTCCTTGCCACGGGCGGCAATGACAATTCCTGCCTACTCTTTGAGTTGAATGAGATCATCTCATCACAGACACTGCCCTCATCTGCTGCATCCACCGAGTCCACCGTCTCCACGAGAGCCAGTCCGAACATTTTCCAATGTATTACGTCGAGCGCCCGACGACAAGGGCTATTCAGAACACGTCACTTTTTCAACCATTGGCCACCGTTATGGATGAACCGTCTTTCGAGCCCACCATCTGAAGCACCGTCTCTGTCCGAAGCTCCACGGCATGGCAGCGGGCGAGCTACTCTGGTGCCAGCTACCTTGGTGCCGTATAACTGCCAGAAGCATCGGCTGGCACATGCAGCCGCAGTAAAGGCAATCGCATTTGCGCCATGGCAACCGTCTCTGCTCGCAACAGGCGGGGGCATCAACGATGGAGCCATTCATTTCTACCATACCCGCACGGGAGCTTGTCTCGCAACCATCAACGTTTTTGCCCAGGTAACCAGTCTAATCTGGAGCCAGACACGACGTGAGATTGTCGCTACATTCGGATTCGCACTTCCCCAACACCCCTATCGAATTGCCATCTTTGCCTGGCCAAGCTGTGCCCAGGTGGCCGTCATCCCTTGGGGCCCCTATGGAACCAGCTGGGACGGTCAGGATCGTGGAGCGGGCTACGACTGCGGAAGAGCACTGTGGGCAGTCAGTTACCCAGGACGACCACCTCGCCGTGTTTCCGCTACACTCGACGATTGGGACAGTCTACACCCTCCACTCTCGCCAGAGCGTGTACCACCGACCACCGAACGCAGGAACAGGAGGGGCCGCAGGTACCGTCCGGGACCTCTAAGGATCCGTCCCAAAGAGAAAGAAGGAGGGATGTGGTGCACGGGGACCAGGGAGGAAGGATGTATTATCGTCGCATCCAGCGATCAGACAGTCAAGTTTCATGAAGTCTGGAGTGGGCGCAGACAGAGCATTGGGTCTGCTTACGGACTGCTGGGAGGAAGCGATATCCTAGAGGGTCTGGAGGGGATTGAGAAATCCGGAAGCGAGATCATTCGTTAGGCGTCGCCTCTCATTGTTAGCTCCAGTAGTGCTTTTTGTATTACTCTATTCTTATGATCGGCGCCAGACTGAGCTGAGCTGACAGCTGACAGTTGTTGCAATTGCTGATAGTTATCGTTACGTAGTGCGACAAAAATAATGTTGAACCCAACCCACTACTATTCTTCTTTGTCGGACGTTACTCCTTATCTCACGTATCGTTAACAGCGATTAGGTCCTGGGATCTAGTTCAAGTCTGCTCAGCTCTTTTTAGGTTTCCGGCGTTTCAATTGTTAAATTTATTCTCTATTGAGGTACTAGACTATAATCCAGTTCAGCTAAAGCTGGATTTCATTGGGCCAAGAGTCATTTAGTATGATTTAGTGAAAAAACATGATTCACAATTGACCCGTCGACAACCACCTCCCACTTGATACTTAATTCCAATAAACAAAATGTCTCAGTTGCAACTGAAGTATCTAGCTCGATAATAGTTTAACCAGCCGCCCTATCTCTGTGTACTTTATCCATATCGGTAGAGACATCATGCTAGTGCTAGTGTTGTTTGACTAGGCTTCGCGTGTGATACTGAACGAGGCAGAGGGGCTTACAACCTTCTGTGCTCTATCCATATAGTGCGTATGAAGTAATAAGATGGCAGTGAGGGCTCTGGTGGTCTCAATAGCTGAAATAATCGAAGGGTAAAGTCGACTAGAGGGTAGCACAGCCCGTCTTTATGTTTTCCCTCTTTCCCTCTCGTAGACCTATGATAGAGCCGCCGGCGTGGTATGCTATACTAGATGCTGGGATGGAAGAGGAAGTCTGATACGGTAAAGCGTGGACGTCGTGGATGGAGGAGCCGACGTCGCGGTGGAAACATGGTATGTATTAGGGTAGAATTCCACGATATGCTAGTAAAAAACCACGGACAACCATGAATTTTCTACTATTACGCCCTAATTATCACGTACACTGGGGTGACGCCGATATACTGGAAACAGTTTAGCGTGCCTGTATGTCGGTCAGCTCCACTTCCTCTGTTCAACACACTCTATGTCAACCGCCCGCCAGACTGACTGACTGACTGCAATCACTAACCATGGCAACCGGCCAGGATGCTACCCGAGTTCCCCTGTCAGTTCTTTCTTCAGGGCACTTTGCTGCTGTCAAACATGCCATGTCCAACCTTTTGGGCTCGATTGCAGCTCTCGACACATATGCTCAAGTGGCGAATGGCATTCCAGTCCCAAGAGTCCCAAGGGCCGGGGAAGAGGATGACGACCCGTGGTGGCTAGAGGAAAACCCGGATCCCGAACCCAGCCAAGAAGCACACGAGATTGCCAAAACCATTCGGGATGGATTTTATGTGGAAACAGATGAGATTGATGCTCAGGTATGAACGACGGGAGGTTATTACTTCATTCTAAATATACTGATCTATTAACAGGTTGCCCAACGATTTCAAGATGAAGAACCCGCTTCCCGACAGTTCTATCTACGTCTGATTGAAATCGTCGTCATTCTATGCCATGACATAGCAGCCACTCTATTCGACATGCTCGAAGGATGGTCACGCAAGCCAGTGGCGACGAAACCTCCATGATTATTGAGAGTGGCCGGTTCAAAATATCCGCCATACATCACGCTGCTCTCTCATTACGACTACCTAGATCACGAATACTACCCCCGCGGGTGGGCCGACACTGTTGGATACTGGGCAGAGGACCGTCTCTTCGGCGGCGTAGTGCTTTTTGACCGAGGAAGTTCTGGGACTGAGGTACGTGTATATCTGCTACCTCGATAACATCCACTAAGTCGAATACAGTGCAATAGCATCTTCCTCAATAGTATCATGCAATTGAAACTCGTCCAGCTAACTGAGGCACAAGTCGAAGAATTCATCCATCTTCTGACGGATGAAAAGTGTGAGGCGGCGAGCATTCCCTTCCGGGCAGAGGAGAATGCTCGTCGAGTACACCCTAACCACGTCGAATTCGAAAATATCTATCGCAATAAGGATGATCGTCGATCGTTCGTGGGTCGGCTTCCACCTCACTGTTGCGACATTATTCCGAAGGAAGACCATGAAAGGCTATCAACAGAATACCAGAGACTCTGGGATATAAACCATTCCATGTGACTGCGCTGTTTCTTTTCAATGATTCCTAGCAAAGGAAGGGAAGAATATGAAAGAACGAGTAATGACAATGATATAAATGAGGACGTGTTAAAAACACACCCCTCAGTACTAAACGATAACTCGCCTACCCCGTAGAACGCATATATATTTGTTACCTGTCTAGTCTTAGTTTTTGGGTAGTTACTAAACGAGTTCACTCCGCCGCAAGCGGTACCCTAATATATAATTTCTTACTAGGCGAACACTCGGATTGGGAGCGCTTTTATTTCGAGTTGTATGATGCGTTAAACCCTTCCTGGTATTTGGGAAGGGGACTAAACGGCGCGTCAGTGTGGAAATGGAACGAAAATCGATGTCTAAGGCCACAGAATTTCGTGGTCCTTCCGGCGTCAACCTGAGTTACTCCGTACATAAGCGCTAGAAATCCTTCCGGATGATCCCCGGTCTTAACCACCACTAGCGCCGTGCACACACCCCTGACCGTTCGTTGTCAAATTTTAGCGCCGCATTTCAAGGCTGTCACGGTTCCGAGGTACAAATATACATAAGTAGCTTCGAATTCCAGTTCCTAATCATCTCAATCCTCACCACCGGGCGTGTACCTACCAGATATCTTTCATCTGATATCTCCTTCTTTCCCTTCTTCACTACCTATTCTACCAAGATACGTCCTCTCTCCATAAAAACAAAAAAAAATGCAGCTATCCACCCTCCTCCCCTTTCTGCTTACTACCACCTCCCTCATCGCCGCCAATTCTCTCCCCAAACCCCCCTCGACCTCTATCGGAACAACATCTACAGTACCCCCTCTGGGCAACACACTAAATGTCACCGTCGTAACCGCACACAATGGCCGCTCCGTGATAGAATGCTGGGCTCTCGAGCCGGACTTCGAGACCTCCACCGTGACCGGAACGGACGGCGCGTCATTTCTATCCCTCGGTCCTATCGGCGGTGTTGAGGGTGGAAATACGAGCTATGTTGTTGTGCCGCCAGGGTTTGACGGTGGGAGACATAATTCGCCTGTTAACCAGTATGTCTATAGCCACCCAGCATTACTATTTCCCTGATCCGCCGACTAACATACAATCCATCCAGATGGGTATTCTGCCTCTCAGGCGAACTCCGCATAACGCTTCCAAACTCAACTTCCTCAGCACGCATCTCGGCAGGAAAGAACAGCGCCATCCTCGCGCTCGACACTCCCGATGTGAGTGAGCTGGGTCATTACACGGACTATCCGTCAAAGGAACGCTCGATTGGGTTGGAGATTCCCCTGGGGGCGGCGGGTGTGCCGAAGCATCGGGTTTTGTCGCAAGGGGCTTGTGCAGGGGAGCAGCTTTTGGATTGATTGAATTGGGGATTGATGGTTATGCTCGGGTTTGGGTGGTTTTGGGGATTGTGGCTTAGAGTTAGGGATAGGAGCAGGAAAGGGTACATATAGTCAAGTAAGACACTCAATGGAAGAGACGTAACATATGCATTGATTGGGATTGGCACTTGCCAACCATCTCTTATTGGACAGCCAGAAGAATACAAGTGAAAAGAAAAGAAAAGACAGACATGAAAATAAAGGGGGAAAAAATGCAGACAGATCTAGATCCATCCGATGCACAGCACACACGTATGGGATACTCTTTTATAAACCAAAATCACACAAGAAACAAATTCGCCAGATACACAGGGAGAACGGACAAGGCTAGGCTTACTTCCTACCAGCCTTTCCCTTCTTCCCAGCAGACGTCTTGGGCTTCTTCGACGGTGGCGGCGGCGCAGCAGCAGCAACATCATCATCCGACATCTCGTCCTCCGAGTCGGCAATGAAGTCAACCATCGAGCTAGCGCTCTCAGCGTCCTCGTCCTCGTCATCTTCATTCTCCTCGAGAGACTCCTCCGCATCAGATGAGCCGGCAGACTCTTCAGCCTCGATATCGAGAAGCCCGTCTTCCTCATCTTCATCTTCGTCCTCGCTGCCCTCCTCCTCATCATCATCAGACTCATCCGCAACACCATTCATCATGGGTTCGTCCTCGTCGAACGCCGTGTCGCGGATCGACTTGGAGCGTGGGACCTTAGCCTCCACCTCGCTGTCCTCGTCATCATCTTGGCCCTCCACGTAAATAACGTTGTCCTCGTCCTCGCTATCCAGCCCCTCTGCGCCGCTGCGCAGCGACTGCCGCAGGCCCAGCTGCGCATCCAGCATGTCCAGCTTGCCCTTGAGGAGAAGCAGGGAGGGAAGACTGGACGAGCGCTGGTCCATCACCTTGAACAGCGTCGCCATGCGCTTCAGCAGATCCGGGTGTCCGGCCAGCGCGCCGCCATGCGCCACGCACGTCCACTGCACCCACACGAGAAGGTGGCCGTACCGGCCCGGGCGGGAGGAGAGACGCTCCGCGAGCTTCTGGAGCAGCGTCGCGGCAAGCGAGGAGTCGAGGCGTTGGATCGTAGTCCGGATGATTGAGGTGTCGCCCGTGTGGAAGCAGGATTCGAGCATGCCGTTGTCGTTTGTCTTCAGCGACTGTGTAAGCACGGTGGCCAGCGAGATGCCGGATGGGATCTGTTGCACTGCGGCTTTGGGCTTTCCCGGCACCAATGCGCCGAGGCGGATGTCGTCGTCTAGCTCGGCCTCGACGTCGACTTCCTGGCCGGTGTTGACACCCAGGAGCTCACCGAAGGATGGCTCTGCGCCCTCTTCTTCTTCGTCATCTTCCTCCTCGGACTCGGGGGCGTTTTGCATCTCGACATCCTCCTCGTCACCAGCTGCCTTCTTCGCGGGCTTGGTCTTCTTCTCGGCAGCGGTTGTCTTGGTATCCTCGTCATCATTGTCCGAGTCCTCCTCGCTGTCGACAATCTCGACCTCTTGTCGGGAATCTTGCATCTCGACGTCGTCATCCACAAGGTTTCCTGCTTCCACAACCGTGCGGGTCTCGTCAACCCGGCTCTCGCCCGCGCCCTTAACGCCATTGGTGGTCACTGCTGCAACCGCAGAGCTGGACTTGCTCTTGACCACGGTCTTTGCGCCAGTGAACAACAACTCTTCGGTATCAGCGTTGAGGAGCTTGATACGCTCAAACACCGGAATCACTCCACCCTCGGTGTACGCCACGACGATGTCCGAGCCCTGGAATGAGGTTGCGACCACGGGCACACAGGTGTCGGAGGATTCAGAACGTGTAACCTTAAGAGAAGCGTTTGATCTTTGCGTCATCTGCTTCCGGCTAGCCTTGGAACTGGTGGCGGCCGCGGCCGACTGAACAAAGGGTTTTGTGAAGAGCTCGATGGTGCCATCTTCAGTGACAGCTGCGAGAATCTGCTTCTCCAGCGAGGCATTTCCCTCAGGGTATAATGAAACCGACGACACATCCTGCTCTGCGACGAGATTCCGCACCAGCCTCCGGCTGGCAACATCGAAGACGTTGATGTACCGGTCTCCGTCCGACGCAAGGAATGCGCTCACAGCCTCTGTGGATGACGAGAGAATCGAACGGATCTGATTCGGCATCGCGGCGAACTCAACGGGCGGCTCGTCAGCCTTTTCAGCGTCTATTAGGTACGGTTTCTGGGAGGCACAGATGACGGGCGGGTTCGAGGGAACGGGGCGCGAGAGAGCAGTCAAAGCCGCAGACGAAGGGAGATGGATCGTTCTGGAAATTTTTGTTAGTTATGCCATAAGATAGCAGGTTTCATGTCGTACTTTATGCTGTTCCCAGTGCGCAAATCCCACTGGACCAGCTTGTTGTCACCGCCGATACTCCAGCCTTCCTGGCCCGGCCGATCGGCCGTGAACTTGAAATCCTTGATCCCCTTGTCATGGGCACCGGTGAGAGTACCAACGACCTTATCCTCCGCGGGCGAGTACATGCGAATATCAGACGAGCTGGTGCCAAACGCAACGACGATATCACCCTGGTCCAAGCCGTCGACTCCGTTGACGTCGGAGCCGCGCTTCCGCTTCTTCTTCGACTGATCGCGGTTCTTGCCCTGGCCACCGTAGTAACCCCAGTCCAGCGAGGTGACAGTCTCCTTCGGGTTCAAGGCATGCTCGCACTGCAGACGACCGGTGTTGGTATCGTGGATGCGGATGTGCTGCGCATCGAGGCCCTGGATGACGGACGCAAAGAGCGCCAATTGGTACTGGGAAGGCGAGAACGCCGCGCGCAGCACAGAGGACTTGCTGGTGGCTTGTGAGAGACCAGTGGCGGGCGATGCAGCCGAGGCCATCTTAGTAGATGGGCGAGATGTCTTCTTGCCCATTTTTTTTGATCCTCTTTTTGGGTTTCCCCGTTTGAGATGGATGTGTTGGGAGGGGGAGAATGATAGAGGAACCCCAGAGAAGCAACTAGAATTACAGTAATTCCCGTGCTTTGGATTGTCGACCCCGGTAAACGAGCTGGGGCTGCTGGGGCTCTTGGGATGTCGCAGTCGCTGCGGGAAGTGAAAAAAAGCCCAAAAAATGTTCTTATGAGCGCTAGTCCGTATGTGGCTAGTGTGGTTGTGTTATCATCACGTGATTTTGGAATCTGTGTAGAGCATGGACAGGTCAATTATTATTGATAAATTGTTGTCGATAACGGGGGGAATTGGAAATTCTGGAAATAGGGTATTCTCAAATATGTGCTTCAGATATGGGCTTCTTTTCTGGCGGTAGATTTGGATGGTGGTTTGCGATGGTATGGTGAACGAGACCTGTGTTCGAAATATATATCTGCAGAGGAACACAATAATAAACTCCACGGCTAGTTATCACAAAACATACTACTTCCCTGCAGATACACACGTGCAGATAATTGGCCAGTTTACTTTCTGCTACCTTCATCCTCTTTTTTTTTTTTTTTTTTACCATGAGACTCCTTTACACAGCCAACGTACTTCATCTCCTCGCAATCATCTAGCACACAGGCATACATGTCAATTTATAAATATCCCTCTTGACGCATGTACATGTCCACCGCAAGGGATTGGCCATGCAATGCGCCTCGCCGCACTGTGTTTGTATAGATCCGGAAGCAGTACGGTGTCACGTGCCGGTGACGTTTTTGAGCCGGTCCTCCGGTCGCCTGTTGTGAGGGTCAAGTCAGCCGACACCCGTGATTTCAGGGATTGCACCCCTCGCAGACGACCGATGGATCTATAGAGAGAGATGTCTTATTAGAATCAATAACATATCTAGAAATATTGATCTTTCTATCTATATTCACGCTGGTTCACGCTGGTCACACTACTGTCGTAGCAGTGAAAATTTGTATTCCTCGATGATACAGCGGGCCCACATCAGCCACGGCCACACCAATCACACCCGGCGGACGAGCGAACGCGATCGGCCCCGGCCAATCATGGGCCACAACCTGTCCTCGAATGCGGCCTAGTGCCAGCGGTGGAACTAGGGGCGCACTCCGGTCTGTTGTACTTAAGGATTCTAGCATCCCCTCCGAGGAAGAATTCTGCTTCCGTCTTTTTTAAGCCCTTTGACCGCCCCCCCTTTCCTTTCGTGTCCTTGGTTCCCCCCCCTGCCCGTCGCCCTAAACACAGACGCGTCGCGTCTACCTACGCCCCTTTTAACTCCGCCCCCAGCCACCTTTATTATTTTATTTTTTGGTGCTTTGGGTTTTTATTATTAATTGTTCACCTACCCTCCCTCCCGCCTTCTGATTTATCCAGTTCCTCAACCACGGGCCTCAGGCACCCACACACACCTTTCTCACTTCTCCCTCTAGCTCACCTTTATCCACCAGCCACCGCCCACGTGACACATCCCTCACCGCCCCATAAATTCTGTCGCCTTGCCATCGCATTCTCCAACTTTCTTCCAGCTCACCTTCCTCTCTTCCTCCCACGATCGCCTCTCCCTCCACCCTCTCCATCCATCTCTTCCTGCGTTCTTATCCATCTCTTCCATCTTTACAACCCTTCAAAGCTTCTGCGCCAGCCAAGTTCTACCTCCCGCGCATTGCCTGAGCTTCCGCGCGCGGGGCGCAAGTCTGTATTCAGTTGACTTTGTTGCGCGCATTCAAAAGCACTCCCATCCCCCCACCCACCTTTCGTGTCAACCTAGACCCTGTACTCTCTCCGACTGGACCACGACCCCATGGCCACCCCGCCTCCCGAGGCTCCTCCTATTGTCAAGGAGGACAAGCCTCAGCTGCCTCCCTCGCCGACCGGAGTCGCGGCGCCAGACCTGGCGCCCATGAGGTCTGTTGTTTTGTCGCCTGACTTCTGTAAACATTTGCTGACTTTGACTACCAGCGTGCAAAATGTGGTCTCAGACCTCAAGCCAGATGTACCCCAGACCGTGCCTGAGATCACTCCTACTGCAGTGAATGGCCATACGCCTGGCGAGACTGCCATCACCAACGGTACCAGCTCTGCTGCTTCGCCACCCAAGTCTCCTGCTCCGCCGGCATTTGTCGATAGCGAGCCCCCTTCTTCGTCGGTACCAGCGGAGACGCCATCTGCCATCCAGCCTTCCGTCGAACCCTCCCTCGAACCTTCCGTTGAGCCGTCCGTTGAGCCTTCCCTCGAGCCCCCCACGGCTACAGAGATGAAGAAAGAAAGCCCAGAGGACCGGGCTACGCCCAGTCAAGGCCCGGCTCAGGAATCTACCGCACCCGCTGCGGAGACACCGGTGAACAATGTCGTTGTTTTCCCTCCGACCTCGCAGGGACCCGCCACTACCGACAGCGAGCCACCGGCGCAGACCGATGGCACTGCTGATACTTCGGACAAGATGGACATTGAAAACTCTCAGGAGACGTCCGCCTCCGTGAAAACCGAACTGCCCCACCATCTCTTTGCCGAGAATAAGTCCGGTGGCTCGCTTGCCCCTGTGGCGGCATCTCCCACACCCCCACTTCTGCCTTCACTTCAAACCGATCAGGAGATGAAAGATGCACCTACCGTGCCCATGTCTCCGACCAAGATCGCCAGAGAACGCGAACCCGATGGTGGTGAAGAACCTGCTGCAAAGCGCACCAAAGTTGAAGGCGAGGACTCGGCTGCTACCGAAATCAAGGCTCCGGAGTTGCCGACTCCGGTGACCGAAACCCCCGGCCCAGCTCCTCCAGCCGGTGACGAATCGGGACTCACGAAGCTGCAGCAAAAGTTCATTTCAAAGTGTCTGACTAGCCTGAAGCGTATGCATGATGCGCGCTTCTACAAGGTGCCCGTGGACCCCATCGCGCTGAATATCCCGAATTATCCCAACGTGATCAAGCATCCCATGGACTTGGGAACGGTCGAGAAGAAGCTTAAGGCCAACGAGTATTCGTCTCCGCAGGGGGTTATGGACGATGTCGCTTTGATGGTTCAGAATGCACAGACTTTCAACGGTCCGGATCACCTCGTCACCCAGGAAGGTCACAAGTTGAGGGCGACATTTGAGAAGCAAATGGCCAATCTTCCCAAGCCCGACGAGGTGGAGGAAAAGAAGCCCAAGAAGGTGGCGGAGAAGACCTCTGCTGCGCGTCGGGAGCCGCGGACCTCAACTGGGGCTCCGGTTACTCAACCCAAGGCCGCCTCACCCCAGGGGGCAACGACCTTTGCGCTGGGCCCAGAAGGATTGCCCACCATTCGGCGAGACTCTTCGAACCCCGACGGACGTCCAAAGCGATCGATCCATCCTCCCAAGCGCGATCTTCCATATTCCACCAAACCGAAGAAGAAGAAGTTCCAGTGGGAGTTGAAGTTCTGCCAGGAGGTTCTTGATGAACTGCACAAGGGGAAGTACTACGAAATTGCAGCGCCTTTCTACCTGCCCGTGGACCCCGTCGCGTTGAACATCCCCAACTATCACAGCGTGATTAAGAAGCCGATGGATCTGTCTACCGTGCAGAACAAACTCAAGTCTGGCCAGTACGAGAATGCAAAGGAATTTGAGCTCGATATTCGCCAGATGCTGAAAAACTGCTTCCGGTTCAACATGGCCGGTGATATCATATATGTGGCCGGCCAGCGATTGGAAGAAGTTTTCAACTGGAAGTGGAGCCAAAAGGCTAGCTACCTGGAATCCCACGAGCCGCAACACTATCAGCATTCCGACTCGTCCGAGGAGGACAGCGATGAGGAAGAAGAGGAGAGTGATGAGGATGACGAGCGCCTTACGCTGCTCCAGCGGCAGATTGCCGAGATGTCCCGTCAGGTCGAAGCGATCACCCAGAAGAAGAAGAAGACTCCTCCCTCGTCTAAGAAGGCTGGCAAGAAACCGGGAAAGAAGGATTCCAAGAAGAGCAACGCCCCCAGTGGCAAGAAGGACAAGAAGATCAAGAGCTCCAAGTCCGACAAGCCTCGCTGGGTAAGCTACCACGAGAAGCAGATTATCTCCAACGGCATCAGTAGTCTTCCGGACAAGAAGATGCAGGAGGCCCTCAAGATCATCCAGAACAATGTTCCTGCTCTGAAGGTAAGCTTTTTTTTCGCTGCTTTGTTTTTACATACTGATCTGTTTTTCAGGGTACCCAAGAAGCGGAGATTGAACTGGATATCGACGAGCTTCCTAACGACGTGCTGTTGATGCTGCTCAAATTTGTGAAGAAGAACGTGCCTCACATCATGGATGACGAGGATTCTGCTCCCGCCAGCAACCTCGCCGCCCCGAAGCCGAAGAAGAACAAGCCAATGAGCAAGTACGAGCAAGAGGCTCAGATCAACATGCTCGAGAGCAACCTGTCTCGCTTCCAGGGTGGCGGTTCTCCCAACCCCATGCCATCTGTCGAAGCCAACATGGAGAGCAGTGATGACGAAGACGAAGATTCCGAGGAGAGCGAGGAGGAGTAGATGCTCAATATCGATCAAGTCTTCTGCGCATGCCCTTGCTGCGCTGATTTGCGGTCTGAGCGTCTAATTTCTCTTCTCTTCTCTTTTGGATATTTGATCAAACCCTGGATCTTTTCCCCTGGATCTTTTTCTCCACCACCAGGAATACACCTTGTACATACGCACTCTTTGCTTCCCTCAAAAACCCCTTGGGATCCAGCAACGCTGGCTTATTGATGGTCAGGCTTCGCCATGGACTGACTGGATTTTCTTTTTCTTTTTGAACTTTCCCCCATTGTCTGAGTGTACATTTTGCGATTTGGATTTTGCGCGAGATCAAAAATGGGAGGGCGCAGGGACGGCTGGCTTTTTGTTTTGTGTGGTTCACTGGCTATGGAGACAAACGAGATGGAGATGAGGGAAGAGGGGGAGTCAATGGGTGATCAAAGCTGGAATGGCCAGCTGCACTTGTATGATTACGATGATATGGAAATGCAAATGTACGAGTATTGCAGGCTATCTGATCTCCGTAGAAACGCCTTAGTCTTAGTTGGGACCGAGGTTCGTAGATCATTGTTGATGGCGGTGAAGCTCTCGTCTCCTGTCCCCATTTTCCTCCGTCAACCATGATCCCTCCCTGCGATCCCTCGATCCTCGCGCACAATCCTCTATTCAAGCGGCTCTATGAAAATCTAACGACCACGCTTTTCAATCCCGATGGCTCGACGCGTGCGCACAGCGCGCTCCCGGAGCGAGAACGCGCGGTGGAGGTATATACCCCCTCCATCCCCCAAACGCCGCCTTCGTGGAGCTTGAGCTTGTCGCACTGGGCACGGAAGAACAGCAAGATACAGGAAACTGACTATTGTATCCGGATTAGGACTTGAAACAATGCCAGACACAACATGCAAAGAAGCGGATCAAGGAGCGAATGCTGCGGCGATTGGCGTTCGCATCTGATAGCGGGCTACCCGATGAGGTCAGTATCGCGTCCGTCACTTGAGACGGCACTCTTTGTCGCGCCGTGTGTATTGTTTTTGCCCGTGCTTATTCTGGAGATATCGCAGTGCCGGGATAATCTCGCCATCATATCGCTGTACCTGGAGACACCGCGTGCCGCAATCGACCCCGACAGACGCAAGCAAGACAAACAAGGCGCCCAAAATCCGGAGGAGGAAGATGGAGATGACGCCCTCTCACTACTCGCACCGGACATTGAAGCATTCCACTCGCACATCCCAACCATTGCCCGCTCACTCTCCACCCTCCTCTCGTCATCCGTCAACAACCTCCGAAACCTAGCCACCGCACAGCCAACCACCTCTCCAGAAACACCACCAACAGGAACAGGAGGTATTCCCACCTCCTTATCACGAAGCATCCACGCCCCAGTACATCTAAGCCACCACGCACGCGCACGAGCCCGTGATCGCCGAGTTCGCACATCCATTGCCTCCGCGCCGCCAGTCTCGAATATCCTCCGGGAACGGGTGCGCGCGTTGCGCCAGATCCAACTGTTCGAGCTGCCCACAGCCAGACGACAGATGGCCGCGACAGCGGCCGATGTGCTTGCGACCCGAACGCTGGTATTAGAGAGGACTGTTATTACCCTCGAGCGGGTTAAGCATGGTGCGTTGGCGAGGGCGACAAAGGCCAAGGCGGAGCATTTGGCTACCGTTGCGCAGGGGGTTGAGGGGAAACTTGAGTATGTACTGCACCATTCGTGCTTCGCATTTTTGAGAAAGCTGTTGGGAGCACTGCTAAATCTAAATCTACGTTCGATAGAGTTACGAAGCTCGAAATCACCGCTTCCATCTATACACCCGAAACTCTGGCCGCGCTCACCCGGTACAGAGATCACCTCCGCAAAACGCGGGATCAGCTGGAAGAACGGCGGATGATGGCGATTGAAGAGCTCCGGGATTACGGCGATGTGGAGGTGTCTGATGGATCCGGGACACAGGCTGCGGGTGATGGCGGGACTCTGGCGGAGATTGCTCGTCGATATGGAGCACTTGCCAGAGAAGTGGAAACGGTCAAGATGGAGATTGCACGGCTGGGCGAGTGATTACCGTTATTAATGTCCAACGAAAGGACTGATTTTGTATAGAAATAGCCCAAGGTACACACAGCCGATATATCAAAACGTGGAACCATACTGATTATATTAGATGTGCGATAATGCGCAAGGACGATAAAAATGATGACTATTGCCTCGAAACGTCGCCATTAACACCCTGAAGAGAGTGAACTGAACGGATGTGCCGAACCCCACGGTGTTGTTTATCCCTGATTATCAACTATTTTCCCACGCATCTCCTCAACCATTGCCTGCTCTCTTCTACCACACCCAGTGTATGAAAGAGTTCGCTTCTTTGCTGTTTCCATCCAGACATATCGAAGGATAAATTTCCTTTCTAAATTAGTAAAGCCAATTATGATAATAAGAAGGTTCATTCATCTCACAATTCATAACCACCTTGTAGGCTTGCGAGGTACACCTGATGGGGGAGTTGCGAACCTTCCTCCCTCGTGAGCAGGCCGCTATACGTCTGCCATACACTCTGCTATAGTACATAACTAACGTTACGCCTTTTAAACACATGTATACGGCTGCTTAACTAATCTCCCGGGTCACATGACCACCCCCAAACTTTTTGCCGCCACCAAAAGAAAGAAAGACTATTCATTCACATAAGTCCCCCAGAACATCCCCTTCCAAAATGGCCGACGACGCTCTCTCCATCTATGACGAGATCGAGATCGAGGACATGACCTTCGACCCAGCCATGCAAATCTACCACTTCCCCTGCCCCTGCGGCGACCGGTTCGAGATCGCGATCGACGACCTGCGCGATGGCGAGGAGATAGCCGTGTGTCCGAGCTGCAGTTTGATGATTCGGGTTATTTTTGATCTGGTGAGTTTGTTCCAGCGGTGGAGGCTGGATATGTTCCTGAAATGCTGATAAATTTTTTTTTTTTTTTTCAAAGACGGACCTGCCTAAGCCGGATGGTGGGCAGAATGCAGGGAGCGTTGCTGTTCAGGCGTGAATGAACAGAGCAGATGATATGAAGAGATGGGTTTTATAACACACAACAGGACAGGATAGGGTAGGCGCTGGTCTTGGTTACGCCGAGACGAGATGAGACTCCTTCGAAGATACCATGCCATACCCAGTGTCCTCCCCCCATGATGTTCCCGCTTGTGAACTTGTTCGCAGTTCCTGTGCCGAAGCAGAAAGCAAAAGTATCCGCTGTTCCGGGGGTGGCATATACTAGCATGTGTATGCACTCGACAAACTCGATGGTGGATGGGATGGGATGGGACCTGCAACGACAACAATCCAAACCCTATATCCTCGCCACGGCCGATAACATTTATCATATCCAGAACGAATTGCACACACCAACATCCTCCGTGTGCCTCTCCAGGCAACGCTACCGTCTACAGACATGGCTTCAAGACTGGCTTGCTTGAGTGGGATACAGCTGTGAAAGAGGTCTCGCTCGGCCGGGTGAGATGGGTTTCACTGTCTCGAGTTGGGCTGGTTACAGTGACTCGAAACAAAGAAGGGCTTGCGGTCGTTGTATAAGATAATGCCTAGATATCTATCGACTCTCAAGCGCCACGCACCGCTCGAGTCGGTCATAGATTGCACCTATCTATTTAGCCTGAATCAAAGATGAATGATATGATATCTGCTGATCCTCTCTCAACAAATCCATGAGTATGAGTGTAGCGATGTAAAAAAAAATACAATTGTTAAAGCAACATCATTATGTAGCCACCACCCACATCACCCACATCTCCCCTCCTACCTACTCACCGTCACTATAAACATCCGCCGGCAAGTTCAGCGTCAACTCCGAATTCAACAAATCCGTCAGATTCGACCCATCACGCAGATAAACCCACTGCCCACTGACAAAGGGCCGCGAGTCCTGCTTTTCGTGCATGCGGTCGCCGCCGACGATCCAGTCGTACCGCTTAGGCCCGGAGATGGGCGAGCTGAGCCAGATTTGCTTGTTGGGCGGTTGTTTGTTCAGCACGTAGGTTCCTAACGCGGGGACGGTTATGTTGAGGACACCGGCCTGTTTGTGGGTAAGACATGTTAGCTTTTTGGTTTTTTCCCCCAGTTCCATACTCCGCTCGGTCTTTTGAGGTAGTGAGAGAGAGGAAAGTGACGAAGACATACACTATACTCCGCCTCAACATCCGACCCCTCCTCCTGAGCCTTCTCCAGCTCCCCAAGGAGCACGTTGAAGTAATGCTCCGAGTACTCCATGTACTCCTCCGTCGACAAGGGTGTCGGCTCAGTCACGTGCTCTGCAGCGCCCGCTACAGGCGGAGGCTTGGGGTCGGACGAGTCGGGCTGGATGCCCTTGCATCTGGCGGCAGAGGCGTGCAATGCACGGCTGTTAGCGCAGAGTGGTGTCGCCGAGCTGGGGCGGACGGCGCTGGAGGAACGGAGAAGAGCGGAGAGGGCGGAAGTGGTCGTGGGCGTGGTTATGCGGAGGGGCCGCATGGAGCTGGAGAGCAGTATTGCTCGTGGAGTGGTGCGGGACAGCATTGTTGTAGATGGGTGCTGGGTTTGTTCTGGGCTGGGGGTTGGAGCTGAGGTGCCATTTGGATGGAGGAATCGAGCAGCACTACATCATTATGGGTTCACCGCCTGCTGCTTTTGGATTATGACTTTATGGACTGTGATTGGCTGTATTTGAGTGTAGAAGAGGTGAAGAAGGAAGGGTATTGAATACAAAGGGGTAGAAATGGGTAGAAATACTCCCTGGTCTGCGTTATTGCTCATTATCGTTTTTGTGAAAATATTCATTGGAGACACTCCTTATTTCTTGATCTTCCAACTTTACCCTGATTAGTCTGTTGATGCTCAATGTTGACCAGTTCTCAGTGAACATGCCATGCATATGCCAGGTACCGTGCATGCGTGTGATATAATGTTATTTTGTATACTCCAGGCAGGGTTTCCATCTATAAAGTCTCTACTTATACTGGTATCTTGAGGCGAATTGATCTTCCTCAGCGTGGATCCTCCGATCGGCAAATAAGTGGGACTAGAAGAGGGGGAGTTAAAGGTTGCTTATCATAATAACAGGCTTACAGAGAACTATATGTGGGTAGTATGGCAAGGGTGTCGTCTAAATGGTCCTTGAAGATTCAAATGGCTGGTCGCTGTTACAATATATGGTCTTGGCGGTCTTGCTTTGACTCTGCCCCCATGACACTAAGGCTTACCAACCTCCACTTCCGTCCTAGAGACTCTTAGTTGATTTGCTGGATTCAGCACTGACGGAATTTAAACCAGAAAGCAACTCCACTCCGTGGCGAAACAGAATAGTAACCCTCGGCAGGTACGTGGCACTGACATCACATCTCCTCACCCTTTTAAGGTTAAGCGTCTTCCCCGCATCTTTACTGTGCCCCGGATTTCTGCGCCGGCGGTGAAACTGGAGATATTAAGAACACGCCAATCATTTCACTTATTGGCCGGAGACATGGAGATCTGTGCATACGAGAGTCTGTGGAGAGACGAGGGGAATTGAGACTGATGGCTCCATCTGCGAAACCTAAAAATGTCATGCCCATCTCCCATATATGTCTGTCATTCTTTCATTCTGTTTGTTTCCCTCTCAGTCACAATGTTACACAAAATTGTGGTAAACGCCTACAATCTTTGGGTCGTGGTCTTTGTCGCCATCGGTACCATTGCCAGTGCCTATGGCCTGGCCATCATCGGGTCGACCGTCGGCCAGCCCAATTTCTATACCTACTTTAATCTGGCTGCCCAGGGTGAACCAGGTTATGCGCATACTTCCAACATGATCGGAGCCCTCAATGGCATCAATTCCGCGGGTGCAGTCTTTGGATGCCTCTTTCAGGCCTGGGCTGCAGACTACTATGGTCGCAAGCGGACTATTCAGGCCGGATGTGTCGTGCTTATCGTCGGCGGCGTATTGTGCTCTGGTGCGGTGGATATGGCCATGTTCCTCGTGGGCCGCTTTGTTGCCGGTATGGGTGCTGCAATCCTTGCATGCATCGTGCCAATCTACCAGGCCGAAGTGTCGACAGCGGAGACCCGCGGCGCCATGGTGGCCGTTACTGGCATCATGTATGCTGTCGGCTATACCCTAGCAGGCTGGTTAGGGTTTGCATGCTATTACATGTCTGCCAATAACCCGGCAGCCAGCTTCGCCTGGAGGTTCCCGCTGGCGTTCCAGACTAGTTTCCCTCTGATCGTCCTAGCGGGCAGTTCCTTCATCCCGTTTTCTCCTCGCTGGCTACTGCAGCAAGGACGTCGAGAAGAGGCCTTTGAGATTGTCAAGCGTCTGCACAGAACTCCCGAAGATACCAACGATTCCCGAGCCAAACAAGAATTTTACATGATCGAGAAACAGTTCGCCCACGATAAGTCTATGACGATGCGGCCATTCGAGCTCTTCCGTACCTCTGCCAACCGCCGACGAGCCATGGTGGCCTTCATGCTGATGTGGGGGAACCAGTTTCTGGGGGTATTCGTGTTGGCAAACTACGGGGTCCTCATTTACGCAAGCCTCGGATTGGGAGGCTCAATCCCGCTCCTGCTCAATGCATGCTGGGTTAGCTTCACGCTTATCGGCAACACCTGGACCGCATTTTACGTCGACCGCGTTGGCCGGCGGACGTGTCTGCTCATCGGCTCCATTGGCTGCACCGTGGCCGTGATATTCCTCTGTGCTCTGTCGGCGCGGTACCTCGGCACAGAAAACGTGCCCGGTCTGCGCGGTGGAGTCTTCTTCGTGTTCTTTTTTATCTTCTGGTGGTGTTTCTTCGTCGATGCAACACAGTATGTCTACGTTGCAGAGATTTTCCCCAACCACCTCCGTTCCCAAGGCGTGGCTTTCGGTATCGCCAGCTTCTATCTAGGTTCCGAAGTTACTCTTGTCGGGGCGCCGGTTGCGTTTAACACGATTGGATGGAAGTTCTATTTTGTGCTGATTGTCCCGTCGTTCTTCTATATCTTGGCGATCTATTTCTTCTTCCCCGAGACCAAGGGTCGCACGCTGGAGGAGATTGGGGGCCTTTTTGGCGACGAAGCTAACGTTGTCTCGCATTGGTATAATGTCACTGAGGAGGAGCGTGAGAAGCTTGCACGTGAGGCTCTTCGGGAGACGGGAGATGGATCACTTCCCGAGAGCGAGCAGGAGGAGGAGGCTAAGCCGACTACGGTTCACGAGGAGTTGTCTTGATTTTGGCATGGTAGTATAGTCAATCTAAGAGAGCAATGCCTAGTCTATCGTATATTTCCAGATTCTATACTCCCACTTGCCTTTTATTGTTACTTCATACTTCTCCGCCATTATGGAGTTTCCGCTCGGCCGCGCTCCACATCCCCGCACTTCCTATCTCCCCGGGAGAGACCAAGTGTACGTGCCGTAAACTAGTCGACTGCTCAGCACATGAGTTCCTAATCATTCATCATGGTAGCGCCTGGGCGCAGGGCTTCACATGTCACGACGGCCTGTGATCACTGTTTCCGCCTGAAGGTCCGATGCGACGGCGCATCACCGAGCTGCGCCAGCTGTGATCGACTGCAACAGAGATGCACGTATTTGCGACCTGACAAGCGCAAGTAAGTAAGACCTAGGGGGATACTAGTGGATCGGTACGTTGACCCGATTAGGATATCCAAACTTGCCGTCTCACAGCTGGTGGATCGGATCCGCCTGTTGGAAAACACATTGACGGAACATGGCATTCCAATTCCATCACCGCAGCCGCCGCAGTCGAGCTGCGTGGTGCAAAACTCCCAAGAAAACGTGCCAGACCCTAGCGGCTGGTCGGCACTGTCGCTCCTGAATGATTCCGCGCAGGAAGGAGACGATCGTGAACGGGCGCTAATCGAACGAATTGATCAAGGAAATACGCTGACTCCGGGCCTGGACCCCGATATCGAGCTTCTCGTAAAACGGACTGGGTCCCTTCAGTTTACGGAGCATGGACAGCTCAGGTACTTCGGCACGACTTCGAATGTTCATTTCCTTCGCACCGCTATCCCCTTCCAACCGCAGCTCTATCAGAATGGGCTGGGCCAAACGCCAAACGCGTGGCTGGAACAAGCTGGCGTGGGCCATACAATCCCTCGAGAGTTTGAAGATCATTTGATCAAGTTGTACTTCACCTGGGAGAATCCATACTTCAATGTGGTGGACCAAAATGCTTTTTTGAATGCCCGTCGACAGGCACAGTTCGGCTCGAGCTCAGACTCGTTGGTAGCCTCTTGCTACTCTGAGCTACTTGTTAATGTCATGTGAGCATTTCTTATCCGCAGCCACTGTTATTGAGTTGACTCTTACTATTTCAAAAGGTGCTCCTGGGGCGCATTATTCACCGACCAAGCCCTGCCCGAAATCCCTGGCTCGTTACACGACTTCTTCATCCTGCGTGCCCGGGCACTGCTGGAGCGCGACATTGACAACCCCACCATCGCAACAGTGCAAGCCCTGGCAATGATGAGCGGTAGCGAAGCCAGCCATGGCAGAGATTCACGCGGGTGGTTGTATGATAGCATGGCGGCGCAGCTAGCTCATCATCTGGGTTTGCATCTGGATGTTGAGCACTATGTTCGGTCGAACGACATGTCCCGACAGGAAGCTACTGTGCGCAGCACTGCGTTCTGGGGCACATATGTAATCGATACTGCGTGGAGCTATTATCTTGGTCGATTGACAATGCCAGTCGCTGATGTGAATCGAATCCCTGTTCAGTCGCCGGCAGGAAATCAGGTTACTCAGTACTGGGAGGACTACACAGACGAGTCTGTAAATCTGAGGCGGCCTCCGCAGCGCTTTGTTGATCCACTGGCTCCAATGTGGGAACACCAGTTGAAACTGTGCTATATCATGGAACGCCTGCAGAAAACATTGTAACTCTTCTAGTCCATTTGGAGGCGATTAACGCTAACATGCTCTCTAGCTATGACAAGCGCACGGGCTCCATCTCCCAACTACGTGTGCACACCATCGCCGTGACATCCGCCCTAGATAAATGGCTAGGTGACCTTCCAACCGAGCTAGCCGTTGATCCAAACAGCACCTCAGGCATCTATTTACCACATGTATTGGTCATGCACACCCAATTTCACGAAACCATGATCTTCGCCAACCACCCGTTCATCACGCCTCCACGAACAGGACAAGCACCAGACTCGCGCCGCAAATACGTTGAGTCTGCGCGGATAATCACCCGTATTATAGCTATCTATAAAAAGCTTTGGACGCTGCGCCGTATCAACATCCAGGGCATACACCCCATGTTTACAGCGTCAATGGTGCACCTGTACATAGCGTGTACCTCTAGATGCTACGACGAGTTTGCAATTGCCATTGCAGACCTTGAGGTTTGTTGTGACGCAGTCAAAGATGCATCTACCTCATTCCAGCTTGCGGGGTGGCAGCTCCGGTCTGTGCATCGGGTGTGTCAGCTCTGGCATGATTTACTAGAGAACCAGATCTCTGCGCAGCCACAGAAGGTATCTCAGCCTGATCCTAAGATATGGCCACAGGACTGTGATCGGTGGGCAACTATTGAGGCGGTGATTCAAAGGGCAATGGTCTCTACTGAGGTTGGATCGGCGCCGGAGGAACAGAATCCTTGGTTTAATGCGTGGATGCAGATGCAGGAGATTTCAGCTGTGGATCCGTTTTCCATGGGATCAGCGTAATACATGACGCAAGCTGTTCCTGGGGCAATTTAGTGTTTAATTTTGAAATAACCTTTCCGTTGTTTTGCGTCACCCTTCTCCGCACTCCACTTGTAAGTCGGCCCGAGGGTGTGAAGTATAGAGGGGAGGACCATAAACCTATAAACCTTGGAATTGAAGTAAAGACGGACAAAGTAAAGAATATAGCTGCAGCTCTTTTATTCGTTTAACCGAACCCCATTGAATCTCTCTACCATGGCCAGCGCCGACTACAGCAGCCTTCCCCGTTTTGACGACCTCCCAGGGATGGAGGGCATGCCATCCGGCTGCGCCTGGGGTGTCTTCGACCGAGACGGCAAAAAGGATCACCTTGGATGCATCAACCTTCTCACCCCATCAGTAGTCCAAGCAGCCCTTCGTGAAGCCCAAGACGGGGAATCCGTATCCCTAAACTGGCCGATCAACGCTCTGCAGATACCAGCATTTGGACGCGCCGGACTTCAGCACCGAGTAATTTCCTTTCAGGATAATGAAGATGAGCATCACAGATTACATGGTTTTGATGACGAAGTCACCTTCAACACACAGTGCTCCAGTCAATGGGATAGTCTGGTGCACTATGCCCACCAACACTCTCAACTGAGCTACAATGGTGTTCGACCGTGTGTACAGACTCTCGAGCAATCATCTACTCCCTTTACTGTCGACCCAAATTTACCGACCCTGAACCACTGGCACAATCGTGGTGGCATAGTTGCTCGCGGTGTTCTACTCGATTATAAAGCTTACGCTGATGCGCACGGTATAAAATACTCGCCCTTTGACGCGCACGGTATCACTGTTGATGAGCTTGACGCTGTTGCCAAGTGGGAGAGTGTATCTCTGCGCCAGGGTGATATCCTCATAGTCCGTTCTGGGTTTACCCGTGCCCTACAGGGGATGTCGCCCGAGAAGCAGCAGGAAGCATTGAAGGGTGGTCGTGCAGTTGGGGTAAAGGGATGTACTGAGACGGCCAGATGGGTGTGGAATCATCATTTCGCTGGTGTTGCTGGCGATGCTATTGCATTTGAGCAGCTGCCGCCTATGAAAGAGGACAATTCGGAGGGAGGCATTGCTGACTTGGGTAAGTCTTTCTTTCCATATTTTCTTACGAAATTATATTAATCAAGTGATGGATAGTTCTGCATCAGTACTTCCTCAGCTTGTTCGGTTTGAATATTGGTGAGCTGTGGGACCTTGAGGCGCTATCGAGGACGTGTGCAAGCAAGAAGAAGTACTCGTTCCTGCTGACGAGTTGTCCGCTCAATGTGCCAGGGGGTGTGGGAAGCCCTCCAAATGCTCTAGCGGTTTTCTAGTTCGGTATCTCTTCATGTTAATGTGGTCACTCTTCACACCTCATACTTGATGACTTTCCCCTACATTTTAGTGCTTTCATTATTATATCTTTAGGAAGAGCCGAACGCATCTATGTGAAACTGGCCTTATTTGAAGAGGATTTCTCATTGCCTTCGCCAGAAACGCTTAAATACGTACATACTTTGTGAAACTAGATAGTGAGATAGGCCGTAACCCATGGATTATTGCCTTAGCCCCCATCCGAATCCTCACATCGGGTGGATTCGTTGCTGTGTCCTATTCAATAATCACGACAGCACAGGTAATCTGAGTGTTTCTGCCTGGGCATAAAAAAAAAGAGTTCCCATTAATACCTCTGCAGCCTGCAAAAATACGCTATCATTAATAGATCCTGTAGTACAAGTTGGTATGGAGCCCGGGTATAGTCGGGAATAATTAGGGCTTTATTCACCGCCTTCTAAATGGCTCTAATCCAACGACATCTCCTTTTGCCATCGGAAAGGAAAGGAAAGTAGGGCCCGGTATTTCGCGTTTCAAAAACTTTCAACGGCCTGGGACCTATGCATCAGGAAAACTCGAGAAGGAATTGAAACGCAACTCTGAATGACTTGATGGGTGATCCAAGTTGAACAACCACTGAAAGCAGTCCGCAGCATGGCCACCACAACATCAAGAGGGCGAGTAGAGCGGGGAAGCCGGACTCGCCGTGGACTCACCTGTGAAAACTGCCGCGCGAGAAAGGTATTTATAGTCCACCTCAAGTCCACACTCCGCTCGTTACTCACTACTTCAGACACGTTGCGATGGCACTCAGCCAAGCTGCAAGACTTGTGACGTCTATCATGATGAGTGTCGTTATGAGAAGCCTCCTCCAATGTCGCAGGTGATAGCCATGGCCAACAGACTTCAAGAGGCGGAACAAACGATCCTAAGATTGAAGGAAGCACTGGAAGCAGGATCTTCACCAGCTCTGCAGCAGGCGGATCCGAGTACCTCCCCAGCGATAGAAGCACGGACAGATCGCAGAAACAATCCTATCGAACACCAAGGCCAGTTTTTGTCCAAAGAGCCTACCTCGGAAGAATTGCTATCAGACTTGAGTCTTGATGAGCATGGCAAAGTAAGTTGACACGAAGTACTATGTTATGACCATGCCCATTTATTATTTGGAATAGATATCGTATTATGGACCCACGTCCGCTATTTATGAACCTCCAGCACTGGATGCATCGGCTGCGCATTCCCAGTCCGAGGATGAGGTGTCTTCCAAGTCGAATATCCGGACGCTACTGACCTGGAATGCGGAAGAATATCGATCCTGGGAAGAGTTTGCCCATGGCAACGCTTCCATTGAGAGTGGCATCCCACGTGCGATTATTTCCAATTTACTGCAAATCCATTGGTCCTGGATTGCCCCCATGTTCATGTGGGTATACAGACCAGCTTTCATGCGTAAGATCCGATCCGATCGTGCAACCCTGGAGAATATCTGACAACAGCAGGGGACATGACAACCGGTGGCCAGTATTACTCGCCTTTTCTTCTCACCGTCCTCTGCGCACATGCTGCACGCTTTCACGAGGGCGAGGTAGGCGAAATGCTCATCTGTAGGGCACGCTTACTTCTGGGCCCAGAAATTCAAAAGCCAACCTCGATCCCCACCGTGCAGGCCTTGCTACAGCTCAGTGCTCGAGAGATGGCGTATGGGTCCACGTCGCAAGCATGGCTTTACGGCGGGATGGCTTTTCGAATGGTCAGCGATCTAGGTCTTCATCACAATAGCGGCAAAGTATTGAAATTGGGATATCTCAGCCCAGAAGATGGGGAGATACGGAGACGACTATTTTGGAGTTGTTATTTCTGGGATAAGGCTTTAAGTCTCTATCTAGGGAGATCGCCCGTGTTACTTGAACTACCTTTTGATCATAGCCCTGAGTTCTGTGAGTTACTCCTCTCGTGCTTTGCTTCGCGGATACTGATGAAAGAAAGTGGACACGTTCGCCGAAAATGAACTGTGGTCTCCAAATTATGGCGACATGCTCAACTTGAGTAGAGTCTCTGTCGGAGAGTATCCGCCAATGAAGGCTCATTCTATTTCTTGCTTCGAAAACTCCTGCAAACTCGCCGTCATTTTAAATGATATTATCCTCCAACTCTACTCTCGACGTGGTTCTCCAGACATGAGTGAGACGTTGCGAATCAGAGAGAGGCTCGACGACTGGCGAGAAAATTCACCGCAACATCTAAAATACGACCCAGAAAATTTACCGGAATTCTGTCCTCCGCCGCATATCATGACCCAGAACCTCTTCTACTACGCAATCATCATATTGCTGCATCGGCCATTCTACTCGGCCCCTGCGCGTCATCTGGCCTGCAGAAAGGCGGCAGACAGCCTTGAGAAGATGCTTTTGCTCCTTGAGAAGACGTTTGGCTTCAACCGTATCACATACTTGATGGCGTACTGCATCTACACTGGTGCATCAGTCATGATCAAGGATGTCAAGGCCGGTGACCTCGAAGCAAGCAGCAAGATGCAAACCTTCCTCCGAGCGCTGAAGCAAGGTACCAAAACATGTCCTCTGCTTCAACGGAGTCTGGATATCATCAATAACAGCTTGCACTCTAAACCTCCACGATTTGCACATTTGAATGACAATGCACCTGCAGAAGATCTAGTTACGGCGAATTATCTGCCAGCTTTCCCTTATCTTGATCCAGAGGTTACGAATCACCTTACGACAGATCAGCATCCCAGCAGCATGGACCTGGATGCATTTTCATTCCTCGATTCTTTTCCTGAGCAGCACATCAACACTGCCACAGGGGAATGGTATCTTGGATAAGGAAAAAGGAGACCGCGGTGTGATTTCTGAAAACCGGAAAGTTTCTAACAGCCTTGTACAACTATGGATAAGACATCTTATACAACACATTCTTTATACCTGTGGATCGTTATCGCTAGTCATCGCCGGCGTATTGCCACAACCTTCTCGGATTATCCACCCAGATTTTCCTCACCAGGTCGTCCCCAACCTGCCGACACCAGGTCTTACATCTAGCCACCCAAGCCTGATCGTCAACCTTCCTATACTCCTGGATCTTAGTCCTGTCGCCTCCGGGATTCGCCGAAACTCCACCACTATGCGGCCAGTCGCTCGCCCAAACAACTCTGTCCGGAGCGGTAGTCAAGATCTCTCTCACATACGAGTCTAGCTCCGGCAAATCCTCGAACCTGTATACTCCACTGAGTTTTGTATACACGAGACCCGACTTCAGAAGTTCCATGAAATCCTGGAACCCATTCTGCAGTCTCGGCGGTCCTTTCGATGACTCCGGATGGCCGATGTGGTCAATCACAACCGGCACCCCCAAGGCTGGCACAATCGATGCAAACCCCGCGATCTGATCCAACGATACGTACACCTGGATTACCCAACCGAAACGCCTGATTCTATCCGCTGCGCGTGTGAACAAATTCGCTAATGCGGCCTTGTCAGGCCGTGTATCTGTTGTCCGCAAGTTGAGACGGATTCCCCTGACTCCGGCGTCATGTAGCTCTTGTAGTTCATCATCTGTGGTTTTTTCAAGGTCGATGCAGGCGACTGCGCGACCCTTGCCATTTAAGCGGCGAAGGGCATCTAGAAGGATTGAATTGTCGGTGTGGTATACGGAGAAGGCAACGAGACAGTTGTGACTAATCCCTTGACTCTTTTGGAAGGCGAGGAGCTCCTCGAGAGCGGCTTTTTTGGGGCGATAGGGGTGTGATGCATGGTAAGGAAAGTTATCCTGCAGAATATTTTTAATAAATTCAAGAAAAGGTACGGGAAATTTTCCTTACTTCGTCTGCGACGTGGACGTGGCTGTCCCAAGCGCCAGCTGGGAGGGAGGTGTCTAGGTCTGATACCGATCCCATGTTGTGTTGTCGCTCGAGAATGAAAGGAGAATTTTGAATGGCGTTAATCAGTAATAATATGCGAAATCGGTCACTCCTAGCAAAGCAACGACTCAATATTGCCGTCTCGGAACTTCGCCGGATACTCGCCGCGGCAGCTCGCCGAGGGGGTTCGCCGGGATCCCCGCCCGGCATTTACCCCAGTCATCTGTGAAATGTGGGGAAGCCTGAGCAGGATCTGGACCCCATAAAGATTGATATCAAAGATCATAAGAGGTTCCTTCGGCAAATGTATCGTGCTGACTGGGGACAAGCAGTCATTTGCTACAAACGCAACCCATTGTCCATCTCATTCTCAGGAACTGTACCACTAAAGTTCTAAAATGGGGGCTACCGACGACGCGCAACATATTGAACAGGCAAACACACAGAACATGACAGACATTGAGAAAACCGACTACCAAGTGGCGGAAGAGACCCAAAAGGAGATCCAGAATCAATATGATCCGGAATGGATCAGAGCCCAGAAACGGTATCTATGGAAGCTGGACTGCATCATTTTGCCTGTTGTCTCTCTTCTGTATTTCTTCGAATACCTGGATCGAGGAAATGTCGCCAATGCAAAACTTTACGGGCTCGATGATGGGCACGATACTCCCTCGCAGGGGGTTAGCGCCGGGATCACCCCTCTTTCCTCGTCTCAATGGCAGCTCGTTGTGATGATCTTTTATGTTGGACTGGTACTATTCCAAGTTCCGGGATGCCTTGGTTACCGTGTTTTCCCGCCTTCGAAGGTAAGAACAACGTCTCTTTTCTCCGACTTGTGCTGATACTCGGCAGTGGATTGCTTTTGGTGTTTGTGGATGGGCCATTGCAAGTCTCCTTCAGAATGTCGCTTTCAACCTTGCAGGTGAACTCGTCTGCAGAGTTTTCCTAGGCACTTTTGAAGGCCTTTTTGGCACCGGAATTGTCTACTACCTTTCTCTGTGGTACCATCGGACTGAAATGGGCGTCCGCGTCTTCTGGTTCTTGGGACCCACGGCCATTGCTGGAGCATTCGGAGGCCTGATTGCTTTCGGTATCGGCCACATTGATAATGGCACACCTGTGTGGAAATGGCTTTTCCTGATTGAGGGCTTGCCATGTTTCTGCCTCGGGCTGTTCTGCATGTACTGGTTGCCCGATCGACCACTCAAGAACTCCCGGTTCTCCGATATTAACCAGGAGATTGCGGAAGCGCGTTATCACAACGAATCTTTCGACAAGGCCGGCCATATTCAAAAGAAACATGTTATTTGGACGATTACCGACTGGCGGCTGTACGTGCAAGCGGCGATCTATCTTCCCACGGCAGCGCTTCTAGCCTCGATCTCGGGCTTTCTGCCTACTATTGTCGCCAGTATGTATTTCTTGAGGCCCTCTTTTTTTGGATATACTGACAGACTTATACAGACCTGGGGTACGAGGAAGCCACGACGGCAAACCTGATGACAGTCCCGCCGTATGCCTGCGCATTTGTCCTCATGTTCGTCGCGTCCTGGTCTTCCGACCGTTTCCGTGATCGAGGCAGACATATCGCTGTCCTCATGTGCATTGCAACAATTGCATACGCCCTTCTAGCCACGCTGCCCGAGTCCAAACTGGGCGGCAAGTATGCATGCGTCTGCATTGCCGTTGCCTGTGTCTACGCCACGTACCCGCCCACACATGCCTGGGCCGCAAATAACTTCGGCAATGAGACAAAAAGATCCATTGGTATGGGCCTATACACAGCGATTGGCAATCTTGGCTCCATTGCAGGGACTTGGTTCTACCCCAGCACAGACGGGCCGCAGTTCAGGAAGGGGCACTTCGTGTGTATGGGTTTGGCGATAGCAACGGCGGCGTTTGCGCTGGCTAATCACTTTGCTTTGAAGGCTATCAATAAACGGCGGGACAAGATATACGGAAAGCCTGTGCCTGGAATGCCTGTGGATGTTACGGAGTTGGCGGATAAGGCTCCGATGTTCCGCTTCATCACTTAGTTAGGGCTTGCAGAGCCGTTAGTAGCAAGTCTAGAAAACTTCAGCTCTGTTTGGATACATGAAAACAATTTCTGTACATTCTTTCTCAACATATCTATTTCATCTCTTCCAACTTGAAATCAACACCTGCTTGTGTCGCCAACGCATGCAACGCATCGACTTCCCCTCGCGAATATGGAATGCCCTCTACCCTTCTCTTCATTTCCACGTCTGCCTCGATCTCTCCACTGGTATAGATTCTCTCTACCCCAACAGCCTTATCGCATTCCCGAACCCTCGTCAGCAAAGTATCCATTCTCCCCTTCAGTTCCTCCATTCCGCCATCCAGAAAGACCTCCGGACGAAATACCAAGAACCAATGACCGACATCCTGCGGCTCCTTCAGGTTTTTGTACTGGTCATTCACACCACCTGCAAATGCAGCTCCGGACATCAAACCACCAAACATATCCATCATCATCGCCAGTCCACTCCCCTTAGGTCCCCCAATAGGCAATACCACACCTCCAGCAAGTGCGGCCTCTGGATCCGTCGTCGCTCGACCCTCTGCATCCAGCGCGTACCCTTCCGGGATTTTCTCCCCGCGCCGAGCTGCCTTTCGAATCTTTCCTCTGGCTGCCACACTGGGCGACATGTCGAGAATGAAATCTCCTGCCTCGCCACCGGGGACACCAACAGCAAAGGGACTCGTCCCAAGAAGCGCCTCCTTCGCACCCCACGGCGGCATGCTTCGCGATGCATTCGTAAACGCCATAGCCGCGCAACCCTTGTTGATCGCCCGGAGGAGATACGTTGCCGCCATGCCATAGTGATTACTATGTTTGACAGCCACGACGCCCATCCCATACGTCTGCGCCATCTCGACGCCCTTGTCAATAGCGAGGGATGCAGCGACAAAGCCGAACGTGTTTTTGGCGTCCAAGTGCGCCATTACGGGCGTTTTCAGGTCGAACTCGAGATCGGGGTTGGGGTCTAGTACACCGTGCTTGATACGCTCGATGTAACCACCCAGTCGATTGATACCGTGTGTGTCCACACCGCGGAGGTCGGCGAGGACAAGCGAGTCTGCTATCAGGTCTGCGCGATCTGAGGGAACATTGTATTTAGAGAGGACTGCTGTCACGAAAGAGTGCGCGGATGAGGAGGGGACGTTCACGGTTGTAGATGACGGGTTGGCCATTTTCTTTTTCTTTGGTAACGCCAGTCTTGGGGATGTGCACGGTAATTGCCGAAGAAGAGCGTACTTGAGCGAGAATATATAGCGTCATGAGACTGTTTTCCGAAATTCGGCAGCCGCCCTTTCTCCCGGAGAGTCTCCGGGGAGCCTGCGGAGAGTCCAGAATCCTTCCATGCGGGGATACCCAGACCTCTAACTTGAGTATGGGCATTAGCAGTTCTATCTATAGTGATTATGAAGTACAGCATTTGAAGTATATACAGCAAATCTGTAGCTATCGACGTTCCATTTTATAGATACATTTAGACTAACTTCCCCGGCACATCATCAGTCTTCCCCTCCAAGACAGCTAGTAATGTCTTCACCACGGCAAGACCACTGGTACTCTGATTCTCAATGGTCGATGCCCCAATATGCGGTGTCATGATCACATTATCCAGTTCCAAGAAATCTCCATATGCCTCCAACGTAGGCGGCTCCACCTCCATAGCATCTAGGACAGCGCCCCAAATCCTTTTCTCTTTCAATGCATCCAGCAAGGCTTTCTCATCCACAATCCCTCCCCTAGCCGCGTTGATCAAAATCGCCCGATCCTTCATCATCCCCAGCTCCCGGGCCTTAATCAAACCCCTTGTGCTCTCGAGCAACGGCACATGCAGGGTGATCACATCCGACTTGGTGATCAGCTCGTCCAGCGTCTGGACTCTGGTATGCGGAATTTCCACCTGATTCCACACATCTGCTGGTGCAACAGGATCAAACCCGATCACTTCTGCCTCGCACGCCCCGATCCACTTCTTAGCCGCCACTTTTCCGATATTTCCCATCCCGACCACTCCCACAGTCTTGCGAAACAGACTCAGTCCCAGAGTCTGGCTGCGCACAATCCTATCGCCATTTCGCACGCGGCGATCAACTTCCGCCACCCGCCTGCTCAGGGACAGGGCCAGGGCCAGCGAAAATTCAGCTACAGACTCGCTGTTCAGCGCGGGGGTGTTGTGCACCGCGACGCCGGCCTCTTTGGCGGCATTCAGGTCGATATTGTCGACGCCTACCCCCTGCTTCACGACAACACGCAGCTTCTTGGCGCGGTGGAAGTCGTCGGCTTGGAGTTGTGTTTCGGATCGCAATATGATCCCCTCTGCGTGGTCGCGCCAGTCTGCTTTGCGGGGATCATTGGGGAGGATGAGCTCGATCCACGAGGTAGATTTGAGACAAGCAATTGCATCTTCGTGGTAGGGATCGAGCACGTAGACTGCTGGTTTCGCCATTGTGTCTGTGTTTCGGTTTAATGGAGACCTTCGTCTCCAGAATTGTTTCGTTGTCTATATCGATCGGTACTTTTTTTGAAGGCCCACTTTCGCCCACTTACCCGGAATTTCGCCGCGGTCGAACCCCGCGGACGGTCACCGACCGAGGAGCTGTCGCGGGCATGTCCGATTCCGGGGATGCTGATTACATCGGAGCTCTCTGTCATTTTGCTCTTGACTCGGGCGATGTCACTACTGTCCCTAACCATCTCTAGGATTCCATCGCGGCTGCACACATCCAGATTCCTCCTGCGCCCATTATCATCCCACTTCTCCACCACCAGCAAAATGGCCTCCACTCAAGATCCCATCGTCAAGGCGTTGCAGCAGTACACCACGTAAGTATCGCTCGACCATTTCCCGTATGAAACCATACTATATACATACTAACCAACAACCAACTAAAGATGCGACGTCTCCGACGCACTCTGCAAGCTGAAATTCCGACATGGAGGCTTCCTATCCGGACTGACTTTGTGGTCGCCTCAACGTCAAGAAGGCGCAACGAAGATCGTCGGTCCCGCATACACGGTCAAATATGCGCCGCTGGATGACCCGGCGCCGAAGCACCCAACTCACTACGTAAGGAAATACCAGACATAGATCAGATAATTTGCAGTGAGTGCTAAGTAAAGCGACAATGACAGATCGATTCCATTCCCGAAGGGGCAGTGGTATTCGTATCCTGTCCGCCGAAGACACCCAATGCCGTGTACGGGGGGTTGATGTCGACACGGGCGCAGGCAAGCAAAGCCGTGGGGTCGGTTATTGATGGCCGATTTCGAGATCTGCAGGAACACCGTGAGCTTAATTATCCGGTTCGTATAATTCACCTGCTACTGGCACCCATGAATGTAACATCAACTACGAGAAATCTGACGTTAACATATCATATCGATTTCAGGTCTTCGCACGCGACATCGGCACCGCACCGCCCTACGAGCTAGTCAAAGTAGTAGACACCAACGTCCCCGTCAAACTGCAAACAGATGAGCAGGATGTGACCATCAACCCGGGCGACTACCTGATCGGGGATCTGAACGGTGTGGTCGTGCTGCCGAAGGAGTTGGCGGAGAAGGTGCTCCCGCTTATGGCGAAGCAGGCGGATGCGGATGCGAAGATGGCGGTGGAGATTCGGAAGGGGATGAGTTTTACGGAGGCGGGGAAGAAATTTAGGGTCTAAGTCTGGGATGAGTCGATCCTAGTTGATCTGGGATACATATACGTTGTTTGACTCGTAAGCCGGCTTAGCTCGCTACACATGTGAATGAACAAATTTAGCATTAGAAGCTCAAGCGACGGCAGCAGATATTAGTGTCTGTGCGCGGCGTGGCTTCATTTGTCACAGTGACGGATCTCCTAGGATGGCTGAAGGATTGTCGCTGCGCGTTGGGCAATGCGGGCGAGCAGTTTGGATTCGTAGGCTGTTTCAATCGTGCCATCAACGAAGCGTTCCTGGCGTATTATTACGGTGAGAAGCTTTGCAAGCTGTGCAGGAGTGGCCTGATTTAGGAGATCAGTGTCGCGAAGCGTGTTGGCTTCATCAGAAGTATTCCAATCGATCCAGTCGAAGTATGGTGTGCACCACCCACTAAGAGCAGGCAGGATTGACGGCTCCACGGTGGCAAAGGAATGCCCCTGGGAGAGTAGTGGGACTATCTTTGCCAGTCTGGAAAGACGTGGAAGATCAGTGAGGGCAGGCATAGTGCCAGGAGCGACAGAGCCGTGGGTCACAATGGAGGGTTCCGATGCGGCCATATGCTCAAGGGCGCTGGAAGACGTGAGATAGCTAGGGGAATGTAACACTGGGCATTGTGTTGTGAAATAAAGAGCGTCTTGTCCGCCGTGTCGCCTGAATTCCCCTTGGAATATGTCTGCAAGAAAGGAGCGCTGCGTTGGGGTTGTGCCTTGGGTGGCTAGTGCTAGCTCGCCGTTTAGCGCTTCATAGATGCCCGGCTCACCACGATGTGGGCTATCGCGAAACGTGACATTAGCTCCCTGAGCGTAGGCAAACCCTGGTAGACGTTCAACAATAGCGCGTGCGATGGTCGCGGAGGGTGCTGGAATGGTGAGAGGCATTCTATGTAACAACTGTAGGGTGGGTTGGGAAAGGGTGCAAAAGGATGAGATGCTCTCCCATCCGCGTAAGCACGGGATCTTGTTAGGACTGTCCCATCTCCTTTGGGCTTAGCACCCAATAGAGCCAATCAGAACTCCTATCCAACCCAAGGCTACGTATCATGCACGAATGGGGTTGTTTACAAGTCTTAGTGTCCACAGTGGTCTTCTATAAAGCTGGGCGTCCTCTAATCAAAGGCGGCTGTTTAAACTGTGGATGAATAGATGAAAAATTCGGCGCCTAGCTTTGAAGACTTGTTGAGTTGTCGGCTTTGAGGGTTACTAGCTTTGTGGGACATGTTTGGATGAGTCAAAAGTTGAGGTCAAAAGTCTTTTCCTGATAATCATAAGAGGTGATCAGGGAATTCCGGCCCACATTGATTCAATGCTGGTTAAGCGTCGTTGATTCTAGCGGGAAGCGACGCCAAACCAGATTGAGCAGACGGCCGCTAGCACGAATGGCGATCTTCCCTCGAAGATGAAACTGAAGAAGCCTTTATGTTGGATGGATGAATAGTTATATTTCGATAGCTTATCCCTAATAAAGCCACTTAGCCTATTTCAAAACCAAAGGCCAAATAAATCTATCCATCTATCAGTCACCAAATCAACCACATCTTCATGCCTACCTACAATTCACCGGAGCTCTACTCCGATTGGCCCAGTTGAAGTTTCAGTACCTAAGTCAAATCAGACAAGACAATCTGATTGTGAGAGAGAGAGACATAATTATGCAACCGTTTTGTCACAGATCAGGAACAGAGACGTAGAATGATATGATTGAGAGAAATACACCTATCAACAACTGAAATTACGCCAGCGGTCTCGCCACATCCACCTTAGTCCGTGGCAACATACCCAATCCCTCCATCTCGCGATACATCTCAAAGATACTCTCCCTCGTATCGACGAATCCGGTCCAGCCCAGTCGTCGAGCTTTATTCATTGACAACTGGCCAACACCCCCAAAGGCAGCGTCCCCGAATGTGAAATAGCCTTCCACGTCCTGGAAAGGATCAACTGTCACGCTGGGGTTCGCGGCCATGATCTCGCGCCATGCTGCGGCGTTTTCGGGCTGCTTGGCCCAGTGTTGGAGGGTAAATGAGAACTTGAGTGTAACTGGAGGGCCGCCGCTATAATGATGCGTCGCAGTCAGCAGTCAGCGGATAGAAAAGGCCTCATCTGAAGGACCAGAAAAAGACTCACCCAACAGGATTATGACTTCCCCCCTTCCCAACAACAGTATCCATCCCACTCTCATCGTCCTTTGGCCTAACACCACCCTTCTCAACCCCGAACCACCGTACCAGCTCCTCCCACAATCGATCAAAACTCAACGGACTGGTATCCTGCGCATTAAAAGCCTCATTCCTACACTTATCCTCTAGCACCGCCCACTCGGTGAGGTATCCAGTCAGTCTCGCCGTAGCATGATGCGACTCCAGCAACCAAGCAGACCAATCCGCCGGAAAAACCAGCGGCTGCCCGCGGTGCGCCGCAACAGCCGCATAAACAGCGAACGGATACAGTGCATTCATCTGAGCAGCCTTGACTGCACCGATGATCCACGACGGCCGAATAACGTTCCACTCTACGTTATTGGATGCACACCAGTCCCACAACGCGTCTTCTTGGGGGTAGTAGAAGTTGGGCTCGAGGGTGACGCGGGGGTCTGATTCGATGGCCGGAGTGCGGATGCGGCCTAGGTGCACGCCATAGTTCTTTGCGCCGGTTTGGAGGGCAATGCGGCGTGGTTTGATCTTGCTGAGGGAGAGTGCGGATAGGAAGTTGGTGAGAAGCGCAGTATTGACCCGGACTAGTTCCTGCGCGTTTGTCCATGGCGCGGACCCGGCCGGTGGCCGTGGCTGCAGGTAGGAGTAGAAGAAGATGTAGTCTGCCGTCACGCCGGACGCATTTAGAGACTCTGCGATTGTTTGAGGAGACTGTAGGAAGTCGGCGGGGACGTGCTGGATGCGGCTACGCTGAGACGGTGTGAGGAGGCTGAGCATCTCCGCCGGAGGAGGACTGCGCGAGATGGTGTAGATCTTGCTCCAGCGGTCTGGGTGGTCGAGGAGGGCTCGTAGGGTTGCAAAGCCGGAGATGCCATTTGCGCCAGTTATGATTGCTGTGAGGTTCTTGATGGATGGGGAGAAGGAGGGCAGGTTGTGGTAGATGCCGTGGTGATGCACGGGATATTGTTCCGAGGACATGGCTGAGGTAGATAGATGGGTTACGCTCTGAATACCTGAATATTGCAGCTGTAGTTATATGCTCTGAATTCGACTTGATATAGTTCATTTTAACTGTCTGAATGCCCTCGGTTATACAAAAAGTCGCATTTCTAAGCGTGCGGGGGAGTGACGTTAGGATCTTCTGTGCGGGGAAGATGACCACAGCCGAGTCAGTCGATGGCACGTTTCGGCTATGGGGGAAGATTATTAGCTGGGCTATAGACTGGGTGAGTTAATCTTAAGGATAGCAGTATAGTACTGTATCTACTGGGGTCAGACCTAGGAGTCGGATGGCACGTCACCAGAAGAATGGCATTCCAGGGACCGGACTAGCGCAGTTCCCAGGAGAATATTGTCTCTGAGACAGGTCGTCATAAGTAGACTTTCGCACAGTCCAGAGTGAAACACATAATAATTAATTCTCCCAGTAACACTGCAAGGGATAGCCCGGTTGTTCGATTGATCAATAACCGTGCACCCATCCGACGAAAAGGGCATAGTTCTGGAAATTGCCGCAGCGACCGAACACAACAGCGAAGTCTAAGTAGCTAACAAACTGCACAGTGGGTAGGGGCCACCCCTGAAAATTCTTTCTGTGGCTGTCGACTGCATCCCTCGGACGTTTTCCTACAGGAGTACACTCCTCAAACTCTACGTCGTATGTACTCAACCCCTCCCCTCTCCACCAGAGTACCAGTGGTTCCAGCAGCCATCTACCGGTGCGAATCACCCGGGTCCGCCCGTTCCAGAGCTGACATTTTCTCCATCATGATGACACGAAACTGATCTCATAATTTGAATCATGTGGCCCTAAAAATAATACTTTTTTTGCCATCGGCCCCAAAGTCCGGGAGCTTGCCTGAAGAGTATTGGCGTTGGTGTCGTGCTGGAATCCGCCTTAGCCCATTAGTCTGGACTAGTGACTTGCTTATTTGGACGAGAGTAAGCCCTAAGAAGTGGGGCCACTGATGGCGGGGGCTCGTCAGAAGCGCGCAATGGGCCGAATGGGTCGGATGGGTTGGCAGGAGCCACAGAGAGATAGGCTGTGGGTCGCCAGGATGCAGGAGGCAAGGGAGTCTCAAGGAGTGAAAGAGGCGGCGGCGATAATCATTGGGGCCGGCCCCCGGATCGACTAAGATTGGGATTGGTGGTAGAATTGCATTGGTTATGAATTCCTCAGGGCTCGGGTCAGTAGTGTTCAGCAGAGTGTTCAGCGGAGTGTTCAGTAACTGCCTAGGTAACGATCATATGAATCACTTCGGCAGAACGTATGGAGTAAGTCTAGACTCTGCTAGTGTATACTCATTCTGGGCAGGCGCTTGATGCGATACACTTGGTGTGTCAATTTATTCGTGTCCAACCAATCACCGCCACGCCCCTGACAGGATCCACGGATCGACCCCAGTATCTGCTCGCCTGGCCAACCAAACGCAAGCATATCGCTCATCAGATCCACGGTTACGTCGCCCTGCCAAACCCGATCGGGCCTAGCTGCAAGGAATCAGACAGGGGTCAGCCAATCGCTCATCGCACGAAGTCAGGCACAACGTCCTTATGGATGCTGCGAAATACTAGGGTTTCTGTTCCCGGCAGGGCCAATGGGGAATCATTGTGCTAGTTCCACCAGCGTGTACATTTAACTCATTTAAATTCCGTCCTCTTTGCCCTTTCCTCTGATTCTTCTTCATCCTTCTGGACCAAAGTCATTCCTTCCTTCGTCTAACTACTTCCTGTGCCGTGCACGGAAGTTGGAGTCTCTCCTTTATACTTCTCAACAAGACTGCTTCGACAGCGTCGCCCTTCCTTTTCAACAACCTTCTCTCTCGAGAAACAGGCTTTCTCGCTTTTCTACGACCGCCTTCCTTTGCTGCAGCAGAAGAAAAAGCAATGCCTTCCTTCAGCAACTGGTTTACGGCCGCCCTGATGGCCACCTCGGCCATGGCTATGCCGCACGCAAAAGTCAAGCGCACGGCATCCAAGCGTGGCGCGGCCTACGACGACGTCTCGCTGGTCAGCTCCCTCGGCGGCAGCAGCGCCGTGACCTGGGCCTACGACTGGTCGCTGGGCAGCTTGCTGGGCAACACTATCGGCCTCCCCAGCGGCGTCCAGTACGTTCCCCAGATCTGGGGCATGAACGACCTCGGCAACGCGGGAACTGCCATGACGACCCTCCTCGCCAGCGGCAGCCAGTACATCCTCGGCTTCAACGAGCCGGACATGGTCTCGCAGGCCAACATCGACCCCACCGACGCTGCCAACGCCTACCTGTCCTCGATCGTGCCGTTCAAGGGTGACGCCAAGCTGATCTCGCCGGCCGTGACCTCGTCCATGACTCCGGGCATGGGTCTGAGCTGGTTCGAGAGTTTCATGGGCGTGTGTGGCACGGGGTGCAACCTCACTGGTCTCGCTGTGCACTGGTACGGCGATACCTCTGATGAGTTCATCACGTTCGTCGAGCAAGCTATGAGCACGGCGTCCCAGTACGGCCTGCCCGAGGTTTGGGTTACGGAGTTTGCGCTCAACTCTGATGTCAATGGCATCGTCGATCCCAACGCCACTGCTCAGGACTTCCTTGACGTAGTCCTCCCCTGGCTCGACGGCCAGGATCAGGTCACTCACTACTCCTACTTCATGACTGCTGAGAACTATCTTATCACCGACGGTGCCAGCAACGCCGCTGGCCAGTCTTACGCAGCTGCTGCGTAAGCGCGAGCTTGAGCTTGGGGATATGTTTCTTCTGAGGAGTGATTGATATATATGTATGATGTGCAGAAACCGAAAGGTGGAAACGAGCATACGAATCTCTCTGCCAGCGTTCTTGAAAAATTTTTTTCTTCTGGTGTATGACGTGTGAGGTGTTGTGATTTATTTTCTGTGTATCTTATCTAGCACTCGGAGTTTCTATGACAGGTCTCAGAGTCTCAAATAAAATATCCAGAAATTATGCTGAATTTGTCTTTCCTTCCACTTGAAAAATGTGATAGATTGAATGTGGTAACTATGAAGTACATATGGATGGGTCTTGGTCTTGGCTGGGTCTTGTAGGTGGATTTCAGGCCCTAGTTCGGGCTTACCCGTGGAACCGTAAATTAGGTGTGGGTGTGGGTATGTACCCGTTACTCACGCCCTATACTTTTTTGTATGGAGATTGTTGTACTTCTACTTGGCGGTGAGTATGTTCCACACGTCCAGAGAAATTTTTATTAAACGTCATGTCCTGTCGCTGGACTTGAGAAAAGGTTTAAGGACAAAAGAGGCAAGAACTAGCGTCATCCATGCAGTTTCGAAAAAAATAGCGCGAAAAAAAAGAAAAAGAACCGGAGAGTCGAACCAGAAATAAGGCGGCAGAGTACTGGAATGTCAAAGTGGGCAAAGACAAGAGAAAGCAGATGTCGTGGCGGCACTGAAGGTTGAGAAGGTGGATGTCCATGAAACTGGAAACGAAGAACTGCAGTGGCGCCAGTTGAACGAGGGTCCAGCAAGTGCGGATGGCACTAATCGTGAAGCAGGTCCACAAGTGCGTCTCGAGCACACTCCAACTCAGGGGCACGGTGAATTGGGAAGTTATTCACAGCTTCTTCTTCCAAATCCCAGAACTTCGAATACTCAGATACCATCTGGCAATGTTCGCAGCCTTCATCGTGAAGGTTACAATCCTGAATGCAACGAGAAACTTTGCACCAATCATCCTCATCCCTGCATTCCTCAAAAATCTGCTGAATACGAGGTAGTTTCTTGATCGCCTGCTGTTTGATGTTGTACAAGGCGATGACTTCCTCGATGATTTCCATATGCTCCTCAGTTCTTACGAGTCGAAAAGCCGCTCCCAGCTTGTCGAAGAACCTTGCCCTCTTCTCGGCATTCACCTCGGCGATGCTGGGAAAGCTCAGAACGGTCGGCTGAATAGCTGACATGTTGAATTGCGGAGTTGAAAGCTGAATTTTCGAGAATCGAGTCGAAGAGTCAAGCTGTTTGCAGTTTACTTCGAAAGGCGAAGTAAACAAAAGCAGCACGCGGTTGAAACTTAAGTAATGGCGAACGAGGCCGGTAAAGGAGAGCCTGCGGTTCAGTCGCAATGAAGATGGCGTATTCAGTGAATTGAGATCGAATCTGTTGAAGAGGATCCGCGCAGAGAAGTCGTGAGGCAATTCAAAAATTGAAAGAATTAAAAAGAGCCGAGTCGATGGAGAGTCGAGTTGTTGCTGAATCCGGGTTTAATGCGCTGTAATCCTGGATATGCGTGTAGAGAAGGGTTGAGATGATTCGAATTTGATAGAAAGAAGAATGGCCGAGATGAAGGAAGAGTAAGTGAGCCGTAGCTGGATTTGGATCGAGATTGAGATCCTGGCGGAGGATGAGTGTGAGGGGCTTGTTGAGGTAGTGAGACTGGGAGAGATGGAATGACTGCAGTAGTCAAAGGAGGAACCAGGGTCCAGCTGGATCCAGGCTTTGTCCGTTGTGATGAGCGGAGAGGAAGATTGAGATGACTGTGAGTGAGGATAATCTAGTCGAAGTGAGAGTCAACTAGTAGGTGACTTGACGGGTCAAAAGAGAGAATTCAAGGTTGAAGATCAAGGTGTAGTTGAAGCGAGAGTAAGCCTGAATGGATATGTTAGAGAGTTGGCTGCGGCGGAGTCACCGACGCACATAATAAATGAGGGAGAGGGAAGGAGAGTGGACGGCGATGGTCGATGATGAACCCTCTTCAGCAAAAGCTACGCGTTTTGAGGATCAGCCAGCCGGAGGGTTCCTTACAGGTGAAATTTGGAACAAAAACAGAGTAGTAAACAAAATTCATTGTCTGAGACTGCCTCAATCCCAGAATGCAGCCATATTATGCCTGATACAACACAACCCTATGCCCTAATACACCGAGGGAAGATGCAGACCCCATCCAGTAAGACTCCCAACACCAGGGTATTTCCGCATGAAAGAAACCACCGAAAAGAAAAATCGTAACAACATCCCCTCAAGTCTCCATCGCATCGTCAATAGGAGTATCAGCCGCTGCCGCTGAAGGAGGCGCATCTGTCATGGCATTGTCGCCGTCCGCATCATTATCCGGAGAATCTCCATTACCGTTAGTCGACGAGGGAGCCATCTCGGTGTCATCGTCGGAAACCTCCTCCCACACGCGAATGGTCTTGTCCAATCCAGCGCTCACAATGAGACGTTTCCCCGCCAGCGAGCCTGTATGCACACCCAGCACGACATCGGTATGCCCCTTGATCCGCTGCAGGATCTTCTTGTTGACAAGATCCCAGCAGATAACGTCGCCGTCTTCGCTTCCACTAACGACAAATGCATCTTCCTGCGCACCTGGGAGACCGTACCGGCCAAATCCCCCGCTCAAGCTGTACTTAATGTTCACGTGACCCTGGTATGTTTTGATACAGCGGCTTTCGCGGTAGTCCCATAGCCGCACGCAGTTATCCAGTGTCCACGCGAGGACATACTTGCCATTTGGCGAGAACTTCACACATGTCACTGGAGGGTTGTCTTCGTGGACAAGTGTGCGGAGACATTGGCCAGAGGCGGTATCCCAGACACGGATCAGCCCATCTGTTGCGCATGAGACGACCATTGTGCCGTCGCGGATGAAGTCGACCCCGTTCACAGGATCGGAGTGGGCCGGTAGGGACTTCATGACCCGTCCTGAGCGTACATCCCATATAAACACGGCCTCGTCGTAGGAGCCGCTGACGAGAATGTTGCCCTTGGGAGCAAAGGCGATCTGGTAGACGTAGTTGTGATGGCCCACGAGGGGTCTTGGGTGTGCTCGGCCCTGTATGTATGTGATTAGCGTGGAGAACAGACCGACGGAAACATATGCTTACTGTAGACACATCCCACAGACGAATTGTTTTATCGTCCGACCCAGATGCAAGAATATTGTCCGGGTTCCAAGCAATCGCCGACACGCCCGCCAAGTGTCCCTCGAAGTTGAAAAGGAGCTTGCCTGTCAGCGTGTCCCAGACCTTAACAGTCCTGTCGGCGCCTGCAATTGAATCAGCTACATCCCATTGACCTCAAAGCAAACCAAAGCATACCTCCACTTGCAATCATAGAACAATCTGGAGAAAATTGCACCGCAGACACACCGCGCAGATGTCGCTTCAACACAAACTTCTCCTTGTAATTGAGCCGCTCCAGCTTGGGAGGCGGCGGAGGAGGAACCGGTGTGGCCGAACGATCCGACATTTTATCCTCAGCATGGCCTTCCTCGCTGTTCATAGCACGTCCACGCATATTGTCATCCGACTGGCCTTCCATCTCGTCCGGGCGGTTCACAGGCGACGGACTGCGGGTTTCATCGGGGCGCGAGCTGCGCCAATAGTCGTCTGCGTGGACTGCAAGCTCATCGGGACTATCAGATTCCCGGTAATGTCGTTCGCGGTGGTGTGATCGCTGCGGCGTAAAGGCCTTCTGAGCAGTCCAGCTGGCTCGCTGGCGCTCGGCCTCGTCGTGCTCTGAACCGGCCGCCAACTCATCGGAGGAGGATTCGACGGGCGATTGAGCACGCTGGCTCCGACGGCGATTGCGCGACTCCATCGGAAAGACAAAGACAGGAGGGCAAACGCGTGCGGAACGACAAAGCGAACAAGATCAACGCGATTTTTGTAGAACTGGAAGGCGGTGAGCCCGAGGTTCATCATCATCATCGACTGACCAACTTTCTGTCAGCTTCAAGTGTATATAACTTATCTCAGGCCCGATGGCCTCTTCGTCGATACCCATTGAGACACCTACGCAGATCCGCATTCTCACCCTCAACTGCTGGGGCCTCAAGTTTATCGCCAAATACCGCCATGAACGGTTATCCGAGATCGGCCGGCAGCTGGCGCTGGCCAGTCCGCCGCCTGAAATAGTCGGTCTACAGGAATGCTGGACGCAGCAGGACTACGAGAGTATTCGACAGCAAACACGGCACATTCTACCATACGGTAAATTCTACTTCGGAGGCATCTTCGGCGCCGGCCTGGCCATTCTATCGCGATGGCCCATCGAGGAAAGCAGCATGTACGCATACCCATTGAACGGCCGGCCCACCGCTTTCTTTCGTGGAGACTGGTTTGTGGGTAAAGGAGTGGCTTGTGCGAGAGTCCGCTTTGGCCGCGGCACCGCCGATGTCGCGGAGGTGTTCACCACGCATCTACACGCCCCCTATGAGCGCGAGCCCAACGACTCGTACCTGTGCCACCGCACGGCGCAGGCCTGGGAGATCTCCAAGCTGATGCGTGGCGCTGCTGAACGCGGACACCTGGTAATTGGCCTGGGCGATTTCAACATGCTGCCGTCGTCCTTTGCCCACCGGCTCATCACGGCCCAGAGCCCCGTCCGCGACGTCTGGCGCGAGCTGCACCCGGACTCGTCCGTCGGCGCGGCCATTGATGCTGTCGAAAAGGCCCGCAATCGACCTATCCCATCTGCCGAGTTTAATATGCTCGAGAACGGCGCAACCTGCGACGGAGCCTATAATACCTGGCGTTGGTCCAAGGCCATGCGCAAGCAACTCGACAAGGGGGAGGACGTCACCGTTGATAAAGATGCTCCTGACCCGCGCGCCAAACGACTAGACTATATCTTTGTTGGTGACGGCGGCTACGCTCCTGAGTTCCCTCCCCCGCGCTGGTCGGTCGAGTCTGCTCGTCTGGCCATGACGGAGCGCCATCCCACGCTCCGCTGCTCGCTGAGTGACCACTTCGCCGTCGAGGCCGTCATCACTCGCTCTCCATCGACCAAAACCCCATCCCTATCACAGTCGTATCCCCCCTCGGACCCTTCCTCGCCACCCCTCCACAAAACAATTTCTACATCCCTAGCACCCAACGCCGCCCTCACCCCAGAAACATACGACCGTATCACCGAGATGATCCACACTTATGTGCGCCGCGAACGCAGCCAGCGCCGCTGGCGTCTCGTGCACTTCCTGGTATCCATCGTGATTTCTATTGGATGCATGGTCGGCGTATGGTGGGTCGGCAGCCGCACGTACATCGGATTCGTGTTGGTGTTTGTGAGCACGCTGAATTTTGCCGCCGGCATTCTCGACGGCTTGATTGGGGGGCTGTTTGTGTCGAGTGAGATACGTGCTCTCAAGGAATTTGAGTGGGAGGTCGCCAATGCGAAGAGATTGGTTATGGAAGCTGAGGCTGGGGAGGATGTTGGTGCTGTTGGTGCAGGCGCTGGTCGTCTTTCTGGTGAGACTGAGGGACACAAGGCTGAATGATGGGGGTCTTTGGATTTAAAGAATGTACACAGAAGTGTAGTTATAGTCGTCTAGCGCTGGACAATTAATCAATAATGTTGAGTCTACTTTCTTCAAATGGACGGCCAGTTTTAATGAGCGTGGGTGATATTATCAGAGACTAACTAAGCCGAAAAGTTCCAATCCAAGTAGCCATCGAGTGGTAAAGGAACGAAAGAGGCCAGTAAGACACGACGACGGCAACCAATGATGTCTTGGAACATCTACTCAGCACACTCGCGCTTGCGAGTCTCAAAGACACGCAAAGCCTCCTCAGCAGCCTTGACACCACTCATAGCCATAGCTCCAAAAGTCGGACCCATGCGGTTGAAGCCATCGATCTCCGACAACTCCATACCACCAATGATAAGACCCTTGGCGACCTCACGGGTATTCTTGACAATAGCGTCCTCGGCAGCATTCATATCCAGACCACGCATACCGCCAAGCTTCTCAATAGCGCTCATGGAGACAAGGCGCTTCGCGCAGAAAGCGCCAAAGGGACCATCATGGCCGGTCGTGCTGACGATGATCGGCGCGTTGATGGTGTTGGGGTCCATGCACGAGTGGTCGTCGTGGTGCAGGGTGACGAGCGTCCAGTTGACGACCACACCGGCCAGACGAACGGAGCCATCGACGTCCGGTCGCGTGATCAGGTCCTCAACGCAGGTTGCGTTGAAGAGCTTGACGTTCGGGAAGGATAGCACCTTCGACAGGAGCGTCGAGGTGAACAGGGCCGCATGCTTGACGACCACGAAGTTCGGGTTCGAGGGCTCCTCTTCGAAGGGGACGCCCAGCTCCGTCAGGAAGGCGTCGGCTGGTCGGCGGAGGACCATGGCCGAGAAGAGCTGGCCGCCTAGCCAGGCACCGCCACCTTTTTGTTCGTGTTAGAACTAGAGCAATCTTGATAGATATACAAGGCAACAAGGACTAACCAGGCGAGACCGAGGCCTCCAGAATGGCAATCTTCAGGTCTGGGCGCGCCTTAGCGAGCACGTACGCCGTGCTGAGACCGCAGGACCCGGCGCCGACGATGACAACATCGCTCTCGGCGTAGGTATCCAGGTCCTGGAAGTAGCGCCGGGTCATGGCGCGCGAAACCTGGCTCTCGCGAATCGGGGCGAACTTGAACTCGTCCCATTTACCGCCGAACTGCTCCAGGAGCTTGCTCTGGTCCTGACCAGTCAGGGTGGTGGTCACGGTCTCGGGGACGATGACCTTGCCCTTGAGGCCGGTGGGAGCGACGCTGGCAGGCTCGAACATAGCAGCAGGGGGAGACATTTTAACCGTAGAAAGATGATCAAGGGATCAAGTTCAAGTTGTGGTAACTTGTTACCTATGTTAGTCTGCGTTGCTACCAGGGGAGAGAGGAGAAGGGGAAGGCATGATCCTTTCGCTGGTATTATCCAGATCAAGTTTTGACCGTATATTCTCAGAACGAACCCATCGTCATGTGTTGTCAAGGACAAGCAATCGGATGGGAACGAACACCGGCCCACGCCCACACGTTACCTGAGATAGGTAGTACCTTGATCCCTGCGAGATAATATGCCCAGCCAAAGTGGTTCCATCATGGCTTCTTCCTTTCCTTGAGAGGAAGGGGGGGCAAGATGTACTTGTTTGGGTCTGGGAAGAATGGTCAGCTCGGATCGAGCATGTTAGGAGCCATAATTACTTGTGTTGGTGGATTGAGATGAACGTAGTAGTGCGATGAGAAGGGAAAACAGAAAGAGAGGGGCAGAGCAAGCCCTAAATATGACTGATGAGTGAACCCCCACCTTATTATTGATCATCCTCTCCCGAGTCTCTCCGGTCTTCGGTGAGCTGCGAAGGGTGAGATGTGGGCCACGAATGGGTGCGAGACCAACAATTGGATGGATTACAGTGTCTACGACTAATTGACGGGATACATCACCGAGACAATGTTCCTAATTGTGTGACAACCGAACACCAGCAGTGACATCATAACCCATCATCACTTCATGGAATCCAAACAACAGACAAGGGTATAGATCGAAGCACAAATAAATATTTACAGCACAAACCGATAGTCGGCACCGTAATTCTCCACCCCAACAGGAATCTCGGCTTCCTTGGTGGGATCAGCCTCGACGCGGGGCCCGTACTTCTGGTCGAGCTTGCGGTTCTCCCACACGAGCAGAGTGCGAAGCGACAGAGCTAGCACGGTCGTGAAGAACATGAACGCGGCGCAGATCCACATGCCCTTGAAATAGCGCGGCGCTTCATCATCGGGGAAGATATTGGTGCCTAGGAAGGGGCCGCATTGCCCGATTATATTGAGCAAGATGATGCCTGCTCCACGGCGGGTATCGGAGCCTTGGTTGTCTACCAGCCAGTTAGTCAGGACGAAGCTACCTCAGATTCGACGAAAGAACATGGTGGGGACTTACTCGTAACCCACGGCAGAATATTGGCGATCGCTGGGAAGATTCCACATGCCGCCAAAAACACTCCAAAGTACCGCACGCCCACGGAACTGCAGGCGGCAAGCAGCACATACCCCACACCACCCATCGCGGAGAGTGCTGCGATCACGAGTCCACGCTGCTGGATGCGATCCGCCACCCAGGTGGTTGCGATCGTCACGAGGAAGGAGGCGAAGAACGGCGGCGCGGTGAGACCCTGCGCGTCAATGGCTGTGAAGCCCATTTGGTAGAGGATAGTCGGCAGGAACACGGGCAGAGACGAGAAGCTGACATTGCAGCTGAAGTACATCAGCTATACAGAGGAGATATCAGTGGTTGTTGTGTGTGATATAGTGATTATTGGAAACACTTACCGCGGTGAACCATGCTTTGGCATCCGCAAGGGTATGAAGCAGCTCTTTCCACTGTACCTTGCCCTCTTCTTCGCTTTCACCGGTCTTCTGAAGCGCACGAGCACGAGCGACTTGCTTCTCCTCCTCGGTGAGGAACTTGGCTGTCGCAGGGCTGTCCGGCACGAAGAACCAAGCCAGAATGGCCGCGGCGCACACGGGAAGCCCCTCCACCAGGAACAGCACCCGCCATTTCGCCAATGCAGGGTACCCAGAAGTGATACCGTAGGCCAGCGCTCCCGCGAAAGTATTCGCCAGCGGCGCAGCGGACAAAAACAGACCGCATCGGAGACCGAGCTCGTGGCGCTTGTAGAAGAACGACAGCAAGTATGGCACACCGGGCCCGAACCCGGCCTCGAATGCACCCATGAAAAACCGAAGTGCCATCATCCCCTGCCAATTCACGGTTGCCGCCTGGCATGTTGCAACCAAACCCCTAATTTCATGCCCAAGCGTGTCAGCGATAGTCTTGTACATTTCCGCTTCCGGAGTGGGGGCACGTGGGGAGCATACCATCCGAACACCACGATGGTCGCCCATTGGTGCGGTTTCATGATCTTCCACATGAGTGCCTGGAATTCAAAGATAGTGTAGGAGATGTAGAAGATGGTCAGGAGCCATGGGTATCGATTTCCCGTCAGGGAGAGATCGGTCGACATTCCCGCAATTTTCGCATTGCTGCCGAGCGGTTAGTACTCCTAGTCCTATGTGGCGCAGGAAACGAACCCGATGTTGCTTCGGTCGAGGAAAGCAAGTAGATCTAAAAATTCCAAGCAATGTTAGACACAAATCAATTTGGTAAGGGTGTTGCTCATACAGAAAAAGGCCATTATTGTCGGGACGCGCAAATCCAGCTTCCGCAGCACGCGGCGTTCCACCTCCGGATCGATGGCTGGAAGCGCCGCAGAGGGCTGCGTCGGACCAGCCTCCTGATGGGAGGGGACTCGCTTCTCGACATCTTGGTCGGCGGGAGCTCTCTGGATTGCGTCGTCGGACGGCTCAGACTTGCCAAAGAACCCCATGGCGTATCGAGTGAACAGAGAAGAGAAAATAAATGTCGGCTAGGAGTGAATACGAGCTGTGGGCGGGGGGAGAACCCCGACTTATACGTGTGGGGGAAGCGAAAGAAAGAAAAGCGAGTTGGGGTTAACTAGCGGTAATAGTCCGCAGCCCACGGCGAATAATAATGTCGGCGGCCGCAAAGATGGAGTAAAGCCATCCATTGTGCGATTAGCGGTGGACCTGGAATTAATGGACTAGGATCATCTCCGGACTGGGTAATCGAGGCCGGAGAACGACTAATGAATTAACTGGCTGAAGAGCTTGAGTGGAGTAAGCTTCAGCCAACCTTTTGGAGTCGTCGCATGCGTTCCCCACAATAGCGCCCTCGGAGAGAGCCCGGGAGCCGGCGTCGGCCTCGGTTGTTTGATAGGCTGGGGAACTAATTGTTATTGTTGTGCAACTATAGAGAAGAAATACCCATCAGGCTACCCATGACATTTTGGGCCATATAATCACTGTGATCGATCACAGCCAGAAGTCGTCCAGTGTGTCAGTCAACGAATGAAAAGCATGGAACCCGTGCAGCTGTGAGTATGAATGGAAGTGATGCCTGAGGTGTCGTGCACTTCTGGTGTCTCCCACCTCCCGCAGCGCATCGCTCCCCCATCGAAAATTCCCGCGTCGCGTTGCCAGGAGCTCCCCAGTTGACTCTTGACCCGCCCTCTTTCATCGAATGTATCTTCGCTAACCCCTTGGTGTCATCTAACTGGTCTTTGCGACTCCATTGCCTGAATTTCCTCCCCCGCAGACGGGATTGGCCACGATGGACGACCCGGCGACTCGTATCCCGGGGCAGTTGGTAAGACCACCACCGAGCACATCGGAGAGATCTGACTGACCCCGTTGCCATGATTGCAGCTCCCACATATGCACCTGGTCTCGCGCAACCGCTTTCCCAGCATGCATATGATGCCCACCGAGACCGCCGTGGAGTACCTGACTAGCGCGCCCCGGGTCTGTCAATCACAGCCCATGCACTGGACTTTCCTGGATGGCCCTGCCGATGGTACCGTCATGCTCACCTGGCAACCTCTTGCCCATCTTGGCAACAACTTCGCCAGCGACGGCTATGTCTGGGCTGATGCCGAGCAAGCCTTCACCTTTGAAGCCCGCGGTTATGTACGCGACGCTAGCCCCAATCAAACTGGGAATGAGTATCTAACATGAAATCATTATAGACCGTGGAAATGTTCCTTCACCGCAGTGGATACCATCCCCCGAATGAGACCGTGGCAGCTCACTGCCGCAAGCGCTACCGTATCCTGTCCTCCAAAGTCCCCAACAACAACGCGCCGGCGCCAGACCCATCACTGTGGATTGTTCACTACTCACGGGCACCTGCCAACGACCATGTCCCCGCAAACCGAATTCCAATCTCGCCACAGATCCAGGGGATGATGGCCCAGCGACGCTTCCTCCAAAGCCAGGGCCAACTTGCCCGCAAAGATTTCATGCTTCACGACCGCAACAACTGGCCAACAATCAATTTCCCTCCACAAATGGCGCCCCAGGGCTTTGCGCAGCCACAACCAGGCTACCCCAATGCTGCTCCTGGACGGCCAGGCTTCTACCCACAGCCCGGGCATCCTGGGGCGGTCGGACCAGGTGTCGCTGCAGCTAAAGGCCCGCGCGGGCATCGCGCTTCTTCTGCAGCTATAAATGCTGCCGCCGCCGACTTTGCCATAGAGGACGAGGATGTGTCCACCGGTGACATGATGGATCTTTTGACGCCACGCGAGGTGAGTAAGATGCGGTATCAACAGCACCACGAATGGATGGAGGAAATCTTCGCGTCACCATACGCCATCACGCAGATTACACCCGTTTCCCTAGGCCTGGGTCGGAAAGGAGAGCTGGAGTCGTTGACGGCAGGCTTCTTCGATGCCCCCGTGGGCACCTCCACTGGAGAAGGTCAGGAGGCGGGTGACGCACCGCAAGCAACTAAGATGGAACCGGCCAAAGCCGAGGAATTTGCGGATCGCGTGGCCAAGAAGGTGGCCGACATGACCACGGAGATCGAAAAACTCAAGAAGCAGCACGCACTCCGGATGGAACGCTTCAACCAGACTTCAGTCTTCAAGGAGGCCGAATTGCGCCTCCGGGATTCTGCTGCTGATCCGGCCGACACGGGTGCGGAGGTTTGGAGACTCGAGGGGCGTATCGTGATCCCCAACGAGGAGGACGCTCCGCAGATGGAGTACATAGAAGAGAAGGCCAAATACAAGGTCGACGACGTGGTCCGGGATGTCGAGAGTGCCTACAAGAAACAGATCACGTCTGAACCCAAGATCTCCTGCGTCGAGAAAGGTGGATTGCTAGAGAAGATCGAGCCCGAACACAAGGACGATGACGATGCCATGGCCGGCGACATGCTCATGGACCAGGCCGATTCTCACCTGCTTGACCAGTTCGCCGCAACGGACGCCGACATCTCTGGCGATGTGGACATGGATCTCTGCGGCGGCCAGCTACCGGGCAATGGCGGCGAAGCAGGCGATTGGGTAATGGTCAACGACGAACATAAAGACCAAGGTCATGCAGCAGGAGACTCGGGTCTGGATAACGGGGGCTTTGACTTCACCAACATCGATAGTGCCGGCGATGCGCTCGCCGCATACACCGAGCAGAATGATGGTCTTGACCTCCCCGACCTGGATAACTCGGCGTTTGGCGATGCATTCCACGCCTCGGACAATGAGCACTCGCACAATCCCGACGCAGATGAAATGTCTTAGATGGGGCGAGGTACGGCTGCTATGGATGAGGCGCTTTTCTGGGGTTGATTCATTCTGCGATTAGCAAACTGCCGGTCATGCAGTTTGCTCTCTGGTGTTGTGTCTTGTGTCTTGTTCTATCTGGGGGTTTATATGGGTTGTTTGGCATTTCATCGCGGTTGATATGTACTATAAGACCGGAACATGTGCCGCTCTCGCCTTCGCACATTCGAATATCATTTGGCTTCGAAAAATGGATGCTTTAGAAACAAAGCGTTGATATGATATTCTACTGGCTTGAAGCCAATATATTCTTTTATAGACCATTGCGTTCATAGGTCCGGCAGCGCTAGTGGTGAGTACACAAGGTGATTGGGCATTGCCTATGTCAGCGGAATATCTTCATGCAGCTCGCTTAATGATAATGAAGAGCATATTAGACATTCCCGCCATCTATGGCTTCGGTGTTTTCATGCGGGCTTACCTACTACCACGGCAAAACAATAGCTGCCCCCATCATCATTCCTACGGTAGTGATTCAAAATTATATGTCGAAACGCCGACGCTATAGATCTATTAAGAACGTGCCAGGCTAAGTAGCAACGAATTTTAGTCCCGCTCATCCTCTCATGGAGTCTAATACCAACAGTCTGCTGGCATGGGAAACCGAGAACCTTGAAATTGCTGCCCGAGCAATTTATCCTAATTTCTTTCATATTGTACTCAGTAGCGCTCTCTATATTTGGCAAATGTATACCTGCACTGAACTACTACTATCGAAAATTTTGTAAATTACTTCCAGAAACATAAGACATGAGGGATAGAATTGAAAACTCAATTTGATCGGAAGTGAACGGGTAGGTGTATATAGTACTAATAATACCTGCCGATCGTTAGGATTAAAGTTGGATGATGGTTGTAGTTCTCGGCCTCTCTGCAAACGGCCAACCGCAGGCCATGATCTCAACGATCGTTCATGACGTCAACGCACGAGCCTCCGGAAAGGCCGTTCCTCTAAATGTCATTGCCCATCATTCATTAATTTGCCGGGGAAGGTGCTTTTTACTTTACTTCCGATCGCACATCTCAAATCTCTACGCAGAAAAACGACCACCATGTGCGTACTCCTAACATCATCATCATAATAATAACTAAACCTACCAACAGGAACCGCGCAATCTCCATTCGATCGCGACGAGACCAAGGCCACAACCGTCCTCGGTTCGGCATCTCCACGCTCCGGGGCAACATGGCGCCCGAGCTAAGCCGCAAGATGGGCCGGCTGGTGAAGAGCGAGAACACCGCCATCGGCGCCTACGAGGCCGCCGGCCGCGAGCGCAACTCCATCGCCGCACAGCTGTCCGACTGGGGCGAGGCGACTGATGACGACGCCATCTCCGACATCTCCGACAAGCTGGGCGTCATGATGGCCGAGATGGGCGAGCAGGAAGACGTCTTCGCCGCCAACCTGGAAGACTACCGCGGCGTTCTGAAGCAGATCCGTAATATGGAAAGCTCGGTTCAGCCCTCTCGCGATCAGCGCCAGAAGGTCACCGACGAGATCGCCAAGCTCAAGTACAAGGATCCCAACAGTACTCGACTTACGACGCTGGAGCATGAGCTTGTGCGTGCCGAGGCGCAGAACTTGGTTGCTGAGGCGCAGCTGTCCAATATTGTACGTATTTATTATCGCACAGTTCCGGCAGCTCCCCTTGCTAACCACACGATGTACACGGCGTAGTCCCGCCAAAAGCTCAAGGAAGCCTTTGACATCCACCTGGCGGCGGTGATCGAGCGCGCCGAGAAGCAGACGATCCTCGCGCAGCATGCTCGTCGCCTGCTGAACTTCATCGACGACAGCCCCGTCGTGCCCGGCGATTCCCGTAAGGCGTACGAGCACGAGGCCGCCGCGCGCAAGGTTCTGGAAGATGCCGAGAACGACATGCGTGCGTGGCAGCCGTCTGTTGAGCCCATTGCCACGGCATCGGGCGCGGAGGGCTTGCAGGACCGCGAGTCCGATGTAATGACCACTGGCTCGGCCGAGGCGGAGGGCGTTCCTTTCGCTGAAGGGGCGTCCAAGAGTGCGAAGAGAGCGGAAGCATCCGGGTCCGGTGCACTCAAGCTTCAGGCTGAGCCGATTCCTGCCTAAATATTCCTCCCCTAACTGTCTTTTTATGTCTTCACTGTTAGTAATGTTGCACTGTCTTGGGTTTTGTTTCTCGGGATTGGAGACTGGGTGGGATGGGACTGGCAGTCAAAGGCGTTGCAAGTCTGTGGTTGGGAATGGGTTCTGTTTTAATATGTGTATTGTAAGTGGCAGTCGTTAATTGCTGTTGTTGTACAGTTCGGTCCGAGAGTATCTGTTCTCTGTAAGCAGCTCCACGTGACCTCAGGCGCCAAAGTGACGCGGAACCTCCCAAGCTCCATCGGAGCTCTCATCCCCCCAATCCCTCCATCACCTCTTCATCCATCCTCATTCCCTTCCTCACCCTCTTCAGTCCCTGTCAACTCATCCTCCACACACAGCCATGGACAAGCTAGTCGCGCAGTACTCGCGCCCGCGCCACCAGAATGAGTTCTACTCGGAGCAAGAGCAGCTCGATCTCACCGAGAGCCTCCCCCCGCTCTCGCTCAAGTTCAGCCTCCCTCCTGTCGATAATGTGAGATCCCTCGTCGTTGGAGATTGCAGTGTTTGCGCTGGGATCGGCTTGACTCAGTTGGTGTCATCATCGTCGACAACTTGCTGCCAAGTCGAGCCACTCCCTCCCTCCCCAATCATCCTGCCGACAAAAAGAAATCCACAATGGAGACCGCAGCCCTTTGGTGAATCTGAACGAACAACATACTAATATTTTTTCGGATTAGCACTCTGCCTTCCTGCGCGCCATGACCGACGACCACTCCAACCCCAGCTGCCCCATCAAGCTCGCTCACGGAACAACAACCCTGGCCTTCCGTTTCCAGGGCGGCATCGTACGCTACCTCCTCTCTTTCTACTGTCACATCCTTTATGTCCATGGGCACATGCTAATGCCACCTCCCAGATTGTGTGCACCGATTCTCGAGCAACGGCCGGCAGCTGGATTGCCAGCCAGACGGTCAAGAAGGTCATTCCCGTGTCGCGGTTGAGCCGGGGCGAGGACAAGGCGTCGGACAAACCCACGCCTGGCCTGTTGGGTACCATGGCCGGTGGTGCGGCGGTGAGTTCTTGTGTTCTTCGTGTGGGTGATATGGAAGTTGGTTGCTGACCGGAGGCCCCGAAAATTAGGATTGCCAATATTGGTTGAGATATTTGAGCCAGCAGTGTACTCTCCACGGTATGTTTGTTAAATGAGCTGCCATTGGGGAAGCTGGTTGCTGATACAGACTACCAGAAATCCGACACAAGCGCCGCATCACAGTTGCGGCTGCTTCGAAGATCCTCGCCAACTTGACCTACGCGTACAAGGGGTATGGACTGAGCATGGGAACGATGCTGGCAGGGGTATGTTTTGCTAACCATTCCTTGCCTCCTTCAAGTAAAAGCGACTAACCCAAGTTCATAAAGATGACCCCGCAAGAAGGCCCAGCCCTGTACTATATCGACTCGGACGGCACGCGCCTACCAGGCAACATGTTCTGCGTGGGGTCCGGACAAACATTCGCCTACGGCGTGCTGGATGCAAACTACCGCTACGATCTGTCGGAGAAGGAGGCGCTGGATCTCGGCCGTCGGGCCATCCTGGCTGCTATGCACCGCGACGCTTACTCCGGTGGCTTTATCAATTGCTATCATGTCAAGGAGGAGGGCTGGGTGCACCATGGCTTCGATGATATGAATCCTATCTTCTGGAAGACGAAGCTGGATCATGGGGAGTTCTCGAATGTTACCTCGGAGCTGTAAGCTCGGGTTGGGGTTGTGATTTGGTGAGGAGGCTAGGTTAGGAGGGGACGGGCTTTGTATTATTTGGTCTGTTTGGATTATGGGGAATGAAATGGTTCTCTTAGATGTTTCGGTTGAAGTAAGCTGTAGGGATATTATATTCACTCTGGCTATAACTCAAGTTTGGATACAAGAGCCTACCCAGATAGAGAGAAGATCTCGTCAAATGACTTTTCTAGAACGCTTTTACTCTCCAAGGACCTGATTTCGTGAGATGCATTGCATTGCAAAACTATATACGCCAAAGAAAATGGATATGAAAAGTACAAAACACAACAAAAAACCTCTGCGCCATCTATGACATGAATCCAACCACTTTTTGGTCCTCTTCCTCTTTCCCCTCCTCCACATTTTCAGCATTAGGATAATAGTATCAATCAGTGATCGACCCAAAACTTCATCCGAATACCCATCGCCGCCAACTCCACATCCAAATACCGCAGCACACCGGGCACAGCAACGACCGTAACATCATCACCGCCGACATGACGCAACCCATCACCGTCCTCCCACACCTCCGCACGCGAGTCATCAAATAGCGCGCGGCGCGCGCAGCGACGACAGCGGACAATCCCCGTCACCCCACCAAGCGCACCACCCGCAGGACCAGCTGAAGCCTGCTGCGCGGCCGTATTCTGATTCGGGGCCGCCTTGGCAGCCGCCGCCGCCGCGCCGGGGTTAACAGCCGCGCGAGCGCGCGACGAGCCGGAGCCCGAGACAGCAACCTGGGTAGAGAGGAACGAGCCGCAGGAGCGACAGATCCATGCAAGCTGGGAGTCGGAGCAGTTCATCAGTCGGTCTTGGAGGAGGAAAGCCGCGCCGTGGGCGATTAGCGAGTCGCGCTCCATTTCTCCGACACGGATACCGCCACCCTTGGCGCGGCCTTTCACCGGTTGGCCCGTGAGTGCGTTGACGGGACCCGTTGTGCGCACTTGGAACTTGTCGTTTACCATGTGGCGGAGGCGTTGGTAGTACACGACGCCGAGGTAGATGTCCGCGGCGAACTCGCGGCCTGTGATGCCCGAGTAGAGGGGCTCGTTGCCGTAGTAGTTGTAGCCCGCTTTGCGGAGCTGGTGGCCGAAGAAGTCGGTTGCGGGGTCTTCTTCGGAGAATTGGAAGGGCGTTGAATCTTGTGGGTGGCCGTGCAGAGCGCCGGCTTTGCCGGCCATGGATTCGATCATTTGGGCGATTGTCATACCTGGTAGAGTTTGTTAGAAGCTAGTTGTAGATAATGGGTTGGGGAGAGGGAAGGACGTACGAGATGGGAAAGCGTGGGGGTTGATGATCAGGTCTGGCTGGATGCCACTCTCGGAGAAGGGCATGTCGACGGCAGGCCACAGCTGCGAGCAGACACCCTTCTGACCGTGACGCGACGAGAACTTGTCACCGATGATCGGTTTGCGAGGGATGCGGTACTTGACACTAATGGACTGACAGGGCTCATTGCCGTTCTCAGAGCCCAGCACACGGATGCTGTCGATATAGCCCTCCTCGGCGTCTTTGTACTTGAGGAAATGCGTGATCCCGTCGACATTGACGTACGAGTCCGACGCGGCGTCGTAGCGCACGCTGTGCCATGCGGCGATCTTGCTGCCCTCTTTCACTCGAGTGCCCACATGCGGCAGGCCATCCTCATCGATAGTTTGTCGCACATCGTCCTTGATCATGTCGCCTGGCGCGAAGCCAAACAGTTTGGTGATCTCACGCTTGGACCGGCTCTTTCGCGAATCCTTTTCGGCTAGCGAATGCGTCTTGGTTTTGTACACAGTGCCGTATCCGAAGCCGCGCTCGTGCGCGGACTTGTTGATGATCATGGCGTCGTCCATGTCGTAGCCCGTGTAGGAGATGATGGCCACCACGGCGTTCATTCCGTTGGGGAAGTTGTCCAGACCGTAGGCATTGTAGAGAGGCGGGCGCACGATCGGGGTCTGACCGGTTTGCAGGCGGTACATCTTGTTATCGGTACGGTACGCGATCGATGTGCCGGGGGTACCCATCGTTTGCTTGCTCATCTGGCACTGGTACATGTTACGGGGCGACTGGTTATAATCGGAGAAGGGTGTCATATTGGCCACAATGGAGAGAATATTGGTCGGCGTGAACTCGATATGGGTCGACAAGCCCGGAATCAGGTCGGATTGCACACAGGCGATATCCATGAAGGGCTGCTCGAACGGACCGACAAAGTCCAGCTTCTCCAGTGGCAGGTACTTGACAGGACGGAACATGCGTGCCGCTTCGGAGAACATGTAGATACCGGGATACTGGCCACCGTTGGAGTTGGGAACATAGCCAATCTCCAGTTCACGCGGAATGTTGTTGGTTCCTGCAACCTTCCAGTGGCGAAGGGTGTCTGCGATCTGATGAGCCTGCTTCGGAGAACAGAAGCCGATAATACGGCCGTCCAACTGCACCGACACGCTTTCATCAAGGGCCACGGAGGACTCGGACTGCACGCCAAGCTGGACCAGAATCCGAGGTAGGTGCGAGACATCCAGGTTGCCAGTGGCGATCAGACACTTGTGCGCCAAGTGATTGAGCAGACCACAAGGAGATCCATCAGGGGTGTGCACAGGGCACAGGAAACCCCAACTCTCGGGAAGCAGTTTGCGGACGGTGGTGGTCTTCAACTGGGCGAAGAAGCTACCACGGTGAATCATGCGGAAGTGACTGATAAACCGGTAGAAGTTGATCTTCTCTGCAATAACCGTGTAACCAGATGTCTGTTGTAGATCAAGACCTGTGGGACTGACGAGGTTGCCGGTAGACAGGAAATACTCGAGGGCATTACCCAAGTTCTCGTTGGACCGTTTGACAATCTTACCCAAAAAGTCCCGTTCGAAGGACGAATCGGTGAACTTGGCACCGCTATTCCGAATGCACCAGTCTCGAGTGATGGGCCCAAAGGACCGCAGCCACTCCTCGATTCGCTCCTTCAAGATCATGCCATACAAAAATCCGCCGAGCAGAACCTCCTGGTTAGAAACTGCATCGGGGTTGTCCGGGGCGCAATCACCGGAAACCAGGGCGTAAAGCTTCCGGATCATGAACAGGATCATCTTGAACTTGTCGTAATCCTGAGTCTCGGTCACATTGTAGTTGCCAAGATGCGGTAGGACGACCTTGCGCAGAAACTCAGCGCCCACTTCCTCCGCGGGCATGTCAGCTGGCACACCCAGCACAGGCCGGAAACGTTCACCCAGGTACGCCCGGCAGTCCGACTTGGTATGGAGCTTGTAGGCGTGGTAGGTTCTCAGCAAGAGCTCCACACGGTCTGTGACAAAAGTGTTCTTCGAGCCCTTGGAGGAGGCATTGCCGACAATACCCTCGTAGATTTCACGATCGTTCGTCTCAACCAGTGCCTTGAGGATCATCATGGCAGGAATGAGAAATTCGTTTTTGCGCCAGGAGAAACGGAAAGTGACGTTTCCATCGTTGAGGTAATGCAGAACGTTGGTCTGGGACGTCTGGTCCGGACGGACAGAACGGATCTGCACACCGAATTTGGTGTAGGAGTGTCCACGCTTGACGAACGAATTACGGACGATAGACATGGGGAAGTTTCGCTTGCCGACAATCAGCATCCGGATCAGCTTCTCGTTGCCGTTGACGATGAAGTAGCCGCCGAGCTCTTCAGACTCCTCCTTGTGCCGGACGAGCTCCTCCGGGGTTGCTTTTTCGAGATGGCATCGGTTGGTCTAAGAAATTGCACGGGTCAGAAGCTATTCCCCATCACGAATTACCGTTTCACTCACTCTCAGCATAATCGGAACTTGGCCCAGCTCTCGCACCGACTCCATCCAGTCTCCATTATTGATCTGGTACTCGAGACGGGCACGCAGCTTGCCACGGTAGGTTGCATGGCGCTCGCGCGTTTCCGAGGGGTAGATATTACGGTTCCGGGTGGAGAACTTATTGGTTGGCGGGATGGTAGGTTTATCCAGGAAGATCTCCCGCACGCGCACATTCAGGCGGTTGCGTTTCGGGGGTCGTCGGCCTTCCGCTTGACGGGCCTTTCTCTGTTCGGCCGTCTCGTTGTCTCCGTCGAGAAAACTCTTGGTACCAATGTCCCGCAGACCAGCCTCGAGGATCTTGCTGTCTTCGAAGAGGGCATTGAACGAATCGACGTGCGGTCGAATGGATTCGGCCAGTGATGGGTAGGCGGTCTGGTCTGTAGGAGGATTGCGGAAGAGATTCTCGCGACGCAGAGTGTCGTAGTCGACCGACCACTGGGTGTCGGTCGCAGCGGGAGCCATGGCGGCGGGATGATCACACGAGCAGCGAGGGAGCTGTCGTGGAGGGTGTGGTGTATATCCCAATTGCGTGGGCAATGAAAGCTCGGATCTTCTTGGAGGGAAAAATTTCAAGGTGGAACCGGGAGAGAGATATCGTCACGTGGAGATAATAGGCTGCGTGCCTCAGGCACCCCGCAACGCTCCCGTCACCCGGCAGCCACGAGAGCCTCTTGATGCCTGTCCCGGCCCAGGCATGATTGATTGAATGACATCGACTGCCGCAACATCCAACGCCCCGAGTCATTTCCAGGCAACCGCTGCGCCATTTCCCGGCGCGAAGGGATCAAACAAAACCCCCCTCGCCCTCCCGAAACGCCCGACTGCGCCAGCTCTAGTTACTCCGCCACTACTGGTCGAACACTGCGAAAGCGCTCCCCTCTCTCGTGGGTCATGCGTGCACTGTAGATCAGGGTACTCACTAACTACGACAACGGTGATTTCCATCGACTCGGTAGTCTCTGTTTTTATGATTCTTACATAGACGGACTCTGACCCCACTTGGTGTCATCCTCTGGGCCACTTCGTCACCGTCTGGTCTTGTTCTCCCTCTCGTCTTCCTTGCATTTCGACTATCATCATCACATCTCTCCCCTCCGCTGCGGGCAGCCAACTCCTTTATCTCTTGTTTTTTGCTTTTGTTTCATCATTTGTTTGTTTTTTCTTTCGTTCGTTTTTTTACCTTCCTTTTCTCGTGGGCTCCCTTCTGCTGAGCCAACCACCAACTCCCTCCCCGTAAAATTGGCCAGGTTTATTGATCATGGCCGGGATCTTTCGCACCATCTATGACTGGCTTCTGAGGATGTTCTGGTAAGTGTGGGCCTGCCCGTTCCCGCCTGGATTTGGTTCCCGAAGCACGACCAACCACCTTGGTCCGTTTCCCCGCAGCGTGTTGACGCTGGCTAACGAGAGCCTGCTAACTAGGGCCACCGAGATGGACGTCACCATGATCGGCCTGCAGAATGCCGGCAAATCCTCGTTGCTGCGGGTCCTGGCGGTAGGTGGTGCTCTGTCTTCTTTCCGTTGTCCATTTTGGCTGATTTTCATTGCGCAGGGCGGGGAGTTCACGATCGAGTAAGTGGGCTAGGACTGGGCGGGCTAGGTGGCTCTGATTAACCTGATCGACAGCTCCATCCCGACAATCGGGTTTAACACAAAGCGTGTCCAAAAAGGTCATGTCACCTTGAAATGGTATGCAAACCGTCGACAGATCGCAGGATATCGCTAATACTCTTCGCAGTTGGGATCTGGGCGGCCAGCCTCGATTCCGGCCGATGTGGGAGCGGTATTGTCGGGGCGTGAATGCGATCGTGTAAGATTCTAGAAGACAACATGATTTAGCAATGTCTGACAAGCCGGTCCAGGTATATCGTGGACGCAGCAGACCGGCCCGCCCTGCCCGTCGCGACAGAGGAGCTGCACGACCTAATGAACAAGCCCACCTTGGACGGCATCCCACTCCTTGTCCTCGGCAACAAGTCGGATCTACCGAATAAGCTCTCCGTGGACGAGCTGATCGAGGCGATGGACCTGAAATCCATCACACACCGCGAAGTTAGCTGCTACGGGATCAGTGCCAAAGAAGAAACGAATCTCGACGCTGTCCTGCACTGGCTAATTGCTCGCGCCAGCCGATGAACCTTTCACTTCTTTTTTTGGGCTTTTTTTTTTTTTTTTTTTTTTTTTTCATCCTCTCTGTGCAGATTGGTGCGTTTCCTCGTCTTGATATCCTGTAGACTCTTAGCGATTTGGCCCGCAGCCTCAAGATGTAACGATGTCAACGACGTGTTTTGGATTGGTTTTTTTTTTGGGCGTTGATAGCACCCGCGTGTAATTGATGATGATGAATATTTGATTGGATTGGAGCAACACGGTAGATGCAATTGAGAAGAAAAGAAGTCAGTTAGCCGTCCGGCGGGATCCTAAATAAGGTGGAATGCAACACGGACCAACTGATGCGTTGGCAGTGCAGCCCGACGGGGGAAGTCGGCGGCACCCGCCATTGGCTCTAGGCTATCGAGGCGCGTGGAGATGGTGATCTATGTACGGTAGGTAGGATAGGGTCCTCTGCGGGGAGTGGCAATTGTCTCGTAGGATTGAAGCTGAAGGTCATTGGGCCGCGTGCTGCGGGGCCTCCCGCTGTCTTCTTTCCTTGACATCATTATCTTCCATTTCCTCACTCCGTGGCCAGTTTGAAGACCCCTAAATGTCACCGGGATGGTAATCCTCAACGTTGCGTATTCCGAGCCAGTGAACTGCTCTGATCCTCCCAGTCCCACCTTGACTCAAGACCAAATCTGGAGAGGCTTGGAATTGAAGGCCCGACGCCCTCAAGACTTCATTCCCTCTTTCGATGATTCCCGAGTGATTGAGGAACGGGAGAATGGCTGCTACATTCTGAGAGAAGCCCATGTTGCTTCTGATCTTCACGAATCTCCTAATGCAGGGAAATGGACCCGAGAAGAATGCAGACTGCATAAGCCGGTCATGGTAAGGGAGCCTAATAGTCCTTAGAGGTAAGAATGGTCTAACTAGACAACAGAGCCATTTCACGCTGGCTGGCGGGTCGATCATTCAAAATATCTTGTCTATGGGGCCCGACCAGGCTTTGTACCTGACCTTCACATATCAATGGAATTTTCCTGATATTGAGCCTGAAACACAAGAGGCACAGAAGGCCTGGGACGACCATATGAGAATCGCGATATCCTCCGTTCAAGGAACAATCCGGGCGTTGAGGAAAATGGCGGAAAAGCATGAATTGTGATCCAAAGACGGGAGGAATGAAACGATGTTCTAAATTGTCAATCAAATTGAATTGCCACTGCCAGTATTATCCGGAAGATTCAGCTTTGGCGAGTACCTAGTATAGTGGTATACCCCCCAGCGTCTACACGTGAGGAGTCGAGTGGAACCTCAGATGACAGTGAATACTGTGGAAGAGCAGGCAAGTGGATTAGGGCCCCTTTTTATTCTTGCTTTAGAACAACCTCCAAGCTTCATAACTAGGTGATTGATCGGGTTCATCCATGGCATAAACGCACAGGATATCGTAAGTTTAGATCAAGGATTTGGGCGTAATGGAATGTAGATGAGAATAGAAGACTGGACGAAACAGACAATCATGCCCTGAACCTGGCACTATACCTCCCCATCTAAATCATCCATTGTACCATCGCCAACCCAAAGATGCTACCCACGACTCCCTTTGCAATATCCCCGTTCGAACCCGCCAATGGAACCGCCGCATTGGTCGTGCTTGTGCTCGCCGCACTCGAAGTCGCGGAAGACGCGCCGCTCGAAGTTTTCGAGGTCGTTGTCGCAGCTGGGCCTGTCGCAGTTGTCGTCTGCATCGTCATCGATGCGCCGCTACCGCTGCTCCCCATGGAGGCAGTCGGACTCGACGCAGTCGTCGGGGACGTCGTCGCAGCGCCACTGGCGGATTTCTCGGTCGTGGTGGTTGTCGAGGTTGTCGTTGACGAAAGACTCACGACCTTGAAGCCGAGCAGGCCCTCGGAAGCTTCCTTGGAAAAGATCTCGGTCGCCATGCCTGCTGGTTTGCCGGAGCACTTGCTGTTCGTGAAGAGGAGCATGTTGATCCCCTTTTCGCCCTGGGAGTCGATCTTGAACAGATGGCCCTTGGGGTTATCAATCACAATGCAGTCACTGGGGCCGTGGCCGGATTGGCTGTGCTTTTTGTTGTCGGGGCCAGTCCATGTTACTTCCCATGCCCCGGTGAAAGGGAGTAGAGAGAGTGTTGCCAGAGGAAGAAGAGTCGACCACTTCATTTTGTGGGTTATAAAATGGATTGAGAGAGGATGTGGTTTTGGATGGAAAAGTCGACAATCACAAACCAAACGCAAACGCAATTCAGCTGGGCGCGCCCTCCTCTTCTTATGAAATCCATCCCCCAAGCCTCTTCCTGCAGTCTCGATTCCTCGTTTCTCCAGATCTGGAAGCTAGATGCGCAGATCCTCGTATTCGAGACAAAAGAACCAGTCAGCATAATGAAAGCACGGCAGCCACCGTCCTTGGCAGGCTGCAGGAACTCGGAAGAATTAATTGACTCTCCGGTCTCCAGAATTGGTATTCTGTTCAATGCTATCTGTGTTCATAGTTAAAGTTAGAGCCGTGTTATCTTATCACATCAACAGAGAAACAAGTGGGTCCCTAAATTTTCCCCGATCAACTTCCTCCTCCTTCTCTTCACCACCACTTTTACTCACACACCACAATGCGCTGACCTCCCCCAGCACATCGATTCAGCCGGAATGGACGTATCCAGCCTATCGAGTAACTGGAAGAAGTTGCAGGCGACGCTGAAAAAGGGGGACTCCTCCACAACAACAAGCCCGGTCACCAAGAAGCGCAAAGCCGCTGCCGACCACGACTCCGCCCACGGGACACCGAAGAAACGCAGGGTCCCAGAAACAGAACGGACAGTGACAAAAACAAATAAGCGAAAGAGAATGTCTAGTACGGCCGTGGAGACAGTCGATGCCGCGGTTCCTGCGCGGAGAAAGTCCAGCGCGGGCAGTTCGGCCGCGGTTCTAGTGTCGCGCACTGCGAAGGTCAACGAGGGTCGCTCCTCGACGTGAGTCTAACTTCTACCTGTGCCACAGTGCGTCTTCCTAACTCTCGACCAGCGCCGAAGTAGGGAAATACGTCGCAATGGACTGCGAAATGGTCGGCGTCGGCCCTAACCCAGACAACGACTCCGTGCTTGCACGCGTCAGCATCGTCAACTTCAACGGCGACCAGATCTACGACTCATACGTGCGGCCCAAGGAGATGGTCACCGACTGGCGGACCCATGTCAGCGGCATCGCGCCGAAACACATGGTCGAGGCGCGCTCGCTAGAGGAAGTCCAGCGCGACGTGGCAGCCATCATGGACGGGCGCATTCTCGTCGGTCATGCCGTGAGCAATGATCTGGATGCGCTGCTGCTGGGCCATCCCAAGCGCGATATTCGAGACACAAGCAAGCATGCGGCTTACCGCAAGATTGCGGGCGGTGGGTCGCCGCGTTTGAAGATTTTGGCGGAGGAGTTTTTGGGGTTGAAGATCCAAGACGGCGCACATTCGAGTGTGGAGGATGCACGGGCGACAATGGCACTGTATCGGCGCGACAAGGATGCCTTTGAGAGGGAGCATTTGAAGAAGTGGCCTATTCGGGTGGCTGTGGAGAGTACGGAGAAGGGGGATGGGCAGAAGAAGAAAAAGAAGAAGAAGAAGCAGACGCGCAAGCGATGATTTTTTTTAACTAGACCATATACCCCGAGAATTGCATTTGATGGAGTATCTGTTTGAAGGCAGCCGGTGAACGCAAGGGCCAACTCGGTTCGTATTACTTCATCTCCATAGAAACCCCGCAGTCAAGTTCGCCAACAATCCACGGACAACAGAGTCTAGGTTCTCTGGACTGAAGGATGGCTGAATCGACATCGACATCGGTTTTCCCACTGGACGGAGGCTGCGCATGTGGCTATGTCCGGTATCGCCTTGAGGTGCGTCCTCTTGTTGTGCACTGCTGCCACTGCACCTCTTGTCAACGCGAAACCGGGACAGCATTTGCCATTAACGCAGTGATCGAGTCAGGACAAGTCACTGATTTGACCGCGGCGCCACCTTCTGTCCCTGCGTCCTACACCCAGGCTGCGAAGCCCGCAGGGCCACCACTCGCTCCTCCCGACGAGGATATGTGTGAACTCCAGATCATCAATACCCCATCGGAGTCAGGAAACGGTCAAAGAATTGCGCGATGCCCCAAATGTTCGGTTGCTGTCTGGTCCTACTATGGAGGCGCCGGGTCTCTGGCGCGGTTTATTCGCGTTGGGACACTGGATGAAGCGTGGAAGGTTCAGCCGGACGTGCACATCTATACACGGAGCAAGCGAGGGTTTTTCACTCTGGATGACTCAATCCCGCAATACGGCGCCTTCTATCCTAGGAAGGAAGATGTATGGAGAGAGGATAGTATGGACAGATGGAGGAAACTGGTTCAAAAACGCGAGACAAAGTGAACAACGGGTAAAGCTTCATCATACAGAGCTTGTTCTGTTAGGGAGGCAGACTCGTTATCTACGCGCTCAGTGTCCTATATTGAGGAAAGGGAAATAGATAGTTGAAATTCTCCTTCTAGCAGAGCCTGCAAAGCATTCTGAAACGCTAAAAGACTTCAATATGCCAATCTAGAAAAAGATGTCTACTGCAATGAGGGCTTGCAGAGTAAACCAATTAAATATGAACGGCCTTCATTGTACCACCTTGAAATCTGCCCCTCTGTAACTCCGACCCCAGATGGTAACCAATCATTCAGGCCCAGCATTCCAGAGAAATAAGCTCGGATGATGTAAACACGGGTGGGTAACTCACGAAATAGTAATTCATTCCCCGTCTATCATATGACATTCATACGAAACTTGGTACATTATATGGCCAGGTCTAGATTCCACATGCATTAGGGTGGAACAAAACAGGGTGTAGCGACTTGCACGCGAACCATGTCGGCGGACAGTCCAACGCGGAGCTGATGACCTCATCTTCCGCTTTGGGAAATGGGATACTTATATATAGCTAAAGCTCCGTGCTCCTTAGCAATAACGTACATAAATTATTGACATCCGCTGCAGCCATTATCATGACCTCCACGGAAGCGACATCGGATACTCCTTCCCGCTGCACTGCTGATTTCTCTCTAGTTCCAGTAAGTTCGCATCCCTCTGCTTTGCTCCATGTAGCGAGAGATTATGTCATTGTTCATATCGCTCATATCACTTCTTTGCCTCGCCCTTCAGATCGGGTCTCAGAGTTCATCGTTCTCCCATGAAATCGCAGGCATTAAGGGTCTTGTTCAGGAGTCGGGATTGAAGTTTCATATGCATGCGACTGGGACCATTATCGGTAAATATCTTGTTACGACATTCAAACCCCGCATCGAACCCAGCCATGCGTTGGCAAACACAAAGTCTTGCCCAGCACAGTCGCTAATAGATTATTTTCAGAAGGACCGTGGGACGAAGTTTTCCGACTGATTGGTGTCGCTCACACTTTAGTCCATCACAGCGGTATTTCGAGGATCCAAACTGATGTTCGTATCATGACGAGGTATGATCTAAGACATGGAATTTCTTACAACTTTGAAAATGTGCTTATGATTTCTATTACATAGAACCGACAAGGAAGAATCGGTTGAAGGAAATATGGCGTCGGTAGAACGCGTTCTTTCCGGATCTGAATGAGTGGCTCGTCCTTGTGATTTGGTTTTTTGTATAGTATTTTTGCTTGGTGGATTTTAATAATGTTCCGTACGGTTTTCACGTCGGTTTCATCAGACACATAGGTTAAGTGGAAGAACAATTGTAAAGAAGTCCCCCGGGAGCTGCACAATAATAGTTTGAGAGGCAGTACTAACGAAGAGCCAGGAGGTCGCAAATTATGGAGACAGGGAGTCAAGCTTTTATCATATCAGCAGAACCAAAACACAAATTGACTATAAGAAGTATGCTTCTTTTCTTTTCTTGTCTCTAAAACGACCCGGGTAAGGATAGTTGGAACCGGAGGAACACAATACTCCCATAGAAATCCGATCACAAACTAGATTGAACAAGGAATAGATTTGATATTATGGGATGTGGCAGTGATGGGTGACCGTGTCCAGAAACAGGCTAACTTGCTCTTTAGTTATCGCGGGCACTAATTGACTGACGATGGAACATAGACCCTCCACCTCGACCTATTTGGTTCCTTCACGGAGTGATACTGACCACCTTGCCGATGCCCGTGTGCTCTGTGGCAACAATAACTAGTTATCTAGACGTTCGGTCGATCTAAATATCGCATAAGAGCATAGTACATGATTATTTCAGAGATTTTTTAGTTTTACAGACTGTCAGTTAAACCTCGCATACCTTACATTACTCTCACTTTCCAATTTGATCAATATGGTAGAGTTAGTTTTCTATTAGTAAATTTATTGAAAAGAACTAATATTGTAAAATTATTAGGCTCTGCTCCTACCCGTGATTGTACTTCAGCGTCATCCGAACGTGAAATCTCCATTTGCCGGCGTAAGGGCCCTAGTTTAACTTCATTTTCTCATTCTCAGGCCGCATTCGTTCGTTAACGAGTTCTTCCCTCTCGGTTAGAACCTGTGCTTCTGTTTTGGCCATTTTGAGCAGGAAGGTTAGAAGATGTGCGCCCAAGGTCAGTATACTGCGTAGAATCTGCCTGAGAGGATGCTGGCGTGCTACTTTGATATTAGTATATAATTAAATAGTAATGTAGTAGTAAACTTACATAGAACGGCTCATCGATTGTTGCATACTAGGCGATCTTGGTATTTGATGAGATCGTTTGCTTTGGCGTCACTCCCGTTCACTTTTCGATCGCTTAGGCTGAATTGTGTGGCCTGAAAAGCTAAATTCATATAGTATCTGATATTCAAATTCAATTGAATTCGAGATGGCTTCAAGGACTCCGTGCGCACGCCGTTTCGTTGTATCTATTGAACGTTAGTATATTAAACTAGTTACCAATTAGTAGAACTTCAGGTTGAAGGAATATTAGCATAGCGAGTCCGCATACCAGCTGAGCCGATGGAATGCCTTCTATTGCCGGCAAATCATCCGACTATTAGCCGATATAGAGTTTCCATCGTCACCTGGAACCCAGAAAGCGGTATGATCGCCATCGGCTCTGCAAGCCGACCAAGCCACTGCGCACTGTTTTACGGAGAAAAACGTCCCAAATGGGCTACCAGGCGTAGCAGCAGCGGAGCCCCGGAAATGAGCCGATTGATAATCTAGGGCCACATTGACGTATGTTGCCAAACACGATCCAATACAATAAGACTGGCGAACGGTTTCGGCAGTGGACGATTCCATGTACCCAGGTCAATGTTATCATGGTGGTTTCGAATGATTCCCCGCGCCGTTGGCGGTGAATTCTTCACTAAGCACAGGAGGGACATGAGGCGGGCTACCGTACAGGACGACAGTAGTCTGGCATGGAGCTTCAACGAGAAGAGCAGACGAGCGTATGGGTATACCTTGAATACTGGCTGCTTAACTTTATTGGGCTTGTCTGTGACTGGCATAATGTAACGTAAATTATGAGATACGTACATTTAGTTCTGAGGTCTAGATCCCTGCCATCTTTCTTTTTACTTTTTACTTTTTTGTTCCGGATGTACACCTACAGGGATTACCTTTTTCCAACCAGGATTAATCGGAACCCCACAAGCTCATGCACAATGCCCTCTGAAGTCAGGAAGAACTTGATTTCTCGTGCTTGAAGAGGCAGGCCTCAATATGAGCTTTTGGCTACCGACATTTGGCTAAGTTCGTTGGGCCAATCTATTGAATCTGGTACATAAAAAAATCCAACGAGTCTGCGCTTTGTCACTCTGTGTACTTGAAGCTCAATACCCTCAAGTCTGTGGGCTTTCACTTTTAAGCAATAATAATCAGGGAACGCCCGTGCGGGGCCCGGGGTATGAGTCCCTCTAAGATTTATCCGACCCCGCTTAGTGATCTAGATATGATTTGCCAGGTAACATGAACAAATGCGTTAGATTGCGGGGGAAAGCTACTAGACTCACGGCAAAACCGGCAAAATGCGTGCATGGCTTTAGGTAGGGTCTTCCACGGCTCAAGATTATACACCAGTAGCGATAGCCAATTGAGCGTAGAGACTTGTATAAATTGCTTCCACGGCTCCCCGTTCTGCTGCAGCTCTAAGAATAATCTTCTTATTGCAGGTACACTCCGCTTAGGTATACATCATTTGTACATACTCAGGATCTTCAAAGATTGTTATGACTATGACATCTCGCTTCCTAAAATGGAGCGTAGTTCTCCTCGGAGCAACGCAGACCGCGGCAATGCCGTCAAGTCAGCAGCGGCAGGGCAAATGTCTCCCAGCCCTCAATCAAAATTATACGGCCAGTATCTCTTTCTTGGGATGCTATACAGACGATAGTTCACGAGTGCTTCAAGGGGGATCGGCTACTCCTGCAGGGCCCAATACGCCTCAGACATGCGCCAACACTTGCGGGATGTCTGGATTTACTTATGCTGGAGTGGAATACGGATCGTGCGTTGGTCCCTACCTTGACTGACAGAAACCTGACATGCCGTACTAACTCATACCCGTCCAATTTAGACAATGCTATTGTGGGAATACTATTGGAAGTTCTGCGCAGAAACAGGCAGATAGTGCATGTACTATGTCCTGTGCTGGTAATTCGTCTGAAATCTGCGGAGGTACTTGGCTGTATGTGAGACCATACAATGCTCAATATTTGCTGGAAGTCAGCTAACTGGGATTGTTAATCCCCACAGAGTTGACATATACCAGATTTCCAATCCAAGTGCCAACCCAGTTCCTCTTTCGGGATCTACGAAGCCTAATTGCACGGTTGATCCTTTGTGCAGCAATCCGGTTTGTGATACTTCTCTCGATCCTCTCACCCGTGCAAAAGGGCTTGTTGATGCCATGACCTTTGACGAAAAGGTCCAAAACACTCAGAACGGATCTCCTGGTGCAATCCGTCTTGGTCTACCTGCATATCAATGGTGGAGCGAGGCTTTACATGGCGTCGCAGGCTCTCCAGGTGTCACCTTCCAGCCCTCCGGCAACTTCAGCTATGCTACCTCCTTCCCACAGCCCATCCTCATGTCTGCTGCCTTTGATGACGCCCTGATCAAGAAAGTGGGAACTGTCGTTAGCATCGAAGGCCGCGCTTTCAACAATTATGGCAATGCTGGCCTAGATTTCTGGACTCCCAACATCAATCCATTCAGAGATCCACGCTGGGGTAGAGGTCAAGAGACACCCGGAGAGGATCCATTCCACATTGCTCGTTACGTATACAATCTGGTTGACGGCTTGCAAAATGGAATCGGGCCTGCCAACCCGCGAGTCGTGGCGACTTGCAAACACTTTGCTGGATACGACATTGAGGACTGGGAGGGAAATGAACGCTACGGCTTCAACGCAATCATTTCCACACAAGACTTGTCGGAGTATTATCTGCCTCCCTTCAAAAGCTGCGCGCGTGATGCACAAGTTGATGCCATCATGTGTAGCTATAATGCTGTCAATGGCATTCCAACGTGCGCCGACAGCTATCTGTTGGACACTATTCTTCGTGATCATTGGAACTGGAATCAAACTGGACATTGGGTGACCTCTGATTGCGATGCAATTGGCAATATCTATTCCGACCATCACTACACTAGTTCCGCTGCTGCAGCTGCGGCCGACGCTCTGAATGCCGGTACAAATCTCGATTGTGGCACCACAATGTCAAACAATCTCGGAGCAGCCGCCGCTCAAGACCTGTTCCAGAACGCCACTCTGGATTCCGCTTTGATTTATTTGTATTCTTCTCTGGTCCGCCTTGGATGGTTCGACTCAGAAGAGTCACAGTATCGCACACTGGGATGGTCCGATGTCGGTACCCCAGCGTCCCAGCAACTGGCCAACCAGGCTGCTGTCGAGGGTATTGTGCTCTTGAAAAATGACCGCAAAGAAGTTCTACCACTCTCTCGCCATGGTCAGACTGTTGCATTGATTGGACCCTACGCCAATGCTACCACTCAGCTGCAAGGAAATTATTACGGCACTCCAGAATACATCCGAACCATGGTATGGGGTGCTCAGCAGATGGGATTTAATGTTCAATATCAGGAAGGCACTGCAATAAACTCGACTGACACGACTGGCTTTGCTGCTGCTCTGGCTGCAGCCAAGGCAGCAGATATCATCATCTATGCTGGCGGTATTGACAACTCAATCGAAGCTGAAGGCGACGACCGAGACTCAATCGCCTGGCCTGGTAACCAGCTTCAGCTCATTGATGAGCTTTCTCAAGTCGGAAAGCCATTTGTCGTCTTGCAATTCGGTGGTGGTCAAGTAGACGACTCAGCGCTTCTGCAAAACAATAATGTGAATGCGCTGTTATGGTGCGGCTACCCTAGTCAAGTCGGTGGCCAGGCAGTGTTTGACATCCTTACGGGTCAGTCTGCTCCTGCGGGACGACTGCCGGTCACACAATATCCAGCCAACTATACTAGCGAGATACCCATGACCGATATGGCTCTGCGCCCGAACGGAATGGCCCCTGGGCGTACCTATCGTTGGTACAACAACGCTGTGATACCCTTCGGCTTCGGCTTGCACTATACTACCTTTGATGTCTCCTGGGTGAAAACGGAGATGGGCCCCTACAACACCGCAGCCCTCCTTGCGCATGCAGGCAAATCAAAGTACCAAGACACTGCTCCCTTTGACACTTTCCAAGTCAAAGTGAAGAACACCGGAAAAGTTACATCTGACTATGTTGCATTGGTCTTCTCTTCCACTAGCAACGCTGGCCCTAAGCCGTATCCTATCAAAACGCTGGTAGGCTACGCGCGAGCTTTTGCTGTCAAGTCGGGAGAGACTCGAACAGTCGGCATTGACGTGACCCTTGGCTCCATGGCACGCACTGCTGCTAACGGAGATCTGGTGCTGTACCCTGGCTCGTATACTTTGGAACTGGATGTGGATCAACATTTCCCACATGCTGAGTTGACAATTCATGGACCTGAGAAGGTTCTGGACTCGTTCCCGCAGCCTCCTTCGTCTTGATCTGAGCGGGAATTTAAGCAGTGATTGAGCCTTTTATAGTCTCGGTTCGACAAACGTCGTTAGCAGTGATAAGAGGGCAATATGGCTATTGAGCGCTCATTCTTCGTATTTCTTAAACGAGGCAATCCTCTGAGTGAGAATAGTGATCAAATGACATCTGTCCTTAATTCTCTCATACTGACGAGCATTGAGCAAGTTTGATGCCCAAAAAATGAAACGTCAAAAAGGTCTACGTCAGAGGCGACGAACTACTCAGTGTGTAGAAAGATTTCATTGCGGCTTGGTGATAGTAAGCCCCTGATGGCAACTTTGGCATCACCTCTTTGGTTGACATATCGGTCAGCCGGCTCTTTCGCATGGCAGTTGCGATATTCTGTTCGACATGATTGTAGAGCCCTCGCACAAGTTGGTAGGAGAAATCATTGAAGGTCAGCAGCCACAGTCTAGAAATTGAAAGCGCTTGTCATCACGAAACTGATTGCGTTTTTCGCCGAATCTCGAATCATTTTGCGTTTGAGTGTAACGAGGACGCGGGAAGTATCTTTGGCTCTACCGACTCTGTCGGATCAAACAACTCACACGTAGCTCCGCTGATACAGACATAGTTGGCTTCGGTAATTTAGCTGAATGGACCCTGCCACTTGCCAAAACAAATCTCTGGGCCACATGCGGAGTCCGAAAATAGCTTACGTACTCCAAGAATCTACAATGTATGATCGTGACAGCGCTCTGTTTGAGCTGTTAACATGTCAGCGATACTGGTGCAGCTACAACAAAAGACACTGTTGGTTATGTCAAGGTTCACCTTATATGTCCGTCCAGAAAAGAACGATGACCCAAGGACGAATGAGTCTGTCGAGAGCATCAACGAGTTCCACAATTACTGAGCGAAACAGTATTCCAGTGACATCTCACACAATGAGGACTACATTTACACCCTCTGTCCTTATAATGAAACGCTTAAGATGGTCCGATCGAGCTGCGGCCCAGACAAAGAATGTAAAGACTTGCAGCTCACGTCCCACATGTTCAATTGGACTAGTTTTGTGTGTAACCCAATTGCTTTGTTTCGAATGATGATAAAGATCAAGAATTCGAAATTGAATAATCCTCTAGCATTAATGACTGGTGTGAACATTCCTCAAAGCTACGGCCCTCAAAATCCGGTGGTTGTAAAGATTGGCGTAATATTAGCGGATAATGATCAAGATGCCCTTGCATTGCTCAAAGCGTGCACTTGGATGCGCTGTGTAGAAGTAGGCTCTTCGAAGGTGACGAGGTCAAACACTATCTTTGTTGATGAAATCCGTCTAGTTACATATCGCAGGCTGCGCTTGATCTGAACATTCTGCGACGGATAGATCCGTCCCTAGGGCGCAGAAGCATGATCGTCGGACTGCTAAAGACGTGACGTGGCGACATGACATATATACTAACTACTTTGGTCTAGTAGCACTTTCTGTGAGAGTACGCGCCTCCTTTTCAAACGCCTGTTTATTAAAGGTTCTGTCAGTTTCACCACCCGCTCTTGTTTTGGCCAGGTTAACCATACGTTAAACACCCCTATTAATGATGGAATAATTTCATCTTCATACGGTTTTATCGATTTAGATGCGGTCAGGATCGGTCTATCCTTGTTGCTGTTCAAAACAGTACAATGTGTGAGGAACGGCCTGAAACGAAGGGGTGGAGTGAAAGGGTTTACTCGGCGCTTAGACAAAACCAAGGCCAGGGTTCGACTGAATGCGCCAGTGTCAGGGGCATTGATTTGCTTAACATGCTGAAACCTCGTCGGTGGCTTGGTAGCGAGATTGCCTTTGTCGCCGCGAAGGAGCAAGGCGCTAACATTCTCCATGATTTGAGCTACAGGGATCAACAATCGCGGTTCCGTTCCCGGGTCCGAGAGGATAGCATCAGAAGGCGAAGCGGATGTGGGGCTGATGGAACTCCCTAGCCAATAATTAACAGACCCACGGTCGTGAACAGTCCGACCAATATATCAAACCAAACCTACTTGACACAAAGTTTTCACACTCATATCACCTGACATGTTTTGCTTTTCCGCTGGATCCTGGTTCAGTAAACTTTATTAATTACACAATGAGCGGTTCAGTTCGTGAGAGATTCAGACAAAACCAGTCAACTGCACATTCCAAAAAAGCGTTCTGCCACGGAGTCTGCGGCTAAGCATTTAGATACACTGATCGATAGTACCCGCGATTCAGTCTTGAAGCTACTCATTCACAGGACTTGAAGTCAACCGTCCAATGCAATGCGAGGCGTGTCTGCTTCAGCGGCTATTGTAAGTTGAACTTGACTAGGATCAGTTCGATACTAACCTGTCTGTTGTAGGCTGTTGAGTGGACATTACTTGGCGTCTGCCTGGCGTTGATCCTTGCTCGTCTTTATCTTCGGCTACATCTGCAGCATAAAAAGCTGATCCTCAGTGATTATCTTATCTGCCTTGCATGGCTCAGCGGCACAGCGGAAGCCGCACTCGACATTGAATTGAAGAAGCTTGGATGGCTCGACTCAGGTTCTACCTGGTCTAACTTTGTTGATAACACAAACAACCTTAGGTTGACGGAAAAGGCGAGAACATGAAGTTCCTATCCCAAAGTGTGCCGCTAATCCTTTAATAGATAGCATACGCCAGCTGGTTTCCATTTTTGACCACACAGTATCTCAACAAGGCCGCACTTCTCTCTTTCTTTTTCAATATCTTCCCATCTATTCTACGACCGTTCTTCTTTTCGCTCTGTACAGTCACAATCTACACCGCGCTATCATATATTGTATCTATAGTATGCGTGATTCTAATTTGTGTCCCGAGTCAGACGAATGGGTACGTCAAATATCTACTGAACTTGCTATTAATCACCCACCGTTAACAAAGGTCAGGTTTCATCTCGCTTCTTGTGAAACGCGGAGTTCTCTAATCATCTGGATCACGACCTGGGCTCTCCACTTTACATCTGACTTGGCGATTTTTATTTTACCTTTTTTTGTTTTACATATTCTGCGCCTTGACTGGAAGAAAAAGCTGGGCTTATACATCACGTTTGGATTTGCGATATTGAGCATAGGCGCTTGCCTTGCTCGATTTTTGATTGTTGTGTTGACATTCCCCAATGTGCCCATCACAAACATCGAAATTCTGTGTGCTATTGATTCCTACACTGGCCTGATTGTTGCTTGTATTCCCTCTTTGCGACCATATGTTAATCTGAAACAGGCAAATTCGTACCAGAGGCCACTCAGGGATAGTTCCTGCGTGCAGAGCATTACTGAAGGGTCCGTGGAATCAATTTCCTGAGTCTCCATTCGGTCCAAAAAATACATGCTATAGGAAATCTTTCCACATGGTCTTGATTCACGGGAAATACCTCCCAGTGATATACCTGCATGAGCCTGCAAGAAATGGAGCTTCCCTAGAGGAGGTTCTTGAGCCACTCCTTCAATTTCTTCCCTTGCTCTGTCTCCATCTTAGATCCTACGTACAAGTTGAACACGGGGGCAACGTGGGCCTCCCGCTCTCCGATAAATAACTCCACCGAAGGGAAGCCAATCTTTTGCAGTCAGTTTCGTCGTGTTCTGGACATGATAGGAAATGAGAAGGTGCGGTACCTCGACTTTCTGTACAAAATCTTCAATCATAGACCTCATAATCTCGTTACCACCTCCCAGCACTAGTATATGCTTAGTCTGGAGATTTTCGAACCAAGTCGAGGGGGCAAGGGAGGCATCAGTGTAGTAGTCTCTGCTGGTGTCGCCGAGATATGCACTTGACCACGGACCCGCAACTTGCGTTGTGATCAGGTCCCCAATGTTGTTAGATACCCCAGTAGGACTCGCCTCAAGAGATGTCCAGGGCGAAATCAGTACGACGCCCGCTAGTGGCTCATCCAGTTTCAGCTCAGGGATGGCAGGATGGGGATGAGACAGGTGCGACAGCACGCCGACTGCCAGGTTTCCTCCTGCCGAATCTCCGCCCACCAGCACGTCAGCTGGGCCGCGGTGTGTTCGACTCACAATATGTCGCAAGGCCTCGGTTGCCTGAACCAGTTGTTGCGGGTACCGTGCGTGTGGCGCCAGGGTGTAGGAGAGGACGAAAACTGCGAGGTCATAGCCAGAGGTGCGAGCGGACCAGATAAGCCCTTCAAAGAACTTGAAATAGCCCATGTTGGCCGGTAGGCAGAAGCCTCCTCCTGGATTTGGGTTCGCATCAGTGTTGTGAAAAGATGGGATGAATTTCAAAATTTCGATATATACATACCGTGATACCAAACCAACACTTTCTTCGCATGCGGATCTCCGAGCCAGTGACCCTTAGCACCACCGCCTAAATCCACCGTCCTGGGAGTCAGTCGCGCGGATCGAACATACTGTAGGTACATAGCCTCCGTGGACGGAGAGACTAATCTGTCTCAGTTCAGCACCTTACCAACCAAGCCCGATAGGAGAGTGCTTACTGTAGCTGAAGCGGGGACAGGCGAGTCGTCGCTTTCCGCAAGATGGCATAGCCGATGTGAAGGTGGAGGCTCGGTGCCCCCTTCTTACCTCGAACGAGACCGGTAAAGGACGACAGAAAGCCCACAGCCAGGATTGAGACTAGAGCTGGGAGCAAATCGAGCTTCTGCACGAATGACAGCCGCGTCACGGAGGAAGCAGGATCTACTGCTGCCTTAGACATCTTGCTCTTTGGTTCTTCCAATCAAATGTAACGTTGGAGCTAAAGAAGGGGAGCACTTTCTTGGTCTTATAATGAAAATGGGGACTCATTCACGGCACATTAACCAAGTGTATTATTAGAATGGAAAACCAATGGCCGAAATACCTATCCTTAGAAATGAATAACTAACTCTGCAATTTTACACAAGGGTATATTAACGGGGGCCACTAGTCGGCATCCAAAGCCGATCACACCCTGATTCGCAAAGTGAGGACGGTTCCGCCAGCGGTTCCGCCAGCGGTTCCACTCCAATCCCGCAACAGTAGCGCATTGTCCGCGAGCAGTGCCTCATCGCTGTTATCTTAGCCCTTAGCGGACCAGAGAGATCCGGTACGCGGCAGCGAATCGATTGATTGCGAATGAAATATTCGGTGGAAATTTTGGTTCATGGGGCCCCAGATCAGGAGTGCGCTGGCAGCCATGGTGTCCTTGGACCTCGATCCATTTGTGAGGAGCCATTATTTATTCGCAGAGAAGGAATGCTCATTGTTTGTTCCGCTAAATTTCTACAAGAGCTTTTGTGCATATGATTGGTAATAGAACAGCCCCACAAGCCTTACACTAAAAAAGAGAAAAGAATACCCACTAATACCATTTTCCCAACTAGAATAAGCTCAATCCAAGCTACATTCAAGTCCCGGTCATGTTGAGTCGCGGATTAGAAGGTCAGAAATTCATCTTCTGGTACATCGGGAACTCCAATCATGCGGGGGTTATATTCCACCTGCGACGGAGCGACGAACTGCGGCATACATTTTGAGGCTTCAGATCCGCTCTCAGTCTCTGGCTGTATGGTACGATTCTCACTCGGAAACGCTGTCTCGGGCATCATGCCACGTAGGAATGAACGCTCCTCAGCGGTCGTCAAAATATTGTCTAGCAAATTGCTGCAGCTCTGCATGGATGGTGTCGAAGCAGGGAGTTGGAGCCACGGCATTGCCCGGGCCCAGTATTCCCGTTCGTGAGGTCGATAGCCAAAGGCTTGTCGTTTGCTCAGGATAGGTGGCGTGGACCAAGATTCCAGCTGAGGTGAAGACGTGGTAGAATCGCGAAGTACGGCTCGGCTCCTTTGTTCTAGGTTCTCCGTTAGTTGAGGGTGCGGCAACAAGAGCTGGAGATCGATACCACCAAGTGCGATGACGGGCTCTTTCTTCGATAACGGGAGTGTAACTGGCCGCTTAGGCGTGAAGCTCGATGGATCGGAACGAACGGGTTTCTCAACGCCCCCGCGAGAGACTCTCCGAGGGTCCATTGTGCGTCTCTCCCGAAGAGTTGGGAAGGGGACGGGCCAGGTTGGCCTAGCGTGTTATATCGGGGTTGCGGGTGTGGTGTATTCGTACTGCGTGACTTCAGCAGATCAAGTGAACACTCATCCGTGAGGTTTCGCGTGTCGGATCCAGAAAGCTGCTAGACTGAGAAACATTGACTGCCTAAGAGGATTCCGGTATACCCCGTGCTGTTGGGTTCAAAATGTGACAGACGAGCAAGTGATTCACTCGTTTGGCGGAGTAAAAGGGCAGGATACCAATGCGTGGAAAAAGTCTCGGGCAGATGGAGAAGGTTTCGCTGAGGCTTCGATGAAATACATAAGATTGGGACCCGATAGACCAGATGGGGCGTAAGTTCTGCATATCCACTTAGCAACGCGGAAGAATCGCCCGACATGGGAGCCGCTGCGGCTCCGAAGGGCGGACCCGGCTGACTGGCTGCAGTGCGGGGAAGGTGGAGACCTGATAACCGTAAGCAGCTTAGAGCGAAGCTTGTCTACTCTAGCTGTAGATAAGAGTCTAATGCAGGATGGTACGTATAACTGCCGGCCCTACATACCCAGCTCGGTCGGAAACAACTAGAGACTGATTTCCCTTCATTTCTACCCTCATCAACCGCAGCCGAGTGTGCACCATGCCATACCACTTTAAAAAAACCCACGACCCGGAAGGCCCTGCCGAGGCAGAGTTACAGTCCCCAGACGTCGCCTCCGTGGAGCTTATGTTTCCAGATAGGGGCTACAAAGCCTGGCTCACTGTGGTTGGTGGTCTGCTGGCACAAATCTCAAGTATCGGATTTTTGAGCGCGTTTTCTGTTTTCCAAAGCTACTATAGCCAGGTAACACTGCCCAACTCGAGCTCCAGTGCTATCTCCTGGATCGGTAGCCTGCAAATATTTGGTTGTTTCTTCCTGGGGCTATGGGCCGGGATTCTGTCTGATAAACGAGGGCCCAAGTGGCCCCTTGCCCTGGGCACATTTTTCATGGTCTTCGGAACAATGATGGCGTCGATTTCATCTTCCTATTATCAATTCGTCCTCTCACAAGGGATCTGCAGCGGCATCGGATTCGGACTGGTGTTCACCCCAGCCCTTGCTGTCCAATCCCAATGGTTTTTGAAGAAACGTGGATTCGTTGTTGGCTTGGTCATGTCCGGCCAAAACATCGGCGGTGAGCGAAAGTTCCCGGGTCAGGTCCAGTGGGGGATCGCCCACAAAAGATCGCTGCTGACTTGAGTACCCATTCCGGCAGGTGTCATCTGGCCAGTCCTCGTGGATCGGCTCATCAGCACTTATGGGTTGTCACTGGGGTGGACGCTGCGCACCATTGGCTTCATGCAGTTGATCCTCATGGTGGCCGCCACATTGATGGTTCACCCACGGTTTCCTGAGATCCCACGAGAACCGATTCCTGTGAAGCGATTCCTGACCGACAAACGGACCGCCCTATTTACTTTCGCCACATTCATCTTTTTCTTTGGGATCTACATTCCTTATGTGTGTACCAGGACCCTCGATCAAATCTCTCGTACGCTGTACTGACAGGTCCCGCCATGAAGTTCTACATCACTCCCTACGCTATGCAGTGGGGGGCATCCTTCAACATGGCGTTCTATATGTCGTCAATCTTGAACACTGGCGCTTTTTTCGGTTGCTACGCTTTCGGTGTTGCATCGGATCACGGGCTTGGCCCCTTCAATGGACTTACACTGGTGGCCTTCGGCTGTGCCGTGACGGCATTTAGCTGGATTAGTGCCAGGAATAATGCAGGAATTATTGTGTGGAGTGTGTTTTACGGGTTTCTCTCCGGCGCCCTCCAAGCCCTTTTCTCGCCGTGCATTTCTCACTTGGCACCAGAGCCAGGACTGATCGGTACATGGAATGGTAAGCCTAATCTATTTACGTTTTCTAAACATTCCCGAAGGTCGACTGTGTCATAACAGTATATAAATAGGACTCTGCATCAGCATGATTTCGTTCGCTGTTCTCGGCATGGGCCCAATCGCCGGAAAGTTACTTGATAACACGGGTAACACCAACTACCTCCCCATGCAATTGTTTACGGGAATATGCTTGATTGTTGCTAGTGTTTTGTACTTGGCTGCCCGCCTTCTCATTTCTCGAAAGGCCGTGGTTTGACCGAATTAGCAAGTTGATCCCTCTCCGGCCAGCTCTACAACTATGTCTAAAAACTACGAGCTCTCATCAGATAAATAATTAGCCCATAGCGTCATGGAAGGTGTTAGGATGCCTCCAAAAGGGCTTTGCTTCCCCCACAGAGCTTAACCCTGAAGACCTATGGATGAGGCCCTGAACGATTTCTAGTATGTTGTCTTAGGAGACTGTTTACTAGACCAAAAAATGAAACTTACTGAAAGACTCAACATGCATGCCCAGATTACATATTCCCGCCACTCTCATTTGGCTCTCAGCTATTAGAGTCCTCAAAAAATGCAGTGTATGTGCTTGATGTGTGCGAGTAAGGTCTGGTGGCTTGTTTCAAAGCCAAGGTCCTGCTGCCTTGGTTGCCCAGAATGCAAGGCCGGTAAAATCTCGTAGAAATCTGGGGTCAAACTCCATCGCCTCTTGGCGCGTGTACTATAATTATTCAGTGCTCAAAGGGGTAAAACCTAAGTTGAAAACCGTAGCTACTGATGATCAAACGAGAACCCGTACGCGAAATACTGATTGAAATTTCAACTGAATGAGCACATTAAACAGACTAGCGTATACGGCAGCCGCTAGAGTGTAAAGCCTTCCACTACGTTCCTTCGTTCCATCGCATGGTATGTTGTTATTGTTAAAGTTCTTTATAGTATGGCAACAGTGCTAAGGTGGTTAGCAAGAATTGCCTACTCCACTGTATCTATTTTTTCATGTTCATGGATCGTCTCATTACCACAGATTGGACCTTTCCCATTTGAACTAGAACTCTCCTCCGAAATCTCAGACCCATGACGCTGGTGTTGCCCATTGCCGCCATCAGAGGATGCATGAAAATCCGGCATCCGGCCAGTTACCACATTATCAATGGACTGAGTTGATAGACTACGGTGGTGACTCGGCCGGAAGTATTGACCTGAATCGGACACCGGAGTCTGCGGTAAATTGGGCGAAATGGAGGAACCTCGCGCCATACTGAATACCGAAGTCCTATTGCTATTGGAAGAGGAGACATTGAATTGGGTCGGGAGTTCGATGGGCGAGGAATCTTTTGGTGTTAGCATCGCATGTGGATGATGTATACTACTTGCGGGGAAAATAGACAAAGAATATAGCGGCATACCGTGCATCTCGTGGACTCTACCTCCTATGTCGTGCATCTCGTGGACTATACCTCCTCCTGATTCCACCGAGTAGGGAGACACCGACCTCTCGATCGACGTCTGCATTGTTTGCGCGCCTGTGGATATCTCCTGACCGGTGGATGTAGAGTGGGGACCAGCCATATGCGCGATCCGGCCAGCCCCGTACATGGACGTAAGAGGTTCCTGGACAACTTCGTCTTTCTCAAGCTGGCGGCGCTGGCGATGTCTGCGAAAGATCCAATAGGCGGCGATGATCAATCCAACGACGAGTAGACCGCAGAGCACGCCGATCACAGCTGCAGCCCAGGTCGGGAAGCCTTGGTGATGCTTTGTGGTGCTGCCGCTAGAAGCCGTGTTGTAGGGCCAGTAGGTTGCGATGGTTTTGGTGTATTTCGTATTGAAGATACCTTCTAGAGAGGAGTTGGTCCATGATGATGGAGCTGTGGTGGTTGCACCTCCCGAAGAGCTATAGATACTATTAGTTGTGATGATCTGTTCTGTTGTTGGTTGGATACTTACTTTCCACCTATTTGAGCTGATAAGAGATCTGGCACTTTATAGTCGCCCCACTGCAAGGGGTCATAGGCATCCTGGAAACTGAGGTTGTTGAGGTTGAAGTTAACCATGACACCCCCCTCTAGGCAGTGCGTTGAATCGATACGATAGCCTCCAATGGCGAGCATTTGGTCTGGATAAACCTTGATGCATCTGTGTCCAGTCCGGCCGTGTGTGTTCGTCCCATTGTACACCTTGATCCACGTAAAAGAAGGCAATGACAAGATATACGCGTCGTCATATGGATTTGAGTTTGCATTGAGACCATTGTATCCTCCGTAAATATAGATATTGTGTGATGAGCCGTCTGCTGCGCTAGCAAGCACAGAGCAAAACTCGGTCAACTGCGGCGGTGTATCGCCCGTCGTCTTCTGGAGATACCAAGTCTTAGTATTGACATCGTAGACCGAGACCGTCTCCATGAAAATCGGGCTCAGATCTTTGTTGAGCGCCTCCTGGGATGAATTCAAACTTTCAAAGAGTCCAGCAGGGTCGACCACGCCCCCGATGGCTACCAGGACTCCAGCCTCAGACACTGGGACCCAAACAATCTCAGCGTTGGCACGGCCTTTGATATAGCTCGGCAGCGTATCGTTGTTCCATGTCTCGGAGCGCATCACTGACATGTTCACCGTAATTAATGTGTCCGCCGTTGTGTTGGCCAGATAAGGAGGATATGTGAAGGAGCCCCAGTCCGGGGCATGCATTCCACTAAAGTAGAAGCCCAGATTCTCGCTCGGTGCCGATGCCCCAGCTCCGTTGGTGATATATGTTGTCACGTTGTCTGGTAAGTCTTCCGTCCACCACATTGGCTCCCAGTCTTGAATAGTCGCACCATACTGATAGGCTTCATAACCAAGCACAGCATCGTCAGGAAGTTTCTCGTCATCACTAGCGGGAATCGCGGCCCCCCTATGATGGTTTATTGTAATTTAGTATTTGCTGTGCGCATGGTTGAACATTGAATGGTACGAACCCATAAAGGTAGAACTCATCGTCGTTGGCAAACATCGCGCCGTCAATGTAGGTTGGGTCTATGTTACTTCCGGCACCACCGGCAATGGACATCAGGTTGAGTACATTCGAGAAATTCGAACTAGTATTGAACGAAGTCGAAAGATTGAAAGTATAGACGGAGCCGTCAAAACTTCCTGTTGCGGTTGGTTAGCTTTGTATATCTTCCAAGTTTGTCGGGCTCGTTCAATATGGTCTTTACCATCAGACGTGTCACTGGTGCAATTGTCCGAGTATATTCTGGAATTGTCAGCACTAACTGTACGTGTTCTATTCATTTTAGGTCTTTCCATACTGCGCATACCATAAGTATCCTCCATCTATGTAAATCGTATCGCGAATGACGTTGGCTGTCACTGTCAGTACAAAACTCCACCGCGACCGCAAGAAATGAGCTCTTACCACGCACTGATTGCCAGTTACATATCGAGTAGCCGACCTGTGTCTGATACACACCACATGTTCCCACTGCGCGATCTATTACAAGCACCAACAGCGTCAGAAATGTTCCTAAGAGAAACATTTTTCGACCGATAGAGTCGCAGCCGCTCTCTTCGCCGTCCAGATTCTCACAACAATCTCCAAATGGGATTCGCGTGATGAAAAAAGGCGGAATCCAATCCTCACATCGCCAAAGCTCTAAGGCGGCCTAATGACTATCATATGGATGAGTGATGGCCGCTACTATCGCATGAATAGAGCAAGTAGAGGGAACGGGGCGGAGTAACCGAATCCTAGTTAGCGATGCGGCTGAGTTTCCCACCTCTTTGATGCCCGATAAGTCCCCGCCATAGCGGGCCCTGTGCACAACGAGGCGACCATTTAAAAGAAACAAATCATGCACGGTCTCCTAGGTGCATCGGAGCTGAGCCGGTTTGATTTTTACCATGAACGGCAATAGCCAAAAACATCTCTAGGTTTTCCATAGTTCGGGATTATATGCGTTCTACACATCGCTAGTGCCCAGTAGCGGGCAAGAGCAATACGAGGTCTGAATCATCCTGTTGGAAGATGCTACTGATCAGTGGAGGGTTACATGAACTAACAGCTGTTCGCATCGCTGAATTGGCTAATATGCATCCACAGCTGCAGGCCTGTCAGGCGTGACAGCGGGCCTTAAAATCCTCATCCTGTCTTTGTGCTCGAACTCGGTTAGGTCGATTTCTTTATCAGCGGTGGATTAGTAGGTCATAACAACATAAACAGCCTCGCACAGCTAAGGAACTAGAGGACCGTGCGCATATGCCCTGGAGCTTTTTCTTTTCCCTTTCCTACCGTCGTGAGCGGATTCTCTTCTTTGTTGTGGTTTAAGAGACATCTAAAGCTTGCAGACCATCTCCTCGAGAAGAAGTCGCGAAGATGAGGTCCTCAGTCGCTTGGTTGTCGCTGTTTGCGACATCTGCTTTTACTCTGTCAACAATAACGAACAGCAATGACGTCCCTGCGACCGTCCCCACTCTGGCAGCAATTACCAAATTGATGGAGCCCAGAGACACATTAAGTAGTACTGATCTGGGTATAACGATCACCATTGGGGTTACGATTTGGGTTGGTGAAGGCGAAGTTGTTACATGTACGGTCACAGATACTACAACCGACACCACGACCGACATCATCACCGATACTGTCACAGCAAGTGCGGCGACAGTTACTGTAACAGATACTATCACCAACACGGCGACTGAGACTATCACCATAGGTACCACCACTTCTGGACAAGATACGACGACGACGCAATCACAAACACAGAGCCAGATCGTCCCCGTCACTGTATGTTCAAGTCTCGTCACCAATCCGAGCTACACACCCACCACCCAGTTGCCCGACGACTATACCTGGGGCTGTCCACCTGGATACCTCTGCAAACCCCCTCATACAGGCGACCGTGCGGGCTGCAATGTTGAAGCTGGTCTTCCCGCTGATACTTACATTTGTTCACCCGACTACTGCATTGAGGCTCCGGTTCCAATATTCAACGATGATACTCACTACAATGTCTCCAGTAATTACTACAACCTAGACCCTATGGACTTTGGTCTGAGCTACGATATCCTTGAATGTGCTGAAGAGTCTACAACGGGTACCAGCAAGCGCGAATTGCCCCCACGCCATGGTAGAATTGAACAGCTCATGGATCATTCCCTTGGTCGACTGACCAAGCGGGTGGACACGGGTTATATACCCAGTGCGTGCTATTACGATTGCAATATCGTTGGTATCGTCGCCGAAAGAACTGGAAAGCAGTCTTTATTGTGCGCTGTCGGGTCTACATTCCTGCTGGACTTGGGTTATTGTGAGGAATGCATCAGCAGCGCGGCAACTTCGTCCGCCTCGGCTGTATACTCATCTACATTGCTGCCCACATTTGCCCAGTGGTTGAACTTTTGCTCTGATCAGACGACTTCCTCGAGCACCTCGGCAGCGACAACTACCACCGAGGTAACTACTACTAGCGCTGAGTCAACGACAACTACCACCATTAAGTCGACTACTCCTAGCACTACGACAACTGCGAGCACTGAGACTAGTACTACGACAACTGCGAGCACTGAGACCAGCACCACCACTCAAAATCCGCAGACAACAAGTTCAGCACAAACAACCACTATGTCAACAGAGTCAACTACAACAGCTGGACAAAGTACAACTTCCGTATCTGCCTCAACAGTGACAGTACCCGAATCAACGACGATTATCTCCGGGTCAACCGTGACAGTCCCCGGTTCCACGGTGATAGTGTCTGGAACGCATACCATAGGCACTGTTTCTATAAGTACCTCTGACTCAACAGTGACAGTACCCGAATCAACGACGATTATCTCTGGGTCAACCGTTATTGTCCCCGGTTCCACGGTGATAGAGTCTGGAACGCATACCATAGGCACTGTTTCTATAAGTACCTCTGATTCAACAGTGACAATACCCGAATCAACGACGATTATCTCCGGGTCAACCGTGACAGTCCCCGGTTCCACGGTGATAGTGTCTGGAACGCATACCATAGGCGCTGTTTCTATAAGTACCTCTGCCTCTGGAAGTCGGACTGGTTCAGCTACTTCGCCTGCTTCTAGTGTTCCCTACAGTGCAGCATCGCGGGCGAGGGACGTTCCTCATATAGGCTTGCTGGGTCTTTTGTTGGCTCTTGGGTGGATTAATCTTTAATTTTATATGAGGTTATGGCGGGAAATGCACGAACGAGATATAGACTACATAGGTTGCGAGAGCACTATGTGGGAGAATAATCTGTACGGTGTCGTTCGGGAACGTGCTCTTCCAGAGGCCGGTCAGCCTCCTCACAGCGCCACCTGCGTTGAGAGGCCAAATAGCCCCAATCCCAAGAGTTGAAAGTGGAGGTCACAAGGCCTCAGCCGTAGTTTGCAACAAAAAAGAAGAAGGTGGCGGGTGGGTAGCAGACGGGGAATCCGGTTGGGCAGGTGAATTTGCAGCAGCGCGGTATTAAGTGCGAGATAGAGAGGATGAAGGGGAGGAAAGAAATAAAATGGGAGGTCGAATAGGGCGAGGTCGGGTCTTCTATGTCTTACGTGACGGTGTATTGGAGAGCTAAACCGAAAACAGCAAAACTAATCGCATATAGTAATTCACATGGCCTCCTTTTATAGGATAAATTCAGGTTAAATTTTGTCCTCTAGCAGGAAATGTGTGAATAACACCGGTGGATATTTGGCCCTCCAAAATACGTCACAAAGATATTACAATTCCATTAAAGTCTCGCACGGAATATATAATGTTACGTAGGAAGATACGTTACAACAGAAAGTGAATTTTACGGCGTTCCTCAATTTTTGGGGCCAGCAAATTATGGATATGCGCTAAGGCCTTGGCAGTGGGGCCATAAAAGAGTTAATGTGTGTGTTTTGGTCAAGCCGATTTCGAGAATGACTTCAATTGCAAATCCAAGAATAGTCTCTTCGGTATCGTACTCCATTTAGAGGTGCGACTTGGGCTCCTCTCCGTCCCCAAGCAGATGAGCGATCTCATTATGGGGCACACCAACACGACCAAGAGCCTTATAGAAGGCTTGGGGCTCAAAACAGTCCTCGGGAGCAAAGACGCCGCTAAGTTTGGAACAGTCCCCTAGTGCCAGAAGCATAAACGCGGCACAAGCGCCTCCCGTGATCGAAGCCATATTCTTAAATAGCACGGAGCCCTCACCAGACAAGCTCGTGCGCTTCATCTGAACGACCGGCATGCCATTGCGAGTACCGGTGACTCGAACAGTTAGGCCAGCGCAGTACGGTCCGATCTTCCCACGAGCAGAGTCGAGGAGGAAGCTGAGGACATCTCCAGTGGTGCATTCACCAGTCCTGATTTGTTCAAGCATTCCATAGATAGCGTGGCGCCACGGTCCAAGGGCTCCGGCGGTGTGGGCAATGATCTGCCACAGCTCGTTGAGAGAGATCTCGCCACCACGGAGGTACCCACTGGCCTCGCCCAGAGCGGCCTGCCACCCCTCGGTGGGGTTAGGATTGTTAATCAGATTCAGCAGAAAACCAACGGCATCGTCAAGGGTGATCTGTTGCCGCCGCACAGCATTACCAAGGCCACGGGCAATGCCATTAAACGGTGCGGGGTGCAGTCCACCGAGGCAGCGAATGCGGTGGGCGTTGGGAAAGAGACGGGGGAGGGTCACAGGCTCCGGGTGGGCAGTCTCGTGTAGGAGCGTCTCTCCCTGGTCACCATACATCGGCGCATGGCCGGTCTCTACCCACGATTCGTTGACGGTGGCCTTTCCATTAGCCCAGGTAAGGCAGGGGCCGGCGGCAATGTGCATCAGGTGCTCCAGGACAGCCTTGCCAATTCCTGGTCGCTCATCACCAACTAGCCAGCATACATCAATCGTATCCACCTTATCAATTCCTTTGGCAGCATCGACAGCCATGACATTCGTCACGCCGGGAGACGCACCACAGCCAATAAAGCACGGCACGCCGGCGGCCTTTGCCTTCTCGTGCAAGGCGAGCGCTGCAGTCGTGCTTTCCACATCATCATCGAAGTCGAGGTAAGGAACTTTGTTCTCAAGGCAAGCTGTAAGAACGGGTTCGCTAGTCTTGGAATAAGGACCGGCGCCGAGGACGACGAGGGACGCGCCCTTGGTGGCGGCGAGCAGGGCAGGACGATCATAGAGATCCAGCTTCAGGGTATTTGCCCGTCCAGCAGGAAGTTTAGATGCCAGCTGCTCAATGGTAGCCACATTAATATCGGCGAGGACGAGCGAGATGTCCGTTGCGGCCGCAAAGCGATCGATGGCAATACGACACATCTCTCCAGCTGCGCCGATGAAAACGACCCGCTTGGGGCTGGAGAAAAAGCTAGCCATAGCGAAAAATGATGCGTATTGGTGACTTATTTGATAAACTTGACTTGGGGAGGTGGAGGTGTTTAAAAATGACCATCAGACGAGATGCCTGCAACACTCCCTTTATATAATCCTGCTCTTGAAGTAGTAACGGTTTTCCACTATCACTACTTCCCAAAGATACCGGCGGACCCTCCCATTCGGATCATAATTCGCGCATCCAGCTATAATGTTCGAAACTACCGCTGTGCCCTCTGGCATGCACCCTTCCGCGTATGGGGTACATCTGGGGAAACACAGAAGCAGCGGTTCCGGGTCGGCGGCTCCGCCGTCCACAACGCCACCCACAGACTGTCCAATTCTGCGACTCCGAAAGAGCCATAATGTGGGTACTAATATTATCAAAATGCGTCTTGATATGGATTGTGCCTATCTCATGACTTGATTTGGGACCACTAACTCAGTCGGTCATACCCCGAGGCTGAAGTGGAGATGGATCGCTTCCGCATAACCCGGAATTGAACTACTGCATTTTGGAAGAACACCATGAGATCGGAGGCACATGGAGTCTGTTTCGATACCCTGGTAAGTTGGAGTCTACACAATTTTGCCTTCAACAAGCCTCGACTGATTTTGCGAGCCTTAGGCATCCCATCGGACTCCGATATATTCACCTTCGGGTTCGCATAGCGAACCTTATTCAGCTCAAATCAGGTGACGAGCTGCGCCCCATTATTATTGTCACAGCTACCGGCCTGAAGCTGTGCATTGCCGGCGGTATTAAGATTTTTGTGGATGGTTTGCAGTATCACATTGGCAAACACTCCTGTGGAAGTTTGCGATGATGGATAACCTGCAATGCTTTGTTTGCGTTCAGATATACCGACGCCAGCTGGACTCTCGGTCCCGACACCACTGCCAAATTGGCATGCCGGTTGTTCAAGAAGAGACCACGCTACGATGGTGGTGCCCCGAGTGGGGGCCGAGGAAAAGAAGCACGTCAAGAAATTGCCGTTCCTAAACTTGAAGGCTACCTATGTCCGAGAAGCACAGAATGTCCTGCCAAACGTGGGTGACCGCTCTGTCTGGAAACCAAGATCCTACTGTTGGAAGGACCTTACGGTCGCGGTGTACGGGAGTCTCCAGAAAGGCTTGGAGTGGATAACATGAGCGTGGCAATTGCTTTCTGGGAGATAATCTATAGGTAGATTCGGCCGCTCACTCTGTCCCGCGCTTGGAGTAGAGCCACCGAAAACCCCTTCTTGCTCAGGCCGCGGGCCGCGGTGATCCCAACCATCCCGGCTCCAATGACGGCGACGTCAAAAATCTCCGTGGTGTCTTCTTTGCGGTATGGCAAAGTCAATGTAGCAATTCGGCCTGGAAAATATGATCGATGAGAAATGGCCTACTGAACAATTGGCATTCCGAGGAACTCTGAGGTTATCCAAATTCGACTCAGCGCGGCAGCTTCGTTGTAACAAGGCGAACTGCCATGTTAACCATGCCTATTGCCAGAATAGATATATTTTGCATACGTAAGGTCCACAGCCTCCTCCACTGTTTCAGGCCACTTGATAGGGGCATTTCAGATTTGTGGGAAAGGATCAGACCGTGTAGCGATGGGCTTCGAACCCAATCTGCTCAGTAATTTGTTATTCACAAAAGAGACACTTTGAGGCCTACGAAAGAAAGTTGTTTGATCAACTCAATGTCAGTCTTCCCGTAGCTTGCTTACCGTGCTCTTGCCTCGCCCAATAAAGGGGTCGGGGTTCATACGACACGGACGTGAGGATGGCGTCCGAAGCTAGAGTCAGGAAGTCACAGTAAACCAGGAAGAATGTTTCAAAGTATAAGAGGATATTTCGAGCCAACTCGGTCTCTGAGGATGTCACTTCGTCGCGGAGCCGCTGCGGAACCGCGGATCCACTGTGGGCAAAACTCATAAATGACGAAGCGGCAAAGTGGCCTCGACAGCGGCTCCGTGGTTTTGCTTGTTTGAAAATTGCGGTTCTGTTCTGCCCGATGATAGGCTGATGAGATGTTCTTGCGATGAGGAAGGGGATAGTATGGATTTGACCGAGGGCAGAGTGTTTGTTGGCGAATTTCAACGTCAGTCAAGATGTTATAAGTAGAACAAATCACCACACAAGAAATATAGGGCTTCTAAAGCAATTCCTTCAAGTCTTTCACTATCTCGGTATGGGCCGACGCCGGAATCCGTTGCATAACCCACTCCACTACGCTACGCCTCAGCTTCGTACAGGGCCACCGGTGACCTACGCCTCAGCTTCACGGACGCTTCAAAGCTATGACTATGGTATAAGGAATTGTGAAGTGCATTGGAATTAGGTTTCTGAGGCTAATCTTCTGAAAGTCATCGTTGGTGCCGGCGCGGCCGGCTGCGTCCTTGCCAGCAAACTGTCCGAGGACAAAAACACATCTGTTCTCCTTCTCGAATCAGGCGGCGACAACACCAAGGTCCTGGAATCCAAGGTTCCACTGATGTTCCCTAAGCTCTTCCACACCAAACACGACTGGGATTACTACACAGTGGAGCAACCAGGCCTGTCAGCACGCCGGCTCTATTGGCCTCGTGGACGTCTGATCGGAGGTAGTACTTCGCTTAATGCTATGATGTATCATCATTGTTCGCCTTCCGATTTTGACGAGTGGGCGTCTATTCATGGATGCGAGGGCTGGGGTTCTAATGACCTCGCGCCTTACCTGCGACGCATGGAGATGTTTACTCCAAATTCAGCACGCCCTATGATCGATACTGAACACCGCGGGTCTTCGGGCTGTTGGCAAACGGGATACTCCTGGCTGTCTGAGATCATCGAGGGTGGATTTATACCAGCCTGTCAAAATGCAGGTATTCCTCATAGTGCAGATGTGAATACTACGAACGGTACCCTGGGTGTCACTCGATTTCAAACATTCATCGATTCGAAAGGGCAACGCTCGTCCCTTGCCACCGCTTATCTATCCCCTAGTGTCCTACGAAGGCCAAATCTTAGCGTTGCGTGTCATGCTCATGTTACACGTGTGCTTTTTGATTGCCTTAGTGCAAAAGAGCCTATGGCCATCGGCGTCGAGCTTCAGACGAACCGTGAGAGGGCCCGTTTCCAAGTACATGCGCGAAGGGAGGTCATTCTATGTGGGGGCTCGGTCAATACACCTCAGACTCTGATGTTGAGTGGGATTGGTCCGGCTGAGGAGCTAAGGGCCCATGGCATTCCGGTTGTTCAGGAGAATGATGCGGTGGGTAAGAATATGAAAGACCATCTCTGCACAACTGCCATTCTCTGCAAGGCCAAATCGGGGAAAACTCTAGATTATCTTTCTAGCAATGTCAGAGCCCTGCCATCGCTCGTTCAGTGGATGCTCTTTGGACGCGGCCCTCTCACTAGCAACATAGGAGAGGCTGCCGCTTTCATCCGATCCTCGGATTATCGGTTCCCTGAGTCTACAACTGTTCCACCCAATGATCATACATCCAGTCATACTGGGCCAGATTTGGAACTTATTGGTGCACCCCTTGCATTCATTCATCATGGTGAAGAAGCCACAATTGATGGGAGTAGTGTCTTTAGTCTCATCCCGATTAGTCTGCGCCCGCAAAGCAGTGGTGTGATTACCCTGTCAAGCAAAAGCTCTTTTGATGCTCGTGAGCCCACCAGCAAAGTCCAACTTATTAACTTTCTTTTTCAAGATTCTAAGCTAACCGCTTCCATTCCTAGCCATCATCGATCCAAAGTACTTGTCTGATGAGGAAAACAATGATCTGAAAGTTTTATTGACAGGCCTACGCGTCTGCCTTCGCATAATACGAAGCCCGGCCTTTCAGAAATTCTTTGAGCCAGTTGCAACTAACGATGACCCTTCATCGTACTGGTGGCCATATTCGAGCAGTAACATTGAGAAGATCTCAGACGACGACCTCATCCGCTTTTTGAAAGAAAAGGCGTTTACACTTTATCATCCAGTTGGCACTGCACGCATGGGTCCATCGCGTGATACCAGTGTGGTTGACCTGGAATGTAAAGTACACGGAGTGAAAAGCCTGCGCGTTATAGATGCCAGCATTTTCCCTGAGCAGATCAGTGGACATCCAACTGCACCCATCGGTGCGATGGCCTTCAAGTTGAGCGACATGATCAGGGAAGAACATAAAAGATCCGCGCCGCCAACTGCAAATTTGTGAGCACTAAACGGGGCGCGTCCACATATGTATCATTCTTGTCCATGGACGTCATATACTATATGCCTCGTCGTCAAATCCAGTTGTAAAGCTTATCAGAAACATTTGTGCTTTGAGATTATACAGTTTGGTTGAAGGCCTTTAGACTACTATTTGGCTGTTGTAGCACGATACATCCGGGAAAACGACAAGAGTTTCCTGAAGCCCTCGCAAAGCCTGCAGGCAGGTTTCCAGTCCTGTCGACATCTCAGAGGCCCCTTTCATGTCCATTTCATTGACTCGGACAGGCACCTGTTCCGCGAGAGCCTTGGCTGATAACGTATGTGCTTGCACGACCAAGGTAGGATACTTTTGAAAGGTATTAGTAGGAAGTTTGATTAATGGATTAAGTCACTTACAGGATGTGGCCAAATGTCTTGAACACATGCTTTCAGGCCACTAACGCCCTGGAAGCCAGGGCCTGAAACCCCATGCCGTATCGAGGCCATGGTAGATACTTGAGCTGCACTCATGAGCCGTTGCTCTTGTCGAACTGATCTGTCAAATTGAAGAACGGCGCGCAGCCTTTCCCTTTCAGGTGTCGAGGGCAGCTGAGAGAGGCTCATCTCAAGCTGCTTTGTTGTTTCATGAAACAAAAGAACTGCTAGATCGCCATCATTCAAACAGAAAGCAACCATATGTCGAATCTCCGAGGATGACTGTTCGAGAAATGCTGTAGTTGGACCATCAAAGGTTCCAAATGTCGTTCTCCACAGCTTGACAAGCTTCATAGTCGTTCCATAGCTCCAGTGAAGCTTTTCATAGTCGACCTTTCCTGTTCGGACAGCCTTCTCGGCCAGTGTTAAGGAAGCCAGTGACTTCCAAAGAAGGATCACAAGTGAGCCTGATTGTCTCACTGTATATTCCAATCTGGCATCGGAAATGTCATAGCGCCGAAGTGTCATCAACGTCTGCTCCGACGAAATGGCGCGAGATAGAATCGAGTCATCAATTAATTGGTTTTCCTTTTCTGTAACTGGCAAAGTATTGTTTCGGGGAGAGGGTGGCGAGAAGAGAGGTATTTGAGGAATATCAGCATGGCGACCACAGTTAGCGAGATCCATCGGGGAGATTTCCCCATGCGACGCGGCGATTATTGTAGAGTTCATCATGTCTGTCAACCATGATATCGCCCCTATTAATTCCAGAACATTCGCAGTCACGTCAGATGGAAACTTCTCAACGAGTGTTGACAATCCCCTTTCGTCTTGCATTGGATTGTCCTCTTGCATTTCACGAACATAATCATGTGCCCGGGTGCAGAGACTATGAAGGCGGCGAATCCCTTCACACAGAGCAAACCGGGAGTCTTCATCTATGGTATCATCGTCAAGGTCACCTTTTGGGCGCAAAATGAGGCCGAAGAGTATCAACGACAAAGACTGCCGAAATGATCCAGATGCTGCGATATTCTTAAAGACCATCTTCTGGGCCTTGTAACACGTAGCAAGTGCAAGATCGTGGCTATGTCCCCCGCCTGGTCTCTGGCTCTTGTGGACAGCATATTGAGCAGCAGTTGCTATTGCAGTCCATTTGTAGGATTCGTTGATTGAGGCATCACGCGATGGTGACGGGCGAAAGTGCTCCGTGCACTTTTCTTGGAACAGAGAGTCGAGGAGACTAACTGTTCGAAAGGTATGTGGTGCCACGGCAGTCAAGGACCACGAACTGGAATTTAATTCCCAGCAGCTCTCCATCCACATATTCGTTTTCTCGAGATAAGTGTTCAAATGGACACTGTTGCTTAATGGTGCCAAAGCGGCAATCCCCAGAGAGTAGCGGGGCGGCATGCTCCCCTGCAAAAGGCATTGCGATAGCGGCATATCACAGACATCAACATACAGGTTGAATTGCTGCAGACATGTTTCACGCGCAGTAAGCTGTCGGGCTAAGTCGCCTTCCAATGTCGATAAACTTCCAGATCGGGAGAGTGTATCGTCGATTCTTTGATGTTCTTCTGCGACGATGCTCAGGTCTGTCGCATTGAGCGCATGACTACCTGGGGAAGTTCTTGCTTTCTTCCTTGTCTGCTTTTCGGACCTTTTGCTGGAGATCCATGCGACGGTACACTCCAGGCCGCGCGCGTTGCAAGTTGCGCAAGGTGTCGAGGGCTTTTGTCCACTAATCCCAACGGGGAGAGGTAAATTGCATGCTTTTTTAGATGACCTGCACTGGTCGCACGAATGGTTTTGCCTGCGAGGGTTCCTGATTGTAGATCCATTCTTCGATCGAGAAATCCGTGCAGATGATTCTTGCACACTATTGGTGGGCGCGGAGCTTAATGAATGGCTCCGACGGGCGTCGGAGTTGGCTTGGCGCCTGGTAGCAATATCTTGAAAGAGGAGGCTTTCGATCTCTTCATCAAGGTCAGATACAGGATGTGAAGGAGGCTGATGTAGAATGTGATTCGAGATCGTGGTCCAATCTAGATTATTGTCGCCTCCTTCAAGCTGCATTCCAAACTCATCGTCCAAGGGTGCGATATATCTCGCAAAATCGTCTCTGTCGCTGTATCCCATGCTGGGGAAATTGTTGCTCTCCAGCATCTGGGGTATCTCTTTCGGAAATTGTGTTGGCGTTTTCGCTGACAACATATAATCATCCTCGCGAGGGTCGGCGATCATATTAGCAAAAGAAGTGGCATCCATCATCCTAGTTTATTCCGTTATACAGGAGCATTTGCGGAAGGATGATGGGAGTGGGAATGAAACTCGAGGTGGATTCTCTAAATGCAGGGGCTTATCTCTAGCTCAGAGCTTCGCCACCAGCGAACGCGGGGACCTACAATCACGTGCGGGTAGGTTTCGCTAATCTTTGGATCACAGCGTTGATATGGAGTTTAGCTTTTCGGGGGCAAAAGGAACCAAGGAAAAGAGAGAATGGTGGTTCGTACCTCCCCTTCTTTTCTACCGTATCATTTCGTCAAGCCAGTAAAGTCTGCGGTTACTTATCAACCATTCCTGTCATTCCAAAATTACTCAGAGAAATGAATTCCAGAGCAATTGTAAATTGATCAGGCCGCTGAGCGCTCTCGATTCTGCCATGGAGCGAAGGGTAAGCACTAAATTGGAAAGAGCAAGTCACAGGACGCCAGACATTATCTGGTCTATATGTTATCGCAAACTAGTAGAAGCCCTATATGCCCGCAACACTAATCCCATCGTCAAACTAATGGCTATCGAAGGAATCCGTGTCCTAGCATCCGCTTTTCCTAGAATAGAATCAGTATTTTACATAACGCCGGAGAAACCGTAATAGATGTGTTTTATATGGAACTCCTATACTAGTGAGTCCTCTAGGCCCCTTGCCCTTGTTGTCTACCTCCCTAGGCAACAAGTAGCCTTTAAGTATCGCTCCTGAGAGGGTGCTCCACGCAAGATGGCATAGTGACCTCCTCAATCAAAACTGCATCTCATCCGTGATATTATAGAGGAGCAGTCATTCAATACTTCGTAAATATCTTAGGACATTAAACGTAGTAAGCTTACGATCATAAAGAAGAAAATGGAAGACTTTTGCGGCGATCAAGAAGAGCACCCGCTATTGCAATTCAGAATACGGCGCTGATAAGACTAGAATTCCGCTGATATAAGGTGAGCTCTGCAACCGCTCTTATTCGAGAAGTAGTGACATAAAACGATTGTGTTCCTTTTGATGAGTTCTAGTCACTAGTTATAGTTCCTAGTGTAAGAGGATTCTTGCTTCTTACGTAGCAGAATGAAGCAACCGGATCGCCTCTAGAACCATTTTTCCCGGTCGCACAAGCTCTTCAGACAAATCATTTTGGTCACTCGGTGAGATATTCTCGAGCCACCAGGGAGCTATATTTTCCTCTAACCGGGCGAGCATCGTGGCTTCTTTCCACAACCGTTCATTGACGCCATTCCGCGGTGTTTTCATTCCACACTCCTCAAGTCTGTCCAAATATGCTTCATATAAAGCGGCAGGCCAGTCGCCTTCGTTGCACACTGCATCGTTGACGAACTCATCTAGTTCGGGGAAGAACCCAGAAAACTCAAAATCGATCACACCAGTAATCCTTGTGGGATCCAATGATACTAGAATGTTGCGTGGCGAGAGATCGTTGTGTGTAAAAGTAAAGTGATCCTCGCCCTTGCAAATTTCTAGCTGCGGAAGTCTAGCAGCTATGAATTGTCGAATGATAGGGATTAGGTATGCATTCTTCTTGAAGACATCGAGATCCTGGAGCTTTCGAAGCCTTGTTTCGAGCTTCAATCGGTAGTATTGAATCATATTTGTGATGGGTTCAAGAACTTCAACGTCAAAACCGGCCATGCTCGATGAAGGGGCTATCTGTAAGCCAGCAATTTCAAAGCAATTGAGAGCCTGGGTCCTTTCGTTACTTGCTTTGCAGTAAAGGTTTCCAGCAGTAGCAGAAATAGGCAGCCTCGTTCGCCAGCCGAAAACTATGTCTGCTAGTTGCCTTCCGATAGTTTTGAGTTCTTCTTTCCCCAAGTCGAAATTCGGTAAGGGATTACCGGGAACCGTAGTCATCAGAATCCACTCATGATGCTGTTCGAGGTCTTCAGACCGGAGCTGGAGGATTTTCCTTTCTGGAATCCCTTGTGGAGTGAATCTATGAATAATGGAGGACTTGGTACTAGACCAAGCAAGAACATTGGGTGATGGTACCTCCGGAATGAGAGCACGGAGTAAAGAAAGACATGAGACCTCGTTAAGGCTCTTTGAAAGGTCAAAGAATTGCCCGTTTAATTTCAGAACAAGCTCGTTGACAGATTCATTTCTTAAGCCAGCGATCAGGTAGTCGTAGGGTACTTCGATCTTTATGAAAATGATACGATTGTTAAACGACTTTCCGTGTTCAAGAGGCGTAATGGATAAAATAATGCATCCAGGGATAAGGAATTCAAGAATTTCGGTGATCGTTTCATTCGAGAGATGGACTCCGCAGGTTGGGTGGTTTTCGGGCGTGTATTCGCGAGAGAGTTGCATATTTTCAAGAGAAAACTTGAGATTCGAGTTTTGCAAATTCCTTCCGTCAAGCGAGAGCTTTCGCACACTAATGGATGTAGAGATGGACCGAACCGCCTTTTAGGCACCTTTGCAGAAGGATTTCAGAATCCATGAATTCTACTAGGTTTCTAGGCAGACTTACGGTATTATAACAGTGACTCATATATGTCAGTGCAATTATCCACCTGGTAATTTACAATGTGATCCAGCTGCTGCATTCCTAGAGCTTACTCAGCTAACCGCCACTGTCTACTATGGAAACTGGCGCCCGATGTGGAATTTACACGTCCATTTTCCACTCCGACAATTCCCGCCTGTCTGCCCTATAAATACAATCTGAATAGCTAGTCTGAATAGCATCGATTTCATCATTCTCCAATCAGAGTACTAGGTAGAATTACTAGTGAATACGCCCATCAGACATCCTGACAATATATTATTTCGAGACATTACGATACGGTCTAGTAAGAGTTATGAGGGGAGAAGCTAAAATTATATTAGCGTGTTTCAGAATAGGGTTCGGGAATGAATTCCTGCGATTGTGGTGGTAAATCTGATTTCGAATATCGCTATTGAACATAGATCCATTGTTGGGAATCTGGTCCAGCTGGCAAAGGGTTGGTTGGAGCAGGCCAAAATTGGTGGTAGATTCAAGCAGGCTGATTGGAGCACGGTCGGTTGGGAGTAGATTGACGGTACAGTTGCATTGCCGGTTGGTAGAGTAAATCAGTTACACATGTTTGGGCTTTGAAAATATTCTCCTCTTATCTGTGGTTGCAGTCAGTAATGGAAATCTGCTCTTGCGGACCCAAGCTGCCGCAGGGTAAGCTTAGTCTATTTACTGGCCACATGAAAGTAGGGCGGGTTCTAGAGATGTCATGCTATAAGAGCGAGCTGGTAGGCGTCGGGATTCCAGAGGTCACAGACGAAAGATCGTGGGCACCAAACAAATCGATTTTAACATGTTCATATCTACCATTCGCTGACCGGTTTATCAATAGCTTAATATACAAAGAAATTGTTTATGCTCTATGTTGTTGCCCCCAGCTGATGTTATCGGCGTTACTTGTTTACACTGCTTGTTGACACTGCCTTGTTAGTGATGTCTATCAAGCATGAACAGGGAAGCATCAATATGGAAGTGGCTATTGGGAAGTAGCACCTGCTGGTCAAAGTTGTTGATCAATCGTTCTTTTTTGTTCGCCGGTAGTGACATGAACAAACCGGTGCGCTGAACTGTTACTAGAAAAGACGGGGAACAACAAGTTAGAATTAATTTGGTGGCATAAGAAGCCTAGAAACCATGAAACCTAATATTAATAGGGCACAACCCGAACTGAGCATAAACATAAGGAACAGATCGGGTTGACTACAAACGCCAGTTATTCAAGCTGCTGCAAATTTGACCTACAAGGAACCGGATTTCATCAAGCTTTGCGTTGACTTCGCCATCTAACCACATTAAGGAAGAAAATAAATGTTCTTCGTAGAGCCGCGATGAACTGCCTTTCCATGCTCGCGGAAGAGAAATCAGAAATGGGTATGCCTTCTTTAATCATCAGTCAGTATTGATTGTATGATAATGCGTTAATGGATTTGAAGCCCAAAAATTGAGAACGTGACTGGAAAGGGACATGGACTATGATGACAACATTCAGCTCTGCAATTTCGCATACAACAGCCGTCATTGAGTTTATATTAACGAGATTTCACGTCAAGCAGCAACAGAAGAGAACAGGTTAGTCACTCTAGGCAGATGGTCAACTTTTGGCTCGGTACGACATTATATCGGGAAGCTTGCTCATCATATACGCGCCTGTACCTTCCGGATTTTCTCTGGCAGGGGGAGGTTGCTTATCCGGGCGGCCGCCCTTTCCGTAACGGTGCTCACCCCCCAGCTCACTAAGTAAATGTCAACACGCTGTTATGCTCAGTGATCATGCTCAGATAAGTCACGGGAGAACTTAGTGAGCGCTCACTAAAGCCTTCACTAAGTGCTTATTGGATAGTCGCTAAGTGATCGGGGCCACTCAGTGCCTAATCAGCGAGCGCCTTAGATTTGCTTATTCTATCCTAGTCTATACCGAAAACGGAATACCACCCCAAAGGGCCATTTATTCAGTGATGGTTAGTCTGTTGATAGACCTAGACCTACCGTCCATTTTCTTCAGTACTTCATGCCATCAACAAAATCAATTCATACGAGATGTCGCATAAAGAGTGGAGAAACTCTGTCCACTTCAGATTAGTGAACTTTCAGACATCCCTATATTCTTAGACGTAAAAGAGGCCCGAGTTCTAAAGCGTAGGTATAAGTCGAGAGTATATTCGCGACCCGAACATCTCATCGCCGCCTCCTTTGAATTGCTCCTTTGCTAGCTTATATGCCTTTGTTAGTCCATTTCAAAATGGGCAGGCAAGACTCTTTTGCTAAGCGAGACGAGATCGCATAGGAAAGGCGCCGCTAATAGCGGGAAAAGAATGGCTACGTGCCTAGAACCTATCGAGAGGACGACCTGCTCCTAGACGAAGACAAAAGACTTGTGACGACTAACAGTTTACATCAAAAATACGTGGATGTTTGAAGCGGTAATTTCTCTTCATGGAAACAGTTAACCTATGATCTAGTTTTACTGCGGATCCCGAAAACTGGTTTAGCCACTACAAAACTAAACTGTCGTAGGCTGTCTGACTCCGAGTTATGACAATGATCAAGGAGTTGATTCGCTGGTATATGAGTTCTACTCGAGGCCGTCTGAATGGGAATGGACTACCATTAGTGAGAACAGTTCAGGCTTGCGCTGAGAGGTTTTTTGGTGGATTTTAACAGACCACTAAAACCAAGATCAGCCTTGATGACCGGAAGGAGATGAATATCGCCTAGTCGGATGGATATGCCTCGAATTATATAGATGCTTGAAAGAACATACTGATACTGTATTATCTACCCTAGAGTATCCTGTCGTCTCAATTCAAATCAGTCAGTGCTCTTCTTGGCATCGAGCTTTTCCACCGCTGCAAGTCTTCCCATTCTTTCCAACCAGACCCCCAGGTCAAAAATTCCCTCCCTCAAATCCTTCTGATTCCCTTTGAATTTGAATGTATATCCGACATCGTCCGAGGGCTCCTTCCCGTCAGTATAACGGATGCGACAAGGACCAGCTTGGTAGTTTTTTGTTTCATATGCCGCAAGCCTCTCCCCATGTTCAACCGTTCTAACATGATACACTGCGCCCTCAACTATGGAGCCTGGAGCATCCAACAGTGCAGGGTATTGCCCCCACAGCTTGCACTCATAGCCCGATAAACGTGCTGGGCGTAGCTCAGGTTCGGTTTCCAGCCCCAAAATTTCACGAACCATAGAGGGGTCGGTCAACGTGCCATAGAAAAAATAGGGCCCAGTAGGTGCGTCGAACAAGTTCACGTACTGGGGTGGGTTTGGTGCTTGGAAAAAGTAATCCAAAGGGGCGGTTCTGAGTTTGAAGATGTAACTGGAGGTTTTTGAGCCAGGAATCTCGGGTGGTGGTGGTGCTGGGGGCGGACTGTTGAGATTCATCTGCTCTCTTTCAGTATTCGACATGAGAGGAGTTGGATGAGAACAATTATTATAACTCTAAGAACGCGAATAGAAGGGTATGTAGTGGAACACTGAAAGAAGGCCTATTGAGAGTAGTGCTGAGAGCTATGCCTCCAATGGCCATTGTTTCTGACGCTCCTAGTGTCTGTTACGTAATCACCGTACTGAGGTAGGAGGTGCATCATGCATCACCAGGTCCAACTAGAGTCACACTGATGACGCCAGTTTTTGGTTGATGGGAAAATTAGGAGCGATGCAAAGGGGAAAATGGTGCTCAGGGACGAAGCTAGCGGTGTGCACTTTATTGGGGGGTATCCTTACTCAGGGCGCTCATCCCCATGCTCAGGGAGGGCTCGTGAGCGAATCAGGGCAATCAGTGAGTGGATCAGGCCGTTTAGGTGAGCAGTTAGTGAGTGCTCAGTTCTACTCAGGGAGCAAGCAGTGAGCACTAAACCGGAAAGAACAAGTTACGGAGTGCCAGGCATTATCCAGGCTGTATGTTTTAGCTTTGAGCTTACAAACTCTCAGCGGCCATTTTTGTTGGGCCCATCAAACATCTGTGACTATCTAGGGATCTGGGAAGATGGTTTGAGCAATGCCGGTTTATGGGGGTCATTGACGTGCACCCCCTGACAAATACACGCTACTCTGGACCACGAGCAGGTGCAAAGGCAAATACAATGTTTTTTGGAGTCGCTGGCTAGATGGCTTCGTGAGGTGGGCGACGAGCTTACATTACGTTATGTTTACGTATTGCATCGTTATCGTCGCATTCCCGGTTTCACGCATAACAAATTCTTAGAATCTGTCAAATTGAAGAAACTACGTTGTGACTATGAGATGTTTTAAGACGAATACTGAAGTTTGAAAGCACTTCATCAGGATTAACTGGTACTAAACCCTGTTGCTCCGAAGTCATTTTGAATTGAGGTATATTGGGATGCCTTAATACGGGCTGCTGGGTAAGCAGTAAGGAAATTAAGCTTGTCGATATCGATCCCATTTTGCATTTGACGCTCAACGAGGTGGCCATACTCTCGTTTTAGGGTCGCAAAACAAGCCATATCAAGTGATTGATGTAGATGGGATGAATGCGCTGGCATGCAGATTGGTATAATATTGTGTCGGTCACAATGCCGTACTGACTACCACTCACTGTACGCAGTCGAATCAGTTCCGAACGACCGCCGGATCTTCACATTGTGTGCGTCGATAGTTATACCGACGGGGAAAGCGGCTCGCAAGAGTGGCGCCAACGGTCCTTTTTTGTGGGGGTGGGGGTGGGGGGTGAATTTCTGCGCTCGCGAGTAGTAGATTGGCCATATCGTGCACAAGACTCGGTCGGGGAGAATTTCCACATGAATATATAAAAAGAAAGTCCATTGAATAATCGATTGGCCGTCGGACTGTGTCAATTTATGGTTGTTGGCACGTGGTTCACGTCAAAATTGATGACAGCCAAGCCGGTTCCTGCAGCGTACTAGAGGGCACGGCAAAACGGCACGCAGCTTCACGAATAGAGGTTATTTCCTGCTTTTGGATAGCTTTGATGGCTAATAGGATCCTACCCTCCTGGTCTGTAGATTTTGACGCATTTTTAGAGCGCTTTGGTAACATGGGGGGTGGATGAAAAGGGCAGGGGGTTAAGTGCATGGTCCCCTGTCCGGGTAAAGTGTCAGGGCGGCCTGGGTGTCCGACTCGCTTGCGATTTACGTTACACCGCTCGTTCAGATTGACACAATTAAATGCCGTTCAGACTAGTGATTATTACGAGAGACGGATTCGAGGACAATAAATTGTGTAAACCCGAAATATGAGTGATCTTTTCCTAGTAAGTGGCGTGCATAAGACATAGTGTGGATAAGCAGGAAAGTTGCCTCGCAAACCAAAGCATCCCGTATACGAACCAAGTGTGGAAGAGCGGGGTTCGTATTTTTATGCTCAGCAAGTACCACGGGTTTCAAAGATCGGCGGCCAAACCTTAATGGAAGACCAGCTGTATCCAATAAGATATCATACTAGTGAAGCCCCGACCACGTATTCCCGGGAATTTTCCCTTTCCAGCGCCGCAGGTCCAGGGTCCTGTAAACGAAACTTTCTCCGCATTTTTGAAATCCCGGTCACCGATTGACCAGTAGACTTATCTAAGTATCACCTACTCGTTTCCCTCTCCCCCTATATCCTTGAGGTTCCTTCACAGTCGCAGACAATGCTTCTTGGAACTACCCGGGCCAACTCATAAGGAACGGGGAATTGAAAATGAGCATTCTTTCCACCTGCGAACAAACATCCACGACCCTGACTTATCCAGATCCATTTGGGCCTTTGAATATTTTGGGACATTAGCAGGGGTTCTAGAGGTTTGGTTGGGCCCCGTCCCGTGAGGATGGATAACGGCGCGTCGCCGCTGCCGCTGGGCACTGTGCCCGCTTATTTCGAGTTGAGCTGGTCAATTTTGAGCAGTATCGGTATCTTCGCGGTGATAGCGAGCATACTGGTCGTCATTATTACGCATCTCTCGCCTCTGTTAGCCGTACCTCTGGTCGTCTCGACAGCATGTGCTTTATCAAACGGCCTCTGTTACTATGCCTTCTATTCTAACTATTCGACAAAGAATAGAGTGGCAGCGGGTGTTTTCGCCGACCTATTTTGGTTGGTGAGTACAGCCTCCCCTACAATACTGGACTGTTGCTGACTGGAAACACTATTGCAATCATAGGTGCAGGAAGCAGGTCTTTCGTTTTATAGCTACCAAATCCTTGTTCGGGCTTTGCAGCAACGGAGCAGAACTATTTACTTGCTTATCTTCTGGATCTTGATAATAACTGTTGTTGGAATCCGGATCGTGATCATGGCAAGCCGCGCAAAAAGTTTGCTGCACGGGTCGGACACGTTACAGCATCTCGTTGATCACCTACATATGGGCTACTTCATCTCCATCGCGCTTCTTGAGATACTCGGATCAAGCTTCTTGATCAAGTTATTCCATGACACGAACCGCTCCTTATTGGAGTTTATGCCGACTCGCAGCATTTTTCGGCAGCTAATGCGGACTACCGAAATCCGTTTGGCCACACTGGCACTGATTGGAATTGGTCGATCCATAACCTATTCTTTTCAAACGACGCCCCAAACAGCGACAACAGTCGCGAGCCAGTTCGATCGGTTTATGTATACCATGGAGTGCCTCTTTCCGTTCATCATGCTGTATGTCTACATCAGTTATTCCGTGAGCTTACTAATGATTTTTCTAACGCTTTACCCTCATTCAGGATCGACGTCTTGGCTTCTAAGATTTACCGCCTGCCTGACCTCAATCATACCCACTGTATACGAATTAGCGACGGGCCGAGCTCATCTGTGCTTAATGCGCAGCTACGAAATTTTCGAACAGCAACGGCAGAGCAGTCACCTGATTTTTTTTCAGGGAACACTTTATATACATTGAAACCCGGACCAATACTTAGGCAAAACAGTGAAATTGGCTAGGTTGTCCTTCAGATGTGTTGATAGTTCCTCAGATGTCTTATACCCATAATCTTTACCTCAAAGCTTGAATTAGGACTGGAATAACAGCAGAGACCTATTTCAAAATGCCTGCTACGTAATCAACAGAAACGTTATTAAAATTTCCGGGAATTGCTAGGGACACCACCACAGCCTTTACTAGGGGCAATTACACAATTAAAAATGTCTTGTGATCTGTATTAGGATTACTACAGCAAGATCATTCTATAGTTATTAAAAGCCGAGGTGTCCCTAGCAATTCTCGAGCGCATCGTGTGATTATATCATGCTCCGTGAGCAGTCAGGCCGCTTACGGCCGTACTCAGTTCTACTTAGGGAGCTAGCAGTGAGCACTGAAACAGAAAGAGCGAGTCTATATGCAATATTAATGTCTATACTATATATGCGCTTGATTGCATCAAGAGAGGAAAGGCAAGGTCGAGCACTTCTCTTTTTGAGTAAACCGAGAGAAATACCGTCAATTAGTTCCTTTGCTGTCCTTTCAGTGCCTCAACCTCAGACTCGGTTTTCGGATGCGTCTCTCCCTCCACCGGTACCAGAGGATCCTTCGTAGCGAACTCATCAACGGCCCCCTTCTCGGCCCGCCCAACCTCCCCACTCTCACTCCCATCCGCACTAGAAGCACTCTTCTTCGAAGCAGGGTCACCACCTTGCATTCCCAGCGTCAAGAACGGCACGAAGAAAAGAGACAAACCCGCCGCCGCAGCAGCAAACCAGTAAACAGACAGATACGGCTGGATACGAGGCGTTTCGGAAGTCATCCCGGCAGCAACGGAGTTGTAGACGGACGTGGAGATACCCAGTCCCAAGTTATTGCAGAGTTTATTGACGGTGTTGAAGATGCCGCCGGCGATGGACTGCTGGGAGGGCGGGAGCGAGGACATGACGTACATATTCGTGACGTTGAACTGGATATCAGCGCCGACGACGACGAGAATCAGTGCCGGGAAGATGAAGGCCCAGTAAGTCGTTTCGGCGTCCATGAAGCTCAGAATAAGGAATGAGGCTGTGTAAGCTAGCGCGCCGATGCCCGTGAGTAGTTTGTTGCTGACGCGGTGGAGGATGAGGCCGCAAACTACGTTGACGAGGACGCCGCTGACGACCATTGGGAGGAGGCGGACGGTGATCTCCAGCGCTGTGCGGTGCTTGACTTCTTGGAGGTAGAGCGATAGCCAGAAAGATACGGATGAGAAGCCGGCGAAGCCGAGACAGAACGTTGCCATGAGGAGGGAGAAGTTGCGGTCTTTCCAGACCCAGAGAGGCATGAGCGGGTGCTGTGCGCGGGACTGCCAGTATAAAAAGCAGGACAGTAGGACAATGCCGACGATGAAGAGGGCGAGGACATAGCCGGTTCGCCAACCGTTGGGGGCGTCGCCGGCTAATCTGTACGGGTATCGTCAGCACTGCCAGAGAGAGACATGGGAAAGGGGAAAAGGCGGGTCGCGTACGAGAGCGAGGAGGAAAAAGCAGCAAACCCAATAATAACAAGAACCGTGCCGAGCAAATCGATCCGCTTAATGGAGTCCCAGTTAAGCGGCTTCCTCTGGAACCCATCCGGGGGCACAGTCCACAGCGTGAGCGCCGTGAAGATGGCATACACAACAGACAGGGCCCAGAAAGAAGCGCGCCAGTTATATTCGTTAGATGCGATGCCGGAGATAATCATACCGCCCACAAACCCGAGCGGATTCCCCGCGCTAAAGCAGGCAAAGGCACGGTTCTTGCGCTTCGAAGGTTTTTCATAAACAGCGCCCAGGGCACCGACGGCGGGTGGCACCACGGCCGCGGCGAAGAGACCCAGGATGCCGGAGAAGACGTCCATGTAGATTGCATTTGAAGCGAATCCGGCAATTAGCAGCGCAATGGTGAAGCCCGCCATCCCGAAGACGAAGAGCGATTTGCGGCCGAACATATCGGCCAGTTTGCCGAATGTCAGCAGGAAGGCGCCGCTGCTAAGACTGTATGGATAAAAGGCCAGTTAGCGATTTCTCGCAGTGGGAATGAGGCAGACACAAGGGGAAACATACGATGCACCGGCGTTGATCCAGGTGATCTCCGCAGAATTCATGTTCAGGTCCTTGCCAATGGACGCCGTTACACCGACGATGGCACCCTGGAAGAAAGACTGTTGGCCAATGGCCATTGTAGCCGTCAGGACGAATAGACATTCTTGGAGGGTGCTGTTGAAGCACTCGGGACGGCGCGCATAGTCGGGCTGGCGATCTTCCGCGGCCAAAGTCACTTCCGGGCCTTTCTCTTGATCGATATGATTGACCGCCACCGGCGGTGGCAGCTGCTCGGTCGCCATTGTCGGGCGATGCCTGATCTGGACAGGCTCGAAAGAGGTATGAGGGTGGTCAATGGCTGAGCATGGCAAAATGTAGAAATTTGTAGCGCAGTTTGGTCGAGTGATAGTATGGAATCCGTCGCTCGGGTCAGGGGAGAGAAATCTCCGACTTTATAGGAACTCGCCTTAAGTGAGGGCTATCTCTATGACCAACGAATCTTCGAGGACATGCACTGTGTGATGTATGATGTCGTAGGTGTGCGACAACTACAAAAGAAAGGGAAAACAGCACGACACCGCCAAAAGCATATGCTGAAAAATCTCCCTTTGTCAGCTGCGGCGCTTTTCCGCCTCGCGTAAAAAAGGGCCAGATTTTAGTAACTAATCTAAGCCTCGATAAGATCCGGGGTGGGGCCACCACGCCGGTTGCGCACGAGCATTCTCCCCTCGGACTCGGGCTTATCGATCAGTCAAGGGTCGGATTTGCCGATTTCGGATACGTCTGTCCAACAGTGGCTGGCATTGAATTTAATGGCTTCGTCGCCGCACGCCCACCACCCGGCTGTCAGGTTGCGGGCGAATACCTCGAGTGCGGAGTAAGGGGCAATAATATGATTGGATTTGTCGGAAGAATCAGAGGTAAAGAATACCTCCTCGAAGATGGATTTCAGGTTCGGTTTGCGAGAATGAAGGTCCGGCACGGCGGCGATGACTCGTCTGGTGGTGGTGTTGGTCATGTCCTCTACCTCGTTTCCGGTAGGCTTGCGACCGATAATCAGGATCTCATACGGCCTGCGCCAGAGACCATCAAGTGTTGAGATCGGCTGTCCATCGGTGGTAGTCTTAATCCAAATCCATTCTTCGCAGACGCGAAAACCCGCGCTGTGCAGAGAATCGTACGCTGCTTTGCGAGATCGTTCGGAGTTGGTCACCCATATAGCTGCGAGAGATTGTCGGCTCTGAGCAACAGCAGAAGGGTGGTGGTCAGGGACTGTATTCGTGCACGGTACATCGCCGTGGACATAGCTATGTGCCCTGAGGATATCCCCCAGGCGCTTGGTGAGTTCTTCCATCCCGAAGTAGGGATGGGTATTGTAGTGGCCGCTGCGGCGGACAGACCGGTTCGGCCATGGCGGATCGAGGAGCATGAGGTTGAACCGGTGGTCCACTGGAAGACCTGGGATGGGTGTAGATATCTCTGGCCCGGAAAGAGGTAGTGTGCAGAGCACGAAGCTTGACTTTGGCGGGACGATGTAGGTCCTTGTTTCAGCAGTCTGCGAGCCAGGACCCCCAACATTCAGAATGGCGGACTCCGATGATGAGGGATTCTTCACAATTCCCTGAAGATCAGCCATTGAATCGAATATATTCGTCGAACTTGACGACAGAACAATGGGCGGTTCGCAAGAATCGCCATATCCTCGTTTCCTCTTCCTGGCACCAGAACCAGAACCAGGATCCTTCGACAGCTCCCACTTCTGTTGCTCTCTTTCACGTTTGCCGTCTTTTTCATTTTCATCGAGCACACACCGCGGAAGACACCACTCCCTCCCAGAAGACGACTTCAACACATCCCGAACCTCATCCAAAGCACCTCTTACAAGCGGCTGCACAATCTCCCCATGAAACCGTGTCTCCTCTTCCGAGAAACGCTGCAAGAGCTTTGCGCGGGGCCGCATCCGTCTTGGGCTCTGTGGAAGACGGGTACGGGGCTCTGAGAGGTGCTGAGGAGATGAGATATTTCTTTATCTGGTATGGTTTTGTGCTCAATTCAGGAGAGTCTTTCGGTTCAGGCAAGTCTCGGCCCTGCGCAGGAGTCCAGTTCTGCGCGAGGGCGATAGAGGTTGGTATGTCCATGAGAAAGACTGTGTTCTGGGTGTTTTGGAAGATCGTTGCTGATACTTTTTTCTTGGGTCTATTCATGGCTGTTCGGTGGTTTTCCTGCCGTGTTTTGAGGTGGGTGAGTGAGGTTAGTTATCAGGGCGGGAATGTGGGAAAATATAGAATCGGGCCGCTCATCCCCCAAACTAGATTGAAGCCATGTGCTAGTCTACCCCGGGTACTCAAGTCATGTAGAAACCGCTTATATTCATGCCAAACTACCAAATCAAATCCAAGATGCACAGTATGGTCATTCAACCCGCTGCTCCATGAAAGATACAGAGAGAAGAACCGTGTCTCCCCCGACAGAGACAGACAGACACTCCAGCCGCAAAACTTTTAGATACCCTCTTTAACAACTCGCCCACCAATCCATCACACACCCCGAATCCAATTCTCGCATCGTATCGCCATCTCCATCGCCACGCATCCTCACCTCCCTCCGCCCAGTCGGAAACGATCCAGCGTCCGCCCAGGCCCCCAAGACGAATGAAATGGCCATTCCTTTCACAACACAGCACAGCAACGCATAGATAGCATAGCCAGGAAGAAACTCCGCTTGATCTCAACAATGGCTGAAAAAAAAGGAGTCAACAGAAAAGATTTATACATGTAGATGGGAAAAAGCATTTCGATTAAAAACGAAAAAAAGATTTCATAGCCAGCCAAGCCATCTTTAACGGAAGAGAGAATATCACCGCCGGCCACGTCGACCGCCGCCACCACCGCTAGACTGGCCCGGCACGGATTGCGCGGGGGAGTAGAATTGCGGTGGATACTGGTACAGCTGGGCTGGGTTGACGGCGGGGCTGAACTGCTGCGGCGGGTAATGGGACTGGCCGAGCATGGGGCTTGGGCTCATCTGGCCGGGCGCAGCGGATAAGGGAGAGGCGGCGTGCTGCACTTGCATGGAGCGCAGGTTCTCGACCGAAGGCGAGCCGCCTGGGTATCCAAACCCAGCAGCGCCCGACATGCCCCCATACATACCGGCTGGGGAAACACCGCGGCCTTGAGAGGCGAGGTAGGCCTGGTACTGCAGCTGTTGTTGGCTGAGAGAGGTCACGGGGTCATGGCCGAAGGCGCCGTTGAGCCCGTTGATGCCATTGTTGGAATATACGTCCAGCGCCGGAGCGTTGGCTTTATCTGCGGAGATAGGCCGCGAGGGGTCGATGTTAGGGGCAAATTGTCCACTGTACTGTCTTTCCAGGGGTTGTTGCGAGGGGTAGTTGGAGGTGCCATGCCGAGAGGATTGGCGATGTTGGGGTTTCTCCATGGTGGACGGATGTCCTCCTGCTCCCTCGCGTCCGTGGTGGTGTTCCCGGCCGCTGCTGCGCGAAGAAAGTCCAACCTCATCCATCAAACGTTTGTAGCCCTGGCTTGGGGAGGCTTTCAGCTTGGTGAGTACCTTGGACACATTCTTGACCACATCAGATCGCATTGACTCGTCGAAGAATGGCGTGGTTAGGACCTTGAAAATCAAAGTAGCTCCCGAGGTTTGGTCGCTGAGGATCTTCTCCAACACTTCATCGCCGGGGCTGAAGAAGAGAGCTTTCAGAATAGTGTCTCGAGCCTCCGCCTCATTGCGTTGGTTGATCACTTTGAGGACGGTAAGGTAGGCGACCTTGTGAGTGCAAAGATGGACAAGGTGAGGAACCAGTCTTGGAGCGAGAACAGTCCGGCGACGCGGGAATGTACAGGTGTCGAGGAACCAGGTCAGAAGCAGGGCCCCGTTGGCATTGGTGGCCAGCTGCACACTGTGAAGGGCGATGGCCGCCGCGAGCGTTCGCTGCTGATCCTTTGTTGCGTGGTGACTCTCCAGGCAAGCTCGCATCGCGCGAGCACCAAAGCGGCCCTGAGAGACCTCCCACATCCGGCTCAGCATGGTCTCAAAAATGAAGTCGTTGTAAGGGGCGCCGAATCGAAGGCAGCACTGTAGCACGTAGTTTCCGTACTGGTCGAGGAAAAGCGGAACGGTATATGGCCGCAGGGCATCAACAATCATCTTGATCTGGGTCGGAGTCTTGCAAACATCGATAATCTTTTGGGCAGCCCAGGTTCCGTTCTTGTGAACACCGATTTCGGCAAGGTGAGGCGCGATGTGGGAGAGCATCTGCTCCTTGGTTGATTCACTGCAGAATTCAAATAGTTTCTGAACCACTGTATTCCCAAGGTAATCGGAGGCTAGTTCTGCGATCTCGGGCAGCATCGAGGCAGCAGTTTCCTCAATCTCTTGGATAGAGCAGGCTCCGTTGTCAATTCGCTTCCGAATATCACGCAGACGAGGCGCGTCAAACATTCTCGTCTGACTCGGTTCAGGAATGGGAGGGATTTCATCCTCGAACGCCTGGAAGGCAATAGCACTCTCAATGGTTGCGGTGATGTTGCGGCAATCGTCCTCGGTAGCACCGAATTCTTGGACAATCGGCACCATCTCCGGCAACAGATCCTCAAGTGCGGCAATCTGAGGCACAACACCTAGAGCTTCACCCTGATCAGCACCATCGCCTGACGCGAAATTGGCCTTGAAATTCGGATCCGGAGTCGGAGAAGACTGGACGCCATTCGCACTGGGTGTGCCAGTCGCTGAAGCGCCAGGAACCTTGGCGTACCCGATCCTCACTGGTCCAGCACCAGGGAAGATCTCCTTGCCATTCAGAAGGGACCTTGCCTGCACGGCGCTCTCAATGCGTTCAAAGTTGACAAACCCACAGTTCTTGTGAGTCAGCACGCGCGTGGACTCGATCTTCCCGTACATGCCAAAGATGGCTTCTAGGGACGTCACAGTGGTCGAAACGGGGATGCTACCGATCCACAACGCTCGCGTTGGCCCATCCTGATTGGCCTCGTCTGCCATCTCGCCGGCAGGCCGCATACCGACGGCAGCACCGGCGCCAAGCTGCATCATCTGAACCGCTTCGGAAAGATCATCATATTCACCATTCTCCGCGATCTGCAGATCCGCAGCGCTGTAGCTGTTATCCAGGCGGGAAGGGGTGGCGAGGTAGTTCCGAATCGAGGAGCGTTGGGGAGGAGCTTCCAAGATTCCAGCCGTCCGAGCCCGAGGCCGGGAGACAGACGCGTGGTTGGCAAAAGCCTGAACGGCAAGGTTGTGCTGATGGATTTGGGCTTGAGTGGCGGCCAGTTGAGCGGCTGTTGCGGCCGCGGACGGTGTGAGGGTACCCGAGGCCTGAGAGTAGCGGCTTTCATACTCCAAATCCTCATCATCCGCGTACTTCTCCTTGGCATTGACCGAATATGATCGGAACCGACTGTTGTTCTTCATCATTGCCAACTCAGCTAAGAGAGGCGGTAGTGAAGAAGCTTGCTGCTGCTGTTGCTGCTGTTGGATCAGCTGTTCCATTGAAGGTCGCGCAAGGGTAGCCCTGGCTTGCTGCGGGGTCTCTGCCAGACCCAGATAATCCAGCGTCTTCACATCAGTGTCCGCAAGTCCGTCTCTGTAGAAAGATGCCTGACTGGGCGAGGAGGGCCCGTCGGAGGACTGGATACTGGTCAAAGTTGTAGCACGATCGCGACCCGTTGACCAGTTCGTGGAGAACAGAGACGGGCCAAAGGGGCTGCCCGATCCCAACAGACTGCTCCTCTGTGGCATCGAGCCCGCTCGAAGACGTGACAGCATAGCTGGATTGGGCGCCGCGGCAGAGCTGGCCACTTTGGAACCCGAATCTATTCCTGAAACCCCCGGCGGGCGGAACGGGCTCGTTGAAGGCGTCGGTCGAGATGTCTGCGACATGAAGGGCTGTTGGGAATCCATCTCATTCAGGGTGCCCATCGGAGGGAATCGAGAAGGGACGGTGCCCGCTCGGGCTCGCCGACCGGTGGGGTTGATGGAGCCATTCGAGCTGGGGATAAGATCAGGGAAGCTATCCTGGCTGGGAGATTCAGGGATATTCTCGCGCAGTGGGGTGGAGTGACCGCTGGTCGGAGGACCCCAAATGCTGGGAGAGACGCCTTCTTGTGCCTGGATTTCGCGGGCTCTGTGGTGGGGGGGCAAAAAAGCAAGCGTCAGCCAAACCCCTTCAATCACGGACAAAATCCTACCGTTTCGAGTATAGACGAGTTCCCAAATCGTGCGAAGGGGATCCAGCCCCTAGTCGTGAGCTACCGATCGATCCTGCAGAGGTGCCAAACGGTGCTTTCGGGGTCCCCGATCCAGCCACGTCGCTGGGCGAACTGCGACCCGTCGAGGGCTGGCTGTAATTGAAACTCATCTGACCTTCAGGCCGCGAGACCGGCAGCATTATTGATTATCAACGGGTTGCCTGTCCAAAAAGGCAGTATTCTATGTTCCTTCCACTCTATGCCTTTCACACAATGGGCGCCAGGGCGAAACTGGCACAGCAAGCCGACTGCTCAAACGTATGATCGCAGGTGTGCGGACGACACCATAGAAGGTCAGGGACGACTTCGAAATCCGGGGGTTCCGTGGATTGGTGAGAAAGGCGGTCGTAGTCTGCAGGTGTGGGAGATGAAGTTAGTGGGTGTTTGAACGAAGGCCGCGGTTGCCACCAGTCCCACACGCCCTCCACGCAGAGTGTAGGAGACCCGAACGATCCGAGAGACGCGGAGATAGGCGCACCAGGATCAACACGAAGGGATCGGACTCGGATGGGGAATCTCACCGGTTCAAACACTGGTGTCTCTCGGGCCAGTGTCTCCCAAGCGGATCAAGGCGAGGATTGGAAAATAACGATGTCGCTTGATGTCGGAATCCAAAGAATCGCAAATGTAAGCAGGAAAGGGAGTGTGAGGCGAGCGGGGATGGGAGTGGATGGTCGTCCGGGAGTGAAGGGATCGATCGAGGTGGCTGGAGCGACGGTTAGTTGGGTCTCCGCGGGTCCGGCAGTAGGCGACGGGTACCAAGGGCGACTTACCGCAAGGACGTCCACCAGAAGAAAAGAAGAAGAAAGAAGAAGGAGGGTTGAAGGGAAGGGAAGAAGGGAGACGGATCGTGAAGAAGGGGGATAGAGATGAAGACGAGGTTGCGTTGGGGCTGGCCGGGATGCCCGAGGCTGATGTGGTTGGTTGGTGGATCAAACAGGGTGTCGGAGAGAGGTACAGTACAGGCCTCAGTGAACGATGAGGATGATTCTGGATTTACTTCTCGTCTAGGTCCTAACGGTACTAATCACGAATGGAATCAACTAGCTGATCGGTCACTACCCCGAGAATCATGGCACCGCCCCGGATCACGCAGCCCATCCACCCAGCCAAGCTTCGCGCCGGCATGCTGATGGGAAACCGAAACAAGGCCCCGCATTCCCTGCGTCGTGAAGGGCCGTTCCTGAGATGGGGTTGTGATGCAATGAATGCAAGGGAGTCGAAGGGATGTCCTTGGTCAGGTACCGTGATGGCGCATTGGAAGGATGATTATGCCGGGGAGGCATGTACTTGAGAGCCCTGGAGTATACCCGAGAGTATACCGAGACTGGTGTCCCCGAGAGGATTGCAGAGCAGTGTTCAAGGGAAGCCACAACATGTTCGTCCGAGTGTCTCTGAGGGTTGGACCAGTTGATGGATGCCTGAGGCAGGAAAGACGGTTGCTGGTGCGCCACACCGCCACACTTGGGTTCCCTGCAGTTCGCGCTCTCACATCTTCCCTGGACAACTTCCCTGCTCCCCCAACACTGCCCGGATTCGGATCCTGCATGCTCCTGTTGAGACGTATCCCACGCCGCCATCTCAACAAAGCTTCCCTCATTCCCCTCGCATAAGCCCTTTTTCATCTCGCGTCCCGACCCGATCTCCACGACAGACACCTCCAGCATGACAGACACCATGGACGAGGATCCCTCCTCAGGTGTCCTGTCCTCCTCCGAGGAAGAGGAGCCGATCGAATCCCTCGTCCGTGGTCGCGCGAAACGAAGCACCGCCGGACTACACATGTCGGCCCTCCTCGAAGCCGCCGCGGACGACGACCTGTCACTCCTATTCGAGGAGGTGGAAGATGACAACGAGTTTGCGATGGAAGCCGGGCCCGAAGCGGCCGAGAAGGAAGACGACATGCTGGACTCATCCTCCGATGATGACGACGACCAAGGGCCGGACGCGAGAAACGACTACGAAGGAGAAGAGCAGCTGCGGAAGGAAGAGCGCAAGAAGCGCAAGGCTCAGAACAACCTCCGGTTCCAGACCTTGCGCAAACGCGTCAAAATTGATCCCACCGCCATCTCCTCAATGCCTGCTCCTCCGCCTCGCCCGAAGAAGAAATCTGAACGCATCTCGTGGATCCCGACGCCTGAAGACGGGCCTACGCGGTCATCGTCGCGCAGACAGACGATGGTTAACAAGGAACTCACGCATGCGCGTCTGAAGGACAGTCAGGAGAAGCGGGTTCGGATTATTGCGACGATGAAGGAAGCGGAAAAGCGCAAGGCCCATCTAAAGCCCAAGGAAATGACGCAGGAAGATCATCTGGTCGAGGCGGCGAGGATAGAGCGGCTGAATAGCAAGTCCGTCAATCGATGGGAGGAGGCAGAGAGGAGAAAGGCGGATGAACGACGGCTGAAGATCGAAGCACTCCAAAACCGTCGTCTGGATGGACCCGTCATTTCATACTGGAGTGGTCTGGCGACCTGGGTGAATGGCCGTCTCACCCGTGTGGGTAAAGTAGACGTGAAGCCCAAGCCCAGCAAGGAGGAGCTGGCTTTGAAGAAGGCAAAGAAGTTGGAGAAGGAGAGGGAGGAAATGGAGCGGGAAGAGAAAGCTGCTGCGGAACTGCGAGCGAAAGAGAGCGCTGCAAATACAGCAGCATTACAACCACAGCCGGAAAGCTCTGCAGCTTCAATATCCGGTACAGCTTCGATATTACCGGAAACAACACCTCTTGACCAGCCTGCAGATACAGCAGCCCCTCCCACAGCAGCCCCTCCGCCGCCTGTGGAAGTACCTGCCAGTAAGCCGCATGAGGAGCAATCTACGGAAGACCAGGCTGCTACAGCACCTCTGGTGGAGGAAGAAAAAGGCGAACAAGTGGACAAAGAGACCCCGACACCCACCACCGAACCCTCAGCGCGGAAGCTAGAACCTGATGTTGAGACTCCGGTTCCTCGTGAGCCGTCGGCATCTAGTCCAAAGTCCACAATGCCGGAACCATCCTCCATCGAGAATGCGGAAGCCATGGACGTTGACCCAAGCACGGCCCCGACGGATGCCATCAAGGACACCGTTGAGTCACAAGCACCGACGACGACGGCCGAGGAATCCAAATCCAAAGCAGACGAATTGGGCACGATCACCCCAGACAACGGGGTACCGAACGCGGATGCACCTGCAACCCTCGCACCTTGGGAATCGGCTGATGCCATCCCCCTTGAGAAAGCTGCCATCCAAGAACCTCTCTCTACCGATGGCGTGAACGGCACTCCCTTGCAACCTGCGATCCCGCCAGCGCCGCCCGTGGTCGAGCATACCGGGCGCACACTCACCATCCTCGAGAATTTTGACGACAGAACCGCGCACAGCAAGCAATACAACATCTACTTCAACGCCAAGAAGCCACCGCGGCTGACCAGTATGTCGCCACCGTTCTTTGTCGCTTGAATCACTGCTAATGATGTTCTACAGAAATCTCGTCATCGCTATGCGTCATCACCTCACTCCCGTCGCGCTACCGGGACCCGGAGACCTCGCTGCCTTACGCCAATTCGTACGCGTATAGCCAGATCCGCCGCATGCTGTCGCAGGGGCATATTTGGAGTGCGATGCTGGGGTGTTTCGTGGGCCCGGCGGGCGTTGCTGCCCGCGGCGTCCCTGAGCGGTTTTTAGGCGACGGGACGGGCACTGGGACGGGCACGACAGTTCCCGACGATGGCGCGTCGGTGGAGCCGTCGTGATTGTTCTTCACGTCAATAGATACCCAATGTTTGAGATTCTTCTATTCCATTCGACGACCATCCGAATAACCAACGTCATAAAAAAAACTCTGTAGCCTGACATGTCATCGACCGGGTGTAGACCCAAAATAAATATCCTCTCACGTCTGCACATCATCCTGGAACCCCGGGTCGGGGCCGGCGGTTGCCCTGGGTAGCTCGGCGGAAGGCGTCGGGAGGTTAAAAAAAGAATTCGAGGACCGTCGCTAGAGCCCTGACGAACAACACGATTTGGTCGTGAATCATAACCACCACCCTGTTCGACCGGAGCCGTTCCATCCCCTCTTCCACAATCCTCGTCTTATTCGTGATCCTCCAGCCTAATTCCGAGCATAATCATCCTGGCGGAGATCGCCAGAGTCCAGACTCTTCATGTCGGAACTAGCCTCGACGTGTCAGGGATGTGTCATGGCCCAGCAGCCGGATGGGGACGTGGGACCTGGTCCACTTTTCGCAGAACCATTTTCGTGCTCCGGGCCCGTCACGCCATTCGACAGGATGGCGTCAGGGTCGAAGCACGCCGGTTCTAGACCTGGGTAGCAGTGGTGGGGTGGTGCTCACCGCCCCAAAATAGAATCGCGAGACAATGGCTTCTCCCGATGCGGGTCTAGACTTGCTCGCTGCTTTATAACTATTCTGTTACCACCATTAGTTGTCACTCACTCACACACACCCCGTCTTGGTTCTCCGCCATCACCTCTGAACAAGCACTGTGGAAGAGGGAACAACCACCACCCTTCCTGACCTAGGTTCGTCCCTCTTATCTCTTGTTATCTCCTCCACTCAGCGTCCACGATAACCGCGTGCCTTCCTTCCTGTCTTACCCGACTGACTCTTATCTCCAGCATTCTTCCTTCCAGCTACATATTCTCCTGCACTGGCCCGATCATTCTGTTTCAGACCATCCATCACCTAAGGGGTCCTCGTGCTCCACAACCCGGCGCAAGGTACTCACGATAAGAGATACAAAGAGCGAGGCATTTGTCCACCTCCACTCCGGCGTCACCGCCAGACCAAAGGAAAAATGACTCAATCAGCTGCTCCTTCTCATCACCGCCGCTCCCCTTCCTCTTCCCATGCCATTGCCTCCAAGAACAAGTCCTCCCGCCCGGCATTGCATCGCAGAGGTACCTCCGCCCTCAACCCATCCATCTCCAAGCTGGGCGCTGGGCACGCAAGGGGAGCGAGCAAGTCAGAAGACATCCCCGAGTTTGATATGGCCGCCAGCTTTCTGAACTTCTGGTAAGTCCTTTTCCTTTACTTTTTCTTTTCTTATCTATGCAAGGGCAACATGCCATGCCGTCTGCCGTCATGGAGACACACACCAGGATTCGGGGCCTAACTCTATCGGCAGTGCCATGTGCGAGAAGCAGATTACCGTGCCGAACAACGCTCTGCTGTACTGCAGTGAAAGGTATGTTTATCTATTATATATTGCCGGGCCCATTATTCGTGTCCCAAAGCTCATTTCTTTCCTCAGCTGCCGCCGCAAGGACTCTTGCAAGCCACTGTCTGCCTCGTGGCCCTCCATGTCTCCCACTTCCACTTCCACTTACACTACCACACCTCCCACCTCTCCCCCTCTGTCTCCTCGCACCATCGTCGCCCCCATGACTCCCACCCGAGTCCAGAGCGTGCCCTCCATCCGGATACCCAGTGACCTGCACGACAGCCGCACAGATCTCGACCCAACCGAGTGGAAGCCCGTAATAACGGCCACCCACGGCCGCGGCCACAGCACGTCGTCATCGGCGAGCCTCGCCTCCTCCGATGCCTGGAACTACCTCTCCCAGTTCCACGGCGGCAACGAAGCAATGCTAGCCCGCCGCCCCAGCTCCAACCGCAGCACCACCAGCCTGCCCGCTCTGGTCGGCGGCGCGGGTGCGGGCTACATGCACACGCCTGCTACCCCGTCCACGGTGGCATCGTCATTTAGCAGCACCGCCTCGGACGATCTGGGCTCCATGTATGGGTCGGCGCTGGCCATGCAGCAGCGCCCCCTCCCGCCGCGCCATAACCCGTGCTTCTCGGGCGGTGCCACTGCCACCAAGGGTGTTGAGCTCGTCGTGCCCCATATCGCAGTCGTCTCGGCGAACGGATCCATCTCCAGTCCGAACGGGTCTCTCTTCCACGGCTCTGATAGTACCGTCTGGGAAGACGGGCCTTGCGAGAAGACTTCGTCCATGTCGGCGCCTATCACCATGAAGCGGGCCAGTCGTGCTTGAGTTGGACCGACTCGTGGTCCCAGAACCTACTCTAGCGTGCCGCTTTTCTTTCTTTCTTTCGGACATGCTGTCCGATGTATGCCCCTTACTACCATTACCCCTCAAGAGCGGAGGGAGATTCATGACACGATGTGATGTGACGGATTGACGGATTGCTTTGTTGTGGCCCTGTCTTTTCTCAGTTTTCTTATGGAATAGATTTATAATGCTTCACTCTTTGGTTCGGTCCTTTGCCTCTCGGTTTCGTGCCGAGGGTCATGGGTTGAATTATTTTTATATCTGGTTTTCGATCGGAGGATGTGCAGATATATTAAGGTATTGAAACGTCCACTGGTAGTAGTTTGAAAGGGAAGAAGGATATTCCGACTTCACTATAGAAAACCACACTGGAGCTCCACTCTACAATATATATTTCTATTCTCGTCACCCATCCATCCCCTCTAAACAAAACAACATATACACACCACACATTATATACATAATGAGTACACCCCTCCCCGACCCGCCAATAACAAAAACACCAACAAGACACCCAACAACCTGCCTCGCCGTCTCCACTCCCCTCCTCTCCACACTCCGACGAATCCTGCCCCAAAAACCTCTTTTCACCCTCTCAATCGGCAGCGGAGCAGGCCTCCTTGAAGCACTCTTAGCACAGCATGACCATGACCATGACCTCTCCGCAACGATTGCAGTGGAAGGGGTTGAGGTGGGCTCCGCTGTGAATCGGTATATACCGGAGCAGGATATGCACGTTGTTCCTGGCGCGTGGGCTGTTTCGGGTAGGGCGTTGGCTGCGGCGGCTTGGTTGTTTGTTTATCCTAGGGATGTGGGGTTGGTGGCGAGGTATTTGAATATCAGTCGGGGGAGGGATGGGGAGAGGGATCTGGAGAGTGGAAGTGGAGGTGGAGGCCGAGGTGAAGGTGAGAATGAAGGCAACGATCCAGCTGTGAATGTGCAATTGGTTGTCTGGCTTGGTCCGAGGGTCGACTGGCCAGATTACGAGAATGTTTTTACGAAGTCACTATTCTCGGAGTTGGCCTTTTTGGGGGAGGCAGAAGGGCTGGCGCCGTATGAAGTTGGGGTTGTTGCGAGGAGACGCGTGTCCTGACTGTTGATGATGATGATGATGATGATGATGATTATTGTACTTTTATGTTGTCGCTTCTTATACCCATTTGATTCTCATCGCGGTTGATATAGAGAGAGAGAGAGAGCTAGAGAGCTATAGCCAAATAACACTTTGCATGAGTACTTAATTAACCCTAGAGACAAAACCCAAACCACACAGAACCAATCCAGACAGATACGCACATTCTAACCCTAATGACACAAGAACAAAAGCCACTTCACGACTCAAAAGTCATCCGTAAAGCAGCAAACCCAGCATCCCTCCTCCTCCTTGAACACCGCCTTGGACTATGTAACAAGGCCAGTCAGCATCACATCATATACACGCAGACAACACCCTTGCCTTTCCCTCCTCCGCCCCAAAAAAGACGGCAACAGGAGAAAGAGACGGGAAAGAGAAGAGAAGAAACTCACATAAGGCTGCCCACACGGCGCCTCCTCTTGCGTCGCATAACAACCCCCCAAACAGAACGAGTTACCCTCATCCTTCCCGCTCGGCCGGCCGATGACAGTTGGCGCATCGACGGCGTCGATGGCCTCGTCGAAGCTATCCGGCATCTCGAACTGCGCGTGGATGTGCGTGGCGAGGAGGGAGGCTGTTAGGAGGAGAAGGCTGGAGAATTGCATTTTGGATGTCTTGGTACCACTGCTTTGGTCGGTTTGGGCTTGGGTGAGGTGGGTATATGGGTTTGGTTATGTTTGGATTGGAGACACTCGGTAGAGATGTATTGGACTCGAGTTGCTGTTGTTGATAAATAATTATTTCCTTGAGGTTGATTTTCTGTTTTCTAGTTTGTAGATTAACTCGAGCAAGGGGCGCGTTTGGCATTGTTGGCAAGTTGCGCGTGTGCGTGTGGAATGTGGGTGGTGCTTGTGGGGTGGGTAGTGCATATTAATCTTCTTCGTATGTATCTACCCATTTTGTATCCGAGAGATATAGGAAGAAGTACATGGAAGACTCAGTTATACTTGGAGACTTGTTGTATTCAGCAAAACTGTCTTGGTTAGTCCTCAATATCCTAGTATGTTCTGAACACTTTTCATACTTGTATCCCTTTTGGCGATCATCGACATAGTACGTACCCTAGAAGAGTCGTTGTTTTTGTTCCTGCATACCATACCAAGTCCAGTGTGGTTACATTAAGCTTGGGGACAGCGCAACTATGGCCGTGATATCATCGGCGAGCTCTTTCATCACTAACTACAAGTACCTAGCTTACGGGGCCAGGAAGGACTGTCTGTAGCCCCTTCTATTGTACAATAGATCTGCATTATATTTGACTATCAAAACATATCTTGAATGTCTTCGTCCCACGAGTTCTTTGAAATGTGCTAATGATTGTACTAGTACTAGTATTCTCCTACGGTACGGTGTAGTTAGTAGTTAGTAGTTCCCGACCCGAAATCAAATTGTCCCCGCAGACCCCAGGCTAACACAGTGTAACACTGTATAACACAACTAGCAGACTCAAGAAACAGCACATGGGGTTCGCGGGTGTGACCACCGGCCATATGAACCACGCTCTGGCAGATTCTCGATTAGCCAATAGAACAGCCCCTGAACAATCGGATTGTACCACGGCACGGGTTCCCGAAACCTGGGATACCCCGTGGCGGGTGACAGTATTACCTACACACGCGTCAGTGTCCAACTCAAAAGCAATTAGCTATTAAGCTGGTATTTGGTAGCTAGTGGCCTGCTGTCCCGGATAATAATTCCGTCTATGGACCGTCGCCACAGTGTCCCTTAACTCGCATCCCGATATCAGTCAAATCTGTAATAGTAAGTGAAGAAAGTAGTACGGAGTACCTAAATAAATGGACCGCCTGCGAACCAAGACGCGCCGGGTGATTCTCCGCTCTGAAACGGTTCCTCTGCACTGCCTGTGCTAGATAATAAGCCCTCGAAGCCCTGTGCCGGGCACAGAACGAACAGGTCACGGCCATAGTGGCGTCTTGCTTCCACCTCGAGAATCGTGACTCAGCATTATTGAATGACCGAGATGTACTCTCGGTCGTTCTAGACTTACGGCAACTCCAAGTCCCGCAAGGTTAGATCAGGGAAGTGTCGGGGTCAACTCGATTAGCCACCTCGCGAGCAACGGGCATTATTTTTCTTGCCCCCGAATATATAAGCTTCGTAAATCACGTAGACAAAACACAAATCGACCAGGCGAAGAAGGAACTGGTGGTTCGGCCGGCCGGTGGAGCCATGTCCCCAGTGACTTCGCCAGGAACCCTTTTCCAGGTCACTTGTTGCCTCCAATTGGCGCGACCTTCATCAAGGGTAAAGCTTTCCTTCCTGTCTTGGCCATCTCCCCTTCACTTAGCAACCACGCTGGAGAAGGCGGCCATTTGGTTTCTGGAGCAGAAAAATGGCTGCTCCCAACAATGCCCACAACAGAGTTCGCAACTGAAAATCGAAAGCGTTCGAAGCGAACTGAGAAGGACAGGGCGCTCTTGGGCACTGCTCGTCTTGGGAGAAGATATTGGGCAAGGCCCTGACTGACCATCTGAGGACACGCACCCTGCCGACCGTGCTGTGCATCTCCACTGACGGATCTGGATGAATGATCCCCGTAGCCACTGAGGACGACAGGGACTGATGCCAAAGACCAAAAACCGGACAGCAAAGGGTGCCACAACTGACCACCCTGAAAAATGCCCGGCTGACCGTGTTGTGCATCTCGATAGACAGACCCGGAAACCCCAATTCATCCCAGTAGCCTCTGATGGCGATTGAGACTGATGGCGGAGACTGACGCCAAAGACCAGAAACCGGACACCAAAGGGGGTCACAACTGACCACCCTGAGACAGAGCCTGCTGACCGCGTTGTGCATCTCGATAGACAGGCCCAGAAAACCTGATCTCATCCTAGTAGCCTCTGAAGGCGACTGAGACTGACGCCAGAGACCGGAACCCGGGCGCGACTCATGACACTCATTACCTCACACTTCCCAGAGAACACCGAGCACACCGAGCACACCGAGCAGGCCGCCTTCCTGACAGACGCAGATGAGAAACCCACCACCTCGGACACAACACGTTCATGGAACGACCGATGTGGCCATGGTTGAACGTGGACCATCATCGACCAGCGGCCGTTCAGCACATCCATCTCGAATCGTCGAGAATGTCGGAGCGTGCATTCGCTGGGAAGGCTTGCGGGACGCAGATACCTTTGAGCCTAACCCGCACATGGTCAGCAAGGGTGACTGGCGACATCAAGACCCAAGGCCAGCGAAGAAGTCGTATTGCACGAGAACAACAACCGAGTGATCGATTTCAAACCGTTGGGACAACCGACGGCAATCTTCTCGGAGAGGCAAGCGAGGCCGATGCTGTTTAGCTGCGGAATACTTCATGGTCCGCGCAGGCACAGGATCACTTGTGGGATTGAACGCAGCACAAGGGCATTTCGCGTCCAGCAAGAGCTTGGACAGCAGCCCAAGCAGGAAACCATGGACGATGAGCCAAGTCGAAACCGAACTGTTGCTGCTCTAGATGTGAAATGACAAGGGAATACCCGGAGGCAGAGAAAAGGACGAGGAAGAACCGAACAGAAATGCCAACGGCAGGTCCTTCTCGTTTCACATCTGAAGCAGTAACAATTTGTTTTCATGTCTCATCGCCATCGTCACTCCACCTTCTCCGCTTGTTATCTTGCAAGCTGTACCACCGCCGAGAAGCCCTGGCACCGCACCGCGTCTATACTGTGGAAAGAATCGAGCGCATGGCTGCCCTGCGTGTCGTGACTTTTGAGGCGGTCTCGCGGTCCATCATCTGCAATGCGCAAGTTGTTCAGCAAAATAGCACGCGCTGAGCCCAATGTCTTCGATTGTGGGAGGTTGGGCACGACGGTTTCGCACGGGGTATTCCTGTCGCGAGATGCCAGCTGCCTCCGCGCCCTGTATTCGCCACAAATTGAGTTGGCACACGCAGAAGTTGCTCTGGCGCTGTCAAGATCCCGCGCGGCCCCAGCACCGGGCCGACGAGTCTCATCGTCCGGCCCAAGGGCATGCGCTGTGTGTCTGTTCTCGGTCTGCGCGGGGAGGTTGGAATCGTCGGGCTGCGCTTTTCTCGGTTGTTTGGCTCGAAGGGATCAGGATCGGTCTGGACTAAGGAGGGCGCGAGTCAGCATGCGATGTCCTGAGAAAGAGAGAGACTGACAGAAAGATTCTTACGGCCGGCCTATTAACACCATGGGTTTCTTTCACCACCGGCGAGGCAGCTGCGCGAAGCAGGCTTCGTCCATTGATTTTGGCCATTTGTGAGCATTTTCGAGGCCACTTTCCATCGCCGGTGTGGTGCAATGCCTCAGTGACACGGGGGCAGAGAGAGAGAGAGAGAGAAAGAGAGAGAGAAAGAGAGAGAGAAAGAGAGAGAGAAAGAGAGAGAGAGAAGAGAGAGAGAAAGAGTAGTACCCACGAGGCTCTCCCTTTCGGCCTCGTCGCCATCAGTATGCAGCAAGTGCTGAACAGCAGAGCTTCTTTTTTGGTATTCTTTTCCATCGACATCGATTCTTGCTGCTCCCTCCCTTTCGAGACAGCTGTTCTGCCTGGATGCAGGTCGTGACCAGCGTGGTGCAATACCCGACTGTTTGCTCCAGCGCGTCGGCCATCTCGTCTCCGGATCGGAAGGGAACACTTGGTGCTGTTTTCGTTCGTTCTCGATAGATGATCTTTGAATTCAGGTCCTGCAGCTGCACCGATTCGATTTCGTCATGGGTAGAGTCACAGGGGTCGCTGGGCAGCCCAAGCAGACCGAGCGCAACGAGGGCTGAATCAGGTAGTCCGACATGGTGGATTGGCAATGGTAACAAGCAATAAAGTAAACGTTCAGGCCACCAAACCAAGATCGACTGGTGGTTTCCCCAGATTCACACACTAATAATATCGTCTTCTTTCCTCTGGGGTTCTTTTGTTCTCTGCGTGCTGCGGAGACCAAACCCACCCCCGTTATTGGCCGGCATTTTCTTCCGCACCCGAATGGGTGAAGCATCCAAGTCCAGTTGGTCCACCAGCGATGCACCTAACCCGCGGGGCATTCTTTCATAGTCTTGGAGATACATCATCGGCTACGTGTGGCAACAGTGGTGTTATCATTCGAACGGAACTCGACTCGGTTCCGACGGCATCCTTTGTTTTGATCTTCCTTATCATCTACTTGGATTCTTGCTACTCGGGATCCTTCCCTACTCTTAATCTCGAGACCAGTGCGAAAGAGAGTCAGTATCCGGCTGTTGAGCGTCTCACAACTGTATGGCCGACCGCTCTGTTTCCTCATCTGCTGCCCTTCTGCTTTGCCACCCACACACCCTGTTCCCCCTGTCTTTGGAGCATTTGGAAACCCTAGGACCTGTCCTAGTTCATGTTCTGATCTCCCACAATCATGCCGACAGGTAGCCCTTCCCTCGTCCTCCCTGCTGACCATGCAGGGCTCTAGTCAGACGCAGGAGCCCCGGTCAAGCCTCTTCCACGCCGTACCACCTCGTCTCCAGTTCCCGTGGTCTTTTAGCTGCGGGTTCCGACCTCAGGCCGGCCTCAACAGACGATAGACAGGATGTCCTCCAGCGCCCCAACCACCGATCCTTCTGCCGGCCAAGCACGCTCCTCCTCGGCGAAGGACAGCGCAGCAGCAGCACCACCACCAACGCCCCAACACGGATCACGGTAGGTACCAGTTTGCTTCCATTGAGGGCGTCCACGTCCTCTAGACACCACTCACCGTGCAAGTGATTCTCATTGCGAATACAGCGACGATGCCCCGACCCACGAACACCGCCAGGATCCGGCGGACGGTAACCAGGAGGTCCATTATTACCGCGGATTCCTCGAGCGGCTGCTGGACCTCGTCACCCACGGGGACGAGCAGGCCGTCAGCCGCATGATTTCTGTCATTCGCTCTGGTGCTTCGCACGACGCCATCCTCGTCACCCTTGCCGAACTAACTGGCGAATCAAACCAGCCGGACAGCGAGATCGGAGGGTAATCTTTCCTCCTTTCAACCCGACTTTATCGCGATCATTGGAGACTCAGAATTCTCTCTTCTCACAGTAGGAAAAGAATAAGAAGAAAAAAAAAAAGGTGAAGATGATCGAATGCTTCGCAAGAGGCACACCGCACATTCTGATTGATTTCCTTTTTGGTTCGACCCATGTGTGTGTGTTCTGCCCTTGTTTGGTGGACGTTCAAGTTGGCTTGAGATGAGAAGAGAGAAGATCAGATCGAATTGAAAATTGCGTTGCACATCGTTTGATATCGCGTTATGTTGTCATTATCTCGTTTGTCATTTTGCCGTGCCCTATCTTCTACCTACCGAATTTCGGGACGGAGTTTCAGCTTCGTCAATCTGCGCCTTTGTCTGTATCTGTTTTGCCTTCGTGTATCTTTGGGCTGGGCTGCTCGCTTGGGGTGCAAGTCCGGTTGCTGTTGAAGTCGTGTGCTGGCCGGCCACGGTCATAGCGGATGGTATCGACGCTGTCTGTTGAGTGGGCTAGACGGGGCTTCGGTCTGGCTGATCCGGTACTTGTTGGACGGAGTCCGTGGGGATTTCCTGTTGTTCTTTGTTAATTCGCCCTGTCTGGTCTGGTAGCTATGTTGGAGTGTCAGGGCTTGCCTTGTCCCGTCACCCTTCCTCTGGGTTGACTCGTCTCCGTGGAGCGCAATGGACTGGCCATATTGCTCCTATTCGCTCCCGCAAAAGAAAACAAACCCGAAAAGAAAATAAAAAGCCGACAGACGGGATGGGCTCTAAAGATCCTGGCTCTGATCCCTGCAGGCACGGAATAAATGGTCCGCTGTTCCCACAGACGGATTCTATCTCCGTGACCACTTACTCCAACACCACCGCCTGCCTTATTTCTTGCAGGGTCTGCATCTGCACACTTCCCTCTCATTCCCACTGCTCGTGTCCTCCACCCCAAGCGGCTGCATTTGTATTTGCTCTGTCCCGACTGAGAGACGAGACTAGGTGTCATCGTAGGCGTCGTGACCGAAGAAACGAACCTGCTGAACTCGCCCGTTCCTGGATCCACCGCCCCCTACATCCTCTACTCTGCTTTGCTCTACCAAACTCCACGACTTGATCATTCGCACCTGGATACGCCTGGGGAGTTGCTTGCCCTAACGGGTTACCAACACCCCGTCCACGATGTGAAATCCTCTACTCCACTGCCTTCCCCGAGCGCGAAAGAGACAATCAAGCCCAAAGCCGCTACTAGCTAGTGCAGACCAGGGACCGGGTAGAGGAAGCAGTGCGTCTATACTGGAGAATCTGTACCACACTCCCCCATTGACTTGACCCTGGCCCTCCCGCCAGGGAAAAGGAAACTGGTGCAGGTCGTGTTTCGAATCTGCCTGCCAGAGTCCCTCCTAGTTACCGACATCGTACCCCCAGACGGATAGTTAGCTCCGTGTATGTTCTTGCGGCTTTATTGTGGAATCGTACTTGCTGCACTGTATCCCCAGGAATCTGCGTAGATTAGTACCTATATCTATCTTCTGGAAACGATTGTGGCAGCACACCACAACACCAAGTCTTCATAGGTCCTGAACACGAGGCCTTCAGGACCCGTCACACATTTGATCGAGACATTACTTCGAATGAACGGGAGTTCCAAAAGTCTGAAACCCTCTACCTACCGCCTAAGCGGATAACCGGTTTCAGACTTTTGGGACACCACTGTAGGTGCCCAGTGGCGAGAGCCGATCCGTTCCTCTGTCAAGAAAGAAGAGCAATGAAGAACCAGGGAGCTTTTTTTATGAATTGACTTGGGGCGAATACTGTAGATGTAGAACTTGATCTCTACCATGACATGACTCGAATCGAGTTTCCTCTTTTTGCCCACTGCCATTGCCTATGCACAAAATACCTAATCTACCCACTTCTCTACCTCTGCCACACCACCTAACTTGCCATGTGCCGATTGCTCACGGAGTGCAGCGGCCCGTGTACCGCGGGTACAGCGAGCAGTCGCGCACGGTGTGGCGCGCGCACAGCCATGCCAGGAAGCGCTCCAGGCCCAGACCATAGCCGCCGTGGGGGGAGGTGCCGTACCTGTAGAAGAGAAACATTAGTATACGAAAAAACAAAAGGAACGGAAAGCAAAGGGAAGGGAAGGGTCGACTCACTTCCGCTGGTCAGTGTACCAGTAGTATGGCTTCGGATCCATGCCCTCGTGCTTGTAGGCATTCATCAACTCGTCCCAGTCGTCCATCCTCATACTTCCACCCACAATCTCGCCGACGCCGGGCATCAGGACATCAACACTCTCGGTCACGCGGCGGTCCGCCTCATCCTTCTTCATGTAGAAGGCCTTGATGTCCGCGGGGAAGTGCGTCAGGAAGATAGGCTGGTTGATAATATCGGTCATCTTGCGCTCCGCGGCTTCGGCGATATCATCACCAAACGTATGCGGCTGGCCTTCTTCATTGGGGATATCGTGCTCGCGCAGCCAGTCGATCGCATCGGAGTACTTCATGCGCTTGAAGGGGCGCGAGGGGGGCTTGAAGTCGGGGTTGAGGGTCTCGATGTAGCGCTTGATTTCGGGCTCGGCGAGAGTCAGATCGATAACGCGACAGATCACCGCTTCCAGGTGGTCGAGGAGGTCCGTGAAGGTGATGAAGTCCAGCTCGGCTTCGATGTGCGTGTATTCCGACAGGTGGCGGCGGGTGAGCGACTTCTCGGCCCGGAAGGACGGGCATACGCAGAAGACGTCGCCCATGGAGGGGAGGCACGTCTCCAGGTACAGCTGCGACGACTGCGTCAGGTAGGCGTTCTCGCCGTAGTAGTTAAACCCAAAGAGCGTGCTGCCGCCCTCGACCTGCGTCTGCACCATCGCCGGCGGCGTCACTTCCAACATGCGGTTCTCCTCGAAGGCCTTGCGGAAGGCGCGGAGCGTCGCGGCGCGCACCTTCATCACGGACGAGGACATCTCGCCGCGGAGGACCAGGTGGCGGTTGTCGTACAGCGTCTGCGGGTCGGCGTCCGGCGCCACGCGCGTGGTAATGGCCTCCTTGTCGCCCGCCGCGCGGCCGATGATCGTGAAGAAGTCCGCGTGCAGCTCGCGGTTGTTGGGGGCGTGCTGCTTCGGCGGGACCGCGCGCATCTCGCCGTGGATGGACATCGAGGTCTCGAGGGTGAGGGTCATGATATCGAAGGTCTTGACCAGGTCCCCCGTGAGGACACATTGAAGGTATCCGTATCCGTCCGCGAGGGTGATGAAGACGACATCCTTCTGAGCGCGCATGCGGTGCACACGACCCAACACCCGCACCCGGGTGCCGGGGGTATCGGACTCGGGGGCGCGCAGCTGGACGACAGCGGGGTCGGTGACGTCGAGACGAATGCGCACCGGCGAGGGTAGCGACGCATCCTCCTTGATAACGACCTTCTTCGCCTCCTCGAGCACCTTGTGGCGCTTGTCGGCCTCGGCCTTCTCGCGGATCGCCAATTCTTGCTCCTTGGCGGCCTTCTTCTTGCGCTGCTCCCACAGGTTGGTGGCCTTCTTCACGGCGGACTTGGTGGCGGGCTTCCACTCCAGCTTGGCGGCCGGGTCGACATCCTCGCCGGCCGCGTCGGTCTGCGACTTGCGGGTGAGGTACTGGATGCCCTCGGTGGTTGGGGCGTGCTGCACGAAGGCGTGCACCAGGGTCTTGTAGGGGGCGGACTCGGAGCCAGTGGCGGCAGCATCATCCCTGCCGACGTCTTCGTCGATGTAGATGATAGGAGCAGCCATAGTGTGTGCGTGCTCTATACGGACTGGAGGGACACTCTGCGGGAAGAAAAATGGCGGTTAGCAGGGCCACTCCGTGAGTCACACACACGCGAATGGAAAAGTCCGGGCCAGACAAGTACGCACCAGCAAGCAATAGTCCGGAATAGTCGGGCCGCGGCACTCTTATCGCCCAATTGCAAATGGGCCAACGCAAGGAGGGAAGCGCACAGTAGTGTGGAGGGGAAAGTCAATGAAATTTCGCCGATAAGTGATTCCCCACGTGGGTGCCTGAGGCAGCAGTGGTTCCTGAGGCAGCCCCAGTATATCGGACCATCTTGTCTAGAGCCCTACATTGGATATGTGATGCAAGCTAGGGGACCAGGGGCAAATCAGGTAGGTATGGTGCCCAATCCTATCGGGGGAAAGCTCACTTATGAGCCGGGGAGATGTCGATCTAATTCAAGTTCAACCTACGGTGTTGTCCTAATCGCGGCAATGCTACTCGGTTGGCAGAGAGTAGAGAATGGTCCCTAGTATTGCTTGTTCGGGATATCCACCTGTACCTGAGACTTCTAAAGAGTTACTTACCAGGCTCCTCCCCTCGAGTCCTTCACTGCACTATTCGCTCGCCCGTCAGTCATCTACGAGTATCTCGGGCGGATGGCCGGCCGGCCCACTTCCCGTTCGGAATCAGTGAGCCCATGGCAAATTGGTCGGGCGTCAGAGACTGTCTTCACCGATCCGCTGAGGGTTACAATGTCGGGGTGGGATGTCAGGAAACGGTTGGCCGGGCTCAGGTCGGGTGGTGTTCGCGTCGAGCGGAAGCAGGGATTCAGGATTCAGCCTCATTCGGCCCGACGGAGGACAGGAGACCCACGAGCAAGACATTATTTCGGGTAGATTGGGATCACCTATATCGGTCATGAACAGGGCATGCCAGGGGCAGGGGCGGGCTGGGGATTATTGGTGTGGGGGCCTGAGCCAGAGATGACGGAGCCATGGAACAGGCGGAGGGAAGCAGAACACGAGAAGGGAACCATCGTTGCAAGAGCAGAGGACGAGTCAGGAGTAAAGACATCATAACATCGTCGATTGCAGTCAATCCTTCTCGACCAACAGCCTCCTCGCCCGCAGAGAGCAGACACTAGACGCTTAGGGCACAACGGTCACCTGCGGCAACCTGCGAACACCTCCAAGTTGGGTTTAGTCGCGCCCTCCTTTTCCCGCTCGAATTCTCCCCCTTTTACATACCTTGCCTGGATTCACTTCCTTGCCGTTCATTCTTTACTTCGTTCTTCTTCTTTCTCTTCCTGTCGCTCTCTACACTTCCCTTTTTTTCCCTGCCTCCCCTTTTTTGTTTTCTCTTTCTTTGGACTGGGGTGGTCATCCTCTGCTGCTGCCACTTATCCCTTTTCAGTTAATTCATTCTGGCCCTAGTCACTCACTCTCTTTGTTTCTCCCCCACGAGCTTGGCCTGTGGTCTCTTCCATGGCATCGCTCCCTCTCGCGGCCCTTATATAACCACGGCATTCTCCATCCAACCGGGAAAGAAAAGTTGCAGGTTGGTCCCGATCTCATGCCGCGCTAAAGCTGCACATTCCAATTGACTCTTGCCGCTCACCTAGACACGTCGCTGTTTGGAGCTTTCCCTTCTTTCGCACTCACTCCCTTTTCTCCTGAATGGTGATCCGTCCCGCCATCCTTCCCTCCCTCCCTCAACATCCATCAGGATCGGCCTAGACAACGCGTGCGTTCGGTCCGGCCCTTCTCCAGGGACGCTTCTCGTGACCCTTCGACCTCGCCATGCAAGCGTCGGATGCGTCTAACAACTCACGCCTGGTTCCCCCCAAATACGGTCTGAACGGCGACTACAACAACAATAACAACCACTCCGCCCCGAGCTTCTCGGACCGCAACGCTCGTCGAGCTAATATCCCCGCTATAAATACCGCTGCAGCAGGTCAGCCATCCGATATGGCTTCTGGTGCCGCGTTTGATATGAACTTCACTCCACTTCTCCCTTCCCAGCTGCTGGTGGGCAGCCCCTTCCAGCCCGGGACCCCATCCGCCTTCACCTCGCCCCAATTCGCGAATTTCGGAGGTTTCCCCCAGGGCAATGCCAACGGGCACGCGCACAACTCGCAGAACCAGATGGGGAGCCCAACCCAGGGCATGCACAACCACGGTCTCTACTCTGGTATGGATCAGATGGGCGCCTCCCAACTGATGGGAGGACCACAGTCACCCATTAATGGGTTTGGAGGCATGGGTAATGCGACTCTGGGCAGCCCCGCGGCATCGGTGGCCCCGGGAATGTTGTCAGGAACAAGTCGTACGGTGTATCTAGGAAACATCCCGGCTGAAACAACTGCCGAGGAAATCCTGAACCATGTACGCAGCGGCCAGATCGAGTCCGTTCGATTGCTTCCGGACAAGAACTGTGCTTTCATCTCCTTCCTGGATAGCAGCTCGGCCACCCATTTCCACTCGGATGCCATCTTGAAGAAGCTGGCCATCAAGGGTAATGATATCAAGGTCGGCTGGGGCAAGCCTTCCCAGGTACCCACGTCCGTGGCCCTGGCCGTTCAGCAGTCGGGCGCGTCGCGCAATGTTTACCTCGGGAATCTGCCCGAGGAGACGACGGAGGACAGCCTGCGGGAAGAATTGGGCAAGTTCGGGCCCATTGACACGGTCAAGATCGTCAAGGAGAAGGCCATTGGATTCGTGCATTTCCTGTCCATCAGCAATGCCATGAAGGCCGTGACCCAGCTTCCGCAAGAATCACAATGGCAGGCGCCGAAGCGAGTTTTCTACGGCAAGGATCGTTGCGCATATGTGTCCAAGACGCAGCAGCAGAATGCTGCCCAGTTCCTCGGAATCGCTCCTGGCTATGCGCATGTACTGAATTCTGCGGATCGCGATCTGATTTCCAACGCACTCGCTCAGCAGTCCGTGGCTGCGGCCGCCGTGGCGACGACGGCTGGCGGTGTGAACAACCTGGGTAACCGAACCATCTATCTCGGAAACATCCACCCCGAAACCACCATTGAGGAGATCTGTAACGTGGTCCGTGGCGGTCTACTGCACCACGTTCGATACATTCCTGACAAACACATTTGCTTCGTCACTTTCATCGATCCGACCTCGGCCGCTTCGTTCTATGCCCTCAGCAACCTGCAGGGCCTGATGATTCACAACCGGCGGCTGAAGATTGGCTGGGGCAAGCACTCCGGCCCTCTGCCCCCTGCCATCGCACTGGCTGTCAGTGGCGGCGCCTCCCGCAATGTATACATTGGCAACCTAGATGAAACCTGGACCGAGGAACGCCTCCGCCAGGACTTCTCGGAGTACGGCGAGATCGAACTGGTGAACACCCTGCGTGAGAAGAGCTGTGCATTTGTTAACTTCACCAACATCGCCAACGCCATCAAGGCGATTGAGGGCATGCGCAATCGGGAGGAGTACCGGCGATTCAAGATCAACTTCGGCAAAGATCGTTGCGGAAACCCGCCGCGCCAGGCTGGAAACAACCACGGCAACAATTCACAGCAGAACCGCAATGGGGTCAACAACATGGAAGGACCCCAGTCACCTTCACCTGCGCTCAACGGCTTCCAGCAGCAGAATCTCAGCCAATCCGGCTCGCAATCCAGCCCGACTCGGCCTGCCCTCTCCCCTGCACCGGGGTCCACGGGCTCCCAGAACGGCCAGCGTCACCCGCTGCAGAACGTCTCTTCTCCCTCCGGAGTGCTAAACGTGGGATCGAACAATCCGTTGACCATGTACCTGAACCAAATGTCCGCCCAGCAAGCACAGGAGCAGGAGAACCGCATGAATGACCACATGGGTCTGTCCCCAGGCCAACCGCAGCAGTCGATGTACAATGGCACCAGCAATGGAGATCTTCCCAACGGCGCCGGCATGGATGGCCCGATGCACCAGCACAAGTCATCGAACGGCTACCTCAGCGTCGCCAACGGTTCCGCAGGACCCGGCCACCACTCCACGGCCAGCACCAGCAGCCTGAGCGTGCCGCGTGCGCAGCACTCCCGCGCCGTCAGCCTGCCCTCCTTCTCCCAAGAGCCATTTGGCCCTGGCTCAGGGGGACCGGGCGGTCACAGCCGTGCGGGCGCAGCACACCAAGCACAGAGCAGCTTCTCCAGCTTCACATCCGCGCTCGGCGGCCTCAACCACCCGGGCTTCGGTCTAGCTATTCAAAACGAAAACTCGCTCCCAGGCTGGGCCGAGGAAGAGATCGGCGCCAAATAATCTTTCTTCCACAAAATTTTTGGAGAGCATTTCTAATTTTGCTTCTTCTACATAAGGTTTTTGATCTTTTGTGTCACGTCATCCTTACTACCTCATCCATTTCGTGTATTGCTTTCTCATTCTTAGTCTCTTTTTTTTTTTTGGACTCTTCGACATTCTTTTTATTTTTCTTATCTTCTGGCTTCTTCTCTCTTCTTCCTTTTTGTGTTCAAACTCCAATTTTGCTCGCCCATGATTCTTCTACCTTTGTTTTAATTTCTTCCTTTCCTCTCTTTTCTTCTTTTTCAATCCCCATGTATTGCTAGCAGGCTATGTCTTCTTTTTTCTACTTCTTTTTTGCCTCCAGACCCTGAGCATATCTCATATCTCTACCTCTGGCTGGCCCTTCTTTTATTCTTCTTTCTTTTTCTTCTTTTTACTTGAATTTGCTTGGTTTGGTTCCTTTTAAACAGTCATGCCGTTGACCAGATTGCATCGAGTGGGTGCTGCTGCGATCTCCTGTCAAACTATCCCGCCCCCAATTTTTCATCCTGCTTGGGGTTCCTATGGATGAGGCGGGCTATTTGTGCTTCAGATGTGTAATTAGCAAGCGGCTTTATCTAGAGAGGAAGAGGAGGAGGAATGAAATGAAATCGATGAAAATCTGTACGTGTAAGCCCTGCTGTGTACTACTACCTCTTAAGTGCGTCGTGCCTTGGTTCCCTGGTAGACCTACAGGAGCAGATGTGCGACTTAAGTAGGTATCATCATCGTTTCTAATCTGTAGATCTATTTAATTATCTTCCGCAGGCATTGATTAATATCAGCCACCTGAAACAAAAATCTGGCATGAGGGCTAATCTTTCACCAATCACTCTCATTACCATCTGTTCCAATCATCGTCCACCCTTTCCCTTGGGCATGCGGCGAACGGCTCCCCATATTACTAGGCCCGACAGGTCCCAGCGGATAATTCCCTTCACCCGTCCGATGCCAGCCTCTCTCAGCGTTGTTCGATTCTGCCGCGAGAGCTCCAGTGCCAGACTGGCTATTGCCGTACTTGGACGACGAACGGACAGTCGAGACGAACGCAGTCGTACAGGACCTGAAAAGTGGCACCATGGTAGGCAGACAGGCCGAGATGACGCCCGCGGCCGCTTCGACGACGCACCAGGTTTCGGTGGGAGCGAGAGTCCAGGCGATGTCGGAGATCTCGTAATTGAACATGAGGATCAAGCGGTAGACGCTTGCAAAAACGACACTATAATTCGGGTTAGCTATAACCCCTCCAATAATCCAAAAACTCCGCAGCTTGGAGACTGTAAAGGAAGAAGATGGGGTCCTGCATACAAACTTCCGCTCAGGAACACCAGGAGAATAGACACGCGTTGCCACAAGCTCGCCTGCAGCCGCCAAATAAGACGTGCCGGTAACGCCAGAATAAAGATATCCGTCACAAAATTTGGCACACCGATACCGATCAACGCGGCTTTGTTGTTGATGCACTTGCCGGGAAGACGGGGTATATACGAGGCAGCTACGGGTATGCACTGGAAGATAGCGACGAATTCGGCGGATATCATCCAGGCGATAGTGATGGCTCCCAAAATATACCCACCGATCTTGGTGGTGCGGACAGGGAAGATGCGGTGGTACATGAGGAGGACAGAGATTTTGATGGTTGCGATGGCGGCGAGGTAGAGCGGTTCGAAGGCGAAGATCAACTGTCCATAGTTGTCAGTGAGGCCATCGCTTTCCCGTTGTTGCATGAGCCCTACCTTGTACATGGCTAGTCGCTCAGCCCCGGAGAGGGTGAAGCCGTGTCGGCCCAGGCCAGAGTGGACGCCTTGATAATTGTCAGTATAGATTCTAGAGTCGGGCTAATAATGTGTTGAGACAGACAGGCGAGATTGACTGCTGCAGCAGCCACCACAAAAACCTGTAGCAAGGTGAGTGAGTACTCTGTGACATGGACTTAAATCGAGGCGACAAAAGACTCACCAATCCGGCAATCAACGTGTAATCATCCATCCCCCACGCCATTCTCTTCATCCGGCGCGCTGTCAACCTGAGCACCACGAAAACGACTGCCAGCACAGCGAGCACGATGGTCGTAACTCGCTGCTTGAGCTGGGTCGATTCGTTCGCGTCGTCTGGTCTCATGTTGGCGACATAGTCCTCTGATACGGGAAGAGGAAGTCTTGCGAAGCCCAGACGGATGAGAGATATAGACATAGAGAAGATGACACTCACTAAAGAAAATAAGCTAAATGACGAGCCATCTCCGTTGGCTGCTTCGTCGCGGCCCCCATCGAATCCGAGGGCTAGAGACCCAACGCTATGACCTCAATCCTGCAGTCGCATGCTTTTTTGATTTGTCTATTCCAAATTTAGTCTAATTCCATTAATCCTCACACGTTTAGTTATCGGGCTGAGGATCCCATGTACGCACTAGTGCCTCAGGACGCCAACTAATCTCCAATCCCAGAGCACATCCAAGAGGAATGATTACCCACCCACCCATACTCCACCCATACTGAGTTCATCCTCCATGTAACCTCAAACTCAGATTGAGTTCGCCAACACTTGTCTTCTTGCGTCGCTGCTGGTTAGGCCTGCCCAGCAGTCTGTTTTGGCCCCTAGCACACCCGTCTTGATACCCTGGGTGTTTCGTCTGAATTAATTATTAATACCCCGCCCAACCTTCAGTCTGCGCTGAATCACCTAAAGACTTTGGCGGACGACGTTACATAGTTGCTTCGCTACGTGATGTATTGACTACACTCGCTGACTAGGGAAAAGACGTTGTCGTTGTGGCGCAGCCCTATGGTGGTGATGAGGCAGTGAATAAGACTATTTATGGAGCTGCAGGTCAGTCAGGTGGAGTTGTGGAGATCATTTTCGTGTCTGCACTGCAGAAAGGGCCAGAGCTTGTTGGGTCCATTGGAAGGCAATCTTTTGCTTTCGGTGATGATTGTGCTATATATAACTGCCCTTCATACGGTATACTGATGTATGTAAATCCATCCATAGCTATTTATTATTATTTTGTTGTGTATTTTTAAGGTCTTTACACAGTCCACTTATACTCAACTCAAACCGAGGTCCCACGTGGTATCCGAGTACTACCCACAAGCCGGTCGCACAGTAATAAACTCGATGCACCAGGTCCATTATTATGCCAAAATTTATTTGCCAACACTGTGGTATTTGACATATATCCAGCTATACATTGTCTACTTCAGTAACGTAGGCTCCCTCCTCTTCTTCCAAAGCAATTGGTCCGGATAACTCCTCGTCGGTAGGCTGCGCAAAGAATCAGCTAGATTGTATTCCCTATCAGGAGCGGTGAGCCTTGATCCATATTTACTCATAAACTAACGAGCCGGCACACCATCTTACTTCCCATACAAACAAACCCATTCCAAAAACAGTGCTTCATCAGTTTTTCACCCATAACCCTCGAGTCACACAGACACAAGAACCCAAAAATAGGGATTTCTATTAGTCCTATATTGGTTTCCATCGCGATGTCTCGGAATTGGAATTAGACCAAGTGCCCATAGTTTATCTGGTTGATATCACATGACCTCGCTAGTCCCGATCGGGCGCCCAGTAAAAACACCTTTGCTCCTTCTCCACGCCTCGTTCTTCCTCGGCAACGATCATCCAGGAGGTGTTGTGCACCATATACAGAATGCCGCTTCCACCTGAACAAATCAACATCAAGCGCCGCCGCGAGGAAGAGCCCGTGGAGACACTGTGTACGGAATCCCCTCCCCCCGTCTTAATTGACCCCGCGATGTATATCTCTTGGCCTGATAGGGTTGTCTCTCTTTCTTGCATTCCTAACATAACTCAAACAGATATCCAATCTGCGCTCCATCAGACAAAACGTCGCTTCACAGACTTTGTCTTCCACCGGGTTCTTTTGGACGATGGCGGAAATCAGTCACCCGGTGGGCCCGCGTCTGCGGCACAGCGAGCTCTACGCAGTCCTAGGTCTGTGAGCAGCTTGAAGTTCCCTTCACGTAGTGCAACAGCAAAACAGTCTACCTCAGCTAGTGGCGTGCCCCTGGTGCGGGCCACGTCGCCCGGCGCCGAGTTCCGCGAGGCACAGAGGATGGCCGCTGCGAGGAAAGAATCGGCGGATAAGCACAAGCGTGCTGTGCATTCTCCTGCTCCGCCGACACCGCCAGCTGCGCCTGAAACCCCACCGGCAGCTCGTGAAAGTACTTCTACATCAATCGCGACTCCTTCGTCTAGCCGAGCACATTCACTGCGCCGGTTCCAGATTTCCCGATCTAGCAGTGCCAATCTTGGTTCTCTGCGAAGCTTGGGTGGTGGCATCCAAAAGCGCCGAGCGGATGGCCCAGCGCCTGGTGTGGCCGTTTTGGTCGAACAACTTCGGCGCGAACCGCACTCACGGCAGGCATCGATGGTAGCCCAGCTGGCCGTTCAGGCACAGATTGATGGTAGCCGCACGTCGTCTTTGCTGCACGAGAATGGTATCGAGGGTGCTGAACCCCCAGTTCGGCCCAGAAAGCGGCCTGTTGTGAACCAGGCAGAGAAGAAGTGGAGAGAGGAGCGGAAGGGCGCCATCTCTGCTGCCAAACAACATTTGTCTGATACGCTGGAGAAGTCCGCGCTGGCGCATAACACCAACTGGGATGATGAGTCAGAGCGTCTTGCTCGGGAACTTGAACAGGTTGCTCTAGAAATCGAGAAAGAGGATCAAGGCATGGATATCGAGGCGTCTAACGCGGAGTCTCCTTTGACGACGTATGTAACACCCGCACCAGGACCCAAGCCTCCTCTGAAGTATCAGCCACGACCTCCCAAACAGCCCAGGACTACACTGGCAACATCGCAGACCCCTGCTGAGAGTAATGAGAAGGGGATGGACAATGCCCCGGAGCAACTCGAAGCAGACGACAGTGATGGCGACTACGTCTACGATGTCTACATCCGGCGACCCATAGGAGAAAGTGAGATGCTTAAGAATCCACTCGCTGAATTTGAGTCGGATCAACAGCAAAAGAGCGTTGACTCAACACATGGTATCGGAGTCATCGTTATCACATCCGAGGACGAGCAATACTGGGAACATTTCGTCGAGGACGACGAGGAGGAGTGGGACAGCGAAGACGCCGACTCGAATGGTAAGTTTCTATTTTCTTTCATTTGTATGGGCGCGTTGGCAAGGCCTATAGTTGAAGGTGTTCGGGGTTGTCTGTCTTGGGCCTATGCTAACTAGAACGCAGCCGAAAATAACCCCGCCAACGATTATCCGGATGAAGAGATATCTTCAGACGAAGACGACCCGACCTCGATGTTTGGCACGTATCGTCGGAATTCATCGGACGACGATTTCAACTTTGATGATTCGGCGAGTGAGAGTGGCCGTCCGAAGTTTGGACACGGACGCTTTGATGGGTATGCGGATTCAGACCACGACAGCTGGTGATTTGAAGGTTGCATGCACCTTGTCTCTTGAAGCATTCCCAGCGGCTTGAAATGCTCCGAATCTGCAGGGAATAGCATCAACATTCGAACCTCGGCAACAGTCCTGGGTACATATTATAGTGAATTTGTGTGTCACTTTCAATATAGTTCAACTTGGCTAGCTTAACATACAAACATACAGTGCTCTCGATATTTCGGGGAAAATCGGTAGCATAAGTTACTGTAGTAGATACATTCAAAAATCAAGGTCCCGAGGATTCTTTCTTTCATGACGCGGCCTAAACTCTATCCAAATATTTTCCATATCTCTATCCATTTGATGCCACTATCCCCGGGACTTGCTCAAAACTCTACTATTCACTTTATCCAGTCCATGCTGTACTGCTTACTTTTCTCCGGGCCGATATTCCGCTGGGTGAGTCACGGTGGCTTCAATAGATCACCGGAGTTGCGCACTAGCTCGTATTTAGGCCAAACACCAAGTTTGCCAAAGTTTGCCAAACATGTCTTCGAGCCAATAGTTTGGAACAGAATCTCTCAATTTCTAGACGAAGCAGCCTGATTGGGACCTGGGGGGAGCCGATTAGATATTCTAGATCGATTGCTTTCGCAATACTGCATCGGGTTGGTAAGCAATATTTGGAGATAACGAGATTACTTCTGTTGACTTCTCCTGTGCTCTTCTATTTAACTTCCATGCATGCCTTCATAAAGAAATACCTTGACAGAAGTTTAAGAAGTGGTGGTCTTATCTGAAGGAAATCTTCTCTCGTCACCGAACCACCTGTATTGCCTAAGACGCTTGTGCAAGGGAAATACTTCAAGGACGACGATGGCCTCTGAACTTCCACCTCTGTTGAGAGATTCGAGGAGCAAAACAAAGGTTTCTTACAGACGACTAGGTAATAGTGGGCTATGGGTTTCGGTCCCCATACTCGGAGGTATGAGTATGGGATCGCCCGAATGGGGGTCATGGATTCTAGATGAGGAAAAGGTTTGTGCTCTGCTCCCAATCCAAGCACTAAAAAGAACCAGTTGTTAATGAATGAGTGCAAGGCCCTTCCACTGTTGAAATCCGCCTTTGATCGAGGACTGAACACTGTGAGATTCGATTGTGGCTCATCTTGAAAACTCATACTAAGTTTTACCCAGTGGGACACAGCGAATAACTACTCCAACGGCAAGTCGGAAGAGATTATTGGAAAGGCTATCAAGCAATATAATATCCCAAGGCACAAACTCGTCATCCTTACCAAGTGCTGGGCACCAGTTAGCGAACATGACAACATGTATGTTGTCCCATTTGCAGAGGAAATGCGCCAGGACAAGGATTATGTCAATCAATTTGGTAGGTACTGAAGGACCAAGTACCTAGAAAAATCACACACTAAAATTTGCAGGCCTTTCTCGACAGGCTATCTTCCACGCAGTAAACGCCTCCCTCAAACGCCTGGGTCTCGACTATATTGATGTCTTTCAAATCCATCGCTTTGACCCATTCACCCCCATCGAAGAGACAATGGAGGCTCTGCATGACCTCGTGCAGAGTGGCAAGGTTCGCTACATTGGAGCCAGCTCGATGAGGACTTATCAATTTGCGATGATGCAGTTTTGTGCTGAGAAGCACAATTGGACAAAATTCATTTCAATGCAAAACCAGTACAGTCTCACCTACCGCGAGGAGGAACGTGAAATGAACCGCTTTTGCAACGAAACCGGAGTTGGTCTCATTCCGGTGAGTTCCTTATCGGCCAATGCTCAATTACTACCTGTTTTCACTAATGCCTTTTGATCAACAGTGGAGTCCGCTTGATGCAGGACGACTAGCTCGTCCCGTTGCGCAAGTTGGTACCACCGCTCGTTTGGAGAATGTCAAGCCGAGTGATATACCAAAGGCAGACGTGGCCATTATTAATCGCGTGGAGGAGCTGGCCAAGAGGAAGAACTGGTCCATGAGTCAGGTGGCATTGGCTTGGATAAATAGACGTGTTGCTAGTCCCATAGTTGGCTTTAGTTCTGTGGAGAGGATTGACCAGGCTTCGAGTTACGAGGATCGGCTCCTGACGGAGGATGAAGAGAGGTACCTTGAGGAGCCGTACTTGCCCAAAGCAGTGGGTGGTCATGATTGAATTTAAAGTAGTGCAAGAAAACTGGGTTGCTCAAGATATGAACAGGATTTAAACCAGATTGTTCTTCGCTTGGTGGTCAACCGGTCTGCATAGTCCGCGACAGTCAATAGGTTCTCGAATGCATCTCAAAGATCGATGATTTTAGCCCCATGGAAATCAATATATTCATGGCTTCTAAAGAAGCTTTTACACCACACCGCTAAGTGACGGTAAATCAGTCACCGAAAATGGCTACCACGGACGGTATCCGGTGCCCCAGCGTTAAGACCTCTGTTCTCGCGTGCGCGCAGCTAGCTCATTTCCATTTACCATGGTGATGAAGTCAACGGTGGCAAGTCCTGCGGAGTCCCCAATTTCCCGACCGTTAACATCCCTATCAATTAGCCATTGATACCTTGCCTCAAGCGATGAAACTGCCTCAATCCGCTCTCTAGCATGCGGTCGTCCCGATTCGCATGTTGCCGATAGAGACCAAGAGGCAGATACTATACATTTAGGTAGCTCCTGGTCTCGGTCGACTAGATCGATATCGCGCGGCGGATCCGGTAGGACAAGTAGAGTTCCGTCATCTTCGACTGACAGCTTTTATTCTTGTCCGGACTTAGCGAGGCATCTGAGGAACTGCTCAACTTTGTCCTGGCGTAGGGAACCATGTCTGAGTGAAATGACCGTGTTGTTTACCCCAGAAGCTATAACTCCACTAAACCACACAGTGTAAATAACAAGTAATTGATGTAACTACAAATACATTGCGTGGTAGTGTGGCCAGCGCGAGGGTATAAGATGAACACGAGCAGTAGGAAAATGCTAGTATCAATAGATAGAGAACGGCAACCAGTGGCAAAGCAACCCTGCAACCCTGCAACCCTGCAACCCTGCAACCCTGCAACCCTGCAACCCTAGGTCAAAAACAGACGGGGAGGAAAACAGAGAGAGGTGGGAAGAGAAGCAGAGGTCGCAACTAACAGACAGTGAGAAAGCAGACAGCGAAAACATCTCCCATTTAACCACTACCATCTGAATAGTGACTCAGAGCTAGTATTGGATGGATTGGCCAAGCACCACCACCATCCCTACACACTCTCTCAGGTGAGTCTTATCACGTGCATTTGGTTACAGTATTGTCGGTAATTCTATCTATTTACAATGGACGCAGCTGTCTACAAGTCAGCCAAATCAGTTCACTTTCCCAGATGGCCTAAAGCTCTCGCCTTAGGCGTCCAGTTTACACGAATTGCAGATTTCCAGACAATGAGACCGCGCTAGTATAGCGTCAGGCTCATACGGACTTGAAATTGTTGTGGGCTGGCCTAATCATCGGCTCGGCGATGCAAGCATCATCACGCTATCTGACCCCGTTATCCATAACTACAGAAGTAACCTCGCGTGCCACGTGGATCGATCTTGGCGGGGGGCTATATCTTGAAACAGTAGGAACCAACCAGGATTGCGGGGTAACTTGCTAATAGTCACCTGCATGGCGATTTTTAACATTTAGACCTTCGGTTTCGGGAGAACACGGGGCGAATGAGGTTGTATAATCCTTGATTACAGGTATGTTGTTTTCTCGAGTAATACTAGTACCTATACTGTAGGTGGACTTATACTTTAGGGGTCGTAATGGAAAAAAGGTGTTGGTTTCCTTCACGTAGATCATGAACACCATGACTCGAGAGGAAGCATAGCCACCGTATGCGTATTACTCATTGGTGACTGCGCGTTTCGAAATAGCTATGCTTGCAGTGTGCACTTGCGTCCTAAATGCGCCAGGACTATTCGGGTATTTGTAGCACACCCTTGCATTTGGAACTCGGGTACTTGCGGCAAATTCTCAGTAGGATAGTTATCACAAAACGTTAATGCGTATATCTTCGTATCCATTGTTGGGTAATTCTCATACGGGATTATACAAGTAGTATCAGCAGGAGTACTAACCTATTTATGCCCAAATTACTAGTTAGTTTATCCAGAGACTAAAGGTCTACTAATATCAGGTTCTAATTAGGCTAAGAAATTATTCCTTCTAACTCAGCTGCGAGTGTAAATCGACAATAGCTTCCTCGCTTAGATCTTCCTACTAACATTTCTAGATAGGGGTTCGTATCTGAAAACGATAGCTGTAGAGGCTTCTACTTGCCTTCTAACCTTGTTAGTTCAAACATGAGCTCTCGTATGATTTGTTTGGAGTCAGTTACCAGATAAAGTGGCGTCTGCCCAACCAATTCGAGTTAGTGTACTAAGAAGCAGTACTACGGAGATGGCAAGAAAGGGGCGGGTTGGCTTAGGATCTACCTATAATACTTGATTCTGGCTTTTGTAATCGACTCTTCCGAGGAATCAATTCAATGAAGAGACGAGGGTGTGATATATATGATCACACATATGTATCTCTTCACTTTTGGTGTTACTACCAGATAATCCCTATGTTTGTTCCTAGTGTCTGTCGGAGTCTGCCTACATCTGGCAATATTTTGCGATATATTGGTGGGAACCAGATCAACAGTAAGACATACATTTCCCTGCCATCAGGCAATTATCTCCGATTATCATATCTGACGTCCACTTCGATGCTACTTTGAAGGAGTATACTCAATTATTTTCTTTGCAATTTGTTGGATTGATGCCCTGACCACTATCTGTCCCACTCCATACCCCCCGATGACTGATTCTGAAATGGTAAGTACGACTGATTAACTACATGTACCCAAGCCACGCTTTTCAAATGTAATACAACTTCCTGTATATCGTGCACAATCGCCCTGCCGACGTCATATTGTGGGTGCACCAGTAAGCCCTAATGGCGATATCTCCTCAACCCCTCCCAACAATAACAAAGCCAAATATAATTAAATATTTCTATTCATGGCTATGAAATTTGAACGTAGTAAAACAAACTAAAAGAAGGTGAAGAATGGGCCCCCATTCTCAAAACCGGTTTTCTTGGAATCGTCGAACGCCCAACAGCCCCCAAGCCGCGTGTACCCAACACAGTTAGGAGCGCCAACTAGGCACCAAGCGAACCGCAACGACCCCACGATTCTGAGTAGGAAGCCGGAGATTGAAGAAACGGACCGAATAATTGGGACCGAGCCTGAGGCTGGACCTCGGGAGTCAATCTTGATTTTCGCGGGGATGCAAAGTTCAAAACATGGGGGCCGTGGCTTGGATAGCGAGTGCTCTTTCACCAGTGTATGTAACTTGAAGGTCTACAAACCATAATATCTGACATCATAAGTCTACTCTAAATACTTTACTTTAGGTACTGCATGGGAAACTGTCAAGGGCAGGATCATCCAATGAAAGACATATGTCGCTGCCTTGTTTGGGGTTCAAAGTTAGCTCCCCGTCAGTGCTCATGCTCTCTCTGAGATCCAATGGCAGAGACCTGACTCGAGACTGAGATTGGGGATACAGGAAAAGAGGCGGACCAGGCTCCGTTATAACGAAGCATATTGCAGGATGGGATGATCAGTCTCGGAGCCAGGCGGATCGACACGGGCAATGAATTATCTCCCAGATCTTTTGCTTACGATTGAGGGCGTGCAAATCTCGTGCTTAGTACGGCCCGTCATCATCTGGGGCCAGTGCATGTATCGTATCACAGAATGCACATGACTACTCTCTCGTTACTATTCTCGCTTCGTGACAAGGCTTGTATACGAGGCTGGCCTTGTGCGGGGACCTGACATGTTCACCGACAAATTCAAAAAGCCACAGCAATCATAGATTGACAATAATAATACAGAAAAGGCTCGGGTTCGGTACTGTCAGAATAGCCAAAACTTGGCAATCGAACGCTCTAGAGGAGCTGGGGCCGAAAGATGAGCGGACCGCCGATCATGTTTGCTGTTGGACCCAGTCCAGAGAGCGATGGATCGATAGTAGATAATTATAGAACAAACTAATAGTAAGAGTCATGAGAAATAACAAAAAAAAAAAAAAAAAAACCAGAGGGCTGGAGTCCCGCCCAATGCCCCAGAGACGCAGGAAAATGTGAAAACGACAGTAAGCCTTCCAACTAATATGCCGATGTCCCTAAAGCCAGCGCCGTAAACCCACATAGAAGACAACAAACGCCGCCGCAGGTATCTTGTAAACATAAGAAAAACGAAAACCGCCCATGATCCACACAGGAGGATCGTAAGGTCATGACATATTGTGTCGCATAACCTCATCGTGGCTCTCACGCATCCACGGATACCAGACTTTGCCCCATTCGAGGACACCGAAGCGCGGCGCATTTGACTCCGCCGAGGACAAACTGGCGCCCTCACGCAGAAACTCGCCATCGCGCATGCGGCGTTGCTCGCGCAGAGTGGGACACTGCTTTTCCTTGATAAAGCGGTAGAATTTGCACTGGATACCCTGGAATCCGCGGCGCTGGCGGTTGGGGAATTGACGATTGAAGCTCTCGCGCACTTCCTTCCATTCCTGGCATAGGTCCACGCGGTGATACCAGATAAAGTACATTTCTTCCTCCTCGTACTTGGGGCGTGGCGGCCGACGTCGGTCTGTGCCGTTGGTGCTAGAGCTGCTGGACACCGAGTCGTACCGCTCGCGCGGCTGGTAGGGGTCTGGCGAGGAGGGCGCGGATCCAGATGGGCGGTAGGATAGGAACATGTGGTGGTGGTGATGTTGAGGGTTCAGGCTGCTATTGCTGCCGCTGCTCGCGTGTGTCGTTGCGGTGGAGACTGCGCCGGGACTTGTGTCATGGTAGCCCGGATAGCGACTATACCAGGGAAAACCCGGGGACTGTTGGGGATAGTTGTGGCTATGCGACGAAGAAGGTGCTGAGTACTCGCCATCATCCGTGTTCGGATTCAGCAGCGAGTCGATCTTCATTCGACTTTGGCGTGTGGAAGGCAGGTGGCCGTAAGAGTCTGCGTGTGTGGCCATAGCTTAGAACAATCCCGATGTACGCTGGATCTTGGCTGTATAGACAGCTGGTTCGATATTGAAAGGAACCAATGAGTAACTGGGAAAGAGGTGAAATAGGGTTAAGATCAGTTCAGGACGATAGAGAGCGTACGATCACACTTCTTAAATGAAACCGACAGAAATGCCCAGCTTGCTTTCCACTACTGTTGGGTTCCGGGTGCTTGGGTCGCCGGGGCTGGTTGTCGCTCCTTTGGCCCCCCTTGGTCCGTATAGTTTTTGGTTCTGTACCGCTGATACAAGGCTCCGCCGAAACTAGTCAACAGGGGATGGTATTGCTCCACCCCCAGAGAGTTCCAGAAATGGGATCACGGTGAATTCGGACAAGAACGGTCCTGGTCTTGCCACTCATGTTGTTGTTAGTTATCTCGAATTTAGCGTGGCGATCAAGCCAACTCTGCACCGGCTCGGTCTCCTCCGCGAGAGTTTCTTCATGTTAGATCGGGTAATTTTGGTCTCCTCAGTAGTCGGCCTATTTTGAGCGGCGGAATTCATGTTTAAATTTAGTACCAATCACCCGGCCACCTACGCGGCACATTCACTTCATGTCCTTCGGCGATAGATGCCTACGATAATAATGATGTCTCTCTTTGTGTATCCATTCGACCACGCGGGGTGGAAGAAGCGGCTCCACTTAGAACCACTGGTAGAATCCGGGCGAAATGTAGCATGATCGCTTTTTTTATTTATTCTATTTTATTTTATTAATTTCTGTCTTGAGCCATTTACGTTGGCAGACCCAAAAATCCGAAGTTAATAAATGACAAATTGTGGAGACGCGGACATATTATTCTCCTCGCTGCGCCAATCGAAGAAATAGTGCAGTGGCATTTCATCCAATGAACAGATTTAGACTAGGGCTGAGAGGCGAGAAAGAAGACGTCTGCATGGCGGAGCGACTACAGTCGGGGGGGTTCGGGAGCTGATGGGCCTGCACAGGCTGAACGAATGGGATTTTTGCAGGGCTTACTCGCAAAAACCAACACCGACGGCCCGCGGCGATTGGGAGACGCGCACAGTCATCTGTCGCGAGCCGGTAACCGATAAGTTAGGCCGGTAGAGCGAATGACTGGCCGAAGTAGTGGAGACTTTGACTTGGGACTCTGCAGCTGCGCCGTAAAGTAATATATTGTCTGTCAGTATACAGCACAGCCCTAGGGGGGAAAAGGAACATAATATACATCTGCCGTCGAGTCCCCATTCGACAGGACTCGGATAGCGATCCGGACGGGGTGGGAATGTTCACCGCAAATGTGGGCTCTTGTTCAAATCCCCGAGATACTGCGAGCCATGGTTGACTTCTGACGGGGGGCCTTGCCTAGACCAAAGTACACTACGCGGGGAATCATTATTCTCTGCGTGAATCATCCCGAACACGAATAATAACTAACCTCTCGGCTCCCCTGTCGCACCACTGATGATCTAGCCGACATACGCTGCCTGATACGTGCTGCCCCGCCTCGATGATGAAGAATGCCGACCAGCCTCGCACGGTCGGACTGGCCCGAAACCCTGTCCGATCGACTTTGACGCAGTACGCGTGACGATAGGGTCCGCCTTGACCAAGTCGATCGTCGGTCACCCGCAGTTTCAACGGGCTTCGTTTTTTGATTGGGGCTTTTTTGACACAAATTCTTTCTGCCTGATCCGTGGTTTAATGACGCGCTGGGTTACATACATGTACGGCGGAAGTCGGTCATCTCGGCCGGGGAAACTCAGGAGCTGTGATTGGGAGCTAGCATAACAAGCTGATGAGCCGCTCCCCACTTGGCGTCTTACGATTGACAGTGATAGACGCGCCGTCATTACTGCCATGCGATGCGGCGCAGTCAAATTTGCCCGTCCTAGCGATTGCCACCTGTTCTTTCCCCTGTTTGCTTTGAGTCTTGCTCCAGTATCCCTTACAGGCAACCATTTTTCTTTTCTTTTTTTGCGTGAGCTAGACGTGCCATCCATGGCGCCCTAGCTCAACCCTGGCCAATATAGTCCATTCAGGGCTGAAGAGAACTCGAAGACCGTGCTTCGCCCACCGATCCGCCGATCAGATCAGCGACATCTCCTCACTTCTTTGTTCCGGGTTCCACTACGACCATGTCAATCCAATCACCCTCGACGCCTCCAATCAATGTTCGTCAAGTTGTCGCGTAGCCGCAGGCCTTTTCGGTCACGTGAAGTAAGATGTAACAATAAACGAGTAAAAGAAAAGAAAAGAAAAAAAGGACTGAAATTTGGTTGGTCCAGGGGTCCCTGGTCCGAGCTAGTATCTGGCGCAGTTGCAGGTTTCCCGTGAAGGACTCTTGCCTAAACAAGCGGAGCGCCGCCCGGTAGCCATCCATGGAACTACACATGTCGCTGCATTCAATAATAGTCGTTTACGAGTCATGTTGCTGCGCAGACATCCCAGCTTGGCGCCGAAGCCACCCAACGGCCAACCAGAAAAAAAGTTTGACCGGGGCTGATTTCTTTGTGACGGGCCAAGATGGAACAGCCGCCGAGAGGAGATAAGTGAATCGGGGCTGTCGATCATATTGTTTCTTTGTTTGCTTCGGCAAAGAGCATCATCCGTCTGATTAATTTGGAACGACTGCAACCGTGACGAGTCAGCAGCCACACGAGATGGTGGTGGCGTGCGCCATAGTTGGTTAGCGATAGCCGCCGTCTGCAGTTCGCTACCACAGACAATGATGTATTTCAGAGCACGCTATTCACGATCGATCAGTACATACATACCAGATACGACCACAGGCGGGTTGAAGCGAAAGAAAGGGGGAAAAAAGGACTGGCTCGTTCGTCATCGCCTTTCCAAACCAAGTTTTTGGCTTCACCGCGCGCAAGGCGCAATCCCGGAAAAAATGAGGAGAAATTTCAACGTGGCCCGCAATCGGAGTGGAGGATCTACCCCCCCTCCCACCCCACGTCTTCACCAATTGCTGTTCTATTATTATTATTGGAAGATGGGAGACGGTATGTTTCAGCAGAGTCGTGTAAGTTATTGATCTCCCGAACGGCCCCGATTTGCTTGGGCCAGGAAGGCCTGGCCAGTGCGCCTGTCAAACCTGAATTTAGGTCATTTTGCGCGGAAGCGCAAGCCACCTTTTGCTGGCGCCTGGGGTTGAAAATGTTGGTTGCTGGGGGTGAAGCCAGTGCTTCCTTGACCGATGTAGGTATATAACTTGGAGGACAGTGACTTGCCAGAGGAGAGGGCGGTGTTCAGCCGCATGTTGCTCGACGCTCACCGTGCAGAATGCCTGGGCGAGACCGGTGGCTGGTCCGCCGCTCCGCTTCTTGGACCCCAAGTCTGCGAATTTCTTTCCCGAGTTGGAATAGTCCAGCCTCAGCCATGTGGCCCCCCTCCCCTTCCAAGGTTCCTATAATACAGTCAAATCCTGCAGAAAGGTGTCGTGAGACCAAGAGCGAGTCACCTGGCACCGTTGTTGGCGTAAGGAGTGCCACGGTAATCGGCAGTCTGCTTAAGATTTCCGGGGCAAGTTGACTGGCAAGATATTGAGTATTCTGCTCTTTTTGGTAATTTGTCAGTGCCGTCCGTGGTATCAGGTATTATTGCGTCGTTCCGCCAATGTATCTTTTTTTGCTTTCGTCACGGATCCAAATCAGCAGGGTAAGATAAGGCCCCCCTTTTTTTGGTCTTTTTATAATTTAATCTTCGTCAACGACTAGTCAACCCAACCAAGCTCGATTAGGTATCGCAGGGCCTCCTGCCAACGCAAGCGCACCGTTCTAGGGGCTAAGCGACACGTGCTGGACGGATCATTTTGTTGGATTGCAGAAATCACTGTATACGAGGCTATTACAGGCCGTACTATGTATATGCTGTATTATTGTGCGGAGGAGAGCAGTTCAAAACACTGGCTGCGTGAGCTACGAGAGTATCTGCTGATCAGACTTCCCAACAAAACATTCGTTTTTCCTCATTGTTTCTATTTCAATTATGAAGGATTCTCTGACCCCCTCCACACTCATGAAACCCCCTCTGGGGCCTTATAATGATAATAATAATAATAATAATAATAGAAACGTTGCCCTGCGATTAATTCGATTCCTGCACGGGCGGGAGGGTCCGGAGCAGCACAGCAGAAGTCGATCAAAGGATGGGGTCGGTGGATCATGTTCCATTATTATCGTCGTCCTGGCGCAAATGTTGTAATAAAAATTGGGTCTTGTTCTTGAGAGTTTTCTCCGGATATCAATTGCCGGGACAGGCTGTTACGCTCGTTACAGTCTGGTCGCAGGGTTGCAGCACTCGCCAGCTTGCGGTCCAAGCGTAGTTACCACGTGTGAGTGCGTGTGTCTGTTGCGACCAAAATGTCGTCAGCCCTAGATCGAATCCTAGTGCCTTGGACCATCACACCAGGGGCCGGAGTCCCGGGTCGGTAGTGCCGAGCTAGTATTGTACGGGTGTGGAGTCACAAGTCAATTTGTATTCGCCGAGAGTCTCATGATATCTACATCCTACGGACAGCCTAACCCCCTCCAGCAGGTCGATAAAAAGAAAAAGCCAAAGGGGATTCGCTTTGACATTGATGATGCCACGGAGAATAAACCATCACGACAGCACTTCGATTCATTGCTTGACTCGCGTATCTCGCGGACCCATAGTTACTGAGTTTATTCGACCCAGACATACGGTAGTTAGAACACATCCACTTTCTCCCCTCTGCTCGGCCAAGCCCGAAATTGGAAGACTCCGCACAGTACCGAGCACGCAACGACAAGGAAAGAAAGGCATGCACCGCTGCGCATCAGCCTCTTTCAGCGTCAACCACATAGCGGGCCTGACAGATAAGTTGCATCATCGTACTTTTGGCAGGGTTCTCAGAAGTCCCGCTTCTTTAGAGTTAATCATACCCACGCATCGGACAGGTCCGGGTATTGCGTAATCCACAGATACATCCTTTCAACAAAAAAGTACCGCTAGTGACTGAAGTCCATCCTGGCAGAGCCTCAGGCGCTGCAGAAATGACGGACTCCCGCCAAGGCAATTACAATCGCCGACGCTCTTGATGAAAGCGGAAGTGCGGATCCGAGGGGAAATAATTGCTCGACCAAACAACACACCCCTCTCGGAATCCCCACACGAACCACATCGGAGCATCCACACGGTCATTAATATTTGATCTGATTCGTCGCACTGAATTGCCTGTTTGGGATAGAGAGCACAGGGCCACAAGGCTGTGGGATACATAGTTGTAGCCAATCAGAAAAAGGGAATGACCATCTGACTTTTTAATTTTCCAAGAAGATGATCTTCTTCACGAGGACGGAAAAAAAGAGCGGGCGGATTCATGGCGTCGGAGAGCCGGCGGGAACATCCCGCCCGGCTTATTTTCTCTCTGTTATTATTTGGGTTTTTGCTTCTTGTCGGTGGATGCATTATTATTTTCCTGTGCTGACGCGAAGGAACTGCCTTATTCCTAAACAGTTCATTGCTACTGGGAACCTGACTGTTTGTTCTTATACTCGATGCGTATTAGTTTCGCCTGTGGTGAGCACATACTAAGAGGTAATCTAATCCTTCAAGTAATAATAGTATAGTCTACAACTCGCCTCCTTGTTTAGATCTTTCTTCCTAGAATAGACAATTACCGTATCACTACAGCACTACTACGTCTACTACTATCGCCGTCTCCTAATCCCGTTCCTACCCCAAATCCTTACCCAATAGCTCGCCCTATACGAAAGAAAACAAGAATGCAAACGCAACACCAACTCGGAAAGAAATACGGCCAAGCCACTAACTCGTCCACAAGGGGGGCCTTTGCTACTAGATGATTCGCCAAGCCAAGCTGCCAGGATGCGCCGCCGCACCCGCCAAGTCGTTCTCGGTATGTTGTTAGTGGTAACTTCCGAAACTATGTATTCATGGAAATACATGCTTTCAGAGATGCAAACAGCAGTTACGACAAACGTGTGCCTGCAAGTATGTAGTAATATGAATGAGAAGTGGCACCTCGAAAGCCTGGATTTCTTTTAAAGTCTGTATCTTTATCTACCTGCTTTCGATTTAAGTTCTAGCTGTTACAGCCCACTGATTACAATTATGGGCGGTAGTTACAGCCACCACATGCCGGTAGACTAATTAGCGTGACGCTTCACGGAACTCCGAATTCCTTGGTGCCACTTAACTTTCTACTACTGTGTGCTTACTGTTACCTCCTCTAGTCGCCGTGGCGAAATAAGCTGACGCTGCTGACACTGACTCGAACATGTTCGAGCACAGAGCAAGGCTAACTAACTAGCGAGCATGGAATATATTACAATTAGGCGCCCGCCATCATCGCCAAACGCCTCGCCACCACCATCGGTAAGTGGTCGTGTGGTACGTTCGCCTTGCTTAATTCGAGACAACTACCGTAGATTGAACATCTAATTCTATGTGGAAATGAGACGAGTATGGTTCGACGAGACGTAAAATATGTTTCAGGCTGTGCCTGAGATTTTGCTAGATGGGGCCTTGCTTTGGTACTTGGCAAGAGAGCTATACACACATAGTTACACGAGTACGCTTTGGGAATATTATGTTCATGTTCAGTGGTCACCGCCCTGTCCATGTGCTTCAACAAGGTGGAGCAACTGTAGTTGACACTCGTGAGAGCGAGGTCGACTAGCGGGAAGTATACTTACACAAATACGTGGGAGGTTTACTCATACAAGTTCAACAAAGCATGGAGCAAGGAATGAGGAATAACTGCTCATATTGGATCTGCAAAAGATACTGGGGAGATTCCCAGATGTTTTTAGACGAGTAACTACAGCAGAAGGACACACGATATCATATGACCGTCGGTAAACGAAACAATCTCGACATTCACCGAAACGCCAGAAGCTCAAATGCATTCTCGATATGCTCGCAAACAAAACAGGCCGATGGGTGTACGTGCGTTCGAATGAATCACTGCTGGTCAGTGACGGCAATCGCGCTGGCCATACGGGCAGACGGCGCATTCGAGTGGAAAGCGGTTGCGACCTGGCAGCTATATATCCCACCCCGATGGATCAGTATCAAGGGGATGAATGGCAATGAAAAGAAAGACTACTCACGGGTCAGTATCGAACTCCACATCGCACTCCTTCCAATCCTGAGAGTCCTTGATCGAAGCAGCGAACTTGATCGAGTCGGCGATGCTGCAGAAGTAGAAACGGGCGACACCAGCCTAGTCACACATCAGATCATTCAGTCAGGTGTCATTGTGTAGAAGGAAGAGTCAGTCACGTACCCCGTTCGCAGCAGCGAGATAGCTCAGGTGCTCCAGTTTGTAGGCATCCTGTAGGCTGACAGCCTGCAGCTGGGCGAAGGTGAGCGTCTGGAGAACAGGAACCGCACGAACGACACGGGTCGCGCCGGCCTTGATGGCCTCCTCGTGCTCAGCGTCGATGGCATCCGATAGGTCGCTCAGCTCAACAGCGACAATATGCTCGCCATCGCCACCAACGCGAATGCCCTTATCATGCAGGCCAGCGTACTTCTTGCAGGCTTCGGCGTCGGTAAAGATGACGACAGCCTCACCGTTTTCGATCGAGACACGGTCAACAACACCACCGTGCACCAGGGACAACACGTCAGAGACGCAAGCCCAGTCAGGGAGATTCTTGAAGACAACAACAGGAGTGGTGGTGGTCACCACGGGGGCAAGCTGGGTGGCCAGCGTGCGCCACTTCGCCATGAAAGTAGCGGGGTCAGCAAGGCCAGCGCCAGCAGGAGCAGGAGCAGAGAGAGTGTCCTTGTCCACGGCAGCAGAGGCAGAGTCAGCACCAGCAGCGAGAGCGAGAGCAGGCTGGCTCGTCTCTTCGGCTTTGGCCTTCAGGTCGGCCAGCTTCTTCTGCCAGGCCTCGACAAGTGCCTTGTCCTCAGCGATCGTAAACATGACGGCTTCAATGTACTGAGCGAGAGAGTCAGGAAGACCGAAAGCAAAGTGGATGAAATGAGTAGAAGGAGTGCGAGGGTGGGATGATGGTGAGGGTGAGAGGGTGAGAGGTGGGAAGGAGAAATGAGGAAGGTGGAAGGTGGAAGGAGGAGGAGGGAAGAACGAGGAACCAGATGGGAAGAAAGTAAACAAGGACCAACGCAGGCAGCCAGCGCACGAAAGTGTTACGCGCACAACCCACTTCCAAACAATCAACTCACTTTGTGCGCATCAACCGCAGTGATCAGGTCATTCTCAGGCTGCGGGCAGCAGAGCTTGGCCAGATCGTGGGCCTTGATGCCCATGTCCATGCAGATTTCCGTCCAGCTGAGGAGGAGTTCCCAAAGAGTGACTGAGGTCTCCATCATGGTTGGACCGCTCAGATCAGGGAGAGAGACCTTCTCATCAGTGACAGTAGCCATGTTGAATGATGGGGAAACGAGAATGATGATTGTGATGAGAAAGGTTGTGTGTGGGTGGGAGAGAACGGAGAGAGAAAGTAAGAAAGAAAAGGGAAAGAAGAACAAAGATAAAGACAGGTAGAAACAGAAACATAGACACAGTACCATCTGATGGGGAGGCACCACTGCTGCCTGTAGAACGCAATTATATTCTACCTAGTTCATCGTGTCAACGACCATCTTTATACACACACGTTATTCACGATCATCACGAGGGAATAGGGATCGTTTTCTAACCAGACTAACTGATCTCAAGGTGCTCCTCGACGCGATCCTGAAGACAGGCCGAATATATAACCCATCATTACCAATAGTCACTCCATCGTCTGGAAGAAACCGCCACTTCCCAGCTTCTCATCAGCCACCCACACCATTTCCTACACGCTCTGGGCAGGTGTCTTGCTGAAAAGCAAGCTGTACCACGGTAGATCCACGAGATGACCTAAGGTGTGCATGAGGAGTAGAGGTTCTTGCAGCGGGGTGAATCGTCGTTGAGATTTCAGCTCCCCTGGAATCGTGAGGCGAGCGCAAGCCCGTGTTTTACTCAATCCAGGTATAGAAGACGGGCCGTCATGGTAAAGAGTCCATGATTTCTGCCAGATCGCGACAATGTTCCCAGACAGGAAGAGAGAGAGAGTTGGACCTTGAATGAATTGTGAAGTTGAACGAAGTTACCCGGAGCTTAGCTCCGCGGTCACGTGCTGGGTCGTCGATCGAGTTGATCCGGTCGTTAGTTATTTTTCTATAGATGATTATTATTGGATTTTTGTAGAGCATTCGGTGTACTGCATTATTGCATAGTTTCGGTGTTTCGGTGTTTCGGTCTTTGTCCCCCTCTCCCTCCCCAACTGTGGGTCAAACCCAGAGGGCCCGCCATCATCTTCGGTCAATGACGTAACGTCGGTAGCTTCCCGGCTCCCAAGCCAAGCTTGACATCTATTTCGTGATCACTACCACCAACCACCACCACCACCATCTCCCTCCTCCATCCTTGCATACATACATTCAGACACCCACCCACTGCCATTATGTCGCAATTCAAACTCGCCAACTCTACCGACCCCGTCCCGGGCAATGGTACCCCGCCGCCCGAGTTCACCCTCAAAACCAACCCCTCAACAGACATATGGTGCAAACCCCCATCCACCACCCGCTTCAACGCCCCAATCCTCTACCAATCCATCTCCATCCAATCATTCCGACGCGCCCGTGTAGCCGTCAACGCCGCCTGGAAGTACAAATACGACCAAGGCGGCCTGATCCTGGTCCTCAAGAAACAAGACGGAACCCAGAAGTGGGTGAAGACGGGGATCGAACTCACGCATGGCCGCCCGCATCTCAGCGTCGTGGCCAAGGACAACTGGGCGGATTGGAGCTTGTCTCCGGTGCCGAGTGGGGGCGGGGCGGCGACGCTGGAGATGGTTCGTGAGTCTGATGGGAGTTTGTGGATTTATCTGGTTGAGGGGGTGCAGAAGTCGCCTATTCGGGAGGTGACTTGGGTGTTTGAGAGGGAGGAGGAGGTTGCTGAGTGCTGGGTTGGGGTGTATGCGGCCAAACCGGCCACTGATGGGGGAGAACTGGTGGTCCATTTTGGGCATTTGGTGGTCGAATGATGATACACATCGTATTTGGTGGTCATAAATAAATCATTTAGTACTCACCTCCTTTCTCCTTATGGCCCGTCTCTCTCGCAAGGCCGACTACTAGTCATCGAACGAGAGCGACTACTCCGAGTGGGAAAGCACCGAAGATAGTCGATCTAAACTGAAGAACAATGGCATTTAAACAACCCTTAAAACACACAGACCCTCTCTCACACAATCTGGGGGAAGAGACATCCCAAAGAGAAACTCACTGATATTGTGCGTTTGCCTTAAATCGGCTGCAGCATGGACCTGGGAGAGTTGTGGTGTTGTAATGTGACTACAAGATGCCCGAATTTGTCCAACTGGATTATTTTCTGGAGTAAAATCCTGAGTTGGAGATGTTCAAGGGTGGTCAGTTTGGAAGTGAATTGATGAAATTGAGGGTCAGGTGCCTAAAGTTGCTGGATTGGTGAAATAGTATGATAATGAAAAGTGATATCGTTTTGTAAATTTCTCAACATGAGCAATATATTTATCCTGGTTATCGCCAAAACTGGTCCAGATATCCTTGGCCTCTCACGGGATCCCATTCCGGAATGGGGACCTTGGAAGCTTCCTCACTTAATGAGGCCACTTTCGATACGTCTCGCCCATATTCGTTTCGCCATTTCGGAAAACCCTTGATAAATGCATTAGCTGCAGGTTCTAACAGGGCCTGCCCAGTTACTCTGTCAAAGCTCACGTTGGGATAGGCGCCGATGTACTGATAGTCATGAGATGTCTGAGAGCAATGGGCGACACCAGCAGGGATAACGATGACATCCCCGCTTTGAACCCTGATCTTGATACCCCTGGATTCAGGATCTAGGGGGCCAACCCCAAGAAGGAGATTTGATGAGCCTTGGAATACCGCTGGCCAAAAAGAAAAAGTCAGTTCTACCGATGCATCTATCATTGCTTGACACGAAAAAGTAAATTGTCAAATGTAACTCTGTGGGAGACGAACCATAGCATTCATGCGTATTCGGGTGAAAATGATGGCGTGGAACGGCACCCCATTCTCCCTAGAGCATAAGGTCAGCCGTAGGAATCGAGAGATACTTAAGTGATGGATCCGGTTATTGTTACCCCTTTTTTCCAATGGTTTGATTCCAGTACCTGGGTTGCCGAGACCGCGGAGTGAGGCCGCGGTAAAACATCACGATATACGAGAGCGGGAAGGTGGCTGTTAGGAACTGATAGAGTCGGCTCGCAAATGTAGGTCTCAGGATCAGGAAGCGACGCCATTTTGATCAGCAAAACGTGAATATTCGCATTGGTTTTCAGCGAAGATGTTTATGTATATGCGGCGTCCCAAGGATCAGTCTTGAAAAGCCCCGTGTCCCATATCACCTTAATATACTCTGCTTGCAATGATCCCTCACACCCAGCGGGGACCGCAATTCAAATTTCGGAAAAGCACTAGTCTGTTGAAGACTCGGGTCTGAGCCCCTCGGCCATTTACATCATTAGACCCGCCATCTAGGCACCTGCTGCCGTGGAGACTGGGCGCACGGAGAGGACCCCAGACCCCGTCTGCTTTGACCTCCGTGGCCGAACGTAGAATGGCCCGAATGATTCATCGACCTGACTTGTTGGCAGGGTTTCGGGTTACTTGCAGCGGGGACATAATTTCGCATAGAACAGTGGCAGGTCCTCAGCACAATATGTGGGCATACCAGACTCAGTTGTCGTCCCATGTAATAACTGCTTCGGGCTGCATAATCCGCACCGCCTCCAGACTATTCTCAAAATGGTAATTCAAGCCGCTCGCCCGGCGACTGGATTATGGAAGTCTAGAACCCCACCTTGCTTTATCTAGTGTTGAGAGATCCGGCGCGAAAATTGTAGAATATGCGGAGAGGTGGAGGCGGTCGGGAGAGTCCTGCCAGAAGGTGAAATTTTCTCGCTTTCGAGAATTCGGATGTCCCGAATTGAGTCCTGAAGATTACACACGTTCCGTCGCGGGCATCAAATAGAAACTCAAGTAGCCATTGAACACTAGACATCCACATTTTCACTCGACTTAGACGGTCAACATCTTCTAGCTAGTTGCTCTTCTTGCCATGGCCGGTCGAGTCGCATCTGAAGATTATAATGGTCACTCTACCCTACATCAAGCACGGGGGACTTGACGACAATATGGATGGTTTTGCTATCACGAAAAAGGGCCAGTGAGATTCAATATACCCTGGCTAAGGGCCGATACTGTAGCTAGGGAAGCGGGTCAAAACTAAAAATCCGGCTGAACGGCATGATAGCAGATAAAGATGCCATGTATGGACCTGTTTGGCCAATTTTTTTTTCGGTAAGAACAACAGTCGGAATTTTCCACGACGTATCCCCTATCTAGCATAAAGCTTTCTTGCAATAGAAAACGATTGTCCGATCACTCCAGCTAGCTAGGTGGGTAATAAAAACTTTATAAACGCCACGAGCATCCGTTGTATTTGTAATATATGAAAGAGGCCGGTCGTAACCCCGCAGCACTTTAAACCTCCTGTTTGAATTATTTAACGCTCCATCAGTAATTCTCACTAGCTCCGCCTTACAAGCTATTGGTTTTATAATGGAAATCTAACAATCTGCAATCGAGAGTCAAAAGATCACCCCTGCTCAAATTAACATGTCATTACAAGGCAAATGCCGTACGAGGTCTGGATGCTGGACATGTCGCAAACGGTATGCTACTCATCACTTGTGATGCCCTTCTAGGTACCAAAACTTGGTATTGACCAATATTTAGGAAAAAGAAGTGCGACAGCTGCACTTTCCCATGCAAAGCCTGTGAGCGTCTGGGACTTATATGTGATACGGGAACTAGACTGGTCTGGGAAAGCGACGCGAGGAGAGCTGGAATGAAGCGAAGAGGGCCACAGCGGCTAGAAAAGCCGCAATTCTCGACCTTACGGCTTACCGATATTCCTTACGACAAGCCTCTATCAGATGGCAGTGAAACCTGGGCACGCGACGATTCTCAATTTCGGGGAACTGAAATTCTCCAGAATGAAAGAACTACTCATCCCCAAGAGGCGATGATGGAAAGGCAAAACATCTGGGGTCAAAAGCTATTGCCAACAAACTTTACCACCAACGAGTCTGTTTTGTTGGATCACTACATTCAGCGGTTTTCACGCACATATCCAACATGTTCAGATTCAACAAACCCTTTTCTCTCAATTCTATTGCCACTAGCTATGCAAAACAGAGTAGTGCTTGATGCTCTACTGGCATTAAGCGGTGCTCAACTTTGGAAAGGCCGTGACCCGGCTATGAAAGAAACTATCCTGAGGCTGAGACAACGCGCGCTATTGGGGTGCCAAAAGCTATTGACCCAATCTGGACTAATAGTTCTGATGGATACTGCGAAGGCAAATCAAGGTCTCTTGGGTGCTATGAGCGCAAATGAAATCTTCGTGCCTCTGGCGTGCTGCATCCTTCTTCTCTTATATGAGAAGCTAGTCGGTTATGGGAAGGCTAATTGGATGCCTCATCTGAAGTTTTTGGCACAGCTCTTTGACCGACTCCTTGAACCAGCACATAGCGGAGCGTTGAACTCGCTTATACAAAAGTGTCGGCAACACCAAGGATTTCAATTCCTGCACAACCTATTTTTGTACAATGACCTTATCCAGTCCACTGCAGGGGGGACTTCGACGCTTTCTGACTATTATCGGAGGGTTCAGCGCAATATGCACTCAATTGATGATGATGCTTTAATACCAACACACAACGCTTCTTTAGCCCCAGACCAACCTCAGAAACGATGCACAAATGGTCGTTTCTACTATCCTTATCTCATTGCTGAAATCAGCACTGGAATGGAGATACTTAATGATGCTGATATTGACGCCTGGGATGGCCGGTTTGATTGGCTTCCCAGTTTCTCCACGACGACCATACAGCTTTCGGATCCAACTCCATCCCTACATCTTCTCTCCAAGACAGAACTACTGCTAGAACCCGGGGCCATTGACGACAAAGAGGAAAGGATTATGTCTTACATCTACCGCGACACGGCGAAGGTATACCTGAGGCAGGCTAGCCGGCAAAGGTCTGGTCAATATGAGGCAACAAATCATGAAATATCTGCCGCCACTGTTGCCTGCCAAGCAGTACGGAACATTGTTCAGTTGCGTGAAGGATCAGCGTTGGAGAATGCACTACTTTGGCCAATCAGTATAATTGCCAGGGAGCTCACCGAGGAGTGTACGATTGAAAGAGAATATATATTGGGTCGGTTGCAAAGACTTGAATCCCGTTTTCACATGGAACATTTCAGAAGAATGCAGGAGGTTTTGATGGCAACATGGGCTCAGAATAATCGACTGTTTATAAATGTGGAAGCGGGAGTTGAGGAGGATGTTTTTCTGTTTGGATAGTTAAGCACCAGCCTAGTAAACTGGATCCCATGACTCTTTTAAGGGCCACTGTCCGAGAGGGCTTATTTGGTACAAAAATCTCTTCCATATTATTATGTCTACTCTTCGGCCTATGCATCGTTGGTCTTCACACTTACCTTCTCGACCCAACACAATCCCTTTTTGCCATCTTCATCATCCGTCTCTCACGTTTGTTTCGTATTTCTATCTCAGCCCCCTCACAGCGAGCTGGGTGTTCTCTGCCAAGACCTCGATTCTAGCTGTTGTCCACGTTCCTCCTCACATCATCTTCACATACTAGTCTGGTGCCTAGATCACGTACTAGCGCTGGGCGAACATATTTCTCACATTGGAAAGCGCGGCCGTCGCATTCTGCTCTGCTCGATATCGCTCGGTTCGTCGACACTGCCTTGCCTCTTGAGAGGTATTGCACTAGAAGGCCACTTGGCCAGAAAACATGGTGACGGAGGCATCTCCTACGGGTCATCTAGAGCAAGAGGCGGAGGAAGAAGAAGAGAGGAGGAGGAGGAGGAAGACGACGACGATGGCCCTTCGCTTGCACCTCCAATCGTGCATCAGGTGAAAGGTCCCAGGAAAGGTCCTCAGGGAGAGTCATAGAGCCCTCAAGCAGATTAGAAGGCTACAACCTATATTAGAGTCGATCTTAAATCGAAAAACTAAAGCCAATTCTTTGTTTCCTGTCATATTTTCTTCCAGAGCCTGGCGTCGTATATTGATGATAATGATGGTCGAATAAGACAAAGACATTAGGATGAGCAAAGTACAGTATAATTTCGTGTTGAGATCAACCTTTTTGCTTTCTTGCGGGTTACACGGGGTATGCGTTTGGGTCTTGGGTCAGGTTCTTGGCGAGCGGGTTATGGGAGAGGTCCACCCACTGTAGTAGATACATGTTAGCAGTTTAGCCGGGCGGCTCGTATTAACGAATTAGGAGGAGATCGGCATATCCGCACTCACTAAGCCTGCTCGACAGAAGGATAATTTACAAAGTGAAAGGGTTGAGTGTCCTAAAATGGCGCATTAATTTTCGAAATTAACATTCAGATCACTCCGCGGCTACAATAACTAATTCAAAGGGTGAACGCGCAGGGGATGACTTACATATAAATAGACCAATTGTTGCACTCTATTGCTGCATCATGCGCAAATCAATTTTACACTGGTCAATAAAGTGAAACATTCCCAAAATGCCGTCAGCATCGGTAGGCATATCCCCAAGTCTCCAGTTCCTCAACGATATGCCGTGACATGCTGAAGCAGTTGACAGCACGATTTTGATCCATCAATTCACCTGGCCTACCGGAAGCCAGAAGGGATCCATACACTTTCTGATCTCAAGTTGGAAAATTCACCAATTTCAGAGGTTGCATCAACAGATCCATTTCCATTACTCTCCGGTGAGGGTGTGCGAGCTTTCCGACGCGAGCTCTTCTCCAAGGATGTCTTGGACAATTGCTGCTACAAGACACGTCCTGGGTCTGTACAAATACGTGGAATGGCCCCTCGATTTGCGCCATTTACATACCAGTTCTGGACTTCGCCTGAAGTTCTGGGAATTGTAAGCAATCTGGCTGGCGTAGATCTCATACCAGTCATGGACCAGGAGATATGTCATACCAATGTTCAGCTTGGACCAGCGGGGCTTGAGGGTGTTAGGCATACACCTGTTGATCCTCCAAGTGCGCCCCCTGCGTACAGAGAAAAATCAAATGGGGATGGCAGAGAGAAAGCTTCAGCTGTCGTCCCATGGCACAGAGACTCGCATCCTTTTGTTTGTGTTGTGATGCTGTCAGACACGAGTACAATGACAGACGGCGAAACTGAGATGCAAAGAGGCGACAGATCGACTGTTAAAGTTAGATCACCGGAAACAGTAGGTGATGCCATGTTTTCCATCAACCTTCGGTCTGAGTTCAATAACCAGAAGCTAATGACCTGTCGTAGGGAGGAGCGGTTGTTCTGCAAGGACGACATGTCAGCCACATCGCTATCCCCGCAGGAAACATGCCCGAGCGCATCACTCTTGTGACATCGTTCCGTCCCCGGTCTCCCCTTCTGGTCGATGATTCGAGTCTAATGAATGTTCGGACGAAGTCTCTTCTCCCAGAGCTTTATTACCAATGGGCGCATTATCGGCTGCATCTACTGAGCCAACGGTTCAAACATGAGGCGGATGCCTTGGAAGATCGTTACTGTCGTGCCGTGCAGACGTACGATCCCGAGGGCAGGCCAGGCCATTGCACAGTTGAAACGGTCGACGTCGAAGCGTTAACATGCTGGATGGAAGAGCAGATGCGGTATATGCGTCAGACACTTTTTGAGATGCGACCTGTTACAGCCGAAGACAACATCAACAAGAACTATATCCCCCAAGTGGAGTGAAATTTGCGGAGCGTCACTTTGTCATCCATATGGAATTGATATTTTTTGGCTTTTCGGAAGTGAAGTTACCATTCTAATTTCGGCCCCCTCATTACTGGCCGAACCTTGACATAACTATTTATTTAGTGTATTTAAATTGTCTGCCATTTCTAGTCCTTTACAGGTTCAGAGAACAAGAGATCTATTTCTTGGTGATTTGCACTTCTAGTTTGGCATGTCACACGTCCTCGATTTGACAACTAGTACAAATTAAGAAAACACGGTGAGGGATAAAACCCTTTTATGTGACCCGTAGGCATTCCAATCCCTGAGAGATATTACTAAATCGATCTAAATTTCTTTCCGAATTTAGATCAGGCTGCAGCAAAATCCTATACACAGCTTCAACCCAATATCTTACTCGTTTCACTTTCGTCGAGTGAAGCCTCATACCACGACACCAACACCTCCCCAGGGCGGCGGCGTGGGGCTGGAGGACGACAAGAAATACCGCAAGGGCCTAGAACACTAGCTTTGGGGGAGTAACAACGCGCAGCAAAAAGCATCAGCCATCATCATTCAAGCTTTCTAGTAACTACGCAGCAGCACGACCTCTCATCTCGTACGGCAAGGCCAAAAAGACAAACCCGGCCACAATAAAAAGCGCAGCAGAAATCCACACCGGCATGCTCGTGTCCACGCCGACATAGACCACAATGATGGGAGCCAGCAGACCCGCAAAGCGATTGGCCAGCGCCACAAGTCCATTTCCCGTGCCGCGGATAGGCGCCGGGAAAAGCTCGGGCGTGTAAGAGTAAAGCAATCCATATACGAGGTTCTGGAAAAATGCAATGACGCAAGTGAATCCCAGAACACTGGCAGGGGTTTCCGCGCGAGTAAACAAGAAAAGGAAAACACCCGTACACAAGCACGCGATGGCTCCAGTGCCCTTGCGTCCAATCCGCTTCATCTCGACGGTGAAGCCACCGATGATAGATGCAGGTATACCACAAACGGCTTGGATGGCGTAGTTGCGATACGTCACATTCAGAGAACCGCTCCCGGAATTGACGCCTTTGGCTTCCAGGTAGATAGGAATGAATGAGTTGTAGAGGGGGTATGCCATACCGATGGAACACCAAAGAAAGAGCATCAGGGACGTCGAGAGGGCCATTCGAGGGGTAGAAAAGAGTGCGAGCAATCTATGTGGTGCCCACTTAGAAAGACCGCGTCGAAGAATACTTCGTGGCGTGGTCTCCTCGTTAGGCATGGAAGAGCCATTAGTTTGCAACTCAGCATCAACGGCCTCGAAGTGGCTGGCCGTTAACCATGTAGTACTGCCATTCCGTCTAGCAACCTTTGCAACCACTTCCGCCGCCTGCCGGTCTTTTCCTTTGCCCAAGAGGTACTTGGGCGTTTCATAAATCTGAAAAAGAAACCGAGCCAAAAACATTACAGCAGTCAATCCACCGAAGGTCCAGTACGCGTAGCGCCAACCGAGGTTGTTTTGAAATGTGCACTGCTCTGATGAGGGACACGTATAGGACGCAATTAAAGGCCTAAGTAACGTCAGCCATGGGTCGCTCTGGGGAAGCATTATGCGATCTTACCACGCCACAAGCGCCGCTACTGCTTGACCAAGGGACCAGAAGCCCGACTGCATGGTGAGCAGATACTGATGCGTCGCGGGCGTGAACTCAAGGAATATCGCACTGTCCACGGGCTGATTGCCTCCCGTTCCGAGCCCGATAAAGGCGCAAAAGATCGCAATAGCAGTGAAACTGGGGCTTCCAGCTCCAACTAAGCCTGCGACCGCTGAAATCATGAGGGTGACGTTGAATGCAAGACGCCTCCCGATGAAATCTGCAGTCATGGGCCAAACACTGGACCCGATGACAAGACCCGCATACTTTGCTACCGTGAGAAATGCGATTTGGTTCACCAAGAATTCTTTTTGAACAGCAGGGCTGATGATAGTGATGGCTTGCATCCACAGCTGTTGAGAACTGTTAGCTTCAATTCAATTGACTGATCCTAAGGGTCCATTATTACATTATCAACAAACCAGCCAAACCCCGTCGTTAAGAACACCTTCCACTGATAAGGCCCCATGCCCAAATCAATGAGAGCTTCGTTAAGAATGGCAATTTTTTTATCGTAAACCTCATCCGCACCAGGCTGGACGTTTCGAGTGTCGATACCATGGTAGTCCGCTGGGCCAGATTCCAGGGTTTTACTCACAGCGGCAGAAGCCTCCATATTGTCATAGGCCCCTGCAACGCCAATTGAGTGAGAGAAGGTTGCGGAACGTTCAGATGAGACTGAGGTGGTCATTGCAAACAGAATTATAGATTTGAGATGGTGCGCAACCTTGGGCAACCCGAGAAATTTTATACGTACGGTCGAAAAGCGGCCGTGCCTCAGATTTATATCGCGGGACTGAAGACTAACAGCTACTAGTCGACTCCAGAAATTCAATTTAGGAAATATCCGAACTCGCAAACCTTAGGAAGACAACTTCCAAGTCCAGAATTCTATGGTTCGCAATTCCTCCACGAATTCCACAGTATCTGCTGCAGATTTCCTGGGCCGCGCTGATTTCAAAGTCAATTTGAAATTTGGGCTTCTGGTTCTTGAAAGTTCGATTGGGTCAGCGGCATAAATTTCCAATTTTAGAATAGTATGTAGGCCCGTGCACATTGAAGATAGATAAGGCGATCTCAGCAATATAACGATTTATTCGGTTATGGAAACGTATGATTCAGAATGACCAGATTTATAAAGAGGACTGTGACAAATGCCAAGCTAGATTCCCTCAAATACCGCAGTTTAGTTTCGACACCTATGAAAAGGGCACCCTTCATGAAACAGAGCCGCTAGAGAATTATTGGAAGGTGCCAGCTGAGAAACGCATGACACTAAAAACTCTGCATAGGAAGCTGTGCGTGACCTCTGTTACTTTGCTTTTCCAAATAACCCGTAGTATTACCTGTTAGGCTACTTCCGTATCATGATGTGAGGACAAACTGTAGATAAATCCGCTAACTCCAGGCTGGCATCGTTGAGAGGGCCGCAAATAAAGAAATAACCAGTAAAGTTATGTTCATAAGACACGTTAGCAAGAAATGAAAGTTAGGAGTCAGAGCAGAAATTGTCGCGAGGAACCGATGGTCATAGAAAAGGACTTGCGACATTTGGTAGAGTTTGATGCACGTCAAAAACGAGACCTTATCCATTGGAATAGGTAAGCTGCCCAAATACCGAGGACCAACCCAGTGTTTTCTGTCGGCGACTGGCAACTTAGCGCCTAAATGGGTTTCTGCCATGCCATTGCCTTTTTATTGCAAGTGTGTTTTCAAAATTCGGTGAGTCTCAATGGATAGACTAGTTTGGCCGCGCCGGGGTGGGGCCACCTTCCACATAAATTTGAAGTGGAGTGGCAGAGACGCAGTTTGAAGTCGAAATCCGGAAGTCGACGCCCCGGAGGCGGGTGGTTAAGTTCGACCAAAAAAATAGATCGTCAGAAGACCTGTGAAAACAGGAGTCTATTTAGAATGATGTAGTCTAACTTGGAAATTGGTGCCGCCCAGCATCTCCACTTAACCTTACTCGTTAAGCGTTTTAGGGGGTGAAATCGTAGACTTTTTGAATGGGTCCCCATCTATATGAATTGCCTATGCGCCATAGCGAGCTGATATTCATCAAATATCTGCCAAAATCGCTACGGCATTGTCCGTAGAAAATGGCACTCACTCTCTTCCGACGCCTAACATTTTGCTGGCTGGCTGCTAGCCTGGTGACTGCTGCGCCTGCGTACCCAAACGCGGAGGTTCACGCTTTGGGAGGGTTAACCCCTACCGGTGAAACTTACACTCTCGGTGGTTTGCGGTATTTTGCGCATCCTGCTTCGGACGGGATTCTGAATATAACATCATCGCTCTTGTCGCTCAAACCTGTGGGAGCGCATGTTCCTCTGACAGTTGTTCTCGTCGACGATCCTTCCTTCGACGAATCGGTATTTCAGGGAGCCGTCGAAAGGTACAAAGCCAGAGACGATGTTTTCCAAGAAGGGTTTCTGAATAGTAGGTGCTCCACCCAAGCTGTAGTATTTATCCACACGTATTTCGCCAGTTGAACCATGCGCTGATGATAAATAGCTGTTTATGTCAAGTATAACGGCTCAGGGGAGCCACAAAAAGTGAGGAAATTGAAGCAGGCCAGAGAGCTGTTTAACTCCCACTTGCTTGTTCTCTCAGAGCATTACGCCAATTCCGGCAACCAAATTGTCGAATCAAGCAGTGATCTGGCCCCTGGGCCCTATTTCTTGGATATCGCGACTGGTAGCGTGCACAAAGCATACCGGCTCTATTCAGACGTGCAACAAGCTTTTGTTTCTGGATTGATTCCGCAATCCGACAGTCGATTTGCCATACTGCCAGCTGCTGTTCCAGTAAGAGGTCTGAGCTGTGACAGATGCATCGTGAAGCTTATTTGTCTCATAGGGAACCGAATCCGCTACAATTGGTGTGCCTTCTAGGCTTTACAGTGAGAAGTCACCAGATAAACCTCTGGCTGGGGTGAGTCTACTTGTCTTTCCGTCCGAGTCATTATTGCTAAGAATAACAGTATCGTTTCGGCGCCAAGGATATATTTGATATCGCAGGAGTCAAAACTGGCTGCGGGAACAGGGCGTATTATTCTCTTTATCCAGAGCGCAATGTGACAGCATCCGCTATACAAATCCTTCTTGATGCTGGGGCCGTTCTTGTTGGCAAGATGAAGGTATTATTATTTCAAAGCAGAGCGATCAGCTGTGTTCCAATTGCTGGTGCTAACATTCAGCAAGACATCCCAATTCGCAAATGGGGAGATTGCCACTGCCGATTGGTAAAGCCGGTTTTGATTGTCTCTGTCTTTCCAGTATTGACAGAAGTATAGGGTCGACTACCACGAGCCATTCAATCCCCGAGGAGACGGAGAACAAGACACATCATCCTCATCAGCAGGGCCGGCGGCCGGTACGTTATCTGTGGTTGATGCTTGCCCAGTTGGTTTGTCAGCTATAGCAAAGGTAGATGGCTGACGATTTAACTAGGTATTGCCTCCTATGACTGGCTAGATTTTGCTATCGGTTCAGACACAGGGGGATCGATCCGAGACCCTGCTGGAGCGCAAGGTATTTATGGAAGTCGCCCTTCTCATGGCGCAATTTCTCTAGACCATGTAATGCCTCTTTGCAGTGCGCTGGACACCGCCGGTATCTTCGCGCGTGAGGCTGAGCTATGGAGGTCTGTAGCACGTGTGTGGCTTCATGACTTCCAGGATTACACTGAATATCCTTCAAAGATTATCTACCCTTTAGAATATTTCTCTATCGCGGCGCCCAGTTCCCCAGCAGGCGTGTTAGTTGAGAATTTTGTCTCTAGATTGGAAAGTTTCTTAAATGGTAAAAGAGAAGTGATCGGTCTGGATGATTTGTGGAATGCCACCAAACCTTCTGTGGACCTGGCCAGTCTGGATGATTTGTTGTTCAAGGTATGTCACCATTTGTTATCCTTTTACCCTCATACTAGACACACTAACGCCTAGTTTTTGACAGACGTATTCGGATTTGATCTCCATTGATCAGATTAACCTCCTAGGGAACCCTTTTATCGCAGATTACTCCCAAGTTCATGATGGTCGCACGCCATTCCTTGATCCTTCCTCGGAGGTGCGTTGGACCTGGGGCCGCGCGCAACCCCCTGGCACATTCGATGAGGCCATGACAAACAAAACAATCTTCAAAGACTGGTTCAATAACTACGTGGTTGTGAAGAATACGAAAACCTGCTCTGACAGTTTGTTTGTGTATCCCCTCACCGTGGGTCAAACAGTTTATCGGAATATATACCGGCAAGTCCTTTTTTTTGGCCTGATTGAAGCGGCCTGCTGGAACGACAGGCTTACTAATAGTATGACTATAGCAAGCCTCCAATCCCACCACTAGGATTTTCTAATGTGGAAGTTTCAATCTTCTCAGAAGACCCTGAATATGTGGTTCCTAGTAAGTATTCTCACTGGGACATTCCCAACGCAATCGTTTTGGTTTTCAATGTAAGATGACCATCTAATACCGATCCCTCTCTTCCGAAGTCGGTGAGATACCATACCATTCGACAATCACTGGAAAAGTCGAATTCCTTCCTGTCACAGTGAGCCTCTTAGCAGCGAAAGGATGTGTAAGTGCTCCAAGGATATATCCTTGAAATAAACGTCCTATGATATAAAAACTGACTCGTTTATGTTATACTTTGCGGCAGGATCTCATGTTGTATAATCTGATAGTCGATCTGCAGGAGGAGGGCATTGTGAAGCCAGTTTTTACAGGTTCAATGTTATCTGAACATGCACAGACCCTGAACTAAACTTGGCTGTTCGCCCTCTACGGGATGCGGCTGAGTTGAGTTTTCAAATAGCAAGAAGCTCAGGGTGTTTTGACCTATGAAAGGTGCCAAAGAGAGTTCCAGAGGTCATTGTCGAGATTCCGGCTTGAAGATTGAAGTTTTAGTGCTAGTTGCAATCTTGGTTGAAAACACACGTACCTTCACGCATGATTTCCCGTCCCCTAGTGCCTTATCTATCTTTTTTTATTCGCTTATAGTAAAGTTCGAAATCAATTTACCTCTTATACTCCCACTAATTGTTTCCCAGTCCGTCTTGAAACGATCTTATCCAACATTGGTTAGTCTCTCAACAAGCCTTGCTTAATTGTATTGTATCGTGTCGACTAGTTATCTGTCTCAAGTCGAATGAGTCACTATGAAATTCCTCATTATGACTAAATCTTCAAAGGATCTCATAGAATTTGGTCCTCTACTCTCTGCAATGAAAAGCTTAATTCTAACTAGACATAAAATGATGTTTAGATGACTAGATATTGGTAAAAAAAAAAAAGGCGCCGAAAATGGCATCTCAGTCCTTCAGACTATCCCTATGGATACAATAGCGGTGTATAATTAGTGGGAGAACCGACTTTCTTTTGGAATACGGCTTCGAAAAGCTCAACAAATATTAATTTGATTAAAATATAATTTGACTATAGAGGCCCCACACCACCAGCGCGGTGTAGGCTCCGACTTGGGAACGAGTAAACTTAGATGCAACCGAGAACGATTGGTCGGGTTGCTCGTCAGAATCCAACTCGCACGGCTGGATATCTGTAGGTTCAGAGGTGCCCAACACCTTTTCACCCTGTCGAGCCTCCACAATGATGTGCTCGACTTCTGGAAGCAGGAGCTCCACGTGTGTCTCAAAGCCGTAACGGGGATGATTAGCCAGGAGAGTGGCTTCATCCATGGTAGAAGTGGCTTTGGGAATGCTGTAGATGTTCCAGTTGTCGTGCTCGGTCGCGCCATTCCAACTCATATAGACTGATATGTCGGAAGTGTATTGGGAGGTGCGCTTAGCCACGACGTTAGGCATCCAATAAGGAATCGCTTTCCAAGGATACTTTAAGAGGCGATAGGACTGCGCATGCTTGGGATAGCCAAACTGGCCGATCTGCACTATTTTCCCATCACCGTCGAACTCCTTGAACTTAGACACTGACCCGTACCCCATGAGCATATGGCCGGTCGTATTGTAGTCGAGTAGCTGGAAGCTGCCTTGTGTCTTTGATTCGCTAGGGTCTGCCCCGGCTGAGTTTGCGCGGCGGACCGTGGAGCCCTTCATTTTCACCAGGTCCACGTCGATAACCAACCCTGTTGTCTCATCCCTAGGCCCGTCGGCCATCCTCGCGTGGTTATCAAACACAGTAAGCACTAAGCTATCGTCTGTTTGGTTGTAAACGCGGATATCATGTTGCCAAGCAAAGAACGCATCGTTCTCGATAGTGCCTTCTTCTGGGCCACCGCCCTAGGACTCAAATTAGTAAAATAATAACGTGAAAGGCGACGTTAATCGCTGACTCACTGAGAGCTGCCAGCGAAATTTGCCGTTAAGATCAAAGCAGAATGCTGACCACCAGAACCGAATCGAAATCACATAGCCGCCTTTGACTGGCTGGATTGAGTTCATATGGAAAGCATCCCACGGATCATTCTGGGCTCTCCCATTTCCGCCGATCTCCATTTTAGAATCTACTAATGGGAGATAGTCCGGGTGGTCTAGGGCACTCCACGAGAAGAGGATCTCGTTTGTAGTGATGTCGACTTCATAGAATTGACTGTCGATAACCCAGGTATCCGGAAAGCCGTCAGGTCTATCACTCGTGTCGGCCTGGGCAATATTGATAGCGGAGAGAATGATTGTATTCTGGGGGGTAATGAGATGCTCATGGACATCGACGTAAGAATCTCGCTCAACACCATCATAGGTGTTGATATTGACCTTTAGTGTGACCGTGTAGATCTCGTTGTACGAGGAGTCGAGAATATGGACACGGCCATAGCCGTAGCCTAACACGCCAGTTTCACCAGACCAGAAGGTAATGACGTCTTCGCCAAATAGCTTCTGCACTCTGAAGTTCATGGTCTTTCGTAGAGGGCCTTGCCAGACCAGTTCACCGTCGCTATCGTAGATCGTCGGGGCGGTGCCCGGATTCCCATCCTCAACAAACTCTTCGACGCCCCTTTGGATTCTTCGAACACTTATGAAAAATTTCCCCGGGCTGACATCACCAAAAGTTGCGACCATGAGGTGTGGTGACTGCCAGGGTCCTGACTGAAACTCTGTGAACGGCCACTCTCTATCTCCATCGTCGGCAAATACCCCAGTAATGAAACGCAAGAGTCCGAATAGAAATAAAAGAAAATGTACCATCTTCGTAATCGTAAGGAGGACAAAAAAGAAAATATTATAAAAATACGAAGGTAAACATGACGAAAAAAACGAAAGGACCAGGCCAGGAGGACGAGGAGAAAAAAATTCAAGATCTGGGGCCGCTGAGTATTTAGCCAACGGAGTCTCAGGAGTTCTCACCCACGGCACTCTTCTCTGAGCTCCACTCTTCCCCCATGTCAGTTGGGACGGGATGGCCATAGGCTCAGAGAATACACGAGGCTTGTTCCGAACCCGTATCACTAAAACGCACGAGACCCATGCGACCTGTTCCAACCGATAAAGCAAGATCAGCCAACCGCCCCGCGACGTTGATTCGTGGATACCCAAATTTAGGCCCATCTGGTGGCGGAATCCGTGTCTTGGCAGACGAATCCCATCGTGGGTAGCCCCTGATAAGCTTCAACTACCAAACCCGAGTGCTTTTGGGGTCTGCCACGAATAGTTCGTAACTATACCGTATAGTCTTAACGAAGTTTATTGGTCAATTCAGAAGCGGGATAATTGCTCCCATGCATAAAATGTATGTATTCTTCTCTTATGATGGGGTTCGTCAGAGCGACCGGCGAGTAAATAACGGCTAGTGCGGAAAACTTCTCGTACGATACAGAGAGTCTTGGCGCGGGAGGGATTTGCGAGTACGAGTCCGAGCGGGCTGCTGCTGGCCCCTCGCTGATCTTACTCGGGATTGGAGAATTATTACTGTCTTGTTATGTTGGTTACAACTGCCACTCCGGCCACAAATTATGTCCAGGACCTACAATGTGACGACGCCTCAAGGACAGGGGAAGGTCGGGATCATCCATCTGGGCGTCAAGAGTGAGCTAGCTCCACCATTTCGAACCATCGCGTTTTATAGTGGTACAATCTGATATCGTCTTTCTCATTGCTTTCTGCATTACCAGAGACCCTCCGCTCCGTCCAGTTGAGTTTGCTGAAATTCCTCGACAACGGTGGGACTTGGTATAGCTTCCTCGCAGCGATGCGCAAATAGATACGTGGGAACATTCTCTGGCCAGATCTAGATACGGCCTTACGGCCAAAGGTTACGATTGGGGTGTCCACGTTCCATACCCGGCCTGGACGTGGGGTCTGGTTTGAAAAGGAGGTGGATGACTTTCTCTACGGAGAAGGGGAGCACTCGTTATACAGCCATATTTCCAGAAGTGTGAAGAAGGGTTTCGGGACAGAGAAAGATACTTTGAGCCTAATCATGACCGTCCTTACGATGTTCGAAGTGTTTTAGAAGAGAAGGGCTATATCAAACCGCTTGAATCAATGGATTGCCTCTTGCTGGGTCCTAATGGAAAGTTCCCTACATGATGAAATTCCCAGTCAAACTCAAAGAATACCCGTGGATAGTACTGGAGGCTCTGTTTACCTAGACAAGGAATCTGCTGTCAGGTATATGGTCTACGGTGGTGACAACTCCGTCTCGTTCAACGATGAAGCCTCGTTCAAGATGAAGATCGATTACGCGGACAAAATGGGCCTTGCTGGTCTGACGGTGTGGGCCACTGATCTCGATGATAACCATCTTGATACACTTAGAGCCATTTCTGATCCTGGATACTGAATGACACTTAGCCCTGGTTTACTGAATGATATGTCCGACTTTGAGTGCTTCTACCTCACCACGCAATTCGTGACACTACTGTCAGTAGTCTCACAGCATCCATCCGCCCTGCTTCTATAAATTTGTGCTTTTGAAATTTGGAGGTTTCGGGGAGGTGTTTTATAAAACGATGTGTCCAACTTCTGCTGACGTGTCGGTCGGAGCCACTTCGCAACAAAATGTCATTTGCAGCGTCTTCGATCTCATATGGAAGCCGCAAATCACCTCGCAGATAAATGACTGATCTTGAACCTGAATCTACTATTCATTGCATGTATATATCTATATATACATATAAGCACTATCGTCCTATGTATGGCTTGAATCGTATGGACAGTTGAGCTACTGATCTGATGGCTTACTTCCTTTGTTTCCCCTCACTAGCCATTTCCAATGTTGCAGCGTTAATAATACCATCGAGCCAGGGAAGAAATCCGGATGCCTGCAGCCAGTTTCTCCTCTTCTCGCACATTTAAACAGTCATATCTTCCGCTCCTTCAGACTCAGCTCTGTACTATCACTTTCAATTATATCCAGCTCTCAACCACTCACCATGACTAATCAAAGCAACCCCTTGAACGACGAATTCAACCAGCTGGTTCATGAACAGCTGAATCTATGGCATGTCCCCGGGTTGTCTGTCGCCGTGGTGGACGGCGATCAGACTTGGGCCAAGGTTGGACTGACCGCATATACCAACGATGAGAATGTAGCTCACCGGATGATCAGGGCTATGGCGTGGCAACCTTACCCTCAACGCCCGTCACTCCCTCGACACTCTTCTACGCTGGAAGCACCACCAAGGCTTTTACGGCGGCTATTATGGCGATGCTGGTTGAAGATAACGACGCGTACCCACAGGTACAGTGGGAGACACCCATCAGCCAGCTGATCCGCGACGACTTCGTGCTGGCGAGCGAGGACGTCACGCAGAAAGTCACAGTGGAGGATGCGCTATCGCATCGGACGGGGCTGCCGCGCCATGATCTGGCCCTGGGCAGCACTATCTGCAGCGACAAGACCGCTGTGCGGGACATTGTCCGCCAGCTGCGCCATCTGCCGTTGACAGCGGAGCTGCGAACCAGGTTCCAGTACAACAATGCCATGTTCATCGTCGCCGCGCATGTGATCGAGACGGTGACGGGCGAGCCGCTGGGCGAACTACTGGCGCGGCGGATCTGGGGCCCTCTCGGGATGTCGGAGACGTATTTCAGTCTTGACGAGGCTCGCGGGCCCAACGACGAGAACCCTCTCGCCCGTGGCTACGCCTACAACTATATCGACGACGACGGGACGTACCGCACCGTCGAATGGATGCCTCCGGCTGGCACCTCTGGAGCGGGGGGCGTGATCAGCTCGGTGAGCGACTACGCGAAATGGGCGCGCGCCCTGCTGACGGGCTCGCCGGCGCTGTTTGCCTCACCGAACATGGTCCGCGAGCAGCTCTGGCGACCCCGAACCCACCTACCTGTTGAACGATGCGGTTCAGCCTTCACAGGGCCCGGTTCCTACGCACTCGGTTGGCAGACTGGCGTGTACCGCGGATTAGAGTTCTTCGAGCACCAGGGCGGGATGAACGCATTTGGCGCCGAACTGATCCTCATCCCGGAGCTGCAGTATGCGGTCGTCGCCCTGGGCAACACGGCAGGAACGTCTAACTGCGCAGAGCAGACGCTTGTCTTCCACCTGATCGACAAAAAGCTAGGCGTTAGACCTGGTCAGCCACGATTTGACTGGGATGCCAAGAACCTCGCCGCGATCGAAAGGGGCAGACGCGACGTCGCCACTGCGGTTTCTCGCTTCTACCCGTCTCTCCCTTCTCCGCCGTTGCCTACCACCTTACCCTTGTCACTGTATACAGGCGCATACTTCCATCCAGGGTACGGCTCTGTAACCATATACCTCGACCATGTGAGGCCATCTTCCGAGTCGACACAGTCCTCCAGATCTTCGGCGATCCTCCGCGCGGACCGTAACCAAACCACCTGGCCCGAGATCCTGCGCTTCAAACACGCAAGTGGAGACTTCTTCATCGCCGAGTCAGAACATGACGGCGACTACGGCGCGTTGTATCCGTCTGTCTATCCGGTTGAGTTTCGGATTGGTGCGGCAGGTACAGTCATTGCGATGGGGATTGGATGGGAGAAGGAGATGGAGGGGAAGATCTGGCTTGACAGGGTGCAGAAAAAATGAAAGAACTAGAGCCATGCTCACTAATGAAAAAGGATGACCTGCAAAGCTTGAATCATGGTCTCTAGCATTTAGAGTATTGTAACATCAATAGAGTACGAGGTCGTTGAGGGACGACAATCAATTTGAAGTAGGAAGTATGAATTGTTGAGGTGGCAAAGCTACGAAGGTAATCTACGCCACTATTCAAAGAACACACTTTTTATAAGAGTAGAGACTATATCGTAGAAGCGTATACCGTGGTAATATATACCGTGCTAAGGAAGTGCTAGGTACACATGACATTAGCCAATAATAATGATCGTTAGGAGGCAGATGACGCAGCAACGAAAGAGCTCCCCTCCATTGACCGCCTGCGGCTCCAGCGGACGAAACCAACACCCGAGGTCACATCTTATCGATCGCTTGGCTGACACTCTTCTTCCTGTTCTTTTCTATTCTCTTAGGCAGTTAGTTCCTCTCAGCGTATCTCTTTTTCCGCACGCTGATCCCTGGTGGACCGGACTGGCTCAGCTCGTCTTTGCCCCTCTTTCCCGAGCAACAGTTATTCTTCCTCCCCAAGTTGGAATCTTCCACGATTATTCCGATGACACGCTTGTTCTCTCCTGATCCATACCGACCCGCTCTAGTGTTCATGGACTCGGTCTGTCCCGGTACTCCGTGAAACAACTTGATCTGGCGCGGGCGACGCCGCGATGCCATCGTACGGTGCTGTTGAGCAAATGGAAAGCGGCATGGATAGTGACGCCGAGCGCGATCTGTTGTTGGGGGATGATCACTCGAGTGAGACATCGACTCCGTCAGAGGGAGGTGTGCAGGAGGGTGTGCAGAAGATCGAGGCGATCAGTTTGACCTGGACGACTCGGTCTTTAATCGTGGCATATGTGAGGTGGGTGTGGCTTGTCAGTCTTCAAAACCAGAAAGCTGATCATCTTGTCAAGTATATTCCTCATGGCATTCTGTACCTCTCTGGAAGGACAGACGGTCGTCTCGTTGGCGGCATATGCGACGAGCGCGTTCAGCAAACACTCCAAGATCGCCACCGTCTTCGTGGTCCAGAATGTGGTGAATGGTAAGCCGGTCCCTAGAATCCAATAAGCCTATTACTGACACATCTAGCGGTGATCAAACCCCCCATGGCCAAGATCGCTGACGCGTTCGGTCGCTTCGAGGCCTTCTGCGTGAGCATCCTTATATACATCCTCGGCTATATCCAAATGGCCGCCTCGACCAACGTGGAGTCCTACGTCTCAGCCCAGATCTTCTACTCAGCCGGCTCGACCGGTCTCCAAATCTTGCAGCAAGTGTTCATCGCCGATAGCAGTGACCTGCTGAACCGCGCCTTCTTCGCTCTCCTCCCCGAATTCCCCTTCCTGGTGACCGTCTGGCTCGGTCCGACGCTCGCAGACGCCGTCCTCCGCACCACGTCGTGGCGCTGGGGTTACGGCATGTGGGCGATTATCTTGCCGGCATCGTTCCTGCCCCTCGCTCTATCGCTGCTTTTGAACCAGCGCAAGGCTCAACGGCTGCATTTGATTCGGCCCTCGAGTCCGAGACGCCGTGACCTTGTCCACACCCTGAAGCGCACTTGGTATGAACTGGATGTTGGAGGCTTGACGCTTATTTCTGCCGGGGTAGCATTGATTTTGATCCCATTGACCCTCGCGGCAAATGCCAAGAACGGTTGGAAGAACGTCAGTATCATCGTGATGATCGTGGTTGGTGTCATCTGCTTGGCTGTTGTTCCATTTTGGGAGACTTCTAAGAAACTGGCTCCGAAACCAGTGCTCTCGTTTCATCTCCTCGGGCAGAGAACCGTGCTCGCAGGCTGTGCGTTGGCATTTTGGTACTTCAGTACGTTTTTTTCTTCTCTCTATCCTTCTTGGTGGGTCACTGACCAGTTCCTACCTACCAGTGGCCTTTTATCTCTCCGTCCAGCCATATCTGTATTCTTACCTCCAGGTTGTCCAAGACTACGACGTGGCAACAGCTGGTCGCGTTACGCAAACATTCGCATTCACCTCGACCATCGCAGCATTCGGCGTGTCGCTGCTCATCAAGTACACCTGCCAGTACCGGATCTACGTCACCTTCGGCTGCATCGTGTATATGTTCGGACTAGCACTGATGCTACTAGCACGACACGAAGGCAGCTCCCACGCTCTAATCCTGAGTACTCAAATCATTGTCGGCTTCGGCGGTGGCCTGCTTAACGTGCCGGTCCAACTAGGCGTCCAAGCCTCCGCCAGCCACCAGGAAGTAGCAGCCGCCACAGCGATGTTCCTGACGAGCATGGAAATGGGCGGGGCTGTCGGCGCCGCCGTCTCGGGGGCTATCTGGTCGACTTCGATTCCCCGGAAACTGCTTCGCTACTTGCCTGATGAGACCAAGGGCGCGGCTGAGGAGATATTCGGGAAACTCACCACCGCCCGCTCGTATCCCATGGGCTCGCCAACTCGCATCGCTATCAACCGCGCCTACCAGGAGACTATGAATCGGCTGCTGACCCTGGCGCTGTTGGTGACTATCCCTCTGATCCCGCTCAGTCTTGTCATGAAGAATTACAAACTTGATAAGGTAGAACAATTGCCCCCTTTTGCCTCCCTCTCAGAGAAATCGACTTATCTAACCTACAAACCGAAACAGATGAGCCCCGAGTCCCGGATTCACCAGCGCCGCCTCTCAAATATTGTCGAAGTCGAGCCTGAGTCTCCATGTACTCATCCTCATGATTGCCACCGACATACTAAACGGACTTGACCTGATGACTTGACCTTTGAAATACGACCACCATATAACATTACGACTGTACGACACTACTTTTTCCAGGCATATCATGCCATCCCCAGCTGCTGTGGCCATTGCATCTTGATCCCCGGCCAGCCAGCGGTATTTGGTATTGCCTACCAGCCCCCCGATCAGTTCATCTTTGCATATATTTTTTTGGTTTATATGTTAGGGATGTATGTAGAGGAAAGATGTCTCCGAAAATGAATGCAATGAATGAATGAATACCACATTTGATAGATATGAAATGAGCCCCTGCCTTGAAATATATATCTATCCACTTAGATTCTAGGATTCCAATACAGCCGGCCCCTGCCTACCCGTCCGCACTGCTCATCAGCAGCCAAGTCTTGTTCGAGGCGCTGTGTCCTTGTCGTCGGTGCTTTCCCACTCCATCTACATAAAAGTTAATATAACAACATGCCGGTACCTGCGTCTATCTGCATGCACTAGACGAGACGGTCGGTAAACGCGGATCAGATGATGGGTACCTCCTGTGGGCTCTAGCTCTAGTGAATAATAATGAATGCACTTGCAGGGGTTTATTTTAGTGTCGTCGGCTAGGTTCGTTTAGCTTTGTTGAGTGTGGCTAGGCGAACGAACAGAGGGGGTGTTTGCCCGTTCTACGGTTGCTTACTGCGTGGCTTTGTTGTGTGCCGTCCGGTGTGGCATGATGGCTCAAAATTAGGGTAGATGGTGAAAAATAATAAATGGGTCTGATTATTCGGTTCTATGATTTTCTATTCTATTGCACTGTGCGTAATTGTTCTTCAAGGTGAATTGATTATAGCTTAGTTCCCTCGCTAAAGAGGATAATAACCATATATCGCAGGCAGAATGACTAGACATTAAATTGCCGACCGCACTGAATAGATCCGGACCTAGCTGTCAGACAATTCCGGCTTAATATACACAACCCACTCTGTCCAGCGGCAGGTAATTAGGGAACTCACTCACATCACCCTCACCCCTCACCCTAGCCAATCCGCAATACGAGGCCACGTTGTCTCCCCGCCTGCCGCGCTTCTTTAGCCATTGGCGATACGAAAGGAAAGGTTCGTTGTGATTTAATTATTTCTGGGCAGCACGCGAACCGGGACAAGGACCGAGAGGGTTCGGTGTCTGTCAGTCAGTCAGTGTCTTGGCGCAGTCAGTGGGAGCAGTGACAGGCTATAGCCACAATGGACGAGAAGCCATAAAATCAACCGATAGAAACGAAATAGTCCATCTTCTTTTATAAACACCTCTACTTCTATGAGCACAATAGTTCACTCCTCTTATCGTTGTTGCTGCTGTTCGCATCCTCACTAGTCTAGACTCGGCCAGACCACAGCTTCTCCCTTTTTCCCGTCCGCTTTTCCCCCCCCTTCTCTTCACCATCGACTTCCACCCCAGTACCTTTTGTTCTACCTCCCTCTTCCCCCCCTCCCTCGCGTACTCCCTAGTCTGCAATATGGTTGTTGCTACCATCAAGTATGTTCCTCCCCCCTTTTTTCGGCCCTCCTTATCCCCCTGACTGCGGCGGGTGGCTCCCTCACTCCGCCCAAGAGAGCCCGTGACCGTCTACCGCAACCCAGCTAACCGCCCACCCAGATGTGTCGTGGTCGGGGACGGTGCAGTCGGCAAGACCTGTCTTCTCATCTCATACACAACCAACAAGTTCCCATCGGAATATGTGCCCACTGTGTTCGACAACTACGCCGTGACTGTGATGTAAGTTATTGCAGACCCCCTCCCCCTCTCCCCCCAAAAAGAAAAGAACCCCAACTGATGGGAACTTAAACCCAGGATCGGCGATGAACCGTACACGCTCGGCCTCTTTGATACCGCTGGACAGGAGGACTACGACCGGCTTCGCCCGCTGTCCTACCCGCAGACGGACGTCTTCCTCGTTTGCTTCTCTGTCACTTCGCCCGCCTCGTTTGAGAACGTCCGCGAGAAATGGTTCCCCGAAGTCCACCACCACTGCCCCGGCGTCCCCTGCCTGATCGTCGGCACCCAGACCGATCTGCGCGATGACCCCGGTGTCCGTGAGAAGCTCGCCCGCCAGAAGATGCAGCCCATCCGTAAGGAGGACGGGGATCGCATGGCTAGGGAACTGGGCGCTGTCAAATATGTCGAGTGTTCGGCCCTGACACAGTACAAGCTCAAGGATGTTTTTGATGAGGTAACTGTGCCCGCAAAACCAAGAAAGAGGGCATTATCACTGACCGGTTGTGTGTGTGTGTGTGTTCGTGCAGGCGATTGTTGCTGCGCTGGAGCCAGCGCCGAAGAAGCCCCGTAGTAGACGCTGCCCTTTGCTGTGAACGCACGTCTTCAATGATCTTTTCACAGGTTGGTTGAACTTGGGAGTCTTGGATGTCCCGATGGCTGATTGATGACCACACAGATACGACGGAATGAACCTGTTTCCTTGGGGGCCAGTTTTGGGGGTTTGGGAGGCATCAGATGAACCACCGTGATCACCTTGTTGGTTTCCTGCGTTTCCTACTCTTGCAACCAACCGCTTCTTCCTGCGACCCTATATCTCCATTGTCCCGTTTTCTTATTCTCTCCTTTCCTTGCTCTGCCCTCTCCCGATGTCCCTTGACCGATGATTATTTCCTACTCGCTGTCACAATTCTCTCCTTCATGAACGCCCGGCGATCGCGAGTTCGACACACTTGTCCTCCTCTCTCCGCAAAATCCACACCTTACCCTCCCATCCGATCTTCGCTTTCACATTTTTCCTTCTTCTCATCGTCTCTCTCGGCGTTGGACGTCAGGGCGTGTTGTTTTGGCTGGGCGATGAATGTTGTTCGTCGTCTTCTCCCTACTTCAGTTCTTGTTGCGCGGCCTACCACTTCGGAAACTCGAGTTTTGAGCTTTTGCTGTACCTCTTCTCCCAAACCCGGCCTCTTTTTGCGCTTTTTGTTTCACGCTGGTTTCCGATTCAAGCATCATTTGTTTTTATTTTCCTTTACAATCTTCTTGTCCCCCCTCATCCGCCCGAGAAGCAAAATTATTCTGCATCTTAGAACGCTGCAGACAAGATTCGACAATTCAGATCAGTTCAAGATACATGTGCTAGGCTGTAGTGATATTGAACATTCATACTACTGACCAGACAGATTTTGCAAATTGCAAGACACATATGACATTCATTCATTCAACATCTAGCATATCAATCTCATATTCTATCTACAGCTCATCCTTGGTCAACTTGGCCGCCTTCGCCTCAGCCACAACACCCTGATCGAGATTCCCGTACCAACCACCCAGATCCTCCTTTACACCAGACTTCACCATGCTGGTAATAATCTCAAAAGCAACCTGCGCTGCCGCAAGCGCGGTCGTCTCGCCCTTGTTATCATACGCCGGCGAAACCTCGACAATATCCGCACCAACGAGGTTCAGCTTCTCAAGCCCGCGCAGAATACGAATGAATTCGCGCGTCGTCCAACCACCGGGCTCAGGTGTTCCAGTACCCGGTGCCGTTGCCGGATCCAGCACATCGATATCCACAGACAGATACACAGGCTGCTCCGGGTCGAGACCAATCCGGTTAATAAGCGTCTCCACGACACCCATCGGACCAAGCTCGTCAATATCATCCGCATGCACGCGGATAAATCCCTGCTCGGGTCCCGGGTTCGTATAATCACCTGCATCAACGCCCGTCAGTCTTGTCCGCAGACCGGCATGCGCGGAGGTGCCATTGCAAATGAGACCCTCGCGACTAGCCTTGTGGAAGAAGGATCCGTGGTTGAACTGTGTCTGCTCGCTCTGCCAGTATGCCGAGTAGCGCACGGGATTCCAGGTATCGAGGTGTGCGTCGAAGTGCAGCACCGTGATGGGCTTCTGGTAGATCTGGTACAAAGCGCGCAGCGCCGGCAGCGCAACGCTGTGGTCGCCACCCAGCGTGACAAGTTTGGGGTGGCCTGCGCCAATGGTGCTGGCGCCGTTGGGTGCGGCGTTGACGGTCTTGCGCGCACCCAGCTCCAGGAAGGCTTCGTACATCTGTCGCTCGGCCAGCCCGTTGTCGAACGGCGTGATTGGGATGTCGCCGCAGTCGGTGATCTTTGCCCACGACTTGTACGGGTTGATCCCCGCCCGCGTGTTGAAGCTTGTTCCGGACATCTGTCGCGCGCTGGCGGCGCGGATGGCGCGGGGGCCGAAGCGGGCGCCTTTTTTTATAGATTGTTAGATATTTATCCTTGTACTTGGACTTGTAGAGGGAAGTGTTTGGGGAGATGTACCAGGTCGGTAGCTGACAGCCGTGTCGAACGGTGCGCCAATTATAGCGATATCATAGTGCTCGTCCGGCTCGATGAGACACTTGACGGGCTTGAGGTGCGCGAAGCTGGCGATGCCGGAGAAAGACCACTAGAAGGACGTTGGTACCAAAATCACACGGAAACAAGGAGAGAGTGGGCAATAACAATACCTCTTGATCCCACTTCTTCAGCAACTCCGCACGCTCATGCTCGGGGACGACGTCACCGTCACCGTGGTGCGCGCAGGACACAGCGCCGCCAGCCAGCGCGAGCGCACTCAGCAGGATCTTGAGAGCAGGCATTATTAGAAGTTCGTTCTGTCTGTCACAGAAAACCAGTGAAGTGCACCGGCCGAGTATTTAAATCCGTCGGTCAGTCAAGTCTGTCTCCGCCGTCCTTCCTAATTCAGCCAATCGCGCCCCGCCCTGTTCCGAATCGTGCAGACTTTCCTTTCTGGGCATTTCGTCCTTTCTTCTCGACAACCACATCACGACGACAACAATCCCACCACACCAGCGATTTATCTGGGTGTTCGGTTAGGTGTTTGGCTAAGGCTTAGACATGCTATGCGGCGCGTTGTCGTGACGGGTCTAGGGGCGGTGACGCCACTGGGAGTGGGTGAGTGAGTTGACTTTCATTATTTCGGGTATGAGATGAGGGCAGACGGAGAGCCAAAGCCGAGAAGAGGATATCTTCCCTTCATTCATTCACAATACCAGCCCTGAATTGATTCCATTCCCTTCCCTTCCGTTTCCCCAAAAGACGCGATGGTCTCAGTCTCCACTCGCGCCTCCGCAAGGGGAAAGTCTTCACGGCCAATGACGGCGCGCTAACACCCACTCCCAGGAGTCCGTCGATCGTGGAACCGCTTGCTAGACGGCCACTGCGGCATCAGAAACGTCACTCGTCGCGATGCCCGCTTCGCCGAGTTGCCGTGCCAGATCGCTGCTGTTGTGCCCGCCGGTTTGCGGGCGGAGGGCGGGTGGACTGCGGAGGAATGGTTGAGTAGGAGTGTGAGTACTAATTATTCATTGTTGGATCTATTCTTTCTTTTTCATTTATCTTATTCAAGGCCGATGGCTGATTTTCTTTCTAGGAGGAGCGCCAGATGGCCCTATTTGCGCAGTATGCTATGGCAGCTGCGGAGGAGGCTCTTGAGGATGCTGCTTGGAAACCTGTGGATGGTGAGCAGAGGGAGAATACGGTATGTGATTGATGTGTCGCTGTTTTCAATCAATTGCCTAGCCAATTGCATGAGACTAATACATCCAACAGGGCGTCTGTCTCGGCTCCGGTATAGGGAACTTCGATGAGATCTATAATACCGTCGTTGCCTATGAGAAGGGGGTGCGTGCGATACTATACTTCCGCTAATAAGGTCATTGTTAACTCCATTCATTCAATGCAGGGCTATAAAAAGGTTAACCCGCTCTTCGTCCCAAAGCTGCTAATCAACCTCGGCGCCGGGCATATCTCCATGAAATATGGGTTCATGGTAAGTACTTACCTTTCCTCTGTCACTGCCACTGGCTCTCTTTCTCTCTATTGCTCACCTCCGACCCACCAAACAGGGTCCCAACCACGCAGCAACAACAGCCTGCACCACCGGCGCACACTCCATTGGTGATGCAGCGAGATTCATTTCCTCCGGTGAAGCGGATGTCATGGTTGCCGGCGGCGCCGAGTCCTGCATCCACCCACTAGCCATTGGCGGGTTTGCCCGCGCGCGCAGCCTGGCGACTGATTTTAATGATTGTCCCGAGAAGGCATCGCGGCCGTTTGATGCTGATCGGAAGGGGTTTGTTGTTGGCGAAGGCGCGGCGGTATTGGTTCTTGAGGTATGTCAGCCAATTCCCCCGCCAAAGAGTCAAGTCAATCCACTAACCTTTAGTTATAGGAGCTAGAGCATGCCAGATCCAGAGGCGCGCACATCTACGCCGAGCTAAGAGGCTACGGCTGCTCCGCAGACGCATACCACATGACAGCGCCGAAAGAGAATGGCGCAGGAGCCTACCTGGCCATGAAGAAAGCGCTCAAACACGCGCAGCTCCGCCCCGCCGCAGTGGACTATGTCAACGCCCACGCCACATCTACTGTCATTGGCGACGCGGCTGAGAATGCGGCTATCAAGTCGCTTCTCCTTGGGCCCGAAGGGATGCAGAAGGCCGCGGAGGTGAATGTTAGTAGCACGAAGGGTGCTATTGGACATCTGCTTGGGGGGTCGGGCGCTGTGGAGGCGCTGTTTAGTGTTCTTGCTATCCATGAGGTGAGTTGACTATCGTTAGACCAGCGTTTGATTTGCGCTGACCATGTTGATGTGATGGTAGAATGTCATGCCGCCAACTATTAATCTGGAACGGTGTGGTGATGGGTTTGATTGCAACTATGCGCCCAATCATCCCCAGCAGCGAAAGATCGACGTGGCGCTGACCAATAGCTTTGGGTTTGGAGGGACGAATAGCTCACTCTGCTTTGCGAGAGTTTAAAGTGTACGATACCCCGCGTGGAATTGTTTCAATCTGTAGAATATTTAAGTCCATGCCGGAGATCCGGGGTGGCGCTATAACGTATACAGAAGCACCGGTAAAAAGCATTAATTCAAAGAGTGACCCTTATTCCATTATTTCCTAATTCAATTAGTTTTACTTCATGCAGTAGCGCACTTCTAGATGTCCTAGATTCAAGTATAGCTGAGTCCTGCAGTGAAAGGTTGTATAGTTTTACCGCCCCGCCACCCCACCGCCAAAAAATCGAGATAAGATCAAAAAAAAGATTATCCCTCTCACACATCTCCAACTCTACCACACCACAACAATGGCAGACACCGACACGACCATCGCGCCCCTACGGAAGGTTCTCACCTCCGAATCAGAGCCTCTAGCACGACGCTTCCGCGCCCTCTTCTCCCTCAAATACCTCGCCTGCCTGCAACCACCCACCGAACAAACTCTGCCTGCGATCCACGCCATCGCGGCCGCCTTCACCTCGCGCTCCGCACTGCTCAAGCACGAGCTCGCCTACTGTCTCGGCCAGACCCGCAACCCGGAGTCCGTTGCCTTCCTGCAGCAGGTCGTCCAGGATGTAGCGGAGGATGCGATGTGTCGCCATGAGGCGGCCGAGGCGCTCGGCGCGCTGGGCGATAAGGGGAGTTTGGAAATTTTGAAGAGGCTCAGGGATGATAAGACCGAGATTGACGTTGTTCGTGACACGTGCGATATTGCCGTTGATCGTATTGTGTGGGAGAATTCCGGGGAGAAGGAGGGGGAGAATTTGAAGCCTAGGTGCGTATTTGTATACTTCAAACGGTCTTGAGATTCCGCAGACTAATCTCTTTGTCTATACAGCGACTTCACATCCATCGACCCAGCACCCCCAATGCCCCTCTCCGCCACCGAGCCCTCAATTCCAGACCTGGAAAAGACCCTCCTAAACACCACCCTCCCCCTCTTCCAACGCTACCGCGCCATGTTCGGCCTGCGCGACCTCGCATCACCGCCCGACCTCCCCACGGCCGTCGACGCCATCAATGCCCTGGCCAAGGGCCTCAAGGACCCCTCTGCGCTGTTCCGCCACGAGATCGCCTTTGTCTTCGGCCAGCTCTGCCACCCGGCCTCTATCCCCAGTCTCACTGCCACGCTGAGCGACCAGGCCGAGGAGGGCATGGTGCGCCATGAGGCGGCAGAGGCGCTGGGGAGTCTGGGCGATGAGGAGGGCGTTGAGGAGACCCTGAAGAAGTTCCTGAATGATCCGGAGCAGGTGGTTAGGGACAGTATTATTGTTGCGTTGGATATGGCGGAGTTTGAGAAGAATGGTGAGGTGGAGTATGCGCTTATTCCGGATAGCTCGGCGGCGGCGGCGGCGTAGAGAACAAGGAAAGAAGAATCAAGAGAAAAAATCGTGACGTCGTTATTTTGATACACTCATGCTGTGCTGTTATACATGACCATAGACCCAATTCAATTCCACATGGGGACTTCTCCAATTTTTAATTATCCTCGGTTTCCCTAAGAAAAGAAAAAAAAGTCAGTACTGATTTTGGAAGACTCAGGGCTGGGCAGACATACTTATGTCCACAGACACAACGGTAAAACACTGTACTCCCCTCATCGGCACCGCGCAACTGCATGGTCGTGAAGAACATCTCCTTGCGCCCGCACTGGGGACATGTCTTTTGCGTGATGGCCTCGTGTGTCCGGTCCTCGGCCGTCAGGGCCTGCACGGCTGATCGCTTGGCTCGCAATGCAGACGGGAATGCAGAGGGTTTGGATTCGGAGACGATCGTTTGGGGAATGGTGTCTGCGTGGGTTGAGTTAGGTTAGTCGTTGAAGGATTCCAAAAAATGTAGTTGTCGCACCTTTGTTCCTTGTTCCGCAGACATCGCAGTGCAGAATGGCATTGGCGTCGCCGGTTGATTCGCGCAGCAGGTTTCCGCAGGCTGTGCAGAAGATGAGGGAGCCGATGGCCGACATTGTGTTGTGGAGTTGAGCAGAATGTAAAAATGTAGAAGTCGAAGTGGTGATAGTTTTTCCGCGCACGGGCCAGGCGGTCAGGCCAAGTTAAGTCGGAGCTTGAGTCCGGACAGGAAAGAGCGAGGCAGTACCAATGCCATGCCATTGCCTTAGTTAGCCCGTTCCTGCCATGGGCTGCTCGTTCTTGCCGCTTGACCATCATGGACTTCTCCAATGGTCCTGCTGTTCAGGTTGTCATCAACAACAACCGCCAGCCAGGTAGTCGCGACGACATCATGCCGCCTCCGAGCATGATGAGACCGCTGTCCGTCGACGAGGCCCTGCAGTATTCCTCCATGTCGAACGCCCCCGTGTTTGGTCTGGGTATGTTCCCTGTGTCTCTCATGTACCCTCACCTCCCTCAGCCGGCCACTAACCCTCTATCTTCTCATCCACAGACTGCATCCTCCGCCCCGACGTCGGGAGACCCTCGCAGACAACATCGATCAACCATATCCTGCAGGCCGGGCGCAATACCCTCAGTGAATTGGACGCCGAGATACAGTCGGGAAAAGACGAGTCAAGTCGTCTGGAGACCTCTCGGGAATATCTCCAGCAGCTACTGGACGGGAACGAGCTGACCGAATTGTAAGCGCGGCGCAATCAACATGCACAGCCGACTGGATATACTGATAATGGTCCTTTTTCTCCTCATTCCAGCAAATTCAAGCTTCCTCCCGCTCGAAATAGTACCCAGCTCCTGCGCGAGTCCGCTCCCGATGCGCCGCTGTCGTGTCGCAGCACCCTGGGCTCGTTTGCGCAGATGATGCTCGATTCCACGGACATCGCATATCGATGTATGTTGTTGGAAGAACCATTTTGGAAAACACCTGGCTGACGAGTGTTGCCTAGATCCTGAAATATCTTTTCCCGGTATCAAAACCGAGAAGAAGAAAGACGCAACAGTGTCACTGCCACCAGCAACACCGAAGCAAACTTACCAGGAGAACCATTCGATTCCCACTCCGACTGCTAACCAGGGGCAAGCAACGCCTTCGAGCAACTTTGCCATCGCCGTTCCTTCAAGGCCTACACCGACGCAACACACTCCCCAGACGAGCGCAAAGCGACGCAAGCTGGATACTGACGGTGAAGATGCCATGGCGGCAGTGCGACTGAGGGATCAAAAAGCAGAGGCCGATGCTGCTTTGCTAAAGTTGCAGGACCTGCTTCACGAGGTGTTCGAAACAGAGGACCAGATCGAGCCGGGCATGTCGATCGTGCCGACTGCCGAAAAACCACATCCGACATTCGTGAGCGCCAGAGCATTGGAGGTGCATGGCGTTGTACTCTCTTCCGATGCCCACAGCCGACTCCAGAAGGCGATCCGCAAAGTCGCTGGGTTTGATCGACTGCGGGATATACCTTCCGACTATCTCAATCGGATTCAGAAGCTTTGCGAAAAGTCCATTCTCGCCGCACAGGCTCCTGATCTCAGCTTGAACGATCCATCAAGTGAAACTGAAGCTCAGGAGTGGCTGGGGAGGATTGAGGATGTATTGACGGCACTTTTCGCCATTGGAACGCTTCTCCAGACAATGTCTGGCCGCCAGACAGAGCGCGATCTGTGTCCAGAGGATCTCATCGAAGCCATTCCCAACGTCCTCAACCAAACCTTCGACCACTGCGTTATCCCTGCTGTCGAGTCGCGCTCGGGAGGCAAGGATGCCCATCTTTTCTCCTTTTTCTCGGCCCATAGAAAGGTCATCGGAGGCCTGATTCACCAGAGCAAAAAGGCTCTCACGCTTTTTGCGGGCTTTTTGTCCCGCATCGATGTCTCAGAGGGTACAATCACGGCCACTGAGTTTTTTGCTGCCAAGCTGATCTTCGTGGAAAACGCACACAATGATAAAGACTCGGCAGTGGGCGTTCAGAAGTTTGAGCCAGCGCGACGGGGTGCGATGGATGTACTCGCCAAGATCTTCTCCAAGTATCCAGATCAGCGACCTTTTATCTTGGACGAAATTTTGGTTTCCTTGGAGAAGCTCCCCTCTACTCGTCAGAATGCAAGGCAATTCAAACTCGCGGATGGCAAAAATATCCAACTTCTCACTGCACTAGTGCTACAGCTCGTCCAGACCACCGCCTTGGAGACACCAAGAACCTCAAAAACTAAGCGCCGACTGCAGGCCTCTTCGGAGAACGACGAGTCAATGGGCGACGGAGAAGAGAAGGATGCCGACTCTGATTCCGATGAGCAGGACGAATCTCTGGAGCGACTTGCGCCCAAAGTCAACCGCCTCTATGACAACGCAGTGCGTAGTGCGCAGTACATCGTCAAATTCATCGTCCAGCGTGCCATGACATCAACCAAGACGGGCGATCAACCCTACCGAAACATCCTCGATCTTTTCACCGAGGACTTGGTCCACATCCTTGGGTCTGCCGATTGGCCTGCCGCCGAGCTACTGCTCCGGATCATGGCATCCCACATGGTTGGCATCGCCGACCTCGACAAAAGCTCCGCGATAGCCAAGAGCATGGCTCTTGAACTCTTGGGATGGATGGGCTCTGCGATATCGGATTTGATTGCAACTGCTCAGCACATGCTTCCGTCTATGGAGGACTCGAACAACGAACTAACCGACCACCTCAAACAGCTCTTTGACGACTTTTCTTGTCGTGCATTGCACCCACAGGATCTCGTCACCCCCACTGGTCCATATCGAATGGCCCTCGAGTATCTTCTACAAGACCGAAATTCCGACAACTGGCAGCTGACAAGCGCCCGAGGGTATTACCTGGCTCAATGGGCGAAGACCGTTTGTAATCTCTACTACAATGCGGAAGACAAAGAGGAGACGGCGCATGACGAAATGACTGATGACTTGGTCGTTCTCCTGACCAAATCCTTCTCAGATCCTCGCTGGTTGGAGACCCACATGCAATTCGATAACATCTCCAACGTTCATGGGAGATTCGCATACATCCTGACGGTTCTGAACTCAAGCTTTGGCAAGGCCTTTGATACGATCCTCAAGGTATTGTTGAACTCCATCGCCAGTGACCAGGCCAAGGTTCGTAGCCGCAGCCTGAAAAGTGTCATCTACATGCTTGAGAAAGACCCGAACCTCCTCGACCGGGATGCCTCAGTGATGCGTCTCATCCTTCGATGCACCACGGATGCTTCACCTATGGTCCGTGATTCTGCTTTGTCGCTGATCGCCAAATGTATCGGCCTGAAGCCCAAACTCGAAGAGGAAGGGTGCCGGAGCATCCTGGCCTGTGCCGCTGACGGAACTGCTGGTGTTCGCAAACGCTGCATTGGACTGCTGAAAGACCTCTACCACAGGACCTCGCGACATGAATTGAAGCTGGCCATTCTGGACAGTTTTCTGCAACGCACAGCGGATCTTGAGGAGAGTGTGGCTTCGTTGGCTCGCCAGACTTTTGAGGAGATATGGCTTGTTCCATTCCACGAGTCTATTGACTCTGTCTCTGATGGACCTAAGGTCAAGCTGGCGCTGGGAGAACAGGTTGGCCTGATGGTCGGTCTGGTTCAACGCAGCGATGCCGCTCTTGAGTCTCTAAGCACATGTCTGAAAGCCGTGCTGTCAGACAAATCCAAATCTGCGGCACTCAACTTCAAGGTCTGCAAAGCTATGGTATCGGTTATGTTTCAGAGACTTGTGGAAGACGCAGATGCATCTGGCAAAGAGTTTCAACAGGCTCTTCTGCAAACGATCACCGTCTTCGCCAAATCCAATGCGAAGCTCTTTAGCCCAGACCAGTTGGAATCCCTGCACCCTTACGTTGGGCACCTTGCGACTGCCGACGACCTTTTTATCTTCCGATCGGTCGTGGTGATTTATCGCTGTGTCTTGCCATACTTGTCCTCGTCACACAACACCCTTCTGAAGGAGGTGCAGAACGACCTTTTCAAAAGTGTCGCTAAGCTTTCTCGCGCGGAGCTCAACGAGGTCATGGCTTGCCTGTGGACTATTAACGGCGTCCTGCATAACACGGACCGGTTGGTGAAGCTGACAGTGTCTGTTCTCAAGCCATTGCTCCAATACAAAAGTTCCGACCTCACAGCGGACGCAAATGCATCGACCCTGGCTCGCGCCAAAAGCTACATTCGCATTGCTGGATGCGTTGGACGACACTGTGATCTTGAGAAATATGCATCCCACTTCAAGAGCTCGTTCCCAACATGGGCCGGTGGGTCAGTGGCAGGCCTTATGGCTGATTTCATTCTGCCGTTCACTACATCGAATCAGCCTTTCGAGCTCAGGGTGATGGCGCTTGAAAGCTTGGGATCCATCTGCCAGTCTTGGCCGGCCCAGTTTGGCCGGCAGGGACCGAGGAAAACATTCTCTCAGGTATTTAAGGAAGATGCACCAAGCTTGCAGAACATTGTCCTCCGGTCATTCGCGGATTTCTTTGCCATCCAAGAAGGCAAGTCCGAAAAGGCCGTTATGCCAACTGCCTCGGAAGCGGCGGCTCAGGAGGATTCGACCAGACTGGGGGGATCGCTGAAAGCAAGTGACAACGACGGCGCCGCGGCTTTGATTGCCCAACATTTCCTTCACGATATGCTGCGGGTGGCGCAATCGCGACAGGATGCTTACTCCTTGACTGCGATTGAGCTGATTGGGAGTATCAATCGCCAGGGCCTGGTGCATCCCAAGGAATGCGCGGGAGTGCTGGTCTCATTGGAGACTTCCACCGTGCCTGCGATTTCCAAGGTTGCGTTTGACACGCACAAGATGCTGCATTCGCAGTACGAATCCATGTTCGAGCGGGAGTACATGCGCGCCATCCAGGAGGCCTTTTACTATCAGCGGGACGTCGTCGGCGAGTCAAATGGTGCCACCGCTCGGCCCTACGTTGCCAAGCTCGCTCCATTGTTTGAGATCGTCAAGATCAGCAACAGCCGTTACCAGAAGAAGTTCCTGGCGAACCTCTGCGCGAAAGTGAACTTCGAGCTGAAGAAACTCGATGATACCGGAAACCCTCCCGAGCACCTTCTGCTGTCGCGCTTTGTGGCCCAGAACCTGGGCTACTTTGACTACGGCCAGCTGGCTGAACTAGTTCCGACCATCACCTGTATGGAGCGCATCGTTTCCTCGACTGGCACTGTCGTTGCCCATGCCATCGAGACGGATATCTTTCCCCCTTCGGTTGAGGAACAGACAGCTCCTGTCATGATCCCAGGCTTCCCTACTGAAATTCAAATTCCCACCAGCGCCCCACCGCCGGCCAACCCGGCCACCTTGCGACTGCTGGCAACTGCCGCTGCATCCCTTTCCATGCTATGGGAAGCACGCACCTACCTCCGACGTCTCTATGGGGTACACGCACACAGCAAAGACGGCAAACCCGCGGCGAAAGATCTCAACAAGACCGCCACCAAGGTACACGGCGTCACGGGCGACAGACTCTGGGAAGCCATTGCCAGGAACATGGCTGCTCTAGACAGCCCGGAGTCCATGCTGAACAAGTGCCGTGAGTTCGCAACTTTGCTCGCCATCGACGAAGAGTTCAAGGTCGGTGACCACGATGACGCCGATGGTGACCTTGACGCTGTTGGCGAGGTCGATGACTCCATTGGCGCAGGCGCCGGCGACTGGACTGGTAGTGGGCCCAGACCTATGAAACGGAAGGGTTCTGTCTCCAGTGCAAATCTCAACAAGAGACCAAAGAGCCGTAAGAATTCTAATGGCAAGAAACGGTCCAGCACGGATCCTGACGATGACTTGGCCTGGGACTGATTACGATGAACCGTTCCTCAATATTTCGCCTCGACACCTTTTTTCCCGCCTCTTTCTTATCTGCATATCAGGCGAACCCGGCTTATTCATTTATTCATTTCCCTTCTTTTCGTTGCACAACTTACGGGGTTTTTCATAGGGCATTATTGGCTTCTTTTCTTTTCGCTTTTAATACTTTTTTCTGGTTCGCATTCGGCGGCGCAACTGGAAGAGACAGCCACTTCCTGGATGGGATCTTTCCTGGTTTTACATTTCATCCATTATATTATTGTCTATGAGCAAAGCAAATAGGAAATACAGACATCCATTTTTGTTTATTAGCAGTGCCGAGTCCCGTGCACGTGACCAGATGACGTCGGGCATGGATTATGATTTGGGGCGCTCCATTCCTTGCAGGAGCTCTCAGGCCTGTTTTATTTTCACATTCAGACCCGTCATTCTTTTCACCTGTGCTGCGTGGGCCATGAGCTGCCTCGCCCGTATTCACTATCGCTGATCACTTCTGCGTCGTTCTCAAGCTCTCTTGCCTCTCTTGCCCTCCCCTACACCGTCATGAGCGCGGCGTTGCTCCGGAGTCGTCCGGGCGGCCCCGCGCCGCATTCGATTGGCACAATGGTGCCTAGAATTCCTGTGTCCAGGACGCATCTAGCAATCAGGCAGGCCATTTCGCGTTCGTTGCACACCTCTCGCCGCCGACCCGTACCTCAATGGCGCGCCGCTGCCGGCCCGACCCCCAGGACTCCGGCTCGGCTACCGATTCGATTCAAGTCTAGCACTACCGCCGAGAAACCCAAACGTACCGGTCCTCTAGGCGTCATCTACAAGTGCTTCTTCTACTCCGGCTTCTTTATCGTCACCAGCGGCGTTGTGGTCATCGCCTTCTTCATCTACGACGCAAGCACATATCGCGAGTCTCCCAGCGCAGAGGATATACCTGTCTCGGAGCTGGCGCTGAACCCCCGATACGGCGGACCGAAGAATCTGTGTATTGCCGATATGCTCGTTGGCGACCTTGACTCGGAACATATGCTCGAGCAGAAGGATAAGCCGCGTCTTGTCATCCTGGGCACGGGATGGGGCAGTATTGCACTTCTCAAGAATTTGAATCCCGGTGATTATCACGTTACCGTTGTGTCGCCGACGAACTATTTCCTTTTCACGCCCATGCTCCCCTCTGCGACGGTGGGCACGCTAGGTCTGCGGTCGTTGGTGGAACCGGTTCGGCGGATTATCGATCGTGTGCATGGCCACTTCTTGAAGGCGGAGGCGACAGATGTGGATTTCTCGCACAAACTGGTCGAGGTCTCGCAGGTTGATGATGAGGGGAAGAAGAGGAATTTCTATCTTCCCTATGACAAGCTTGTTATTGGTGTTGGCTGCGTGACGAACCCGCACGGTGTCAAGGGTCTGGAGCACTGCAGCTTCCTGAAGACTATCGACGATGCACGCCGAATTAAGAATAAGGTGCTGGAGAATATGGAGCTGGCTTGTCTGCCCACCACTAGCGACGAGGAGCGGAAGCGACTCCTGTCTTTTGTGGTTTGCGGTGGTGGTCCGACTGGTGTGGAGTTTGCGGCTGAGCTGTTCGATCTGCTTAATGAGGATCTGCTCCATTCTTTCCCCCGGATTGTGAGAAATGAGATCTCCGTGCATATTATCCAGAGCCGTGGTCATATCTTGAATACCTATGACGAGGCCCTGTCTCAGTATGCGGAGAATCGTTTCAGTCGCGATGGTGTGGAAGTCTTGACGAATTCCCGCGTCAAGGAGGTGAAGAGAGATCGCGTTCTTTTCAGCCAAGAAGAGAATGGTGAAACGGTGGTCAAGGAGATTCCCACTGCGTTTTGTCTTTGGTCCACCGGAGTGTGTAAGTCATGGCCCTCACTCAACTACCGAGGTGAAGCTTTATCTAACTAATAACCTCCATCTAGCCCGAGCCCCAATCTGCAAAACACTCTCTGATAAACTGGAGGGCCAGAATAACAAGCATGCTCTAGAAACCGACTCGCACCTCCGCGTCGTCGGCGCCCCTCTAGGCGACGTCTACGCGATTGGCGACTGCTCCACCGTCCAGAACAACATCGCACAGAACGTCATCAAATTCCTGCGCACCATCGCTTGGGAAAAAGGCAAGGACCCAGAGAAAGTACACCTCACTTTCTCCGAATGGCGCGATGTCGCCAACCGCATAAAGAAGCGCTTCCCACAAGCCTCCGACCACCTCCGGCGCGTCGACCGCCTCTTCGAGCAATACGACATTGACCAATCCGGCACGCTAGACTACAACGAGCTCTCTGAGCTCCTCCACCAAATCGACACAAAGCTCACCTCCCTCCCCGCCACGGCCCAACGCGCAAACCAGCAGGGGGTGTACCTAGGCCGCAAACTGACCAAGATTGCCGCCGCGCTGCCCGGCCTGCAGGCTAACCAGATCGATTACGGTGATCTTGACGAGGCTGTCTTTAAGGCTTTCAAGTATACGCACCTCGGCAGTCTGGCGTATATCAGCAACGCGGCTATCTTTGATTTCGGTGGGCTGAACTTCAGCGGTGGCGTGCTGGCTATGTATCTCTGGCGCGGTATCTACTTCGCGGAGAGCGTCAGCTTCCGGACCCGGTGTATGCTGGCCATGGACTGGGCTAAGAGAGCGCTTTTTGGAAGAGGTAAGTTTTCCCCCATCTTTCCATGTCTCTATACGACAACCTGCTAACATGTCTTGTTTCATTTTTAGATCTCATGAGCTTTTAGACTGATTCGTCTCTCGAGGGGACCATGTGAATGAACGTCATCTGTCTATATCATAGTAGACCATTGTTGGTTTTCTTCAGTCGCTCTGCTCTGCGGCGCTTAAGCGATTTCCTTCTGCTCGAATCCTGCATGCACCTTTAAGCTTGCTGTTGGATGGGTTGGATATCTACCTATTCCTTTTTTTTGGCGTTTAATTTTGCTCCCGTGTATCTATCTACTTGTAGCCAATTGCATGTCAGTTTTGTGTAAAGAAGGGCCAATTTATTTCGCTTTTATGGCAATGGTACCTCTCAAAAGACACAGGGGCATCTACACTCGACCATTAAGTCCTTTTGATAATGCCTGCACAACCTCGGCGCCTCCTCGCTGCCCAGAGCGCACGGCACCCTCCATGTATCCACGCCAAACAGATGCAGTCTCGGTGCCTACAAAGTGTATGTTTTCAAAGGATGTCGTCAGTTCAGTGCCAACTGCAGTCATCACTCCGGGTGCCATCACTGGACAGGGAGCCCCTAGAAAGAAAGCTTGCTTGAGCCACTCAACCTCCAGGGTATTTGCTGGTTCGGGTATATCCTCGACAAACTTTCCGAATCCCCTGGAGAATTGCTCCCATACTTGACAATAACGAGCCGCCTTGGACAGTTTGGACCATTGCCTTCCTCTCTCGCCAACGATAAAGCAAGTGATTGACCATTGACCATCAGCAGGAATGCTGGTATCTCGAGAGAAGCTGATGGGGCCGATCTCGGCGTCCAAACAGCCAGAGAAACCAGCATTGCGCCACCAAGGTTTGTCAAAAACGAATACCATCTTGCTGTAATATCCCATCGCTGTGTTTTCGCCGAGAGCTGCTTTTTTCTCGGGCAGGGGAGGGGTAAATTCAATTGATGGGTAGAGGGTTGTAGGAATCGAGACGATGACTTTTCGAGAATGAACCACCAGTCCACTCTCTGTTGTGATCACACATTTAGACTCTTGCGACTGATCAATTGAAGTAACAGGATTACGCAGGAGAACTGAGCCTGGACCCAGTTCCTTGGCCATTCTTCGGGAGATGGTTTGATTGCCTAGACCGTTAGCGCCCAAAACTAACACCGAAGGCTCTCTTTTTCCGTGGTAAATACCTTGTCTATTGCGTAAATATTGTCCTCCATCTTTCTGATCTGAGAGGAGGTTGTCGATTCCGCACCCACATTTAATATAGTGCAACATGAACAAGGCGCTGACTTCGTCACTTTCCACTCCTAAAAGTGCACTGCATATCAGATCGGCAATATCAGCCGCGTCTTCAGACTTGGTTCTGCTGACACAAAAGTCCTCGAAAGTTGTATGGTCAATCTCCTTGGCACCTGGAGAGTTACAAGGGTTGTTGATGTCCACGATGGCGGACTCTGCTCGAAGAACCATCATGAGGTTTATGAACACAGTTGGATTACCCTTCATATCATAATCAGTATCCAGGGTATTTGGGGATGAATTGAGGCTATACGGACCGGAAGTTGGCCATACGGCAGCTTCACGATAGACCCCACCGCGGGCTCAAGGACGCTGTCTCCATGATCCAGTTGGATTTCAGTGTCAATGCCATATCGCTGAAAGAGTTTGAAAATTTCGCTTTGATTGGTGTCATTGATCCAGGCCGCACCCAAATCATTAAATCCCTTCTCGCTGGACTGGAGGGTGAGGGTCTTCCCTCCGACTCGGTTGTTCGCCTCCAAGACACAAACACTGAGCCCTGCAGCACGGACTGTGAGAGCAGCTTGAAGACCACTCAGGCCGGCACCGACTACGACCACGTCGTACGAGGGCCTGGCTGTCGTCGAGATGGACATTCTTCTGTTTTGCCGGAGATGCCGGGAGCAAATGAATCGGGATGGTAGGGGGTTGATTATAGAAGAACTGAATCGATATGCCAGAGGATCAAGGATCAAATCAATAGATTTTCCCTTACTGTGGCGATATCGTTTTATACCCCGAGAGTAGCAGAGAAAGCTCGGATGATGTCAATTCGGGCCCCGCGAACACCGAATCGACGTCTTATCTCACACCCGCGTTTATTAACCCTTACCCCACTTACCCCGGCTTCTCTACTCGTGTCTCCTTTTTAGAAGCTTCCAACGACGCGGGCGGTGGATTCTCTGGGTTGGCTGCGGTCACAGTGGGTTACAGAGAGGCGAAGGAAGTTTTCAGTCGCTACAGCCGGGTTCAATGTCTCATTTATGAGTGATACCAATAAGATAAACTCTTGTCAAATATTGACACAGACCCATTTCAAGACATCGCCGTCGATGTTCAAAGCTCGTATACTATTTTAGTACGTAGCACTTATCACATGACTGATGTCTTTGTTTTAATCTTTGTTGTTATTCGGACTCTTTTTAGTTCAACTATGGATATTCTTATGTCTAGCACTCCAGGACAACGCTAGATTATATATCGATCTCCCCGGCCGCCTCGAGCAGACTCTCCGCTCCCATATATCCGTGTGGCCAACCACCCGACAGCTGTAGCCATATCGATGGTATGCTTATTGACTTTGCAGACGTATCCCCCGTGGCGAATTTTACTGAAGCCTGCAGGTTCGGCAGAGAGATGATCGATGGGTACCCGTCGCCAGGCTGTGGCCGAAAATCGTTGGCCGCGTCCTCGTCGTCAGAATCATCAGAATCCGGCGAATTTGTGGCTACGCTGCCGCTGTCTCGCCCGACAAGAATATTCTCACTGACCTCGCCGAGGTAAGCTGCTTTATACAGGTCATGCATGATGTCGAGGGCGATAAGCCACTGCCTCGCGGCTTTCCACTCAGAAACCCAGCATGTCATGAGCTGACGGACGAGGTTGAAGTAATGATTGGCTTCTTTCACCACATTATCGTCTGAAAATGTCTCATCCCGTGCGTATTGAAGCCAAAGAAATGTGTTGGCAGCGATAAGAATTGAGGCTGCCACCCAAATGGTTTGCAATGAGGACTCGTGCTCCATACCATCCATTAAATATGAGAGCATCTCCCCAACTTGCAGAGCGCTATTCACGCAAGTCTTGATGAGCGATTCGTCCCTGTGAAAATATGACCAACCAGCAGCGTCGACAAGGTCAACAAGCATAGTATAGGCCGTCCGTTGAGGCAGATAGCACTGATGGGCGACGCACGAGGCTGAGCGCAATATGAAGTGCATCGCCACAAAGGGGCTCTTCTGACCAAGGACACATTGGTTCTTATAGTTGTCATCGCTCCAACGGAGACTTGGATGTAGCTCGTCGACCCAAGAGCACAGGGCCGCGTGCTGGATAAAAAGCGTGCTCCGAGAGTCAGTTGGCGGGTGCCAGTCCAGACGCCTACGAGAGTAGACGACGAAGTCAGCTAGATCACTCCAAAGGCAGATAGACTTGATCAAGTACGGAGTGAGACCAAGGTCTGACGGTCTACGCTGAGTAGTCAGCTCGTCCAAGCTCACGCCTCTAGTCTCCTCTTGGTAGACCAGTGATGCATCAGCACTAGGCACAGCAATAGAGACGGTGTCGAGATTAACTGTTCGGTGCTTAGCAAGCAGGTATGCTAGCGCCCTGTCGAAGAGAAGACATGCCCAAAACGTGCGTCTTCGGATCTCTTGATCTCGGGGTGTGTGTTTCTGATGAAACTCCTTATTGAGTCTCATGACCTCAGCCATGCGGATGGCCGTGCCTGCGAAAAGCCACTGACGCGCACCAGAGTTCGCGAGAAGCTCTGCCATGGCGACGATCAGGTTGGCCTGGATATGCGAAACTACGATTGCGTAGTAAGCATTTGAGGCTCATCAAAGCATGGGCGACACTCTTACCGCTTGGCTCATCCGATTTCACCTTGGCCAGATATCGGGCTTTCTGTAGGTAATTTCGCGAGACTTGACGCGCTGAATTAAGCCCGAAGAAAGTTTGCGCATCCTGCTGCGCTAAGTATCTGCCACATAGCGCTATAACTGATGAAGCGAGGAGGGCATCTTGTCTACACTTGTGCTCAAAGTCTAACCGATAGTCAAATGAACAAAAGTCGCTTGCGAAATGCCGTTCAAAGAATTGATTGAGACAGATCTGGAGGCCATGCTGGAAGCTGGGGCTTTGATCAGCCGCTTCGAGCGATGGCGGTAGTGCTCTGATGTGTGCGGTCACCTCTGGTGATTCTCGGGTATGAGCAGTCGAGCTAGGCGTCACTCCATGCTTAGGATCAGGGGCAGACCATAGGCATTGCAGTCCCTTCACGGTGCAATGACCGCATTGGGGGCGATGGCCATCACATTTGGTCTTGCGGCTCCGGCTAGAAACACATCAGTCCCGAACATTACTAGGGACCTGTGTCTGGATTCATACCAAGTGTTGCAGGCAATCGGAGTCCTGACAAAGCCTCGCCTCATGGCTTACAGTAGTGCTCGTCGGGATGGTGGAGACGGAACGTGCTCCTGGTTTCACTGGTGATAGCGGAAGGGCCGAAGAACCGTCGGGATGGAAGTGGGCCTTGTACATTCAAGTATGGAGGACCCACTAGTCAATTTTAAGGCTATGATTGGTCGTGATGCTGGAGTTGGAGACGCAGACAGTGATGATAAATATGTTATTCTATTAACCTGACGCTACCTAACTATTATAAAAGAAATCGAGGCGCAGACAGCAGGGTTGAGATAAGAGCCAACCTTCGGAGCTACATAGTAACCTTGGCTTTGCTTTAAATGTACTCAATTCACATCTCCTGTCCTTTAACCTGATTCACATTTCTTGCATCGCATAGCATTGGATGTGGTTTCTCGCTGTGAGTCGGTAGCTAGGGTGAATCTTTCTAGACGTAATCGGACATTGTTTATCACTCTGTTTGGTGTTGCCGCCCGTATCGACACTAGGGTGTGATCTCAGGGGTTTCTTGTGCATCATAGAAATAATTAGCCAGGCTTCGCATCGATGGGCCTAAACATCCTTGTTTGTGATCAGCTTCAGGGTTGTTGAGAGCTCCCTAAATGGCTAGTCTTCATATGTTATTGTATTCAGCCTCCATGATGAAATGAGGGGAACCTTGTCTCCAATAATCCTAAGTAGCAATTTGGCCCCCGATCACCGTCATTTGCTAGCCTCAGCCTCCCTTTTTGGCTCCCAGGCCCACAAGTCCGAAAGATGCAGCACCGTAGACAGAACCAAATGTATCCCAACCAACACAAGTCCAATAATCCCAATAGGCATAGCAACCATATTGACAAACTTCACAAAATGCCCTTCCCAATCGGATTCGTGGACCTTCATCCTCCAACCTGGCAACCACATGCGATACCAGCCCGTCAGAACCCAGTGCCCCTCGATAGGCTCCAATGCCAGCAGGACCAGATGAACGATGAAGAGATTGCGAGCGTCTCTTCGGGACCGTATGTATCCCCGTTTCTCGAGCCAGAGGGTCGCCTTCGGCCTGGGCTCTGGCCATGGGCCTGCCATGAATGACGTCCACCAGTTGAAGTAGATGAGCAGGAGGATCCAGTGCCAGCTGTAATAGAGCAGCCAATACGGGATGTATTGGAGAAAGGTGCAGTCGTCGCAGTTTGAGGTGGCCATTCTTATAAGGTGTCGGTTGTAAGTAGGGACTGTAAGAGGAGAAACGAGCATGGTCATCTCCGCAACTTGAGATTCTTAGATAGAGATGAGACTGAAGTTCACATCACCTGACTGCTCACCTGAGCAACCCGGTCCTCTCACTGATTGCCCTGGTTCGCTTACTGAGCCCGAGCTGAGCATTGGGATAAGCGGCCTGAGTAGGCCCACCCCCACTAAAATGCACCACGCGAGCTTCGTTCCTGTCCAACATTTTCCCCTTTGCATCACCTTTATTTGCCTTTTACATACCCTGCCTGCAATTGTCAAACACCGATTGATTTCAAGCTTGAAGTATTATGATTTATCTATACACCGCAACACGTACTGCAGTGTAGATAATTGCCAAATTAGCTGCAATTACAGGTTGACTTATTTGAGGGCTAGGCCCGAAGATTCAGTATAGACTATTCAACAGGAAGGACGAAAATGTATCCCAGGTAGCTGGAATGATTTATGCCGTTTGTGCCTCATCTGCTAAAGCTGTTCATGGGACCTTTTGGCCTCCTCGAGATTTGACTCCCGGTCTAGTTGAGCAGTATGCCGGCGCATCGTCCTCACATCCTGCCACCACACAACACAGATCCATCCCGCGAGGCTGACACTGACGACCACCATTGTCACAGTTCCCTTAAAGAACCCCTAATTCCTTCACTAAGTATTTGATATGGAGAAGGCTCGAGTAAAAGCATAAGACTTACTGATATAGCATCTGTTGTCGGATAGAGTGCGATGCCCCAAAAAGCATACAAGACAGAAGAAGCGCCTGTGCGACTTTAAGTATGTCTCTATAGAATCAGCCGAATGGACGGAGACTCACCATTCATGGAGAACAGAGTAACAGCTCGTGCAGCATCATCACCATCGCGTGATAAGACCTTGTTTGCCCATGTGAAAACGACGGGTTGAATCGAATACGCTGTTCCGGCCATGTCTATCTCAATCAGGTGATTGTTCAGAAAGTCTTGAGAAGACTTCACGCCTTGATACTTACAAAACGCTGCCATCTTTGCATCAGTCCCAACCATGTTCCAGCAAAGAAGGATGATGCACGCAATGATTTGGACAGAGCAGGCAAAAAACCCATATAAAGAATGGACTCCCGTGGCATCAATTGCTACAGATGTACACAGAGTGAGTACGATACCTAGAGGAAGTAAGCCTTCATTAGCTCTTCGACAAATCAAGTGTACCATGTACGAACCAATGGCGGTGATGCCAAGCGGATACATGTTATTCTGTGGAACGGTGAAGAGCCCGGAAGCTTTCATCCATAGGACCATGCATGTCTGTGTAGAGAATGCTTCTAAAGCTCCACCGATCATCCAGAAAATATTGAAAATCCAGCTTAATACAAAAAATTAGGCGCAGCTTGAGAAAGTGATGGAGAGGCAAAACTTACAAATTTGGTGTGAGCAGGACTCTCTTGATCAGTGAAAATCCGATATTGTGTCCATCTGGATTCTTAGGTGGTAAACGGCTAACAGCTAGCTCTTTCTCATGAGGCTTGAGGTAGAATGCCTTAGTCGACTCCGGAAGATCCGGAAAGAAGACAAAACCGAAGATGGCGACGGGCAGGGTGATGATTCCATCAAGTATGAAAGACTATCCGTATATTAGTTAGCATCAGATAGCCGCTATCAAGTGTCTCTTTAGGAAAATACCAACCCATCGCCAACCAGACAACCCAGCCACACCGTTCATCGTCTCCCAAACAGCGGTCATCAAGACACCTAGTAAATGTCGTCAATTTCAATCTTTTATATGCCACCATGGTATGCCGCTAGCGGACTTACCTGAAAACATGGTTCCCACCATTCCAGAAGCTTGGAAGAGGCCAATACGTTTACCGATTTCCGACCCCTTGTACCAGCTGCCGATGATATACTGCGTACCACTGTATGTAGACGCTTCTGCCATACCTTGCAAGAAACGCACGGCGGCCAACTGGCTGAAGTTGTGGCAGGCTCCGCAGGCCATGGTCAAGATGGCCCAAACGGTTGTCATCAGCGGAAACCAAATTCGGGGAGCGACCTTCTGAATCATAAGGCTATGAGGTACCTGTCCTATGATATCTGCGGTGAATGAGCACGGGACAACATGAACAGTTAGAGTGAAGATTATTACTTACAGCCAACTGAAAGACAGGTAACCAGGAGGTTGTATTGATTGCCAGTAATGTTGATGTCTTCTTGCATCCCGGAGACGTACGCATTTGCTAGAACAGCGCGATCTGTTGGGCTTATGTTAGTTTAACAGAATTGAGAGGTACTAGACGCGGGAGTGTTCACCTAGGTAATTGAAAAAGAAGGCAATACAGCAGTAAGTCTGACATGCTAGTTAGTAACCAATCTGATAAATGTCCGTGGCACGCCGTGTACAAGGATAAAGAAGTCTATCTTCCTCAGTAACTGGGTTCTCCGACGTTAGTGACTTTCTGTATAGGTAGCTAGGAACGCTTCCCACCTTGCGCTCTTCTGGACTTGTAGGGGCTTCACCCCAGACGGCCACGCGGAGCTTGTCCAGCTTGATACCCATTGTTGTGGTCGCAGAATTGGTAGATCGTCGAAGATAGCTGCGTGGTGAATTGCTGAATATGTCGTACCTGGCGGATCCAATGCTACTGAGGAAAGGGTTTATAGCATGGACAGTTTTCTGAGGAAGGTTGAACTCGGCTGGTTAAAAGAAAAGAATTGAGTAATTCAATCTCTCCGCACGAAAAGTTCGAGTTCTTACATCTTCCCCGCAAGTTTTTACCCTCGCACGACCAGGGGCTATGGATCAGGTGGGTCTTGTCTCCGCGACGGATAACCCGACAGATAAGGCGGGTGAGCCGTGGCCAGGGTCATCAAATTTATGTATCGGTTCGATCTCCCGAACAAGACAACCCCGATGAAATGAGTTTCTATTTGTCAAATTTCTCGAATTGAACACTTGGGTGAGTTCAAGATCCCTGTTAAGCTCCCTCGGCCCCGATGTTTCTTCCATTGGAAAGATAAAGCCATGTGCAGTCAAACTGATCCGAAGCAGCACCAGGCACCTTTTTAATTTCAACAATGAAAGACCCGATCCTCGCAAGCCACCCGGCGCCCTCAACCATAAGGCTTGCCAAGCTGCAAACCGAGCAGCAGAACTCGAACACTTCAAAGATTGACGAAGTCTCTTCCCTAGAGCTATGTCGTAGGTTCAAGTATCTGATGTAATACCCTCTGTCATAGGACTGAGTGATTCTTTTGCCATAGAGATCATCAACGAAGAAGACGCAACTATTGCCAAAGCCGTTAAGACTTGCCTACCTCAAGTTGCCCTTGCAATCGATGTGATCGTACCACACATACTTGCGGGCGGTCGGGTCATCTATGCCGGGGCTGGTACTAGTGGAAGGTATTCACTCAGCTTCCATGTCAGTGGTTGATAGTTGACTATTTATTATGATATAGATTAGGTGTCCTCGACGCATCTGAAATGTAAGTATACATCTTTCGGGCCAGTCATTGACAAAACTAACGAAGTCCCCAAGTCCACCCACATTCTCTGCACCGCCAGGACAGTTCATTGGATTGATAGCCGGCGGAGACCATGCTATCCGAAACGCGGTCGAAGGCGCCGAGGACTCAGAAGAAATGGGTGCGACTGACCTTGCGATGCTGTCCCCACCCTTAGGCGAGAACGACGTCCTTATAGGCATTGCCTCGTCGGGGCGGACCCCTTATGTTTTAGGAAGTATCAAATACGCAAGATCAGTCCGATCAGCCACGGTTGGTCTCGCTTGTGTGCATCCAAGCGCACTAGAGGGACTCTGTGACGTTTTGATTGAGTGTGTCACTGGCCCCGAAGTTGTGACTGGGAGTACTCGTCTCAAAGCGGGCACCGCGACCAAAATGGTATGACCTGCTATTTTCTGAAGTCAAATATCTTTAAAGCGGAATCTGGCCTAACAGTGGCGGCGGAGTTCAGATCTTGAATATGATTTCCACAGGCTCACAAATCCGAGCTGGGAAAACATACGGCAATCTGGTCAGACTATCTAGGTCATTTATCTCTCACTATTCTTCCAGAATGCTAATATGAACCCAGATGGTTGATCTGAAAATTTCAAATGAGAAGCTGCACGACCGAGCACGCCGCGTCGTTCGGGCCATCGTCCCCGAGACAGCCGTTTTTGACGTTAGTAGAGACGATGTCCTTGATGAGATATTGACCCGCTGTGATGGTCATGTCAAGCTCAGCATTCTCGTGGCTACCTCTGGATGTTCACCTGAGGAGGGCAGGGCAAAACTGCAAGCCTCAACGGGGTCGCTGAAAAGGGCATTAGAGATGGAGTAAAGGTGGTTCATGGATTAAGAGAGTTCTCTTGAAGGTTAACTAGCCACTATTTGTTTTAGAAGTGAAAGGAATCTATTAATTCCGTGCATCTCTGTTCTTTTACCAAGAAAACTGTCTACAAAAGTCTTTGAAAAGATTTTTTCTTTACCTGTCCTAGGCGCTAGGTTCCTCCGGGTCGACGGTTTTCGCCAAGATACATCATCGAGAACTTAGCGAATTTGCTAACCGTTATTATTGTTAGTTGACGGAGTACACAGTACGTAAGATTATCATTTTGCAGTGTTGGCATGAAAATCCACTCGTCAACAACTCTATAGGCGTTAAGGGCGCCCTGAGGCCATCTACGGATAACCCGTTGAATGGCCCCACCAGGACTCCGAGCCGATCTGAGCAGGGACGCCCTCCCACGCAACGGGGGTTCTGGTAGCCCACACATAAAACATCATGCGGTCAAGTGACTGATTCCGACCGCTTCGGGGAAATTTGGTGACTTCGTTTCGAGAGGTTACTACAACGTCCCTCGCCTAGCTTCCAACGCTGTGGACCTGAGCAAGCCGAGGACGTATGAATTGACCATCTCCACCGCAAATATTTGGTCAGGACGGGCATTTTCCCCGAACACGCTCAAGGATCCTTCTACTCTTCTTTTCTTTCATCCTTCCTACTTTCCTCTCTTACTTTTCTTTATTTTTGATTTAATAAAAGAAAAACGTCTACTACAAATACTTGGTCACCGCTGAAGTAAAGAAGTCAGCCAACATCATGGTCACTCTCAACGTCCTGGGATTGAACTGTGGCACCAGTGTGGATGGTAAGTCCCTGGCCTCTGCGCAGAGTGGAGAGACCAGATTCATACTGTGACTGTGTATCTAAACATCTTAATGTAGGTATTGATGTTGCTCATTGTCGTATATCTTCCATTCCATCGTCACGGGACGTGAAAATCGAACTTCTCTCGTACACAGAAGTCCCAGTCAACCCAGATATTCGCTCTCAGGTCCTTCGGCTATGTCGCCCTAACGCCGGACCTAACGCGGCTACCTCTATGGCTGAAATATGTGACCTCAATTTCGAGCTAGGAAGAGAGTTTACACGGGCAATCGAGGAGTCCCAGGTGGATCTGGCCCAAGTCGACCTCGTCGCGAGTCACGGACAGACACTATGGCACCAGCCTGTGGGGGAAAAGCGCTCGACGCTGCAGATGGCGGAGCCTGCCGTGATTTCCCATGGCACTAAAAGGTACGAGGAAGCCCAGAAGTGCCTCTATGGTAATTCATACATATACATATATTGACCACAGAGCAGGACAGTTGTCAGCGGGTTTCGGGTTGCTGAGCTAGCGGCCGGCCGGCAGGGTGCACCGTTGTCCGGCTTCTTCGAAGCTGGGCTCTTGTCTAATCCTGAACTGACACGTATTAGCCAAAATATTGGCGGCATAGGTAAGTGGATGAACGATGCAGCATTCCAAATTTCAGCCCTAACTGAGCCTGTGGAATCAGTCTATTGACGCTTAACATAGGGAATGCAACCGTCCTCCCAGCCAGCAGTTCAAAGGCCGGAGATTCTAAATCAAAATACTTCGCCTTTGATACCGGGCCTGGAAATGTCTTTATCGATGCTGCCATGCGTCTTCTAACAAACAACAAGGAGCATTTCGACTGCGATGGAACACTCGGCGCCCAAGGCGAAACAGAGATCGACAACTCAGTTGTCGAAGACTACTTGACTAGCGAGCCATACTTCCAACTTCAACCGCCAAAAACCACAGGGCGCGAACTCTTCTCAGACGATGTGGCTCGGGTACTTGTCGAAAAGATGCAATCATCCGGCAAAACCCCTGCGGCCATCATTGCCACTGTCACCCGTATCACAGCCGAGTCGATCGCCAGAGCATATGAGAACATCGTCTTGCCTCTTCTAGGCGAGGGTAGGAGGAACATTGACGAAATCTACATCTGTGGTGGCGGGGCCTACAACCCCAACATTCTCAAACACCTGAGGGCGCGCTTTCCCCAGAGTAGAGTTATGAGGCTTGGCGATGACGGTGGCCCTACAAAATTGGACCCCAGTGCTAAGGAAGCTGTTTTATTTGCGTTACTTGGTTTCCTGTGTGTTTGTGGCCGAAGCGTTCATGTTGCAATGGATGCAGAGACGGCAGAGTCGACCGTTATGGGTGTGGTTACCCCTGGAGAGAACTATCGGCATGTTATGGAAATGGTTGTTAGGGATCAAGAATTCGCGAAGGCGGGCATCTTGGGGAGTATTTTAATGTGATGATAAGTTATACCGTTATTATTGTTGGGATTTATTAGTTTGTTTACAGTTAAGCCAAAATTCCTTTTAATCATGTAGACCCGGATCTTTCTACTCTTAGACTGGCGGGTGTCTCAAGTGAGAGTACTCCGTTACTTTCGGATTCGAATGATAAATTCACGGGTGACTGACCACTTGGATTACGACGCCGCAAGTAAGCACGAGAGTAATGACTGGCCGTAACACCATTTGCGAACTTTTGCATACAAAAGTGTCATTCTAGCCTTAGTTCTTGTAAAACAAATAGCTTGCCCCCTTCGATGCGCTCTAGGATCATCCGTGGATAGTATTCCTCGTTATTTCAAAATCGATCCAGTAGCGCAAAGCAGTCAAGAATGAGTATCAGGAACAGGGCTTCGGCCTCGAGTGCGAGTGGTGGCTGGTGGCTCATACATTTCTATGACTGTCTAGGAATTCCTAGGTCCTCTTCTTACACCTAATGTCGTAAGAGTCACATGATTACAAGGCCGAATCAAATAGGGTTAGGCCAAGTTAAGTCTGGCGCGAGGTCTTGCCAGGCTGAGAGTGACCTGCTCACTGGCACCTGAGCAGTATTCCCCTCCTTCGTGGCCCTACTCGATTCACCGATACCTACACAGTGACTACACCTCGGAAAGCTATCTCTACATATATCTACCCTCCTCATACTCGGAAATGGTGAAGTTGCAGACTGTGTGTACACTGCTTGTGCCCTCTTTGGTTATTTGGTTGGGATACCGATACCTGGCCTATTCACACCCTCGCTATGCGAATCCTCAAGAACGACCCGACATGCTAACACGAATGGATTATGACCATATTACTTCCCAAAATCATTTCACAGACGAGCCGCAATTCTGGGCACGTTACGGCTCTGGACCTGGCGTTGCGGTTACAGGGTGGCCCTCTCAGGGAGGAATCTATACGCTACAGGTTTGTAGCCGCGTGGAACTAGAATTCTTAGAACTAGACCTATTCAACAACACTTTGCGCCCATCTGTATCCGATCCTGAGTGGCAGAACAAAGAGAATGCGCACTGTGATCGGAGTAAGTTATTACAACGTGTTCCTAAAGTGGATTTCTAATTCCTAATAGTGCGTCGCCTTGGTCCTACCTGGTGGAAGAGCGAATATGCACAATTTTATAGTGGGATGTTAGAATACTCTGAAGGGCGTGGGAACGGTATAAACAACTATATCCGCGCTGGTTGGCCCGCTGGAGGCGGAGTATGGGTTTTGCAGACAACAAGAGACGAAGCGAGCGAGAAAGGTTTAGCGAAGCTTCAAAACGCTAACACGATGGAAGAGCGGTGCGAGTTGATTGAAAAGTCAGGTGGCGTTTTTTATGAAGACCCTAAAGCTTGCCCGTATCTCGATCTTCCTTGATAGACCAGTCTGAGCTTTATGGACCGTGCTATAAGTTGACTTGTATTTCCTTAAGGGTATTCCTATTTGATACCACGTGATTTTCGTTTCGGTGATCCTGCTTTTGGGAGTGTTGATATATCGCTTCGGTCCGTTTAGATTCAGTTAGTGCCTTAATTGGATCTACTGTGTCACTTCTGCATCGTATCGTCATCGTCTCTTTCACCTAATCGATAGGCTTACTCTCTGGTAAGCTCCCTAGAATGGAAGCAGTGTGCCTGGGGCTGCAAGCATTATGGCCCCTGGCTCTGAGATTTTCGACCATTCATCTCTTATCTTCACGTCTACTGTACACGGTTTACGCCTCAAAAAACCACAAAGATATGAAGAACCCTGTTTATTGCAATGTTCAACAAAGTACTGTAACCCTGGCCCAGCGCCAGAACTGTGATGCTCTTGCTCCAAGACGCCTGCGCTAGAAAAAGTGGTCAAAAAAAGCAAATAGCTGGTAGTACGAGTCACGTCGTCAAAAATCTAATAGTCACAGAGATGGGACCACCCAACGGCAGATTCAACAAGACCGGTCAGTGAGACAAACGATCATGAGATCATCGGGTCGATATCGCCGTTGTTGGTCATCACCGTGTCGCTGGCTCCATTCTGGCTGGTGCCATTCTCATTACTGTTACTGTTACTGCTGCTGTTTTGGTTGCCAGACGAGCCATCCTGGGCATCGCCGACCAAACCGAGATCCAGCTTTTCGGGGATATCTTTCTTCGCATCGCGGGCCTTGTTCTCGGCGAACGCGCGCAGCTTCACGAGGTTCCGGAGACGGGCCTCTTTATTAACGCCCTGACTCTGCAGGATGGCTTCGTTGACGCGAGTCGCGATGTCCTTGCGCAGGCCCGGGTCTAGAAGAGCGGCGAGCGACGGGGCCAGGTTGTCGCTTGGAAAAATGAGTAGTGCGAGCGTCCGCTCCAGATCTTCCAGGAACTGGGGGTTCGTTGGTGCTCGTGGGGCGAGCTGGGATGTTGCAAACTCCAGTGCGGGACTGATATCGCCATCCGGGGTGGACGTGCAGGACCGGATCAGCTCTACCAGCTGCAGGCGCAGCAATGAGAAGTGCAGCGATGGGTTTTCATCGAGGATCTAAGATATGCTGGTTAGCCGTGGAACTTGGACAGCATAGACGATTACGTTGGTGATTGGAAACAAGATGTTGTTGCTCATACTGAGGACTGAAGATGAGTGTTTTTCCACAACACCCCCGAAGGGGATAGTTAGGAGTGGTGCATGAAACTGGTATAATCATAGCAAAGATGGGGGGAAGAGGGCAGAGAGTACACAAAACAGTGGTTCTTACCTGAGGATTCAGCTCGTTGATCTTCTCAATCGCCGCCTGGATGTTACCCGAGTGGATGGCCGTCCGGATCTCAACCCTTTCCTGGATGGATTCCAGATCTGTGCTAAGCTGGATATTGGCCTCGGCTGCGAATTTCTTCGCTGCAGCTGGGTAGCCGTTCGTGATCAGGTAGTCCATTACCAAGTAGTTGATGTCACTGTAACCTCAACGGTCAGCCATTTGCCGCAAAAGTCATGCAAGTCAAGGTTCGCCAAGATAAATGGAGAAATTTTTCAGAAACACAAGTTAAATATGTTCTCTACAAGGGGTTTCAGAGAGATTCCCAACTTGATTTCAAGGTACATCATGTGAAGGTGTCATGGGGGAGAGAGCGCCGGGAAAGGCGGCAACGATGGGGAGAACTCACGTTTTGGATGGTTTGACCTCGTCGACCTTGCGCTCGAACTGGTGCCAGATCGGCGTGGTCGTCGAGGGAGTACGAGACATCTGCGGTATGTTAAAGCCAGCAACCACGGGTGTCAATCCGGGCAGCATACAATATTGGCCGAAGACATGATGCCGGGGGACAGACAGCAAAGAGGTACTCAAAGCTATCCGTGGCTGAAACAATGTGTAGCCCTGCAGACGACGGCCATGGAGGAAGGGCAGAACGCTGGTTGAGGCAGACAAGGGAAGTGAAGTGTGTGAAGGGGAAAAGAAGAAAATGAGCGGAAAGAGCAAACGGGAAGAAAATGGACTGTGATTAGGTAAGCGCAACAAGCGAAGGTCACGCGCGCTAAGCCGGACGTGGATCACGTTGAGACGCATGGATTGATGCTACGTTAGGTAACTGATCGATTGCTGCATGCCTTGCTGGTGGCTTGGTCATGGAGTCGATCTCGCCTTTCTACTCCCACACCCCGGAGGTGCGCTACTGCCCGCCATGGCAAGACTTGAGCATTATTGGCATTGCCGGCAGCTCGGGGTCCGGCAAGACGTCGGTGGCCATGGAGATCGTGCGGTCATTGAATCTGCCGTGGGTGGTGATCCTCGTCATGGTACGTATTCTTTCTTCCGGGGTGTCTAGATTCTGGCTAACACGCGTCCCAGGACTCCTTTTACAAGTCGTTATCTCCAGAAGAGCATCGCTTGGCGCATGCCAATAATTACGACTTTGACTGTCCGGATTCGATCGATTTTGATCTTCTGGTGGAGACTCTCCGTGATTTAAAACAGGGGTGAGGGTTGCCCTGCGCAGCACAGTCTCGTCGGGTTGTGCTGACCGGAATATGATGCCAAGAAAAAAAGCCAATATTCCGATCTACTCCTTTGCTGAGCACCAGCGCCAACCCCAGACGACCACCCTCTACTCGCCTCGGGTGTTGATTCTAGAGGGAATCCTGGCACTTCACGATCCGAGAATCGTGGAAATGCTAGATGTCAAGGTACTGCTTCGGCCCCATTGGTTGAGAGGACTAGCACAGCTAATATAGTGGCTAGATCTTCGTGGAGGCGGATATGGATGTCTGCTTGGGTCGCAGAGGTACGTATTCCTTCAGTCCGGAGAATGACCCAGGCCACTGACGCGGAGGGACGCAGTCTTGCGAGATGTCCGCGAAAGAGGGCGAGACATTGAAGGAATCATCAAACAGTGGTTTGACTTTGTCAAGCCGTCGCTCAAGAGATACGTGGACCCCCAGCGAATTATCTCTGGTAGGCAAATCCCCCTTATCTCCTTTTTCATTTGTTTGCTATTCTAAAGTCCGTCTCTAGATATCATCATTCCACGTGGAATTGAAAACAAGACCGCCATCGGTTTGTCACTCTTGGGAATTCTTTGTGAGCTTAAATACAATACTAACCAAGTCAGACATGGTTGTCAAGCACATCCAGCGCAAACTTGCAGAAAAGTCCGAGGAGCATACCAAAGAGTTGCTCAAGCTCGGTCTAATAGCCGCCAAAGTCGATTTGCCCCCAAATGTGCATGTGATGCCCTCGACGAACCAGTTCCTGGGAATGAACACGATCCTGCAGAACCCCGAGACAGAACATGTTGACTTCGTGTTCTACTTTGATCGCCTTGCCTCCTTGCTGATTGAGAAGTGCGTATTTTGATGTCATCTGGTGTTTTTTCCATCGCCCCCTTACTAATAAGCTCCTCTCTCCCCAGAGCGTTGGACATGACTTCCTACGTCCCAACAAGCGTCGAAACTCCACAAGGCAACCACTACCTGGGCCTAACCCCCAAGGGCATCGTATCAGCCGTTGCCATCCTGCGCGGGGGCTCATGTTTAGAAACCGCTCTGAAGCGGACGATTCCCGACTGCATCACGGGCCGCTTATTGATTCAAACTAAAGAGAATGACGAGCCCGAGTTGCACTACTTGAAACTGCCCTCGCGCCTGGAAGAGCATTCCGCAGTCATGCTCCTCGACCCGCAGATGTCCAGCGGTGGTGCTGCGCTGATGGCTGTTAGGGTTTTGATTGACCATGGCGTGGACGAGAACAAGATCGTCTTCGTGACGTGTGCTGCTGGGGAGAGGGGTCTGAAGCGGTTGACTGCTGTGTATCCTCAGATCACGGTTGTTGTGGGTCGCATTGAGGAAGAGGGCGAGCCGCGGTGGATGGAGAGGCGGTATTTTGGATCCTGACCGCATATAGAGTTTGTACGGGCTAGTTAGCCAGAGGCGTTATTGTGCTACATGAACATAGTCTACTTTTCGCGAATGAGTCCTAAACATATATTTTTGTTGTAACATCCGTTGTTTAACGTGCTGACCTGTAGTTCCCAACACGGAAGTTGACAAATTTTATCCGAGGCAGTTGAACAATTGACGCAAATCTTGTTTGACACATATTCCGATTTGATCATTGCTCACAACTCTAGTTCCGAAACCTCGATCTTCTCTCACTCTCTTATACTTGTCTTGGCGACCGCCCTTAGTCCACCGCCTCGATTTCGCCGGCAGAAAAAAGAAAATTGTCTTCCAGATCCGAACTGTTCTTGTTTAACCATCCCTCAATCTTCGCAAGTCTGCCTACTCCCGTTGCAGCAAAGGAGAGCAAGATGGCTGGCCAAGACAAAAAAAAGTCAAAGAATACCGGCGCAAAAGCCGACGCCGGTCCAGTGATTAGTACGTGCCGCAGAATGCGCAAAAGAAATGGAAATGGAAATCACTAACACGAAAAAATCCTTACAGCCGATCCTCGATTTGCCAGTATCCAAACAGATCCTCGGTATCGCCTGCCGAGCAAGCGCCAGACGCATGTTAAACTCGACAAGCGGTTTGCGCACATGATGCGCGACAAGGACTTCTCCAGCAACGCCGCAGTGGACCGGTACGGACGGAAATTGGCAAAGGATGATACCAAGAAGCAGCTTGAGAAATTTTATCGTCTTGACGAGGACGAAGAAGATGATGAAGATGAGGCGAAATTTCTCAGCGCAGACGATGACGACGAAGTCCAGAAGGAGCTGAAACGGGTCGAGAGCAGACCATATGACCCTGCTCGCGACGGTGGATTTTCCTCGTCTTCTTCTTCGGAGGATAGTTCTAGTGAAGATGAGGACGAGGAAGACGAGGAAGCTATCGACGAGGGGGCCGAACTTGAGTTCCCCGATAAACAGCAGGCGAATGTCCCACTGGGTGATGTCACAGAGCGGATAGCTGTTGTCAACCTCGATTGGGATAATATCCGAGCTGAGGACTTGATGGCGGTGTTTTCAAGCTTTGTGCCTGCCGGAGGACGTGTGTCAAGGGTCGATGTGTACCCCAGCGAGTTTGGAAAGGAACGAATGGAGAAGGAAGAAACCGAGGGCCCGCCGAAAGAGATCTTCGCCTCCAACAACCAAGAGGACGCCGACGAAGATGAAGACGAAGAACTTGACTCGGATGAGGAGGAAGAACAAATTAAAAAGGCTATGTTGAAGAGTGACTCGGGCGAGGAGTTCAATTCTACGGAGCTCCGGCGTTACCAGCTCGAACGGTTGCGCTACTTCTACGCCATTCTCACGTTCTCGTCCAAGGATGTTGCCAAACACGTCTACGATCTGGTGGATGGCGCAGAGTATTTGTCCAGTGCCAACTTCTTCGACCTCCGTTTCGTGCCTGAGGACACTGACTTCTCGGATGACAAGCCTCGGGACCGGTGCTCCCGTATCCCCGATGGATACAAGCCCAACGAGTTTGTGACCGATGCGCTGCAGCACAGCAAGGTCAAATTGACGTGGGATGCAGACGACAAGTCCCGGAAGGAAGCTCAAGCGCGTGCGTTCCGAGGTTCGCGGCAAGAAATTGACGAAAACGACCTCAAAGCCTACCTTGGCAGCGACAGCTCCGAAGATGAAGACGAAGACGAGGAAGGTGGAGTGGAAGTGGTGGATAATACTACGGAGGGAGATTCCAGCACCAAGCTATCTAAACGGGAGGCGGAGCGACAACGCATGCGCGCGTTACTGGGGCTGAGTACGGAGCCTACTCGCTCCTCCAAGTCGAAGGCTCCCGTTGGAGAGATGGAAGTCACTTTTACTTCGGGGCTTGCTGGAGGTGTTCGGGACGACGGCATCTTTGAGAACGAACCTGAAATCGAAGAGAGCACGGTGGACAAATACGTGCGGAAGGAGCGCGAGCGCAAGAAGCGGAGAAAGGAAAAGCTCAAGGCCGTTAAACGCGGTGAGGATCCCACGGAGACGGAAGCTGTAGCCGACAAGGACACCCCTGTCACGACCGACGCACCAGAAGCGCACGAGGAAGACCTAGGCTTTAATGATCCATTCTTCGATGATCCCGACAGCAAGGCATCCTCGGCTGCTCGTCGCAAGGAAGAGAAGCGCAAGAAGCGTGCCGAGCGGGCTGCCGAGGAGGCCGCATCCGCTGCCCAACGGGCCGAGCTGGAGCTGCTCATGGTGGACGACAAAAAGGCCGAGATGAAACATTTCGATATGAACGAAATCGAAAAGGCCGAGAAGCAGGCACGGCGGAAGAAGGGCAAATCCAAGGGCAAAAGCAAGGAGGTCGCTGCTGCTGCGGACGACTTCAACGTGGATGTCAGCGATCCCCGGTTTTCGCGCCTGTTCGAGAGTCACGAGTTCGCCATCGATCCCACCAATCCCCGGTTTAAGGCGACATCCGGCATGAAGGCCCTGCTGGAGGAGAGTCGGAAGCGGCGGCGGACCGGGGATGACGGGGATGCCGAGGTAGTTGAAAGCAGTGGCAAGACCAAGAAACACAAAGCCAAAAAGGGAGGCGAGACAGAGGATTTGAAGCGACTGGTGGATAAGGTCAAGCGGCAGGCTAAGGCATAGTGCGGTGTACATACATGGGATAGGTAGCAAGTCATAGTTAAGGGGTTGCCAATTGGCCCAGAAGCAGCCGTGATCATGTGCCCACGGTTCACCGCCCTTTCTTCACTTCCCTTTCCCCGAGGCCTCTTTAGCCTTTCCCTTCTTCCCTCAAGACCTCTGTTGTCGTGGAACCCTTTTGTCTGAGAATTGTTAGTTATCCATCTCGGGATTCTGTCAGCGTCGTCTCTGTCGCGTGTGTATGTCTTGTCGCTGCAGGCACCAATTGCGGATCCCCACGCCCCACTCGCTGCAGGCCATCCCACTTTCTCCTCCCCTCCAACTACGACGGCTTTGTCTCGACTCAACCACTGCTTGCCATTCGCCCATCTCTTCTCCTCTCTTTTGACGATGCTTCTGATCCGGTGGAATTAAGCAATGGGTAAGATGCAGTCTAGTCTTGCCTAGCTGTCTGACTACCCACCGTTGTTACACTGCATATCTCGACGTTTTTGGTTCCCTGCGATTCCGAGCTTTTTTCGTTGCATTGTACTCCATCATGCTGGGCCGACTCCTAAGCACAGCAGCTTCGACCTTGAACCCTGCTGCCTACTCGAATCGAAACCACGGGACACCCCTTGAATCGGTGACCGAGGAAGAACACACCTCCAGCCTCCTCTTCCCCGATGCTAGCCTCCTCCGACGCTCCAACACCCATGCTTATCCGCTGCAAACTACCTTCACATCTCCGAATGCCTCGACCGCAGGGGCCTACGATGACCGCGGGGGGTTGGAATTGGATGCCATCAAAGACTTTCGTGTAATTGTCGCCCAGAATGCCCTGGGCGATCGGGACGCATGCGTTTTGCTCGACACCCGATCCTCATCCGGTTCGGCCCCCACTGGTCTTGGAATAGATTCACAGGGCGTCGAACAAACGGGGACCAAGCACACCCGCGCAGTATCGAGCCTCTCGCGCGGATCCCGTCGAAATTATCTCACCCAGTCCGCCGTTGTCGAGTCGGGTCCCCTCCCCGCCGCAGCAGATGCCCGTCGATCAATACCGGCAAGCCCTGGCGCCTTCTCGCGGGCTCGTGGCCGCAGCTCCACCATGGCACTGGCAGGAACGTGGCACGAAGGTCAATCCCGACATGCAGTCGATTCGAACGACACGGGCCTTCTAAACTGCATATTCGGCAGCAGTGCTTTCAGCTACCGGGGTTCATCCACGAAAATGCACATCATATCTGCCGATGAGGAACCAGGTGCTGCGACTAGTGGCTCACCTGCACGAAGCCCTCTTGCTCGTGCCTACACCACTCCCAGCTCTTCAGGAATGATGGGGGCTGCCCGTGGCGCGGACGGCAAGACGCCCTCCAAAGTTACCGTTCTTTTGACTCGTATGTTCAGTGTTAACTTACCGGAAGGGGCTGAGGCATCGGCTGAGCGATATGACTATGCCAATGGTATCTACCAGGAGTCTCTGCCGGATTTGGGATTCCCCTTCCCGGACGTCTCCAAGCGCAAGAAAATCAAAGAGAAGAAAACGCCAATGTATGCCGTGGCCATTACAATCCAGATTCCTCTGCTGGCACGCAATTCGGGACGGCCTGTATCACGATTTAGCACTCTGAGCCCAGACTCTCCCCGGCCTGGTTTGTCCAGTTCTTTGGACTCGGATTACCGTTGGCCAGTATTCCTTGACGATAGCCTGTCTTCCGCGTCTCCACCTGCCAGCTTGGATGAACGTCTGGACCTGCTTGTCGATCACTGGGATGTCATTACCCGCACACTGTCTCACCTGGAAAGACTTGCCAGAAATGAGATCCTCTTCCTTCTGAGAAAAGTGGACTCTTTGAGTGGACCGCACCCGAAACCCGCTAAACCCCCGAATATGCAACGGACCAACCAAACCATTGTTCATCTTCCGGCGAACATCCTCTCGGTGAACTCCAAGCTCAAGGATGAGGCTCTCCGCAGTACACGCCGCATCAGTTTGGCCCTCCAGACACCCTACGTGGTGACTGGTCAAAGCCGCTGGGGTGTCTGGCGAGAGGAAGGCCGTTCGATTGTGCGTGGTCTCGGGGACAAAGAGCACAGCTTTTTCTTCTTGGTTCTTCTCACATCATTCTTGGGAAACCACACCGAGTGGCTTAATGCATTGGGGCCCGACTGGTATCGGCGTCGCCATCACCAGCAGCAAAAGTCCCAGCAGGACACCGATCCCATTGTCTCAAGCAGAACTGTCATCATTTGCCCAGACAAAATGACCGCGCGCCGGCTTATTTTCTTGCTGTCCGCATTTCTCCCATCTAAACAACGCCTTGACCCGTTGCCGTCCCCTCTCCGTCCTGGTACCTCGGCTTCCATGCGAGCCATCTCGCAAAGCCCGCCGGCCGTACCTGTGCTTCGCCAGGAGTCTCTTCGACGAGCAATTGAGCGGCGTGCTCGTGCACAGCGGCAGTTTCTAGGTGATGACGACTATCATCGACGATCTGTGAGCGCGGGATCCCAGGATACAAACCAGCGATCGCTGGAGAATGATTTAACTCCGACCTCAGAGCACATATCAAACCGCAGAGGGTCTGATGCTCGCTCGATCAGGACCCTTGGCCCAAGTGCCCAAGCTAAGGATGCCCGGGCTAAGAATACCAGTGGGGCAACAATCTCCATTACATCCCAGAGCAGCATGGTCCCTGTACCGCATTTCGCATCACAGCAAAGCCGGTCTAGCCAGAGAAGAATAGACCACAGTGCCACTGATGCAAACGAAAGTCTAGCATCGGAGAATCTGCTGAAGAGCCTACAACGAAGCGATAGCTCGGTACTGAGCTCGAATGGAAGTGCTCCCTCCAACGGGAGCGGATGGGGAGGTCTATTCTCCGGATTGTGGAGCTCGCGGCAGGAGTCATCAGAAGGGACTGAGCCATACTCCCCTTCTCATGATCGTAAACGGTCTGTCTCGACAATTGCCGGCCCACCCATGCGTGGACCAACCACTCTAAGCCAAATGGTCAAAGATGTCGCCGAGGATGAAACGGAACACCGCCCTGAGACAGCACCGAGTGGTAATATCTCGATTCCTGCCACATCACCATCTGCCCCTCACGGGTCCGAAGACGAGTCGCCGGAACCATCATCCCTTACCAGCCAAGTTCGTGAGTCCCCGCTGAAGATGTCCGTACGCGCGGAGGAAGGCGTGGTCGATGTCGATGTCCCACTGCCTGGATTCTTGTCCCTTTCTTCCTCGGGCGATTCGACGGTCGCTTCGCCCAAGAAGACTCGGACATCGGTCACAAGCGTTGATGCTATCGCCTCGACGCATAGCAGCGGCTCGGGATTCCACTGTGGCCCGAAGGACAATGATGGTCTCAACATTCACGTCGCTGGCTGGTTAAAATTGTTCCATGAAGACTTTTCGCTTCAAGCTGTACGCCCGTACGCTGCTTTGGAGAATGATATCAAGCGTGCGATGCAAGCCGAGCCCGCTCCGTACTTGCCATCCACACCTGCCTTCACACCCGAAGTGGACGGAACTGGGAAGTGGGTAGATGTTGCGACGACCTTGATCGCAGATACACGAACCTCCACCGTGAAGCGACTTCGACTGAAACGAAAAATCAACGTCGGCCACGGTCTCGGACACGCTCAAAGTCCCCCCTCGCCATCCAATGCGTTTTACGCAGGCAGCAGTCGCCAAATGACTGGAAGTGCTGCGTCTTCTGCGCATCTTGGTGGTTTCTTTTCCGGGTCCGGGAAGTCCTCCGGCAGCAACATTATTGAAAGTCAGGATCCGAATGTTGTGGAAGAGCGATTCGTTGAGGAACCTGTTATGGACCTTGATGGTACACTTGTCGATGCGGTGGAGCGGGTCCTCGCACAAAGCGGCTACTCGTCCCTCGCACATTCGCGAGCCCCATCTCCCAACCGCACTCGCCGCGGTGAGGACAAGGGGGAAGCACCACCCCCCGCGGCGAAGATGCGCCTCCCCTCGAAGTTCCTCGCGCTGAGTGTCGTAAGATGGTTCTCGGGGCTTTGGAAGAGGTCGTCCGCAGCGTTACAGCCGAACATTGCCGTGAGGATGCGGACGAGGACGAGATCGCCCTTGCTGATCGAGAGCGCAACAGGTCTCTGGCCGGCGCTGACAACACCCTGCGAGAGGGAATTCGCAAATGGCTGGTTGATGTCGAGGAAGCATGGTGATCTTGTCATTATGCCTGGATATCGAAACAAGGCCCAGATTCCTGGAGGTCCTCGCCGATCGCTCTTTTCATTATTCTTCCGCAATGTACCTTTCCCTCTGCTTTCTTTCTCCTTCAACCCTGTTAGCTGCCAGCCTCAACTTGGCATTTTGTTTTTCTTTAACCCCCTTTGGATTCTGTTGTTTCATTTGCAGATTACTCGAGCTGCGGCTTTTGATACTTTCTTGTCCTTTGATTTGTTTTTTGAGTGTGCATTTTGGCCTTGTTTGATTATGATACCCACTTTTTGTTGAAGCCTAACTTTTTAATCTTTCCGTGGAGGCTAACGCCGCACCAACTGCATGCAAATTCAAATTCAACCGTCGAACAATAGATGACGAGATTCAATTTCTATGTCTGGTAGCAGTTTTACAGCCCTATCTGGACAATCTTCACCGAATGTCCCTCGGCCTCAATCGTCTTCCCATCCGCGGCATGGCGAACACGAATCGTCTTCAAGACCTGATCAGTCTGACCAGGGTCAACAATATCCACGACCGTTTCCCCGCTCAGCTGGCCATTAACCAACAACTCGATGCCCGTCAACGCATCATCCTGCGGTGCCTTCAACGCCGGATTACGCGGCGTCACCGAGCTGGGGCGGATCAGAATCGGCATTGTGTCGAAATCATGAGTCTCCGTGTACCAGCGTCCAGACTCGTAGGACTTGGAGTGATCAAACCACGACACCCATTTGCCACGCTCATCGTCCGCCGAGCGAGGCACGTAGAACGTAACCTCGCCATCCTCCGAGAAGACAGGCGCAATAAGCAGATTGGGGCC